CACCGATCTCAAGGACCACCCTCGGGTTGATGTCTGGAATTGTGCTCGCCAGTCTTCCGATCAATTGGTTGTTGAAGGCACATTGTGCTGCAGAGAGGAAGAATGATCCACCAATTGTCACGAAACCTGTGTGGACTGTCAGAAGAAATGCCGTATCGCTACTAAAGGTAAGGTTGCAACATACAGTTGATGATAGCCGTCACCTGGGACATGTCCTCTGGTGGGGTGTGGACTTGTGCATTTGACAGAGCAACCTGAAATGTCAAGCCAGTGGTAAATCCGACGATGATCTGGTAGCCAATCCACTTGCCGGTGGAAGTGTTGGTGTCCATTGTATAGAACAGCCCACAGCCAATACTTCCCAGGGCGCCTCCAACCATCCAGAAGATAGGAACGATTCCAATCTTGTACAAGGCATAGCCTTGTGCCATTGCGGCGAATGTCAACGGAATGATAAGTGCGAGCATCTTGACCCCAGAGTCGATAGGGCTATTGTTGTAGACGCTCTGGAAGTAGATTGGTAGGTAGTATAGGATAGTGAAGTATCCTCCACCGAAGCAGAACATGAAGAGAGAGCCGACCAGAACATAACGCTTGGAAAACTGCTCATCCTTGACATGAGCGTACTGCAAATAGATAATCAGAGTGTAGCTGAGACTCACCAATCGTGGAACAATCATAGCACGCTCCTTCAGGAACATCTCCCAAGCGATAAAAACCGCAACGGTCACGACGAAGCCCACAAGCAGGCCGATTACAACGCTGCTTCTCCAGGAATGTGTTTGACCTCCATATTGTAGTGCCAGGATATATTGAACGATCAAGGCGATCATCAGAGCTGCGCCGGCCAGATCCATCTGCAACAATTTCTCCTTGCGAGTGCCAGTGGCAGGTCGTGCGTGGTCAGGGGTTTTGAAGAAGAAGACGACAATGACGGCGGCGAGCCCCCCGATAGGAAGGTTGATGTAGAAGCACTGCATAAGAGTCAGTGCCCGGGGGATGCGTACATGGAGATATAAAACTCGTACCCAACGCCATGAGACTTTCTCAGTAAAGGCACCGCCAATGAGTGGTCCAAGCACAGCAGCGATGCCATACGTAGCACCGGTGTAGCCCAACACTTGAGGACGCTTTTCAGGAGCAGCAGCGAATCCTAGAATCGTAAACACTCCAACGGCAATGCCAGCACCGCCGAAACCTGCAATCGCTCTACCGACGATCAAAGTGGTGGGATTCTTCGCCACTCCACAGATAAGGCTTCCGAGCTCGAAGATGAACATGGCGACGAAGAACCAGCGTTTGATGGGAAAGTATTTGTAGAATTTGCCCCAAGTAGATTGAAAACCTAAAGTTATCAGTGTTATATATGATGGCATAGGCACGCCTCCATGGGAGTGCCAGGCAGTGCATAGAGGGATACTCTGCTCCCTTTGTCAGTAAACATAGGTTTTATGTTTCTTTGTTTAAGCATACCACCTCCAAATGTCATGAAGTATGCGGCTCCGTACCACGATACTTTGTTCAAATCTTGGAACTCATCGGTGATTTTGGGGATGGCTGTACTAAGAATGGTCTAAGTGTGACACAGATCAGTTTCTTGTCTCATCACCAAGTTCATTGTGACATACATTGTCCAGGGCTACCAGGAACATGCTCAGCATGAGAGAGGCGACAATTGCTGCGAGACGGAGACCATCTGCAAATACCAGGGTGGGAGGTTCTGGATCATGGCCATCGCCTAGGGTTGAGCCTTCTTTGGGGCTCAGATTCTGAGACGAGTCTTCTTGAACTGACTGTTTGTCAGAGTCAACCTGTTGTGCGGCCATTGTGGAGTGAAACCTAGAAGATACTAGGTATTTGGATCAGCCTGGTTTACAAGCAGGTGATCTATCAGCGAAGGCTCAGACATGTCCCAACTTATATTTTGTTCACCTCGGGCGAATTGACAGCCCCTGTCTCGGTGGTAAAGATTAATGTCCGAATCTGACTGATGAGAATGTGAAGTTGTTTCTAAGCAAGCCCTGTGGTGCTAGATGCTTAGTGAAGGGTGGGTTTTCTTTGACCGAGACAGTCTTTCAACGAAGAACCCACCCAGTCTTCTGAGAATCTGATTGAGGTGAACATTTTCCAGCCGAAACCGCTGGGTCCGACCGAGATCAGACATTGTGGTGGATCTGCTTTGTCCATTGTTTGAACACTCATAGATATGGCATCCCTTTCACGACGGTCGGTTGTCATGGAGAGGTATAGATAGACCCCAATCAGAGAATTCCACCAAGGGGTTATGCTTGACGTTGGCTCCATGTTGCAGACTCTCCATATGCTTCATGGGTGATTTAATGGGCTACGACCAGTCTCGCAGCAATCATCAGCCAACATTTACGGAGGATATGTGGACTGTCGGTCAAGTAATCCTTAAGGAGAGGAGAGTGAAAGTATGCGGACGTCGATTCGGCCGAACTCTCTTCGACATGATTGGTCTCCTGCCCACATTCCCCACAAGCTCGGACGAACGAGACTACGAAACATCTCGGACGAAGAGGACTCACTATATATTCAAATCGGAATTGCCAAAAAACGTCAAACACAATCCCCGAGGACTTCCCTCTGAGGTGGGCCACTTTCAAGTGGCTACTTTTCTTCCATGCTCTTCTTCCATGCGACAATGAATCCCAGCTCGGACGACACTAGGCCGAAGCGAAAGGTGCGAAAGGGAACACACAGCTGCTGGGATTGTAGGCGGCGCAAAGTCAAATGTGTCTTCTCGTCCACAGACGATGAGAAATGTGTCACATGTCGTCGACGAGGCAAGAAATGCATTAGTCAACAGGTGTTGGGTGAATTCGATGGAGAGGATAGCGATACGGTTTGGACTGAAGCTGGCATGGAGAGAAATGGCGACATGACTCGACGAGCTTTGCACGGCGATTATATTGATAGTCATGCTTCGTCCACGTCGTTTTCAGTGCCTTCGACACCAGCTATGACGTTAAAGGATAGATCACTGGTAAGTGATAAAGTATTGATCTTGATGCGTCAACTGTGGATTAACAAGGCTCTGCAGAATGAGCCGTCGGCCTACTCATCAACACCCCAGTATGCGACACTGCCAGCAGTATCAAGTCGTCCGTGGATCGTTGAATCATCCAAGCACCCCAAGGTCACTCAAGCCCTTCTCATGGCTCTTCCTTCACCATCAGACCTCGAAATCCTTCTCGCAAAACTCGGTGAAATGTCCATGTCCCTCTACCGGAGCAACTATAAGGCCTCCAGCTTGTTGGGAGAGGAACAATACACAAAGCGATTCTCCCCCACCAATCTCCATCTAGACGCTCATCCAGTACTAGTGGCCAGAGATATGTTGATGTTTGCGGCGGCGTTACAATACCTATCACCCAACACAATCATACCTGGCCTTGGGGAGCATCATCATGTCATCATGGACCGACTTGCAGAGTCGGCAATCAACCTAGTCACCACCAATGATGTATTCCTAGGCACTTTGGAAGGCCTTGAAAACATTTGTCTTGAGGCCTGTTATCACAGCGACGCCGGCAACATCCGCCGAGCGTGGATTACCATGCGCCGGGCCGTCATGGCAGCTCAATTAATGGGTTTGCATCGTTCCGGTCATCATCGCTTCAAGGTCATCAATAATGACAAGGATATCGATCCTGAGGAACTGTGGGCTTGCACTGTCTCGATGGAACGGATAATGTCACTTCTCCTTGGTCTGCCGACCAGCACTGCTGCTGCGAAATTGGCCGTTCAATTAACGCCCAGGGATGCTTCGCAAGCTGGCAATATGACGGCGCTTGTAACCGAAGTGACAGGTCGCATCCTCCAACGAAACGAGTGCTCTGAATCAGGGAAATCCCTAGAGATGACAAAAGAGATCGACGGAGAACTGATCAAGGTAAGCGAACAGATGCCATCCAGTTTCTGGCGGCCAACCAATTTCACCGGTCTGGAGCTGGACTCGCAAGATGCCCTCTGTGAGATTCGACGGACGTGGGATCTCATGTGTTACTTCAGCGTGGTAATGCAACTGCATCTGCCATACATGTTATGTCCACAGCAACTTTCTCAGAACCATTACTCTCGAATTGTCTGTGTCAATGCCAGCCGCGAGATTCTGGCGCGAGGGATTGCAATGCGATCTTTCAATCCGGTTACGCCATTTTGTCGAATGGGGGATTTTATGGCTCTGATTGCAGGCATGACACTAGTGCTGGCCCATGTCGTCACGCACTATTGGACAGAGTCCAATAATCCACTTGTACATCAGCGTTTCGGCGACCGCGCGCTGGTGGAGCAGGCCCTTGAGTGCATGAACTCGACAACTGAACCACGCGAAGATGTCCTCGCCGCCAAATGTGTTCAGCTGTTGAGGCATCTGTTGGCGGCAGAGGCTGGTGCGGCTCAGAGTCACCAGGTTGAACATGTTTCAGAGAATGATCAGAACTGTGAGAAGGCCTGTAATGCCTTCATCATCAAGGTGCCATATGTCGGTGGAATCCAAATCTCCCGACAAGGCATTACATATGTTCCGACCAACAAAGCGACAGCAGCAGAAGGTCGATTGCACCATGAAGGTGTCACGATTGGTGGCATTGGATCCATGCGCATGGACACCGCAACGGTGGGAGACAACGTTTACGATAACAACGACCTTTGTCCTGACCCAGGGATCGTCTCGTCGTCTGAGAATACAGTCAGCGCGCCATCAATTCAACAAAACGCGACGCAAGTGTATCAAGAAGCGTCAGAAGATCTGTTCTCGAATCAGGAGGAGATGTGGCCAGATGCTGCAGCAGGCATGGATGACTGGGTGTTTCAAGGTCTTGATACTGCGTTCTTTGATACCCTGATGCGCGAGGCTGGCACTTAAACGACTTTGGATTTCACGAGTTCCCCATGAATGTCGAACTGGAAGAAATTGGCAAGGCGAAACACAAGACGCAAAGAGATTATGGCTAGGAACTCAACATTTGACAATGGTCGAAGTTATGCAATTTGATGTTATTGCTAAAGCTAAATCGCGTTCTCGCAGCAAAATTGCCACGACAAGCGAGTGCAAGCCCAACATAGGTTATTGTAACCTGAATCATAAAATCGTATCCCCAACGCCTTCGCTAAGTAGAAATCATGCTCCTCTCGTGAACATAAACGTTGAGGCGTTTCGCCTGGTTTGAAATCGTGGAGACCGCGTTTGAAGAATCTTTGTAGCTGGCACCTGTGCAATGCCTCGAAGCAAACCCATGAGAAAACGGTTGATAGAGCTGCGATCGCCAGCATTCTTCATCCAGCAGTCGGGCTTACTGGACTGGACTGTCCAACTCTTTCTCTCCAATATAGTCTGCAGCTCTTGCATTAAATCCAAAACCAGCTCCCAATAAGGGAGCCAATTTGTGAGTTGTCGGTTCCATCATAGGAGTCGTTTACGCCAAGAAAGTCGTCTGGTGGGGGACTGATTCCGAGCTCGGCGTAGTATTCTGCGAAGCTGGCGTAGTTCATTCCCCACTACGGGATGTTGGTGTAACGGGCCAAATCGACATCTCCACCACCAGCAGTGGTGGTCGCGGAGCCGTGTCCAGTCATCTCGGTATCACCATTATCGCCATTGTGACCGTTGTGGCTTGCTTGGCTGGGTGGCTCATCTCCATCCAAACCAAGGACAAGTGTTTCGGGGAGATCCAACTTCTTCTCCCGTGCAAGCTGCTCCGCCCACGCTCGAGCCCGGACCAGGTATCTTATATTTGCCTCTCTTCGCTGATCTTGAGACTGAAGAATAGCTTCATTGACATCTTTGGCAACCTTTCGTCGTAAAGATGGGTCGACCAACTCGGCGAGTGCTCCAAAATCGGATTGCACTTGTGAGGCGGTAGTTGTGGATCCAGAGGAAGAAGCATGCATCCACGATTCCCTTGGCACAATCAATAAAGCCATGGCACGCTCGAGGTCATTCTTGAATTGAGAGTCCAAAGGTGCATAAGGTGCCAAGTTGTTTTGGGCAAACTCAATCGCTTCGCCGACGAGACTGGGATCCGATGACGTGAAGCTCTGGCGAATTATCTCGACAAGTTGAAGACGAAGGAGCGAAAAGTGCAACTTCTTGTCGGTGTCCAAAAGCTACCAAGCAGGTCAGTCGTGTACCCCGATAAATGGCATGCTCGAGGTAAAAGACAAATGCAAGTTGTTTTTTCCAAATCATACTGAGGACTGAAGGTGTTTTGTTTCTCATCTCTGCCCGAAGGCTATGAGTGGTGCATGAAAACAAGATCTAATCATGGAAAAGAGATAAGGGAATATGGGTCGAAGGGCGACTTACATCGGGGTTGAGCTCGTTGATCAACTCGATTGCCACCTGAAGATCTCCACGATGTATCGACTCTCGAATTTGAACTCTTTCCTGAATGCCACTAATATTGGCGTTGGGTTGGATGTTGGCTTCGGAAGCAAATTTTTCAGCCGCAGAGGGGTATCCTTCGGTGATCAGGTAGTCCATGATGAGATTGTTCACATCGCTGTTGACAAGAATCGTCAGCCATCTTCTCCTGCGGTGGATGTATCTCCGAGGTTGAGAAACAGGTATCTTGAGGAAGGTTCAGAAAGCAAAATAAATATAGACTCTTCAAGGATTTTCAGAGAGATTCCCATTTTGTCAAAAGTGCATCATACAAGGCAGGCAGGTAGGAGGTGAGTATCGCTGGACATAAGACGTACCTCTTGGAGAGCTGAGTGTCGGCAACTCTGCGCTCGAAGGGATGGAGGATGGTCGCAGCCTGAAGAAGGATTAATGCTTGCAATCATCGCCTTGTTGTCTGCTTACCATGATGAGAGGGGGCTGACGGTAAGGCTGAACGGCTTTCCAGTCAGCCGACAATTCGGCTGTTCACACCATGAAAGAATGAGCTACCACAGATAGGTGACTATCTGGAATGCGGTGGGCAAGAGGTGGCTGGAGGGGAAAAATGGGAGTGTTTTTGGGATGTTCAAGACGAAGTGCGGTTGAGGCGTCAATTTATCCTTGAAGAAAATAGCACGTGACGTCGAAGGTGAAACTCTGATCCGCTCCGAGCTTGGCGGGCTTTTCATGACATTCGCAAGATCACGTGCGGACCAATTGAACGAAACCACCAACAAGCACACTCACGTTGCGATTGAAGGCAATGAAGCGTGAAAGGAGTTGCTATTAAGGCTTGGCTAACAGCGCAGCCTCAAATAATTATTATCACAGATCTGTAATTATATACCTCTGTATACACTGGTGGGTCATTCGATGGAGCAAGGACATTCCAGCCCGTGGCTATCTTATGATCGTCCTTGATTCTAACCAGCAATGCCATCGGATTCTGGTGGTCCCTTGTATGCCTTCCTGGCATAGATGGCATACCAAGCTGCAGAGATGGCCATGAACCCTACAAAGACCACACTTGCGTAATTCATCGTCACAGGCGTGACAGGTAAGGCGACAGGCATGGAGAAGATGACCAACTCAAAGCAAATCCAGAACACTGCGATTATGTTGACGGTATATCCAATCGCATTACCCCAGTTCCATGGCGCGGTGGAGACTTCTTTGCGTCGATGCCATAGACTGATGCTGATGGGAATGGCATAGCTGACGGCCAACCCAATCACGCCGACCGAGATGAAGGCCGTAAAGGCGCTGCTGGAACCCAAATAAATCAGACCAAGAAGCATTTGCACGATGGTGGTCAAGATGAGAGCATTGATGGGAACACCAAGCTTGTGGTTGACCCTGGAGAAGATGCGGGCACCGGGAATGGCATCATCGCGAGCAAACGCCCAGGTACATCGCGAAGCCGCGACAGTGATGCTGATGCTGCAGAAGAGTGTGATGATCAGGATCAGGGACATGAGGCCCATTCCGCCGCCGGGGGTGCCCATGACTCGGTAGAAAATATATGGGAGAGCCTGTCCGTATGGAGCGAGTATAACGTCCTCCATGGGCGGAAGGGTGAAGCAAATTGGCAAGATGAAGAACAAGCCGAAAAATCCGCCAACTGGAACACACAAGGCTATCGCTCTGGGGACTTTGACGGTCGGATTCTTGCACTCCTCAGCCATAGCCGAGATCATGCCAATGGCAGAGAAAGTGTAAGCTGCAGGCAAGAGGCCAATGAAGAAGGTAAATCCTCCCCAGCCGGAGAAGCTTGTGTCATAATGGCCCAAAGCAAATGATGCAGGATGTCGTCCAGCCTGGGCTCTGACTGAGAGTGCGATCATGATGACAAAGATACTGACAGCCGTCCAGGCGGCACAGGCAGTATCCACCAGTGGCAGGATTTTGTTTCCAAACGCCACGGCAAAGAAGGTTATCACACAAATGGCATAGAAGACCAACAATAGTTGCCAGTCACTTGCAATCCAATCAGGATGATACATGGCCACACATCCAAAGATGAGGGAGGCAAAACTGCACGGCGGTCAGCGTTCATCTGTCCCAGTCATATGTTGCAGCAACCTGTCTTACCCAAAGTTGACCGAGAGCGTGATGGTCCAATTTCCAATCAGCCAGGTCCAGCCAGTGATGAAGGAGAGGACTGTTTTGCCCTTGGTTGCCAACTGAAAGGACCAGTAATAGGGACCTGGAGTGCTCTGTCAGTATGGACACGTCCAAGTCGAACATCAAAAGCACTAACCTGCCGAGGTAGGATACTTGGAAGCCAGCTCACCCAGAGACAGAGCTACACATTCATCCAAGACAAGGATCACGAGCCATCCAACAAAGATGGCCAGTGGACCGCCTCCGTATATGGCATTGATGATTGGTGCACCTTCGCCATAAGGAATCGCAGCGATTGCCAACGACTGGAACAGCAGGGTGAACATGGAGCGGTTACGGTTCAATTCGGGTTTGTAACCGAGCTTGTCCATGACATGAAGGTCGTCAACCGTGCCGATGAGCACGGAGCCCCGTCTCCCTTCATCAGAAGAAGGTGAATCATCGGGGGAAGACTTTTCTGCGTCTACCGACATGATGGCCACAATGAATCTATACGAGCAGTGCTGTAAATCAGCGCAGTGAAGAAGATTGAGGATGAGCGAGCACAACCCAGGGGATAAGACGAGGCTTTAATCATGGATGCAAAGTGGGAAGTGACCGCGATGCGGCCTGCCTGGAACATGGGTGTATCTCGCGTGAACCAATCCACGTGGGCTCCTCTTCCATGTTTGGAGGAGTCTAAAGGTTGATTTCAGAGGCCATCTGCCTGTTCGGACCAGCTCTCCTGGTGGCACGACAGAGAGAGTCCCTGGGAGTAATGCACGCGATCGACATGGTCGATATTTTATCCTCTTTGGGACTAGTAGAAGGGAGGGAAGCATCACCCCCGCCGAAAGCTATCTTTCGAAGGGAAATGATACCATTGTCCAATCACGGTAACGATCTCTGATGTTGTTACCGAAAGCTTGTAGCCGTGGATAAGAATCCGTCCTGGCGCGGGCATTGCCACGAGCGCCAGGTAAAACACGAGGAGACCCAGCCCCAGATTTCCAGATACTTCCATACAGAAGCCAGTGATTGGCCTCTGTTTTCATGACGCATGGCTATGTGTCAATTTGTCCTGCAAGGAACCGACCATCCATGCATAATCGCGGGGCCTGTTGTTGTACCTTTCATCGAGCATGGCTTCATTTTGAAATGTGCTAGAATTCTCAATTATTCTCTCAGAATCATCGTCCTGTTTTCACTGTACTCCAGATAGGCTCTGCGAAGCAATGAACAAGCGGTTACAAGCAATTTTACAATGTCTTGAGTGAGCTGACAGACCAATCATGCCCCTGCCATCCTTTATCTCGCGGTCGATGCCGAGCCTGAATCTCATTTGGCAGGCCGTGTAGGACGAGATAAGGAAAGGATAAGGGTTGAGGAGTTGTTATCTTGAGCTCCGACCTCATTTCTCGCATGTGAGAAGCCAGACCTTTTTGCTTTCCCGCATTACGCGATGATTTCAGACGTCCAGAAGGCCTGGGAGGCCTGCGACCGCATTGACACTCTCTTTATCCTTGTCTGTACTGTTTTTTGTTGGCCAATCATCCCTGCAGTTGGCCTTGGATACTCGGGATACTCGACTCGTCGCAGTGGTTTGGCATCCTTTATTCCTGCTGTGTTGACAGTTTGTGTTTGCTCGATTCAATGGTTCATCATTGGATATACTCTGGCTTATGGTAATGGAGCTGGAGTCATTGGCGATCTCAGCTATGCATTTCACCGTGGCGTTCTGGCAGAGCCGGTCGGAACTATTCCCGCCATCCTTTTCAGCGAGTTCCAGTTGGTATGTGGCTTTGAACAGAAAATTGACTCGATTGTCCTTTCAACGGTCAGCTAATCCATCATCCAGGTATTTGAAGCGACTGTTTGCGCTATTGCCGTAGGAGGGGCCTGTGAACGAGGTCGTATCCTCCCGTTGATTCCATTCATATTTGTGAGTTGGACGAGAAAAGACTGCAGGACCATCTTCTGATATCTGATCTAGCTATGGGCCACCTTCATATACTGTCCCTTGGCACATATGGTCTGGGGAGGCGGCTGGTTGTCAGAACTGGGAGTTCTTGACTTTGCCGGTGGCACTCCTGTCCACATCTGTAGCGGTGCAACAGCGAGTGCTCTCAGCCTGTATCTGTCATATCCCATCTTCAGGTCCAAGAAATCCGATATTCGCACGCCATCACACCTCAAATTGCACCGGCCACATAACTCCATGTGTCAACTGCTGGCAATGATCATAATATGGGGGTCTTGGTTAGCTTTCGATGCCGGAACGACGCTCACGCTGACCTTCCAATCTGTCAATGCTCTCTGCGTGACAAACCTCTGCGCTTCAGCAGGTGCCATCACCTGGGCTTCGATCACTTACCTGGAGAGTGGGGTGTGGTCACTCGACTCTATTTTCATGGGTGCCATCGCGGGCCTGGTCATGATTACACCCGCTGCTGGATTCATCGATCTAACAACATCCTTTTTCTTTGGGATTGCCGGGGCCGTCATTTGTCGACAGGCGCTCCGAATCAAATTCACCGATTTCGCCCGACGTTGGAAGTGGGTTGACAATGGAGATACTTTTGCAACTCACTGTGTCGGGGGCTTTCTCGGCACCATTGGCACTGGATTGTTTGCACAAAAGGCTGTTGCAGCCTATGGTGGTGTCGAAGTCGACGGTGGTGTATTCTTTGATGGCAATATTCGACAACTTGGAGTTCAGGTGGTCGAAGCCCTGATCGGCTTTACATGGTCCTTTGTTGGGTCCTTTGTCATCATTGCCTTGATCGATTGCGTTCCAGGACTTGAAGTTCTAGCGACTGATAAGTGGGTTCTCGACTGCTATTTGTTTTGGTTTCTGATACTAATTCACTTTCTGCAGGGAAGTGACAATGGGCATGGATGCATCCCAAATGGACGAAAGTCTCTACGAAGCACAGTGGGCTGGTGAGGAAGACTACAAGCCATTGGCCAACGGCAGCATTGTTCTTGATTGAGTTTTACCGCCGCGATGAACGGCTTGCGAATGGATAGAATGAAGGCTCTAAAGCATTTCCTGAAGTGAGTGGAGAGTTCGTACACGCATCTCTCAAGATTGACGCAAATCAAAGTGTTTTCATAGAATCGAGACATGTAACTAGACATATTAGAGACGAGCAATCCTACTTAGAAGTAATAGCAAGGTTTATTAACACGAGGTCGGATATTTTCGCGGAATTCTAATGACGAAGTAGCAAACTCGCTACTCCTGGGCAACAAGTTACAACATTAAAAGAGTGGATGCACGTCCTGTCTGACACAGATCCCCGTCCTGATTAAAACGCCCAGCTAATATTCATAAATCCATCAAGCACTGGGTATCTCTTGGGTTGGATTGCGAGAAAAAAGTAGCCATGGGCCATTCCCTGATGTTCACCGACATCATCCCATTATCCATCCTACCATCCTTTCCACAAGAGCAACGGAACAAGTTTCATGAATGCTGCAGGTCCTCGACAGCGAGTCAAGTAGGCAGGCATCCTCGATTAGACTCTAGTGGTCTTTACAACTCTCGTGTCAATGCCATGGCCCCAACCATAGAAGCGACAGTCTGGTCCATACCAGCAACCTCCGTCATCAGGCTTGTTTTGTGGACAGCGATGGCCGTAAATGCATTCGGGATCTGAACAGTCCATTTTGTAGTAACAAGGAGTCATTCGAGCGACCTCGCGAAGAACATTGCGCTCGCCCTTTGACAGAGGATAGCTGTGTGAATGCGAACAATTATTAGTTGTGCAGTAGGAAGCTCCTTGAAGGTAGAAGATATTGCAGAGCTTCAGCTTTTTGATGCGTTGGATTTCATGGTTGGGGATAGTCGTGTCGACTTTGTCAATTCTCTGGCCGGCTCTGTTCCGCTCAATTATCTTTGTGACAGGTTTGGCCGCAGTTGGCTCGGGGCTTCTTAGCGAATTCGGGGTCGAGGTTCTAGTGGTGCTCGCTTTTGAGGGAGGTGCTGAGGCATTGAGAGCCTGCGCTGTCATGGACGCCCAAGTGATGGCCGGTGTGCTCGCGGAAGAGGCGGTCCCTGCTGTGCCATTTGACTCGACGCGTGTGAGAGTTGGCAAGGTGGCGGTCACTGCTTGAAGAGGCCCCTTGGACGAAATTGGAGAAAGAGCCAATTTGGTAGTCATAAAGATTCCATCAATGCGAGTGACCTTGAGCTCGTTCTTCAAACTGTCGAAGTTTTTGTCAAATGGCTGAGTCTCGAGTAGGGTGATGTGGTTGATGACTGCAGGATCTTTCAGGGTTTCTCCCAACATTGGGGCATATGAACCATCGACGCCGAGGACAATTTGGTGACAGTGACAGTCATAGAGACTCGTCTTGAATTGTTCCACAAGTTTTTCTTTTGTTGATTCAGGCCGGGTGCCTGCATCAACCAAGTCGAAGGTAGATTGCGATGTATTAAAGGCGCGGATGAAATCGTCGAGATGGGAAGGATGTGCGATGATTTTCAGTCTCGAGAGGTTTTCCGCAAGTGACTTCAAATTTGCGTATATCCGCACGAAAACCTTAGGGGCATCGAGATGTGGGAGGTATTGACTGCAAAAATAATTGATAGCACTGTGGATAGCGTCTGCTGCCTCTTTACCGCCTTTTTCGCCTTTCGAGATCAAATCTTTGTGGAAGATGGTGGCGTCACCGTCTATTAATACGGAAATAAAGGGATTTCGATCCTGTGAATGGAAACCAGATCAGTCTGGATACCTAGGTATTGATGGAGAAGAATTTACCATAATCGACTTGACAACATCCAGCTGTTCACGCATGGAGGCATGTTCTTGTCTTGCGGTCTGAGTGAAATTAATTTCTCGATTGTACTCAAGTTGAAGTCGATCGAGTTGACTTTGAGTTGACTCGAGATGGAGCAAAAGATCCTAAAACAGATATTAGAGGGCGTTATCTGTTAGAGTGCGAGAGATCTTACCTCGATAAGTTGATTCTTCTCTTCGTCCAAACTCTTCAGGCGTTTATTGCGTTCTCGAAAGGAAGTGTGAGGAGCAACAGCGGTGAGATCGCCAATGGTACGAGTTCTGAAGGGAGTTGAGCGAGAGCCGAAATCAGGGCTTGAGTTGACTAGAGGATGATCATAGGTGGGAGCAAAAGGATCATAGCGAGCCATGTCGGGCATTTGCGAGGGTGTTGAAACTGAGTGAGCATGCAGGGGATAGGCTAGAGCGGTGGTTAGGCAAGGTGTAGATAACAACGCGAGGGTGTGAAAGTAGAATCTGAGGATGAAGATTAGATATAAGAGCGTGGGAGGAGTTGAATGTCTCGACTGACAGGGCGAGGCTAGGATCTAAATAAGTTGGTGAAGATTCAAGATCGGATTCTGGTCAGGCGAATCTTGCGCAGTCGAACTTCAAAAAAAAGTTGTGAGGGTGGACGCGTTTAGTGGGCAAACTGGAGTCTCAGAACAAGGCTAAAATGCCTTGGGCGGGTTAAGGTCATTAAGCTTGGGTTTCGGAGGTTCATGAGTGGCCAGAAACTCCTTAGCGGTCAAGCACGACGGGGAAGGCCAGGCGGATCTAATCAGTGATGTCAGGTCCTTTCGTCAAGCCCGCAAGAACGTCCGCACCAAGCGATTGTCGCATTATGCTTTTGACTAAGTAGGTACCTTACTTACCTATTTACGCGCCCACGAAGGCCGAGGGGCCTAACCACGCCTCTTTCTCGAGGCTTCTAGGCGCCCAGGGGCCCGAGGGCCCCAGACTCCTCGACTTTACATGTAAGGGGTCGCATCTCTCAGCGTCGCGCTAACATGATATTGTATTGCCCAGTAGAAGAGATCTTTGATATTTGCCTTCTCCATATCTTGTCATCCAGGCGCCTGAAGTCAAAGAGTGGCGACTACTTGAGAGCGTCTACCTAGTGGAAGTTATAGACTTTTGTGCGGTGTCTACGGACTCTCATCAAGGTAATGGTCCCCGGACCTACTTAAAGTCCCCACTCACGAGGCCATCCGCACTTTCTGGATGAAGTACTTGTATGTGAAAGGCCAACCGTAGGTACCTTGAGCTCAGGTACTCCAGACGGCAAAGAGGAGAGTGCCACAGGTAAGTACCTAAGGTCGGCACTTAAGGTAGGTAGGGACTTAGCCACTCCGCCACTCTATATAGCCTTCAGTACTCCGTACACCTAAAAACTGCCGAGGAGCCCCCACGGCCACTCCCACCAAAGACAATTTGCGTAAGTTGTAGCCGCAACCCGCACCCACACTGCACTAATTACCGTAACCAACTACGGCTCTGGCTCCATATTATTAACGACTTGGATGCTGTCCGTTTGTTTTGCAATACCTGTCCTTCTCATACCTCCACCATCAACCAAAACCCCTCCTCTCCATCATCTCTTCCCTCCCTGCCTCGACCATAAACCAAAATGGGTCGCTTTCTAGATCTTGCTCTTGTTCTCTTGACTGCACACGCCCGCTTTGGTCGCGCGCAACTCGATGCAGTATGTCCAGAATACCTCCAAAATCCACCCACAAACCCACCTCTTTGCGCAGGCAATTGAATGCATCATCTAACCACCTCACAGGAAATTCCAGAAGGTCTCGAAGACCCCTCCAAGTCTCCTGCCATCGCAGTGACAGTTGATACCACCTTCCCCAATGCCGAGATCTTTGGAATCAAGCTCGTCAACGGACAGGAGACCGAGGCTCTCATCTCTTTCACCAATGAGGAACCCGACCCAATTACCGTGCAATTTGTCGGTGGAAGTCTGTGGACTGGTGATTTGGGTGCAGCTCCTCGAATTGTGCGCAACTTGACCACTCATCAATATGCGGTTCAAATCCCCGCCGGTGAAAAACAAAGTCTCCCCTACCGATTCCAGGTCAACATGCACCCTCAGGACCTGAGACTCAACCTGGCTGCCGTCATTTACACCGGTAACACTTTCCTCACTCTTCCTGCCTACAATGGGACCGTGTCTGTCGTGGAGCCCGATTCTAGCTTTTTCGACCCTCAATTGTAAGTTCCGCCTACTCTTCGTGGTCAAACCCAATATGCGATTTCTAACCAACCTAATCAAAGGCTCTTCCTCTACGTCTTCCTCCTTGCAGCCGCAGTGGGTGTTGGCTATTTCTTCTACACCGTATGGATCCTCCCCTACTTCCCACAGCAAAAACGCAGGACCAGCAAGAAGACTCCTCGCAAGTCCGAGGTTGCTGTGACCGCTGATGTCGATTCTCCTACCGTCGCAACTGGTTCCAAGGCTTTCAATGAGGAATGGATTCCCAACCATCACATTCAGCGTCCTGAAGCCCGCAGAGTCAAGAGCAGCGGCCGTCCCAAGAGCCGTGGCAAACCTGAATAGACAGGCCACAAATTCCCCTCTTCGCGTCACCATGGCCAGCTGTATGGGCTTGGTCTCCAGATGATTTCTCACCCCTACAGCCTCTATGTCGGAATTTTTCGGGGACACCATATCAAGATGCGACTTTGGAAGGCGGTGTTAATGAATTCGACAGCCACGCTCATCTCGCGATTGGATACTCACCAGGTTCAGGTTCAGGCTGGCTGGGGAGAAGTAAAAGAGGGGTTCGGTGGTCGGTGGGAGGGGTGGAAGTCCATCTGCATATACATACATCGGAAACGGAAAAGTCACTTCACTTTACATGCTTGTAACATTAGTGATGACAATTGACAGGAATGTCTAGCTACGGTGAAAGAGACCTACATGGGATACCTAGAAAAAGCGAGAGGGGATTCAAAGCAGTGGAAAGTAGTTCGAGGACAAGGACAGGACAACAAGGTCACACACAGAGTTACACAGCTAGGTGCTTGACTTGTCTGTCATCTAGGTCTAGCGCATCTCAAAGAGAAGAGAAAAGAGACGCGCATACAACAAACTATGTTGAGGTAGTTAGCATGCGACGATGCATATAAAATAAAACAATAACAATTCCAATGTCCTCAACATATGGATAGAATAGGATAGGAGATCCATTCGTGGGTAGGTAGGTATGTACCTGTACCGATCTACCTAATGAAATCCCATCTACCGCTGGATTCATAGCACATTTACATTTCAAGTACAAGGTAGCAAGCAAATCCGACCTGGCCACTAATCCGCTTGACGCACTCATCGACTTATAATGGAGCACAAGAGCTTGACAAGTCAAAGAAAATTCCTCCACCAACCACTGTAGCCAGCAGTAGTGTTTGCAGCTGTACAGTTCTGTCCTGTACTGTAATCCGTCTCCGAACGGGCAAGCAAGCAATTGCTGTTGAAAACCACTTGGCACGGTCAAAACATAGCTCCTATGACACTCGACAAGCTCAGTCGCCCATGATTTCGTCGTCCTGGCCTTCGCCGTCATTGGAATCGTCATCATCACCACCGCCCTCGACATCATGATCCTCAACCTCGTCCTCTTCGATCTCTCTCCTAGTCGTCTTCTCAGCCTCATCATCGTCATCATCCTCAATATCATCATCCTCCAACACCAACGCCTCACTGAGTTTCTTCCCGCCTTTATCCTTAGCCGCTGTTGCTGCAAGGTCACCTTGCTTAGCTTTCTTGGCCCCCGCCGGTCGTTTGCTATCTTTCTTTTGTTTCTTCTCGTCCAGATATGCGACCAACGCAGCGTAATTTTTACCCAGTTTACTGCGATTGAGCAGAACGCGGCTCTTGATCCGTGAAGCTTGTTCGCCCTTGACAGCTCCGCCTACAATGGCGAAGATGATCTTCGACGTCACGTCGCATAGGTTCTGTTCTGCAAGAAGAACCGCTTGTTTCTTGGCTGTCTTGCTGTCGTGCACGGGTTCATCGTCGTTAGAAGATGTTTCCGCGTCAGAGTCGGCGTCGCCCTTGCCTGCATCGTTCCTCTCGTTGTCGGAATCAGAGTCAGAGTCTTCAGGTGGCTTCTCAATGTCTTCTTGAGTTTCTTGCTCATGTACGGTAGTGGCGGCGGCGGATTTGGATTTCTTGCCGTGTTTGTGCGACAAGGATGATGAAGTCTCAATCTTGCGGCGTGTCTTGCGTGCAAAGTTCTTCTCCAACTTTTCGTGTGTGAGAAGGATTTCTTGGACTATGTCGGAGGGGATTTCGATGATGAGACTGCTGATGTTTCGCTGGGCGTCTTCGTCTAGCTGGTCCCTGTCGGGTCGGAAGTGTCGGGCTGTTGTGAAGAGGGCGAATAATTCGAGAAGAGTGATGATGGCGGAGAGACGGACTGGGTCGAGTGGTGATCTGGTCTTGATGATTGGAGACAGCTCTTCCACAAAGGTCGCACGTTTCATTACCAGGCTCGTCAAGGCTTGCGTGCTGAGCTGAGAGGCATCGTTTGCTTCAATCGAGTTCTTGAGGCCCACGACCTTCCACCGGAAATATCGTGAGAAGAACTCCAACAGTGCCAGACAAAGCTGGTCTTCGGGCTCAGCGAATGCATCAGTCGTGTCTTCATCTGGCTCGCCGCGCTTGAGTAACTGGAAGAAGAGGTCAAGGAGGGTTTGCTGTTGCTGGGATCCGGCCTTTGTCTTTTGTTTCTTGCCGGTAGCTGACTCCATGCGAGCTTCGATCACAGGAGTACAATCATAGATTCCAGTGAGTTCTGTGATGCGCGAAACAATGTTGACTACCTCGCTCAGCACAGGGAGTGCCAGAGTACCTCTTTGCGAAACCTGCTTGTTTCCAAGTAAGTTCGTTAGCGTGGTGATGGAATCTGACCAGATCTCTTGCACTTTGGATTCCGCTGCTTCTTTGCTCTGTTCAAAACTTCGAGCAGTTCGGAAAGCGGCGCTAGCTGCTGCGAGAACCGTCTTGTCTGAGTGGGAGGTGAATTGTTTGCTGATGTCTTCCAAGATGGTCGCATAGGTGAATTCGCCGCTTTGGAGATCATTAATCAATCCAACATCAAGCAGCTGCTCAATGCGGAGAATGGATGATGCCGCCTGAGGGGTGCTGCCAAACTTGCTCAACAACTGCGGAAGGATGATCGTTAGGTTCTGAGCCGCAGATTCCTGTTTCTGGCGCAGTTGATCCTTGGAGGCGTTGGTGCGTCTGTTGGCAGAAGAGTCGAGGGTGGATTGTAGGTACAATTTGACGCTCGAGTGTAAGATATCAAGCAAAATAATGTCTTCGCCTGGGCTGAGTTTGTAGGCCTGTTGGACCAAGAATCCCACGTCTTGGTCGTCACCATCTGTGGGGATGGTGGAATGATCATAGAGGAGAAACCCTGCCAGAGTCTCCCAGTGTTGGAGCTCGGACATGAAGGGGAAGATTGCTTGGGTCGCAAGAGCATGGCGAGAATCAGAAATGTTCGGCAACAGCGGCTGTGCGGCTGAACCGTCAAGAGACTCATCATCCTTGTCAAACTGGTTGAGCACGTATCCCAGACATTTGAGCTTGATCCAAGATTGATTTGGAGCGGAAAAATCTAGCTCTGAATCAAATTCGGGGAGAGCTTCATCGTAGGCAGCCTTGTCAAGATCCTCGACGGTAGAGAGGTAAAGGTCTTCGACATTCGACACGAAAAATCGGCCAACAGCCTTGCGGACGCTAGGCTCGTTATCAAAAATGAGTCGGCCAACGGTTTCGATGTCATCAGGCTCGAGCAGCTCCGCTTCTCGTAGCCGGTCAAGCAGCTCGATCGCTTCGACTCTGACATGAACATCAGCATCTCTGGCCCCTATCTCAACAAGGCGTGGTCGGAATCGGTCAGTGAAGCCTCTCAGGGCAGCAACATTGTTCTTATTCTGAAAAAGAGCCTTCAGCTGCTTGACATTCTCCAGCCGGGTGATGGCTGCGGTGTCATTGAGTAGCCACCCGAGATATCTCAGGTATTGGCCTTCGAGAAACATCTTGCGATACAAGGCGATCCATTTTCCAAGTGCACCAACACACAGAGCACGTATTCTCTCCTCGACGTCTCGGTATCGGTGGACAAAGACGGTGTCAAACGCGTCTTTTAGTTGGCTGTCAATTGTTTCAAGTTTCTGCTCTGTCTTTTTCAAGTTGTCCTCGACGGTCTTAACGCGAGCTTTGTTGACGCTTTTCTTCTTCTTTTCGGCGTCGATTTGGGTCTTGAAAGTTGGTAGTGTATCTTGCAGTTCTTTTGCAGCTTCACAAAGTGCAGTACTCATTGACAAAGACACCAATGTTGCGGTATGTCTGAAAGATTTGTAGTTGGCACCAGTCATTGTTGCAATCCACACATGGATGTTGTCATAAACTTCAGGTTGATCGTAGAAGTACTCCGAGTCATGCAGGGCCTTGATGACGGCGATGAAGAACTCTTCCAGGACATGTTGGAATCCCACATATTGCTTGTGCTTTGAGACGAGAGGATAATCAGGAGATTTCTGCTGCTCGTACTCGACAAGCAGATCTCCCAGTTTGCTAGGGACCGAATCCACATCGACAACATCTTGATCTTCGATTCTAGAGTCACAGCCAATTGCTTGGAGGACCAGATTGATCAAATCTCGAACAGCCGTCACACTATCCAACTTGACAGACTCGAACCAAATCGCAGCTGCGTCATCTGCCGATTGGCCTTTTCCAAAGACTTCAGCGAAGAGGCCTTGTTGATGAGCCTGGCTTGGTCGAGCACGCGCTTTCTGGGTCTTTGGGCCTTTTCCTGCTCCTCCTTTTGACGTAGCTGAGCGAATGGCCAATGTTGTGCTGGCACCATCTGTTGTCTTGGCTCTCTTTGCAGCAGGTCTGGCTGTCTTTGGCTTTGAACGTTGCGCTCTTCTCTTAGCCTTCAATTCTTCCTCGTCGGGCTCTTCTTCACTTTCATCGTCTTCAGATTCCTCGGTTTCATCGTCTTCGTCATCCTCGTCCTCTTCGTCTGTTTGATCTCCGGTGCGAGTGGTTGATGTTCGCTTGCGCTTTGTCGAGCCGTTGGGGGCAGTTGAGGTATCGTAGATCTCTTGAGAGTAAATAGATGGTTTCTGGATGACTCTTCCGGACTTGCGACGCGACTGGGCCTCTGTGCCATTTGGCGCAACGGCATCCACCTCCATGATCTTCGGCAAATGATGAAATTGGCAGATCTGGGCGGAATATTCTGGTGTTATATCGTCAAATGGTCGCACGCGTGATAATTCGGGCACCTGAAACGCAAAGGCTGATGCGAAATACAATGCAACAAACCCTCCCGAAAGTATGGCGACTCGGTGTGGTGGAGGAACCTGTTGATCGAAGGAAAGGAGAGTCGGGGAAATGCGAGTGTAAACGCGTCGCGAGGAGTTGTTGGTCAAAAGTTCTTAGCGTCGACCACGAACCACTTTAACGGGGTGAGAAACAACGAACGAGGCCGCTGGAGGGAACGGGTTCCAAGGGGCAGGCTGAAGTACCCCGCCTAACTCCCAGAGGATGAGGGGTCTGGTCTAGGCACCATGAGCCCGAAATGATCCCTAGAGGCGTGGGTGGGGACAGTAAATATACGCCTAAGTGGCGCATGCGGCCTAGAACTGTCTTGGCCGTAGGCATCGCTCAGGCGATACGTTGAAAGGTAAAGATAGCTGGCGAGCATCCAATAGGCCATGAAAGACAGGTAGAAGGAAAGATCTTCCAGACCTATCGAAGCTATCTCTGATCTCTAGTTTCTCTCATTGCACTTGCTGAGAGAATATACAACACAGCACGTGCTCCAGATCCTGTCATTCGTTTTCTGGACACGAGATCTAAGTACTCCAAGTTACGTTGAAAATGATTTTGGGCTGGGACCATCGGCAGCTCAGTGCTTGAGTCCGCAATCCGGGCATGCCTTTGCCGGGCTCGCCATTTGCGCCATCATCTTCGGTCGCGGGCGAAGGCGAGATCGTTGTAGCACTTCTCCCACCCGGCAAGCAGGTTCTCTGCAAATGCACCTATCAATACCCTCTGAAGCTCATTACTCCAGACGCCCACAAATCTGGCGATGGCAAACAGGTGACGGTCTGCTTTCTTCTGACTTACGGAGGAGGCTTGGTAGGTGGCGATCATATCAATCTCAAAGCCGAGTTGAATGTTTCAACACGAACGGTCATTGTGACCCAGGGCAGTACCAAGATATTCAAGTCACCGACACGGACGGTGGTCAGTCAACAGATATTAGATGTCAAGATCGGGGCCCAGGCAGCTCTATGCTATCTCCCGGATCCTACTCAGCCATTTGCAGAAAGCGTCTACGAGCAGAGGCAAACATTCTACGTTGAACCGGATGGGTCCAGCAATTTGTTGATGCTTGACTGGGTCAGTGAAGGTAGACGAGCACGAGGGGAGAGCTGGACACTTTGGAGCTGGAAAGGCCGAAATGAAGTCAGGGAGTTTGACAGGCAGTCCAAGGGTCGGCTGTTACTTCGCGATGCAGTCATGCTGCATGATGGACATTTTGGAAACTCTGGTCTGGTGGACAAAACCGACGATCTAGGCATTTTGGGCACGTTGATCGTCTATGGTCCCCTATTACAGAAGCTAGGTGAATACCTGATCAAGCATTTTGCTCAAGAACCGAGGATTGGGGCGCAGAATTGGACGCAGACCGATGGCAAGTCAACTGGTGAGGCGAACAAGGCAGAAACGGACGCGAAAAGAGGCGAGGTACAGGATGGGTTGCTTTGGACTGCTGCCAATGTCCGTGGGTTCGTTCTTGTCAAGTTTGGAGCAAGAGAGCTTGACGGTGCGCGACGCTGGCTGTGCTCACTTCTCAAAGAGGAGGGAACGGTTGAGAAGCTATTTGGGCATCAAGCCCTCATGTGTCTCAGGTGAAAGATCCTTTCTATCCAATGCGTCACTCCAGCTAGCGCAACCACGCGAGTCTTAAGACGGAAAACACAAACTATTTGCCAATGGTGCCAAAGAGACGATCTCCAACGTCGCCTAAACCAGGCTTGATCATGCCTTTCTGTGTCAACTCAGTGTCCAAACCTCCGACCCAGATCTCTGTCGATTCTGGCCATTCCTCGGCAGCCTTGAGAACACCAGGCAATGCACCAATAACACTAAGGACAATGATGTGATGAACTCCCCATTCTCTTAAGGTCTGGATGGCGGCTACTGCGGTGCCTCCCGTGGCAATAACAGGATCGGTGATGATGGCCAGCTTGGCGACTGCTTCCTGCGATTGAGGCAAGTTGTTGTAGTACTCGACCGGCTGCAAGGTCATCTTTTCGCGGAACAGGCCCAGGTGATGGACGGAGGCAGGCTCAGGGAGGATGGTCTGGACGGCTGCGGTCGAAGTGGTCAGCAAAAGGGAGCACAGGCAGGACAGGCACCCACCATCAATCATGCCCAAACCAGATCTCAAAATAGGCACGATGGTGATCTTGGACACATCAATGGATTCAGCATCATATTCAAAGCCAATGGGAGATTCATCCTATAAGAAACAACGGGTTAGCCTGGACCATTGATCAGCAATGGAATTCTCTTAGCGACCAAGCGTGGACTTACTGTGCCTCGCGATTCAATGTCCAGTACAGAAAGCGCTTCGCAACCTAGGAGGATGGCGATTTCATGGATAAGGGCTTTTGTTTCACGCGAGGTGGTGGATTTGGATCGCAGCTGGGATAGCTTTGCACGCAGACACGGGTGTTTGGAGACATGAACGTTAGAGGGCAGTGAGGACGACATGGCGATTGATATTGATACAGATATAGACTCCTAGCCTCGAATGATTACGAGAAGCAAAAAAGAATAGAGATCATATGTTGTATGAGCAGAATGAGCGGAGGAAAGCGATGCAGGTACAAATACTACAGCAAGTGACCTCAGTTGGTTGGTTCCATGGCATCTTTGGCTGCGGGGCGGGGGTGTGGGTGTCTTTTGTTCGTAGAGATAAAGAACTTGTGCCTGTCAGTGGGCGGTGCGGGCCACTCAGGAGCAACTAACAAGTCACTGGTGGTCAGCTGCAGGTGAGGGGCACAACTGCACAACTGCACAACTGCACAACGGCCACTGGAGCGTTCACGTGGTCATCTATTCTAAGTACTTGTCCGCATATACTGTAATACTCGACAATCAAGACACGCAATGGAAATTGACAGTGTATGTATTTTACCAACCTACCTAGGCACATAGTATATAGATGTACAGAACTAGATACTAATTAAACAAATACCTCAAGTACTGGAGATCCCTAGAGGTACCCAGAATACCCTGTAGCATCAGGCAAATCCCCGCACCTCGTCACTGCCATTGTTATCACGGATAAAAAATTAAATGTATTGTTATGATTTAATCATGCTCTCACTCCCGCCAAAACCTTCAACACCAATACAAATAACGCCTGGACCACACACTTCCGCTCACTCCAACGTTTTCCTCACCAATGCAACTTACCAACTGACAATGTTGATTCATCACCCATCTGGAAAACTGCCATAATGTAAATCGGCCTTTCACTAGAACATGGCCCCTTTGTCTCCGCATCAAGCCCGACGACGTAATTCAGACGAGACGCCCGACAACGACGAATATGGCCAATTGACTGAAGTTGCCATTCCACAACCAGTCACACCAGAAGATACCAGTCACCCAGCGCTTGAAGATTACGAGCGCCGATTCAGTCGAGCGACACCACAGGCAGAACTTGAGCCTGAGATCGTCCTGCCAGAGGGGCCTGCCACACGTGACCAGTTTCAGGACGAAGAGCAAACCTCCAACAACGACAAACGGCAGCATGAAAAGCCTGTACAGTCGGGGAAGCCGTCTGCTTTCTTCCTCGAACTATACACCGTTTCGTGGCTGATATTCTTCTCTTTCTTGGGCACACTGGCCCGCTTGGGAGTTGAGACAATTACTCTCTACCCCAATTCACCATTTTCTTCTCGAGTGGTTTGGGCCAATGTGGGAGGATCATTCGTCATTGGCGTCCTGGCTGAAGATCGACAATTATTTCGACATGAATGGGGAGCACCAGATCCTAAAGCACCGTTGTCGGAACATGCAAAGGTCAAGAAGACGATTCCACTGTATATTGGCCTAGCCACAGGCTTCTGTGGAAGTTTTACGTCTTTCTCGTCTTTCATCCGCGACGCCTTTCTGGCCATGACCAATTCTCTACAGTCGCCATCATTGACTAGCCCATACCACGTCGACTCTGTGATCGCTCCCCGAAACGGAGGGTTTTCCTTTTTGGCTCTGCTCGCTATCTTGATTGTCCACCCGGCACTTTCTTTGGCTGCGCTGATGGTGGGCGCGCAGTTGGCATTACTGGCACAGCCCGTCACCCCAACCATCCCCTTCGGATTTTTACGCAAGGTACTTGATCCACTCGGTGTCCTGCTCGCATTTGGCGGCTGGCTTGGAGCGGTGCTGCTTGCAATCTGGCCACCAGGCAATGAGACACGGTGGCGGGCAGGAGCCGTATTTCCGCTGGTGTTTGCACCTCTGGGCTGTCTTCTGAGATACTACGCATCAAAGCACATGAATGGATTGATCCCTGCATTCCCGCTTGGAACTTTCACAGTCAATCTCTTTGGAACGGCGGTGCTGGGCATGGCCTACGACCTCCAGCACGCGAACAGTATTGGGGCATCGAATGCTATTTCATGCGCGGTGCTACAGGGCATAATGGAGGGCTTTTGTGGCTGTCTTACAACCGTGAGCACATGGGTCGCCGAATTGCATGGTCTTAGGAGACGGCATGGTTGGATCTATGGGTTGGTCAGCGTTGCTGCTGGACTGGGGCTGATGGTCATTATAATGGGAAGTATGAAATGGACCGTGGGTTATTCGACCCCAGTGTGCAGTTGACGTTGAACTGTAATAATTGCTGCATGTAGACCATATACATTTGAGACAGAGCTTGACTACAATCATGAATACTGGCTTGATGATATTGAATATACTGTTGTTCTACTATATCGCACGTGATATAGAATGAGAATATGCTGAGCACGTGATCAGATCTCGTAATAGCGAGAAGTCATAATAAGGGTGCAGAGATTGCGCCAGCATGGCCAGTGAGCATAATTCTCGCCTAAGTCTTGGATTAATTACCCTGCAAGCTGGGCACCAGCATGTCTATTTCCATTCCTCAGAATTCGGTGCTGGTGTAGAAAATCATGTCCTGGTTTCTGGAGTTCTTTCGATTCTTGTTATGCGCAGCCTCTGTTGAGTACCTGAATCAGGTAAAGTCATGACTGTGTATGAGTACCGTTGTCTGATCGACAAGCCTTTGCGAAGGTGAAACCAAGAACAAACACCAATTGTACAAACCTAAAGAAGAGGATCTTACAGTCGATCGGGTGGGGATGACGCGGCTGTGCACTAAGATTGGATCCTGTCCATGCCCCAACACATCCGCTTGGCCCCCTGAAGAAACGCCTGGAGTAACCTCAGCCGTTGGCCCAGGGAGGCTGTCGTTGCATCGACATACATAGGAGTATCGTAGGCTTCAAGGCCCCAGAGTTGCCCATCAAGCCCTGCCATTCATCTGATATAATGCACATATGATTTGACAGGCGAATCAAAGAACCCCCTGACTTGTCCTTAGCCCCAATCTTCCCCATCTGCTTCCAATTCCCGGCCTCTGAGCGCCCGAGACACAAACTTGGGGGGTGGTGCTTGTCCCTTGGCCAAGTCCCAGTCTTGATTGTTAGGGACGACACCATCTTTTCTCCAGGCGAAGAAAGATATCCGCACGCGGCTTCAGACTTCCCCTTTGCCTGCAACTCCCTTTCTTACGGTATACCAACTCACTCCTCACTCACTCACTATCATTCATTCGGCTTCTTCTTCTAAGCTATCCTATTCCTTTGATCTTCAGCAGTACATTTACATTCCTCCGCTACAACTTTCTCTATTCTCTTTGACAGGGTCCCTCACCTTCTTCTCCCTGCCACGCTTTCCAACCTTCCTGCACGCGACGAAGCCAAACTCATTTCCGCGGATCGTCTTTGACTTCTGTCATACTCCAGCTTCCTATTTCAATTTCAATAACATCCTCTCTTCTTAGACGATTCCCAAGCAAGAGTACCGAGATTATCTTCACCTTTGACGCGATCAATACTACCACCATCGCCGAAAAGCTCACGCGTGCAACAGATGATGCTGTTGCCCCCTTAGACCACCACGAACCTCTGTGACCTATTTCCCAAGTCCAACACACGCTTCTCCCTCAAACCTGTGCATCCTCCACTAAAATGCACTCTAAGATTACCAGCGCGGTCGTTCTGACCTCTCTCGTCTCTGCCACAAATGCCTTCGTCCCTTTCAAGATCAAGCCTCTTCCAGCCGACTTCGACACACGCGTCTGGTCACCTCTCACAACCATCACCCCTGCCCCTTCTACGGCTTCTGCCATTCCCTCTGAAGAAGTCACTCCAGCCCCTGCGCTGATCTCGATAAACGATGAAAAGATTCTGAATATACAAACTGTGGCCAATGCGGAGCCTGACTCCGACCTTCGCAAGCGACAAGGTGTTCAGCAAGCAGTTCCCCCTGTTTTCTCTCAAGTATCACCTATCACGACCTATCAAATTGATTTCGCCCGGAGTGGTTCGGTGAGACAGCTCACCGTTGTTTATACTCAAACCTTTAATCCAATCCCCGATCAGTGGCCTAGCCCAACGCTTACGGGCTCCATCGGCATGGGAACGATTACAGGCCAAATCGGTGTCGTTAAAACAAAGAGAAGTTTACCAACCCAAGCGCCAATGGGCTCTCCACCAAACTCCATCCCAACCGAGAAGGTCCCGGCACACGAGACCACTACTGAAGAACAACTGCTGCAACTCCTTCACAAACTTCGCAAGGCTGGTGAAGAGGCAACGGGTGAATTTTCGACTCTTGTCGCAAAAGTCAAGACACCATCCCTGAAGGAAATCGAGGACGAGATCGCTACTCTTGTCCACAAGATCAAGAAGCCTTCTCTTAATGAATTTGAGGAAGGACTTACTTCACTCTTGCATAAAGTCAAGAAGCCCTCGTTCAAGGACATCGAACAGGACATTGTGGCCATTGCCAAAAAGCTTCGTCTTCCAGGCTCAAAACAAGCCTTGGGCTCAAGTTCCAGCACCGACTCCAACAACAACAACAACGCACCATTCAACTTCGGACCTAACAATGCTGATAAACCTACAGTCAAGGACTCCCAGTCATTTTCCTTTGGATCTGATTCTGACGAACCAATGAACCTTGAACCGGAACAACGCGTCAGCGAGAATAGCGCACCAATGACAAGAACCGGAGGTCTTGCAATGCTGGCACTGGTAGCAAGTTCCCTCTTCTACTACCATCTATGATGTCTTTTCTTTTGTATTATGGATTTGATGGATCACGGCGTTTTATGGTCAGAGGCAATTATTGATTGCTATGGAATATTACGTCTGAACTAGAAGGATGAGATGTCTCATTAGGTAGACAAAGGGAGTTTATTCACCGGATTTTTTGGGTGTTGAAATGAGACAACAGCTCACGGGGTGCGAATGCTTTGAACATTGTCACACTGATGTACAGGATGTGATGGATCCAATCTTTGTTGGAAATCCAGGCGGTTCTGTCTGCCTTTTGCGAGTCAAAGGCAACTAGCTAGCATTAGGTGTCTGGGGCACTTTGGTGGGAACTATTGGTTAGCTAGCACGGGTCGATACCTATTTACTTTAGTACAATACTACGGATTCGGATCCAATTCTAACATATACACCTACACGAAAGATTGAATCATAGTTTTATATTGTACACCATGGGCATTGTATGGTTGAATCTGGGAAATACCTGTATCCACCAGGATTTCTACTATCCCCCCATAAGGGATTTTGAGGTGCTAAGTAGGTATTTTAATCATACAGTTTTGCCCAATCTGGAATCAAGACCAACTTTCGACGCACTTGACCCAAGGAATAGGTCTTTCCGATAGTTGGATCACCCACATCCTCATCCTCATCTCCTTGCTCATCTGTATTCGCGGCATCGGTCCCCTCTGCCTGCTGACCATTCCCGTCGCCACTTCCACCCTCGTTCTTAACAATGGTTGAAAACCCTGCATTACCACTGTCCTCCTTTTTAGTCTTTCCTGCCGAGGACACCGGAGGCTCAATCAATACAACATCCTGTAAGAAATCGACTTCTGTGCCGTATCGGACTTCCATATCGGTACCGCCCCAGTCGAGACTGACTTTGCCGGATTTATGGAGACGAAGTTTACCGACGAGACCGGATGGGAGACGAGCTGGTTCAGTTGCTGTAAGTAGGCCGTCGGGAGGGAGGGGACGATCAGGGCCAGTGCCAGTGCCAGTTTTGGGGTCTGAATCTTTGGCTGCGCTGGCCGTCGATGGTGGAGGGTGGGTTTGGTCGTCACGAGGCTCTTCCTTGACCTGTGGCTGCGATGGCGGCTCGTGCCGCGAATCGTGGAGATATGGAGTCAAGGCTGGGAGTTGGAATAGAAGGAGATTCTGGCTGGAATAGTCCATATCTGCCTCAAGATCCATTGTTTCGTCTTCATCGTCTTGTTTGATTTTATTAGATGATGACGATTGACCGCGAGAACATCGATATTGGGTCTGGGGGTCGTCAGAGAATGTTTGTCGAAGTTTGAAAACATCGTCAGCGAGACGTAGTCGTTCAGCTCGTTCTTCGATCGTTTCGCTAGCGAATTTCACTTCACGCCCTCTTCCGGATCCTTTTCTTAGACTGCGTCGTCGTGTTTCTGGGCTGGAGGTTCGTTCTTTACCGAGAGATGTGGTGGTGGTAGGGTCGTCGATGTCCATGACATCTTCGTCTTCCACGCCTTGTGGCTCGGAATCGGTCTTCTTGAGAGCTCGGCTTTCTCTTCTGTTCTTGGCTGCAATTTGTTTCTCTTCTTCTCGAGGTGCTCGAGGAGCTCGCACAGGCCGTAGTCCAGCGGCTACTTTGCGATGTGTCAGAGGGGACTTTCGCTTGGATCGGTCATCGAGGACGGGGTCTTCGTTTTCATCGCCGGATAAACAGATCCTGTCAATGTCTAGCTTAGATTCTTCAGGTTCGTCGTCAGAGCCGATTTCGATGCTCTCGCCTGTCAAGGGTTTGACGGCGCCGCCGCGGCTCCCTGACCCTGAGGCAGTACCGCTCGCCCCCGAGACACCATCTGCTGTCCTTGATTGTCCTGTCCCATCACCCGCCTGTCCACTGACCAGCATTTCTCCAACTCCACCAGAGATGATCTTTGGTCGAGTGTCCTGTTGTCGAACGGTCGCACCAAAGACACCACCTCCAGAGCCTGGAGGGACATCCCTGCCTCTTGAGTCTTGCGTGGCTGCTCCATCTCGACCGCCTCGTCCTCTCAATCCTGCTCGGCCTCCTCTTGCTCTCGTCCCGCCTCGTCCACCCGCACCCCTCGCGGCTTCGGCGGTCCTAGCAGCTTGTCGCTCGGCTTCTTGTTTGGCATATTGTTCTCTTTCTTCTTTGGTCTTGCGCTGGATGCCCGCTCGGGGTTTGGCACCCCGGGCTCGGGTTGAGGCTGTCTTGGGTGTCGACGAGGAAGCCGAGGGAGTCTCGTCAGCCATTGAGGGCTGGGTGACGTTGCTTCGTGTGGTTCGATAATCACAGTGCCTTGTAGTAGATGGTATTCATGACATTGGTATGTGATAGAGTGAGCTTCAAGCGAGATGGCAGGAATTAAAGAAGTCTAGGAATTGTAGCCGGGGTGAAGTAATAATGGTCTAGGAGAATCTGTGAGAGAATTGAGGCTAAGTGTCTGTCAATGATGCTGTCTGTGTGGACAAATTCACACGATGAGAGTGAATTGCATGTTCGACAGTTCAAGAATTAAGCTGAATAGAGTGTTGTCGTGGACAATTCGATTCAGTGAACAAGACTCCATCAACAGAAAAGTACATGGTTTTTGGAGGCCAAACATTTTCACTGTCATGACCGTCCATCTTCTGTCCACCACAGTAACTCTATGAGGGGTTGATCCGAAGTTTAACCGACTCCGCAGCCTTGTCGTCACCCAGAGATATCTCGGCGTTCAGCCTTGTCACTCTGGGTCACATGCCATACCCCGTTATTGGACAGCCTTGTCAGCCTTGTCAGCCTTGTGCCTATTTATCGACCAATAAGCATATAACCCATCGCGGGACAAGTTCTAGATATTGAGCCTTTCTCATTTCATACACTCGTAGAAGTTACTTATATGACGTCCAAAAACTAAATGTGCCTTGCTCCGATGGATGGTGTCAGAAATTCGACGCAGCAACTCACAGTAGGACACAATCCCAAGCATCTTTCCCATGCGCCAGAAACAAAGTCTTACCTTCAATCTGGGTTCCTGATAAGACAAAGACCGACAACAGCTAACCACAAAAGAAAACCCTCGAGTCATCATTTCTGGCAATCTCGTTCTGTCCAGGTCCGAGAGTGAGGATCTCGCGACCCGTAATAGTCCTTCCAATTTGCGGCGCTGCATGTGCTTCCGTTCTATTTCCTTCTCCCGTAATAGCTCCCAGTTCTCTCCAAGTAAGCCGCCGAACTTTTTGTGAAATCCAGTGCGCATTCGGCTCAATGCCGCCGTCACCTCTTTCTTTTTTTGCTTTTGTCAGGGCTCCCCACGGAATCGATGAGGGTGGCTTCGTTGGAGATAAACTCTGTCGCAGCAACGCTGCCGTCATCGGACGCGGTAAACTCGGCCTTTGCGACCGGAACACCAACCCATCGTCCGTATCGACCTTTGCGGCCGTTGCCTTCGTCCTCACTGACACATCCGTCAATGCCAATCCCGGCGTCTTTGCAACGCTGGCAGGGACGCTGCCGATCGCAGCCTTTCTTACTTTTGCGGCATCGTTGGCAGCGAGGTTTTGAGGAGAGGTCCTCTTCATCGGCCCCAAGCTGATGCTGGAAATTGATGCTTGACCCAGAGCTCTTGCGAGCCTGGCCCGTGGAAGCTGGGGCGGTGGGTGCCTTCATCAATCCAGGCTGCACAGGTTGCTTTGGTGGCTTAGGCATGCCAGTTGAACGAGCCTTGCCAATCTTGGTAGACTTTGTGATGGAATTCGACTTTGGCCGATAGCCATTAGTCGGACCATCGTGCAGCTTGGTCTTGATCTTCTTGGTCTTTGGGGGTCCATCGAACTCGTCGTGATCACGAGTAGAGTCATCATGGTCATAGTCCTCCCCCTCATCTTCGAGGTACTTGCTGTACTTTGTTTGACCACCTTCTGCGTCGCTATACTCATCGCTGTCGCTGGTTGCTCCTGTAGAAGAAGCTGCATCGGCAACACCACTAAAGGTTTCGTCAATGGTCGAGTTGGACGTTCTTCCATGAGAGTAGTTGGATGCATCACCAAGGGCGATCAACGTGCGGGCAACATCTTCATCAGAGATGCAGCTGGCCACAGTCGGGTCGGGGGTTGGCAAAACCCCACTGGACGAATAGCCCTGTCTGCTGTTGTATCCAGATTGACGATCACGCAGTCTATGACCATGCTGCGGAACTGGAGTGGTAACATTGTCATTGGCACATTCAATTTTTGCCTCGTAATTGTGGACATTCTGTGCGTTGCTTTGAGGAGTCAACACTGGGATTTGTTCAATGCCATAAAGCTTTTGAGCTGGAGGCCTGAATGGAGACGGCGCTTCTTGTACAAGAGATCGTCGTTGAGGGCTGATGGACGATTGGGAGGCAGTCACGGGGACTTGAGGAGGCAGGTAAAGGGGCAAGGTCTGTTGCATGGTCAGCGAAAGAAGGATGGAGAACATGCCACAACACTTACAGAACTGTCAAATATGGCCTGGCCACGTCTGCCATCTTGCAGAACATTAGCCGTGCTGATATCCGAGCTGGCAAATTGTTCGCTCTTAGCCTTCCTTGAGCCTGAGACGGAGCTGCGGCCAGCTTCACTATCGCTGTAACCGTTGTCCCCATTACAACTGCCGCTGGCACTGGAGCCACGGCTGATAGTAGGGTGAGGGTTTCTCTTCTGTTGCGACGCACTTCTCCGGCCACGGCCTTGGGTGGGAGACGCACTTCGCTTCCGGGCGAGGCGAGAAGAGGGCCGAGAAGGCGAGTGAGACTGTTCTCGCAGATGAGGAGGGAACACCTGGAAAGGCTCGCCCAGGCTTGGACGACGGCGGGTGTCATGCGAATTGTCGTTGAAGTAAGCGCCATTTGTGTGGGCATTGGACGGCTGTGCTCGCACATAGACAGTGGAATTGGATTTGAGATTGTCATGTGATGCGATCAGAGTATTACCCCAAGAATCTTCAAAGCTTACCCCATGGCCATCGTATATACCGTAGAAGTTCTTTACGGTAGTGATGATGGACTCTGTGCTGTCGTGGGTGTTGAGCACCACACGCAAGGGGATTCTTGCCCTGGTCTTTGAGCCTTCATCCAGCAAGAGTTCAAAAGTGATTGACTTTGCAGATGGCATGTTGGGAACAAATTTCTCCTCTTTTGACAGCAGGCTGGAGATCTGCATTGCACGTAGCAAAGGATGTAGGATAGGAAGGCGACCCTGGGGGTGGCAGCACGCTCAGCCAAGCGCTGTCCGATGTTCGCAGGCTGTTCGCAAACAGGAGGAAACAGGTTAAGTTGTCTCCACTGTGGAAAATCTGATGAAGAAGGAGTCAGCTACGGCCAAGTACATGTGAGATGATAAAATGAGGACCATGTCCTTGTGGTGGGTGCCGGGGCAGGGTTGGGGCAATGGATTGGGGTACTGGTCAGTGGTAGCTGTAGGGCACGATGGGGTAAGCTTACCGATAAAATTGAGTTATGGCAACAGTCGCCGACTCGAGCGAGAAGAATGTGAGTAGTTTTGAAGTATGAAAGGCCAGCGGAAGTGCTGTGGTTGTGCGATCCGGTTCTACCGTGCAGGCATGACCGAGGGTCAGAGCATTGGACAGGAAGGGTGTCAGGTGGAAAAGAAGGACAGAAAAGAAGTAGAAGATGCTGCTATGTCCGATTAGATGATTGAACAAATGCACAATGGATCATAGGAGAATCATGGCGGATCCAAGAATGATGGGTTGGACGAGGAGCAGTGGTGGTCGGAAGGAAGAGAAGAGGTGAGGTCTGAAATCCGTAGTAGTCAGTAGACTGTCTGGAGGCACTGCAAGGCAAGGCAAGGTGCAAAGACGAGGATGGATGGATCCTGGCTTGGGCTCTGAAACGGGACCCACCCTGGCCGATCTGGCTGTTTCTTTGACCCAATCCAATTGCTGGCGGCCGGTCAACCAGAGAGAATTTTAACTGAGATACGGATCAAGTAAGACGAGTCGCACAAGAATGTGTGGCTCGGAAAAGTGAAGAAAGTACAGAAGAGTGATCTGGTTGAAAAGGGTTGAGAGGATCCAACCCGCAGGATGAGGGCGCGAACAAAGGCCTGTAGGGGAAACGCCAATGCGACTTATCTAACTACTACTACTACTACGACAGAACCAGAACCAGACAGAAAGACACGGGCAGGGCATATGGAGGGTTGCGATTTGTGCAGAAGCAACCACTGCTTAGGAAGCGACCAAACGAACCACTGCCAGCCCAAGCGATCCTTGAGAGCCTCGCTGGCTAAATGAGATCTCGAGGGTCTCGCTAAGCAGCCAAGTTACCTAATAATGGGAGACTGCACTAAGATAGAAAGAAGATGGATGGGAGTTGTTGGGTGTTGGCAAAGTCTCCCTTCAGCGGTCCGACTGGAAGCTTACAGGTTGACTAGAGAGAGTTCATTCACGCATTCAAAGTGAACTGATAGCGCTTGTTTGGCCTGAGCCAATAATGAGAAAACGAGGACCCGAAGCGGTGTCGTTGCCAGCCATTGGGACATGGCAGCTGATAGATTCGCACATTAGCACGCACCGGACGCGCACGGCGCAAGGAATCGACAAAGGCAAAAGCACAGTTACCAGTCAGCAGTCAGCAGAGGACACTCGATGGCGGGGACGCCTACGACAGTCTTGGGACCAGACTTGGACCAGACCTGGACCAGGTGCGCCATGCCACCCACACAGAAATCAGGATGCCAAAGACCAGCGACTCAAAGACCAGACAAGCAGGACCCCTCACCCACCAGGACCTCTAGATGGCACACCCGCAACCCATCACATCCACACCTTGGCGGCCAATTATTCTCCATGGCGGCGGGCTCGGGCTGTTAGGCTTGGGTCTGTTGGCCGATTCAGCCCAACGTCAGACCAGCACCAGCACCAGGGCCCAGAGAGGTAGCCCCCGGGGTCCATCTCCACCACACAAGTGTGTACACACGACAGTAAACTTCTATCCGTCCAAATATCCTCTCTTGTCATGTCGACCGACCTTGGATATCTCTTGGGCTAATCTATCGCCAGGCGTGCAATGTATTTTCTCGCCGAGTGGCAGTGATATTGGTGCGAAAGCCCGGCGGCAAAGATCTTGTCTAGGAAGGGAAAGGCCAGGCTTTTAGCCCTACTGTTAGCCTGTCAGACCCCGTCACATCCCGTCATGTCATGCTCTGCCCGCCCACACTGACCTGACGGGCCTCGCATTACCCAGGCACATACTCTGTAGGCACGCAGGTGCCAGGTCACCGCACTATTTGAAAAGGTGATATTATGGACAAATACTCCGTACACTGGGTCAATTGGGCGGACACGGCAGGTTACCTGGGCCATCTCGCTATAACATTAATCATAGTCATAATTAGAAGCAAGTCTTCAACTCTAACTCCCTCTGCCTTTTGCCTTCTCCTTTGCTGCCTTGGCTTCAACCGCCAACTTTGAGCCACCCAATCTCGCATCCTCCGATCCGCCTGGCGCAATACGCGCACGTGCAGTCAAGCTCGTGCAGATTCACATATCCTCGGCGGCTGTCATTCCTATTTATGAGACATTGCAAATCGCCGTCCAGCAACAATCTGACTTCCAATAACAACCCGCCTTGCCGCACATCCCCACATTCCCAAGTTTCCATGACGAATCCACGGGCCACTTTGAAGCCTAGCAGTAAGCATCCGGCATCCCCCTTTACGATCATCATTATGCGCAGTTGGTGCAGTGCAGAGGCCATACCTACCTAGGTACTGATAGGTAGAATTGCCAAACCGTCAACACCAGGGGCCTTGCCTGTTTCGCAGGAGCCTTCCCTCTTTCGTACAACTTGCTTTTTCATGGTCTTTCCCCTGTAGCAGTTACAGTCGATCCTGGTTGCGATAAGACGCCAAAGCAGCTCAATCAGTCTTCATCTGAAACTAAATGTGAGGTATATCAAGTCGCAGCGAATGCCATTCTGCTCATTTTGGCCGATGGTGTAACCTGCGCACCAATCTTTCCACGAAAACCACCTAAGCTTGTACTCGCAACTGTTGACTAGAAAGCACGTGGGTTAAAACATGCTGACCGCGCCTGAGTCAACTGCCTCCTCACGCCAGGAATGGAGAGCAGCGCAAGCGTATGACTTGTGCGATCGCATCAAGGATGAAACTACTAGACACAGGTCGACCACCTCCCCCTTCGCACCCGACTGACAACCTGCACCAATCACCTGAGGAAACAGACTCACGCTTCCATCAGACTGACCTGGGGGGTTGAGGAAGGATGCATCCGCGGTATTCCGTGTACAATGTCACGCAGGAACATTATGTCCCTACGATTCAAATCTGACTACGAGAGTTTTGTGGGAAACCTCCTTCGGAAAAGAAGAAAGACAACATTGTTCCGAACCAAGTGGTTTCTCCGGTTCTCGGTCACGTGTCGGCGCGTTCCGCCCGTCGCGTCGACGTCATAATGTAAATATTGGAGCTATGACCACAACCAGGCCACCCGTGAAGCCATCGTTTTTCATGTAAAACAATCAACGCTGTCATGAGCCAGCACTCGAGTTTGGTTTGTAGAGTTGACCAGCAAGGTACGTGGTTAGTCAAAATAACATTTTGGTCAAATCCTGGAGGACGTGTTGTTGACGTTGTAATAGAGCAAGGATAGCGGGCTTGGCGCGACGCAGCTCAGCCGAGTCCACTACACCCGAATAAGATTAGTACCGAATGCCCGTGCTAGCCATTCACGCTGCAGCTGCCATCCGCTTTTGTTTACCAAACTCTACCTCATTTCCAATGTTGTGATTTCACGGTTGCTAAGGCCACATTATGCCATGAAGTTTACACAAGCCTAGCTTCTGCATTGATACACAACCCTGCCGGCTGGCCTTCTTCTTCCTCCCATCTACCTTTCTTTCTCTGTATCCGCTACCACCGGTAATGACCCAACCTTCCTCACGTCTCAACAATAAAGGGGCGCGACTCCTCGATCTTGAATGATCTAGGACTGTCCTCCTCGGCGCCCGGTGTACCTCTTCGAACCTCCGACTTGGTGGGGTTTATTTGCCATGATGGACATCAAGGTAGCTTCATTCCGCATCCAGCCTGTGACAGCCTTGATCCGATCTTCCCCTGACTGCCTGCCCAAGCAACCATCAAATTTCAATACTGACCATCCATCTGCGACAGGCTTCCCGTCCAATGCGTAGTCTACGCGTCAGAAACGATGAAAATATCCCTCCTGAAGGACACGTTCTCAAGACACTTCATCAACGCAACAAGTCGAGTCCTGCTCTCACCACAGCCTCCACCGGCTATGGATTGAAAGTTGCAGCCAAGCGAACTGTCTTCGGAGACGTCAGCAATGTTGCTGCTGGCCGACCCAGTAAAGATGACTCTTTGTTGCAATCCAAAACCTCCCTGTACCCTTCTACAAAGCCTCTGCCTCCCCTGCACGAACACAAATCAGCTCGTCTATTGCAGCCCGCCCAGAGACCTACTTCTTTATCCGCTCTGAAGTCCTTCCTTCCGGGCGGAAACAATGACAAGGCAGCCACCCTCCTTAAATTGGCCCCTGTCGAAAACCCTACAGCTCTTCCTCAGCCAACGAATGCAAGAAGATTGACTAAACGAAACACAACCATATTCAAGGACACATCCGCCGTTGAAGAAAATGAGGTCTCTCAAACGACAAACACCATCAACCAAAAGGTCCCAAACGTCGATTTGACCAAGTTGGAGCATGACCTTCTTCCCCTGCGTCCAGCTTTGGAGATTCAAGACATCATTGAGCCTATCAAGGTGGACAATGAAGTGCAGTGCGAGACTAGTCTTCCAAGCATGGATGAGGTTCACCTTGATCCGCCTCATCTGTCTAACGACGTGGTCAATTACAGCTCCCAATTACCCACGGCAAACCCGGAACCAACAAAAGCCCAGAACATGTTGCCAGTGTTTAGCCGAGAGCCTCGTCACCCCCTGGTGACACTGCCTCGCGTGGGTGAAGTTCATGTGGTGACAGCTGAGCAAACAGATGTCGACGTATCCAACTTTGCTCACCCATCAAGCAACCTCGCCTCCGTGAATTCTCAGATGCCTTACGACCAACAACTGGCGGAACCTGAAGAATACTGGGACGAAGAGGATGAGGACAATTACGAAGAAGAAGGATTCGTCACCGCCAGATCATTCAGATCCAAAGGCGACAACACAACAGGAGGCGTGTCAGCCGTTTTGTTTCCACAGGTCAACAACCGTGTTCGCAAGGAGCTTGCTGCGGCCAAACAACTTGTTGATGCCACGCGATCCCCGGAAGAGGTGGAAGACGAAAGTTACGATACCAGCATGGTTGCAGAATACGGGGACGAAATCTTTGCTTACATGCAAGAGCTTGAAGTCAAAATGCTTCCGAATGCGCATTACATGGACAACCAGCATGAGATCCAGTGGTCGATGCGATCTGTATTGATGGATTGGCTGGTCAAAGTCCACCATCGTTTCAATCTTCTTCCTGAAACGTTGTTTCTCTGTGTCAACTACATCGACCGATTTCTCTCAAACAAAGTTGTGTCCCTGGCCAAACTACAACTCGTTGGAGCTACTGCCATCTTCATCGCTGCCAAGTATGAAGAGATCAACTGTCCATCAGTGCAGGAGATTGTCTACATGGTGGACGGTGGCTACAGTGTGGACGAAATCCTCAAGGCTGAGCGCTTCATGCTGACTATGCTGCAATTTGAGCTTGGCTGGCCAGGTCCGATGAGTTTCTTGCGGAGGATCAGCAAGGCCGACGACTATGACCTGGAGACTAGGACATTGGCCAAGTACTTCTTGGAGGTCACACTGATGGATGAACGTTTCATTGGCAGCCCGCCCAGTTTTACCGCTGCAGCCTCGCATTGTCTCTCGCGGTTCATGCTTCGTAAAGGAGTCTGGGTAAGATTCTCATCATCACACTAGACATCTCTCAATTGCTAACTGTTCTAGACTGCGCACCACGTCTATTATTCAGGGTACACCCTTTCTCAGCTGAAGCCTCTACTCAACCTCCTTTTGGAGTGCTGCGAGGATCCCCGCAAGCATCACACAGCTGTGTTTGAGAAATATCAAGACAAGCGGTACAAGCGGGCGGCAGCATTCGTTGAAACCGAGATGCAGCGCGGCTTCCAACTGCCTGACGCTGGGGCGGTCGGTCAATTCCAGCAAGCCCATGTGATCCAATACTATGACAGTGTCTCATACTTTCGGCCATGAGAACAATAAACAATCACCATACATGAAGCACCATGTACAATGGCCTCTAGCCACCCAATCAACTTGAAACTGACGAACCTTCTACATGGTCCAGGGGTTCCCAATGTGTGAACCAATCCTCTGCTCCAGACCACACAGCATTGAATCTCTCTTGGTAGAGGGCTCTTCCAACAAGGAGGAGCGTTTATGAGAACGTACGAAGTCATGACCAACTAATTCAGCATAATTTGCATCGTGCAGGGAGAAGGAGGGGACTTGTGTAGTCCTGGCGTCTTGATGTCATAATAATTGGAGCGAGCGCCGCGACGGAATTGTCCCTTGGACGGCGCAGTAATTCGAAGGGGTCGATGCACGTCTTTTCATAGTGGACATGCATCTTGATAGCACCAGCAATAGAGTTGTGCTAATGTGCTGATGTCTGATGCCTGAGGCATGGAGAGTTGATTATTAGCGTGTGCTCAAAATGAAACAGCAATCAAAGATTCAATTCCGGCTTTTCTATGGTTCCATCCCATCTCTCCAACATGCATACGTGCTGCTACATCAATGAGCCCATCCGGCGAGTTCACTGTCACCCCGTGATAGAAGACTGGATGTGTGCTGGCGTCTTAAGTTGGTTGTTCCGCCTTGAAATCAGAAGTGGCAACTTCGCCGAGCGGTCAATATTTTCTTGGAGTTTCCAACGACCTTGTGTGACAATGGACTTACACGTTCTATATCTTCGCTTGCGATTGGTTCTTCACAAAGAAAGGTACCCAGGTTCATCTTCGAAGCAATTGGGATGTTCACCGTTCGTTCTGCACTATGATAACTGGGAGAACAGGTTCAGGCGACTCAGGCGTCACTCTGGTCACGTGCCGCTAGAACCTCAGTGACGGAGGTCCGCCCAGAAGTTCGACAGACACTCCTGGCCTCGCTGGCACCCAGCATATCGCAGGGAACTTGGATCTAAAGATAGACGTCAAAAGTCAATGGCACCCAAAAAGGGCACTGGCTCAAAAAATGCCCAGAGTAAGAAGCCCAACAATACGGTTCCAGACAGCGATCATATTGTCTTCAGCAACCGGCAAGATGACAAGAGAAAGAAGGACCAGAAAGAGTCGGAAGGCCCACCGAGACCCGACACCAAGAAAATCATTGGCGGAGCAAGCTGGAGTAAGTTGAGCAGACCATTTTCAGTCCGCACGAGCAAAATGCTGATTTTGAGTCCAAAGCTGGAAAACTCCCAGTAAATCTCCTCTCGGAGCATTGCCAGAGACAAAAGTGGAACAAGCCAGACTACCACAGCAAGCAAGTCCCATCTGGGGGTGGAGACGGAGAGAAATTGTTCAGAGCATGGGTCACTCTATCGAAGAGCGATCCCAAAACGAGAGAGATCACTAGACTCCCACCCTTCCAGCTCCCACCCGAGAATGCAAGTCTTGCAGATCAAGCCACCGCTCTCGAAGCCAGACATTTCGCCGCGACATATGCTCTGTACAGAGTGTCCAGCATGAAGAACATCTCGATGATCCTGCCGCCAAAGTATCGCGATCTGTGGAAGGGCGAATTCCAGCGTTTGAAAGAAGACGACGTGAAACAAGACCGGGGCTGGAAATATGACGCCGATCCATTTGCCGCAGATGTCAAACGCCAGGAAATCAAAGCTGCCATGGAGAAACGCCGACAGGAGCAAGCTGCACAACCTCCAAAGGTGGAGGCACTTACGCTCGTTCAGCCCGGTGGCGAATCCAGGACGCCGACCAAAACATGGGACTATGTGCCAAAGTTGGAACTGGGAGAGGCTATCCGTACCCGGATAGAAGCGGCGATTCGATCACGTAGTCTCTGGAACCCAAATGCGATGCAGATGTCTGCCTCTGAGGCAAGTCTCGTTCTTGCAGACTTGATCAAATCAGGATTCAAACCTGCCCACGTCGAAGAGGCTATTAGCTACTGCGGTAGCCGACGAGAAGTTCTGGAATGGCTCTTGATCCATGTACCCGAGGACTCCTTGCCAGAATGGAGCTTTCCACCTGGATACACTGCAGGAGTCAGCCTAGTGTCTAGCGACCTTGCTACCGATGGAAAGATCAAGCGCATGGCTCAAGCCGGATATTCCAGCCAATTGTGTGTGCAAGCCTTGCGGGACAATAAAGGCGATGAAGTTCTTGCGTTGGAGGCGCTCCAATCGAGGCTCGTGCCACCTCCCCATAGCGAAAACCAGCCTGGAGGGTCCCGCGAGGAGGATGTTTGGTCCGAGGAGATGACCACGCTGAAAGCAATCCTGGATGATCGACTCACTCTCCACAGTCCTAATCATTGTTCCATTACCTCTGAGGAGAACTCTTCTATATCGGCAATATACCACTTTCGTCGCCCAAGCCACGGCTACCCGTTTTCACACGCTCCAGTGTTTTCTCTCGAAGCGCCAAAATTACCAGGATACGTACGGCTCAGTGTACTGAAACAATGCGTGCAATACGCTCAGAAGGATTTGTTGGGCGAGCAGATGATATTCAGCCTTTTAGAATGGCTCGAGATTTCTACCGCCGATATAATCCACAACCCTGGACGTCTAGCTGCCTTGGAAATCAATTCTTCATCATTAAGCGTTCAAACCTCTTCCTCTCCCACCTCAACCGAAATCAACCAACAACGATCTCGCACCAGCAATTCCACCCGGAACGGCGGCGGCTCCTACGGACGAGATATTCGCACCAACGCAGCCATCCTCCAAGACTGGCGTACCCGCCAGGAAACAAACGCCCAGATCAAGATGAATACATCTCGCCACAAACTCCCCGCATGGGCGAAACAAGATTCAATCGTCGACATCATCTCACACCATCAAGTCGCACTCATCACCGGTGAAACTGGCTCAGGAAAAAGTACACAAGCTATCCAATATGTGCTGGACAATGCAATCCAATCGATGAAAGGCTCATCCACAAACCTCCTTTGCACACAACCCAGACGTGTCGCGGCCTTGTCATTATCTGAACGAGTCAGTGCCGAAAGATGTGGCGTTGAAGGCCATGAAGTAGGGTATAGCATTCGAGGGGCATCGAAGGTGTCGAGGACGACGAAAATCACTTTCATGACAACTGGTGTACTGCTCCGGCGTCTTCAAGGCGCGAAGACAGTTCAAGCGGCGTTGGCGGACGTGAGCCATGTCTTTGTCGACGAGGTACATGAACGGTCTTTGGATACAGATTTTCTCCTCGCCTTGTTGAGAGATGCGTTGCCGGCTTTGCCAACCCTTAAAGTCGTTCTGATGAGCGCGACATTGGATGCAGATGTGTTTGCCAGTTATTTCGGTGGAGATGCCGTGGGGAGAGTCCATATCGAGGGACGGACGTTCCCCGTACAGGATCTCTATCTCGACGACATCGTGCGGCTGACTCAAATGCCTGGCCCCGCTGGTGGCTTGCCCACCGATCAGGACAGTCCAGATGATGTTTCTATCGGCAGAGCAATCCAGGCATTAGGCAGCGGCGTCAACTACGATTTAATCACCCGACTCGTGAACCACATCTCAAGCGACTTGGGCCCATCATCCGGCGGAATCCTGATCTTCTTACCCGGGGTCCTTGAAATCGACCGGTGCGTACGCGCACTCGGCAAACTGTCAGGCATACATGCATTACCACTCCACGCATCATTGACGCCAGCAGAACAACGTCTCGTATTCCGCAGCCCGCCCTCCGGAATGAGAAAAGTCGTTGCCGCCACAAATGTGGCCGAAACATCTATTACTATTGAAGACATCGTGGCCGTTATTGACACAGGCCGCGTCAAAGAAACATCCTACGATGCTGTCTCCAACATCGTGCGTCTACAGGAGGTATGGGCGTCTAAAGCTGCATGTAAACAACGACGTGGTCGGGCTGGAAGAGTTCGGGCCGGGAAATGCTATAAACTCTTCACGCGAAATGTCGAGGCGGCTATGGCTGCGGCGCCTGCGCCGGAGATGCATCGTACGCCGTTGGAACAGTTGTGTTTATCGGTCAAGGCGACGGGTGCGGATCGTGATGTTGCGGAGTTTCTGGCTCGTACTATCTCGCCTCCGGATAGAGGGGCGGTTGCTATGGCTCTCAAGACTTTGGAAAGGGTTGGCGCACTTGAAAATAACCAGCTTACGGGTCTCGGGACTTACATGTCGATGATTCCTGCGGATCTGAGGTGTGCCAAGTTGATCATCTACGGCGTCTTGTTCGAGTGTGTCGAGACGTGTCTGACGATTGCAGCTATTCTATCCACCAAAAATCCCTTTGTGTCGCCTCAAGATAAGCGGGAGGAGGCTAAAGAGGCGCGTCTTTCCTTTCCAACTGTCGATGGTGATCTTCTCCTGGCCAGTACCGCCTTCGATCAGTGGAAACAACAATCGTCTGTCCTTCGACACCGAGACCTTCAAACTTGGTGTTCTGCCCGATTCCTTTCCCTGCAAACACTACGCGACATAGACTCGACCCGACGACAATTGCTTGACTCCCTGATCGAGGCGGGTCTGCTATCCTCGGGCTATTCGACGGATGCTACAATGCATAATCGTCATAATTCAAGCACAATGCTTCTCCGGGCCGTCATTGCAGGTTCGCTCAATCCTCAAATCGCGCGTATCCAAATGCCAGACAAGAAATATATCGCGTCCATGAGCGGCGCCAAAGAACTCGACCCGGAAGCCAAGACGATCAAATACTTCACTGAGGACAACGGCCGTGTCTTCGTCCACCCAAGCAGTGTCTTATTCGACGCCCAGTCCTTCTCCGGCGCGGCGACCTTTGTCAGTTATTTTACCAAAATGGCCACTTCCAAAACTTTTATGCGCGACTTGACACCCCTCAATGCGTATGCATTGTTGTTATTTGGTGGGAAGATCGAGGTCGACACCTCTGGCTTGGGTGTGGTCGTCGATGGCTGGTTCAAATTGAAGGGCTGGGCAAGGATTGGAGTCCTTGCGAGTAGGTTGAGGGTTTTGCTAGACGATGAATTGAAGACCAGAATCGACGCCTCGGGGACCCCTGAGGATGAAGGTACGGTTTTCGATATCGTCAGACACTTGGTGGAGTTGAATGGGCAGGACAAATAGATCGCCAGTCGGGTACCAGATGAATCTCATGGCCCTGATGAAAATGCTGCTGCCGTTGTTATTGAAGGCGGGAGCAACAGCTGGGGCGATTGCTCAACTAGATAATATGACAACTTTTCGGGCGCAAGTCCCCAGGGCTCAATATGTAGCATATTTCTATATGCCTCTTTGTTGTACTTCCGACTCCCGGATCGGCCTTGTCCTCTAAATTGAGGAGTCATTGATAGTTGTTAAAACCCGAAAGGCCTAGATCTGCTAGAAAGTGCAAGCTTTGATATTCCAAAGTACTTGGACTGGGAAAGTCGATCATGTTCATGCCGGACATATCACCACTGCCTTGTTGTGGATGGAGATATTCGTTGGTAATGAAATTTGGAACGAAGTTCCCCATGATCGTTGAGGGCGATGTTCCCGGATCGTAACTGCTCGAGTCATAGAAGTATGTAGCATCGTCAATAGACGTCGGCGCAACTTGGTCAGTGGTTGCGAATGAATGACCAGCAGATGTTACCGCATGTGGGTTTTGATTGGGGAGCTGATGTTGAATTTGAGAGTGAGGACTGGTTGTGACAGGGTTAGGTTGTTCAAATGAGGAGCGGTTTGTGTTAGGCGGGTGCTCTTGTTGGTGACGTGTGCGATGGACGGCTTGCCGCGTAGGCCGGTTGATGATGTCCATGAAGAGATTGCGAATCCACCTGGCAAGAATAAAGGTGGTCTCGAATTGCTTTAGGGCCAACAGATTCGGGCGGAGCTTCTGTGACAACTGATCGCGCACGAGACCAGAGATCCCGCACTCGGCCACATGCGCAGTCATTGCTGTGAAGATTGCAGTTATACTGGCACTAAGTTAGAAGCATTCGAAGTGGACAAATGTCTTACTTACTACATCATTGGAAAATGTTGTGGCGTAAAGTATAGCAGTGAATCTTCGACGTGGCTGGACACTTTATTTGCCGCGTCGAGAATCAATTTTGACCCTTCGGAGTCGGCAAAAGGCTTAGGACACAATCGTTGCAGTCGTTGTTGTAAGGTCTGTCGATAAAAGCTGCGTATGAGATAAGTACAAGGATCCTCTCGAGGAAGGCGGGTGAACATGACATACTGATAACAGACTTGTAGTGTGAGATTCAGGTGGTGAGGGCCTCCAGAAGGGTTGATGACTGGAGCATTTGCATGCCACTCTTCGAACTTGGTCTGGATATCCTGGCGAGCGGAATGCCGGAAGACAGGGTCATGGCTGAGTGGCAGCCGTTTCGGACAGCAGTAGGCAAAGAATAAGGATGACACTGTTCTCAATGTAAGTCACGTGCGCGGTTAGCAGAAAAGCACCACCAACCTTGTCTACTGAGTGATGCCTGAGTGATGATGTATAATGCGGCGTCGCGAGGCTCATCTGGAAAGTCGTCTAGGGTCAATTCTTCCACGTCGAAGTCCAGGTCGTTGATGACCATGGGAACGCCCATTGCAAGAGCTATCTGACGGTCGCGCATCTAGGAGTATCGGTCAGTCATTGTCGCGCCTCGAGAAATGGTATAGCACTGACATATAAACACCACCATACTCTCTTCCACTGCGCCTTGTGTCGTGCCGACATCTTACTATCTGCAGTACTGCGATGATAACCCATACATTGAGCACTGCGAATGGCATTGCTGATCCACCAAAGGGCGTCGCGATATTCGGTTGGCCGGCCAAAGAAGTACTGGTTGAGGAAGGACGCCAATATCATGGTGGTACGATCAGAACCGCGATCGTTATCAAAGGCCGAACAGGCCTTGCTGAAAAGCTCATCACCTGCATCGAGCCGAGTGCTGTAGCCCATGAGATGATAGACCTCAGGTTCACAATGTATGGAAGCGACAAAAAGAACACTCCTGAGCAGAGTTATGGAGACGGTGCCCTCGCGAACTGACGAGAGAAATTCGGCTTTGTCCAGGATTGGAACTAAACAATGGAAGCGCTTGAAATAAGCCTCGAGAAGACGTTCAGTTAGATGTTGAGGTGGAAGATCAGCAGGAGGCTCCTTTCTGACTGGAGCGGGATCTTTCACCTCGCTCTGAGCTTGGTTGGTAGAAGATTTAGACATGCTCTTGGAGCGACGCTCAACTGGGCGATGCAGCTCTGAGTGACCTGTACCCGATGCGCTTAGAACATACGAGGTGAACCAGCTTTCGCCAACAAAATTGGCCTTTGAGTCGACTTGCTCCGTGGAGGCTTCCTCATCAGAGCCATTTCGAACGGTGGCTCGCTGGATACGTTGATCGGTGGATTCCTCGCCAGAGTGGCCATCTTCAGCACCGACTAGCTTTGCAAGATCGACTTGGACCTCTGCTTGATGAGTGCTTTTAGTAAGATTCTTGTCTAGAGCTTTCGCAGCATCCCCCTCCGGGGTGGTTGGACTGCCTGACGAAAATTTCTCAAGCTGCTCAGGCAGAACATAACGGCCATCTGGACCTCTGAAGGGTTTGTGTTAGGAGCAGGCTGAGATGGGTCTGGCTTGGGTTTACCTGGTGCGCTTTGACTGGACGAGCCTGCAATTGGATGAATTTGAACGTTTGCATTCCGAACAGGGCATTCCATTCGTGGAAGCATCACATCGAACTCTGCGCTTATTACAGCGTTCACATGCGGCAGCCCTCCGGCGACGTACCGTCGGTGGAGTGGAGTAAGCTGGACGAGGGTCTTCCATTTGGGATTGGGAGACTGGTATCTCGAGATGGTCAGGAGTTGTCAAAGGGCGGGGCCATGCTTGTTGACTACTCTATACCGTGATAAGGAGAAGAGAATCGGAAGACATTGGTAATTAGAGTGTTGTCCAACCGTGCATAGCCGAGATGGAAAAGGTGGTTGGAAGATCACGAAGGTTTCAAGGTGTGGTAATCCGCTGGGTTTCTGCTGATCCCACAACAACTGGACAAACTTACAACTGCGGGGATGGGCGCTTGACTACCTTCCGTGCGTACTTGGGCCCCGAACGCTCTTGCCGCCAACAATATGGAACACATGGCTGCAATCTGAATGGCGGAGGATGGTTTGTCCGATACGCCGCTCAAGGCCTAGGCGCGGAAGGCACCAGTTTTGACGAGTCTTGGCAAGCATGACTGTCATGTGATATGAAGGCGGCACTGGAGGCCAGGGGACTGGTAATGCACGTGACTTTATCAGGATCTCCATAATCGAATGATGAGTGGATCACGTGGTATTCAAAGATCTTCCTTAAACAGCACTCCAGAACGAGATCCATCGTTGGTGGTGTGGATGAATATAAACAATTTTTGACACTATTGGCTAGCTAAGGGGAGGAACGCCGGGTGTGTGTTCTCACCGAACGCCTTATAAATCATAGTCAAGATCATGATTGATCAGTCTCAACGCGGAGTACGGAGTAATCGGGCCATACCCCGTGTGCATCCAAGGCCAGCTCGGTCCGTTGAAATCCGAGTGTCTTGTTTATCAACGTACTCGCACATCCTATCTTCTAAGCAGGGCCAACAAGTCACATACATGATGGGAATGGTTGCCATGACATTGCCCAGACAGTTTCAAGCCAGATTTCGAAAATCAGGTAGTGATGCACTCCTGAGCCGTTCCAAGGAGACACGGGCTGTTGTTGTTGTTGCGGGATAACCAGATTCGGCAAGCCGGGGCCACTAAGCATATTCCCAGGCTAGAAATAATACGACACTTGGATAAACTTGCATGCATGGCGCTCGGACAGCCATGACCGACGTACGTTTCGTCAAAGACTTCCATCTCTAGACCTTGATTTATCACATCAGCGCGCCCATGCCGGCAGGTGTTTACACCGGCCTAATGGCCGGATCATGGTTGAATACTACCCTCCCCCTTGAAACGCCATCAACAGTTGCCGTGGATCTGTGAGACAAAATCGAATTTAGGCTCTTGTAAAAACTCCTGTAGAATTTCCCCGCATTTCGATCCAGTGTGCCAGTCCAGGAAATGTGATTTCATGTCCACTGCGCCCACCCCTCCATCTACGCGACAGGCTCTCGAATCGTTCTTCTGTATTTTGCTTCTCGTGCCCTACAAAACTTCTGTCCTTTTTTCCGTTTGATTGTTTTCCTGGGCCTGCTTTTCAATATAATCGAAATGCAGACCAAACACTTCATTGATGATGCCACCCACTTGGTCAGCACGGCGTTGAACTCGCTGACGTTGACCAACCCCTCCCTGGCATTCGATGCTGAGAACAAAATCGTATATCGTCGACCAGATAAGAACCTGACTGAAAAGCCAAAGGTCTCCATCATCTCTGGAGGAGGTTCCGGCCATGAGCCTGGATTCGCCGGCTTCGTTGGCAAAGGTCTGCTCACAGCCGGCGTCGCCGGTAGCATCTTTGCCTCGCCATCAGCCGAGCAGGTGCGACGAGCTATCCTTACCCGGGTCCCCACCGACAAAGGCGTCCTTGTTATTACTATGAACTACACTGGAGACGTGCTCAACTTTGGCATGGCCGCAGAAAAGGCAAAAGCATCCGGCATCGCAACAGAGTTCTACGCCATTGGCGACGATGTCGGTGTAGGTCGAAAGAAAGGAGGAAAAGTGGGCAGACGAGGTATTGGAGGTGGCATCATGGTTCTCAAGACTATTGGTGCCTTGGCCGAAGCCGGTGGCAGCCTCTCCGAAGTCTACGGCCTTGCAAAGCAAGTTGCTGGCAACATTGTCTCGGTTGGCGCATCTTTGGAACATGTGCATGTGCCTGGCCGTGCGATTCCAGACCCAAACTCAGACGAGATCATACCTACCGAAGAGATCGAAGTTGGCATGGGTATTCACAACGAGCCTGGCAGCCATCGTGTTGCCGCCTCACTTCCTGAACTCATCAAAATTATTCTCGGGCAAATGCTGGATCCCAAGGACGAAGATCGGCATTTTGTCGACATCAAGAGCGGAGACCAAACCGTCCTGTTTATCAACAATCTCGGTGGCGTGTCTATGTTGGAACTCGCTGGCATTCTGAATGAAATCCACACACAATTGAAAGAGGACTGGGGTATCACTCCGGTGCGTGTCATCTCTGGCACATTCTTGACATCACTCAACGGAATGGGATTTTCCGCTTCTCTATTAAAGCTCGAAGACACCGGACTCGGTGCTGGAAAGTCAATGCTCGAACTTCTCGACGCACCTTCCGAGGCTGTCGGTTGGGCTGCTGCAATCTCAACCTCCACTTGGGACGCAGACAACTCAGCGACCGCTGGGGACAAGTCGGTCGGCACCGGGGCCGTCAAAGCAAGCAATTTGACCATCGATCCTCAGCAGGCGCAGACTGCCCTCAAAGCCGGGTTGGACAAGGTTATCGCAGCAGAACCGGAAGTCACCAAGTATGACACCATTGTCGGGGATGGGGACTGTGGCATCGGTCTCAAGCGCGGCGCCGAATATGTTTTGAAGGATTTGGCCAAGGGTGATCTTCCCACCGATGCGGTCGCATTCGTCAACAGAATTGTTCCTGTGGTGGAGAATCACATGGACGGCACTTCTGGAGCCATCTATGCTATTTTCCTGAACGCACTTGCGGCAGGTTTGCGTGAACAGGACACAGGCTCGTCCTCGAAAGTTGACGCCAAAACATGGGCCGCAGCGTTGAAATCAAGCCTGCAGGCGCTTGGAAAGTACACACCAGCCGCAGTTGGCGACAGGACACTTTTGGACGCCTTGATCCCATTTGTTGAAACACTGAGTAGCACTGGTGATGTCAACAAGGCAGCAGAGGCGGCCAGAGAAGGAGCTGAAAAGACAAAAAGCCTGAAAGCCAGTCTTGGAAGAACAGTATATGTTGGTGCAGAGGAAGAGTGGCTCGGCAAAGTGCCAGATCCAGGAGCCTGGGGTTTGCAGGAACTGCTAACGGGATTAGCTAGTGGCATTTGATTTCTCTATGTATATGAGAGCCTGCTTAAGGAAGCTAGACGCAGCAAAATAGTAAAGCTGAAAGTCCTGCAACCAAGGCGTCGCCAGGCAGACACCAGACCTGGTCAGCATCAAAACATTTTATTCGTCATTGCTTTTCCGGTTCTTGGGTATCATCTCCTGTATACGCCACCTACCAGCCATGCGCCGGCCTGACAATGCCTGTCCCGTTGGATGCCCTCAAGTTGCTGACATGTCATGATGACACAAGCAGGATCAAAGTCCAACCGTGGTAGTCATGACCACCCTTCAGATCCATCGTGCGCAAGGGTTGCCGAAGTCGAGAGCGCTCTGGTAGTGCGCATGTTGTTTTGCCGTCCTTAAAAAGATCAAGCCCGTCACTCGACTCAACTCAGAAGAACCAAGATGACACTATCACCCCGGAGGAACATTTTGCTGATGAATCTATCCTTGTTGACGCCTTTTCCGCCACCTTTGGGCTTCTCCGTCCACATTTCCTTGACATTTTCCAAAACCATGTTGCAGTGTCGGTCAAAAGCCTTGACTCGCGCGAGAAGTTTTCGGTTGTTTCGACATGATATCAGAACTTGGGTATGAGTGCGCGTGGCGGTCATGAGGATGGACAATGGCCCGGTCGATAATTCGTGCGCTTCGAGGAGAGAGACTTCATATTCGCTGTAAGACCAACGTCAGCAGTATTCAAATGCATCCATGTTCGGATCAATTGAAGACATGAGGAAAGGAATGTAATCACGATTCCATCGACGACGCGCGATGATGGCGCGACGATGAGTTGATGGAACAAATGTGTGTGTGATGGTGAAGTGAAATATGGGCGGAGCGGAAACCACGTGAATGGTGGGGAGGAGGGTGGGTATGAGGTGTTGGAATGGTTGTAGAGGCTTTGGGTTGGACAAATGAGGAACATCATGGAGTAAGAGAACGCAAACTTACGTCAACTCATTTCTCGGCTTGCTCAATAATTCCCTAGCGAATAAGACGGTCAGCAAATAATCTGTTGATGAGAACTTGAAAACAGGTGACCAGAAGACGGAGTTAAGCTGGGCGAACGTGGTTGAGTCATGACGCGGGGAAAAGAGGAAGGCGACATACTGGATCTTGGAGGCGTCTGCCATGTCCGCTAGAAAATTACTTAAGGACGACCGGATTCCCACAGATTAGAAAAGAGGGAAAAGAATTTGTTGATTGTCTCTCATCGTCAAGTTCTTCTCTCTCAGAGCCAGATTTCAAGTGCCAAGAAATATATCGGCAAACTTGCCTTTCAGATTGACCTTTTGGCTGCAACACGGCAGTCACGCTGTCACGGTGTGCATCTGCGGCAATCCCCTCCTTCAAATCCCCGAGGCAGCAAAGTGGCAGGTGCCAGGCAGGCAATTAGAGCCTGGAGCCTTGGAAGGTGGACTGCCGCCTGAAACCCGGAGCCTACGGAGTACACGAGCTGCCTAAACGCGTCTGGGCTGTGGCACGCTGGCACAATAATAATAAGCTCCAGCCTCCGAACCCCAAGGCCCAGAAGTCATTGACGCCCCCAGAGCTGCCTGAGATCGTCATCCCTGGCCCGCTCGACTGCATCCACCAATCCTGAGGCGCCATTCTCTACGCGGTCTTGGTCCGACCATTGACGCGACTGGTGCTGGCGTTGTACCTTGCGTCTGTATACCTTGACTAGCAGCACCACTGTCAAGTCAACTATTCTGACCTGCTCGTCTTCCTCATTGTATTGTCACCTTCACCGTCGACTTCATCCTGTCACTCGTCGGTTTCTCTCGTTGTTGCACAAAAGCTTCCTCACTTCCTTCTTGTCCACTTAGCACCTGCATTGCTTGCGACTTTGTGCACAATCCGACACGAATCTTCATTTTCCAACACGACCAGAGACTCATTACACTCACTCGCTCTTGAGACCAAGTCTTGATATCATTCCTCTTCCTACCTTCAACGATAATCACTCTTCTCGTTTCCTCCACGCCATGGTCAATCTTTCATGACCTTCGCCGCACGCTGCAATAGCAGAGTCAGGACCTTTACACCTTCTCCCGCTCGCAGCAGTTAAACCTCAACATGGCCGCCTCTCCTGGTGAAGGCGTGTCCATACGGAGCCTTCGGCTCAAAGTCCTCTACACATTCGATCTGGATCAGAAAGACAACCACCTTGCACGGTGGCCACAACCTCTAGAAGTTCAAACTGCCTTCTTAGATGAATCCAATCAGATTGGCGTCGTTGACCTCAGAACCTGCCTGGAAGCTGTCACGACTGCAAGTCCAGAGCTGACAGCACATTTTGAAAATGATTACACAGTCTACGCCTATGACTACTCTGAGCCGGATACCCCTCTGGTTGGTCAGGGTCTATTGTCAAAGACACTCGCTGCACAGCCACATAGCTTTGATGGAGAGAGTGAAGCTCTCATCACCGGTCGAATCACAAAGAACATAATGGGCTTGTTCTCTAAAAATGCTCAGGAAACCCTCGAGGTCAAGCTTAGGCTTACACCCGTCAACAAATATAATGGAAGATACCGATCTGGAAGTGTGAGTTCTCAGGATGGCGGCCGGCCACAATGGGCAAATAACTCAGCTTCTCAAATTCTCCCCAGATCCGCGTCTCCTGTGGATCTCTCCGGCCTGGAGACCATGCATAGGATGTTGAACAGAGATAACACGCAGGCGCCTGCTTATCCTGATGTGGGCAGCAGACCAGCCACGCCTACGATGTCTCAATCATTGGCTCCACCAGCAAGACAAGCTGGGATGGGATCAAGGCCAAGCTCCAGGGCTGGTGTCCGCCAACAACCCCATGAAAGACGCGACTCTTTCAACTCTGGTTACTACAGTGGAGACGAGAACCCAGACGACGGGCCATCACGGAAACGCGCCAGAACTATGAAGGTCGACTGGCCTACCAAGGCAAGCTTCAACATCGAGAAGCAGCCTGATTCCTTACGCGTTATGGCAAGTACCGCGTCCAGCGTCCGACTTCACAGACCAGTCCCTCTGAACCCCTTCGTCACGAATCAGCCCGGCCAACCGGCCGAAGAGTCTGTTAGACCACCTACGCCTATTCCGGCATCCAAGTCCGGCAGACCTCGAGGTCGGCCTCGCAAAAATGCGCCGAGCACACTTACCCGTGGCTCTCAGGTTCGAGAGTCGTCCCCTATGACAGACTTCCCACCTCATTCACAGACACAATTCTTGAATGCTGTTTCCCCCGAGGACACCCGCACAAGAAGTGTGTCGAGCACTCCTGCGAATATCCCATCATCGCCGCCTGTCATGCCGGAGCCAGATCACCCAACAGTCACAAGTCCTGTATTACCTGTCATGTTGGAGCCTGGCCAGGATTCAGGTTTCATGAGCGGCAATTTCGATGATCTATTTGGCGAAACTCTTCTGCCGTTTGATTTCATTCAGGACAAGCATGACCTTCCCGGAGACTTCGACCATTCCCAGGCCCAAGCTCCAGAATCTACAGCTGCAAATCCCCCTGTATTTGAAGAGGGCAACGACATTCCCCCACAGCCGACATCGAAGCAAAAACTTGCAATGGTTCCTCCCCCACCGCCACAGGCAACAACTCAACGATCCCTATCACGCGCCCAGTCCTACACCCCCTCGCTTAGACCTATGATTTCGTCTCCTCGGTTAGCTCCTGCTCCCATTCCCAGGGCACGTCAAATCATGGAAGAACGACAGCGCATTGAGCAGCGAGCAAAGCCTGCCATACAACCGACACCCCTTCCCAAAAGTGACCCTGCTCCCCGTGTAATACACCGATCTCAGACTTGGGCGCCCGATAGCGACGCATTGATGTCCGAGGCACCCACAATGGAAGAAGCAAGAGCAAAGGCTGCTTCCAAGAAGAAGGTGGGAAAGGAGCAGACGAGAGCGCGCCTCGAGAATGCCATTGCAAATGGTGAAATGCCGCCTTATTGTGACAATTGTGGTGCTATCGAGACTCCTGCATGGCGGCGTGGATATGCCAAAATATTCGAGTCTGGATGGGACGACTTGGTGACATCACTTGAACCCGGACAATGCTGCTTCAAGGAAATCCTGACACACAACCCTGACGGTAGCGTGAAGACTTTCCGGGGCTACAAATGCGAACGTCTTGCAGGAGATGACGAGGACAACTGGGCTGCAATCACCTTGTGCAATCGTGAGTAACTCTGAACCAAGACAGATGATGACATACTAATTTTGACACAGCATGTGGTCTATGGCTTCACAAACAGAAGTGCCCGCGCCCAGCAATTAAATGGCAGAAGAAGGAACCGGGGCATAAAGGCAAGCGCAAGCGGAATCCATCCAAGGCATCGAAGCGTGCGAATGGCAACACTGGCTTCAAAAGCGATGCTCAAACTCCCGCTAGTGACGACTCATCGCCTGCCACGGAAGCCCCCGATGGTGATGATAACGAGAATGACAGCTCGAACAATGACGACTTTGCGGTCGATGACACAGAACCACAGCTGCCCGAGATACATCGGCTTCATCGCGCTAGCAGCGCTGAACCAGGTCCACGGGGCCTACAAAATCGCATGCGACACCGACCAGTGGTGAGACAAGTGCAGTCTAGCCCTGGACATCCACAAGGCTCGGAGATCATGCCGATCGAAATTGGCTTCTCACCAAAGCCCGTTCGAAGACAGCTCTTCCCATCCCCTGCCAAAGTCCACGTCCGCTCTGACCCAGGACCAACAATGATGAGCTCGACCACATCCGTTGAACCACTTCTTCCAACCTTTGTCCGTCGAAGCCCCCGACTGAATAAAACCAGGGATGTCTTTGCACCTAGTACAGCCACGCTATCTGTTGTTGCAGCGGGAAAGGAGAATGCTGCTCCAGCTCTCGAGGCACTTCCCGTTTCTCAGATTGCGGACGATGGACTTGATCATCTCTTCGAAGAAGGACCTGTGGATCTCGAGTTGCCCCCAATGACGCCCACGCCTAAGAGGCGCTCTGAAAGAATCCTTCTGAAGACTCCATCGAAGACTCCTTCAAAGACCCCATCTAGGCAGTTTGGGGCAGAAATATCTTCGAACGCCGATCTCCATCCAAACTTTCGCACGCCTAAGCCTCGCCCAAACAATCAGCATGCCTTGCTCTCTGTCCTTCTCGGCACCAACCACAAAGACGTATCAACTATGACACCATTCTCACGCTCGATCCACGATGCCATTACGAGTGATGCTCCTATGTTGATGGGGATGGCAGAGGACGAGCCAGCTCAATCACGCGGCTCGGCCAAGAAGATTTCACCCAGCAAGGCACTTGATTTCGACTTTCCTGACCTTCCTTCCCTTAAAGGCTCGTCGCCCATGTCTGGCAATCAGCTTGTCGACTTCAACCTATCAGAACTGACAACCGACCAACTCAATAGTGACTTTCAGGATCCTTTCGCATCGCACTCGACGCTGCCTAGTTCGCCGCCAGCAAGCATGTTTGATTTTCTCGAGAATCACGGTGAAGATATGGCAGCTGTCTGGGGTGAGCTCATGGAGGATGTTGAGGATCAGCACGACATTCACGGCTCTGGCTACCCAGACCCAGCTCATGCAATGAAACCACCTGCGCAGCCTAGAAGAAGTCCAAGAAAACAACATGTGGCTTGAAGATGATGAATAGCTGTGATTAGGGCTTCAATTTGTATTCTATGGAGTGCCTCGACGAGATCGACATCACGAAAATAACGTATTGTGGTTAAAGGCATAGTTTTCAACAGAATCGCTTATCGGGCAGACGGTTTCATCCTCGACTTGTACCAGAGTAATATGATACACGAACATGTTAGAGTTGATCACAAACATAGAACCCATAGCCAATATCCCTTGCGCCAGTATTGTACTTTGCAGGCCAATCCCCTTCAGCAGTATCTGTTCGGGACTATGTTGGCGTCCTCATGAATCGTGCATTTATGGCACTTGCGCAGTGGCAACAATGTCGTTGCGTGCCCAAAGAAGATCAAATGTCTTTGGAATCTGATGTTTGAATCTGCCACACAGATGTCCTTTCATTGCAACCTTGTTCATCGATAGTACATTAAACGTTTTCTTCGAATCAGACCATCAATACGTCGCTCCTCCTGTTTCAGTATCTCCCTCTCCTTCGTAGAAGATCCCTTTATACCGATGTGTTACGTCCACCACAGCCTCGAACAACTTGATATCAGGCAATTGGCCATCTGGACCCCTCGGCCATTCTGTGGCACTTAAAACTCGCAGACCCAAGCCATGCCCACCGTCAAGATTGATCACCTTGCCGACGATTTCGTATAGCGAGTTGACGGAAAGATGGTTATCTCTAGAAGGAATATGTGGTATGTCAGTTGAATGTCATATGCTGGGAAACGGGGATTAGAAACATGAGCGGCTGAAGGGGCTTCGTACCGGTTTAACAGGATTGTCACAGCGTCAGAACCACAAGTGAGGGTTGCTTGGTCGCCGCTGACAGTGGTGATGGTGCCTAGCATGCGCACAGTACCGGTGGCACTTCCGGGGGCAAAGGCGTGCAAGTGGGCAGGTAATATCCGGGGGGTGGACATGGAATTCATCTTGGTGGTTAGGTGAGGTGTAGGAGAGGATGGTACTGGCTGCGAGTTTGATTGAATGCCTGTGATGGTTGTGTTGGTAGTCCGACGAATGTGGTGTGGATGAGGGGACATACGACGCGCTTGCTCAACGCGTAAAGTGAAATTGAAGACTTTGTCAGACGCAATTATGAATTCGATTATGCCACCTTGTCGTGCTTTTACACTCTTCCAAGCGAAAAACCTTTGTCAGACAGATAATTTTACTCTCCCATTAGTGATCACTATAGTTGCAACTGGAAAGCATGCAAAACACACAAAACAACATTGCTTGTCAATCCATGTAAATAATAGTTATCAAATACACTGAAATGATTTCGATGATCTCTTTTCACCTACTTCACGAGGTGTGGCCGCTAAAGTTATCAGGCCTGAGTGCCATTCAACTGCACTGCCAAAGCGCGCTGTCACATGACTATGCTTTTGCTCCAATTGGAACCCCTCACCTCTCCATTCTCCATCGCATGCATTGGAACTCAACTCCGTACCTCATGATTATTGCACATTGCTCTCTGTTCCAAACTCCGCATTCGCCGACGCTAATGTCATGCCGGATCGATAGGCCACCATCCTACTGCTAGACTGTCATAGTTCGGCTCCATCATCACTTGCTCTTGTGGATTTACTTCCTGGTCATACTCCGTACAGCATTGACCCCTCCAGCCGCCTCTCGTCTTCACCGCCAACCTTTAGATGACTAGGGCACGCAAAGCAAAAGCCGTAGACCGAGGGACACCATCGAAATTGTCTGCCAAACGAAAGACCTCTGAAGATAACACGACTTCCGCCACCTCGCCCAAGAGGCCACGAACTTCCATCCCAGACTTATTTTCATCCAAACAGAACAACGGTTCGGATGTGCCATCTCGAACGGTAGGAGGAGTGGGAAAGAGGTCAGCGTCACTGGCCAAGATGGAAACGTCAATCGCTCAGTCACCTAAATCCTCCTTCGCCAACATGTATTCCTTCTCCTCCAAGACCCCTTCCAACGCCGTCGTCGACCTGACATCCTCTCCGGATTCGACCAAGAGGAAACTCTCCTTTGCAACCCCACGACCTTCCACATTCAATCCCAACCAAGGTCCGAAGAAGTTGATTGTCAAGAACCTCAGGACTGTTCCTAGAATTGATCCTCAGCAATACTTCGATAGTACGTGGGCAAAAGAGGACAAGGCTCTCAATGCCATCTTTGCCGGTAGTATGGATTCCTATTCCCTTGAGGAACTCTACAAGGGCTCGGAAAACATATGTCGGCAGGGCAAGGCTGCGGAGTTGTACAAGAAATTGAAGAACAAGTTGGAGAGTCACTTGACCGATAATGTACAAGATGGAATCCGTCGTGATGCAGCCGCTTCTTCCGACGTCGAGGTCCTGCGATCGTTTCTTGATTCATGGTCGACCTGGCAAAAGCAGATGCTTACTGTACGCCAAATATTCTATTACCTCGACCAAACATACCTTTTACGATCACAGGAGAATCCTGGCATCATTGAGACCGGGTTGATTGGATTCCGTTCGGCTGTCTTTGAAGACAGGACCATTCAACCCAAAGTTCTGGCTGGCATCCTAGCTCTCTTCGCCTCTGATCGAAAAGGCCTTCTCACCAGCCAAGACTTCACACTCCTCGGTCAAGCTATAGATATGCTCCATCAATTGAGCATATATACTAGCCACTTTGAGCCATTATTTCGTCAGGCAACTGAAGAGTATCTGAAGCAGTGGCTAGTGGAAGAGTCGCACAAGGACGATCTGGGACAGTATGTTAATGCTTGTTCGGAACTGCTCGTACGAGAAACCTCAAGATGTGAACAGTTGAACCTCGACCGAAGCACTCAAACCCAAATCACTGAGCTTTTCGATCAGATTCTGGTTGAAGACCAAACTGATACACTGAGTGATGACGATAGCCTTCAAGACCTGCTAGAGGAGAACAAATTCGACGAATTGAAGCGAGTGTACACTCTTTTGCAGCGCAAGGGATATGGAGATCGAATCGGACCTAGCTTCTACAAGTATGTTGAGACAGAGGGGAGTCTGATCGTCTTCGACGAGAAGAAAGAGAACGAGATGATTGTCAGGCTGCTTGAATTCAAACGACGGCTCGACAAATACCTCAATTATTCCTTCAACGGCAACGAGAAGGTTGGCAATGGCCTTCACAAGTCATTTGAGTTGTTCATGAACAAGACCAAGAAGACGCAATCGAACTGGGACACGGACAATTCCAAACCTGGCGAAATGATTGCGAAGCATGTTGATCTCCTGCTCAAAGGTGGTGTGAAGGCGGTGCCCCAACTACAATCGTTGAAGCTCAACACAGCGAAACCCGACGACGAACATGATTTTGACGATGGTCCGGCAGATGAAGACGCCGAGATCAATCAACATCTCTCTGACGCCCTTGACCTGTTTAGATTCATCCACGGAAAGGCCGTCTTTGAAGCATTCTACAAGAAGGATCTTGCTCGTCGTCTCCTCATGGGCCGCAGCTCCTCATTTGACGCAGAAAGGAACATGCTGACGCGTCTCAAGAATGAATGTGGTGCTTCTTTCACACACAACCTAGAGTCCATGTTCAAAGACATGAACCTAGCACGGGAAGACATGATGTCATACAATCAACTCCTGGATGATCGAGGCACGAAATCCGATGGTCCAGATCTAAACGTCAATGTCCTCTCCGCCGCTGCATGGCCCACATATCCTGACGTGGCTGTAAACATACCCAAGCCAATTGCCAAAGTGATGGACGATTTCGAAACTCACTACAAAGCCAAGCACAGCGGTCGGAAGTTAGTGTGGAAACACAGTCTCGCACATTGTCAGCTTCGAGCGAAATTCCCCAAGGGCAATAAAGAGCTAGTTGTTTCAGGCTTCCAAGCCATCGTCCTCCTTCTCTTCAACGACATACCCGCGGACAAGGCGTTGACATATACAGAGATCAAAGATGCATCTGGCTTAGTCGACGCAGAACTCAAACGCACTTTACAGTCTCTGGCATGTGCGAAATATCAGGTTCTTAAGAAGCACCCCAAGGGACGTGACGTGAATGCCACCGACACATTTACGTTCTCCACTGGCTTCCAGGATCCCAAGATGCGCATCAAGATCAACCAAATCCAGCTGAAGGAGACCAAGGAAGAAAATAAAGAGACACATCAACGTGTCGCAGCCGATCGACACTACGAAACACAAGCGGCGATTGTTCGAATCATGAAGAGTAAGAAGAAAATTGGTCATAATGAATTAATCGTCGAAGTCATCAAGGCGACTATGAGTCGAGGTGTCTTGGATCAGACGGATATCAAGAGGAATATTGAAAAGTAAGTGTGAATGATTCGATTTCTTCTTTTTTTCCTGTGGTTGATGTGGAGATTCTTGTACTGACTATTGGGCTCTTCTTCCCACAGGCTGATTGAAAAGGACTACATGGAACGTGAAGAAGGCAACACGTATGCATATGTTGCTTAAAGTGTCTGGCGGTCACGCGAACGAAGCTTTCGGTTTGAGTATGAAAGCAACGAACAAAGACAAGATTTGTGTTCGAGGCATGTACGAGCGAGAATTCCCACGACTAGGATATACACAGCGCGAGCGAGCGCGGTAGACTGGGGAACTGGTCGTTTGAAGAGTGCTTGATTAGAACCAGTCAAGACAATGGAACAACGTGAAACAACTACGTAGAGACGACGAGACGTGCAATGTAATATTTCGGGTGCTCAACTCTTCGACATGTAACAATTGTGGGCATATTCCTCTCACATTCACATTCGACCAGCGTACACGGTTTGAAATGCAAGAGATCAGACGCAATAATGACTTGTGCACCAAAATTGGCCAGAACAAAGGCGTCTCGAGACTGTCAAGGCCAAAAAGACACCTGTCGATTGATACTTGAGATTTACCGCCACCCTCATAATCACCATCAATACCACCAGCATTCCGGGCCTGTCCTTTACGTCGTTCCAACGTGTTTTGAAATTTAGAATCTGTCATCGGGCCGTCCAGCCTGGCTTCGACCGTCGTTATAAGGCTGTGAAGGGAATTGCGTCAGTGGGTTGATGCAGGATGCAGGCACAAAGAGGGAATGGTCAAGAACTTACTCTCTTTCTCAAAGCTGCAAGTCGCTTCTTCTTAGTGTGGGTGTTGACATAAGTTCCGATGAGGAATGCAATGCCATTGAAGAATGGAACCCAGGCGTGCTCAGGAAGGAATTTCTGAGCGAAAGCCAGGGCGAGAGGGGAAGTAATCCAGCTAACTTTCATGACGGGCCAGAAACCGGCACGGACGGTGGCACGGACTTGATGCCACGTTCGAGCACCAGCGATCAAAGCCATTGATGTCAAATATATCGAGTTTTGGATGGGAGCAATCTATATAGATTGAGGAACCATGTCAGCGAGCGGAACAGACTAGTGAAAGGAGCGAATGGTGGCTTTGTGGACTACATACCAACAGGTTGCTGGTGATGATTTGAATGATCTTGGCCCTGAGACTTGTTCGGCCGGCAAAGAGCCATTGGAGGATGCCGATAAGAGCATGGCCCATCGGGGCGCTGATGAAGGCGCCATAGATGGCCATCTTAGGTATTCTGGAGCTGAAGTAACTACCATTCTTGCTGAGGTCGTGAGCCAGCCATGAGGCAAGGAGTTCTTGCAGCGCGGACAGAGTGCCGGATGTCAGCATCTTGGTGCGCAGAGGGTTGGATTGGAGTTGCTTCAAGTATGCCTAGAGGAGGGAGCGCGAGGTCAGAGTCTGCGACGTCTCGTCAGTGTTAACGAGCGAAAGAGCGTACCGCAAGATAACCAGTGTTCTGCTTCCCGCCAGTCAAGGCTTCGCCAATCTTTCGAGCGGTACTCTCATCTCTTCCTACGCTGCGGATCTGCTCCGACTGGAACTTGACCGACATGATGGGCGATGATGGTGAGAAGTGCGACGGAGGGTGAGAGAGGGTCTAGCTGGTGTATCGAGTGATGCTAATGAAGGTGATCAGAATATATCAATCGGCAATGACATTGAGTAAAGACGAGGTGTGGGATGGAACGGAGTTTGTTGACAAATGTCAAGTACCGAGGCAGGAAGCCGGGTTCTTGGTGTCATCAACTTCCGAACGAGGGTGTGGGGAGGTGTTGGGTGCGTGTGTGCTGGGCGTGTATAGAGATTGTGCAGAATAATGGACCGTACCTGATGAGTGGAGATGAGATGCGACTGGCAAATACTTGAACAGTGCGCAGTGTTGAGTCACAGCGTTCGTGATGAGAGGATGATGCGATTGAGGAAGAGAATAAACAGCGTGTCTTGTCAAGTGCGCGAAAGGTAATTGCTGAGCCTGAGCTTGAGCCTAAAATAATAATGCGGATGGGGGATGGAGGAGGACCCCAAGCGTCCCGAACGTCGAACTTGGGGAAGTGTGTGTGAGAGAGAGAGAGAGAGAGACAGGCTGGGCGGGTGGTCAATGGGCACCAAATGGGCACCATCATGGCCTGGGGAACCACCAGTGCCACCTAGACACTCTCCAAGGCTGCCCAGGTCAGCGGTAAGTGGCACGGCACGAAATTGTATTGGATGATGAGCTGCAGCTTTGTTGCTTGTTGGTTGCTGGGGTTGCCGAACAGGGGTTCCTGTTCGAGTTGGCTACGGGAGTTACTTAGAGTTGACTGCGTGGCTGCGTGGCTTCTCCTCGTCGGTTAGCGGTTGGCGTGGCTGGGTATCAACAGGGGAAGATGAGCCAGGATACGAGGTACTGAGGTACAATACGAGTTTTGAGCACGGAGCATCTCAACTTCGGCAGATATTATAACAACATACAACCTTACCTTGGGTGCTTACTTCAAGTAGTTCCCCATTATAGTCATCATCTGCAGATTGAACATGCAGACAATTTTCATGGCCATGTGAACTCGAGAGCCAAGGAGGAGTTTTACAACCTACATCAGATGTGAAAAATCAGGCTTCTCTTCTCAAAGTCAACATCCAAAATGCAGGACGGATCAACAGGTAGGCAACCCTTTGATGAGAAAATAAGGCTGGGAAGGACCAGCCAAGCCAAGTCAAATTATCAGGAAAGAACCAGAGAGTCTGATTCAGTTTGACTACCTGTTTCCAGCAGCATCACAATCCATGGGAAGTCTAGTCCCTTGCCATAAAGGGACGGCAATGATGACAATGACCTCGATGCTCTCCCAAAAGACCATGAATCGACAATCTATTCATTCTCTTCTATGTCTATAACCTGACTACAAACTACCTGTTACTGCCATTCCTTCCCCTAACATGGCTTTTCATTGCTAAACCACGCAGTTGATCAAGTTGAGTGCGTTTGTTTCTCGTTGTTGTGCCTGCCATGTTTACAATCTTCCCCCTTCCTTTTGTTGATCTCACCATCCATCCTCGTCATCACCCTTTATCAGACTGCACTTCACCGATCTAACATCCTCCTTGTCTTTATTGCTCTGCTCACTTCTCCTCATGCTTGGTTGTCTAAGAGAGCTTCTCTGCTTGCCGTCACCATGCCAGGCCGTAAGACTCACAACCCTGAAAGACGCAACCCATGCACTCATACAACAATGACTCGTCTCTACGATCCTTGGGGTACGTTCAAGTGTTCTCTTTGCCATCAACATCCCAACATTGGTTGGCTCTATCGCTGTACCCAAGACTCGAACGGTGTTTTGCCGGCTTCGGACTTTCTTGCAGACCACTCCTCGCTCGAACGCTTCATCTCTCCTAGCCAAGATGTGAGCCTCCACACTCTTTCAGATCCAATCATCAAATCCATCGGGGACGGCCAATACTCGACTGATCAGATCAAACTTCTCATTCAGCAGAAGGAAAATGTTCGAGATGTCATCATGCCACCCCAGCAGAGACCATCAACCCCCTCGACCGCCACCACTTCTTCGTCTTCGTCCAGTTCTTGTATCGACGACACCCTATCTACGCTTCCACATAGCCCGACCTTCTCTACTACCTCTACAACAAGCCTCGACGAAGAGATCCGGGCCGCTTATGACTGGAAAGAGTTGAACAAGACATGGATGTCGGACCCGCTGCTTCCTCCCTCAGATTCCACTACGCCTGCCGTTCTTCCACAGAAGCTCACCCTTGGTACACCACGCGCGAATCCATCCATGCTCAAAGACTGTTCTTATATAGTCTGCCACACATGTCGCCCCACCTATCGTGAACGAGCTGTTCAATCTTTGCCCAACATTCTGAACAACGCCAACAGAATCCCACCAGCATGGGAACTTGAGAACCGCCCGATTTCAGATGCCAGAGTCTTAGCTAGACTTCGCATTCCAGAAAAAATCGCTCCACGCGACATTACTGGCGATGGATGGGGAGATCCACCATACAACACCAATGGTTCAGCTCCTCATCCTGTACAGCCGGTTTCCACTCCGGACACAAACCCTGCAAGCGACAAACATTCCGTACGCAAGCGAAGTGGCTTTCGACAGACAGTCCGACGCGCCCTTGCCCGTGCCCGTGGTGATGATCTCGCAGATAGTTGCAATGTTTCTCAAGAACGTCTGGTCGACACACTGTCTGCTAGCCACCGTGCAACTCGGTCTCTTGTCTTCCGACGTCGTCGCTGGCCCTCAACCCTGTCCTTTGTTGCAACTCACGGTCGGGTTCTTGACACCAGTGTTCTCCACGACTCCGTCATCCTAATGGTGGCAAGCAACACCCCGCTTCCAAGTACACCCATTACCCTGGTAGCTCCATCGCCCCAATCTGCAATGGGATTGTCTCATGTTGAGAATGACGTGGACCATCGTCTATCCGGTATCATTGCCCAAATGTGATGAAGAACATTATCAGATGTCTACAGTCCATGGTACTGGCTAGTTGTGAGCAGATTCCAGCACCAGCCAACACGACCTATTTGCGGCATGTCTAGCAGTGGAGATATTGTACATCGATCGAGGAGAGGGTAATAAGAGAGTGACGAGAATTTTTGGAAGCTAATCGGCACCTTCGCGCTGTGCAGTACTGTGATAGAGACCATATGATTTCGTGCCCACGGAGGATACAATTGTGGTGGCATAGCTCTGAGGGTAATTTGAGACATTATCGCTCACCACAGCGCCGGATAGCTTACTGAAATGAGGCGGATGCATTCGATGGATGAATTAAGTAGTAGCTGAGAGACCCTGCATGCTTTATCAAATGTTCTTGTCGATGGCAAGCATGCCAGCTCACTCTGTAATTGCGGAATTGGGGAGGTGTGATGGTGCTAGAAAGGGTATGGTAAGGGGGTCTAGGGAAGTCCGAAACAGCCAATTAGAACACAGCATAATTCAACAGGTCATGATTTAAAGGTTGAGAATTGCTTACCTGAAATGCACACACTTTTACCTGCGTGCAATGACAGTTTGGCCGAGTGGTTAAGGCGACAGACTCGAACTATGGTTGTGAATCGTCATAATCATGATAGTGATCTGTTGGGTTCGCCCGCACAGGTTCAAATCCTGTAGCTGTCGATATGATTTTTGTTTGTTTTTCAACCTCCTCTCGAGGCCGTTTGGAAACTTTGCAATTGAATTGTTGTTAATGCTTGAATCAATAACGACAAGAGGATAAGCATAGCAATCAAATTCAAAGGTGGCCGATACAGTATCTCCTTAATCCACTGTGTTTAAACTTTGAATAGATGCCCCCTCTGAATAAGTACTTACCAACCAAGCTACTCTGACACATAGATAGAAGTCAATACCTCACTTGCTTATACGTCTAAATCACAATAATCACAATGATCATAACAATCATGACATCCCTGAATGACGCAGTAAATCAAGCCCTACCTCCCTCCATTCTCATACTGTTAATTTCTTTTACCCCTGTCCTGACTTCCTAATGCCCATCCATGCTCCCAAAATCCTCGCCGTCGTCCAATAATCACGCTTTAACCACCGGCGCCATCGCCTCAATCCGTGAAAACAAAGGACCCGAAACCGCATATGACGGATAATAAGACATTTCGGAAGACGATCGAGACGGTGATCGCCGACTCGATCGTCGTGGAATAGTCGGTGTTCGCATCAACAATGGAGGTGATAGTGGCGGTGCAGAAATCGCCGGTGGTGGCGGTGGAGGAGGAGGAGGTAGGAGCGGTGCTGGTGGTGTTGGAGGTGCTGCTATTGGAGGTGAGTATGCTGGTGCTGGTGCTGGAGGTGAATGTGCTTGATGTATTGCTCCACATGTACATGAACATCGACCTTGCTGCTGTGGCTGCCATAGCAATGGTGTTGGTGTTGGTGTTGGTGTTGGATTTGGATTTGGATTCAGATCTGGACTTGATTCTGGATCCGACGATGGCACCGGTGGTGCGCTTCGAGTCGGTGGAGGAGGCCAAGAGATAGTAGAGCTGGGAATTCGCAATGCGAACAGGGGCATGATCTCGTCGATTTCGGATGATTCGTGCAAGTCGTTGGAGGTGGTTGATCGAGGGAATCGGAGGTTTGGTCTCCCAGGTACACCTGTTGTGTGATATCGGTGCATCATGTAAGAATGGTTGGTGTTGCCGTCGTGTGGGAGGTCTTGGGAGGTGCTGGAATAGATTGATCCATCGCTCCCTGCGGCTGGGGATGATGGCGTTCTTGTCATGGTCTGTGGAAATGATGTCGTTGGCATTGGCATTGGCGTTGGCATTGGCGTTGCGGTTTCTGTCATTCCTTGTTCGTCATGAGGTGGCGGTGGAGTTGATAACTCCCTCGATGTCAAATCACCACCGGCTGTTCTGTTCCTAAACTTGTCGTAAAGTCGCTCAAGTCGAGGACTTACATTCATGAGTAATCTCGTCTTTAGGACTTCATCGTCTGATGCCTGTCCCTGACCCTGCCGTTTCGTAAGGCCTAGTTTGCGGATCATGCGTACAATCTCCGAGCCCATTTCTTCGGCATTGTTGTATCTCTGACAGAGACGTGAAATGGCGGCAGCTCGCTTTTTGGTCTCGGACTGCAGTTGGCTCAATTGTCGTTTTCCTGTCTCTGAAGAGCATCGAGTTCGTTGAGCTAAGAGCTGGCCGGCTAGAATGATGAGGATATTGTGAACTTGTTGTAGTGTGCTGGACATGGCTCTGGTTTCTCGTCGATGTTTGATCAGCTTTTGTGCGAATTCAGCTGTGCTGCCTTGGAAGAGGTCCTGGACTGTTTCACAGTCCTGTTCGTTGGCCTGTACGTCTCGTAGAACTTCTTGTAGTCCACGACGGTAAGTGGCGATAGTTGCACCGTGGGCCTCGATGACTGCTGACAATCTTTCGAGGGTCTGCACATCTTCTTCGAATTTTGAGCTGTGGTTTTATAAGCGTGAGGTCGATAGGATGGAGATCTAGGACCTGTGAAGGGAAGGGAGGATTGGTACTTACCGTAATTCCAAGTTGATAAGCCATTCGACATCCACCAAAGCATCGCCGATTTCGCTCTTAATCGCATCGATGTTTCCCGATAGTTCGGTCCATGTCCAAGTCCCAGAAATGATTGGAACCTCCGAACCTGAATCCAAATGTCTAGTAGAGTGACTGTTCTGCTTGTCCAGTTTCGCTTCGAATCGGTAATAACTATCTCTAATTATGGTTAGAGATGTCATCCATGAGTCTCTTCGAGGATGTTCATTGTCGGCCTCGATATCTTCTAAGCAGTCTTGTATCAAGCCGAATAAGGGACAGAGGTGGTATCGAAGGTAGTCGGATTTAGCTCGATGTCTACCCTGAGTGTCTTTCTCGTCTAAATTGGCGATCAAGGTGTTGAGGACTTGGATGGCTAAGCTGATGTCGGTATACGACCAGCCAAAGGTTGGCTGTGGATCCATGGTTCTTTTGGTAAATGTCCAGGAGTATATCAGAAATCAGTACAGCAACGGTTGGCTAGGGTATGTCGAGACTCTCCAGTTGAGACTCATTTGGAATATTAGGAGATGGATCATTTATAGATATTGGCAATTGCCAGCAAAGAATGCGAGAATCACAACATGTCGAAATGGCATGGTTAGCCTGATGGGGGCGGGCGGAGCAAGACTGGAGGATTCTGGGGGCCGACTGAGATTCTCACAGATTGTATGACAGTAATGGGCTTGGGAGTGAACAACTTTCCTTGGATGCAGGTCATAGAATCAGGCCGCAGTGACCCCGAGTATCATGTATGACCATTTTAAGACTTGATACATCTCTCACATGCAATTTATACATGATATGAATGTGCCGAAGCACAGACTGATTCGTAGGGTTGGGGTTTGAACATGAGGAGGACAAGGATTGAGGGGTTGGTCGCAGGTCTTGATGAACAGAAGTTCCCATATGAAGCGACTACTTACTTTTAATACCAAGCCTGGCAGTGTAAATGCATCCGAACCAAGTAGTCCACTTTGATAGATAAGGTCATGTACCTAGGTAAGTACCTGACTAGTAGAGGATTGAGGATTGAGGCCCCGAGCAGCTTTGGAGGCTTTGGGGACTGTGAAACTCGAACCTTCCAAGGCCTCCGCTCCTTGAGCCGAAGGGGCCCCTCGGGCCTTGGGGTCATCGAGGCTTAGCGAACACCAACAGTGCATCGTGGCCTGGTTAGTCGCTACTCAGGCACAGAGGCCCTCCATAGAACGAATTACTTCGTAGTTAGCGCGTGGAAGTAGTAAGTAGTAGTGTTGACATGTATCACTGGGCCATGGAACAAGTCAAACACAAGTACATCGTCTGCGCCATACACATACTGTGGCTTGGTCCAAATATAGAATGGTGGTGCTTCTGTGTCACCACCCAAATCCTGGCTTAGATTTATAGCCAATGATGCTTGTTGAGGCACTCTTATCATTCTACAGATAATAATTCCAATTGTTAGGTGTTGCACCAACTCAGGCTTCGCCTGAGCAGCCTCAGGATCCGAGTTGACAATCCCTAGAATGCCTCGCTTGTGGAAATCGAACGGAGATAGTTACAGTCATGGAATTGAAGCGACGCTTGTAAAAGAATGTATTTCTTGGTGAGTATCTGTGCATTGTACCATCCGCTATTGCAAATACCGCGATACAGTTAAATGAATGTTGTCGCACCTTCCTCATTAGTAGGATAATGATATGGTGCTTTGGTAAATGCCATAGTCAGTGGCAAGATGCTTGTCACAGGATAATTAATACACTTCTTGAAGGTGTGTCGAACATGATCACGTCCACCCCCACATCCACGAATGGCCCGCAGCTCGAGGAATGGACTGCGTTCGATTTCGGCATGGCTCCAGAGTGTATTACAGGCAGGCCGCAGGCGGGCTAGGGGTCTTTTGGATAATGCAGCTCCAACCGACTGAGGCGAATTGAACAGGACAGTTGATGGTATCATTGGCCATTGTAAAGGATTGTGGTATGGATGTTGGTTTGGAGGATATGTAAAGAAGACTTTGATGGGCTTCCTATAGCTTGAATATTAAGTAAAGTGTTGATTAGGAGAACGCAGAACGGTATACACGCAGGGGAATGGGCGCGGACTATATGGTCATCACGGGGGCTTGCAATGCATATCTTTCACAAAGAAGGATTGGCCAAATTGACTCATTCGAGTCTGCTTCCGACCTAGTTTCAGATAGATGTAGGATGTAGGATACAATGTACAAAGAAACCAAGGTGTCGTCGCTGACTGAATTCGTAGACCGGAAGGCTTAATATTGTTGTCAGGAATGCTTGATATTGTTCTTCGCTGCCCAATGACATCTCGAGACCAGAGCCATGCAAGCACGACGTGATGGTAGACTTGCTTTGTTGCTGGGTCTGGGTTATCCCCCTAGAATCGAGTGAATGGCAGCCACTTGCCGCGCAGCTTGATATTCACCTGATTCGACGTCAGTCACTGTGCTTTGATCACCGGATCTCGCATGCTCACCCATGTGACACCATCCTTGTCGACTTCCTTTTCCACCGAAGTCGAAAATGCAATAGCGCTCATGATTCCATCCCCAAACTTCTCGTTCAAAACAGCCTTGTATGCATAGCCATAGTTTTGCACAATCTCATACAGTCGATAGATCAAGGGCTCTTTAGGAGGCATCTCAACGCTCTTGCCTCGATCAGGAAAGCCACTCAGCTGCGTTTTGAGCGTTGCATGATCAATATTAAGGAATTGTGACAGTTTTTCGATATCCTCTGGTGAGGCTTTGGTCTGGCCGTAGAAGATCGCAGCCACGGCGACTTCGTCTCGTCCCAACGCTTTGGCTAGCTCTTCAAAAGTCACACCTTTCTCCGCCTTTGCCTGGAACAGGGTCGCCGAGGAGGACGGCAGATTGGCATGCTGCGAAGTCTGATTTTGTTAGCCATGTTGCTCTGTTTGTTCAAATGGGTGTGAGCAAAAGACCGACAACTTACATCAAGAGTTGCGAGAGACATGGTGGAGAGTGTTTGTGGATGGGAGGGGACTAGGACACGAGGAGCAGGTTGTGTCACGGTGGAATTGCTGGCGGTGGAATGGGTAATATACTAGTATCTTGCGCAGAATCGAAGCAGAAAAATCTGTCGGAGATCAGCACTTACTAGGTGGTCAAAGAAACTTACCATTTGTATGTGTCTGCGAGGCATTTGATGGCTTTTGAGGTCATGATGGCGAGGGTCAACGGAGATCAGAAATTCCAATTCCCCGCATGAGCGCAGCTTCCGATTTGGGCTTCATGGCTCCATGTCTCCCACCTTCCGAATTGCGGATCCACAATCAATCCGCCGGGACTTTTATTAAAGGCGAATGTGGTGCCAGTGGCATTGGTGGTACTTGGTCCAGGCACCCCTAGGTACCAGGTAGGTACAGAGGTGCTTGTACGATCCTTTTACTTGGTGGTAGTTCTCAGGCACTAGCCGGAACACCTTCTTTGGGATCCGGAGCAAGAGATGGAGGAGGGGCTGAGGGACATGCGGGGTCAGCCACCAGTGCCACCTAGGGGCCTTCCACCCCCCTTACCTCTTAGTTACCTACCTACCTACCTACTTATTAGTACCTAAGGTAGGTAGGTATCTTATACACTGTGCCGAACCCATTCCAATTGATCCTTGACCCTCTTCATTCCCCCTATGTCCGTCTCGTTCTACGCAGCCAGGGCACCATTAGTACCTACATCTCACCGCAGTGCAGTAAAGACATGCGCATTGCTTTACCCGTAAACTACAACTCGATGCTCCTTCTTGTTTTCCTCCTATGTCATTGTGCGCAGCTGCAGCTCCACCATCGTGATTCATGATTCAGGCGCAGCTCCATTCATCCACTCACCAGCATCACCCACGCACTCACTCATCAACCGTTCAACCAGCCAGATGACCAACCCTGGACATATGGGATGCACAATCCTCTAGTCCTCGATGATATGACACGTCCCTAGTCATCAACTTGCTCTCCTACAAATTACCCGACGTCCAACCACAGCCAAAGCCTCTCAACTCAAATCCTCACCTGTTTGCATTGCCACAGGCTAAGCCTGTTCAGCTGAACCTACAAACATGAAACCACGTCCTCACTAGTCACCTCTGATTATGTTATTCTCGTCATTCTTCTCTTTTCTCTCCAGCTATTACTGTCATTTTCATATGCCACTCTTCCACTAGAATTTCAGTTGGAGCCGAAGCCGACTTCTCATTTCCACACCTGCATCTGCAGATGTTCCCAACTGCCACCCGCGAGGATGTCCTACTACCAGCAACCCCCTCAAGCCGATGATGACGGCCTCGCCTATGGTGACGATTATGCTCGGTCTCGAGCTAGCGGCGAGCCTTCCCGAGAACGGTCCGCAATTGGAGATACCTTGAAAAAGTTCAAATCAGGTTACGACAAATTCAAGGCTCCGTCATCGTCCACCCCAAACTATGGCTACACAGATCCATTGACGTCTAACCAAGGCTATTCTGCCCAGCAAAGTCTCAACACTGGTTATCCTCAGCCTGGCCAGTCTGCATATCCTGGAGGACCCCCGGCTCAAACTCCCTCGCCCAGACCAGACCTAGGCACTCAACTCTTGAGCACCCTCCATTCCACCGTTCACAACATAGGCACAGACGTAGCCGGCATATTCGGTACCAATCCTCCCAACACTTCTTCAGGTCAGGGCGGCTACAGTACTTTCTCCAACACTGGAGCCAATGTCCAACCGCAAGGCCGCAATCGTTTCGAAAGCTTTGCTCCCGAACGTCCCGGCACAGACGTCAAATGGTATGTCGATGGCTGTAGCTATTTCTGGGCCGTGAGTCAAGCCCTTGAAAGTGCAAGAGAGTCCATCTGGATTCTCGACTGGTGGCTTTCCCCCGAGCTCTACCTTCGCCGCCCTCCATCCAAGAACGAGCAATGGAGGCTCGATCGAACCCTCCAACGTGCCGCCCAGCGTGGTGTGAAAGTCAACATCATTGTCTATAAAGAAGTGACCCAGGCTTTGAGTGCGTACATCTCTTCTCCCGTCATCAACCATCTCCATTCTCTCCTTCCTCCATCCACCAGTGCCATGACCTCGTTCGTTGTTGCCCTCGGCCTTCGAGCAACCGCCACTTCAATCGACTATCTCGAAAAAGAGAACCCACTAATTCTTCCACCTCTAGCTCTATCCTCTGCTCATACAAAGCACGAATTGGAAAAGCTCTCCCCGAACATCGCCGTCTTCCGACACCCCGACCATCTTCCCGACGCTCAAACCGCCCATTCTTCTCTTGTGTCCTCCCTGCAGAACCTCAAACTTGATGCCGCCGGCGCTTCTAAGCTTGGCAGTGATGCTTTGAAAGGACTGTATGGGTTCCATGACGATGTTATCCTGTACTGGGCCCATCACGAGAAGCTTTGCTTAATTGACGGTAGGATTGCTTTCATGGGCGGCCTTGATCTCTGTTTCGGCAGATGGGATACCAATCAACATGCAATTGCCGACGCCCATCCCAATAACGTCAACGATGTCGTCTTTCCGGGGCAAGACTTTAACAATGCCAGGTATGAACCATGCTTTGATTCTTCTGTTATTTTACTTGGTGGCAGGCCTGATGTGCTCCACAACGAGCGCATCCAAGATCTAATACTGACGCTCCCAAAACAGAGTCATGGATTTTAGTGATGTCGCAAATCCGTTCCAGAACAAGCTTGATAGGACAAAGAGCTCTCGCATGGGATGGTAGGCCAACATAGACTCTGCTTGAGCTTTACTGATTTTTTCAGGTCTGATATAGCTTTGAGCTTGCACGGTTCGTCTGTACAGGATCTTCGTCGACATTTCATCGATCGATGGAACTTTATCTACGATGAAAAGTACGCTGTCCGCCGAGATGCACGTTACATACGCTTTGGGGGCAATGCTCCGCTCTCTCAACCTGGTTTCTCGCAGCCCCCTCAGCCACAGGGACACCAGCAGCCTGGTGGACTGTTCCCTCCTCCTCCTGGCAGCCAACCCTACACACCACCAGCCTGGCAAAGCACAAGCAGTTCTCACACTCCCAACCCACAAGAGCAGCATCAAAGTCAACAGTCGATCAGCCCCAGCAATACCGGTGGCCCGGCAGCCCATTGGCAGGCACCTGCAGGGCAATATGGCAACCTTCCACCCCCACCACCGGGTGGGCCTCCATCTGTGACGGCACCATCCCAAGGTTTCTCGGGGTATAATCCTTCGACAAGCTCACAGCCACAGTTTCAGGGAAATTCCCAGCCAGGGGCAAGTCCACCGCCTCAGTATGGAGGATACCAGCCATCTTCAAGCCCTCAAGCTCAACCTCAATCGTCAACCTATGATCAGGGATTCAACAGTTCTCAACAGCCTTCGCCACAGCTGTATCAATACCAACCAAATCAAGCTCCGATAGGGCAACAAACCCGTGGGTTTGATGACTTCAGCCCTGGACAGGAGAGTGATCGAGGCTCAGTCAACGACCGTGGTTTGCGAGGAAAATTCAACCAATACCGCGATGAAGGTTTACGCATTGGCCAAGAATTGTCCTCACTAGGGAACATCGTGTCAGGAGGCGTGGAGCAGAAATTTCAGCAGTACACTGGCAAGTATTCTTCGACTACTGACAGCTACGGCCGTCCTCACAGCCCACGTCGGCCGGTGATGACGACGCAAATCCTCCGCAGCTCCAGCAAGTGGAGCAATGGCACTCCACTTGAGACATCGATTCAGAACGCCTACATCGAAGTCATCCGAAACAGTCAGCATTTTGTCTACATTGAAAACCAATTCTTCATCACCGCAACCGGGGATCAGCAGAAGCCTGTGAAGAATTTGATCGGGCAAGCCATTGTCGAGCGAATTCTGCGTGCAGCCAGAAACGGAGAGAAGTATAAGATCATTGTCGTGATTCCAGCAGTTCCCGCTTTTGCTGGCGACCTGCGAGACGAAGACTCCTTAGGCACTCGCGCCATTATGGAGTTTCAATATTTCAGCATTAATCGGGGTGGGCACTCGATCATGGAGAAGATCGCACAAGCTGGCTTCAACCCAATGGACTATATTCGATTTTACAACCTGCGCAATTACGATCGAATCAATCGAAATGTGCGCGTTGAACAACAAACACATGTAGGGTATGAGGATGCACGGAAACAACACGACGATGCGGTTGGTGCCGGGTACGGTCCATATGGTGAGCGGACCGGTGTCGCGCAGCCGGGCCAGGGATCACAATATCAGCAGTATCAAGCTGCCGCGCAGAGTGTCCCTGGAAGTGGACGTTGGGACAGCGTTTCCGAGTGCTACATGCTAGGCGGGCAGGACATTCGGTCAGTCCCTTGGGACGGTCCCGCCGAGGCAGAGCTGGACGCGTTTGTGAGCGAGGAACTCTATATCCATTCCAAGGTGAGTTAGACATGCAGTGAGGAATTAACTGTGAGCATGATGCTGACAAGTTGCAGACGCTGATTGCCGATGACCGAATTGTGATTTGTGGGTCGGCCAATCTCAATGATCGCAGTCAACTGGGATCGCACGACAGTGAAATTGCCATTCTGGTCAATGACCCGACTCCTGTGCAGAGCTCCATGTGTGGGCAGCCTTACCAAGTCAGCCAGTTTGCCGCATCGTTGAGACGGCAATTGTTCAGAAAGCACCTTGGCCTGATTGCGCCGCAGAATATTGAGAGACCAGATGCGAACTACGAGCCCGTTGGAATTCCAAATGGATACGATTGGGGAAGCCCTGAGGACAGGATCGTGGCTGATCCGCTTAGCGATCCTCTTCAGAGTCTCTGGAACACTCGGGCGAGAACCAACACCGAGGTGTTTAGAAAGGCATTTCGAGCAGTACCGGATGACAACATTCACTCCTGGGATGAATACAAGGAGTTTTATGAATTCTTCTTTCAATCCAGGAGTGAGAAGTTTAACAACCAGGGCCAGAGCAAGATGCCACCACGAGTCGAGTATGGACATGTTGTGCCTGGAGATTTCCCAGGTGGTGTACACGAGCTCAAAGAACTGCTAAGCCAGGTCAAGGGAACGTTGGTGGAGATGCCATTGTGCTTCTTGCAGAGTAAGTGGGAAACAGTCTACGCTGGGTTGTGGATACTGACTTGTACCAGATGAAGATATTGCAAAGGAGGGGTTGACCTTGAATGCCTTGACAGAGGAGATTTATACGTAGAGGGCATGATTGAAGTACATGATGACTGCCATTGAAGACATGAATACGACGATATGCTGACGATGCTGACGATGATGATGATTCCATGTCTGACATGAAGATGATTGCATGCTTGTATCTTCAATTACAGTGCATTTTTCAAGGCAGATAGATGCGTACTTAAGGTTTATAGCGATAGTTTGGATCTGCCTGTACACGTGCCGCCTCATATATTCATCTCGAGGCTTGGCATGGCTGTCATCGCATCTATCTTGACTCTTTACTCCAGATCCTTTGTCTTCCTGTAACATCTCCTAAATATTAGTCATGTCGAACACCAGGCAGCGTTAGATGATGACTTGCATGTGGAACCAGCTGTTCAATCTGAGTTGCAGCAAATGTTCGAAGGTTAATAAATCGTGAATAGCACGTGGGTTGAGTCAGGAGTGGCATTGTTGCCGATATTCTTTTGCTATTTCTTTCCCTCCCTCCTTCCTACCTTCCTTCCCTTTCGCCTTCTTCATCCTCCTTCCTCTAACTGCGAATGACTTTGACTTTCTTCTCAGTTCTCTGCCCTTTTCTTTCAACCCTGGTACTTTCTGGCCTTTGACAAAGTCCTCTCATTCGAGTTCGCTGTCGAGGCCTCTACTATCATCACTCTCCAGCACCTTACTTCCTTCCTTCATCCCTCACATCTAATCTACACCACACAACTCTATCGCCATTATGTCGGTGCCTTGCACTTTCAAATCCTGTCCTCGAACCTTCAAGACTGAAAAGCAGATGAAAACTCACAAGATCTATGACCCCCAACATTCATATTGCAAATGCTGCGATGAGGATTTCGAAGATGATCTGGGTCTCTTCATTCATCAGCTAGGAAGCTCCAATCATAGTAAGTCCCCAATCTGCTCCTGTTGTCTGTAATTTCAATCTGATTCTCATAGTCGTGTGCCCCGTCGATGCTCTAGAGTTCAGAAGCTCGGCCGCCAGGGACATTCATTTTGAACAAGTAAGCTTCCTTGTCGAGTTACCCATCAGCCCTAACCACTCGACAGTGCCACCCTCAGAAGCAGAGTCTCAACTGTGCCGGATGTGAAGGTCTCTTCACCTCAGCAAGCTCTCTAGTGCGTCACATTGAAAAAGATGAATGTTCTGTCATTCGATCAACAGAATACCACCTTCAACGAGTCGATCGTCAGCTTGACAAGGAAGCCTGGGAATCTGAGGCCAAGGGTTCCAACTTTCCGTCGGCTGACTCAATCATAACTTCTCCTCCTATCTCTAAACCTACCACCAGCTTCCTAAAGCCAGATCTCTCTGTCCCACTCGGCGGACCTATCCCCAACTCTCCGATTGAGCAATTCCCTCACCTGCCCGATCTACGTCAATCACGGGCCCCTTCTGGGGCTGTATCTTCGATCCGCCAGTCAAAGACTGATCTACTTGATCTCACGGAGCCTGAAGCACGTATGGGTCGACTAAAACTCTCGCACCATTCGTGGAGTAAAGACGGCACGTACCACTGTGATGACGAGCCACAATCGCATGTCACAGACGATAGGGTCCATTACTGGCTCAAAGCTCAAGATGACAACTTCAGCCCAGCCGAAGATGCTCCAAGCAGACCTCATACCGAGTCGAGTGAAAGTCCAGGTGGTATGAGCTCCATCACAAAAAAGCAAAACTACGTACCTCCCTCAATCAGGTCCAGACAACCAGTTCAGCATGAAGACATCAATCACATCCAGCTACAATCCGTGACAAATCAGTCGGTCATTTCCTCTCCCTCTCTCGATGCTGAGCGCTTTTGGGACCCCTGGCGGGAAGAATTCGTCTGCACCGCCCACGGTTGCCATGGGCAAGGCTTTAAAACCCATCAAGAGTTCCAGCAACACAAGCTATCTTCTATTCATACTGGCGGCCAGGTCGTCTGTCCAGGCTGTCTCAAGTGGTTTAAAACTCAGGCTGGATTTTTGGCCCATGCTGCCACTAGGAATAGGAAGTGTAAGGTGAAGGAGAGTTTTCATTTCAATACGGTGGTTCGAGAACAAACGGGGGGCATGCTTGGAGCAGAGGGCTTCATGGAAGATGGCGTCACTCCCCGATTCACAGCACAGAAACTCCAGGATTGGTAGAAGGGTAATTGTCATTCATGCATAGAAACAGTGCAGCGCTGACAGAGGCCACGACTAAGAATGACGACGATGACGACGGCGACGATATTTGAACGAATGGAGAGGACTGACAGCGACACCGATCTGCTGAAATGCCACATAGTCCTTATCATATTGGGGAGTTTGCAATGACTGGCTTGAGCTATCGAGCAAGCTCAAACCGCGGAATTTGAGGCATATTCTCAGTTTCAGTCAAGTTACAATTAACAGAGCGTTGATCTAATTCGTAAAGTTATATTCAAGGAGGTGCTTTGGATCTTTCTTGCGAACTACTGAGTATAGATCCAACCCAAGAACAGCAGTAACATGAATTGGCATTTCAATTGCAAGGAACTCTACACAATGATACAATAGACACAAGCACTATCACTACGAGTTGAAAGATCACAATCGACTCGTGAAACCATCACGATCAATCTTGGCCAGATATTCCCGAGAAATATCTTGCACCTTCGTAACACCAGCCAAACCCATACACAAACGGAATTCATCAATCAAGAGACGCAAACACAACTCGACGCCCTGCTGGCCCTTATATGCCAACCCCCAGAGCACCGGCCTCCCAATCCAACAAAAGTCCGCTCCCAAAGCCAGCGCCTTGAAAACATCTGTTCCATGACGAATCCCCCCGTCGACATGGACAGGAATACGTTTCTTAACGGCAGCCACAACTTCAGGTAAGGCATCAAGTGTCGCCAACGCCCCGTTGAGTTGTCGTCCGCCATGGTTCGACACCACAATACCGTCGACTTTGTGTTTAATGGCGAGTTCAGCATCTTCACCTGTAGCGACGCCTTTGACCCATACTTCCATGGGTGCGGCTTCTTGTTTGAGCCAGGGAATTGATTCTTCCCAGCTTAACGTGGGATTTGCCGCGTGTGTGTGGAATGTGATTGGTCCGGTGGGAAGAGTTCGTTTGTCGCCATCTTGAGAGGCGGGCTTTGAGGAGCGGCGGCGTGGTGCGGGTTTCTTTTCATCGTCTTCGTCTTTGTCTTCGTCCTGTTGAATTGCATGTTCGTTGTCGTCGTCATTTTGAGTGAAATTCGCAATTTTCAGATTCGATGGTAATTTGAATTGGTTACGGATCTCGAGATTACGTCGTCCAATCATGGGTGTGTCCACGGTGAGGAGAACAGCTTTGTACCCGGCCTTTTTGGCTCGTTGGATCATTTTTCGCGAATGTTCTTTTTCCTCGAAGAGATAGAGTTGGAGGACGTTGGGGATATCGCCGCTGGCTTGTCGTACGTCTTCGAGTGTAGTGGTTGAGAAGGAACTGAGACCCATGATGATGCCTTTGGCGGCACAGGCTCGAGCCGTGGCTAGTTCGCCATCAGGATGTGCTAGACATTGCATCGCCGCGGGAGCTACGCCCATGGGGATGGTGTTGCGGTGTCCGAATACGGTGACCGATGGGTCGATCATGGAGATGTCGCGAAGTACTCGTGGCCGGATACGGTATTTGTTGTATGCGGTCATGTTCTCCTGTAGTGTGGTGTTGGAGTCGGCGCCTTCATTGTAATAGTCGCGGGTTTGCTTGTCCATGCGATCTCGGGCTAGGACTTCGAGTTCGCGAATGGAGAGGCAGTTGAGGTCGTGGTCGGTGGGTTTTTCGGATGCTGGTGGAGCCATGATGGAGTGGACTTGCAAGGAATTGCAAGCAAATAGATGGATTTGTTCTTGATATGGTGCTGGATTTCAATTGTTTGTCCCCTTGTTGTGACCTGTATTGGTCTGATGAAGCAATATTGCGAATACTTATATCTAGGACCGTACCCGATATTCTGTATATCACATTCACTCTGACCGTAGCCGATGGGTTGGTCGGTAACAGTATAGTTGGTGAGCCAGGAGGCAGAATTGGGTGTGTTTAGAGTTTCCGGTAAGAAAGCCGGGAACCTGGGGTTTGCCCGTATAGGAATGAAACAACGAGGGGCAGGACCGCCAGATTTGACTAGTTAGAAGTTGGGGGTCTATTTGGCCTTTATCAAGGTGAGAAGGCCAGACGTAGAGGATAAATGGCCGTGAAGTCCAAGGGGAGAAAGCCCGAATTGTAGAAAATGTTGACGTGCTGGTGGAAGTGGTGGATCCGCGATGTCGGAGCTGAAGAAATACGAATCAAATTGGACAGCAGGAAATGAAAACAGAATAGACGAATAATGGAGGGGAAAAGAATCAACGTGTAGAAGATAGCATACCTAGGTTCATATCTTTGATCTCCAAGAAACTTACCTGTATTTGTTTGTCGGTAGCTTGCCTCTATGGACAGCTTCATGACGATAGTTGATCAGATCAGAGATGGGGAATGCAAGCAAGGGTTCAGACTGGAGTGACTGTGACGTCGTTGAGGCGTCGACATAAACGGAATAGCGTTATAATTGAACTACGGAGGATCATATATGCTGCAGACGACTTGACGACGATGTCAGTAAACAGACTTGCAATGCAACATCAAATGCAAGCTACTTGTCAGCAGGAGTCAGAGGACTAGCTATAGTCCTTATCAAAATTCCCTGTCGCCTAGCTGTGGTTCACATTGCCCTGATTCTCCGAACTTCAAAACTGGCCATGTCACCACCTTAGGTCGAATACTCATGTGCAGTCAGAGGTTGTCATCTTCAACATGAGCAACCTTACATCCACGATTCAAGACCTGGCCTCGAATCCAAAGCACACGAGATGGATTGGACCTCTGATCATAGCCGGTGAAGCTGCGCTATGTGCCTTGATCATTTGGAACGTACCTTGTATGCGCATTAGCCGCCTCCTCCATGCTGTCATCTTCCATGTTCGAACCGCTGACATCCATTAGATACCGAAATTGACTGGTCCACCTACATGACCCAGATCCATACATTTCTTAACGGAGAGAGAAACTATGCCAAAATTACCGGTCCGACTGGGCCCTTGGTCTACCCAGGTCTTCACGTCTTCCTCTATTCCCTACTCTGGCGTTTGACCGACGCAGGCGAAAACATCTTCAAGGCCCAGGTCATCTTTGCTGGACTATACCTTGTCACTCTGGCAATTGTCATTGCCTGTTACAGGAGAGTAGGAGCACCTCCGTGGCTGTTGGTGCCACTCGCCTTGAGCAAGAGACTGCATTCTATATTCCTTCTACGATTGTTCAATGATGCGTGGGTGGCCCTGGCCTTCTGGGCCACCATCTATTTCTTACAACGGCGGAGATGGCAAGATGCAGCAATTGCTTGGAGCTGTGGTCTTACAATAAAAATGACCATGCTCTTGACAGCGCCCGCACTCGCCGTGATACTGCTTCAAGCACAAGGAATTGTCGGAGCCATCTTCTCCGGCGTTTCGATTTTGGTCATTGGCTATTTTGTCTCCGCACCCTTCGTCGCCACCGACTACCAGGCCTATTTTGCGCGAGCATTCGACTTTGGGAGACAATTTCTCTTCAAGTGGACCGTGAACTGGAGGTTTGTCGACGAGGCAACGTTCTTGTCAAAGGGCTTTGCCATCAGTCTCCTCATTGTCCATGTATCATTACTAGTGGTGTTCATCCAGCTCAAATGGACCAAACCAGCTGCATCGAACCCTCCAGACTTCTTCAAGCGATATCTGGGCATCTCGAACTCAACCGATCGAGAATTGATCTCGAAAAGGATCACACCGACATTCGTGATGGATACTATGACTGCGAGTATGGTCATAGGCTTGTTGTGTGCCCGGAGTTTGCATTATCAATTCTTTGCATACCTCGGCTGGACCTCTCCGTATATTCTTTGGAGGTTCGGTGGCAGCCCGTCGGTCGTCCTGTTAGGATGGGCAGTGCAGGAGTATGCGTGGCTCGTGTTCCCTGGCACGAACTTGAGTTCCGCCTTGGTAGTGTCATCGCTGACGCTTCAAGTGGCATGTGCCCTCATTGCTCCTCCAGTCGACCATATTCGCCCACCTGCGAGGGATGTGAGCAAGGCCGAAGTAAAAAGGACATGATCGACTGAGGCAGTAGCGTCGTGATCAAGTAGTATCCTCTTCACTGTCACTTGGTGGCATCTTGCCAACATTGGATTCTTCCTCATCGCTGTCTACAGGCACAGCCTTCTTGACAAATTGTGGTGGCCAGTATGGTTGTTTTCTCCACATCTTTTCATCACTGGCAATATTGATGATGTCTCCCTGGATCTTGTTTTCTCGATCATCAGTGTTGGAGGTGTCGATGAGAACATAGCCACCTCGCTTGATCCAAACTGTGGCTCGGAACTTGGAGTCGAGTTCGACTAGAAGGGTTTGGGACTCGGGAGTTTGCACCGTGTAGAGGTCCTTGCCATTAGCTTTGATAACGCGAGCGATGCTTTGACTTTGTGTCAAGGTGTCTGGAGGGGTCAGGGTTTCCGCGACGGTATTTCTAAGCCTGCGCCGCGACATGGCTCATGAAATAGGCAGATACAGGGTCTAGACGTCAGTCATGATATAGTAACGAGGAGAGGCACACCAGGACACCAAAAATTAGCTGCAGGGCGTTGATCATACTTCGTGCCTCCCCAATTATTGTTACTGCGTGACTTCCCTATCTGTTGCGTTTGTGCCAAGATGATACCAGTCCCAGTCAGGAAAGCCGCCCGGAGTCCTCCATCTCAAACCCAAGTCAAAGGAAGTCACGGTCCGAAGTCCTTTCATGTCCATTTATCATCAAATGTTGGGGATTTTACTCATCCTTACCTTTTGACGATCCACATCTGTCTGGCTCAGGCAAATCATATCTTAGACCTATTTTATGTGACGCTGAAGACCCTAATGCAACAATGCAGAATTTAAACATGCTTTTCCCATCAGGCTCGTGCTCGCCTGGCTACATTGACATGTGAATGACTCCTCAGATAAGTACAAGATCAGGCACTTAACAGTATCTCTTCCCAGACGCTCCATAATTGCATTCTTCCATGGACGACGTTTCTTGCCTCATGTGATTTCTATCCTCTTCAATCATGTCTGCTCCAGTCTTTGGAGCTTTCATCACCCATGAAAGTACTCCTGCCCCTGTTCTCCCTGTCCTTCACCGAGACCAGATCACCAGTGCAGCTCCAACGCAATACGAGCTAGACGACTTGAGGTGGGGCGAACGACTGAATGGGCCTAAAGATCGCTTTATTGGCGAGCAACCAGATGCCATCTCATCGATCCCTCCCACTCCAGGAGAACTGGAATCAAGCCAGCCCCCAACTCCCAAACAAGATCAAGCCGTCGATGCTGTGGTCATCCAGTCTGCCTGGAACCCTCCAAAGAACAAATGGAGATTGGCATCTGCTGGACTTATGTTTTTGACCATGGGCCTCAATGACGCCGCGACAGGAGCCTTGATTCCATATCTTGAAACTGAATATCATATTGGATACGCTGTCGTGTCTTTGATTTTTGTGACCAATGCCCTTGGTTTCATCTCCATGGCGCCCCTAGCCCAGACAATCGAGGCTAGCTTCGGAAGGAGTTGGTCATATGTCCTCTCGACGTCGCTCATGAGCTTGGGGTATGTTGCTCTGGTTTGCACTCCTCCCTTCCCAGTTGTCATCATGAGCTTCTACTTCATTGGCTTGGGCATGGCTATGTTTTTGAGCATGACCAACGTCTTCATCGTGAATCTTTTGAATGGTACCGTGATTCTCGGTTTTATGCATGGATTGTATGGAGTAAGCGAACTCGTCTCCTTGCTGTTTGCTTTGCATCCTAACATTATCAGCTTGGTGGTGTCATCTCTCCTCTTATGGCAACTGCAATGGTCTCTCGTGGCATCCAGTGGTCTCGATTCTATCTCATACCACTGTCGATTACTGTGACTTCGATTTTCTGCATAGGTTGGGCGTTTCGAGGGTTTGAAAATGATGCTGCCACTCAACTACTCACGTCGCTCGAGAGAACTGCATCACGGCAAGCAGCCGCTGCTGGAGAGCCGACAAAACTTCAGATTCTCAAAAGGGCTCTCAGACAGAAACCTACCATTCTTGGGGCCATTTTCATCTTGTAAGTGCATCCTCCTGGAAAACACAACCTGATGCTAATTGACCCGTTCAAGCTTCTATCAAGGGGCTGAAGTGGCTATTTCCGGTTGGGTCATTTCTTACTTGATCACATACCGACAGGGAGATCCTGCCCAAGTGGGCAATGTGACGAGCGGGTGAGTTGATGCTACCTTGGGCCCAGAGGTATCAGAGCTAACAGTAGTGGACAGGTTCTGGGGTGGCATTACTGTCGGCCGCTTTGTGCTCACACACTTTGCTCACAAACTAGGGGAGAAACGAGCCGTGTTTGGTCTAATATGCGGTGCGGCTGTCTTTCAACTCTTGGTTTGGGTGGTGCCCAACATCATTGGCAATGCCGTGGCAGAATCGATCGTGGGACTGTTCCTCGGTCCTGTCTACCCCTGTGCCACTGCTGTCGTCTCAAGACTGCTACCTCGGAACATCCAAATCAGTGCACTATCGATTGTCACATCCATGGGTTCATCTGGAGGCGCATTGGTTCCTTTCATCACCGGTCTAATGGCTCAAAAATTGGGTACAGTGGTCCTGCACCCGATCGTATTAATATCTTTTGCTTTCATGACCTTGACGTGGGCGCTCTTGCCACGCATTGGGAAGAGAAGCGAATGATCAGGCTTTGGCTTGGGTAGTCAACGACGTCAGATGGCTTGTCCATGCGCTTCTCTCACTACGGACCTGATACTCGACACAACTATTGATTCTTTTGCAGTCACCTGCTTCCCAAGAGGCTCTCAGTAGCTGTTGCCATACCGGGCACGAAGGTGGTCCTCGGCTCTAATAGGCTCATGTCGCGGCTTTTCTCCTGGCTGCAGGCATGTTGGGATGCATTCAATCAGTTGGTGTCCCAACCCTTCGTTGAAAAAGGCAACAGAATATCGGTCCTTGGTGGAGACGGGCGAGATGACCCTATGAAGAGTTGAAGTATACATATTATTGGTCCATCGTTCTAGAGGCTGTCAGCGCATCAATGTCATGGAAACCGAGGAGTGGAAGCCTTACCCATCATATCTCCAATGTTGACCACAAATGCGTCTTTAATGGGAGTTACCTGGTGCCATGTTTCTGAAGGTTTATGGAAAACTTCAAGGCCACCGACTTGCAGTATGTTAGTGATGGAAGATACGTCCAAGATTGAATAGTACTCACTATCATCTTGCATCAGCAAAGTCAAAGCGCCGAAGTCTGTGTGTGCACCAATGCCCCTTGACTTGTTGGCCATCTCTGGCGTTGTTGGAGGATATCGATGAGCGCGACACATGGAAATCGCTAGGTTCGAATTAGTGGCTATCACAATAAAGCGCAACGCAGGTCCTGCCGGACAGAACAAGACAAGATACTCACAGTCTTTACTACCCACAAACTCATCAAAATATGTCTCCTCCAAATTTAGACTCAAGGCCATCAACCGAAACATGGTTTTACTCAAATTGAGAATCTCCTCAAAGTAAGCCGTATAAACTTGTCGTAAGCCTGGCGCATCTTCCTCTGCTGGCCACTGATTTGGCCCTTGCAGGAAAAGCGCATCGGCAGGAAAGTCAGGTCCAATCATGAAGCCTTCCTTTTGATCTGAGAACCCGCCTTCGAGTTTCTGCTCTCCGACAGTTTCATACCCGCGAAGACATTTGGATTGGCTACGATGAAGGGCTTGTTTGGTGGATGCGGGAAGAGCAAAAAATTGCGACAACTTGGAGAGAAGCTCGGCGCGCAGCGACGCGGGGACTTGGTGGCCTGTAATTTGGAAGAATCCCGGTGCCATACAGGCGGAGCGGAGCTCGCTGGCAATCTTTTTGGCTTGTGTGGCATCGCCGGCGAGGTAGCCGGAAATGTCGATCAAGGGGATTTGAAGGTTGCTAGGTGCCTCGGCGAGTGAGCCCATGATTGATGTTAACGATATGACGGATAAATAGATTGGTAGATGGTGATGCGATATTTGATATTCTTATTTCTCCCCGAATATTGGGATGGTCACGTTTGATGATGTCTGCTGGGGGGGTTGGTAGAGTTGAAGTTCACGTTTATCCACTTGGGCCTGGAGAAAAATATAGACTGACATTAATGGTGCCGTAGTCGGCCAATACTATAAAAATGCCTAGCTTCGACAAGACCTTGGGTCCTTGACAATCGATTTCTTCCATCCAAGTCCAACAAGAGGCCACCCACCCATAGTCGTACATACATCACGATTGAGACCGGGCTAGATCAGACCACAGACAATCACGAAATCAGGATACCATATCACATGAGCGCCTGTTACCGAATGCTAATCAATCGGCCAAAGACAACACACGCAACGCACGGTGATACTGGGGAAACTCTACCTCGGATATCCATACTTTATTTATTGTTTCAGTTCTCCACGAAACAGGAACTCCATACGTAGAGTGGTTTGTACAAAACTCACGTGGCATGCGGAGAAACACGTCTAGACTCTTACATACTACTCCGTACCTGATCGATATGGCAAAAGAATATTCCGATGGTGGAAAGGTCTTCCAATAGAGGAAATCCTGGTATCTGTGCTTGAAGCTTATCTGTGGCCAATCAACACGTGAGATAACGTCTGTGATAACGACGCCAGATAAAGATAAGCTGGTGGACGGATTCTTGTTATCGAGACTTGGGATTCGTCAATGGGACTGCAACGCTAGGCTGTTCTTGCAAAAGGTAAACATTTCACATCCACTGCGTTTTGGGTCCTTGTATGAGTAGGTGAGTAGGGAGTCGGTGGGTGCAGTTTTGGGCAAGGTGATTGCTTCGGGGAATACGGAGTAGTGAGGAGGAAGTAAAGGAGGTGGTGAAGAGCTGATGAAGAGCTGCAGGTGGTTCCGAGTAAAAGGTACGGAGTAGTTGGGTTTGCGGCTAAGGGTATATCCGCATTTAAGGATGGAGGGGGAGGGATGTGGGATGTGAGATGTGGGCAGGTTGCTTACAAGCAGCCACCAACATCAACATATTGAAAGGTGCACACACCCGCGAAACCAGGATAGAAGCATGAAAATGAAATAGTTCTAGTTATTAACTTAAATGCCAACAATATGCAATTTCAACCTGATATGATGATATAGTGCGTATATACAGTAATAATGCCACTCATCAAGATTTCTTTCCTCTTCCTTCTTCAAATTCCTCAATGAGTCGCATCTTCCCAACCTTGCCACCCTCTCCCTTCGACTTTCTTCAACTCCTCCTCTGTATATGTCGCGCCAGTAGTAAAGTAACCGGCGTTGATCTTGGCGTCAATCTCCACTCTTGAATCTGCGGGAATCATTTCTGAGAGAGGTGTTAGTCGAGGCTAATGGCAGAAGGAAGGATAGGTGTAGTTTTGACTTACCATCGGGAATGGGGATTCGTTCGTAGATGGGGATACCTTGCTCAACAATGGCATCGTGTTTCATGTTGGACATGGACAGCATTCGGTCGATCTTGGTGATGCCTAGCCAGTGGAGGATATCGGGCATCAAAGCTTGGAATCGCATCTAGTAGGGGATATGGTGTTAGTTGAAGGGTCTGGTGATAGTTTGGGGACGGAGGAAAGGATTCAACTTACATCTCGCACACCAGCGACATTCTCAGTCCTTTGGAAGTACTTGTCGGCAGTGTCACCACCTCGTTTCCGTGCGTTGTACACGAGGTACTTGACAACCTCTCCGAGAGCGCGACCTTCCTTTCTGAAGTAGATGACCACACCAGAGCCGCCGTTCTGAGCTTCCTTGATAGCCTCCTCGATACCGAATGCGAGATAAGGTCTACAGGTACAGATGTCGGACTGGAAGACGTCGGAACCGTTGCACTCGTCGTGTATCCGCAGGGCCAGCTTAGCATTAGGGTCTGAAACCTTTTCGGGAGGGCCGAAGATGTAGACGGTCAGACCGCCGATGGGGGGCAAGAAGACGTTAAGGTCGGTTCGGGTGATGAGTTCAGGATAGCTGCCACCGGTGTGTTCGAACAGGGCCCTCCGCAGCGTCGACTCCTCGACGCCAAATCGCTCTGCCACACCAGGGAGATACCACACGGGCTCGACAGCGACCTTGGTGACACGAACGTCTCCAGCTTGGTTCAAGACCACACTGCCATCGACGCTGACTCGTCCATGTCGCAGCGACTCGGAGATTTCCGACACTCTCATGGTAGCTCTGGTGACGGCAATGGTTGGTCGCACATCAAGGCCCTCGTCCATGTATTTACCGAAGTGCTTGACGACGTCGTTGCCAAATGGATCCATCGACACGATCTTCTTCGGGTCGCCCCAAGCCGGTTGTTGAGGAAAGTCAAAGGTTGGTTGTGTGTTGGTGAAGTTGGGTCGGAAGTCTCGTGCCAGGTCGCCCGCGGCGATGGCCAACGCATTGTAGAATGAGTATGAGCCGCCGTGCGCGCCAATGGCATTGCGTCGCTTGAAGCTCTCGTCGCTGCGTGACACGATGATGGGCCCTCGCTCTTGAGGGTCTGCAGCGCCCCATTCCAAACTAATTGGGTCTGCGACACTCTGGCCTGGGTACGTCGTCAGTACGATTCGGTTGTTGTATCTCGAAGACACAACGCTCGAATTGCTGCTGCTGGTTTTCCTTGACAGAACGCCATTGGGACGTTGTTTCTGCTGGAGCTGTTGTTGTTGCTGTTGCTGTTGCTGTTGCTGCTCGTCTTGTTCCTCGAGGATGGCGGAAGGCATGTTGGCGAATTTGGCTCTTTTGCTGGGAGGTTCGGTGACAGCAGGGTTCTCGGCAAGAGTCAGATGGGATATTGGTTGGTCGCCCATGGTTTTGCAGAAGACGATGGACATAAAAAGGATTCTCTACTTCCAAGGTTCTAGCAGGCTTGTCACTCCACGTGATGCAGACTTTGACAATCGATCGCCAATCATTCCGATAGTCGTGTAGCAATGGATCTCTCCGTCATGATCTCTCTGGTCTAGGGTTACGCTCAACTGCGATACCCAGGAACAGAGAGATATGAGACGAGCTATCTATGATACAGGGTCAGGTTCGCCTGTGGGGAGCACCGCAAGCCCCCCGCTCTGCGTCCAGGGTACTTTGGCCAATGGTGCGCTTATCATGATAAGGTGATAGGAGCGTGCCTGGAGATTGCATATAGAGGTGGGTCGTGGCGGTCGTGGCCCGCTCACTGCGTCTAAGTAGTCGAGATCCAGGCTTGCATGCGACACCCGCCTTAATTTAGCTTCGAGTGTAAGTAGATTCCGTTAGGGGTTTCAACGAGTATTTGCAGCCTCGGTAATCGATGCAGCGGTTGTTTAGATTCTAGAAATGCTACAGAATGTGTATCATGTCGCCAGGGTGCTAGCCAGCCATGGGTCCAACCGTGCCGTAGAACAGTAGCCATGGATTAGAACAAAGTCCCATCCCCGTCAATGAGAATAGGGCTGGACATGGTCTCAGGTCTCTTCGCCTTGGCCAATTCCCGTCCTGCTTTCCAACTTCCAGCCTCGAGCATCTGAGCCATCGAGAGGCTAATGCCCTGTTTGGCAAACTTTCCCGCCACAAGACCATGCAGCCGATCCAGGAGAGCGACGGTCAAGGCGCGCCATTCCACAATCACGTCAGAAGTGTCGCCATAGATTGGTAGATCTTGACCGGAGGCTTTTTGCCCTGCAGCCAGCGTCTCTGGCTTGAGCTGTAGAACCTCCAAGTCGACGAACAATCCTCCATTTCGGTACTCCGGTAGACCTGTACCGGACTCCATCTCTGTCCACTTTAGGCCTAGTACCCTCTCAAACGGTACTGAAAGTGAGTATGCAAGCCATTGCGTAAGCTTGTGGAATGGTTGGATGGTACTGATGGTGCCTGCTGTCTCTGTTGATTGCGCCGCAAGGGCTTGCAATGGCCACGCGTCTCCAATTGGCCGTCCATTGACATGGGTACGTGATTTTGGCCATGCAGGGATGAGCAGCGATTGGAGGACACTCCATAGCTGAGAATATTTGAGGATACCTCCTTCAGAAGAGGAAAGAAGGTAGTCTGATCCAAATTAGTTGTCTGTGAGATATTGCTGTCACCAGTAGTGGTACGCACCAACGAGGTTTCCAGGTCTGCCTTGTTCGCCAAACACCTTTGGCAACTGCAGCAAAGAATTCCCTACCTCCCGAAGTAGTTGCACACGCGCTTCGACACCAATCATGGGGTTGCTCTCTGAGATCTGGAAGTGCTTCTTAAATTCAGATGTGCTAAGATCTTTCAGTCCTTGGGCTAGAAATCGAGTCAGCATACATTTCCTCGTTGTCAACTCGTCAGAGACTCACCAGAGACACTGTAGGGCTTTGAGCTGTCAGATGAAAACGCTCCAGCTTTGAACATGTACAGTGAAGCCACTGCTATGCCTTCTGACCGGTTGCTATAGGTGCTGGCGACTGGCTCCAGGAACCGCCATTCGGCACCAGCGCCAGCATCTAGAAGCACCGAAACCACAAAGAGATCAATCAAGATTCTGACTTGCTCGGTTTTGTCGGTTGAACCAGTTTCCTCCAGGAGTGTGGCAACCCTGTCAACGCCGCCAACATTAAAATGCTGCCAACGGCCATGGGGTGGAATTTCGTTATAACGATCAGGTCCAAAATCGCGCTACGTGAAGAAAGGGTCAGTCCGCCCTTCCACTTGTTCCAATCTCACAGTATAGATGGATGTATGGCATACCGATATGAGGTTGCTGACGTAGTCAGCGACAACATCGAGTTTCTTGGGCTCGTAGTTGAAGTGGCTGAGTTTGCCCTTTTCCGCGAGATCAAAGACCACGTTGGCCCTATCCCTCACCGCCGCGAGCGACAACAGGTAATCGATGTCGGAGTCCATTCTGTTGATTCTAGGGGATCAAGTGTTCCAAGCTCAATCAGTGTATTTGATGTAGCGAACAGATTGAGCACTCCTAGACCTGGCGATGCAGGTTGATCAGATTTCACCTTGATGATCCCGCTACAAAGGTGAGATTGCTGGGCGATGTGAGACACCTTGTTGTTCTCTGCTTGGTCAGATTGGATATTTTTGGAGTGTCACTCCAACGGTCGAGTGATCAATTCTGTTTGAGCACTACAACGCGATTCAAGGGATTTTCAAAGGGAGGTTACACCGACGAATCTGACGAGTGAGTCAATTCTCCAATGAAAACAGTCTCCAGTTTGATGGTCGTTGTACAGGCGCCAGTGGATACTCCCGCTGGTGCATGGCCCTTAGCCCCTCCGTTCCCAGTGGTGGGCTTATCGCGCGATAGTCTCCGATTCAATACCCATATTTGTAGGCCCAAGCGGGCGCTTATCATCCAATCCCTAGGGCTAGATAGCGAGACCTTGGAGGGGCACGTTTTCCAAAGGACTGCTACTTTGTTATCGTCCATCATCCAGGATAGTGGGAACAACTGCTAGTTATTGTGCTTCTATCTCTATTCCGACACGTGATATCAATGGTTGTATCCGAGTCCACCATCGGATATGCTGTAGTCACTCGTCCCTCTTAATGTGGATCATGGGAAACCATGAATATCGAATATCCTCAATGCCAGTTTCCATCTCGGTCTCCTAGACACTTTTCTCGACTCTTCATAATTCAACACCATACGAACAACCAACAAAGGAATTCCACACAACGCAAATAATTCTGCAAACATGTCATTCCCCACGACCATTATGTCCGACGCTACATACAGCAAGAAACTCGCTCGGTTAAGAGATCGATCACTAGCCCCGCGTGAAGTGCGCAGCATCACTGCAGAACTCTCGTCAATTCTTGCTGGAACCGCAATTGAGCCTGCTTCACCCACAGAACAAGTCGCAGTCTTCATCGTTCTGCGTTCGGGAATGGCAATGTCGGATGCCTTCCTCAACCAATTCCCTGAAGATGTCAACACCGTGGTGTATCATTTGGGCCTTTTCAGGGATCGCAAGACCTTGCAGCCTGTCGAATACTACAACAAGCTCGGCCCCAAGTCACCAAAGGTCAAACACGGCTACATCTTGGACCCCCTCATGGCCACTGGTGGCACAGCTGAGGCTGCCATCAGCATCGTCAAGTAAGTACATCAGCTGTCACAGCAGAATTCTTTTTGGTGGTACAATGCTGATTTCTTTTCAGGGACTGGGGTCTGGAGAAGATCACATTCGTCTCCATTCTAGCTAGCGAGGCTGGACTGGCCAAGGTCCAGAAGGTGTGGCCAGAAGGTGTTAGAGTGGTGGTAGGCGCGGTGGACAAGGAATTGGACAGCCACGGATATGTGAAGCCTGGTTTGGGGGATATTGGAGACCGACTGTACGGAACTCAACTGTTGTAGTCCTTTGCTTGGGTTAGATGGTCGCCAAGCCCAGTTTAAGCTGCTGTCCATATATGAAGCTCTTGATAGTCAATGATATGTTTTCGCACTACGTATGTGAGTAATGTTGTCATGTCATTGGCGCCAGAGGGAGGTAATGGTCTTGACCATTGTAAAGAATTGCCAGGAATTGCGACCGCATAGCCCATCACCCAGGAATGAATCCTTGTTTGTCGTCCTGGGAATAGCGCCAGAGGGTGCGAGGACGGGAATGTTAATGCCAACCTGACCGACATTTACTTTCCGTTGAAAATTCAGGGCCGCACTGGGGTTCGTAGTAAACAGGGTACATCCATTCCCATATTTGTTTTCGTTGATTGCCTCGATGGCTTCGTCCAGGGTATCCACCTCTAAGCAAACCAGGACTGGTCCAAATAGCTCTTCTTGATAACACTGCATGTATGGTTTGACCTTAGAGATGATTGTGGGGCCCACGAAGTTGCCCTCAGGATATCCGGGGACTGAATAATTTCGTCCGTCTAGTAGGATTTCGGCACCCTCAGCCTCGGCAATGTCAATGGTGGCTTCCACACGTTCTTTTGCGATTGGGGTTATAAGCGGGCCTATTTCAGTGTTTGGATCCAGCCCACACCCAACTTTGAGTGATTGCGCCACTGTAGCAAGTTCGTTGAGCCATTCTTTGGTCTCACCAACGCAGATCAAGACACTCAATGCCATGCACCGTTGGCCGGCAGAACCAAATGCACTGCCAGCAATGGCATAGAGGGTCTGTCCTTTGACCGCGTCTCCTAGGACGACTCCGTGATTTTTCCCGCTTGACTCGACCTGCACTCGCTTCCTGGTGGCTTTAGCATGTTCGTAGACCCTCTCGCCCACAATTTCGGAACCGACGAAGGACACGACACTGACCGCGGGCTGGGCGAGCAACTTATCAACCGTGCCTGCAGAGCCGTGAACGATGTTGAAAACTCCAGGCGGGAAGCCGGCCTGAACAAAACATTCTCCAAGGATGTTAGCCGTCAGGGGCGCCTTCTCCGACGGCTTGAGGATGACGGTGTTGCCGGTGATGAGTGCGTTTGGAATGGACCACAGCGGAATCATAAAAGGGAAGTTGAAGGGTGTGATTGAGACGCAAACACCAAAGGGTTCGTAGACGGTGTAGGTATCGGCAGATTGATTGCTCCAATGGGTTCCGTTCATTTGAGCCGAGACCGAGCAAGCAGTGTCGACAGCATCGATTCCTCGCTCAAATTCTGACTCGGCATCTCTGGCGGTCTTTCCGACCTCGGTTTGAAGCGAATATTTGATGGCTGCAGCGTTTTGATGAAGAATATTGAGAAGCGATAAAAGGCATGCTTTTCGCCTCGTCATGGACTGGGCAGCCCAAGCCGGTTGAGCAGTTAGAGCGGCATTGACAGCGTTCTGGACATCGATCTGAGTTGAGTCGGGAACGCGAGCCAGAAACCTCTGAGTTGCGGGATCCAAGACCTTTGTCCAGGTGCGCGATTTAGAGATGCTGAGTTCGTTGTTGACGAGATTCTGGACTACGGCGGGCACTTGTACCGTGCTATTGTTCCTTGACAATGAAGGCGGCTGTTGTATCTCTGGGGAGGATGGCATTGGTATCGAATCGTTTCTGCGAACCCGCTTAGCGCAAGGGAGGGGCAGGTCAGTCTCTCCAGTGCTGAGAATCTCTTGGAGAGAAGGCTCGAGAAAAGTTGGGGTTGTATGAGACTGCCGCCGCTGCATTGGAACAAAAGCTCTTCATTGATGTGAATGCGATTCAGATGATACAGAACGTTGGCTTAGACGGCGCATAAGCAGTTGGAGCACAACATCAAGACACCCTACGTGTAATTCGAGGTTCGGAAAGTAAAAAACCCGGAAGGGCTCGAATGTACAATTGTGGTTAGGTAAGAAGAAAGAAACGAAGGTGATGGATGTCCCCGGTCTGGGCAGCAGTGGCCTCTTTCTAGGGGACTCGCCGTTACCTAATTGTCTCGCAACTCAATAAAGGGACCCGCTTCGGCCGAGGGGCGCTCGGCCCTTGAACTTTGAAGCCTGCCGTAGCCTACAATTGACTATGACGAAGCCTGAAAATTGATTCCTCAATATTGAGATACTTGAGACGAGCTTCTGTATAGAGAAGATTATTGCCTCTTTAAGAGTCGTTCCTTCCTGTCGCAAAGTTGCTCCTTCCAGACTGGGAATTCCCACTCGGACGATAGAGGAAGGTGCGAAGGGTGCGAGCTTGCACCCAGGGCAGTCGCAACCCACTGATACTTATTTCTTGTACCAGGCTTCCTCTTATGTGTCCCATCTCTTCTTTTTCTTGTCTCACGAGAGAGTATTTTGGATGGTAATAGCCACTGGCTTCTCGTCTATAGTCCCGGTCTATGAGAATAACTGCGAAATTCTGCATTCAAGGTCAGCCTCGTGCCTCTCATCATCCTACCGTTGCAGGTGATACTTACGATTCACTGTTATGCGTCCGTCTAACTGCCTCAGCTATAATGCCACTGATGTCAATCGTGTGAATTTTGCGACATTGCAGGGCTTCGTCGGATAGAGGTAAGGTGTTTGAGACGACCAACCGGTCCAGCGAGCTCTTCTCTATCCGCTCAATCGCTGGGCCTGTCAAAAAGCCGTGGGTGACAATCGCACAACAGCTTCGAGCCCCATTGTCCATAAGGACCTGTGATGCAAGGGCTAGAGTTCCACAGGTGTCTGCAATGTCATCCACCACAATGGCTGTCTTGCCGGTTACAGACCCAACCAGGATCATGCGGCTGACTTGATTGGCAACTTTGCGCTCTTTGTGAATCAGCGCAAGATCAACCCGAAGCTTGTCTGCAATAATTGCGGCCCTAAGTATGTGTCAGCTACAGCGTCATTATCCACATCCAAGGCCTGATTGTCACCTCTTTGCTCCCCCGGCATCAGGAGAAACGATCACCACATCCTCCAGAGACATCTCTTGTTTAATGTAATCAACCATGGCCGTCTCAGCATAAAGATTGTCAACAGGAATGTTAAAGAAGCCCTGGATTTGCGATGCATGAAGATCCATGGTGATGATGTGGTTGCACCCAGCTGTTTCCAACATATTGGCCACTAATTTGGCAGTGATGGGGGCTCGACTCCGATCTTTCTTGTCTTGTCGTGCATATGGGAAACAAGGCAGCACTGCTGTTATTCGACGCGCTGAAGCAGTCTTGCATGCATTCACAGTGATCAGCAGCTCCATCAGCATGTCATTGACGGGGTCTGATGCGGTTTGTATCACAAAAACATCTCCATCTCGAACTGAGTCTTGAATCACAACAATGGTCTCGCCGTTCGAGAATCGCGACGACACCAGTCCTGGCGATCCATACTTGCTCCCAAGCTTTTTAATCACTTGTTGAGAAAACAATGGATGGCTCCTGCCTTCCTCATGTTAGGTGGCATTCTCAAGGCCCGAGACGAATCACTCACCAGCCAGCACTTGCATTGTCATCTTGGCAGGGAAGAAGTCTGGACTCTCGCGCATTCAGGCTCGTTCTATCAGCCTCGCTGTGAATGAATCTCTGATGAGGTATGACAAAAGTGGACAAGGTCAATTGCTAGGAATTAGAGAGCTCTAGTAGGCAACGTAGAATGCTCGTGGATTTAGCCTGGGTAGCAGTTTCTGGAAGCAGGATGTTCCTTTGAGAGTCCACTTGTAGCAGCAGTAAACATTTGGCCTGGTGGCACTTTGTCATAAAACACCTACCCATATTCTTCCCATTATATTAGATATTGGTCTGGGCCCAATAGTATTTTGCGCTTTAGAAATTTGCTCTACGTGACATCAACGTAAAAAAATATTCGATGTATCATACTACTGATTGAGATCTCAGGTAGGCTTCACGAGCCATGCCAAGGAGCGATACGGGTGGATGTTGATGTATGGAACCCTCCGGAGATACGCATAGGATACCAGTCTGTCCCTACGAGTATGTATCGGGAGTGCGCCACACCAGGCCTGGCTGTAGGAGCTGCGGCAGATACGAAAAATCCGGGGTTGATAGTTATCTCTACAGAGCCACTCTGCCACCACCAAAAGTGGGTCTCTGATAAGAAACCCCCCCGGCGAAACAGATCCAGTCCTATCTAATCAGAGGCGGCCATACCCTTCTTCGCTGCCTTCTCGTACACACCCTGCATGTCGATGTGTCCACTATGGCGGAAACTAAGGTAGCAACGCTACCTGACATGCATGCTGGCTGAGTTATGGTCATGATCAACAAACAGAAAATCAGTCTTCAGTGTCGAGTAATGGTCCTTTTGCGACTTCGACACATATTTTCCCATCTCATACTAGTTCGCTCTCTCATATAGATGTTGACGCATCCCGAGACTATAATTCGTCACTATAACACCGACCAGATCAAAGCCAGACGGAGACAAGACGAGGACAAAGTACTGACAGTGTTGCTGCCATGACTGCAGTCACTCTCAAACCCGCCTGTGCGGCGCAAAGTGACAATCATGTGCTTCTGGCGCCAAACAACCAATTACACAGCTCTATGACCCTTTTACGAAACAAAGAAACATCACACCGAGACTTTGTATTGGCTTTCCAAAAAGTGGCTGCACAATTGGTGGCTAAAGGTAGGCTAGCCTCTAGATGGCCCGATGATACCTTCCCTTGCAAGGCAGTTGGCTGACTTGAGAAACTTTTCTGACTACAGCACTTGACTTCGTTCCTGTGGAGGTTGAGACCATAGTGACACCAACAGGGACGTCCTACACAGGGTGCAAACAGACAGCTAAGGTCTGCGGAATCAGTATCCTGAGAGCTGGAGCCAGTCTGGAAGATGCTTTCCGAAATGCCTACAAGTATGTCATCCAACAAAATCATATGGAACCTCATCATATATATTGTCGCACAATGATCTTCGTCTAACAAGATGATGAATTCCAGTGGTCCCGTGAGCTTTGGCAAACTCCTCATCCAACGCGACGAAGAAACTGCGCTTCCCAAATATCTCTACTCAAAGTTTCCTTCAGGCATGTCACAAAGTAGTAAGTCTTTGCTCTTTCCTGTTGAGATGGACATAAAAGATCTCCTGATTGCTGATCCTACTTAGTTGTCTTCCTGCTGGAACCAATGTTGGCCACTGGTGGCTCAATATGCAAAGCGGTTGAACTCGTTATGGAGAGAGGTGTGCCCGAGTCGAATATTGTCATTGTCAATGTCATGTCCTCAAGATTTGCGTTGAGTGTCGTCGCTGACAGATTTCCTCAACTGAAAATCGTGACGGCGGCGATTGATGAAACACTGAATTCTCAGAAGTATGTTGTTGCTCGAAATGACTTTCTCTATGCTATGTCCAATGGCTCTCGTGCTGACTCTATCTTGTTTCAGGTTTATTGAGCCTGGGTTGGGAGATTTCGGCGATCGGTTTTATTGCACCGATTGAGGTTACAAGCTGGGCTACAAGAGCATGTTCGAGGGAGATATACTCGACGAAAGAATTGCGTTCTACATGAGGGAGACACTTTGATCAGGGCTCGTTCGGCCATAAACGGCCTGAAATGCATATTGAATTGGCGCAGGCAATACAAAGGACAGGGGTGTATTCGAGACTATCTCCTCAGTACCGTCTAAATTGTCATATGTTGATTACTCTAACAGAAGCATCATTCACTAAACCTCACCATCATTGAAAACGCCCACCCTTTATTCAGACAACAACCCTCCCTTTACTTTAGTCCTTCTTCTCAGTCGTAATCTCGACATCTAGCTTCTTCTCAAAATCACGCTGCATTTCAGCATCATCGATCGAATCGATCATGCACGGCACCAAAGTCTCAGTGGCGGGCCAGATCAGACTCGTAGCGCCATAGACGACAGAGGCAACAACGATGCCGTAGTACCAGTTGAACTGGGAAATGTAAATTGCACCACCAATGTCCACATTAGGGTTGACATTGTAGGCCAAACCTGGCAGAGCAGGGATAATCGAACAGAGAAGGGCAGCCATTGCTCGCCAGTTGACACCCGCGATATACCGATATCGAGCGTGTGGCTGGTAGAGGGCAGGAAGGTCGAGTCTTTGTCTCTTGACGATGTAGAAGTCGGTGATTAAGATACCCTATTCTAGTCAATACGCTGAAGTGAGGCGAGCAGGACTGGGAAATGTACATACCATAGTAGGGGCTAGGAAGATACCCAGAGAGCCCATGAAGCTTAGCAGGGAACTAGCACTGTGCAAGATCTTCCAAGGAACCATAGCCCAACCACCAATGATGGTGATGAGGATTGAACCACGACGGATGTTGAACCATTTGGGGAACAAATTGACAAGATCGTTCGCTCCAGAGATGACGGTGGCCGACATGTTGACGCAAATCTGTGCGATCAACCACGACAGACCGGCGAAAAATGCGCCTGCACGACCGCCTGGGCCGTCCCACGTATCAATGATGGCGATGGGATCCCATACATATTCGTTGTAGATCATGTATGAAGCAGAGGCGACAACAACACCAATGATGGCGACCCAACTGCAGAGAATGGGGAAGAAGACGGATTGAGTAAGGGCCGCTTTTGGCTTCTTGAGATAACGAGTGAAGTCAGGGCTGAGAGAGGAGGTTGTTAGCTTTCTTTTTTCCCATGTGATCGATTCGAAGAGCACAGCACTCACATATTGACACCGACCGTGCTCCAGGATGCAGTGCAGCTGTTCAGGGACCACATAATCAGCCATGATTTTGCTGAGCCCGACACCTGGGCTTGCTGGTCCCAGATATCGCCAGTGCCACCGCGGGTACAAGTCCAGATGGTCATTCCAACGATGGTCGCCACACACATGACGACCTTGACATAGAACAGCCATCTCATCTTGTGTGGCGGGATCATCAGAATAGGGAATTGGACGACCCAGACCAGGAAGTAGGCGACCATCTGCTGGCTGGTGATGCCAGCAGATTCAGGGAGCGAGTTTGGCATTGTCCTGAAAGACGGCCAGATGGATCTGATCACCTGAATCATGGGGCCCACGGCAAGGAAGTTGGTGATGGAGTGCCAGAAGAGGGCAGTGATCAACCGAACCACGACGGGGAACTTGGCCAGGTGGTACCCGAAGGACGAGCGAGCCAGGATCGGAAATGGCGCATGAGTCTTTGCACCGGTGTAACCATTGAGAGTCATAGGCACGCCCATGACAAACGAGCCAAAGATGATTGCGAAGACAGCCTCACGCCTAAGATGGGAGGATTCAAAGGTTAGTTTTTCGTGCTGGGCTGCGTGATGCACAGTTTCACCTACCATGTCAATCCAATGGCTAGAATGGTACTGCCGGTCTGCCAGCTCTGGATACTGATGATATCACTAAACCAATAACCAAAAATGGTCATGCTTGTCCATGTTCGACGTTCGACCGGTGTAATGTCCAAATCAACGTTGGACCACGTGCCAGGAGGAGCCCAACTAGACTCTTGTTTTTGCAACACCCATCCCTCAAGGTGTCGCTTCTTCTTCAGGTCTTCTTTGTACTTGGACACGTCAAAGGAAGGCATTTTGCTGTAACGCCGATAGCGTAGGTGAGAGGTTGTGAAGTGACAGGACGCCTCAACAGGGAGAGGTTTGGTAGATATGGACTTAGGGACTAGGGAAATTCGAGATGGGTCTCTGCCAAAGCTCTCTTTCCGAGGCCTCAGCCTATGCTAAGAAGACCTGCCTTGGCCGAGTTTACAAGTTGACTACCAGCCCAGCATTATTCCAAGTATTATTCTAGCAATACAGAAGTTCAAGGGTCCCGAAAACGTGGCGAATAGGGCTTAACACGAGACTTCTTACGGTAACTAGATAAGCCCAACATGGTAACTTATCTTCCATGATAATGCATATCGCAAATAAAAAATCTGTTTGTTATCTGCAACCTCTGAACGAGCGCTCTAGATGAGGGTTAAGCTCTTCTCTAGAGAGTCAAGTGGATATCTTGGAGGTCATTGGCTCGCTGTGATTGGAGAATGAACCCGAACAGCACGTTGGCCCGATGCTCTGGACGGGTTGAAGCAGCTTTATAAGAGATCCACAACGCACAGACGACCAGTAAGACGGATTTTCGCACCATTTACCCTCGGCCATGCACTGAGTGCGTCGCTGATCGCTATCGCTTTACACTGTCGTGGGAATAAGAATCTCGTGTCCATCGCCCACGTGCGATGCTTTATCAGAGTTATCAGGTCAGATCATGACCCTCGATATCGCTTTACGAGGTCAGGGTCTAGAACTTGTCACATCCTCGATTGCCCTTCCAGGTCGGACGTTTGTTTGGCTCGTAGGTCATCTCCACGGGGCATACCTCCACGGGGCATACCTCGTGGCATTTAGCGTGTCGTACCATATCAAGTGATCGTGAAACTCTGCTCAAATTTCTAGATACTTATCCACTGTCATAACGTTGCTAGCTAGGTCACTCCATCTTTCAGGACCAACAAGAACATCTCCACAGTTTACAGTCAACCGGAGGCCAGACCCCGAGATGGCACCGGTCACCACAGGTGTCGAGCAAGATGATCTGGTCATGCCAGTACGTACAAGTGTCGTGTCATCGCAAAATGCTCCACTTCCGCAGTTTGCCGCACACGTGTTGCTGAACCCTTCGCACGCATCCACTGTCAGCCCACACTGGAAGGACCAGTACGCTAATCAACCATGCCTCGATAGGTGATTGACATGACCAGCTTCTTGAATGGCTCGGCAAAACAAGAGATCGGCGCGGCGATCGCCCATGCATTCAAGCAGTCTGGATTTCTGTATCTGAAGAACCATGGAATCCCTCAATCTGTCATTGACACGGCATTCGAGACATCGGCCAAGTTCTTCGCCCGACCTCAAGCGCAGAAGGATGAATTGGCATGGACTGATGCTAAGTCCAATCGAGGCTATGTCGCCTCTGGTCGTGAAAAACTTGCTGATCTTCCTGAAGATGTCGGCACCCTTCGCGAATCCAATCCTGACCTCAAGGAGAACATGGAGATTGGTAAGGAGGGAGTTGAGGGCATGCCGAATCGATGGCCAGCGCATTTCGACGAAGAAGGAGAGAACTTCACTGCCTTCTTCAAGCAATTCTTCAACATGGCCCACAATCTGAACGTTGCCGTCATGCGTGCCATTGCACTTGGAATGGGAATCCAGGATGAATGCTTCTTCGATGACTACATCAACAAGACGGACAACAACCTCCGACTGTTGCACTACCCAGCTGTGGCCAAGAGTGTCTTTCAGACCGGCCAGAACCGTGTCCGAGCCGGAGAGCATTCTGATTATGGTTCCATTACCCTTCTGTTCCAGGACTCAGTCGGGGGTCTCGAGGTCAAGTCGCCCAAGGGCACTTGGGTCCGTGCGACGCCCATTCCAGGAACAATCGTGGTGAATGCAGGTGATCTGCTCAGTCGATGGAGCAACGACGAGATCAAGAGCACCAAGCATCGCGTGGTGCAGCCACCACCAAGCCCGGAGGACCTGGAAAACGATCCTAACGGCGTCTTTCCAGCACGATACTCGATTGCGTACTTTTGTATCCCCAACTCAGAGGCATTCATTGAGGCTCTGCCCGGCACATGGGAAGCTTCGGGCAAAAAGTATCCAGGTGTCTTTTCTGGGCAGTACCAGGTGCAGAGACTGGAGGAGACTTACTGATGGCGGGAGTCTGGAATCAACATGCAAGAATCATGTTATTGTAGATGATCGTAGACTGTTTTAAGTTAACAAGCTGACATCAATCTTGAAATTCGAATATTGTACGCTTGGCATATAATATCACGTGTCTAACACGTGCAATTCCTCCTCCCAGCTGACAACCCCTGAATCGTGGATTCGTGGCTTGCCAAATCTGCATGTACCTAATTTCAAGCACGACTCTCATGAAGAAGCTAATTGTCTCGACCTCTACTACGGAGTACAATGTGAACATTCTAATATCCTTGCAGCATGTGGCTTTTCGACAGGTGGCATCAATTCAACGTGTCAATCTGCTACACTCGGCCCAACAGCCAAGAACCTCTTCACCGATTGGCAGTATTGTTGATAGACGTCTTTCAGTTCACCGTCAGGCTTCCGTCAAATCTGCCAGGTGACAGAGCAGTCACTCAGTTATGGACTATCAAAACCTACGAGGCTTACGTGGTCGGGTGACACAGTGGACCGGAAAGATTGTCGACCAACTGTTAGACAGCAAAGACTCGCCCGGTCCGGGCCCGACGCCCCCACCACCCCCTAATCCTCCATACAACACTCACCCTCAGTATGGTGTCAACCAGCAACACCAACACCAACAACCATACCAATACCATCCCAACCCTCAATATTCACCGAACCCTCAGTTTGGATGGTCTCCTCCTCAGTATGGCTCCAATTATCATCAGTTTCCCCAGCCTCCGATCAATGGCAACGGACAGAATTACTCTCTGGGTGGCCCTCCTTCACCTAATCCCCCACCTGAAGATGCTCTCGGCCTAAGATTCAATATGTTCAATGTAAGTCAATATTCAACTATTCTGTCATATTATTGTCTTCATTCACTATTCACAAGTACCCCTACTATCATGTTTGCGAATCATTGGAATTCGCCAGATTCAAGTGCAGTCATCAATTAGTTTGCATTCTTTTCCATCCACCCCTGAAGACACTTCACTTCACGGATAGACTATTCTGGCACCTGAATGACACTGTCAATCAGAGAACTGATGGCGCGGCAAGACATGGCCAGAACCATGATTGTCCTCCCAAACCAGTCACTCTCTCGGAAGATGCAGATGTCAGTCATATCAGCAAGGGGGGTTTCTCTCAACATGACATTGATATTGAGAACGCACGCATGAAACCTCACATTCCACAATTATCAATATCAATGTCAACAACCGTGTCCCTACCACCACCCCTCATATCCACATGATTTCTCGCATCTTTTCCGTTGCATATATTGTCACGTTCCTCCTGACGATATATGCACAGGCCGCGCCAACTGAAACAGGAACAGAAGTGAATGGAACATGGGAAAACCAACCCCCTTCACGCCGCTCGCCGGGACCAGCAAAATTCCCTCCTAAAGTCAACATCTCCAAAGTCGACTTCCTAGGCGACGTGCACAGTTCAACGACATATGTGATCCGAGACTTGGGCTTCCAGGGCCGCATCGGAAAACACGTCCTCCTCAGCTACGGCGACACACTATGGAGCGACGCCAATTACTCGGATAAATGGCGAGGTATGGTGAGCGACTCGGTCGCACTGGCGACACACGATCCCTTGGTAGTAATCGACCCAATCCTCAACGCCAACGGGTATCCTCCACAATTCTGCCCCGTCATGTCCGAATACAACGAGACGAATTCCGATTACGCGCTGGGCATCACCAATATTGTCGAAACGGGGCGTAATCAAGGAATGTTGTTCTTCCTCCTCAACCATCGACCGGGTGGGAAGAGTCGCATCGTCGGCGCGGGAGTCGCCACCATCCAACTCGACACCACGGTTTATCCTCCACGACCTCATCTCCGTCGTCTACCTCCGCAGACATGGTGGGATGCAGCGGTGGAACCGTGGTGGGGAGATGTCTGTGCGCTTCGCTATGGGAAATATATCTACGCGTATGGCCATGGCGCCGACAAGGACGTCAATCCTTGGGTCTATGTCGCTCGAGTCCGGTACTGGGAAGCCCTTGACATCAATCGCTATGAATATTGGAATGGCCAGTATTGGCAGAGAGAAAGGTTGCAGACTAAGGACATTGGAAAGAAAGAAAGTGTCTTTTGGCAGATCAATCAAGGTACTGTCGTCTGGTCGAATTATTTCCAGTGCTTGATCTTTGTCTATTCAGGTAAGTCACAACAAGATCAAGAACAGGATCAATCAAAAGAAAACAACCATTCTTTGACTAACCACTTATGTCCCCGTTCAGACAACTGGTGGAATTCACGAGTCCTGATGAAAATGTCCAAATATCCCGAGGGACCATGGTCAGAGCCCATTACCTTGTATCAAGCAACTCCAGCCCAGAAAGGTGGTTCCACCTACGCCGCCTCTCCACATCCCTATTTCGACGAGTCGGGCCGAACATTGGTCTGTACTTTTACGAATTATCCCAACATCGTGCAGGCGATACGGGTCCATTTTGAGTAAAGATTCCGGTGGCTTATGAGGGTTATGATGTTGGTAATGAGGGATTGGGCTCCGATTGGTACAGATTGGAGGGTTTGGGCACATTGGCCATTGTCCGTTGACATACTTACAACACACATCCGTCAACAAGTCAATGTGTGTGGGTGGTGTGTACATGCCGTGGCGATGGTTATTTCTTTCGATTCGATTGGTGTACGATATCGACATCGACATCGACATCGTACAAACAAAGCGTTATAGACTTTGGGATTTTTTTCATACATGGACGGTAGAATTTATGTTGCCGACTGAATTACAGGACTAAACCAGTTCTCGGGGGCATATGGTATGGACACGACATCCAGTCGCTTGAGTTGGCACTTGACAGGCGATGATGATCTTCTGATCTTCAGGAAGTATTGGATCACAGTCAAGGCAATTGAATCCAACGCCATGTGTGCTTCGTGCGTGACCTTGACACTAATGACGATAACTGGCATTGATCCCCTCGTACCCCTGTAACTGCATCCTTGACAGGGGTGACGACGACTGGGATTCCAAGTATCATGTCACCCTAAGTTGCTGATCTGCAACCTCGCTGTAATGTACTCCAATGTCCCGCCATGGTCTACCCTAGATGCCAACCGTTGTAAGCCTGTTGATGAAGCCGCACAAGCAAAACAAGATTGCGTAGATGGCTTCGCTAAACACCAAACCAGACTTGGCATGCGGAGAGGAAACTTGGCGACTTGGCAGTTCCTCGCTACTGGACGTGTGTTCATACACTTGTAACTCTTCCATGTCTTCATCTGCTCATCCTTCATCCAGGATCTGGTCCCTTCACGACTCCATTTGACAATGCCCTTGCACATTCACAGTAGTATGACTTCCATCGAAGCTTGCTAACCCATCAATCAAGATGCGAAGCAACTCTGGTCTTCTCCACATGCCATGCTTGATCTCCGGTGGAGATGTCTTGCCCGCAACAACCTCAACCGCGAGTTCTGTCGTACTGTACCCGTCTTGTACTAGCATGTGAGTATCGTTGCACTTATTTTCCGTCCATAACACCGCATACCCCTGTAGAATGACGCTGTGGGATTTTGGCCTCCCGTTCTATGCAGTCGTGGCAGTCGACTTGACCACCTGTGACACCATTGATCAGGAAACTGTTCCTTGTCCTCACTCAATATCAAAGAGCAGCACCCCGCAAATCCTTCTCACCGTTTCAACTCCTGCAAAATTCTTCATCGCCACGAAAACATGGCAATCCGAGTAAGAAAGCCAGACGATGAGCCTGGTGCGGCCTGGGTGGCCATCACCATTGGCCTCTTTGTTGCGTATGACTGTCTCCCCTTCTGCAACTTGACAGACCGTTGACTTGTGTAGTTTTGGAGGTCTCCTGTTCGGTTATGACACGGGCACCATCTCCGGTCAGTCCTGCTATGTAAACATGCCATGAACATGTTATCACTGACGTGGATGTCATCAAAGGCATCTTGGAAATGCCATATTGGAAGGAGACGTTTTCCACAGGGCATCGAGATGCCGATGGCCAACTCTCCATCAGTTCCGGACAAGAGTCTTTGATTGTCTCTATCTTGTCGCTCGGAACCTTTCTTGGTGCCCTGACAGCAGCCCCCACGGCCGATTTCTTTGGTCGTAGAATGGGGTTGATCCTGTCGACCGGAATCGTCTTCAACCTAGGTGTCGTTCTGCAGACTGCCTCGACTTCTCAGCCTCTGTTTATTGCAGGCCGTTTCTTCGCTGGGTATGGTGTAGGTCTGGTCTCCGCTATGAGTAAGACTGAAGAAGATCTTGATTGGGTAAGGCTGATAGTGCTTCAGTCCCCCTCTACCAATCTGAAACAGCACCGAAATGGATTCGAGGCACGATTGTCGGGACTTACCAACTTGCCATCACTATTGGCCTCTTTTTGGCTGCCATTGTGAATAACAGCACCGGCAAACGCGATGATTCATCATGCTACCGAATTCCTGTGGCTCTGCAATTCCTTTGGGCCATTATCCTAATCGGCGGGCTTCTTTTTCTGCCTGAGACACCCCGTTTCCAAGTTCGCCAGGGAAAGTACGACAAAGCCGCAAAGTCGTTGGCCAAGCTTCGACGTCTTCCTGTCGATGACCCCGGACTAGTAGATGAATTAGCCGAAGTTAAGGCTAACCACGACTTTGAAATGTCTTTGGGCAAAGCCACCTATTTAGACTGCTTCAAGGGAACCGTTGGCAAGCGTCTTCTCACGGGATGCGTCTTACAGGCCTTGCAGCAGCTTTCAGGTGTCAATTTCATTTTGTAGGCCACTCTGCCGTGGTTTCCTGGACTGTTTTTTGCTGACATGGTTCATAGTTATTATGGCACAGCATACTTCACTCGAGCTGGCTTCCAGAACCCTTTCATAATTCAGGTTGTTACTAACACGGTCAACGTGGTAGGTGTGAATGTGCTTCCAGCCAACCACTTGCGTTCTAACATCCCTGTTTTCTAGGTTAGCACATTACCCGGATTGTATCTTGTCGAGCGCATTGGCCGTCGTAATCTGCTCCTTCTAGGAGCCGCAGGAATGACGGTTTGCCAATTTATAGTTGCCATCACGGGCACTGTCGCTGGGACTCAAGATCTCCCGGCACAGAGAGCAGCGATCGCGTTTGTTTGTTTATTCATCACATCATTTGCTGCGTCGTGGGGACCGGCAGCTTGGATCGTTACCGGCGAGCTTTTTCCTTTGAAGGTACGGGCGAAGTCGCTGAGCATGACGACAGCCACGAACTGGCTCCTCAATTTTGCGATAGCATATTCGACCCCGTATCTGGTCGACGCTGAGCATGCCAACCTACAGTCCAAGGTGTTCTTCATCTGGGGGACGTGTTGTCTAATCAGCATTGGGTTTGTTTGGTTGATGATTTATGAGACCAAGGGCTTGACATTGGAGCAAGTGGATGAGTTGTATGAGATGGTGGACAAGGCATGGTTGAGCAAGAAGTTCAGGCCTAAGGTGAGCTTCAGAGAGGCTAGTACAGCCGAGGAAGGAGGCAGGAAGCACAGTTTGAGGCAGAGTGTGGCTGCGTATGAGGAAAGGAGGAGGGGAGAGGCGGGGGAGGGAAGCATCGAGACGCTCAGGGAAAAGGGCGACCCTGAGCAGGTCGACACTCTCCACGATAAATAGGCCTGTTTGGATCAGTGTCATGCTGCGACGATGAATGCAGACGGCAAGAAACTTAGCCCATGAGCTTTCAGGGTGTGAGGAATGGGTTTGGTGAGGACGACGAGTGATGGGAGGCGACATGGATGGAGGAGAATGGAGGGATAAAGGATGGCTTACCTTTGCCTTTGGTACAAGATCATACCCCACTGCTGCGGCATAATGAAGAGAATACTGAGAAGGAGAGAGGAATTTTGAGACCAACGTTGTTCTTGAGGAGAGAACAGGAAATGAAATTGACTCAGAGTTGATTCCGAAGAGGAAAGAGCGAACGGCAGCACATGAATCTTTTGGACTCGAGTCGTGACTGCATTGTGAAGACTGCTGAGTCTGAATTGTGGGGAGCCACCCTCTCGATTTGTGCGTCATTTTTACCTAGAAGCTTGCAGCTTGCTACCTTCATGTACACTGGCACTTTCCTGGTCTAGCCCTCCCAGAGAAACGTGTCCTCCTTGATCGGAATTAATGAGCGCAAAGCCATGCCATAATCACCCCCATTCGGTGTGCGGAGCAATGTATGAATGTGGAACTTGGCGGGCTCTGAGTTGTTCAAAAACACCCCAGAGTGATGGTCAAACTCGACAATGACAACAGGACTTTGGATCCGGTAATAGAATGGATCGGTGTCACTGAACCCGCCAATCCAACAGAAGTATGTCTCGGAGAAGAATGAAGAGATGTGGTTGATGCGGATGCGTCGTGCGGTTTCAGGGAGGTACAGTAGGTATTGGTTGAGGATGGCGAGGATGAGAGACTGCTGCTCCGAGCTCATCGAGGTAACTAGGATACCTTCGTAGGGCACGACACGGTTATCACGATAGGCACCACAGAGGTGGCGTTGGTCGTCGTGGTTCCATCGGCCTTTAGGCATAGCCGGATCTTTCATTAGTTTGTACACCTGGGCAGCGGATTGCTGCTCTGGCGAAAGTGACTGCATCAGGTCCAGACCAGCTTTCTCTTCCACATGGAGTATTCTGGTTCCAGTGTATGGGCCACTATCAATGATATTGGGTTCGGCCCCAGTGAACCAAGGGGAAATGATGATTTGGGTTTTGTAGAGGAAGATGTTCAGGCAAAGGTGGTGGCCATAGAAGGAGAAGCCCCAAGGTTCTGTGGTCGAAGGCTCCCCGAATAAAACAAAGTTGTAGGAATATTCGTTCATGACGGCTGGGGATTTGACGAGGTCTCCGAGAAATCCGTTGATGCGCATGGCCGCAATGGCTTTCTGGTAACCCTCTGGCGAAAGGGTGACAGAGAGGATTTTCAGAATGGAGTCACGGGCCTCGGAGGTCAGTTCGTCGAGACGTACTCCTTTATGGCTTAGAAGAAATTCCGGGTTCGACCATGTCCGCCATTCTGGAGAGTCGATATGGTATGATAGGGTTGACTGCTGCTCGGGGGTCAGGCCAGACAAGGCGGTTTTGGCAACTTTGACGATGTCTTCGATTGGAATGCCCTCATCCTGTAGTTGATAGAGATCTGGGCGGACCTTGCCTGGAGTCACCGGTGAGAATCGGCGTCAGTCGTCTCTGAAGGAGTGGGGACTAACCATCGGTAGTGACACCCTTGAATGGTGCTTTCAGCAGGTCCCGCCAATGAAGGTAGAGGGCATGAAGCCATGGAGGCTGACCACCTTTTTTGAAATCATCGGCATAGACATGGGCGTCTTTTGTTGCCATGCTAGTGAAGCGAGGAATGCTCAAGTCGGGCAGATATTGCCGAAATGGGCTTTTGACTGAGTCTGCCATCGTCGAGAAAGTGACCTACAATTGCCTTGAGATGAACTCGTTCCGGAAGCTTTCCTGGAACGATTCTCAGGTCAATTGAATGGGTAGTTTGCCTGAGATGAGCTGTCAATCACCAAGTTAGTGATGTTATCTCTGTGCAAAGATTCTGCAACAGGATCGTGATATATTTTCCCATCGTGGAGAAGAGGTTGTGAGGAAGGAGCATGTCCCCACAGAGGAGATTGTGGGGCATTGTGGAAGGCTGTGGTGTTGGCAAGAGCGACCCGGAAAGGGCACCCCGGGTGACCGTTGGAGAAGGGCAGGCACGGAAGGAGCTCCAGGTTGGCTTTTCGGTGTATAGATTACCCGAAACCCGTATCACAGACTTACTTAAAGGCAGGCACATACGGAGTAGGCAGAGAGAGGGGATGATAGGTACCAGGCTATCACACAGATGATACCATCGACAGTCGGTATCCACCCCCTGATAAAAAAAAACTTGTCAGGCTTCAGAGGCACCACACACTGGCACAAGATCCCCACTCCAGTGTTGGCCTGCCTCCAATTCACTCAAGTATAACAGTTGGCAGCCGTGCTGTGAATGTCATAAGCAGCCACTCAAATCAGGCCATTCGCCATCCATAAGTGATTACTCCAAATGCTAAGAAAAATGGCAAGCGCGTCTCAATTCAAACGTAGGTGCTCCAATTAATTGCCTTGGTCGGATATGCATATACCGATACTCACCCCTGGACATTAGGCCTCGTGCGGTTCATCCCACGGTCCGACTCATCCAAGATTCTCATCGGACAGCCACAAGATGAGAGCATTGATGTTGGCTTGGCGCTTCGAAAAGGCCAGGATGTCTCGGTCGATGTGTTCTCAGGATCTTCAGTTCTTTCTGCAGGACAGCCAACAGGGACCAGTGCCATCATTGACAAGATTCTTTCGCCGGTGTCCCAGACCGAAGCTGGCACCATTCGATGCATTGGACTGAATGTGAGGAATTCTGCTTGTCTGGAAGGTGAACTGTTGTCGCTAACCCGTTGTTGTCAGTATAAGCAACATGCGGCAGAAGTAGGCATGGCTTTGCCGTCTGTGCCCACGGTATTCTTGTATGTTCAAGATACCCATCCACCCCCGTTGGCTCTAAAATGGTGATACTCATCTGAAACTCCAGGAAACCGGATACTTCGTTGGCAGATCCATGGCCCGCGCCCACTATCCTCCCCAAGTTGACATATCAAGATGATTGTGGTGACTATGAATCCGAACTTGCGGTCATCATTGGCAAGACGGCCAAGAATGTATCTGAGGCAGATGCACTCGACTATGTTCTGGGCTACACTGCAGCCAACGACGTGTCCAGTCGAACAAGTCAATTTGCCCAGAGTCAATGGAGTTTCTCAAAGGGATTCGACGGAGCTTGTCCCATTGGTATGAACACCCACAGATGAATGATCGATGGTCTTGAAACATATACTGACGCGATTTGGCTATCAAGGTCCTACCATCGTCTCCAAAAGCCTCATCCCCGATCCTTCAAAGCTACATCTGCGTGGAATTAAGAATGGAGACCAAGTCCTGCAGGACGGAGGTGTTGAGTACGTTAATTGTCCAACCGACCAACTCTGATTGCATTGATTGTACTAACTCGTGTTCAGCGACTTGATCTTCTCCGTCCCCCAGATCGTCAGCTTCCTTTCTCAAGGAACGACCCTCCGACCTGGAACCGTCATTGTCACCGGAACTCCCGCTGGAGTTGGCGTTGGTCGGAAACCAAAGGTGACGCTCAAGGAAGGCGACGAGTTCGCTGTAGAGATCTTGCCTCATATTGGAACTCTAGTCAATGTTTTTGAGAATGAGAAATGAGACAGCAGGAGATATTTGAAGTATCCCCATATCTGGTTAAATCTGAGATGACCATCCCATCCCATCCCAAAAGAATTCATTTATGCATGTATGCATTCCAATTGCTCTTGTCTCACCCCACCAGCTCACAAGATCATTCCCTCCTCACCACCTCATTAATGTCCTCCACCCTCAACTCCCCCTTCCTTCCCCACCCACGCTGCCCAGGTTGAACCACTGGTCTGAACTTCTCATACATTCCAAAAGCCGACTTATCCAGCTCTCCCTCTTTCCCCTTCCAACCCATCAACGCACGTTCCATCGCCCCCTTGACAATATCATAATCCTTCTCACCACCAAACTTTGCCTTTAATGCATCTTCGTTCGCCGTCTTCGGCTTCCCCTGAACCATAACCCGTTCATTTTGAACGTGTATGGGAAACCCCATGACGTTTAGTTCTCGGTCATCGGCAGATTCGGCCGTTTGACGGCTTTTACGGGCCTTTTCGGCCTGTTTGTCAGGGTGGTCTGCAGGGTCGATTTTGCCGATACTGCGACCTTTGGATATAGCGCATAGGGTTGCAATTGCTGAGCCGATTGCTAGGCTGGTGGGCCATGATATGCCGGTGTAGAGAAATTGAGCTACGCAAGCGGACCAGAGGTGGAGGACGGGTGCTCGATTAATGAGTATTGTTTGGCTGGTTGCGGCTGTGGCTTTCACAGTGGTTGGAGGGGGTGGTGTGATTTGTCCCGAGGTATCGAGTTCTTGATGCTGCTCTGTCTTTACAGTCGGTGTATGCTTTTTAGTTGGAGAGGTTGATGGCTGTTGCCTGCCTTTGCGCTTGCGAGGGCTTGATGTTTTAGGGGGTGATTTGCTTGCTTCTGCTTTTGCTGTCGTTCTGGACTTCTCTGACTGGGAGTTAGATGGTTCTTTGCCGTCGGTGGTCTCAGATTTCGCCTTATTGCTGCTTTGGCTTCGCGTGGCAACCATGATTATAGGGGGTTCTCTGGTCAGCAAATGTTGGTTTACATGACGATTTTAGTCTTGCAAGCAGAGATGGAACTCTGAAAATGTTATTGCTCTAGTCTTGTCACTAGTTGTAGCCCATGGGGCACAGCGGCGGAGATCCAAGGTGGAGGAGATATAGTATCTATTCCAGGCACGAGATATGACGTCAGAAATGTTATGAGGGTATCAACAAATAGTCAGGGGTTGGAATTGTTCTACGCAGTGCTAATCATTTGAATTGGGTGTTCTAGCATAGATGATGTTGGTCTAGTACCTACTCGACACTACTTAGAACCTGAGTACCTAACCTAGGTACTTTAACTCAAGGACCCCACTCTTATTGTATACCAATCTCCAGGGTTCATCGCCGGTACAGTTTCATTTGGCCTTTGACCTCTGTGCAAATTACATTCACTTGGCCGAAGGGCTCACTCTCACAACTGGATTCAAACCAGACGGACTGGCTCTCACAATTGGATTCAAACTAGTGACACAGTTTGTTTGTTGTGGTCTAGTGTCACCAAATAGGGTGCATTGGCCGTTTTTACCAGGACCATAACCACGCTTTTTGACCGACGTTCGCCAGACGGGACCTTTGTTATCTTCACTAAATAGTGACCGATGTCAGCTTTATGCAATGCATGAAGAGAGGATCGACTCACCATGTGGCACCCTTTGGACACAATCTGCATTTATAGGACAAGGGATTATTTAGAGTCTTGTAGTAGGTCTCGATATTTTCCACTCCAGGGTACGTCATGGCACCATCAGTCATGGAATATACTTCAGCAGGCACGAAAAAGCATTGCTTGTTGAAGAACAACTTGCATTGGATGCCATGGTCAGGCTGAAGTTCGTTAGTAAGACAGTGGAGATGAACACAACAGATTTGTACTTGCCCCCATTGAAGACTTGCTGCCCACTTTGAAGGGGATACATTTTTCTGGTTGGAACTTTTCATTCTTGCATTCGCCGCCCCAGTTTATTTCAGAGCAGATATGAATGAACATCTCATCTTCTCGTTTGGTTAAGTTGCTGGGGGGCGCTGCAGGTGATTCGTAATGAACATAGTTAGGGTCATTGGGATCTGGCGGGTGGCCATATAAGACCTGGAGATCTTCAGGCACGTCAGTCGACTGGGCAATGGTGCCGAGGACCAGGCAGGAGAAGATCAGGAGAAGAGACCGCATCGTTGACGAGAAGGTTCTGGAAAGCGATCGAGGCACTGCAGCCAGTGTCGTCAAGTCAAAACGAACAATATTAGGAGACGAATTCTAAGGAGAGGAAGAACAGGAAACGTTTGATGATGCAGAAAAATCCAACGCAGATGATAGAAGAGGCTGCATTGAGACCCGCATGCGTCGACATGGCCTGATCACGAGCAGGGTCTGTTATGATGTCTTTGTTTGGTGATGTCAACAGACAAAGGGCTACCTCAGCCACATAATTTAGACGGTCGCATGATGCACAATTCGGAGGCATGGAAATGGTGTGGATGGTCCTGATGAGGACCTAATTTTAAGATCATGAGAGGAGGAAGATGGGTAGTACTGTATAAAGGCAGTCAGTCGTCGAGCAGATGTGTTGGAGAGTTGAGGATATGAAGTGAGGTTCAGGGAAGGAGTGACTCGGCTGGAAATACAATAATCCAGACACCGGAAACGGTGGTGAATCAGTCTCTTGGGCACTGCGGGGCACCTGCCCTGTTAGCAGGTCACGCTGTGGACACCGTGCTGTACTTCGTACCTGCTGCCCTTTGTTCTTGCCTTCAGATGCTGTACTTACTCCGTAGTCGACATTCCTCATGACTAATTGCAAATTTTGGTGGGGCCGGACAAAACTCCCACCTCCAGAATCTCGCCAAAGAATCTCCCCCCTCTTTTTTATCCTCTATGACATGATACAGAGGTCGTTTGCCACCGCCAAAATGAGGTCATGAATAGATAATAGGGAAATGAGAAGTGAGAAGCAGCCCGACAATGTCTCATACCACATATATTGTTGTGACTTGCTAGTAGCTCCTAACTCGCACTTGCCTCATAAGACTCGTTCAGGCTGTTGGGAACCCTCAGTGCCCAAGTAGAATAAACTTGGAGGGTGTGCTATACGCTATAACAGGTACCTAGGCACCTTAAGCTAATCAACTAAGTTTACTGTAATAACTCGAGCCAAAGTGCAGCTCTCCAAATCAATCGACGCTGAGACGACCAGACTACTCCATCCACCCTCGGCCCGTGTTCTAAGTCGGGGTCAAGTCAAGTACGTGTTGATGATGATATGATAGCAGCTGCCGCATAGAGAAATGCCCTGCCCCGCCCCGCAGCAGCACTTGCGCAATCGCTACCTCAATGAGCAACTGACTCCTCAACTCTCTGCTTTTCAAGTTTTCATTCCCCCAATATCAACTACTTCTGTTGACTCTCAATTGTCACCTTCATTTCCTTGTCGATACATTTCCAACCATAACCTCGTAGTCCTACCTATTTCGAATCCTACCTTTTGAAGTAAAGCATCCAAACATGCCTGTCAAGACAGCATTCGATCCAAAGGACATGGTACAGATACCTTGCCTCTATCAAAGATGAACTTTCCATGAATCTCTACTAACAGCCTTTCTTACAGGTGTTCCGACACCTAGGTCCAACTGGTCTAAAGGTCTCGGTCTTCTCGCTAGGTGTGTTGCATACCTTACCTCCCAATTTCACCATCTCCTCAAGATGTTTCTTCACCGTGATTGGTAATCCACTAACGGCCTCGCTCTTGCCTTCTAGGTGGCTGGCTCACTTATGGTGGTACCCAAAAGGGCAAAATTGTCAAGGAGTAAGTTGTTTGAACATTCCTTCAACACTCACAAGCTGGACCAGACCTTCTTGAGACTTCGACATGGTCGTTGATGCATATCAATGTCAAACTCTATTCTAATCCCACGTTGCACACAGAATCATGCAGACAGCTTGGGATCATGGAGTGAACTTCTTCGATACTGCCGAGGTAAGAATGCAACCCCCTCCACTAAACCAAGCACACATACCCAACCAACGAGGCTGGACTAAACCCTCTCCCTTTCCTTTCACCCAGACCTATGCCAACGGCGAATCCGAAATTGAAATGGGTCAAGCCCTGAAAGAACTCGACTGGCCACGGGACGAGTACGTTCTATCGACCAAGATCTTCTTCGGCACTGGGCGTAAAGAGCCCAACACGCGAGGTCTATCACGCAAGCACGTAGTCGAAGGACTGAAGAGCTCCCTCGAACGACTCCAACAACCATACGTGGACATTGTTCTCGCCCACCGACCCGACTACGCAACTCCCATGAAAGAAATCGTCGAGGGATTCACCCAGGTGATTCGCAACCTCAACCTAGCATATTACTGGGGCACGTCGGAATGGTCAGCACAGCAAATCACCGAAGCGACGTTGATTGCCGAGAAATATAACCTGATTGCACCCATCGCCGAACAGCCGCAATACAATGCCTTCCATCGAGAGCGGTTCGAAGTCGAATATGCGCCTCTGTTCCAGGAATACAAGTACGGCACGACCATCTGGTCGCCGTTGGCGTCTGGTCTGTTGACCGGCAAGTACAACGACGGTATTCCCGAGGGTTCGCGCTTCGCCAACCATCGCGACTTTTTCGGCAGTACTGTCGACTCGTTGCAACAGCCAGAGGGCAAGGCGAAGATTGAAAAGGTCAGGAAGTTGACTAAGATCGCTGAGCGACTGGGAGGCAACACTACCCAACTGGCGTTGGCTTGGGCTGCCAGCAACCCTAACGTCAGCACTGTCATTCTCGGCGCGACAAAAGTCGACCAGATCGTCGACAATCTCGCCGCCATTAAACTGCTACCGAAGCTCGACGCTGCCGTTCTCAAGGAGATTGAGGAAGTCCTCGATAACAAGCCCGCCGCTCCTCCTAGTTTTGGTCGGTCGAGGTAGGCATTTCCTCTTGCTTCCTGACATCCATCCATCCATCCATCCATACATCTATGCCTTTGGTTGCCCTCGTTCTGTTGTCCGGCGCCTGTGTCAATGGTAAGCTGGCCTGTATCTCCTCCGCGTGTCGCCCTTTCGATTTTCGATCCAAGGCTGATGTATATCTTCTTTGTCTTATAGGCGTGCATGGAGCCAACGCTCGGCAAGATCAAAACTCTAAGTGGATCACAATGTTTCGAGGCGGCAGTTCAATCTTCAAAAGGTCGATAGTAACTGGCTAGCATGCAAAATAGCTAAAACACGCTCGTATACGAGTCATGCCACATGTGCCATAACTGTCTCAATTCTGCAATCTAGACTCCATCTATCTTCTATACGTGGTATTGTGTCATGACATTCATCGAACTTCTGTTGGCGTAAAATCCAGCCCCTGTTGGTGCTAAGTAGAGGCACCAAACTTCTGCCCACTGGCACCGACTCAATACCTCCGAGTGGGAACGTCTATCCGTCGGATGTGTCGCCTCTTATGCCGTCCTCCTTTTTTCTCGAGTAGATCCAGGTCATTGCTTCCCTCCTTATCATGAGGCGCAGCGTTCTCTTCAGTATACACCTCGGCCGCCTCTTCGGCACAAGCCCGCAGGTCCAAGCCGACTGCGGACGCCCGTTCAAATGGATCGGTAGTACGTACCAACTCAGCAAATTCTCCACGAGTCGCCGAGGTGGCAATCTGAGGAAACGTCTTCTTGCTGCCGTAAACCTTTGGGCTGCGTGAGAAGTAAAAGTCAAGTGACGGCAGGCTTTGCAAAAACTGATAGATGCCCGCCACCCGCATGACTTGCACTGTGGAATCATCAACCGAGAGTGTCAGAGTCATGACATCGGTCCGTTCGCGGCTGCCCGATTTGGACTCCTGCAGGTCCCAGCGAGCAATGCTGTTGGCGATCATGATTCGACCCTTGCCGCAAGAATCCGATAGCTGCTCGGCGTTCATGACGGTGTCCGGCCCAAAATCGAGAGGATCGGAGATATAAGTCAAGTAGAAATCGGTGGTGTTGGTGACCAGAACGGCTATCTCGGGTCGATACGATGGCTGTCGGCAGCCACCTGCACCCTCGACGTGGGTTCGAGGGAAGGAGATAAAGGCTTGCACATGAGGGTCATGGTAACGGGACCACCAGGACGAGGAGAGGGAACGCGGTATAGGAACGAACTCTGTGCCTCCACGCAGGGTGCTGGAGCTAATTTCATGATAACTGATGAAATTGTCGTCGACTTGTTGTTCGAAGACAACATCGCACATTCCGGTCAGTAGGTGACATTTCAGAACCGTCAGGGGTTCGAATTTCCAAACAAAATAAAGGTATTTGCTTGGAGGCCGTTTATCCGAAGGAGTTTGATCAGGATCCCTGATGAACAGGGGAGTCCAGTTTTTCTCCTTCTTGGGACGTTCGAGAGTTCCTCGAATAGTGAGAATGGTTGAATGGCCAGAGAATGGTCGGAAGATCCACATAGCTCTTTTCCAATCTGATTGGGAGGACTTCATGTTGAAGACAATGACAGGTTCCGCGTCTGGAACATCTTCAATGATGATTCTTGCATCTTCAGGCCCGAAGAGCTCGCCACCCAACTTGAACTCAGTGTTGGTATCAAATATCTTCGGAAACGTGACCTCATGCTCTTTCCAGGTGAGACGGTAACCATCGAGTGGTTCCCAATCCTGACTGAAGATGCGAGCATGGAGGAAATTGATGCGGCAATGATCTTTGGGTCGAAGGGGATGAAAGATGATTCTTGAGATACATAGATGGACACTCCGATCAGGGAGGAAGGAGCAAGCAGTGGCAAGGCGATCCCAGGAGGAGGAGACGATTTCCTGGATTGACATTTTTTCGCCCTTGATCATTGCGGTAGGATAGTCGACCAGCGGGTGGCCGTCCAAGCTGCTGGCGATTTCAAGCAAATTCTCTTGCAGGTGGAATGAATCCTCAACTTGGACTTCGTTGGTGTGTGTTAGGACATCACACTGAAGGTCTCCACGCCCTTCACCTCCAGGCATGGCATTGTTATCGTAACCCTGGACCGTGATGGTGCGGAAGGCGGCTTGATGTTCATAATTGGCATCGTCATTGATGGTATCATTTGGCTGTTGGAGTTCAACAGGAGACTCGGAATTGTTGTTGGACCAAGCCTAGCGTTAAAGGGGCTGTATTAGCTGGGGCTGTAATAGTTTATACCTCAAAAACTCACCGTTGGCTCTGTTCTGAAGGAGTGTGAGTATAACAAAGTCAGTAGCAAAATAGGCAGGACGAGAGCCAAGGCACGTCTGGAGGCAAGGATCAGAGAGAAAGAGCGATGAAAGCCCGAGTCATCTGCTGGGCGCAAAGACAAACGAGGCATGGCTGTATAACGAAAAGAATCTGTGTAAGTTCAAATATCAAGGCAGAAAAGTAGCAAGAAAGAATGACATGCTGGAGCAATAGGGTGGTATCATAGTCGTATACTAGCAAAGAGAGTCAGCAGGCTCACGAAATGGTTATAATGAGCATTGAAAAGGAGCAAATTTTGCATGCCCTCGTACAGAGAGATCAGATACGACGTTCTGCAAAGACTGGCGGGCTGGTATCTCAGGTGGAGATTCGGTGAGTCTCTTCTAACACGTCAAATGTCATGACACGACAGGCGACAGCTTTTCGGTCTGTGCTGAAGCCGGAGCTAATTTTTGGGTGAGAACGTTTAAAGTCTTGTGTGCCGTGGCAAGCCAATTGAGGAAGAAAAAGACGTGGGAACAAGGGAAAGAAAAAGATGAGAACTGAAGTCTGAAGAAGCGCAGGTAGAGATGTTTAAAGGCAGGAAGGAACCGAACGAACGCGTCTTGAGTGTAACAACCCAACTCGAGACTCACCCTTTTTCTTTGCTTATTCGCCTCGAAGGAAGGCCCGAGGGCAAAGTTTTGGTAGGTACGCGTATGTACGACTTACTTTTCTGCTTCCACTTCATGCTTCCTGTGCTTCCTGTGGGCTGTAGCATGGACATTTTCTTTGGCATCTCCGTGCTAAGCCATGGCCTGTGCTTCCAAGTAGCCGAGTCCATCGGGTAGAAGATCGTAAGGGCGCCACATCTACAGCTTAATCAAAAGCTTCGCCTCGTTACATCCCCTGCTTCATGATGACGAAGCCCAGCCACGGGGCCCACAGGCACCACAGGGCACCACTAGCACCTAACGTCAAAAGGAGCTGCCCCCCAATCTCTCCAATTGTTGGTGGCCTGGAGGCCTGTGCTGCCCACCAATCGTACTTCGTCCATCACGCATGTGAATTATGTTGCAATGTCCATCGGTTGAAATCCCATTAGGCTTGCCTGGCTTTTCCGCCTCATGTCCTGAATATATGATCAGACTTTCTGTCTTTGATCGCCCCTGGGACGATGCTCCCTCAAATGCAAATCAACAGCTCGTCACTAGCCGCTGGCTCTACGTCGGAACAAGTCCTTCCTTACGTGACTAGCATAACTCTACCCAATGCTCATGAGCTGTCAATACGAGCGTAGAGGTTAAAAAGCCTCAGTTTCAAGCAATTCCATGTTCTAGCCCTTTAAACATCTGGTACGGCTGGAGAAAGCTCGTGCTCGACTTCGGTCTCGATCGCATTTGCAAGCCACCATCATGCACAGTGCATCAGTGCTCTTGGACGTCTGGAAGATGGCAGCTACGGTGACAACTCTTCAGGGATATTTTGTAATTAGCATGCAAGTCCTTGTCAAGGGGCTTCGATAGTCCTCTTCCGCCTGACAGTGCAATATAGTCACCCCTTACAACCCATGGAAGGCTAGGGGTGTAGTCTGGATGTGTATACTCGCTCACAACTATGCTTTGAGCCTTTGATGGCGAGTCCCAACAAGCTGGGTAGATTCAAGCTTAGTGAGAACCTCTGAGTTTATTGCTTATTACAATCTCAATGATCCTTTTTGATTCTATGGTGAGTAAAATATGTATGTAGATTTGTACCATCCGTGCTACAATGTCAGTATGTATACCCTGATACTTGGCAAAGCGAGAATGAATGATGCCCAGCCTTGTGAACGGCAAATCTTCGGCATTCACCCGCAGTTCAGCCTCGTTCATCGTTCATCGCAACTTTTTATCCAGGGCTCACTAGCTATACAAAGAAACTGCGGTCAAACAATGAGACCACGACACCTACAAATCAACATCACAACCCTTACATTACCCGAATACTTAATGTCCAACTCGCTCAACTACCCTCCCCACAACCTCTAAACCGCCCGCACCATCTCCCTCCCTTCCCTCTCTCCCTCGATGCGTCGCACATCTATCTTCTCGCAGTGGTTCCTGCGCAGTACGCATCCCAGCACTACATCTCACTCACCATGCCCTCGAACTACCCTCCTCGTCAGGACACCGCAACAATGTCCTTCACAGACATCACCGTTCCCAAGACGGCGACCCTTCCACAGCAGTCCTCACCACTCCGCAGCCCCTCCGCGGCGGCCGCTACCAGAACTTGCAAGCATCGACGATAGACTCGCAGAATTCACATTAAACGAAGCTATCAGCACACCCGAGGTGCAGCTCAAGCTCCCGGACAACAAGGGTCTGTCGGAGCCGCAACCTCTAGGGTATGTGTTGTCCGGGATTGACCGCACCACACATTTCGTCCAGCAGATGACACCGGTCGACGATCCGCGGGAGTTTGCCGTCGTCCGGATCGTCACCCGCAACGAACTGGTCCGTGAGGTCACGGCGAAGAGAGATCTGGCCCGTAAACAGGCTTCAGAGCAGAAGAGGAAAAAGCCCAAACAGTTGGAATTGAACTGGGCGATTGCCCCTACCGACCTGGAAATTAAGATGAAACAGATGGAGTCTTTCCTCGAAAAAGGGAAGAAGGTCGAATTGATGATGGCTAACAAGAGGCGCCAGCGAAAGGCCACTCGTGAGGAGGCCGAGAAGTTGTTGTCTGTCGTTAGGACAAAGTGTGAAGAGCTGGGTGCTTCAGAGGTGGCTAAATTCACCGGTGCCATCCTAGGCCAGGCTACGATGACCGTCGAGAAGCTGAAAAAGTGAAAAGATGTATTTTTAACAAAGAGGAGGGTCCAAGAATCATCTCCAGGCTCAACTATACTAATGAACATACGCTTCTGCATGCCTTTTGTCGCACTGACCCTCCGGCCTCATAGTCGTATATGTACATACTGTTTATACAATCATCATCATAACCCTGTAACAAAACTTCGTGATAGCCGTAGCGTTTCTCAAAAAGAAAAGCCAGCATTGGGCTACGGCCCCCAAGCCGGTGGTGAGGTAAAATGACTGTGGCTAGCCGACATGGCCGTCTCTGCGTCCCGGCGGAACTGAACATTGACTTCCCATTTTTGCCCACTACTTCCCATACCGTACCCTCCACTAAGTCTGTTCCGGATCATACTGGCAATCCGCTCTCGTAATTTGACCAAGCTCTCATCACTCCCCACCACCCGGAGCCTCAAGTTGGCCATGCCCATTCCGTAGTGTGCTTGCCAGAACTTGGCTTGCTCGATGCTGCACACCAGTGGCTCCGCATCAATGGCTTGTAGCACCTCGTCAAGGTTGTCCGACTTGGGCAGTGACATCAAAAGCATGGCCCCCACATTTCGCCCGAGTTGCACCCCGAGTATCAGCATGCTCAAGGCGATGCTGATGGAAAGCACCTTATCGATCCATTCGTACGTGTGCAACGACACCAGGGGTAGGATCAAGATGGTGGCCGAGCATGAGAGGGTGAGTAAATGGGAGGGGTTGCTGAGAAGGGAGGGCAAACTGTCCATGGCAGCAAAACGCATGGCCTTACCGATGCGGGCGTGGTTTTGAAGTCCTACCGCCGATATCAAGGTGGAAACCAGCGCCAGCACCGCTGCCAAATCCACTGTGCCCGCCGACACTCTCTCATGTTGATGGGGATGGTGAGGCTCGTGCCCAATGCCTTCCAAGGCATGTTTGGCATTGTGTGAGATGAGGTCGAAGCCGAAGAAGATGAGCAGGACAGATAATGCGAAGCCTGCTATGACCTCCATTCGTTGTAGCCCAAAAGGGTGGCGTAGGCTGGATCTGCCCCAGACCTCGAAGTTTGAGAGAACTTCGACAAAGACGCACAATAAAGCCCCAAGCGAATCGTAGAAGATCAAATGTGAGAGTGCCTCCATTGCAGCCGAGCCATGAGCGTTCCATGCCGTATATCCTGCCACCAACATGTGGCATATGCTCCAATAAAATCGGATGTTTTGGTCGGTCGTCATACTCGCCCGGCATTCGGCAAAGGTGGGCACAGGAAGAGAGGTCGGAAGTGCTTGAGGAGCACGGGGAGGCGGTTCGAGGAAGATCTGGTGGGAGACACTGCTGTGTTTATATTTGTGGCCTCTTCGTTGACCAATATTCTGACGTGATGAAAATCTCAAGTTAGCAATCCTATTCTTTGTCCAGCCAGGAGTCATGGGAGAGACCATATGCTGTTGAGGTGGGAAAAGAGTAACATTGGGACCACTAACCGACTTGATAACGGGGGATTTTGCCAGAGTTGAGGGCTGGAAGTTGAAGGGGCCGCTGTCACCATAATTGCCTCCTGAGGTTGTAGACTGTCTTTCGGGCGTCGAAGGGGAGAAATAAGAAGCAGGGTTTGCCATGAAGAGAGGGTCGGCGTGATGAGGCGATAGTGTATTTGTGTCGAATGGTGCTTCTGGGTCAAAGGCCGGAATTTGTTTAGCGGGAGAAGAGGGTTCGTCAGGGGGTGGAGTCGGGGTGCGCGGAGGCAGAGGAATGGGCATGTTGTTGGCCATGGCAAGAGAATGGAATGTGGTTAGACCACGTCTTCTTCGAGTGATTATATCGATGGGCTCATGATGCGCATAGAAGATTGGAATCAAAGGAGAGTCGCAGTCTCGTAACGTCGAGCAATTGAATCGAGGACCTTGAGGGTTGGTAGTGGCGGTGGTGTTGGTGGTGGCTGCCGTCAGCCTTCCGTTGTTGTTGCCCCCCGCTCCTTCTCCGATTGGCCAGAATCACAAATCGGCAAGAACCTTGGTCCGCGCCTGCCCTGGATGTCAGTGTCGTGACTTCCTTGCGACGGCATCAACGTCAATGCATTCTTTATATCATCATCTCTTATCATTAATTTTCTCTCCTCATCTGAGTCGAGAAAGAGGCAGAACCCCTCGTGTCATCTCCATGTCTCCACGGTGAGTCGTTGGAGCGGGAGAACAAGGTAGAACCCTGGATGGAAGGTCCACGTGTCGTCGTCTTAATAATTCTACTGCTTTTCATCTTCCTCACCCCCGATCAACCTGCCCGTCGGAGGTTCATTCTCAGCAATGAGTCCATCAAAGAAAGGCGCCAGGCACAACTCAGTGTGTTGACCAATACCACTTACGGTCAATTCAACCCAGAAGCTCATCGCTACCTCAATCTCAGCGGCTTCCGAGAAGGCGATCACTATCAGTGGAACTCCCTCGCTGCAGTTCAAGATGCTACCAGGAAGCAATTTCAGGCCATCTGGAGCGGCCAGGATCCAATCAGCGACCGGCCGGTCTATGAGCAGATCACTGGCGAAATCCGAGGCGACTTTACTAGACGGGTTGCTCCTATCCCAGCTTCAGGCCTCAATCTTACCGCGCTCGATCCTCGTAAGGAATACATGACTCCGATATTTGAGAGGAACATCACCGAAGTCAATGGAGAGTTGAGCATGACGTTGTTTGATTCCAATCATATTGGTAGTCACGAAACTGCCGCCATTAGAGCCGACTTGTCCATCTGGACCCCATCTGCCCCAGGGAATGGATGGCAAGCCCGGGTTCAGGGCGTACATCTTCCATCTGGACAAGTCATCATGTCAACCACAAGCTCAAAGTTTAATGCCTTTTTCGCCTTGCCTCATTTTGCCCTTACGCCTGACGGTTTCAATGCATCTATTGAAGTCATGAATCAGACCGTCCACAAGATCTGGGATAGAACCTTTGAAGATATGAATGATGGTCTCGCGTTTGCGCCGCAGTGTGAGCTCATTGTTTGGCTGCAACCAAGGCCACAAGGCTTCCAAGGGCTGGACGCTGAACAGACAAGGACTTTTCTGCATCAAGTCGAAACCGAGCTCCAAGCGCCCCAAGGCGCTCCTATAGGCCAACCACCGCCACTCGCCTTTTCCGCTGTAATCTTCTCCCCTGACTGCGGTTACGTCCTCGAGTCCGACTCCGTTTATGGCCCCAAAGTCGAAGCATACTGGACTCTCGCACAACGTCTCGTTTTTGCCTTTGTCACCATCCTAGGTTTACAAATTTCTCTGCTCAAACGACAGATGGAGAAAGCGTCCACACCTTCTACCAGAAGTCGAATCGCATATCAAGGTATTGTCATTGCGGCCCTTGGAGATGGCCTCCTGTTATTCGCATTGATTGCTTTGCTTATGATTGACGAGGCTGCATTCTTGATCATTGCCTCTGCGGCATTCTTGGCTTGCATCCATGTCGCTTTCCTTGAAGTCAAATTTGTCTTTGATATCTGGACCATCCAGGTCGGCGAGCCAGCCAGAGCTGAGCAAGAGAGACAGAGAAGGGCAGCTGCGGCTCCATCTCCGGCTCGACCTACAGCTCCAGCAACAAACACTACTCCATTACCCGTAAACCCGACTTCAGAAGGACCAGTCACACCTGGTACCACCAATCAATCCGTTCCTGGAACATTTCCCACCCAGGCTTCAACTGCTCCAACAAATCCCAACGCGCCCGCTGGGCTCCCCTTACCGGTAGTGGCTCCTCGACCGACCGGTGCTGTCCCCATCATCATTCCATCTGATCAAGACTCGCCTTTCCAGCCCGAGATTCCGAGTACTCGAGCATCTTTTGCGGCCATCTACAGTCGATTTTACTTCTCGCTAGTCATGCTCATGTTCTTTTCCCTGTGGGCCATGTCGTGGCCAAGGACGTTAAGATCGATGTATGCCAATTTTCTCGTTTTTGCATATTTCTCCTTTTGGTGGCCGCAAATCTATCGAAATGTGATGCGAAACTGCCGAAAAGCACTAAGCTGGGAGTACGTCATCGGCATCAGTGTTCTTCGCGCAGTACCAGTCTTGTACTGGTACTTTGCCGACAACAATCTACTAGCAATTGACACCAGTCCGAGGACGGCATTCGTTCTACTTGGGTGGCTATGGATTCAAGTCGCGCTCCTGGCAAGTCAACAGTTTCTGGGCCCTCGGCTTCTTGTGCGCGAGTCGTGGTGCCCACCAGCTTATAACTATCATCCGATCCTACGCGAAGACGATGTTGAAGCCAACGGAATGTCAATTGGTTTGCTAGCTTCGGCGTCCGAGGCCAAAGACAAAGATGACAAGACTCGCAAGGTGTTTGATTGCGCCATTTGCATGAACGAGATTGATGTTCCCGTGATTCTCAAGGCCGAGCCAGGGGGGATCATTGGCAGAGGGACTGGAGCCACATGGCTGGAGCAGAGAAACTATATGGTGACGCCCTGCAGACATATTTTCCACGCCGACTGTCTTGAAGGATGGATGAACCTGAGGCTGGTGTGCCCAGTCTGTAGAGAGTCATTACCTCCTCTTTAGATTGTAGAATAGACCTGTCAATATATAAACACAACGCAAACACTTTTTACTACAGTCTTATCCTCACAACATGAAGCATTCATTGCGGAGATGGTATTTCCGTTCACTGGAGCGGACAAGGCTCTGGGGAAATGCGAGTTTAGCTTCTCCACCTTTGATTTTAATGATATTACATCTTACCATTTCCAACATCACAAATGATGTACGGCCGACCTTCTTCCAAAACATTGGAACACCTCGAAGGGCCGTCATATAGTTTCTGAATGCAGTCCCACTATCCTGCAATATATCAAGTGGCTCATTAACCATATCTCACTCCAACCAGCGTCAGTTAGATTCCTGCTGCAGTGGGGCAACAGTATGAAACAAGTCGAAGATGGCATCGACCAGATTCCCACCGACATCGACGACGACATCTCCTTTGTCAGGACTTTTCTTTTAGCACGATCCCGCAGACTGAAATTCCTATGGCTGGCGATCATAGGACTGCTAGCACTGGGAACGCAGCAGGTCTTGGTAAGTGGATATTTTATTCTCTAATGTTGCACACCACTACCACCGACGACACACCATGTATCCATGACTTATAAGCTACACGTTCCATCAATGATTTGATTTGATTTCACTTCATTACGAATATTTGAGATTCATGTATCGACAAAATATAGAGTCTCCTACCATCCTCAACAACCCATTCTTCCCACCACCAGCACCACCACGACGCTATCCACGCCATCCAAAAATGCACAATCCATAACCTCCACCAGCATTCTTCATTCCTCGACACCGCACTTCCAATCACCTTAGAAGAATTCACCCAGCGACGCAATCGCCTAGCTGAAGCACTGCATGAATCCAACATCGACGCCTTCATTCTCGAACCAGGCTATAGTTTCCAATACTACGCCAACATCAGCCAGACGGATTGGGAGCCATGGGAACCGGAAGAACGACCGTTTCTGATGGTTGTGCAGCCTGACGTTGATGCCGAGAGCGGTCAAATACTTGCTAGGACTAGTTTTCTCGCGCCGCATTTCGAAGAGGATAGGGTGAGGATGTTGGGGATGCCGTTTCGATCGATGACGAGGGAGGGGGAGGGGAGGGCTGCTGCTGCTGCTCCTGCTCCTGCTGTGGGCGTGGTTCCTAAGGGACTGGATATGGACCTCGACATCATCGTCTGGGAAGAAGATGAGAATCCATACCAAGTCCTTCGCAACACTACATTCCGCAACATCTCCGACGTCAAGGTGACGGTGATGGTAGATGAGGAAATCCGCGACTTTATAGTTCGAGGCTTGTCCACCGCTGGCTTTGAGACCGTTGGTCTAAATCATCAAGTCGAAAGTGTCAAACAAAGAAAAACATCAGCTGAAATCGAACTCCTCCGTGCAGTGAATACCGGTACTGTCGAGGCAGTGAGACAAATGAGACCATGTGAGTGCTTCTTGCTTTACATGTGTTTGTCATACCATTGACATCCTCTAGGTCTAGTCCCCGGTCTGACAGAAGATCAAGTCACAATGATATTGAACAATGCTTTACTTTCAGTTGGGTTCTCGCTGTTCTTCAATATTGTTCTCTTCGATGAGAATGCCGCTTTGCCGCACGGTGGGACGGTGACGGGAGATATGATCTTGGGTTATGATACGATGGTGTTGATTGATGTTGGGTTAGTATATCCTTTTCTTCTTTTTTTCTCGTGTTGAGAGGAGGGTCATAAAGCTGCTCCGTTTTGCTTCTTGACTAATGGGTTATTAGGGCTCATTTCATGGGGTATTCCTCGGATATATCAAGAAGTTTCTTCATCGATGGGCCAGCACGGTCGTCTATACGGCGAAGACGATGTTGGTATACCTGGCTCATGGACCTCGTCGACTTCCTATCTTTCAAAGAATCGTCTTCTAGTTCTTCTGGACAAGTATCATCGTCAACGCCAGAGCAAAACCTAGAACACTCTGACCTCGGCAATCTCCACACCCTCAAACTCGAAATATGGAACCTCGTCCTCGCTGCTCAAGATGCCAGTATTCTCGCCATGACGCCAGCCCATGCCGCCGCAGATGTCGACGTGGCTGCTCGTGATGTCATCTCCGCTGCTGGCTACGGTGACCAATTCACACACCGCGTGGGCCACGGCATTGGCATCAAGGCTCACGAGTCACCGTACTTGAACAAAGGAAATACCCACGCACGTTTGCTGCCAGGCATGACATTCACCAGTGAGCCTGGTGTCTATCTAGAATCCAAGTTTGGTGTTAGACATGAAGATGTTTTCCTCGTCAGCGAGCTCGGCCTGCCCGCAGAGTGTCTGAGCGGGAGGAGGGCACAGGGGCCGTGGGATCCTTGATGTCCAGTCGATCTCCTCTCCAGAGACTTGACGACCTCTGGTGACTGCCACTCAAACATCTCGAGTCGAATGGATCAATCACTTTCCCCAGCAGAACATCACTGTCGCTAACGATCAAATATATGATTCTGAATTAATGCTTGTAGTAGTTCTGCTTCAGCTCTTATACGTGCACTGCGTCATGTCCTTGGAAACTGGCCGACTGCCCATGTCTCCCTACTCTGCGAATGGCCGGCCTCTTATCGGTGAGATGATGCTCTGCATCTGTATGTCTCGGCTGCTGAATCCCGCCCTCACAATGATCTCTCCTGCAGGAATCACCCAATTTTGGATGGTCGAATTCCAGTAGCTGAGATCCCGTCGTTTCAACCAAAATTGAACGGTTTGGCTTTCTCCACGTCTAAGATAGGTCTTTTCAAAACCGCGTAGGACGTTGATCGGTGTGGGCTGCTCACCCGGGATCTGAGGGAGACCAAGATACAGCTGCGACACACATGCACCAGAGACGTTCCCCAGATTGGTGACGGTTGCATTCACAAGGTAGAGATTCGCCCATAGATTGTCATTACCGCCAGGTCCGACGGGCGCTGCGGCAGGCAAAGCTGTGATTTCACGTTCCGGAAGAATGTTTTGGACAACTAAGTCAGAAAGTTCGAATGATGTATATGATAGACCAAATCCAAATTCAAACCGGACGGATTTGTTGTAGTAATCAAAGTGGCGATAGTCGATAAGAAGGCCTTCGCTGAAGTCAGATTGCCAGGCATTAGGATCTTCAGTCTCCTGGAGCCGGGTAGAGTTTGTCAGACGTGCAAAATCGTAGTCCGTGGCATTCAAGGCGATGGTGTAAGGAAGCTTTCCGCTTGGATTAACATTCCCATAAAGAATGTCGACGATGGAGTTCCCTGACTGTTCACCAGGTAGATGAGCAGCCAGAATGGCAGTCACGTTGGGGTTATTTGCCCATGGCATATCATTGATGCCCGCTGAATGGGTAACAACCACTGTATTGTTGCAATATGCGGCGACGGTATTGACCACCGAATTGCTGTTCCAATCGGCTTCAAGGTCGTGTCTGTCCACCCCCTCGGAGGCATAAGTCTTCAAGAACACTAAACAGACCTCGGGAACAGGGACAATGTATGTCAGACCATCTGGTCGGGAAATTGAAAGCGAGGATTCAGTTATGAGCGTGTTGTTCAGAAGATACTGTACAGAGGTACCATCTCTAGCAGCTCTGAGCTTGATGGCTTCCAAAGGAGTGATCAGGTTTGGAAGACGGGCTGCACCGCTACCTCCACCAACCGGTAAGGTACCATATTCTATGATGAATCGTTAGGGAGCAGACCAACAGATGTTGTGTTTAGAATCTTTCTAGACGATACTTACCATAACCGTAGGGCTGATCGTAGGATCCACCTGAGAAGTACACCCCGTCGACCAGGTCACCAGCATCATTTCCGAAGACACCAATTGTTCTGGGTGCATGCAGGGGCAACGTATTATTATGATTTTTGAGAAGGACTGTTCCAGCGGAGCCGAGCTCGCGAATTAGGTCGGCATGACCGTCGCGGACGTCGATGTCAGGTGGACCTAGGTTGAAACGATGTCGCCAAGGAGGAAGGTTTCCATTATTTAATAGAGGCGATCGTCCATCGATCGGTGGGTAATGTTGTTGACGAAGAAAGAAATATGGAGTCATAACTCGCTGTACCATGTCGTCGATGCGAGATATTGGAAGAGAACCGTTGATTACAGCTCGGGTCAAATTGCCCCCAAACATCGAAATATTGGCATTCCAGCCGATGCTTCCTGGTGATTGCTATTAGAATCAACTTGGAGAATGTGAATTCAAATCTCTTACCAGGCATGTCCATATCTAGACCAGCATTGACAGCGTCGACCCCTGCGTGGGTTGCTCCCCAGTCCGACACGACATAACCTTGAAAGCCAAGCTCAGTCTTGAGAAGGCCGTTGAGATTCTTCGAGTTTTGGCACCCGTAGGACGAGTTGATACGATTGTATGAGCACATGATGGAGGACACCCCTACTCGAACTCCATTCGCAAATGGCCACAGATAAAGCTCATGCATGGTGCGATCGTCAATGTTCGAAGAAAGAGACTCGATGGTCGTGCCGTTCCTCGAGGTAGTTGGCAGTCGCTGCGTCTCTTGCTCATTGGCGATGAAGTGTTTCAAGCTGGCTTGCACTCCATTCCTCTGGATTCCCATGATGGTTTGTGCTGCTGCCTCGCCAGTCAGATAAGGATCTGGTGAGAAGCCTTCCCAGTTGCGACCAGCATAGGCAATCCTGCCTAGCGGGCCAACAACTGGGCCTAGAAGGACGTGACTGCCTTTGCGTCTGAATTCATCACCCAGGTAATCTCCTCTGGCAAAAATGAGACCACGATCCCAAGAAGCGGCAGCTGTGAGACCCGCAGGGAAGGCTGAGGCATAAGTAGCCAATCGTATCCCCAAGGGGCCATCTTGCATACAGATACCGTCAAAACCAAGTCTTGGGATAGCGCCAATGTTGCCAACACAGGGGCCGGGAGTACCTGTCACTATCTGAGCCTTCTCCTCGAGAGTCAGATTGGCGACGAAATAGGATGCTTGGGTGAATGCCCATTCCCATCCCAGACCACGACTAGGGGGGCTAGGGTACACTGGAGGGGAAGAAGTGAACTCATTCGCATAGACACGGTTATGTTTGTGTGGACTGAGAACTGCAAGGAGGGTTGTAAGGAAAGGAGTCGACACCATCTTTGTGGTGGTTGTGGTCAGTACGAGGTTTGGAGACCAGGAAAAGGAGAAGAGAACTGGAAGTGATAAGCGTCATAAGAAGGGATGGGCAGAGTCATATCAAATTTTTACATACGCAATGCTGTTGCAACCATCAACGTAGGCACGCAGGCCCAACTTCTTGCTCCCATGGCTTCCTAGCTGCCGGGGCAGTCAGGTAAAGAGAAGACGATCAATGGTTGCTGATGACCTGTAGAGCATTCCGGCCCGTACGGCAGCTATCGCGGCTCGAGGTTATGGCAAGGTGCATGGGACCGAGGGGCATCCGTTTGAATCTAAGAATGCGTTGCGTCGCACGCTCGTAATGTCAGGCCGGTTTGACAAGGAATGGTTGAGGGGAAACAAGGGAGCTTTTGTTAATTGAGCCAAGTCTTTGAATTGATTGAGATGGCCATCTCGAGTTCTGGTGGCTAACGAGCAGGAGGATGAAAGCGAAGGGAAGATGTCGTTGAAGTCGGTGATGTCGTTAACGGCTGGAGGGGAAAGAGAGCGTTCCTTCCCCACAAGAAATGTGCTACAAAATGGCAGGTGCGACATTGCAACTCAACACTTACAAGGCAGGCGCAAGTGAGGAATTATTCTCTCACGTCGGATTGGATGGTGCATTTCCAATAACTCGTGCCACGTAGAAACCCAGAAAAGCTGTCTGTACATGGGTGCGTGATTTGATTAATGTCCGTGGAAAGTCGTACAAGAGCACTCATTATAAGCCTCCTAATTTTCAGGGGAAAAAGCGGCGTGTGGGGGCTATATACAGTTAGCCGAGGAAGAGAACGAGGGCTCATACGGAGTAGATTGGATAGTACTCACGACCAATCTCAAAAACAAGAGAAATGCAAGCTGAAGGGAGGCTATGACCAATCTATCTCTTGGTTGGAAGGAATGTCACCGACGCATTGGGACATGTTTTCCATCCGACACCTGCATAAAGCGATCTCATTCCATCCGCTTTACCAAATCTTGTTTGTTAAATCTTGGTCTTTATGAGCCACGTCGGAGACGATAAATGCATCAATGTTCCGAGCTGGAAGTGATAGTTTCTGAGAAATTTGGAATGCCTTCGTTTTAGGCATGAATCTCCTCTTAAGTTCGTTAATTCTGCTCCATGCTCTATATTTTGGCCCCAGACGGGAATCTTTTCTGCACAAAGTTCTTAATGTGGTTTGCAACCTCTTCAGGCTTTTGCATAGGCACCCAATGCTCAGCCTCGATAATCACCTCTTCAAGGTCTGGTAACAGTCCTGCCTTCTTTGGGGCATCACCGTAGTCGATACGGCACACAACGTCACCTGTACAGCCGATGAATAAGACAGGCTTTTGAATCACAAGACTTTGTTCCAAGAGCTCTTGATCGCCCTCAGTGTGGCAGTTTCTGATTGTGGCCTTGTACATCCTGAGCGGCGCGTCGAACCCGTCCTTCTCGAACTGCTTCATGAAGGCATCCTTCCATTCGGGGCGCTGGGCATACTCCTTCAACGGCACCCGTTCATTGCCCAGGAGGTAATTTTTCATGCCCCCTTTCACGCAGAACATTTTGAGCATCCAGTCGGGGACGTCGCCGTGCAAAACTTCATACATTTTCTCGAGATTGGCGTTGATGATCTGGGCGCCATCCTCGGCGCCAAACAACTCCCAGTATGCATAGGCCGGGTACCCATATGCCGTCGTCATCAGGTTGTTCATAAGGTCCAGATCGAACTTCTGGTGACTGGGCGGCATGTAATGTACATTGAGCAAAATCATAGCAGAAAACAAGTCTGGGTGGTGGAGATAGGTACGTTGAACAATGGCCGAGCCCCAGTCATGGCCGATGATAATCGTGGACTGGATGTTTTCTGCCGCGATAATATCTGCGAGGTCGTTTGCTTGTCCCTTATGGTTATACTCGGAAATGTCTGTGGGTTTATCTGTTCCAACATAACCTAAACTATCCGGGGCAACAATCTTATTTGGAAGATGGGAGAGGTTGGCAATGACATTCTTCCATAAATGAGCACTGTCAGGGAAGCCATGGACGAAGAACAGGGCTGGCGTCGACGTGCTTGACTCTCCACCAGGCGTGGTATAGTAGGTATAAGTGTAGCCCCGCTTGGTCTTGAGTGTCTTCTTTAGTAACTTGTCCATGATGTTGGATGTTGGGAGGACCTTGAACGCTTGCTGTCACTCCTCAATTCGATCAGACCATGATTCGGTGCTTTTAGCGACCCTGAGGCCTGGTACTTATACCTCCCCTCGCCCTACCTTAACAACCTTTCGGACCACACAATACACCCAATAGACCAAGCCGAGGACAACCAAAAACAAGCCTCAACGACCCCTCGGACTACACGAGTCAGTACACAACGCGCCTAAGACGCCTTGCAAAGAATGCTTCGAAGCTTGGCAAGCCCACTACCCCACATGTTCGGGGTTCTGGGGAGAATGGATCATTGACGCTGAATCGATCTCGACTCTGTCAGCTCCGGGATGTATGCATGCATGATGCCCTCCATCTGACCACCGGTGGGCTTTGATGCATCCAGATCGACGTGCATCTACCCAGAGAACATTATCCTCTTTGATCGTTCGTCTAATCCAGGGCCGAAGACTACGAGCATTCAGTCACTGGTCACTCAGTTCATTGATCCAGATCACGGCGTCTCGTGGTCTATTGACTTCGCCGTATTACCACAACGGGGGAGTGTTCACCCAACATTGCAACACGACTTCACTCTTTGGAATTCTAGCAACAAGTTTCACGCCAGTCCAAGACTGCAAGACTCGTGCTATACTATCGCAGCACGATCTCTTCAGTCATTCAACCATGCGTCACATGCGACGTAGTACCTGCCATGCCCCGGTCGAGAAAGGGATCCTCCGAAACCTCCGATAACAAAATAACTCCATTCCCGCGCATCGACGAAGAAGTTAGTAGTCAAGAGAAGGACGTCAAGGATAAAGATGGTGTCACACCAACAAAGTCCAAAAGACGCGATGGGGCACCCAGTCACAAGCGATCCGTCTCTGGAAGCATCCTTTCAAGGTTGAGCTTTTTACGTACGACGAGTGACCAAGGCAGAGGAGATGGGACCACCAAAGAAGCCGTGGACGCAAGTGGAGGTGCAACAGCCGGCAACGGTGGCGGCCTGCCACTCTCCGGTGGTCGAAGCGCGATGGCCGAAGCTCAAGCCCATGGAAAACGAAGGAGAAAAGGATCCCTGCGAAAGACGGTACTGGGAAAAGGAAGAGATGGAAAATCCTCTGGGATGAAGAAATCACCATTGTCGAGTGCAAACGCGACACCAGTGCAGACGCCACTGCAGGAACAAGCTCTAACTCCACGCGCGAGTGCCGACCTGTCAAGTCCCGTATCTCCCGATTCACCACCATCGTGGCCGTTTCGAACGCTTTCTAGGGTGTCCATCCCCTCGATTCGCAGTAGTATTGCCTCTGTCGATCCAGCGTCCTCTGCTGCTTCCCTCATCAGTCCGACCGTTCCAACCGATGCCTCGACCGATGACGAAGATTTGGTCCTTCCGCGAATGCCGTTACTCCGTCAGATCCCCTCAACTACATCCTTTGGCGATTCATATTTCCCCATTCAAGACCCGGTCCGTCGCATGTTTGGGTCACGAGCCCGGTCACCGCTCGCCTCGGCCCCAGAGTCGATGGCTGGCACACCTCCTGCCGATGAAGGATGGGATTATTCTGAGACAGCCTTCTGGGGTTATGTTATCCTCGTCGTTACATGGCTGGTCTTTGTCGTCGGCATGGGCTCTTGCTTTGGAGTATGGTCTTGGGCCTGGGATGTTGGCGAGACCCCTTACGCCCCCCCAGAACTTGAGGATGATCCTACCTTGCCCATTGTAGGCTATTATCCGGCCCTGCTGGTCCTGACGTGTGTCATGGCATGGGTATGGGTGGTTGTCGCCTGGGTGGGGATGAAGTACTTTAGACATGCTGATTTTAAAGGCGATGATTGAGAAGGGCAATAGATATGGTTCATGATACTACCCATGCACTGTTTTATTCTGTTGGTCCTCCGAGACGCCTCGCTGCCTTCGTTCCTTGCCCCTGATTTTCTTTTTTGTAACACCGATGGGCGCAGCACCTGTCTCGAATGCGTGCCTATCATTCCATTCCCATGGTCACAATTTCAATTCCATATCATCTCATACAAAATGGTGGTAAGAATTCACACTGTCACCGATGTGTGATTGCCGTGGGTCGCCCCATTAGGTTTAGGAGTTTCCAAATGCAGGTCCGCTAATTTGTTTTGGAAGTGGTCGAGGCTTTCCTTAACCAAGAAGCCCTTTTCCGGTGGAATATCTGCAATAGCTGCTGGCGTTTGAGAGGGCGTGGTCCCTATTGATGTTGGAGTGACGGCGCCGCCTCCGGGAGCTTTCGACACCAAACCCTTGGATCTGGCAAAGCCAGTGGATCTCTCGGTGGAAGGATCATCGTCGTAGAACTCATCTTTGATAGGCCTGACAAACACCGTTTGCTTGCAGATCGTTACAATCGTGTTGGTGGGTACGGACAACCAGTTGTGACGTTCGAAGGTTAAGGGCTCGCTTGCCACTAACACCACATCGGATGCCTTATCTCGTCGTTCCATCTTGAACTGTCCCTTGGCATTGCCTTCCACCCAGGCGGTACCAGATGAGTAGTACAGACTAGCAGCCGCATCCGTCTTACTGCTCACGTACCTTGTGACGATCACTGAGTGACCATCCGTGACGGCAAAGTTGAGTAGACTCCTGGTTTCGACTTGAGCAAGATGGTGGTGGGCAGGAACGGCTTTAACAAAGGCATTGATCTTGGCGATGGTCTTCTTCATCGCTCGTCTTAGGACTTTGGTGTCGAAGCCTCCCTCAGGCTCGGAGCTTGGATCGACACCTTCTTGCTCCAGAGTGTCAAGGAACAAGGCGAATGCCCACTCAGAATCTGTACCACCCTTGACGCCAAGAAACCACTTGTCGGCAAGGGAGTCGGACAAGGGTCGTTTGACGTATTTCCATGCTCCAATATTGCCGTTGTGCATCCACATGAGGGTACTGTGCTGGAAAGGATGGCAATTGTTCTCCGCCAAGGAACCTTCCGTGGTGGCCCGAACGTGGGCAAAGATCAGATGAGAAGCAATCTTGGGAGCAATTCGTTCGAGATTGACGCAATTCCAGGCCGGTAACGTCGACGTAAATATGCAAGGGTCTGGGCCTAACTCTGGCGACGTGTACCAGCCAATGCCGAATCCATCGCCATTGACAGGTCGTCTCGAGTCAAGACGAAGTCGACTGTCGTAAGACTGAGTCAATATGCTATGAGAGGGCTCTGTGACCAGCTTTGATAGAACAATTGGTGATGAGCCTTTGTAGACCTGAACTCTTGTTAGAATGAGTCGAGGAGATACCTTGGATGAGCAATACTGATACTGACCAGAAAACGGCACATGGCTGTTGCTCACGAGAGCAAGTGACGACGGAGTGCGTACCAGATCAGATGAACTTAAGGACAGAAACGACTCAAGTTTTAAAAGGCCAGCATGAAAGTCCGACTCTTCGATCTCATGCACGTTTCCTGAGATGTGAGAGTGACTCTGTGCCAGCCTTGTCCCAAGTCAAGGTGGAAGATACCTAGATATTTTAAAACTTATGAGCAGCAGAGCAATGGGGTCACCACAGCTTTTTGAAGGAATAAAACTCGAGAAACTGTAGTAACACAAGAAGAAGTCAACTGGAGGGACTTTTGAGGAATTGTTTGTTTCTAGCACACCGCTTTGTTGTACATTTGGGCTGACACGGTGCCCTTGATTGTCCAGTACCGTGACTCTTATCATTCGCCTGTTTGCCGCTTTAAGGCTCCTACATTTTATGTCGTGATTGAAGGAAGGAGATGTTGTCATTGTTGTCACATGACATCACATGACCAACGACTTTCCCGTCTCATCACGTGTTGTTATCGTCCATGACAGCCTGGAGCGGATCCTTCCCTAGCAGGCCGACTTATGCGTCAACGTCATTCGTCCGTCTATTTCTCTTTCAAATGATTCCTCAAACACGCCACGATCCACGATCACATCTTATCCTCACACACCGTGCCTTCATGCTGGTCCCCGACCTGTGATGAATGGTAGACTTCTCTCCACGAGGGTCGCACCTTTGCTGCGCCAGCGAGGTCTGAATCGCGCCCGACTCCTTCACAGCCATGTCCCTAATACCGCCGGTGGTTTATTGAGGCCTTCTGGACGATTAGCCCCACGAAGATGGCCTGTCGGCTACAATGCCATTCACCATGTCCCTGCCGTTCGCTCCATCTCCTTTGTGCGCATTCTCCCTCGGATCGCCCTCAAGATGGCACGGCTGCCCGCCATGTTTGGTGCGAGCATAGTCGCCGGATTCGCCTACATTCAATATCAGGCGGCCCAGGCAGGGACTTATGCAATGGATGTGTTGAAAAGAGCCGGTGATCAAGTCTCGGAGACTTCTTCGGCGTTGTTTGGAAATGCAAAAGAGATCGCAGAGCAGATTGGTACTGGATGGCAGCGGACGAAGGACGATGCCCACCTGCCTGAATGGCTTCAACAGCTTTTCGAAAAACAAGAAGGCTCGAATGATGGTGGTTCTGGTCCAGAGCCTCCAAATAAAGCCAGAATCGGAACTGCTGCTGCGGCCTCTGCCGCTGCGATAGGAGCGGATGATCCAGACGAGCGAGATGTCCGAGCACAAGCTGAGATTGCTCGAGATGATCAGATGATGGTTCTTACCAGGAAAATGATTGAAATCAGAAGCATCCTCAACACAGTCGGCCAAGGCGGAGCTCTCACGCTACCATCAATTGTTGTCATAGGATCACAGTCTTCCGGCAAGAGTTCGGTTCTGGAAGCTATTGTTGGACACGAATTCCTACCCAAAGGCTCAAATATGGTCACCCGACGACCCATCGAGCTGACTCTTGTCAACACACCCGATGCCAAAGCAGAGTACGGAGAGTTCCCTGCTCTTGGGTTGGGCAAGATAACCGATTTTTCACAAATTCAGCGGACTTTGACGGATCTCAACCTGGCAGTCCCCGCCGAGCAGTGCGTCACCGATGATCCTATTCAATTATCTATCTATTCTCCCAACGTGCCAGACTTATCAATGATTGATCTTCCTGGCTACATTCAAGTTTCTGGCAAGGACCAACCACCAGAACTAAAGCAAAAGATCGCCGACCTGTGCGACAAATATATCCAGGCACCGAACGTCATTCTTGCCATATCTGCGGCAGATGTCGATCTAGCAAATTCAACAGCGCTGAGGTCATCTCGGAGAGTCGACCCCAGAGGCGAAAGAACTATTGGTGTCATTACCAAGATGGATCTTGTAGACCCAACCCGCGGCCTCGAAGTCCTCACCGACCGAAAATATCCACTACGCCTAGGCTATGTTGGAGTCGTTTGCAAGATCCCGCAGACTGCGGGCCTCTTTTCGCGAGCAGGGCAGAATGTAACAAGCGCCATTGTCAAGAATGAAAACGCATATTTCTCCTCGCATCCCCTAGAGTTCGGACCACAAAACGAAGTTTCCGTGGGAACAACGACTCTTCGACACAAATTGATGCATGTTCTCGAGCAGACCATGGCTGCTAGCCTAGCTGGAACGAGAGATGCCATTATCCAGGAGCTGGAAGAAGCCACCTACGAGTTCAAAGTTCAATACAACGACCGACCGTTGAGCGCAGAATCCTATTTAGCAGAGAGTCTGGACAGCTTCAAACACTCCTTCAAAGAATTCAGCGAACAGTTTGGTCGGCCGCAAGTTCGGGCTCTGTTGAAGGAGGTACTGGACCAGAAAGTCATGGACCTGCTCGCCAAGAGATATTGGAACAAGCCAATTGAAGACCTCTCAAAAGCTCCCTTTGAAGCCGATCCATTGGCCGACCTTCCAAAGGCCGATCCAGGGTCGCTGTTCTGGCAGCGAAAACTGGATGCATCGACATCCGAGCTGACGAAACTCGGGGTGGGACGGTTAGCCACCACGGTTGTCGCGTCGGAGCTTCAAAACCATGTCAATAAACTAATCGAGGCTTCTACGTTTGCCTCGCATCCATATGCTCAAAGAGCAATTGTGGATGCGTCTTCAAGCATCTTGAACGATCGGTTCTACTCGACTAGCGATCAGGTGGAGAACTGTATCAAACCGTTCAAGTTTGAGATCGAAGTGGACAACAACGAGTGGTCCAAGGGTCGGCAGAATATCGGACAAGTCCTCAAAAGCGAATTGAAGGCTTGCGATGCCGCTCACAAAAGGCTCGAGGACGGGATCGGATATCGAAAGTTGAAGGATGTTATGGGCTTCATCGATCGCGTCAGGAAAGGTGACGTCGTGCTGGAAGGTGATGGAACGGGCGGTGCAGGTGGATTTTCAGCTGCACTGTTACAGAAAGGTCAATTGAGATGATATACATTTGATTGACCTAGGCTAACTGGTATTGTACAGGACGAGAAGCAGTCTTTCTCCGAGACCGCTCCGAGCTGATCAAAATGCGTCTGCTCGCCGTCAAGTCGAAGCAATGCGCCAACGTCAAGAACAAATACTACTGTCCAGAGGTATTCCTTGACGTCGTCGCAGACAAATTGACCTCGACCGCAGTGTTGTTCCTCAACGTGGAACTTCTCTCCGAGTTTTACTACAACTTCCCACGAGAACTCGACATCCGGCTAGGCCGCCATTTGGAAGCCGCCGAGATCGAACGATTTGCACGCGAAGATCCTCGAGTGCGACGACACCTGGACGTGATTCGACGGAAAGAGATGCTCGAGCTGGTGTTGGAGAAGATTGAGAGTCTGAGGCAACTTGAGGGTCGGTCGAAAATGGGAGCTAGTCATGGAGCTGGCGGTGCGTCTGCTGCCAAAGACGGTTCCAAGGGCAGATGGAGTTTATTTTGAACAACGTTGTTGAGAGCGTGCCATGTCATATACCACTCCGTAGCGGGCGTTTTTGGGGCGGTGGGTTTGTGGACTTGGAGGAGTCGAGTCTAATGTGGTCGTCTTTGTCGGGAATGATTATGAATATGCTCCCCTCGCATCAAATCCATGCTCTTGACGTGGTGCGCCTGAAGTAATTAAATCCCCCCAGGGAACCCCCAATGGGATCGACGGTCATCGATCATCGTAACTGCTGTGCAAGAAGATCTGCCGTCCCATCATCCGGAGGAGGTTTATTGCCATGTCGATTCCAAGGAATTTCACCGGTAATATTTTCAATTGCGCCGTACCCATCCTTACCAGCCAATTTATCACCGATCTTGACAACCGAGAACCGAATCATTCTGGGATCCAGACCCATTGTTCGTCGCACCTCTTCCTGTGCTCGGATGGAACTGTCGAATTGCATGATGAAATAATGGCCTTTGTGGTGGAGGGTTTGATGTTTGACCGTCGGTCGTGGAAGCTGGAACTCGCCCCAGTTGGTGATGCCTCGGATCACGCCTTTATGTTGTAAGATGTTGTTTGCGGCGACTCGACAGATTCTGTAGGTGGAAGGGAGTTCATGTTAGCTTTTGGTTATGGTGGTGTGGTTTTTTCCAAGTGAGTTTTTAAGAGGGGGAATAGATTGAGGCGTACTCTTTGGCGTTCTTCGCATTGCCCGGTCGGACCTGTTTTGGAGCTTCATATTAGTATTGAGTGATCTGGGTTTGAGGATGGTAGGATGTATGGATGTGTGCGGTGTTGGCACATGGGAGACGTACAACTGCTATTAATTCGTACAACATGATGGTCGACTCTGCTGATGGTGGTGGTTGTCGACAGCTGTTGTCAGTAGTCAAGTCCAGCACAAAGGTATCCTTTGATGCTGGATCAGAAAATTGGCTGCGGTTCGGTTAGAGGCATTGTGTTTCGCCGTATGATCTACTACGATATCAGTGGCGTGACAGTGTGGATACACTCCGCCCTTTCACATATCTGTCGGGCGAAGCAAAACCCCAAACCGCACAGAGACTTTCGCCGAGCTCAGCGAACGGATATGTCACCGCAGGTCGCATCTGAAGGTTTTGTGCAAAGTTGAAACCACCAAGCCATAGAGCCAGGAGCAATCCCCCCAAGGCGATTCCCTACTGTAATTGCTAACTGCTGTTTCGTGGGCTTTCCAACAACTCTACCTGTCCTTCCAGACACACCTGTATATCCGCTCGCTCCAAAATGAATACCTCCACCATGAGTCGACTAGCGCCCTCACTTTCGCGATTCGTGAGCTGCCGGACCGTGGCTCCTGTGTCAAAATCCTTCCGACCTCAAGCATATCAAAACATTTGTGTGCCGAGAAGGTGTTTTTCGGCCAAGTCAAGCTGTGGGTCATGCGTCAAAAGAGTGATATGAGCTAGACTGACGAGGTGTTGGGTTCTAGTGTTTGCCAAAAAGTACACCGAGGATCATGAGTGGATTGAAATTGACACCGATGGAGTTACTGGTATGGGACTCGGCCGATGTGAGAGTTTACTTTACTAATCTTCTTTTCACTTCAGGCACGATTGGAATCACCAAGTACGCTGCCAAAGCTTTGGGCGAAGTGGTATTTGTCGAACTCCCTGAAATCGACCTCGAAGTTGCACAGGGCGACACGATTGGTGCGGTCGAGTCTGTCAAGTCGGCCTCGGACATTTTGACACCAGTTTCTGGAAAGATCATTGAGCACAACAAGCTGTTGGAGGAGAAACCCAAGACCATCAACGACGGACCTGAGGGTGATGGATGGATCGCCAAGATTGAGATCACAAATGCATCCGAGTTGGATGCTCTGATGAGCAAGGAGGAGTACGATAACTACGAAAAAGAGTAAATACCTTGATATGCGATTGGGGTGTTTTCCCTTGTAAGTCGTCGGCACCGATTCAACACGGGAGGAATGTTGTTAAGAAGTTACATTACAATACATGACGATTGCTAGGTAGCCTAGCATGGAGTCAGGCAACGAGTGGCCTTGAAAGTACAGTTGCCAATCAAACGATGAATCCTCGGCGCTGGCCGGGTTTCCTGCACTGCATTGACTTGCTTCCTCCTCGACTTTGTGAGTCTTTACTCAATTCTCTGGTCCTGCTCGCCAGATTGGCCGTGCAAGCCACTGACACTGGCATCGTCGATTTTGTGTCGATGAGCCTCGGGGTTGATCTCCATGTCGGACTCAAAGCCATCATCACTGTCAGCCTCACCCAAGTAGGCACTCTTGCTGGCATCCATAGGCTCATATTTATCTCCCTCGGCTGCTTTTCGTGCTTCAAAGGCATCGTCTGAGTCAGCCTCGCCTAAGAAGGCGGCATTGCTGGCGTCCAAAGCTGGTGCGGGTTCGCCGTATGCTGCCTGGACTGCATCGTGACCATCGTTACTGTCTGCCTCGCCGAGGAACGCAGCATGGCTAGCGTCGTTCCGATCCTCATTACCTCCAGCAGAGGCTTGTGGGGGAGGTGGTGTCACGATAGTATTGCTAGCATTGGGGATTGAGGTTGCTGCTGTAGGTGAGAATCTGACTGTGGAAAGGTGGAATTCTCGTGGCCGAGCAAGCGAGAGGTTCCTGCTAAAGATGCTGGAACTGCTCCAGGTGAGTCTCGTGAAGATAGAACGGAATGCCATTTTGAAACTACGATGATTGAATGATGTTATAGTTCTCGAATTTGAGTCAAGGTCAAGCTACAAAGCAAGATATGTATGATGGGAGATGAGATGTTGAAGACTTGAGGTGGCATGTGGCATGTGGTAGCTACAAAGCCCACTCAACTCGTTGTAGGGAGCAAAGTGAGGGGTTTGAACCATTGCAGGATATCAGCTGATTTTGTGTGATTACTTCAGGGATGTAATAGAGAAGGTATCCAGAACCTAGAGGGAAGATGTGGCGGGGGTGAGCACTGATTGAATGAGTGTATGGAGGTTTGGTGCTTGTGCATGGCGGGCAGCAATTGTATGGATAACATCGCCGACAAATTTGCGGGGAAGGTGCACCTGCAGTCTCCAGTGTAGGTTGAAAGAAGCAAGAGCGACATGCCACCAATTGGCTGGTTCTTGCTTGTTTTAGGTAGCCAATAACGTCACAGTTATTACACGCGTCCTTTCTCAACCTCGAACCCTCGACTTCATTCCCAGGCACAAAATGAATGAGCCTCAATTGAAGCGGACAAATGCAGTGAGAGGTCGATATCATGAAAATGCCACCATATCTATCGATGCCCACGGAGAATGGTGCGGAATGGTCACGCGGTCCTAGTAACCCAGGCAGGCCATTCAAGCCACGAGAACAGCACAGCATAGATTCATGTCTGCGAGAAACCTGCGAGAAACCTCTCACTTCAAATCGAACCAGTATATTGGTTTCTTGTCACAGAGATTGTCACAAGGCTCGCCAGTGGCACAAGGGCTTAGTGTCGAGCAGTTTGAGCTGGGAACTCCTAGCGTAGAGTGTGACTTGCGACCAGCAAGCGACAAAACGATGCATCATGTTCAGAGCCCCAACTCAAGAATGTCCAAGAAGTATGACTTATCAACTTGTTGACGTCTTCTTCTTCCTCTACGGTTCTCTAGGCATATGCACCTCTAAGTAAGCTTCAGGTGGATCTCGGTTGCGGATAGAATTTTGTGGAGAAGAACCATGGCCTCTACGTCAGAATCCTGAGGCTTGATTCAGTCATGATGTCGTGAGTTACACAATCACTTTTATTGACTGACCCTTGCTGATGATGATTAAGAGAACCGAACCATGGAGAAAATCAGAATCGTAGATAATACTTGCCAAAGATTGTACAACCATCTCAGGAGCTTTCCACACCCATTTTCAGAGTTGTCTCACCCATCTATTCCTTGACAGTCAGCCTGCGACCAACACTTTACACGCACTTTTCTGACATGGCAGCATTCCGGACCGCCATGCAGCCAGTGGCACGTCAAACAGGGCGATTGTCCTTCCGCCAGCTCGTCAACCTTACAGCCCGCCCATCATTTGTAGCACGACGACATCTCAACACCGACACTGCACCGGTGTTATACTCGGCACATGCCAAGGTGGTCGGGGCACGCACAGGACATGTTGAAGGCGACGACCTCAACATCGACCTAACGATGGCCAAAGCCCTAGGAGGAGCCGGCGACAAAGGCAAGACTAATCCAGAGGAGCTGTTTGCAGCGGGCTACGGGGCATGTTTTCAGTCGGCGATGAACGCATCAGCTGCCAGCATGGGTGTCAAGATGCCATCGAAAAAGGAGGACAGTATCGTTGAGACCACGGTCCACCTCGTCGGCGACATGAAAGCCTTGGACATGGGTCTCCGAGTCGACATGAAGGTCAAGGTCAAGGGACTAAGTCAGGAGGATTTTGACAAGATCATTAAGAGAGCCAAGGAGGTCTGTCCCTATTCTCGAGCAACCCAGGGCAATGTCACCACCAACATCACCTCTGAGTTGTCGTAGTATTGGTTTATCGAGTCCCTAGGTACAGCAAACTAGAACTGACATACACGGCATCCATCGAATGCATAGACCCCAAAGATGGTGATCTCTATACAGTATAGTCCATTCCACTAGGTTGTGAGTGGCTAATCTGTCTCTCGGCCAACTGCTTCCCTGTTATGCATTGGACTTTCAGGCAACAATCTCTCCCCACCAAAGATATGTACACAATTATTCCCCACCACCAGAACATCACTTTCCATCTACATGCACCCATGCACCTTCTACCATGACTGTGACCTCCAATCTACGTGACTGCAAGGCGTATGTGAGATGGCGACCATTGCCTCCATCCGAAACCACAGTTGGAGAGATCCAGCGCCAAAACATCAAGCACGGTAACCACACCTATTCAATTCAAGTGGAATCTCATGAGTCACACCCTGGCCGACCACCCACCTGGAAGAGCACCGCCTCCCTCAGCAACATCTTCACCAGCGAGACCAACAACAAAGCCGTCTTCGAGACCGTCGTCCAATCAACCCTCCCCGCCGTCCTCGACGGCGCAGTATGCAATTTCTTCGCATATGGACATTCCGGCTCCGGCAAAACCCACACCATCATCGGCTACGATTATGAAAATGTTGAGAATCTGGGCATATGTCTGTCAACGGCGAACCAACTCTTTCAAGCTCTTGATGACTTGAACAACGATACCACCGATCGAGATCCAAACCGCCTCGGCATCGGCCTCCGCCTGTATGAAATGCGACGAAAATCCGCCTTCGATCTCCTCAACAACCACAACGAATGCTTCGTGCGCGAAGGCGACGACGGACGCACCCACATCCGCGGCGAGACCGAAACCCTCGAGGGAGGAAAAGTCCGTGTCCGGCCTATCGTGACACGACCATGTTGGAATTTCGAACAACTACGTCAAGAGCTTCTAGCTGGTCTCCAACTCCGAGCTACAGGCTCTTCCACGATCCATGACCAGAGCTCCAGAACTCACGCGATTGTGGAGTTGGAAATCATTAATTCGGCATTACTCGAGGCACGGGATGCCGTTATCGAGAGACAATCTGAACTTGTCCCCGTGGGTAAAGAGGCTACGCGTGTCTACATCGAGGAATCGTATAAATCTATCATGCAGGATGATAATGGGAAATGGATTCCTAATCCGGATCGACCGATAAATCAGGCGGTTATTGATGAGGCGGAGAAACTCAAGGATGAGTTTCAAGCTCGTGTCGACCAGGCAGAACTACATGTGGCCACTGTGTTGAATACCTCCAAACATTCATGTCTCGGTGGTCGATATGTCTTTGTCGATTTAGCTGGAGCGGAGTTCTTCACCTCCGAGGGAACTCAGACGGTCCGCGGCAAGTCTTCTACCAGCACAGCACAGGATCGTCAAGAAAGTCGACAAATCAACGCCGATTTGTTTGCTCTCAAAGAAGTCATTCGAGCGCGAGCATTGCGTCAACCACGTATCCCATTCCGATCCTCGACGCTGACTATGGCTTTGAGAGAACACTTTGTGCAGTCTGACCGTGGGTATTCTGCCATGATTCTCACTGTTTCGCCGGCGGCTGATCAGTATGCTGCAACGGTTAATACTCTCAAGTATGGGACTTTGGTTGGTTCTGCTGGTGCTGGTGCTGGTGCTGGTGCTGCTGCTCCTGCTAAGAAATTGAAGACTTGATCAAGAGAAAGTCTGGTCCTCGTTACGAATCTGGTCTAGAATCATTGAGAGAGAGAAGACTGCCGTACATAGATACATAGAATAGTGATTACTATACTCATCTGTACTTGACTGACTCGTGTTCAAAGTCAAACCTTCTGCTTCACATGCACCAAGTAACGTCAACCCCAGATTACAACCGAGGCCAAGGGGCGCCCCCGCCCCCGGTCTGGCCCCTGGGGATACCTAAGCACTACTTAGTTTAGTCCCCATTGGCGGGCGATCCCACCTATCACGCGGACGGTATGTCAAGAGTCAACCAAGTACCACATTCCCATCCTTCTACTTAGGAACTGCCAACACTCTCGTAACTTAAGCGAGGAGGGGTCGAATAAGTCGAGGAAGTCAGCCCGGTGCCCCGCTAGGCTTTACCTTACTATTGCTACGCTGGAGTCAACCTGTCCGAGTCGCAAGCCATTTCCTGGAGTGGGAGCGCGTCAAAGAGGAATGAGAAAGAGACGTGTTCTGCCAATGTGATGATGATGATTATTAAGTACCTAGATAATCCTTTTTGTGTGTCCCTGGTCTGTCTTTCTTGCATCTCCTTGAGTACCTCTCCAGGAGCGGCGGTTCTTCGTTCCGTCTTTGCTGAGAGTTTGCGACGAATCATAATCGACCTTCATTTTCCCTCTTGCAGAAACGAAAACGAGAAACGAGAAACGACATCTATCTTAGCTATTTGGTTGGGATATACAACCATCTCTTAAATGTGACCTCCGGAAGACCCTGACAGGCAGCAGGCTGACACTGACCTAAGTTAGTGTCTGACCTGTCATTATTCATAAGACACATCAGCTTCAATATTCATCTGTCTTCTGTCTTCTCGCTTACATTGGTTCTGAGAGATGGATTCTGAATCGAGTGATCTGAAATCACAGCATCTTCTTCATCGTATTGTCCACTTCCTACCTCAGAATGAATCCGTCATTTCTTCCGTCAAGACAATGAGCGACAAGATCAAGGATGTTCTCTCCTGGCGCTCTCTTCTGGTTATCGCCGTCATCTACCTCGTGATTGTGCGTATTCTTCGCTACCACAATCTACGAAGGATCAATCAACGGTATGGACAATTCACCGCCAATGCGAACAGTCTCGATTACAAATCAGCCCATGAAATCATGAAACTAGGCTTATTGTACGAATTTCCATTCATGTGGGGATTCGGCACGCAATGGGCTTTGGTCAAGTCGTATGGAATCGCCAACGGGACCAAACTCTTGGTGCAAACGCGACAATTGACGGACGAAAAGACAGTCGGCAAACGCGCTGAAGACACCGGCGTCTTTCTCGGTGAGATCTTGGTCATGGGAGTCGATTCGGAGCGCGGGATGCGTGCCCTGGCCAAAATGAACTGGCTGCATCGTCGCTACGGTGCGAAGATCACCAATGGTGACTTGATCCACACTCTTGCACTCTTTATCCTCGAATCGCAGAGGTGGATCGACGCTTATGAATGGCGGAAGCTGACGGATCTGGAAAAAGTCGCCTCGTTCGTCTATTGGAAGGAAATTGGTAATCGGATGGGTATCAAAAACATTCCGGACACGCTTGACGAACTCAAGACTTGGACTGTCGCGTATGAAAAGGATCATATGTTTTACACAGACGACAACAAAGCGTGCGTCGATGCAACGGTCAACCTTTTTTTGAGGAAGACTCCTCAGTTTCTGCACGGCGCCGTCAGGACTGCCACTGCCGCTTTCTTGGAGCCCTATGCTCGACCGAGCCTCGGTGTGCAGGATCCTCCATATTGGGTTGAACAATTTGTTCACATCAGTTTCAGAATCCGCGCATTCCTCGTCAGGCACACATTCCTGCCGCGGATTGAAAGTCCCTTTCGCACCGTTCAAGGGTCGGACGGTCGCCTACATCGACGACAATACCTGTTTGAGCCTTGGTACGTCCAAGAGACATGGAGGTCGCGTCTCTCCTCAATACTTGGACTGTCTTCTGGACCTCATCCTGGCCCCAAGTTCAAGAGCGATGGGTTCTTGCCAGAAGAACTAGGACCGCTAAAATATGAACACGTGGCCAACAAGGCGGTAGCTCTTGAAGTCGAACAGTTGAACGAGTACTGTCTCAGAGGAGGAGCAGCTGGGACAGGTTGTCCCTTTGCTTTTCATGGGTGATGGAGCCGTGTTTTGTTTGGCTCAAGACCGAGATCTCAAGAGTTTTCAAGTCACCCATCCGTTGCCGTTGTCCATGATGTCAGTCAGTTCGGGCCACTGTGAAGAGATAAAAGCAGCTGGGAAGCTGAAGTCTGTGTCTCCAGGTTCATGGTCAGCATTGCCGTCCAATCTGACAAGTGACGAAGACCAGTGCACTTCAGGGTCGTTTCCTTCCTGTACCTGTGATTGGTCACCCAGGGGCACCACCATGCCAGCCTCTTGACTAGCACGCAGTTGTCGTTGGATTTCGAGCCGCTGCATGATTGGACAGTCTGGTTGCAGCACCAGCGGAGACATGGAAGATACTCCATAGAATTCGGAAGCAATGGTCCAATTGGACAGATCATTGAAAGCCCTGTCGAAACCCTCGGAGAATGAGTACAAGCCTGTTTCTCGGTGCCCTCTGCAAACATCTCGAAGCTCATAAGGCCAGTTGAACCTCAAATGGTCTGCGAAGGCAGAGGACTCGTGTTCTGACACGAATGTGATTCTTGCGTTGATGAGCCAATCGCGAACCTGGGGCCAGACAAAAAAGTCGACAATGCTAGGGTGTTTGACTGTCTGCTGTACCTCGGTTGGCTTCATAAAGCCAGGCTGGTTTCTTCGCTTTGAGGTGTTATTGCCCTGCAGCTTGTGTACCACTGAGGTTCTGATGCTTCGAATGGACGCCAGCCTGACGACGGGGTCACATCGACTATATAATCCTTGATCCACTGCCCTGGAAAATTGCCAGGCTAGGTCGAGATCGTGCTTCTCTTCCGCCGCTCGCCACCCATGTAAAACGGCACGGATGGCAATATCATCGTCAACGGCTTCGTCCTGGCCCGCAAAAATCGTCGATCGCCCGTTAGCTTGAATGAACTCCACCGCCGTGTTCAGGTTGCGGAAGTAGTTCTTGGGCCCATCTGCGCATTTCAACGCGGCGGAGAATGGACACAATGCCATGCTGTCATCGGCCGAGGATGTTTCCGACGGCGAGTCGTACGCACTGAGCCAAAGACGGGCCGCGGATGCTTCCGAGCTCTTGTGACTAGGTGCGAGGTTGGTGTCGGCGAGGTCATCAGAAGAAGCTGCAAAGCAAAATGATTAGCATCTAAGCCAAGGTCGATGGTGCTGGCGAGCGACAATCGTCAAATCGAGGCGAGAAAGTGTCCTCTAAAGACAAGTGTATCTGAAAGTGATGGCACTGACTCCCCAGAGGCGATCTCACTCACTCTTGTCGCCGTTGCCAATACTGGCACTCAGTAATTTTCGGACGTTTGCAACCAGACAGTTAAGACGATCGATCTCCTCTTGTTTCTGCTGGAGTTGCCGGACCAAGGTCGAGGTTCTCCCGTTGGTAGCGTTTTGTTCCATGGCGGCGATGTTGTTTTCCAACTGGGTGATGTATGCCTTGGTACGAGCGCGAGTTGCCCGCTGGGATTCACGATCCACCGCCCGACGCCGTTCTAGCCGGGCGGCACTCATCTTCTGGCGTCGAGACAGACCAGCGGCAGGGCGTTTCGCCGAGGCATCATCGCCCTCACGTTGAGAAGACTCGGACTCGACATTATTGATATCATGGGGCTGGTCTTCATTCTCAACTCCCTGTTCCATGATTGTGGCTACGCAAAGTCAGGGTCAGTCATCTGGACTGGAAACGGTATGGCATTCGGCCTGGGAGAAGTTCAAGGAAGTGAGGTAAGCTGGTGGGGTGAGGCGCAATATGGGCATAAAGGCCAAACCGTTAACCGAGGTCTGCTGGCGATCCAAGCACCCAAAGGAGTCATGGCGGCCGGCTTACCTAGGTATGTTCATATCGCCAAAATCTCTTACCAGATGGCAGTAGGAAGCCATTTCACACTTGAGACAGGCTCAATTGAGAGCCTTGTCGTTGAATATGTAACTTGGTGACAGATTGCAACCTCTAGAGGAGGTGTTGACTCTAGGTCAAAGTTAATGAAATGTCTGACGATTGTTTTGAAGGCCTTGGCAGAATTAGAACGCCGGATGAAGTGGAGGTAGGCGGGGAAGCGAGGCCCAGTGGGGGAAAATTGATGGATCAGACACCCAAATAATCCGTGCCGATTATTGGTGGACAAGCCGACTACTGTAGACCAAGAAGACCAGAGTGTCTCATGCGGCGGGCTATTTGTGATTATATGACATTTGACGAAGAGAAGTGTCGACAGGGCTCATGATGGCACAGATAACACAGATAACAACCTGGTGTTCTATTCTTGTCATTCTGAATCTTCTTGACTAAAGGAAGAGACCTAAGTTGCCTGGTCTTGTCAACCACATGTTGAAGGAAGTCGCACTTTGTGTAGACTTGGTGCTGCAGGCACGTGGAGGCTGGAGTGACTGCTGGAACATGGACCTGCAGCCAGCCAGCCAGGACAAAATGCAGCCTTGCTGCCCACGAGGCTTCCATCTCGGCTCAGCAATGTCAGCGCTCGAGCTGGCAGGCATACCTTGTCATGGGTTGTTCCTGGGCAGCTGCTCAAAGTTGTGCCTATCACCCCACGTGGTGGCAACTTCCAAGTGGGGGTATGTTGGGATGCAAGAGTTTTCTGGAAATCAGGACAAGAACCCAAGATGGAGACATGCTGCGCGGGCCTCTGGGTAAATCAGATAAGGGAAATTACCCTGAGTTTATGAGGCGACTCGATGCGTAGCACATGGATATCACCAGCTGCCTGGGAAGCCAGATGGTGGAAGCATCTCTCAAATGCATGATCCATCTTTCGAATCAAGATTCACGCTAGAAATTTACCGTGCTTCCAGAAGATAGGCGTCATTGACGGTGCAGGGATAGAAGAGACGAAGGCTGGCAGGGCACACGATTGAAACCTATCGTTTGCAAAGTCCAAAAACAAGATATAGCCGCCAAAGCCTCTTGAGTGGGGTAGAAGTTCGGAACTCTGACAAAAAAGACGCAGGAATTGGCTTCTGGTGGCGTAATTATTTGATCAGCTCTAAGAAATCTGGACTTTTAAAATTCAGATAGAAGGATGATGAAGCCGGTACAAAGACTACCAAGGCATCGTATAGCCTGATGATATTGACATGATACTCTAATGTACGAGACGATATTAACCGAGGTGCCGGGTCAGGCTTGATTGTTCCCCTCTCGCAGTGGTAGTTAAACTTGAGTGGCTCGTATCTGGAGGTCGATGATGTGGAAATCATGACGCGGAAAAACTCTCGGACGACACAATTCTAGAATGATTCCCAGTTGAGTTTGATTGGTGGATTGTCTGTGAAAGGAGACCGGCCCTTTTCTTAGTTGCAAGGCGTATGCGGAGTTCCGGACTGTGGAGATGTTTGCCGAATGTGCTATGAGCATGTGTGCGCAAGTGTACGGAGATGGTCATGGCCGTGGAGCGGGACCTGAGAATTCAGATAATAAGAAGCGAGCGATTGCACCAAGCTTTGCCTTGAACAGGCATGATGGCCCGAAAGACATGTAGTCCTCACTACGGAGTACAGTAGAAGGAGGACTACCAGAGCAAAAACACCTCGGTAGAATGACTGATTTACTACCGTATGCAAGTGCCGGCATGCTGATTGCATATTGGAGGCGACGTGATGCAGATTTGGATAGCCCTGGACGCAATGCAATATGAATTGAATGCCGGAGAACCACTGGGGATGAGGGAGCATTGGGAGACCCCGTGGGCCCTAGAACCACATTCCGGGCGTCCCTTATGAGCGTCCATTATGGGGACAGTGGCTAAGACAGGGATTATATGGCACCGGTGTCACGCGATGTTACATGGGAGCCCTTTCTGTGAAATATTGTGCTTTCCTCCACTGCAGGTGACCGCGAAAAAGTCCTAGGCCTTGGATACTGTTTATTTTGGAATTGGATCTGGGGCTGGACCATCAAAGCATGGCGGGTTGCCATGCGCCAGCCAGCGTGTAGCCGGATCTCACCAGATGAACTCGAACCACCCCGGAACCTGGAACATGGAGCATGGAACCTGGAACATGGAGCATGGAACATGTTGCTAGTCCAACCATGGTCCAGGATTTCACAGATGGGGAAGATGTCAATTAGAACTCCTGGCTGGCTTTAGCACTGCGATTGAGACAGGCATGTGCATGCACTTCTTTCGATGGCAGATCCCAAGGTTCCAACAGTCGTTGATGTGGGACGAGGCGGTGGCGTGTTGTTTGGTTCAAGCTTTTTCTTTGTGTCTCGGATGTCAACAAAGTCATGGTGCAGGATAGAATTTTCATTATGACCCAGTCATTATTGGGGCCATATTGAAACAACACCTGGTTCAGAGTCCAGATGTACGACTACTCCGTAGGGGTACCCACGCACTCCACGAGAGAATGGAGACTCGTTATGGCAATCAGAATAAACCTCATGAAATTTGACAGGGGTCGTTCCACTAGTGACCACGCGCATACTCCGTCGTCGTTCTTCTTGCAGGGCAAAGCTTTTCTGTCTGTGGAGCTTGAACTTGAACGTCACTAAGCACATGACCTTGGACTTGCCACAGCATCATCAGTCATGACTGCTACATACTCCGTACTTACTTCGTATTGCAGACAGGTACTCCGTAGTGTGGTTGTTGAAATTTGGACCTAGACATATGACCCGAGGAATGGAAGGTGCACCCTGGCACCCTTTCGTGGCCAATCTCGATGTCGGGCTGTCGGCAACCCCGCATCTCGCGCATCCTTTACTACGCATATGGTACTGTAGCATTGAAACAGCTTTGAGATGACGGAATGGCCAAATGCCGTTGACGGCCCTAGCCCTTTGTGGAACTAGTTAGCTAAGTAGTCAAGCTACTGTATTGGATGGGCGGTTGGCCTGGCATTGGCTCTACACATGCAGTGAATGCATAATCAAACTACCCCTAATCAGGTTTGTGGCACGCCTGCTGTACGGCAGGGAGACGAGTTTGCGGGGATGGATGAGCTGTAATGCGAGTTGCAAAAGCACCCAAGTCGACAGACAGGCAGGGAGACAGGTCGATGGCAGGCACGGCAGAGTTGGACAAAACAAGTGGTGCCATTCTGACTTTAGATGCTTTGACAAGATCCAAGTGGCGCGAGCAGGACACAAAAAGGTAATGGATGATTGCATCGCTTTGCATGTCCAGAAAGGTGAGGTCAATAATGAACCTCAACGTGATCATCTGAGCCATCATCGCTGACCGCATTGACGTAGTATTGGATGTTTTGACACTTGGGCCCTTTGCCAAGGCTCGGGGATTGGAGAACAAGCCTTGAAGTTGACAAGCAGTGCAAGCAGTGCAAGCCCTGGGCGAGGCCAAGACTAGAGTCTCACGGCGGCTTGACTCGATCGAGCGCAACCTCAATTGGGATCAACTCCGTTCATGGGCGCATCGAGTGACTGGGGCTCTATGGTGTCCAGTTGGGTGGCGCTGTCGCATCAAGTCGATCACCGGGGACCACTAGAAGTTAGAGAACGAATGAGCGACTTGCGTGGCGATTCTAGCGTCAAGCGTCTTTTGACTTTAGGTACTGGGGCGGGACGGGTGGAGCGATTCAAGCCAATGTGACTCTCTGGGTTTTTTCGAGCCCGTGCCAGACATACTCCGTAATAATGCTGGAAGGCACGACCGACAGCTGAAGCCTGAATACTACCTCCTTGAGGCTCCGTTGACTACCTCCAGGTGCCACTGGGGTGCCTGTCTACCATGATCCCTCCTTGGGGAAGTCGATGCGTAGGCCCCCGACGCAGCAGTCTGGGCGCCAGGAAATGCCAGATGACCAACAGACAATAATAGTGCACCAGCCTCCAGGCGTCCTAGGAACACACGCACACACTCTAGGGAGGCATCAACCACCATCGACAAGTCGAGAACCAGGGAGCGTGGTAATAATGGTCGCACCGATGAGTGATCAGGTGTCCCCTTGGCCGCCAATAACGACATGTAATCACCATTTGCCAGGGACCAGGTTGGACTTGACCGATCCTGACGAGGCTCCCCGTTGTTGTTGTTGTTGTTGTTGTTGTTGGCACTACTCCGTAGCTGACTGGGCAGATCAGATTTTGAAGCACCCACTGCACCCTAGTAGAACCACAGTACTAGTCAAGAAATCGGTGCCGAAGCCTTGACGTCGTTGCCTCTCCAGCTTGGTTCTTGCTTCAACGTCTCCTTCCGGGGACCCATGTACGAAGTCTGAAGACAGAACCACAACCAACACAGCAATGGCAAGCCAGTCAGCAGCCCACATTCTTTCACACATCAGGTACGCACACCACACGCGCATACGCATCATACGGAGGACACCTTCCTGGAGGCGAGGTGTCCACCAGCTCCAGTCTTGTTGCCCCCCAAATCGCCTCCCTCCTCCATCCTCCCACATCCCACCGCCTCCTCCGCGTCCAGCCACAGGGTTTCCCAGAGTTCCAGAGTCCCAGACTGGCAGAGTTTCGATCTTTTCACAAATCTCCGCTAGTCGGTTCTTGCCCCGCCCATCCATCCCCGTCCCTGCTTCGGTAGTGACGGTTCACTTGACTGCTCGATCAAATTCAATCCTTAGTTGCTGCCACATTCGTTCCTCACATGCTGTGCCGTGACTGCAACTCCGCGTGAGCTCCCACCTCATGCTTGCCTGTTCCGTTCCCTGGGCAGTTACTGCCGGTCTGTGGAAGGTGACATCTCGACCGCCTCTGTCACCTCGTCCCCCAGACATATAACCCTCTGACCTCCCCTTGATCTCTTGCCCCTCTTCTTTCCCTCCTCCCAATCTCCTGTGTCACCTCCCCCCAACCCAGTTCTGTGGTTCATTTGATCTTTGATCCATCATGGCTACCAAGGAAGAGCCTCTCCCTCCCGCTGCCTCACGCAACAACTCCCTCGCTCTCCGCACCACTGACGATGTCAACCACATCGAGGCTCCCGTCACCTGGAAGGCCTACCTCATGTGCGCTTTTGCCTCATTTGGCGGTATCTTCTTCGGCTACGACAGTGGTTACATCAACGGTGTTCTCGGCTCCGACATCTTCATCCACCAGGTCGAAGGTCCCGATGCCACCGAATTGTCCTCGTCACACCAGTCTCTCATTGTTTCTATTCTTTCAGCCGGTACCTTCTTCGGTGCTCTGATCGGTGGTGACATGGCTGATATCATCGGTCGCAAATGGACTGTCATCTTCGGTTGTGTGATCTACATGATCGGTGTGGTCATTCAGATGATCACCGGTGTTGGCGATGCCCTTGGCGTCATTGTCGCTGGTCGTCTGGTCGCTGGTATTGGTGTCGGTTTCGAGTCTGCCATTGTCATTCTCTACATGAGCGAAATTGTAAGTCATTCTGCCCCGGTCCAAACTATGGTTGAATATTGAAGCGAAATTAACCAATCCCAGTGCCCCCGCAAAGTCCGCGGTGCGCTTGTCGCCGGTTACCAATTCTGCATCACCATCGGTATTATGCTGGCCTCGATCGTCGTCTACGCAACCGAGGGTCGCGATGACACCGGTGCTTACCGCATTCCCATCTCCATCCAGTTCGCTTGGGCCCTCATTCTCGGCGGTGGTCTCCTCTTCCTACCCGATTCCCCCCGATACTTTGTCAAGAAGGGTAGACTTGAAGATGCAACCATTTCTCTGTCTAAACTCCGAGGCCAACCTCGCGAATCCGAGTATATCCAAGTGGAGCTTTCTGAGATCGTCGCCAACGAAGAATACGAACGTGCCATCATTCCCGACGCAGGCTGGTTCCAAGGCTGGGCCAACTGCTTCAAGGGCGGTCTCTCGCATCAGAAGAGCAACCTGCGCCGAACCATCCTGGGAACATCTCTGCAGATGATGCAACAATGGACTGGTGTCAACTTCATTTTCTACTACTCGACCCCCTTCTTGCAATCTACTGGTGCCATCTCGAACACCTTCTTGATCTCCCTCATTTTCACCCTCGTCAACGTCTGCTCGACCCCACTTTCCTTCTGGACCGTCGAGAGATTTGGACGCCGCACCATTCTCCTGTGGGGAGCTCTGGGAATGTTGATCTGCCAATTCTTGGTTGCCATTGTCGGCGTCTCAGTCGGCTTCAACCACACCCACCCCGACCCCAATGACCCAGACAGCAGCCTTGCCAACAACATCCCCGCTGTCAACGCACAGATTGCCTTTATTGCCATCTTCATCTTTTTCTTCGCTTCGACCTGGGGCCCTGGTGCCTGGATCGTCATCGGCGAGATCTTCCCTCTGCCCATCCGGTCTCGCGGTGTGGCTCTGTCGACCGCGTCCAACTGGCTCTGGAACACCATCATTGCAGTTATCACACCTTACATGGTGGGTAGCGAGCACGGCAATCTCAGATCCTCCGTCTTCTTCGTCTGGGGAGGTCTCTGCACTGCCGCCTTTGTCTATACCTACTTCCTGGTGCCGGAAACCAAGGGTCTCACCCTCGAGCAGGTGGACAAGATGATGGAAGAATCGACCCCTCGGACTTCGGCCAAGTGGCGACCCACTCGCACCTTTGCCTCATCTGTCGCTAAGGACGGCATCTTGGAGAAGGAGATTGTCGAAGCCACGCGCCGAGGCTCAGCATTCTAAGCTAATCTACTCCTAGTGACTTGCCGTCAATCAAACTATACATTCGCTTTGACTTGCTACACAGGCTGGCATTGGGTATTGGCGGTTGACGCAGGCTGACTTGGATCACCTCCCATATCTTGTAACGAGCTGCATCTCCAGAGATGGCATCCCTACTATCCATCCCTAAGAGAGACCAGCAGATAATCCGACTCAGAAATGCAACTATCTTTGCAACTGAAACCTTTAATTCGTGACTATAATCTTCTTACCACCGTCGGTGTGACACATATGTTTTAGATCTTCTCTGTGGTGTGGTAGATGTTCCGGTCTAGACCTACGACCCCACGAAGGCAGGGCAGATGTTTCGATCATGATGTCCTAGTTAGTCGAAGGCATTGACAGTAGCAATGCATGGAATCCAGGTCTAGCATCAAGTGACAGCAGTATCCAACAGACAAGTCATGGGATTGGATTGATCAATACCCTACTTACGACGGCTGGGTTCGACTTGAGGTGACGTTGAGACAGAGCCTGCGATGGAGTGGGGCGGAGGATCAAAGACGCGGAGTATCGGGCAGTGCTAAGTACTTAGAGCGGGGGAGGATGAATGAGGAGAGCAGACACAAGGGAGGTTTTGCCGGAAGGATTGTGGGGATTTGAAGGATTGATCTGGAGGAACACGAGGGCATAAGAAACAAGGGATTTTCAGATCTGAGATCTTAGATGAATATCAAAGGACTCAGTTGAATTGATTGAGTTTGTCATTTTGTAGTTGTGCATGTGATGTGATTCGTTCTTGCCATATCTCGCCCCATCCCGCCCCTTGTTTGAACACAGCTTGTCCGTTCATTATATCATCTGTGGGTATCTATACGTCTACCCGTCCCCAGAATGCTTGTGGCTTGCAGCTTGTTCATGCAATGACCCGCTGAGACAAGTCTTGTTTCTTACATACTGTGGTGTGGAACCTTGACGAATCACCATGCAAATCTAGCGGTCAATGGTAGTCACAGTGAACTGGTTGGTTTTCAAGGATGAGGATCCGGACTTCATGCCGTCAAAAGAACATGACCTATGTAGATAACTGCACCCAAAACCCTCAACCCCGGTGCTGATGCCGTGCCAATATTCAGACAGAGAAACCCCAACCCAATAGCGTATACACCACACCACAACACACCACAACACACCGTTCAAACTCCAATCCCCAGACAACGACACTTAGACTCGCGACTTGACTGTTCGCCCGTCATGAAGGCAATCTAGGCCATATTGCGTCCAAAGTCTTGATTGGACAAGGCGGCACCTGCTGGCGGAGGTGGAACCCAGTCGATGATACGTTTATAGTCTTGGTAGGACAAATAGCGGCCCTCATCCGGTCTTGGGAATGTGGCTTTCTGTTCGGCTATTTTGCGCACCAACTCTTCAATCCGTAATTGCATGATCACTCGGTGAATTCCATTTCTGGAGCAGCTTTTGGAGTGTTGTCCATCCTGTGTTTCCTTGTGGTTCACACGCCGTACAGGTCGATTGGGCAGGATTCCTCGTGCCACGAGCAGGTCACAGATCGGAGTCTCTGATTTCACAGAGACTGAGCCTTGTGAAGTTGTTGCGCTAGTGGCGGTGATTGTGGTGCTGCTAAGGCAGCTTGGAGCTTGCAAGATATACTGCTGAAATGGATCTGCCTCGAATTTCCAAGAGAGATGCGCTTCGCACGGTAGCCTCTCAAGCGGCTTCAATTGGACTTTCTTATCAAGACCCTCAAAAGGTCGGTATAGGGGATTCTGGATAACTGGGGTATATTGGATTGGAGAGGTGACCGATTTGATCATCATGGGAGCGATTGGGTTAACGCGGTGGAGAGAGATGTGGGCGAGGGCGAGAGAGAAGAGAAATGACAATGTCGGCAAGATTGAATGCAAGATATTTATGCAACAACGAACGATCGCGATCAGATTCGAGGTACGTTGTGTGCCACCCAATATGTTTGGTTTGATGGATTCAGAGTGATTGACAAACGGTCCAGCCCTTGTCATTGCGGAGGAGTTGATGGCAATGGCAGGAGCCATCAGTCATTGTCATCGTCATTGTCACCAGCGGGAGCCAGCTGTGCCTGCCGACGGAAGATGCGGCCTTTTGACAATTGTGAGAGGCAGTCACAAGGTCATTCAGCCTCGTTTGAGTAGCAAGTGCGGCCGGATCTGTGCCAGACCAGCCTCATGCCATTGTTGCGTTTTCCGTCAGCGATCTTGGTCCGTCACAAGATGGTGACTTGACCTCTGAGGCCGGTGTCATGTATAGATAGAACCTCAACTTGTCAAGAGATGAATTGGACTTGCACAGTCATATTATTGGTACAGTGACAGATATACATACCTGACTATGATGGGTCACTCCTCACAGTCTACCCAACTTCCATCGAGCTATCCTTGACTGAATATCCTCCCAGACGACTGGCTTGGTTGTCCAGCCGTTTGCCGGCTCGCCTTCTTGAATGACCACCGTCGGTGCCCCAGTCCCATGGCCCCTGTTATCAACCTTGCCACCAAAGATCTGTTTGGCCACTCGCCTCAGATCGGCCACCGTCAAAGCATCGATTTTGTCACACATCTCTTTCACTCCGACCTTTCGTCCATGCACTTGGACCTGTCGACCAAGATCTTCGAGTTCAACCAAGCGGGACTCCAGATTCATCAGCAAGCTGAAGCGCAGTTGATTCTTAGCCCGGTTAACTTCGGCAAGTTGAAGACTAGCAAATCCATGGTCGAGGGTGAGCGATTGCAACTCTCGACAGATGACATCGACCATGTGGCCAACTCTGCCAGGCTCGCAAGCGGCAGCAACACCAAATAACCCGCTGTCTGTATAACTGTGGTTGAAAGCCACACAGCTTTCAACCCATCCGTGTTGATTGAGAACATTTGTGTAAAGTCGTGAATACATGCCTTTCCCTGGTCCACCAGCCGAGAAAGACCCGCCTCCTCCGAGTAAAGTCTGTAGGGTGGCTTGAGCGTAGATGTCATCTGATGAGATGGGCAGTGCTTCAAATCCAATGTGTACATGTGAAAGTGGGATAGACAGATTGTTCTGTGGCAGAGGGAGTACAGGAAGGGCGAGATAACCACCGGTGTAATGAGATGGCTGTGTGAGAAGTGAAGAGGGAGCAGGCTGAAGCAGCGAGGAATCCAAAGGCGAAACGGTGGCTTGGTGTGGTGCAGAAGTGGAAAAGTTGTTGGAACCCAGGATTTTGTTGTTGGGTTTACTGGAACTTGACGCAGCCTGGCTGGCTTGCAGTGTGGCAGGAGATGAGGTATCTGCAGCCTGTGTCTGGATCTCTGGCAGTGATGGTCCTACATCAGGACTCATGTCTCCAAAATATTTCTCTGTCAATCGAACGGCCAGGTCGTGCTCGACGCCCGCGAAAGCCACAACAATCCTCTCAGGTCGATAAAATTGAGCTCGATATTTGCCAACAAGGCCTCTCGTGATATAGGGTAGTCGCTCCTTGGGACATAAAAGTGGATGCCCCAACGTATTGTCCTTGTACGCCGCCATGTGCATCAATTCTGGTATTATCAGATCCGGTTTTGACCAGATTTCTTGGATCTCATAATCGGCTGTTTGTAATTGCTGTTCGACTTCTTCTTCGGTAATTAGCGGGTCACGGATCGTTTCGGCGAGGAGAGCAATTGTGTTTGGCACGGCCGAGTTGAATGTTGCGGATTGATACATCAATGCTTCTCGGGACGATGCGCACTGGACATTTCCACCTAACGATTCTAGAGACTCGATCATCTGGTCGGCAGCTCTTGATTTTGTGGATTTGAACGCCAATCTATCGACAATGTGACTAACTCCTCTCAACGATTCGTCTTCGTGTCTGGAGCCTGCATCGATATAAACGCCCACGCCGGAGAAGGGTCCGGGGAGCGATTCGGTAGCAACTCGGATGCCATTTGGTAAGGTAGTAATGTGATCTAGTTCAGCAGGGTCCTTTCAACATGAATCAGTAACAGCTCTGTATCTTGCGATGCCTTGGACCTACTCGTTGATTTGGGTCGCGGACGGTGGCATAAGAACGTTGCAGTGGCTTGGACGATTGCGCGGCTAGTCTTGCATTTCGCAAGGCTTTGACAGCTACGGACCGCATGCTGTCTACTAACTTGCGACAAATAGCAACTGGTGTGTGGAAGGCTCAAAGATGGTCAAGAAGAAGAAATTAGACGGAGATGGAGGATAAATTGCAAAGCCATAAAGGTGCAGCCCTGTGGCGGAAGAATAGAAATGCCGAACAAGAATTTGTTGAAGCAGCGGCAAGTTATCGTTTTCGGTTAGTTCCATTCATGCTCGAGATATGCGCACGGAGTACTTATGGTACGACACGTGCCTCCACGATTACGAAGGTGTCAACCCGCCCTCGTGGTTATGGAGGTTCGTAGCCCATTACTAGGCATAATTACTAGGCATACGTATGTCCAAGCAACATGCCGCAGCCAGCCGGCTGGGCCCTTGGCTTCTTGCAAAACCTCACATCAGTAGTGATCAGTGATATGCTCTAGTCCATGCAGTTGAAGCTCAATATTGTTAGGCCGTGTTGATCTTGGTGCGGACGATAGCATCTAGTTTGTAGGCTTGACTCCACATCTAGCAAAGATCACTGTTGAAGCTAGACATACAACTGGGGCATAGCGAGGATTGAACCTTAGCTTCGGCTTGATGCTCGATGACATCGTCATGTGTCTGTTTGAGGGATAAGCCACCTACATATCTCTGGCGGCTCGACCTGACATTTACCGGACGGCGGCTTTCCCAAGGCACACCCGGACCTAAAGAACCAGGATATCTCATTTTCACTTCTTAAGTTGTTTGTCAAGTCAAGCTTCTCAACGTCCTCAACTTGTAGTCCATTCAGTCGCCCAAGATACTGGGTCCGGTACCTGGATTTGATATCCATTAATCGGCTGAGAATCTCCGCCATCCGAAGTCCCCAGACTTCGAACGTTCGCTTCTCCAGGTGCCAAATCAGACCGCCAAATCAGCCACTGAGCCATCTTTCGAGCTCTGCAGGGTTTCAGAGAGATAGACACATAGAGTCTCTCTTCCTCCAGGATAACAGTACCCCTTGCAGGACTACTTCTAGACCACTCAGGGATCGAGGACGTGTGCGCGTTTTGTCTGGGATTTCGTGCAATTGTGTCTACACCCTCGGTTGTGCAATCAACCGAGACCTCCGGACTGGGCACCAACCAACGCCGCAGCGTCACCCCTGAGCCCCTCAATAAGTTCCAGGCGCAACGGCCACTGGTCACCCGTCAAATCAATTTGGGTGCCTATCTTCTACTCCTCAAGCCCCTAACACTCCCACTTTTAGGTGCTGATTCACCCCCCAAACACCCAACTAGCTGTTTCAGTGCCACGCGGAACTGCGCTGCCCCATTATTGTGGCAGCGGACATCGACATCGACCCCCTGGCATTTGTCACCCACACTCGAAACTTTGACTACGTTCCAACATCAACAACATCTTCGATCCCATGATCTCTCCACCTGTGCCTGCCACCTCACCAGCAGGTGCAGATTTACATAGAACGAGCTCCAGGCGCCGTGGCCTCAGTTATTTTCGTGCCTTCTCCCATTCTCGATCAGGCAACACTTCTCCCAACGAACCTTCCCGTTCTCCGAGACACTACTTCCAACGATCCCTCAGCCATAATAGCGACAGCCGTTCTCACCGGTCGGTTCTCACAACAAGGCATCGTAGCAATTCTCGTCCGGACGAACCCACGAGCCCCCTCGGCGATCGAGGAGGTGTTTCCGCATCTTCCCTGGAAAACCTCCACTCCCCCACTAGCCCTGCGACAAGCAGGCTAGGCCCGAATTCCTCTCTTGCGCAACCTGCCCACAACACCACATCTACCGATACAGGCGAGGACAGTATGGCAAGACAAAGAACTTCTACTCTACGCAGACACACAACTGCCGGGCATCTTCAAACGTCCTCCTCAACCACAGAAGCTGTCGAGCAAGCCGCAAGGCCTGCCAATCCAAGAACCCAATCAGGCAGAACACCTGGAACGAATACCGAGTCCGAAAGCAAGCCTCAACTACCTGCAATCCGATTACATTCTCATCAGGAGGCACGGAATGGAAGGCCGTCGCTGACCTTTAGCCCAATATCACGCACATTGCCCAGTGAAAGCTCCATTATTCGAGTGGGACGCTACTCAGAACGAGAGGGAGTCCCCAACGCGAACCCTTCTGCCCCTTCGGATGCTCCGGTAGGCTTCAAGTCCAAGGTGGTGAGTCGCAAGCACTGCGAGTTCTCCTTTGTCGATGGCCAGTGGCAGATCAAGGATGTGGCCAGCTCCTCTGGAACCTTTCTCAACCATATACGGCTCAGCCAGCCAAACACAGAGTCAAGATTATTCCCTATCAAGGATGGCGATATTGTCCAACTTGGGATCGATTTCCGTGGGGGTGAGGAGATGATTTTCCGTTGCGTCAAGATCAGGGTTGAATGCAATCGATCATGGCAGAAGAAGCCAAATACTTTCAAGTGCGTTCTCTCCCGAACTGGACTATGTCTACATGCTAACGCCTGGGCAGTAAGAGCCGTCATCAACAATTGCAGAGCTTGGCAAAGGATGAACCATCTGCCGATGCAAACAGCAGCGAGTGTTGTATTTGCCTGGGATCAGTCCTGGTATGTCTCCTTGAATATGACCTCGCAGACCCGTATCTAACCGGCGCTGTAGCCCTGTCAAGCACTTTTTGTCGCCCCCTGTGCTCATGTATGGCATTACAAATGCATTCGGCCGATGTTGGAAGGCAGAAATAGCACATATCCCCAATTCCAGTGTCCCAATTGCAGAGCATATTCAGATCTCGCAGCGGATGTGGATGTTGCTCAGTCCGACATCGATGAATGGATGGATGGTAATGAGGATGATTCGGATCGTCTAGCGGCAGTCAATGCTTCAAACAACGTTGATACGACCGAAACGGAGGATGCATCCGCGGATGGACAAGCCACAGAACCCCCAGAAGCGGCCTTGCCGGCCACGGCTACCTCTATCGACGCATTGCGGACCTCTTTATCTAACGGTCTCACACAAAATCCCAACTCCCCACCTGCTGTCGCGAATGAATTGTCCAATTCTCCCACGTCCATGCGCGGGAGTGGTCTTCTTGCTCGCCGACAAGCCACAAACCCGGTCTCTCCCGAGGTACAGGCCATGAATGGTAACATTGATCTTCCCGAGCGGCTAGAACCAGATGATTCCCATGTTCAACTAGACCAGCAGCGAACGAGGACGCAGACACCCGATATCGATCACACGCCGGCAGGAGAAGGACCATTGACGCCTAGGAATAACGCTGGCCCTTTTGTGTTTGATGGAAGTGCTGGAAGAACGGAAGCCCGACACCCAGTGGTTCCTGGCATTCCTGAGGTTGTCAACGCAAGTCAGGCATCAGCGTCTTGACGATGAAAAGGGCACTTTTTGGAATTGGTGACCTCTGTTCGTTTAAATTTGATGGGCAAAGCTTTGTTTCTCGATCGCTGGCCTCTTCATGCATTGTGCACCCAGTGTAGGCATGGTGACACATGAGCCTGAGGAAAAGCACGGTTTGAGCGTTTCATGCCATTTGAGCACTTTTGGTCTGCCACATGTTAGATTAATGCATCTAGCCTAGTCACAATTAGTATATTACACCAGTTCTGACACGTGGTAAATGTCCCATGACTCTGGAGAGTAATGATTTGTTCCAGTGAACTTCAATCAAGGTCGATCCAAGGCTGCTTGCAGTTACGGCCTGTGCGATGGAAGTCTGAACCACCTAAGCCACTGCAAGAGAGCAACCCTAGATAGACAGATGTCGCATCAAGCCGGACAACGGACCGATCCCAAGACATTATCAATGACTTTCTGAGGATCAAGACCTTCGAGGATCTCCTGTGCTGCAACCAGACTCGTACCATACTGGGTACTTCGTTCCCGCTGGGGAGTAGCCATGATGATACGATGCGAATAGACTTTTCTGGCGGCCAAGGCCACAAGCGAAGGGGTGACATAGTGTATGCCGTGCAAGGGGGCCAGATATCTGCAGGTTTTGAATAGGGTTAGGAAAAATCGTGTCTACTTTTTGTTACATTGTTGTGGATATACATACTTGGCTAGTGAAAGCAGTTGCGTCGTGGCAAATGGTGAGATACCGCCATCGACGCTTCTTTCCATGCGTAGGAATACTACTATATCTTGGAGATATCGTCGGATTTCGGTCGTTACGGTGGTTTGGTGGCCTTGATCGCGTAGATATTCGATCATCTTGAAGGATGTGTGGTCAGTATGAATATGAGGAGGCGTATCAGTATCAGTATCACAAGCTGGTGCCGCCCGTGTCGATACAGTTCGGGCTAAGGTATAGATAAGGAGCGCATACCGAGCTATCGATCCGGCGATTCGAGAGCATTTGCTGGCTCCTTGCACTGGGAGATCGCCCCAATGTGTGGTCGAAGTTTTGTTCTTCAGCATGGGCGTCAAGCTCCTCGAGGTGGAGAAATCCATCTTCGAGTTGGTGGCGATGGGAGATGAAGATTCGATCATTCTAATGTCATGAGTTTAACCATCATTGCTAATTAACCCAACAGAGGGAATGCTCACCAGGTGTTTGGTTAGTTTGACATCTTTAGTAGAGGTAGCGACTAGAGGAAGAAATAGGAATTCCTTTGGTGCTGCATGGACGGTAGTGCGACTGAAGACGCGTTTACTCCGAATGAGCTGGGATGAGTTTAGTTAGTTAGGAATGGGGTCAGCGCCATAGGTTGAAGTGAGAACGGCCGTACCTCGAGCATTTGGATTTGAATGGCTTCTGAAGCGAGATTGAAGTCTTTGGCGATGATAACGTTGACGACTTTGCGAGTGTCTAGTTTCTGCTGTGATGCTACACTTGAGCCATTGCCTTTGAAATTGATGGCGGCTATTTGGGTGTGGAGGTTGCTGTTCTGTAATATGGTCAATAATGCCACCAATGGTCTTGTGATTGAGACGCGTACACTGTCGAACCCACTGTCCCCACCGTTTATGGTGTCTTCGAAATCAGTGTGCTCATCTAGGATGAGTTCACCAAATTTGTCCACTGACTGTAGATCATCTCGTTCTAGGATGATGTGGGAGAACTTAAAGACATCCGATACAATCTGGCAGGAGAGCGCAAAGTCAACTTGAGACCTAAGTCATCATTTAGTATGAGAGTTTGCTCACCAAGCCAAGTTCAGCGGCAACATCGTCCTGGATGTCATCATCAGATTCAATTAAGCAATGTTGGTCGGCTATCAAACTCAGCAACACAGCCAATTCCAGGTCGGAGAGGTCATGGACGCGGTCGAGTAAGGCGTCAACGTCGTCCATACTTGCTCTGATGGTAGTAGGCGATGCGAACTGGAATTTGCGTTCTCATTGTGGAAGCATCACGAGCGTCGTTGGGCCAGTAAAGAATCGAGATGAAGATCTGGTTAACGATGGCATGAGGTTGATGGTTGGTGTCGACTACGCCACTGATGTGCCGCATCAATCCCGGGTGCCATTTGGTGTCTATAAGCGCCTAGCTTTACTTGGAGATTGGGGGAGGCCGTTGGCTTAGGTAAGTACCTGGTAGGTACTTACGGAGTAGAAGCATGACCTCTCGCCGCCTTGAGGACAGTACAGACACAAGTCCCGTGACGCCAAGCAACAGGCCCATTGACGGAAGGTGACGATGATGCCAGGCGTGCCTGCCCGTGTCTCTTACACTTGGGTTGTTGTTTGTCACCAGGTCATCCACTTTCCGCCCTTTTTCATCCATCTATGGAACACGTTACCAATGACAAGTACTAATCCCAGGGCAGGCTGGGAGAAAATTGGAAATCAATTCTACCAAAAGGTCCAGCTATACGAGTCCATATTTGATCCTGACCTCGAGCTTGGGAATTACCTTGTTGCGGGAGCACCATACGGCGGAGCTCTTGGTATGTTGACCCTTTCAGGATGACCACATTGATACTACTGCGACTGACTCATGATAGCATTATGGAGGGACAAGTCTAAAGTCGCACGCTATCGCACTGGCCAGTCTACCAAGCCAACAATCGACATTTATTCATCCTCTGGTCAGCTTATCAGTAATATCAACTGGGAGAAAGGTGCCATCAAAGGATTGGGTTGGTCAGACGACGAGAAGCTTCTTGTCGTGACCGAAGATGGTATCGTTCACTGTTATTTCGGACTACATGGAGACTTCAATCCCTTCTCCCTTGGCCATGGTGCTGAAGAGTACGGGGTCCAGTCATGCAGATTCTGGTCCCATGGATTTGTCGCCCTACTTTCCAACAACGCCTTGATCACCGTATCCTCTTTTGATGAACCCCGACCCAAGCTCCTCGCTCCTACTCCCGAGGGTGAGATTCACTCATGGTCGCTGATCCCACCAGCCTATACATTATCTCGGTCGGTCGAAGTATTGCTCTCCATTGGCAACACGATTCACGTGGTCGATGCCACCGAGGCCGAAGATAGAGGTCTCTCAGATGGACCATTCAAACACGTCAGCGTTTCACCGAATGGCCGATTCGCTGCATTATTTACAGATGATGGCAAGGTATGGGTGGTTGGTAGTGACTTTCAGAAAAAGTATTCAGAGTATGACTCAAAGGCAAAAACCACCCCAACACAGATCTATTGGTGTGGTAATGACTCGGTGATCCTGGCTTGGGAAGATGAAGTTCATATGGTAGGGCCGGATGGAGCAGCTGTCAAATACTACTACGACGACCAGGTTCATGTGGTCCCAGATATCGACGGAGTCCGTCTCATCACCAACGAGTCTTGCGAATTTCTACACAAGGTCCCAGATCCATTGGAGGAGGTATTCCGTTTGGGGTCGACCTCTCCTGCGTCAGTCCTGATGGATTGTATCGAATTGCTCGAGAAGAAGTCGCCCAAGGCGGATGAAAATATCCAGCGGATCAAGCCCAGCCTACCTGAAGCAGTCGAAACATGTATCCGAGCAGCAGGCCACGAATTCAACCAGACCTTACAAAAACAATTATTGAGGGCGGCGTCATTCGGCAAATCAGTCCTCGACCTTTACAGCAGCGACGAATTTGTTGACATGTGCGAAGATCTCCGGGTTCTGAACGCAGTACGAGACTATCGCATTGGGCTGCACATGTCATACGAGCAGTATATGCGACTGACACCAGAAAGACTGATCGCTAGACTGGTCAGCAGAAGAGAGTACCTTCTGGCCATCAGGTTGTCCGAGTTCTTGAATCTTCCACTTAACAAGATCTACGTCCACTGGGCGAGTCAAAAGGTTCGGGGCTCGTCCGCTGACGACGATGCCATCAGGGAGACGGTCGTGGAACGCCTGCGTGGGAAGCACGGTATATCCTTTGAGACCATCGCAAGAGCAGCTTACGACGAGGGACGAAGTCATCTTGCAACAACACTATTAAACCATGAACCCAGAGCTGGGAAGCAGGTGCCTCTCTTGCTCAACATGGAAGAAGACGAGATTGCGTTGAACAAAGCTATCGAGTCTGGCGACACAGACCTGGTCTATTTTGTGCTCTTACAACTCAAGAAAAAATACCCGCTGGCCGCTTTTTTCCGGACGGTCAGTGAAAGGCCTGTCGCTGCGGCGCTCGTGGAAAGTTCAGCAAGAGCACAAGACAAGGAGTTACTGAAGGACCTTTATTATCAGGACGACCGACCTGTGGAAGGATCCAACCTGCTCTTGGAAGAAGCAATGCAACAGCCCCAAGTACAAGCGATCATCGACAAGCTTAGACTTGCGCTCAGAATAATGACGGATGCAAAGGATCCCACAGCATTGATGCACTCTAAAGGATTGACGGAAGCGACACAACTAGTCAAGATGCAAGAGGCATTTGACAAGGACGTCTCCGACGGTAGTGGGAGTTATGTTGGTCTTAGTGTCAACGAGACCATGTTTCGCCTGATTAAGTCAGGTTACAGCAAGAGGGCGGTCAAAGTCCAGGGCGACTTCAAGGTGCCGGAGAAAACGTGGTGGTGGATCCGTCTTCGGGCGTTGACAGCGGCTCGCCTCTGGGGCGAATTGGAGGAGGTTGGTAAGAACAAGAAATCTCCAATTGGATGGGAGGTAAGTGTCGTCTGTGTAAGAGAGCTGGCTGTTGGACATGCTGACCGTTTCTGCCCAGCCGTTCTATAATGAAGTCCTTGGAGCTGGAAATACCCGCCTGGCCGCATCTTTCATACCGAAGTGCACCAACCTACAGCCATCTGAGCGGATTGAGATGTGGGTCAAGTGTGGACTGATTTCCAAAGCAGGCGAAGAAGCGGTCAAGTCCAAAGATTTGAATGCGCTGGAACTGCTTCGTGACAAGGCGAATGGACAGCAGCTTGTCGAGATTGAGAGGATGATCACTCAGTTGAGACCGCGAAAATGATCGAGAACGAGGGGTTCGACTAGGGCGCCAGGTCATTCAGGTGATGTTGTCCAGGTCATTATCGGTGTCGGTATTATGACCAGAGGCAGTTCGATCGACCACAACCAGCTGTGTTATAGCGGCTGAGGCAGGCAGTTTGACACCGTTCACAATTTTCACATCGGTAGTGCCGTCTTGGACTTCGTCCATCTCTTCATCCTCCCACGATCCGCCATGGTCATCATTGTTTTCTTCAGCAAATGCATTGCTGGCCAATTTGTCAAAGGGATTGATCCGTCCATTGGTGTCTTCCCACAGTCCTGCTCTCTCGCGGATTTTCTTCTGTCGCTTCTGCGCATCTCCGACTTTCTTGACCAATTGATCTTGCACGACCACAGCCCGGTCTAATCCTCTCTCTTGCCTTTTGCGCTGTCCACGAGTTAACTGTTTCTGTTTCTTTTTGGCCTTGGTGATTCCTGCGTAGGGTTTGGCAGATAACATGGGCGTGGCGTCGGAGGCTCGAGGACCGTCTTTGAGTGATTTGTCGGTGTTTATAGAGGGAGAAGTGGCTCTCTTTGCAGCTCGAGATCGTGGGTTGGCTATGAGGCATACTGGTTAGAAAAGTGGCATGGGTACAGAGGGAAGATTGTGTGTAGAGTATACCTTTAGGATTTTGTTTGGCTTTTGCTGTCTTTGCCATTTTTGATAGAACCACTGGAAGTGCCCGAAATGTTTTGTTCTGTTCTAATCGTGCGTTCTCATGGTATTGAAGTCGATGTCAGGATGGGTAACATTTTTTTTGGAGGGGAATCGGACTTTTGTGAGTGATGGCCTGCAGTCCCTGCGTGCCTGCGTGCCTGCGTGCCTGCCTCCAATTGTTATCAACCAGAGGTTCGGAGAGTGGGGCAACGTTATTCCGAAAGAGGTGACGTCGGTGCCTGCGTTCAATCCAATCCAATCCAATCCAACCCATCCCATCCCATCACCAGCGTGCCACTTCCAGCCCACCAACACAGGCCACCGACACATGGAGTCCTGATTGCCTCACCTTCAACGTCGTCAGCCTCCCCTCATTCTCATGACAACAGACCTGCACCATTATCTACACTCCCAAACACATCTGGTCGTTGCTTTTGACACGTTCGACCGGCTGTAAGTCTTCTCAACAGGGCTCATGGCGCCCGGAAGACCATTGAAGCGCCAAAAGACCAATCCAACGCAACAGCCTCAGAACGCTCCCCGTCCACAGTCTTCCCAATCTCCACTACCTCCAAATCCCCCATCAGGTCCAAGTCAACCTGTTCCGCCTCCCACCCCCAAAGAAGAGTCTCGTTCGGTAGGAGATTCCCGCTTTGTCTCGACAAACAACTCACCTTCAACACAGTCCTTCTTCAGTCGAACATGGCCTCGCAAGGCTCCACCGCTTACCGAGATCGCCCGCGAAAGCGTGTCATCCGCCACAAATGTTGCACAAGAGGCTGCTATTGTCGTCAAGGACAGAGTCAAAACTAAGAGATCGCCTTCACTAGCCATGACTCTGGGCAAATCCCCTCCCAACAGCTCTAATCGCTCTCTCCCCGCCGATACCGCCACTACAATTGTCAACGCTGTCCCCGAGAGTCCCAGGCATGAAGAACAGGCAAAATTACAGGCTGGAAACTCTGTATCATCTAAGGAGGAGCCATCGAATGACATGAAGATTGATAACATAGATAACCATCAAGGACCTGGAAACCCGCCACCGACAGGATCACCCGAAACCCATGGACCTTCGGATCAGGCATTGCTTCAGGGTACTCGGCAAGCACAAGACGGTCAAACAGGATGGCTGACCTGGCTCTCGAGACGCGATGCTCAGAACCCTGAGTCACCTCAGACAAAACCAGCCAAAGAGATACCTCCTGATTCGAAGACACCCGCAGACGATACAAAAGAACCTCCGATTATCACTGAACAAAGTCCTACCCAAAATGAGGGAACCAAATCCAGTCCAGAGGATTCAAAACCACAACCAACCCCCAGCAAGCGAAATTGGTATCAGATGTGGGGTGGCGAAACTCCTGCTGAGCCTGTTCCAACCCCTTCGCAGACCATAACGAAGGAGGACCCCCCCAAAGACTCTAACAAGCCACCTGAAGCTGCAGACAAACGAACCCAATCTCTCAAAATACCAGAGCCTCCAGCTTCCAAAGCTGCCTCACAGGCATCTTCTTTGGAAACGTCACCCCCTCCACCACTCCCTGGAGACGCATCCAAGTCATCTGGCTGGGTGTTCTGGTCACGAGACCGGAATCAGCATGGTCACTCCAAATCAGAAAGCACGCCGCACCTCGGTGAACTTGCAATCTCGGATACACCTTCTCAGGCAAAGCCCAAGCGAGCTTCAATTAGTCTTCCGGAAGGTCAGAAGCCTGTTCTCAAACCATCACAGGAAGAGTCCACCAAGAAAGAGAAGCCCCCCAAGACTGCAGAAGACAAAGGTCAGTCGGTCAAGGGCAGCGGCGACAATCCGCAGACAAAGGATGTGAAATCTGTTCCGGTCGTGAAACCAAAGAACGTAAAGCAGACAGGCGCGACAGCCAAGGCTGAATCATCGAATGCGACGGCAAAGGCAAGAGAACCAGTACAAGTTGAAACACCTAGAACCGGCTCACCCGCACCGTCCAAGAAAGAGACACCAAATCTCTTATTGCCAGCATTCAGAGATACACTGAGTCCGCAGGAGAGTCCCACTATACTGCAACAACTTGCAAGACTCCTATATTATACGAGAGAGACAGGTTTCAAACATCTTCATCTGGTTAAAGATCCACCGCGAATATCCAACGCACTCGCCATTGGGGTCCACGGGTACTTTCCGGCTCCCCTTATTCGATCAGTACTAGGACAGCCCACGGGAACATCAATCAAGTTTGCTGACATGGCCGCATCAGCTATCAAACGGTGGACTCGTAGCCGGGGATATGAGTGCGAAGTCAAGAGTGCAGCCCTCGAAGGCGAAGGCAGAATCTCCGAACGGGTTGAACTGCTTTGGAAATTGCTTCTCAACTGGATCGATGAAATTCGAAAGGCGGACTTTGTCATGATCGCCTGTCACAGTCAAGGTGTTCCGGTGGCGATAATGCTTGTGGCTAAACTTATCGCCTTTGGATGCATCACTGGTGCCCGCGTTGGGATTTGCGCCATGGCTGGAGTGAACATGGGCCCGTTCCCCGAGTACAAGTCTCGTTGGATCAGTGGATCTGCGGGAGAGCTGTTCGAATTTTCCGACAGCAACAGCAAGGTCTCACTTGATTATCAAGCAGCAATCGAGGAGGTCCTGACGCATGGAGTCCGACTGACTTTTGTCGGCAGCATTGATGATCAATTAGTGTCGATGGAATCATCCATCTTCGCGCCCATTACACACCCTCACATATACCGAGCAGTGTTTGTGGACGGCCGCATCCATGCACCCAACTTTCTCTCGCACCTAGTGGGATTCGCAATGAAGTTGCGGAATGTTGGGGTTCCAGACCATGGACTGATCCGAGAATTGTCACCCCCTCTGGCTGGCAGCTTGTACTCAGGAGAAGGGCATTCACGAATTTACGAAGACGACAGCGTATATGATCTTGCCATCCAATTTGCGTTGGAGACCACGACGATGAAAGAGATACCAGTTACTAGAAGACCGACCACCAGCTCGGCAGGAAACCCTTATATTTTACCTTTTGCCATGCGAGGAATCTTGGAGGAGGATTATGTCAAGACAGAATTGCAGAACGAGGCACAGGAGTTACTGGCGCAATTCGACGATTGGAAGCCAACAACCAAGGCACTCAAGGATGTTAAGTTTCGACTCGAGGGGATTCGATCGAAGTTGTAGAATACTCGGATGAGGTGGGGCGTTGAATATGCTTTATTATATACCTAAAGGTAGACATTCAATGTCATAACATTACCATGGGCAACCATTTTACAACAATCAATAGGTAGTCACTGTCAGTGTTTTGAGACAAACTATAGCAAAGGAACCCTTGGATGAATCAAGAGCTAGAGAACTCCATCTAGTCACTGCACATACAAATCCAAGTCCAATACTCCAGAGTCCCCATCCGTCGACCCACAGCACGACAAACTCCCATCAGAGGCAGATGTCCGGATAGACGGATAGACGAATATACGAGCGTACAAGCTGGGGAGTTAGGGTACTAGATTGGCTGGACTGGACGGGGTCGGCCTGGGCTCGGCGAGCATGAGCATGAGCATGAGCATGAATATAGGAATTTCTTAACTACGAGTATGTCCTTATGTACGTATGATAGATTTCAAAGGATCAACTAAGGAAAAGTTGTGGAGAAAAAGTGGTAAGATTCTGCCTTTAAGGCTCGCACGGTTGCTTTTCACTCTCAAACTACAGTAAATCCTTAGGCAACCATGGTCCTTACGTACGTACTACTTTACTTACTTAGTGCATCAGGCTTTCAAGTTCTGACTTGAATTAATGGAACAGGCAGCCCATCATATCCTAACTTAGATCGACTTTGGGATTGCGGTAGACGGCTGGTTCGGCTGTGTCCTAGCCTATCTCCCCCAACTTGTGGTTACCTCCGGAGTACGTACTTGAGTGAGTTTCACGGAGTACCAGTCGGAACCTCCGAGTCTCGGCATCTGTGGCTTTAGCTCTCAGCTCTGGCGCCTCGACCCTCTCGTCCTCTCGTCCTCTCGTCCTCTTGCTTCGATTGGTTCTTCCTGAGTACAGAATATGTAAGCAAGCCGCCTTATAGGGTGGATAGATAGAATGGATATAAATTAGATCAATCCTCCCTTCTGCCTGGAATGAAGAAGATGTTGTGTTGTTCGCTTTTGGGGTGATATCATTTTGATTATACCTAGGATATATATATCTCGCACTCACTCTCCTCAAAGCAACGGAAACAGAAAACAGAAAGCCAATATGACGACGACGACATATACACTCAAATATGACGCCGAGTTCGCAAAGGCGCTTGAACCATTTCTGCCTGCTCTGGCAGGAAGAGAAAAACCGAAAATACATGACCTAGAGGCACGCATTCCTAATATTAGTGCCTTTGTCGGCTTAATCATGTCTCAAATCCCTGAAGAACCTGATGTCGAAAGTGAAATCCACCATACAACAGCCGAGGATGGACATCAGGTCCCCGTGCATGTATTTCGGAAGAAAAAAGATAGCGATACAACCACAACCTCAACCTCAACCTCACCAACCGCTGCAGTATTGCACGTCCACGGCGGTGGAATGTTCCAAGGTTCACCACAGGAAGTTGGAAAAGCGATTGCGCGATACGTGGGGATGAGTTCAATTCCGTTTTTCAGTGTCGACTATCGTCTCGCACCGGCAGTCACGGCCACCACCCTGGTGGACGATTCGTATGCCGGTCTACTCTGGCTTCATCAGAATGCCTCGAAATTCAACGTCGATCCCGCCCGTATCATCGTCATGGGTGAAAGTGCCGGAGGCGGCATTGCGGCCGGGGTGGCCCTCAAGGCTCGTGACGAGGGTCTTTCTCCGCCGCTGGCGAAACAACTCCTGGTCTATCCGATGTTGGATGACCGGAACAATAAGCTCAACACTGCGATGGAACCCCTGGCTTTCTGGCAAGTTGAAGATAATATCACGGGTTGGTCGGCGTTGCTGGGGAAAGATAAAGCTGGGGATCCAGGTGCGGATGTCTCGTATTATGCAGCGCCGGCGCGAGCGCCTAGTTTGAAGGGCTTGCCGCCAACGTATATTGATGTGGGATCTTTGGATTATTTCCGCGACGAAGATTTGGCGTTTGCTGGACGCTTGGCTGCGGAGAATATTGAGACGGAGTTTCATCTCTACCCTGGAGTGCCGCATGGGTTTGAAGGGCTGGCGCCAAACGCAAGTGTCAGTCTTCGAGCAGCAACGAACAGACTCAAGGCATTGATGAGCGTCTGAGAGAGGTGTAGGGATAATGCTGGTGGCTCAGCGATATGATTGATCTTTTAGGAAGAATGCATCTTCTTCAATAAGGATAGACCGCCCGGGTCCGTCATCCTGTCCAACCCTGTCCAAGGACATATTTCCTTTTTCCCGCTTCGTCGGTGTTCAAGATTAATGATGGTTTTTTCTCTATCAATGATAGTATTGTCTGGGCAAAAACACTGTTGGCCCAAGCAAACCAACTGCGGGTCATGCCATCACCACCTGGCTTAACCCCACGAATGACATCCACACTCTCATTGATGAGGCCAAGAACACTGACATCCCTGACTCGGTTCAGGCAGTCCATGATTTCGTCATCATCGGTGCTAGTGACGGCCTGAATCAGTACGCTCATGGGCCAGGCATTTCTAAGACCAATGTGTGGACCACCAATGCCAGAAAATTTCTTGCCGGATAAATAGTAAGGGTTCGATCGACTGAGGATCATACGACGGGTGTTTTGGTATATTTCGCTGGATGCGTCGACGAAACCAAGCATAGGCAGCGAGAGCAGCGAAGGGACGTTGGCATCGTCCATGAGAAGATGAGAGCCGTAGCCATCAACCTCATACGCAAAGACATCGCCATACTTGGAATGCTTGATCACGGCATGCTCGTAAATCCCTGCTTTAATGGCCTCGGACCGTTGGTCAAGGTCGGCAGCCACCTGGTTGATCATTTCAGCATCGGAAGCGGTTGTTTTTGAGTCTTTTGCGGCTGCACGGAGTACATTAGCGGTACGTGCCAGCTCGACCGACATGAATGCATTTGCTGGGATAAGGAAGCCAAAGGTGGTGGCGTCGTCAGAGGGACGGAAGGCAGAACGGATGAGTCCTGTGCCTGCAGCCAGAGGGTTGCCAATTCCATCTAGGTTGAGAGTCTCTGTGCCTGCTCTCGTTGAACGAGAGAAAGTGTACTCATTGCGTTGATACAAGCCAGTCCCCGGATTGAAAGTCGGTTGAGACTGAGCATTCAAAACATGGAGCACGGCGTTCAAGGCGGTGTACCATCGAGGGGTGATGAACTCGAGAGAGCCCGTCGAGTTGTGGTACTGGTTAGAGAGGGACAGGAAGTTGGCAAGACTGTCTAACTCGTATTTGCATTCGAAGACGACCGAAGGTTCATAAGCAGGGTGAACAATATCTTCTTGACCAGTGGGAACGGGCGTCAGATGAGAAGGGTCTGGGGGTTGGAATGCATTGCAGTAAGGACTTGCTATGACGAATTCAGCCTGAGTATTTATGGCACCGAGGAGGAGTCTTGATATCTCTGGAGCGGACTTTGCAAGGGGTTGATATTGAGCTAGCTGATTGGTAGAATCGCGCAGCCATTCTGCATTGATGTCTCCAGTGACAATGAACGATTGCGCACCGGACCATTGAGCTCGGGTGGGAACCGAGTGTGTGGATTGAGCATGAGACTCGACACCGTCAACGTGCCATAGGACAGTGGTGTCGAGGGTATTGGGAAAGGCATTGCGGAAGATTTGTGCGAGGTCAGGATCTTTGAAGGAGGGAAAGAGGTCTTCGATGACTTTTTCGACAGCAGGGGAGGAGAACAGTCTGCATTGAGGATGTGGTCTTTGGAATGGGAGCTGCAACGGGCCTTTGCTCAGAGGTTTATGGATATGGTGGGCGTAATTGGTGTAGTCAGGGCAGAGGCCAAATCGGTCTCGCTGGCCATCGTGTCGGTTCACGACCAGGGCGGGCTCTTGAGGGGTATCATCGGCACATGTTGGGCCCAAATGTGCCAGCAGGACAAGAAAATGGCTCCAGAGAATAGCTGTGCGCATTTCTTACCTGGGCTGCGGTGAGCCGCAAACAGATGGACTTGAAATGGAAGAATGTTTACACATTGTTGGAGAAAGGAGATGAAGTCGCAGTGACTGGTTTGGAGAGGGATGATCCTCACGTGCATTTGATAAACCCCTATCAGCACGTGATGGGCGCCTGCGCTGACACACCGTATACCATGATACTTCATCACCGAGTATGTCCCTTGCTATTCAAGAACTTTTTTGTGCATAGTGTCATCTAAACCTACAGCATAGGTCATGAAAGATATATGAACCAAGAACCATCAAGCATATAACCCTTTTGCAGACCTTTCTCATCTTAAGCCTTCTTTCCAAAGAAGCTCATGATACTGCCTGACTTGGCCCCTGCCATTCCCTTCTTGGGCCCTGCCTTGCCTTGACTTTGGCTCTGGCTTTGTGTAGACTTGCCAAAAGCAGGCTTGACGGTGGCAGGGGCTGGCTTAGACGGGGCGGGTTCGGGTTCATCCTCACTGAAACTCTCCCAAACTGCCTCCTCTTTGGTGACCAGATAGCCTTCTTCATCCTTTGTAGTGCGCTTCTTCATAACCTTGCGCTTCCCACGTCTTCTTCGAGGTCCTGACACAGTCGGGGCTGCCGTCGGCTGGTCTTCTACCTTAGGCTTCTGCGTCTTCTTCTCCGTATCCGAGTCGGACCATGCCACTGCCTCCCCGTCGTCTTCGGCTTTAAGGTCTTGTTGGGGAACATCAGCCTTGGTATCGCTTGTCTTTTTGACATCGGGTACCGCTGCCTGGTTTTCATCGTCGCTGTCCATCATCTTTCGCAATTTGGCTGCTTTATCATCACGCTCTCGTTTGGCATCACTCAGTCGTTTCCTCGTCCCAGCTTTGCGGGTACCTGTGTCGAGGAAGAGCGCTTCATCCTCCGACTCCCCTTCATCTGCGTCTGTTGTTGGTGCATCCGACATCTTGGCGTCAGAATCCTGGGGTTCGTCACGAGATAGAGAAGACTTGGGTTTCGACTGGGATTGTTTGGCAAAGGCCTTGAATAGGTCTGAGGAGTCGCGTTTGAGGGCAGGTTTTGTGGCGGTTTGGGTTGAGGAGGTGGTGTCTTGCGAGGTAGGTTTGGATGTTGTTGTTTCGGCGGGTTCTTCCTTGGTGGAAGATGCGGCAGTCGTCTTCGTCGGAAAAATGCTGTTGGACTTCTTCGGTTCCTCTTTCACCGGCTGAAACTTGGAAGGCGGGCCACTGGGAACAATAGGTCTTTTACCCGTTCGACGCCGAACATGAGGATTTTGTATCACACCATAGAACTTGTTGTGTTCAAGTGGGTCTTGCTTGGTAAAGAAATCGGTAAAAAGGCCCCGGCCAACATCAGTCAACGCGACCAAGTCTTGTATCCGGCCTGGCGAAAGACTGTAGATGTGTAATGAAGTAACAGTCTCATATTCCGCTCTGACTGTGTCCAATGATTCTTCTCGAACCAGCGTCACTACCCGCAAAGGAACTTGGACCACGTCTTGATCATCTCCGGCGGCTTGACTACTTTGCTGACTAGGCTCGAGCATGGAACTTGTAAATGGAGGTGGACTCGAAGGGATAGGTTCGTCATCGTCATCGTGGAAATCAACCACTGGACCATTATGCCCGTTGGCTATTCCATTTGTCTTGACTGGGGCGGCATTTCGCTTCTTCACTCCGCACAGGAGATATGTGGCATAAACAGAACCAGGCTTTTTGCCAGTCTGGAAAGTGTAGAAGTCATACAGCATGCATTTGGCTGCATTGACATGGACTTTGAGGGCGCGGGAGACATTTCGATAGGTGATGGTTCGTTGCTCGGACAGGATTTCGGTGGCCAGATGAGTTTTGAAATCCTCAGACATGGCGAGATCGACTGCTCGCAGTGAGCGAGGGATCGAAAGTGTTGTGTTGAGAGTGAACTTCTATACTGGCTTGTGGTTGTGAAGACAAAAGACGATGGTCATTTTCTGGGCGCGTCTCCGAGGCTGGTGACGCGAACTTTCGCGTAAAGAGGGTGACGCAGTCTTGGCATTGGCATTGGCCGTCTATGGATTTCCGCTCCGCTCGGTCACATGTATTCAACTTTCTTCCTTGATGACCACATACTAATGTACCTACGTGTCTACATGCCAACATGAGAGCCTCATGGATAGTATTCTGCACACGAGTCAACGATTCAACCATCAACATATGTCCCTCTAGTCTAACCTCGCTACCTCCCTCTGATTTGACGTATTAGTCCGTCCGTGTTCGCTTTTTCCCAAGCTTTGAATATTGAGACCAAGTCGACAAATTGGTGCCTCTTCTTGTCATCGTCAAAGCTGTAAGGCTCTCATTACCACGTATGGTGTTGATCTCCGCCTTATCTTTACCTGCATGCACAGAATCCACAGACTTCCGTCGACTCTTGGCCGTCTTGATACTAGCCTTGTCATTTTCACTCTTGTTATCGTCGTTCTCAGTTTCGTCATCTCCGTCTTCTTTTTCGTTCTCGTTCTCGTCCTCTTGTTCTCCACTGCTCCGTTTCTTGTCCTCTTTTGGCTTGACACTCTTTTGGTACATCTTCATCATATACTTCTCCCAGAGCAGGTAAAAAACCACCACCATAATCGTCAGAGGGACTGCAACCGCCCAATAGACCCACATTCGATGATTGACCACGTCGGACGAATGAGGGGCGTCCCACTCAAACAGGTTCATGGAAAATACCGAACTGAGAAAAGTTCCAGGCAAGAAGATCATGGTCACAAAAGCAATGGCTTTCATGGCAGTACTATCCCTTTTGGACTCTCGAGCCAGGATCTGTGTGTCGTTGGCAATGCGGATGTTTTGATTCTGATCCCGCTGCGCAATCAGGTTGAAAAGGCCTTGCACCATGATCGAGGCCGTATGTTGCCAGGCGTTGGACTCTGATCGTGCTGACTTGGCTTTGCGGACCAAGCAGACGGCATTTTGCTGCACAAAATTGTTGGTTGCAGTCCACGACATCTGTCCCTTGACTGTGGTCTCAGCGTCAACATCGACCAGAGTGTCGAGGCGTGTACATTCAGAAATTATGCAGTTGGCGAGTTCGAGCAACTCGTCTAGTGAGTTTCCAAATTGGGCGATGTTGATGGCCATACCTGACACCTCTGCGGAGAATTCGCTCAGATCAATCTCGGACAGATCTCTCCCAGTGGTGTCGTGTCGACGATGGCGAAACTCGGTCACGAGAGCAGCCTGATCCACATCGTTGAAGGCGACCCGCAAGATTGCCAGGGCCTCTTCAATCATTTGTTTGCACGCCAGCTGGAGGAGGAGCATAGGATGACGGGCCATGGACTTGTGTGACTTGATGTCATTGAGCAGATCAGGAGCAGTCTCGTAAATCCACCTGTCGGCTTCGACGCATGACCAGATGTAGGCGAATGTTGCTGGTGAATGATCAGAACAGGCCATGTGGATGTCCGCAGCGAGAGACCCAATTCGATAGACATTGGTTTGATTGATTTTGAGTGTATCTCCTTCATGTTGAAGCCGCGGCGGCAGACGGTGGAACAATGTCAAGCGATTGCTCGTGTCGGGCCACGAACCACCGAAACATTTAGCAATGTCCTCTCCCAGACTGTCTGAAGCCTCCTTTCGAAAAGGATCGATACTGATGGCGCAAAACGTTCTCCTCTTTGGTGTGGTGCCGTTCTCAAGATCGCTCAAAGCCGCTTCCACGATTTTGAGCACATTTTCCTCAGGCACGCTGGTTTCGCTGTGCTCCCACTCGCCATGTTCGTTCTCACCGATCTCTATCAACTTCCACACACATGGTACCTCTTTAGTGTTGTCAACCGTAGGTGTTGAAGTAACTTCAACGCCGGTATCCAGTTTTGTGGCAGACACTGGGTCCGATGGTGGGCTGGTGTCACCTTGATCGATTTCAATAACAACGTCACGACTGCTGCTCATCTGCATTTAACTGCCGGCAAGTCCTGAGGCGAAAAAGAGCAAAAAGACATCAATCACACCAAGGCAAGGGCAAAGGACAGAAACAGAAGATGTAATAATAGCGAAAATCCACGGTCTCGAGAACACAATCACCACCAGGCTGAATGAAACATGGCCCCCATTCTTAAGCACTGCGCCACATGTAGTAATTGGAGGATCTTCAACAATCGTATGCATAAGTTACCCTAACTCCTTAGTTACATTGTAACACGCCGTTAGGCTGTTGAAGGATTCTAGGTTTAACCAATCTACTCCGTAATGGCTCCCAAGATCTTCAACTGAGAATCAAGCCCCTGGTCAAGGTTAGCGAAGCAACGGCAAACGTCGACGGGCCGTCCAACCGAGTCCACAAGGACCTTGATCTGCCCGCTGCCCGCGCCTCTAACTCTTGACAACATGGTCTTATGACCAATGCCAAAGACCCATCTCAACAAGAGGAAATGGACTCTTGAATACACAGCACAGCATAGCACGATAGCACGTATGATGTCTAGCGACAACAATGGTGTCTTTCCTAAAATATGTTAGCCCAACGAGTGACGACGCACTTACATTGTCATTTGTTCGCAAGGAATGCAGCGTCGGTATGATAGTTTCAGGCTGCGAGTGGCTGTTCCCATGTCAGCCCACGACCTCTTCCCAATGGGACTGGGAGAGTAGTTATCATTCGGATAGCGAACCATGCACGATCAGAAACATTTTTTATCTTTCAAGTCATCAGAACTGAAAGATTGGCTATAGGGAACCTCGTAGCCGCTGAAATCACTCAGCCGAATCTGCTTTCCATTCTCCTTGAGACCGTGGAATGATGGTCTCCTGGAGGAGGGTGAGAAGATATGATAGAAGAAAAGTACTGGGCAGTAGGGAATGAAATGGATCAGGAGGGAGCATCGTAAAGAAGCAATAAGCAGCAAGCCAAAAGACAGATGCTGAATGTACAAAGGGGAAGATTTATGGGTCAAGGAGACGAGCATGGAGACGGTACCAGCTGGTTCTATAATAATAATAATGACTTTTCTCATCTGTACCTAAAGCGAAAGATTAGGGAAGGGTCGCTGTGAAGCTCTGACCATGTTATGTCGTTTACTCGTACTGACTACATATGTCGGATCTTGCCTACGGAGTAGAGAGATAAGTGTATATGGGATCGACATTGCCAATCCTATCGTTGTAGGACCAAGCTCGACGTCGGCTGTATACTGTTTAATTCCTACTTGTTCGTGTCAATTATAGCTCTATCATTGATTGATCAACGAACAGGCCAACCGGAGTAATTAAAGTCGTTGCTATGTATATTGTCCGCGTGGCTCATAATAAAGAGTTCGTGATCGTCACAACATGGTCAAAACGTGTTTGTTTCCTAATAATAACAACGTGTTCTGAACACCCGCCCACATCAACTGTGGCATCTGATATATTGTGCTGGTGGGTACTGTGGCAGATATAGTTACCCGTGGGTGGAAATCAACTCTCGAGAACAGCGTGACTACGAAATAGTACCTATTCCAGGCGGTACCTAAGACAAGTCTGTAGGAGACACAAGGAAGCTCCTTGAAGCCTCGAAGGTGGGACAAATTTTCGTACCCCATTTCTGGAGAATGGACTTGAACAATCAATGTGGAAAATTGTGTGTTCGAATGTATTCAGGAGCCCCTAGACATGCTTCTATAAAACGATGGACAGTCAGTCAATTAGTCAGTCTCCACAAACACCGTTCGTCATCCATCGTATCTCAACAGTTAGATGAGGCTGATCTCTTCGACGCCCATGCCACATGGGCACAGGTAAAGAGACGTGCATTTATTGGGTATCCTGGGTGTGAAGTTGTTGGACCTGACAGATGGTCAATCACTGGTGACCCTGGTGATTGAAATGCCCCTGAGTGGTTGAGGCTGCCCAGGCTTCTCGGGCTCCTCGGGCCCTGGGCCGAAACCGTTAGCGCCCGGACACTCCCCAGGAAGTTGTTGAATCGGAGGGCACCTTGGGCTTGATTAAGACTCAAGCCACAGCTTGGGGAGGTCGCTGTGGGCGTCGACTTGCCAATCCAAGCCTTGGGAATTCTGAATATGCATCTTTAATTACTAGGTGTTGCATTAATAAGTTCTAGGCGGTGATTGTGGTGATTTTGGATGGTAGTGCAACCCCTCAGCCCCTCAGCCTTTCTACGATAATTCTCCCTCTTTCTGTGCTCTGAACTCAGGTCGAGGATTATTCTCTCTACAGTAAGTGTATCTATCTACAATGTTTACTCCTCTCCATCTCCCTAGTCAAAGACTAGAGTATTACAATCCCAACCAATTTCTCTGCTTCCTAGGTAACCCAAGATACCATCAACTGTGGCACACGACGGGCGTGCACGTTCCCGAACTTTGACGGTGTCATGGCCTTTAGAAGCGGGACCCCGGTAATTTCATCTCAGATTGAACCAACAGTACGCAATTCAGAGGAGTCCCCCAGGGCTGAAAGACCCAGTGTAACATGCCACTTGGCCCCTCTAGCCTCTCTCCCCAAGGGAGGGTTTCCCTGCATTTCCCCTGCTTTCCCCCCATCCTTTTTGGAGAACGTGATGAAACGCCACATCGTTTGTTTGGGCTCTCTGCCCAGACAAGGCTGTGAGGAGCTTGGAGATTCCCGATGGAGTCGTTCCCTGATTGTCAAATCTACCACGATGACTAGTCCCATGGGCCGGTGCGACATTGGTCACTCAATCTGGGCCACCGAATCTCCCGAGTTAAATAATATCCTCATTCTAGTAGATTTGATATTGCAAAACAAATTTCAGACAATGGATCGTCGTGTTTGAGCTTACGTGGGTAAGAGAGAGATATAACAAGCCCTCTTCATCCCATTCGTAACCTGGATTTGTTTCTCTTCATTACTTGTTGTCCGCCTACTGACTCCAGGAATATTATGATGATGGCTCATGTGTATGAGCAACACACCGACTCTTGGATCAGGAGTCAGGACGCAGGACACACAACGACCCATGACCGATTATGCATATCGACCTAATAATGTTGTGGCTTCTACAAGAATGACACTCCCGGACGAAGGACCTTGCAATGACCACCATCGAAATTCACCATCACGAGCATGGTGATCAAGACTTATGTCTTCACGAGTCAAAGAATGCTGGAGTCGGCTTGCAAGGAATTGTCAAGGTCTACAACGTGGCAGCATATGGCTCAATATATCCTCTCACTAACCACGACATTGCTCAGTCAATACTTTTTGAACTATTTCCTCGACAATCCCCACACCTAGACAAGGTTTCCAAGGAACAATCCCACTATCCTCCCAATACCAAAAGCCGAGTGTCGTTTCTGATGCATAACCACGTGACTAGACAGATGAACAAGGATTTCCAAACTAAACAAGAACAGAATACAGATAGTGACGCATGCAGTCACTGATCCTAAGGAGGTGACAGGCAACCGAGGCCATGTCGATTTGGGTACAATAACAAGCAGTCTTGTATGTGACAAGTATTTCAACTGGGTGTGAGCGCCGTCCGGACAGTGCTAGCAAGAGGGATGAAAGTGTCAATCTTAGTGGGTCGACACAATTTTCCCACATGAAAAAGATAACAAGGAAAGGCGTCAAGTCGTTCAATCTGGTAGCTGTCGCGTGTTGCTCTAACACTCAAACTTGGCATGTAACCCAGGTTGTAATGAGTTTGGGTCGATGGTTCCATATGGTGTCATCGACATGTCCATGTGTTCACGCGGTGTCTGGAATCCCGACATATCGTGCATGATCATCAACCCGTTGTCATCGAACCCGGGGCTGGGCATGGCCATATTGAGATTCTGTTTTGAGTACATTTCTCCAAGCATCAATGTCTCGTCCATGAGCCCGTTGGGATCATGGTGCATGCTAAACATGTCAGCCGACGCACTGCGGTGCAGAGTCGTCAAAGGTGGAGAGTGGTCCGCAATGACAGGGTCAGCATGGCCCATCGTAGGCATTGGAGACATTGATGTAGGAACCATATGGGGATCAACCATTGGTGACGGGGAGAGGAATGGGCCACTGAACTGTTGAGGGGTTCCAAATTCCGAGGCTGGGATGGGTGCTTGTGTTGGATGTGAAGGAAAGAAGCCAGGACTGGCAAACTCTGATGGTGAAGTGGCAGTGGCAGACATGGGCATTTGGCGGAAGTCCATACCATAGCCTGCCGAGGTGTCAATTTGTAGTGTGGGTCCCACCGGGCCAGGCACAGGATGATGAGGCATCGGTTGGAACAAGTTGTGGTGTTCCGGGGGCATTTGAGGAGAGGGTTGTTGAAGATGGAAGGTGGGCATTGGTCCGTGAAGCATCGAAAAGTCAATGGCAATGGGAACAGATCGACTTCGTTGTCTTTTGTGTCCCGGATGCATACGACCAGGGTGAAGGTGTTGGTTGATGCCAAACTGTTCCTGGAACATGCCCACATGAGGAGGATGTGGTCGTGCAAATTGTGCAGAAGGCTGCGATGCCGGACGCACGATTCCCATGGTTGGTGAAACGGGTGCCGAAGCAGGCATGGCGTGAAGATCGAAGGGGCTCATTCGGTTCTGGAAAGATTCGAGAGAGACTAGTTTCGCCAGTTGACCGCTCAGCACTTTGGGGTGGCCACCCAGGTGATGGGTGAGGACGTGGGAGGCTTGTAGATCTTGGGTGAAATCGTCACATTGATAGAAACCACCGGAGCCAGATGAGTCCATCCAGAAGATAGGGGGCCTGTTCAACTCAATGACAAGGCCACCCGGGCGAGGAGGGGCACCATTAGCGTTGGGGACTGTGTCACCAGCCTCCAATTGAATGCTTTTGATGTATGCGAACGGGAACTCGATTTTGTAGCCTGCGGAATCGTTGTTGATGTAATAGGTGATGCAAGCCTTGTCGGGGGAGTAGAAGATGACCAGATCCATGGCATTTTGACCGACACGTCGCCACGAGCCAATGCTCAAAGACCGACAGGTGAAGTGATGAATGACTGAAGACTGGTGAGCGAGGGTCGTGGCGTGGGCATTCCAGATAAACCTACCAACTTTGCTTTGAGCATTAGGATCGCCATTCATCAACATATTCCCACCGCCATACTGGGCCATGGGGCCTCCAGGGCGGCCGAGAAGTTGACGGGGGAATTGTCTGCCAGGACCCATCGTCTGCATTGCCAGAAGTTGTCTCAAGGACTCAGGAATGCCATCACAATCCTCGCCGTTCTCCAGACTCTTCTTGGCAATCATCTTTATCTTCGCTCTTCGCCGGCTGTAGAGGGATCAGCATCCATGATATACAAAAGGAGTATTGTTTTTCATACCTGTTCTGGAACCAGATCTGGACTGAGCGTTCAGTCATGTTGATCTCAGCTGCAATACGTTCTCGAGTTGCGGCAGTGGGGGTGGCATTTTTGGCAAACTCGGTTTCCAATGTGATCAATTGCTCTTGAGTTGCACGTTGTCTCTTCTGGTTCTTTTGTTGCTGGGTAAGAGTGCTCTTGCGGGGAGGTCGACGGGCGGCCGAGCTAGGAGCTGAGCTGGTAGGACCAGAAGTCTGACCAGAGCTACCTGGTGTTGCGGCTCCATGTTCGGGTGAAGGGGTTTCCAGTGCCTCGTCGAGATCAAGGTCGAGATCCAAGTCCAGATCATGATCAGCAGGATCTGAAGACATGGACTCTAAGCCAAAGTCGTCTACGGCGAGCTTCGTGTCCATGGTGACGTGACTGAGGTGATAATTGCCCTCTATAGGGGGTTGTCAAGGCTGGTAAAGAATGGAATGCACGTAGACAATCGATGAACAGTGCGAGGCGGGTTGAGTTCGTTGGACGGGGAGGGCAGGCTCGTGGCTGAATCTAGCAGCAGTGAGGATGTTGTCTTCGTAGTCTTGAGAAACTGGGAACACCGGTCAAAGGGGGTAAGGACAGAATTGAGGTGAATGAAAAGCAACAAGCTTAAGGAATGTGGTCGAGGGCCTTGAAAGAGTGAAAGGCACGCTCGATGCGAGTTGTTGAACAAGACGAGATGGAAAGGAAAGAACGTGAAGAGTGGTGGAAAGACAGAGGATGGTAAAGCGACAATGAGGTTGGAGAAGAAGAAAGAGGAAACCAAAGGAGGTCTAAGGCAGGGCACGGGGCACAATAAAGGGAGGCCGAACCACCCGAAGAACGTTCGCTGGGTTCTGGGAAGTCCAGCGCAAAGGCCACCAATTGGCGGTCAACTGCGGCCGCGGCTGGTACGAGTAACACCACCTCCCGAGTTGGAACAACCTCCAGCCTGTGGCGGTAGCACCACCCATGAGCATCGACTCCGTCGGCGACGGTGGGCCTTCAGAAGCGTCCAACCCTCGGGCTTTTTCTGCCGCAACTCCTGTGCGATTGTCTCCTGTAGTGGGTGAGCTGGCCAACGCTGGGGCCAATGCCGACCCTCTGATGGTGAGCCCCGTGGAGCTCACGCAGGTACCCATTGGAGTGGAGCCAGGCCTGAGGGGCCTTAAGGAGGCACCCCAGTGTTTTCAAGGGCCTAGGACCCATTTTCCAGGCACCGTCTCCAACTCAGGCTAGCACCCGTCTATGGGCGTCATTAGCCTGCAGAAAATCATCTCCAAGCTTGGTACGTTTCTGAACTGGCCAAACGGGCTCGGGCTGGAACGGTTTAGAAGGCGCCCAAGTGGAGACCGCCATAACCCTGCTGCCAGTTAGGACTGGCCATCCAGGGCTCTCACGCTTTTTAGCAAAACAGCCCCTGTCTGACGCGCCGAACACCCACAGCATCTCAAGGCAATCCCAAACAACCCATGTCACAACATGGATGATGGCGCCGTCTCGCGCTGGACAGCGGACGCGCTAGACACAGAGTTGGGCAAGCTTTGATCATGAGGTCCATCGATGGGACAAGAAGGCGAGTCTTTTCGACGTGGATGGATATCTTAACCGGCGATAGCTCTGGAGAGAGTCATGTTCAGCCTGGAGAGTCTACCTTGAATATCAGCCTCATTACGTGCTTCACGTTAATTGCACACCAACGGGGAAGATACGCGAAACCCTTACCAAGGCACCGACACAGTGAGAGAAATGTGCGGTGTCGCTCTACTGGGTTGCACCTGCAACATTTGCACGCGTGCTTTCCGAGACATCGAGCCCACACACTGCCTGTCTTCGCGTGTGGCGGCTGCAGCCAGACAGAAGCCTAAATGGGCAAAGCCACAGCTCGAGCCTCAAGCCAACGATCAGTCAGACCTTGCGACACCACAACAGCGCTCGTGCCCCGGGCCATGCGGCGACCCAGGTCTGTCCGCACTGGCCTTGTTCTCCTGGTTTATGGCGGATCGAGTCCTGCACTCCTTTGACTTCAGTTTCGAGTCATGGACCTCGACCATGGTTCCAATCACATCAACTGCCTGTTGGACCTCTCTTACCTTCTGTAGACTGTCGTGACTGCTTAATGGATCGCTTCTAGCCGAGCGTCAGATCATTGTTACGACAAGTTTTACGATGAAGCCAATCGTGACAATTGTCTGAACAGTAAACACTTATGAGAACTAGTGTAAAGTTGGCTTGAGGGCCAGTGATTAGTCTATAGGGGACAGCCAGCGCTGGCAGAGAGGTCGGCTGGCGATTTGGATTCGTCAACGTCGCGAGGGCTCAATTCTGGGCAAACCCAAGAACATGGGAGGGTGTCTCAAGCTTCATAGCCGTCTTCGGATGGCCGAGGAGCCGGTTTGGGGACTATCAGTAGACTCGACTTGCTCCAGATGACTGGCTGTTACAATTGGTCCAGCACCTGCTCTTTCTTTTTTTCCACCGTTCAAAAAAAACTCGAGTGCACGACTAATACAGTAAAAACCACTGTACGTAGTAGCACAGCGTCAAAGGTTGACCCGCAGGTCTGGTGTTGCACTTGGGCTTTGGCGTGTGACCCGAGGAAGTAATAATATTGTTCCTGGTCTCCTGAAGATCGACTCTGCACAACCTACTCGTAGCTAGTTCCTAATGTCTAGCCAGCAATAGTGCATGTGATCCGCTAGGGACCGCATATTGCGAACCTTCCGGCTTTGGACTTCTCTCTCCACTTGAAGTCGAGCATTACTCACCTATCGTCGATTAAAGATGTCCAACAACGTAAATCTTTACTACGAAGCCTGTCTCATTCCCGTCATCGCGAGATTGGTGGATTGAATACACATAAAGCTCTAGAATCGAGGATAAAGTAACGGCTCTGGGGGGGATAAGCAGACGCATGGATGACGTTCGAGCACGAGGCACCTGGATGACCCGACTTCCAGTGACAGATAACCAAAGATAGGAGACGGCGGGGGTTACGCCACAAAAATTCTTGAGTTTGCGTAATAAGCGTATGCATACTACTGTACAGTTGATGGGTCTTTGGCTTGGTAAAACAGGGCTGCGATTGAGGGCAAGTCTTCGTAGGGCACGGACGAGGGGGGACTCAGGATGCCGGCGAGGTTCTGATGCTGGGGAGCACCTTCCAATGGGCGAGACCGATGCCTGATTGCCTTCGAAGCCAAGATTGGTGGCGACGGTGGATCAGCCAAGGATCTCACAGTCCAGTCAGATGTGTAGGAAGAGATTAATGCGGTCGGCAGCTGTCGAATAGACTCCATGTGGTGGTCAACCGGGGGCAGGAGCGGGCCATGCAACCCAAGGGAGGGATTGAGAGGATCTGGGATCTAGGGGATTGGCCGACTGGGTAAGGTTCTTCTCCGTCCCTAGCTGGTCACAATTGGTGCTCGGTACCGCGTCAAAAGAGACAGACCCGTGAAGAAGATGGACGAGTGGGCAAGAACAAGCCACCGCGATCGAAAGGAACGAGGCTTACCCCTGATACAAAGCTAAGCTACATACGGAATGGCACGGAGCGATGCAGGTCCCATCCAAATGCGATTGGCTGAGAGGACGCGTTGTATTCTTGGCAAGATGGAACTACGCGACTTCGTCCATGGCCAATCGATAGCGCGGGATGATCATCCAACTTCAGTATCGTCGATCCTGGACCAGGACTGTGGTTGGAAGGTAACCTCGTGTACAGTAATTCACTACTCGAGAGAAAAAAAAAAAGAACGAGTTCGCAAGAAGAGACTGTTCAGCCAGCTCTTTCTTCTGGAGAGGCAGCTTTGTGTTTACAGCTCGCGTGTCGGGAAACGGGTAGGCACGATGGTCCATGCACGTCAGACGATGTCATCGACGGTGCAGCCGCAATCTGTTATGACTGGCCGTTTGACAACGACATACAGCTGCCAGAAGCTGTCATTTAAGACGAGGCTCTGCCTCCATACACACGTGTATGTCTTCTATGTCTTACATCACACCAAGGCTGGAAGGCGTCTATTTAATCTATCTTGACTTGATCGAATTTCCTACTGACGGACCGACATGAACATCATTCAAAATGAATATGATCCCCTGAGGTGTGATCCATCCATTCATCCTCCACCATGACTCCATGAGCAGCACAGCATCAACGTTGATAATCCACCCACAACTCTTGGCAAGCTTGGGCGAAAGTTCTCCCCGTCCACGGCTCGCCTGGAGAACCTTCGCTTGGAAATGGACTGGCCATGGATCCATGATGCCGACATGGTATTCTCGTGGCGGGTAGAAATGGTTTGTAAGGCCCTCGCTGGCTTGGCATCCCCTATACCGTGCTCAAGTTTGCTCTCGACCTCGAGCCCCCACCTGCAAATGAGCCGTGCGCTCGCTCAAGTTGCATGGAGAAGATGCATGAAAGAATTGTCACGCCTATGCGAGACACTAGAACATGCATGGTCGCCCCTACGCTCCATTTCCTACCGAGGACAACTACGCCTGGGAAGTACTAAACTGGGGAACAAACACCGATTGCACGATCCTCTCTGGCTGTGTTCTCGCTGCCTGCAGTACGCGTTTGCGTACGGAGTAAAAAGTGGACTTGATGTTGGTCGGCATGATTCCACTCTCCACTGCTTATTGTCTCGGCTTATCTTCAACAGTCGATGGCAAACTCGACACTGGAGTTTGACAACTCCGCAGCAATCCCCCATTCCTCCACTAACGCACATGAATTGATGGTGAGGAACAAAGGTTTTTTTTCAGGGAGAGGAAACCTCCTACATAATCTTTTAGGGGGGGCCCGGATCTCGATCTCACTGCAAACACACCTGAAATCCTCCTCAGGTTTGACCCCTTGTCGTTGCAAGTTACATGACACTCCAAGGGAGCACGGTGAAACACGAGAGAAATCCTGCCACGTTCACAAGGCTAAGTATCAACCACTTCGTCAAAAGAACAACAATGACCTCACCGCCCTTCTATCATTACTGTTTCCAGAAGATCATCCTCGCCAAATGTCGTAGCGATCAACACTGAAACGCCATCCTCACCAACCACGAGTGTTGGGAAACTTGTGAGGCACAGATACACATTCCCACCTGATGTTTTGCTTCCCCACAAAACTCGAGCCGTTTGCACAACCACGTCTTGTATCGCCCCAGCCGATGGATGATCACTTGTCATCAAACTGATAATGCAGCATATCCTCAACACAGAGTCAGGAACACTAAATCCTCACCACCCCCTTTTTGCCTTATCTGGGCCAACTCCGTCTAGGCATGACTGCCATCTTTCAACAAGCCAAGAGTCCACAGGTGGTTCTTTCGCTTCGAGACGATTGTGTACGAAGCATACGCAACGGTGCGGATGCCGTTTGATCGCCGATGAGGCAAATAACTCAATCTCAAGTTCTCAACTACTGCTTGCGTGTCCCAAACCTTGACGACCACAATTGAGTTTCATCGAGGCGGTTTTTCCTCTCCTGTCGAACAAAGCCCAACAATCAACTCCCTAGTAATCAATTCACTGCACTGCTCTCCGTCTGTTAGGATGCAACCTAAGTAGAATTGACATTTCCACATGTCGTGTTCTTGCAGAAGAAGACTCCTCCTACCTATATCTATAAATACACATGTGACATTATCATCATTGTGGCTTTCCATTCCACCTTAAGAACATTCAAAATTCATATTCATACTCATCATAATTCCTGGCCCTTACGAACGGCACCAAATCCCTTACTAAAAGGGTCCTCGCTCTCCACCACAGGTCGTTGTTGGTGAGAGATATCTGTCATTTCCGCACCTGCCTCTCCATCTCCCGCTCTGGAGGAATCCTGTTGTGATTGTTTCCGCCGAAATATTCCATCTTTGCCACTGCCAGCAGTAGAGTTTCTCATCTTCAACCAAGGTCTCTTGTCTTTCATGTTTTGTCGTTTGTCTAACAGTTCCTGGACTTGTGCTTCACGTTCTCTCTGTTCCTTCATGGCATCTTCTGTATTCATCGTTGATTGCTCTTCTGGACTTCGATTCCAGCCTTGCTGGAGCAAATCTGCCGATGCTTCCTCGAATCGTCTTTTAACCTCGGGATCTTTTTCCAACGCTTGAAAGACGTAGACGTCGTTGGGGAAGAATTTGACGTGGATGGCTTTGATCACGAATTCGAACACACATACTGAGAGCACTGTGAGGATCAAGACGAGCCACCAGAGGAGGTTGCGGCCGAAACCAACCAAGAGTGACCTTCTCACATAGTAGATCTCGTCTGTAGGGTCGTAGGTGGCTGTTAGGATGAAGTTCCAGAGCCACCATCCTCCAACGGACAAGACTATTGCAATGATAGCGGTGACTGATTTGTTGTGCAACTCGATGAATTGGAGCTTGATCGAAATGACCGTCACGCAGGCACTGTATACCAATGTGCCTAAGGCGTAAAGCGTCTGGTCCCACGTGAACACTGCTTGGCCGAATATGCCCCAGGCGGTAAAGTAAACGATCAATGCTTCCACTCCACCAAGAACAGCCCAGCAGACGTAGAGCTTGAAATTGAATCCGCGATTCAGTTGTCCAATGTTGTACAACTCGGGAACAGCAAGGAGTGTCGCAGGGTTGAGGTCTTTCTCGAACACACCCATAAAGATGACTGGGAGCGAAGTAAACAAGGTATTGAACATGGACAAACTCCATGGTTCATACAAACTCGTGCCAGTATATCCGTTCCAGCGCTGATATAGCGCCTGTGCGACGTAGAAGACCATTTCCTTCCAGAACGTCCCAAGGGTATACTTGCAAATTCGAATGTAATTCCAGCGCCCGTGCACCAGGAGTAACTTGAGGAGGAAACGAAATTGGGCGATAGAATAGTCCGATGTTCGGGCAGCCTGGAGACCTTCTTTGCCTGCAATACCAATCCCAAGATGTGCTTCTTGGATCATTGCAATATCATTGGCTCCATCGCCAATCGCCAGTGTAACAGACCCTTTAACTTTGGTGCGGATGGTCTTGACGAGCGAGGCCTTCTGGCTAGGAGAAGCTCGGCAGCAAATGACCGAATCCGCATGAATGGCAACATCAGTGAAGAGTGCCCGGGAAGCCTGGTCTGCATCGATGATTGTGAGCGTCTGTCCATCTATAACCAAAACTGAATGTGCCGTCTCGGCGCTCTCCATCTTGCTAAAGGCAGAAGCCATGTGATTGTGCAAATCTCCGAGTTCATGATCGAGAATAAGAACAGTCGAGTAGTCCTTAATGAGACGACAGGAGTGACCAATGTTGATCGCAGTTTCTCTTTTGTCACCAGTCAACATCCACATCTTGATTCCTGCGCGTCGAAATCGATCGATGGCGTCCGGTACACCTTCTTGAAGCTTGTCTTCGATGGCTGTTGCACCAAGGAGCTCGAGCTTATTCTCAATCATCTCGCCCGCCCGATCCATCTTCTCTTGGCGGTCAACAATGCTCGTTGAAGCAGCGGCGTAGATATCCTTCCATGTAGAGTACTCGGCTTCACTAACAAATCTATAACCGTACAAAAGTGTCCGAAGACCTTCAGTTGCAAAGTCATCAATGTGCTGAAAGCATCGCTGGAACACGATTTCGTCATCGGCAGCCAGCTGGTCATCAGTAAGCTCTCGCGAATCATCAACTTGAAAGGAGGTCCTAGGACTGCCTTCAGATTGCCGTGGCGACGTAATCTGCATGGATGGACGAGGAGAATAAAGATGCGAACTCGTCCTGCGATTAGGAGATGCCCCATAATCAGTCTCCCTGTCCGTGAGCCAGTGGTCGAGACTACCACGAGTGAGGGTGCTTGTGCTTTGTCGGGATTGAGATGTTGGGTCCGCAGCGTGCATAGAACTTGACCTCCTACTAAGTTGAGTACTTCGTCGACGTAAGGCGTGCTGCGATCCAACACTCTTTCTCTGACTTGCGCGTTTCTCTACGGCTTGCACATTGGTCGCCGCCAAATCAGCCAATCGCAAAAGCTTTCTGATAGTAGTATCCGCGCCTTTGCTGAAGAGGCAGATACGCTGATCGGGCATTCGAATGATGATTGACATCCTCTTCCGAATGCTTGAAAATTCAATAATATCAAGCACTTCGTAGGTCTCGTAATGATCTTCGCCAGTGTCTTCCGATTGTGTTTTGATTGTAACAGTGTTTGCCTGTCGATCGCTGATCAAATATCCCAGTTCTTGTGCAGCTGAAACCAATGCTAATTCGTCGGGAGATGCAGCCTGAAAGGTGATTTCGCCATCGTCTCCTTTCTCAGGGAAACATGTGTGGCACAAAGCTATGGCGAGAATGAAGAAACGAGCCTGTTTAGCGTATAGAGACTGTGGTTTCTGAATGATATACTCTAGGAGCTCTTGAGTTCGGCCAAGGTACGCAGATGCATCAAAACCATCAGGTGGACGTGTTGGTAACTCTTGGCCTGCAGCATACTCAGCATCCAGAGATCGTGCCGCTTGGATACCTGTCGACGTCGTCGATTTTCTCAGTGCAGAGACCTTCTCATGGACGTTGTTGGTGCCAGTTGATGTTCTGGACTTGAAGTTGAGCTTTTCGTGGCTGGCTTTGTCCTCTTGCTGAAGATCAACGTCATGAAGCCAGGCCTTACCCGCGATACTTATTTTCCGAAACTTCATTGAATTGTTGGTGAGTGTGCCAGTTTTATCCGAGAAGATGTAGCTGACTTGTCCCAACTCCTCATTGATGGTAGAAGTATGAGGCTCCATGGGAGTGTCTGACACGGGATCATACATGTCGATGTCATTCATCTGGAACATCTGGGCGACCTTGACAATCTCTAGTGAGACGTAAAGACTGAGCGGCAGCATAGTATTTAACATGATGATGAATGAAGTCAAGACTTGGCCGAAGGGGACGCGAGCTGACTCGAGATACCATGACTCATCCTCGACTCTGCGGCGCCATATTTCGTAGGCCACAGAAAGAATGATGGCCATGAAAAAGACGAGAGCTGCAACAAAAATGACGACCCTGTTGACCTTGCTCTGCAACGCCGGTGCTTTGACACGGGGGTTTTTATTTGCGTTCATCCTGATCTTGCACTCCTCACCAGAATAAATGACGAGCCCAATCGCTTCAGGGGTATTGCGTAACGTACTACCCCGATATAGAATCTCGCCATTTGTCAGGGGCAGTGTTTTGTCATTGATAGCCACTCTGCCATCAAACTTGTACAAGTCCAAATTTGGGTCCTCGACCACGAAAGTGGAAGATAATTTGGCAATCGACGCAAGGTCTGGACAGACTTTGATGATATCTGGCAGTGGTTTTTTGGATTTGAGATTGGTCTCGCCGTCTAAGCTCTTTGTCTCGATATAAGCCGTGTTGGTGGGTTCGTCAGCGTGCAATAGGACGAGATCTGCTGGTATGCCAGAATTTCTCTTCACTTGCACCACATCGCCCACCAGAACTTCTTGCCACTTCTTTTCTTGCCATTGAATAGACCCAGTGCCTGAATTACTGCTGGACACGATTTTGAGTACATTCGTGAGACGTTCGTTCTCCTCCTTGTCCAGGCGATGCCTTCTGATGTCGTCGTAGCCTTCCTTAGCCATTGAGATACCCACAAATATGAGCAAGGGGATGATCGTTGTGTATCTGCCAGTGGTGCTCAAACCGGGAATTAGCTGGAGGATGGAAACGACAAGAAAGTAGAAATTGGCCAGTTTGCTGAACTGGGCCACCAGTTGTCTAGGGAAGAAATTCCACAGAGTATATCTGCAAGATATGATCAAATTGTCAATATGTGGCTTTCCGGTCCTCGCATCAATCGGATGTTCGTCGGGCGAAAGGTTGAGCGTGACATGTCTACCGTCTTCACTTGGGGGGATAGTTCTTGTCCGAACTATTCTATTTTGCAGGTCATGAAATCCGAGTTTCAATTTCTGGAAGATTGACTTGCGCGAGCTTTGCTTGGACAGCCATTGGCGATAAATGGGTAGTTCCAGTGCAGAGTCGGACAGTCGAATTTCTTTCGTCGCCGCATCTGACCCGTCTTTGTGTTGTCCTTCTAGCGAATCGTCCTTCAAAGGGGGTTTGGTCGGTCGGGAAGACTTCTCTCCACCAGCGACTGGGCGAGTTGTACCGAGTTCGAAATCACCTTGGTTTCGTTGTTCCTCCTGTTGGAGGTGCTGAGAAAAAAGCGAACGGCGCAGGGAATAACCGCGAAAACGACCGTGAGGAGAGGATCTGGGAGTCGCAGCAGGGGCAGGGCTCTCGAGGTTGCGAGCTCCGGACTGGGCCTCAAGTGAGAAACGGACACGAGAAGGGATATTGGCTGGTAGCGCGTCAGGTCGAAGGGTATGTTCTCGACCTGTGGCATTGTCTGGCCGATGTAAAGGGTCGTCAGTGCCATGAATCTCGTCGCTGTCTTGGCCACGATCGGGAGCCATAGTGTCAGTCAAGGATTTGAGAGGCTCTAGAAGTCGTTAACTTCATCGCATGGCGTCCAGCGCAAGAATAATCATGATTGAACGAGTGTAAGAGGATTAGCCTCTGGTTGCAATCGCATGTTGGCAGGATTGGAGGCAGATAGCACTAGGTATGATGGTGAGTGCAAACTTGAAAGAGACCTTGTCTCATGTTGCGGGTTGGCAGTGGCAGTGCTTGACCCTGGATGTTTCTTGCATCGAGACTGGGATCGACTGCTGGAGGGGAACACGGGGTGGCGGCTCAAGGCGTGAGTGGATCGAGCTTTGGTTGGACTTTCGGGGCCAGGGTACAGGGCCCCAGGGCCGAAATCAAGCTTGGAGGGATCTGGTGAGATGGTCTGATCCACGCTCTCGTCGTTGGTTGGAGCGAAGAAAAGGTGGAAGAAGAAGTCTGGAAGAGGGTGACTCATCACGTGTTGGCGCTAACCATGTCGGGTAATATCGACTCGCTATTTTTGCCGCTTCTTCTTCTGTGTGTCATCGACTGGACTTGATATGCGACAAAATATTATCATTCGCAGCGACACACTTTCTCTTGGATGAGTCGATGGGTCAAGGGGAAGAGGTGGAATATATAAGAGTCACCCTGGCTATTTGCTGGTTTCCAGGACAAATTATCCCATCCTTGACAAGGGTATTCTTTGGTTCGACATTACACACTTGATTACTGGATATTTAAATATTCACCATGCCGGCCATTCCACCCACCAAGCTGGTTGCCCTACAATCCAACCCCGACAATGTCCGGAACATTTGTATTCTTGCCCATGTCGACCATGGAAAGACTTCTCTTAGCGACTCACTTATTGCCACCAATGGCATCATTTCACCCAAGATGGCAGGCAAAGTCCGATATCTTGACTCGAGACCTGACGAGCAGATACGAGGTATCACCATGGAGAGCAGTGCTATCAGTTTATACTTCAGCATGATGCGCCGACAACAGGAAGGTGCAGAGCCCACCAAGCAGGAATACTTGATCAATCTGATTGACAGTCCTGGACATATTGATTTCTCATCTGAGGTCAGCACCGCTTCTAGGCTGTGTGATGCAGCTGTGGTACTTGTCGACGCCGTCGAGGGCGTTTGTTCCCAGACCGTCACTGTCTTGCGACAGGTATGGCTGGAGAAACTCAAACCCTTACTCGTCATCAACAAGATTGATCGCCTAATCACCGAACTCAAAATGACTCCAGCAGAAGCCTATTCACATCTGGAAAGAGTCTTGGAGGGCGTCAATGCTGTCATTGGTGGATTTTTCCAAGGCGAGCGCATGGAAGAGGATCTTCAGTGGCGAGAGAGAGTCGACCAGAAACGTGCCGCCAGGGAACAACAGAAGCAGGATGCTCTCGATGACAACGCCTCGGACACCGACTTAGAGCAACAGTTTGAAGAGCGTGACGATGAAGATCTCTATTTTGCACCCGAGAAGAACAACGTCATATTTGCGAGTGCCATTGATGGATGGGCCTTTACTGTGCGACAATTTGCCGGCATCTACGAAAAGAAACTGGGCATTAAGCGCGCCGTCCTCGAAAAGGTCCTCTGGGGCGACTTTTACCTGGATCCCAAATCTAAAAAGGTCCTCGGCCAGAAGCATCTCAAAGGAAGAAACCTGAAACCTATATTTGTGCAACTGGTGCTCGACCCCATATGGCAGGCCTACGACGCAACTGTTGGTATAAACGGAGGCCGAGGTGATCCTGCCCTATTGGAGAAAATCACTAAATCCCTTTCCATCACATTACCACCACATATCGCCCGGTCTCGCGACTCCAAGTCGATTCTTCAAGCCGTCTTTTCTTCGTGGCTGCCACTATCAACCGCACTATTGGTTTCTGTCATTGAATACCTTCCTAGCCCTCCTGTCGCCCAGGCAACACGCTTGCCCGACATGATTGAGAATCTGGTGGGCTCTAACAGCACCCATCAATCCTTGAAAGACTCGATGATCAATTTCAACACAGAACCATCTGCACCGGTTGTCGCATACGTCAGCAAAATGGTGGCAATCCCAGAAAGCGAACTCCCCTCGAAACGACGAAAACTAGGAGCCACCTTGACGGCAGATGAAGCTCGCGAACTCGGTCGACAGAAACGTGCAGAGATTGCAAAAGCCCAAGCAGAAGCAGACGGTGGAGCGACCGTTGAAGGAGTCACGAGTGCCCTAAATACAACCCGGATAGGAGAAGAACAAGAAGGCGACGAAACCACAGAGCAACCAGAAGATCCAGAACATCTCATTGGATTTGCTCGTCTGTACTCTGGAACATTATCAGTTGGAGATGAAGTCTATGTTTTACCTCCAAAGTTCAATCCAGCGCAACCCCACGCATCGCCTGAACCGAAAAAGGTAAAAGTAACTGCACTCTACCTGCTCATGGGCCGTGGATTGGAACCTCTAGAAAAGGTCCCAGCCGGCGTGGTGTTCGGTATCGAAGGTCTCGAGGGACACATCCTCAAGACTGGCACACTCTGTTCTCAACTCGAGGGCAGCATCAACTTGGCTGGAATCTCCACCCTCAGCCAACCGATCGTCCGTGTTGCCCTGGAACCCACTAACCCCATGGACCTGAACAAAATGATCAAGGGACTGAAACTGCTCGAACAAAGCGACCCTTGCGCCGTTTATGAACAGATGCCTAGCGGCGAGCATGTGATTCTCACCGCGGGAGAACTCCATCTCGAACGATGTCTTAAAGACCTTCGCGAACGATTCGCCAAATGTGACGTCCAACCAGGCGAACCGATCGTGCCATATCGCGAAACCATCGTAAAAGCAGAAGAAATGGAACCACCCAAGAACAAAGACCTGCCGCGCGGAACCGGCATTGCCGTCACAGCCTCCAAGACTCTATCAGTCAGACTACACGTCCAGCCTCTACCAGCCAATGTCACCGAATTCCTCATTAAGAACGGAGCATCGATCCGTCGACTATATGCCGAGAAACAAGCTCAGGAAGACGGCACCAAACTCTCAGACGAGAGCGAAAAGAACGATTCCGTAGACCTAGGTAACGATCTAGGCACCGAACGAAACAACCTCACGCTCGCGCAATTCAAGACCCAACTCCAAGAAGCATTCGACGAAAGCAAAGAAGACAAAGATGTCTGGAATAAAGTCATCAGCCGGATATGCGCATTCGGACCTCGAAGAGTAGGGCCTAATCTATTCATCGACGCCACCGGCAAAGACACATGCAAACGGTTCCTGCTCGACCAGCACGAGAACCACAACCAGACGACAGGATCGAACGGCACCGCTGCAAACACCGAAACCGAAACTGAGACCGAGACCGAAGGCGGTTTCTCAACGATCGACTTCTCCGACACCATCGCATATGCATTCCAACTCGCAACGGCTCAGGGCCCACTCTGTCGCGAACCAACACAAGGAGTAGCGGTATTCCTCGAGGAAATCCGACACGAACAACAACAGCAACAACAACCTGGCTCTGGAGGAGACACACCCGCAGCATCAGAAACAACGATTGAATCCGGCCGTCTAACCGGCGAATTAATCACATCGGTACGCGAAGCCATCCGGTCCGCATTCCTCGACTGGTCACCCCGTATTTTGCTCGCCATGTACAGCTGCACCATCCAAGCAACACCGGAAGTTTTGGGACGTGTATATTCCGTCCTCACGAGACGGCGGGGCTCTATCCTATCGGAATCACTCCTTGAAGGAACACCTTATTTCACGATTGAAGCTACCTTACCGGTCGCAGAGTCGTTTGGGTTTAGTGAGGAGATTCGCAAGAGGACTTCGGGTCTGGCTCAGCCGATGTTGAAGTTTGTGGGGTTTCAGGTCTTGGATGATGTGGATCCGTTCTGGGTTCCCAGGAGTGAAGAGGAACTCGAGGATTTGGGCGTTCATGGTGAACGGGAGAATGTGGCCAAGAAGTATGTGGATCTGGTGAGGAGGAGGAAGGGGTTGCTGATCAGAGGGGCGAGGGGTGGGAGGGATGCAGAGAAGCAGAAGACTTTGAAGACGAATTAGATGAGATGCAGGGTTTCAATGAATGAATGAATGTGTTGTGTTTGGCTACAATGACGCTGAGTAGGTAGTCTCACTATGTCAACATCATGTTGTTCGATGTCATGTCTGAAGATGTGGATGGACTACAACAAACATGCAATCTCACCCTCATCGACAGACCTCGTGAGCTGTGGACTTCCACCAAGCGATTCAGCTGGACAAATGTAGAGATACAGCTATCAGGCTATACTGCTGCTGCGTACTCGAGTAAAGATAGTCCATCATAAAATCCTGAAGATCTTCATAACTCTTCAAACCCATGTGGAATTCAGCAACAAAGGCCGCACGCACCAAAAACCAAGACTCCTCTGGCTCCCCTTGCGCGGCGAAAAGACCAGTCATGAGAACCCAAAGAAGAAGCGAGTTCTCCAGTAAAGCCGAAGACTTTGGAGGCGGAGAAGATGGCGAGCTCGTTGTAGACGATTGAGGAGTACACACGGTCTCAAAACCCTCGTATCGCGGCACTTCTGGTGATGATGTTGGGGCCCAACTTGTGTCAATGCCAGACAATGCCTCTTGAAGACGGCGCATGTTTGGCTGAGCAGTTCGAAATGACATTCGATTGGTGCAGCGAACGACCACCAAGAAAAGGGCAAGGCGTAATGCTTCAGTCTTCATGGTATCGGAGCCGTATGAGAGACTGGCAGGAAGGAGAAGGAGACGATGAGAAATCGCCCGCATGCGTTTGCACATCCAATCTGCGTCAGATCTGGTCGCGTCTGAAGTGCGCCAGACGTATTTTGCCACAGTAAGGCAATCGAGAGTGTCTCGAAAAATAGAGGCGAGATCGGGGTGGATGAGGTCAGCTTGTAGAGCTTGCTCCAAGCCACGACCAAGGCTGTGATGTAGAGTTGTAGACGCATCGGCAAGAAAGTCGACATATTGTGGCATAATCGAATCGGACGGGCGGCATGAATCAGGAACGGGGCTGTGCGAACTTGCAGTCGGTTGACGCCGGCCAGAAGCATAATCAGCGAGTTCGTGTTTGATGAACGACAGACGTGCATGATTCAGAGGGCCTGGGTCGAACAAGAGGTCAAATTGAGGGATCCAGCCGGTCTCAATTGAAATCATCCTATCGATGTTGAAGAGTCCCTCTCCTATGAAGGCATCTAGGGGGTCAGTGGCATCGAGGAAATGTATCAATGACTTGGCAGCCCGAATGTGAGTAGCAGCGGCTTCAAATTGCTGGGAAATGCATGCTGCGAGAGCGAGAGCATGCATACCGCGCACGAGAACATTTCGGGGCGAGTCCTTTGTTTGACACTCTTGCATTTGCTCTCTCACTGCTGCGAGGGCAATCTGCGTGTACGTCTCTGGGCTCGCATTGCCAATAAATGGGATTCGAGAGATGTAAAACATACGCGCGGACATGACTACCAATAGTCCGGCTAGATCAACTTTAACATGCATGCAACGAGCAAACAAAGCCTCCCGAACTTTGTGGTAGCGGCGTCCTGGTTGCAGGTGGGGAGGAAGGACCTCAGCCTTGTCGTTATGGGAACCAGTTGCAGACATGACAATATGGTATCTGATGAGGGCTTCCACGCTTCGAGTCAAGGGTATTGGCGTGGCCGAGAATGGGTCAGCCGCGGAGGCGGGGATATAGTTTTGGGTTGGGATGCTTTGACCCCGGTTCCGAAAGCGTGATATCCATTCTTTGGAGGATGTGAATTTTGGAAGGTCGAGTACAGGATTTTGACCATGTGATTGGGTTTCGGGGCCTGCTATAACACTCGACTTGGGTAGTAGTGTATTTTGCCATGTATGGAGGTTTCTGTTAAGGGAGCAAAAGGTTAGCGCCACATGCTTAGGTTGAAAGCACCTGTGCGAATAGGGGCGTATCTCGCTCGCATGAGTTCGGATCAGGTGGTAACTGAGCCGACCGACTTGTCCCAAACAGAGTCAGAGCACATCACTGGCCATACTTCTGTGTGTGAATGGCTGACCGGGAGATCATACATACCTTTGATTCGACGATCGACGCGGTCTAGATCTCCCTGAGGCTGGAAGAGACGATTTTGCAGGCAAAGTACCTTGCTGGCTAGAATCTTCCACCGGAGGACTGTCCTTTTTGGCAGTCCCCAATCTCTGTTTCTGCACGAACCGAAAAATGCGTTGACTTTCTCCTCTATCACTCGATGATAGTGAGCCCGATTCACCTCCTTTATTGATCCATAAGAACGCCTTTTCACCTGAGGGTTTTGCTGCGGACATACTGCTCTCGCCAAAATGGGCCTCAAATAGGCGTTGAAGAAGTCGCGAGTGACATGATGGAAAACGCACTTATAGAAGAAGTCGACAAGTCGCCAAGATCTTGAGCCCCAAACCCACGGAGAAGCGAAGCCATTCTGTTCTGTATACATAATGGCTGGTTACAATTTTGATTAGAAGGATTTCACATGTCGTTGATGCCGAGATCTGTACTTACACATCTGCAGGCCGAATCGAGGCCTTCCCTCGTTTGGAAGTGCGGGCAGCAATGCTGATTGGTAAGTTCGAGACCAAGAAAGGTTGGAGCCAGTTGCACGATGACAAAGAAATGGTGTAATACGACCGTCAAGGCTTGTCCAAAGACCACTGCAAGACGACGAGACTCACCTGCATCCAAGGTATCTCTATGCAACGTACCTTTAGCATAATATCAGAGAGAGTGTAGATTGCTGCAATGGGCAGTGGGATGGGGTTAGTTTAAGTCTGTCTTCTTGTCTGTCTTCTTCTTGAGGGTGCCGAAGTCAGGAAGCAGTCATGATACATCAAAACGCGCACCTGCCGTTGATCTCCTTCAAAGTCTGGGCATGCAAGGCTGCGCACGTGACGGCGCTTCCCCAATCTCAAACAACTCAATTTATTTTCTACAGCCTCGTCCCAATCCTCAAATCTCCAGATCTCGAGCACAAACTGCACCAGCCATCTTCTTTAGCATGGCCACCACGTTCACGCAGAGATAGAGACATCATTAGTGTCGATATCAATATCTCTAGGTCAATCGACCACCCACCATCAACCATGACTTCAGCCGTCGTGCCCGGCCAAATCCTCGCCGCTGCCAACTCTCACCAACCCGGCGACGGTACACATATCTACGAAAACAACATCCTCGCCTCAATAGTAGGCCGTTCACTCATCACCCCGGCCGCGACAAAAACATCCAAACCCACCGTGTCAGTCTCCCGTTTCGACTCTCAACAACCCTGCTCCTCTTCCATCGCAAGCCCCAACGCCTCAACTGGCAGCCTTCCCACCGTCGGCTCCATCGTCCTCTGTCGTGTAAGTCGAGTGCAACAACGGCAACTCTCAGCATCCATCCTCGTGGTCAACCCTTCACCCCACGATATCCTCGCCTATACACAACTCACAGACGACGATCTACAATTTCAAGCTGTATTGCGAAAGGAAGATATCCGCGCGTATGAGAAAGATAAGGTTGTCATGAATGACAGTTATCGAGTCGGGGATATCATTCGAGCTACGGTGATTAGTTTGGGAGATGAACGGAATTATTACATCAGTACGGCGGGAAATGATTATGGTGTGGTGGTGGCGACGAGCGAGGTGGGAAATGCCATGGTTCCTTCAAGTTGGAAGGAAATGAAGGATGTGGTGACGGGGAAGGGTGAAAGCAGAAAAGTGGCTAAACCGGCTGGCACTTAGACTGATTGACATGATGCCTTGGCCTGGATTTGTGTCAAGCATCAAACGACTGATGAACAAGCACATGCCCCATGCACATGAGCGGGTACGGGTTGCACCATTCATGTGTTCCTCGACCACGATCACAAACATGAAACTGGAACTGCAGGGTTGTTGCGAAGATGTCGCCTAATTCTGACCAGATTATGCTGAAGGCCGCCTCGTGAGCAAAAGCCACAAGGTATGAGAGCCGCAAAAATGCTTGAAGAACTTGGTAGGTGGACATTGGCAACGACCAACTTTGTCGAAATCCAGCGGCCCACCGTTGATGGCTGGTTGAAGACTCGTAAACAACCAAGCAAGTACAATTCTGCTTCCCCCTTTCTCACATCATCGATCATCCACCGCCCACTTTCCACTCCGAATCTGTCTCTCCTCTTCTATCTTTCTCTCAATCCACCTCTCCAGTATCCATGGTCACGACCTTTTTCAATGTCAGACTGTGTTCGTCACGTGAGGAAGATTATGTGCCTGTATGTTATTATCAACAGTAGACATCTCCCTCGGCATTATCCAGGTCTGACACGCTTTCATTATCATGCGTTGATCAGAAAGAGTTTCTACTACGAGGGGACAGTCAGACACCTGCAGTCAGTGATTGGTCAGTATGTAGAGAACCAGGAATGACATCCAAAAGCTGCCTCCACAATCTGTATCATTTAATTACTGCAATCGTTAAAACGATGTGAGCCTGCAATACAAAATTCGCTTCCGTAAAATCCACCATCAAGGTGGTGATAATGGCTCGAAACAAGTCATACAACAAAGGCCCAACAATGGTTTGATTTTCCGTCGTTGGTGACGCCATGCCTGGTCTTCTCCCACACTCCTTCTCTGTCCATCCGTCCCGACTCCAAAAGTCCGCGCGCCATCGACGCATCCAGAACGCCTCGCTATGCCGCCGGCCCATCCCAGTGGCTTCCATCATATGCTGTGGAAAGATGCGGCAGTGCGTGCTCAGTCTTCGCATGAGAATAAGTGTTGTCAAATCCTGATCCTGCAAAGCACCCCTACATAAACTTATCCCTCGACCAATGTCTGTTTGGGCCCTTTGCCCAGCAGTTCCAGAGATCGTCGTGCAAGTGCAATCACTTCGCCCTCGCCCTCTTCACCTTCTTCGTCGTCAGACTCGACATGCTTGTCGGCAATCGTCTTGACCATTTGAATAATGTCTTCGGCCTTTGCCACAAGGCTCACAAGCTTCTTGTCCTCGGATTCGAGAAGTTGCAGCAAGGTCCAGATGGCAATGTGTTGAAAGGTCGGATCGCCACTTTGCAGGAATCGCTTCAGATAGCCGTGAATGCCGCCATTTGGCTCAGACCAATCGCGAACAAAGATTGAGTAGTCGCCGACTTTGGATGATAGATTGCCCAAAGCTGCCGCGCTGTTACCTTGGACTTCAACACTGTCCGAATCTGTCAACGGGATGAGCACTTCAAAGACACCGAGCTTCAACAGGTGTGATTTGAGTTCATCGCTCAATGCCAAGACAGCAATAGCTGCTGTCATCTCAGACTGAACGCTCAACGGGACTGACAAGACTAGCTCTTTGCACTTTTGAACTGCACCGGCCTCTAGTACAAGCTGCTTGTTCCGGTCCGAGCTGGCAGCAAGGTTTCTCAAGGTCGAGATGGCGTGGCACTGGATCTCTTCGTTGTCTGTGGATCCAAGGAGCTCAACAAGAGGCTTCAAGAAGCCTGCATCAATGATAGGAGATTCGTTCAGGGGGTGGATGGATATGTTTCGAATGCAAGCGACGGCGGAGAGGATCAAGGGGAGGTATGATGATTGAAGAAGCCGGAGTAATGGGTGCAAGCCTCTGGCTCGCACAATTTCGAGTTGATATTTCTCGTCGGATGCAAGATTTCGGAGGGCAAGGGCAGCCTGACACTGTACTTTAGGTGTCCCAGAGTCCATTAGGGATACCAAAGACTGCACCAAACGTGATTCGGTTTGCGCAAGCTTCTTCCTGTTGGAAGCATCAACTGCGATGTTGCTGAGTGCAGTTGTGCAGTAGTATTGAACATCTGTGTCGGGGGAGGATAGAAGCTGCACGAGGACGGGAATAGCACCAGCATTGACAAGCTGTTGACGGTTGTCATCTGAGGCTCGTTAGAGTACGTCTTCAGCCTGAAATGTACGACGAGCACCCACCTGAATGTGTCATGTTGAGCAGAGCACCAGTGGCGTTTCTTTGAACACGCATATCTTTCGACTTTGCGAGCCTTGTCAGTGGTCCCAAGGCTCCCGAACGAGCAATTTTAGCCTTGTTCTCTTCATGGGTAGCGAGGTTGGTGATGCAACCAACAGCATTGCATTGAACTTCGACATTTGGAGACATCATTTGTCGGATGAGCGGTGACAGACCCCCGAGCTGTACTATAGCGACCTTGTTCTCGGCTGGGAGTGATCAGTCGAGTCCAGATATCGTCACATGGCAGAACTTACTGTTCACGGCCAAGTTCCCTAACGCGGCACTTGCGGCTCTTTGCACTTCAATGTCTGGGTTTTGTAGCAGGAACAAAATGGGCTCGAGCGTGTCTCGATCCACCTCTCGAACATCTTATATCTGTATTAGCCTCGCTGCCTGGCGGCAGGGTCAAAGAACAACGCACCTCTTTCTGTGATTTCAGCAAATGTAAGGCTGGCACTCCTTTGGAGATCGACATTGTCCGAATAGACAAGGGTGCTAAGGGCTCGAAGTGGTTCGCCGGAGAAGAAGTCTGTCTCGCCTCGCTAGGTGGAGATTAGAATAAGCTTTGGAGGGAAGCGGGGAGAAAGAGCATGTATACATTTTCGAGGTATTGTAGAAGATCGGCAACAGCTTCTCTTTCACTGTCTGCGAGGGCAGGCTCGTAGAGGTTATCCTTGGGCCGGCCTAACTAGAAGTTAGTTGATGATTTGGTGGCTGTCGGGCAGGGAGGAGAAAGCGGACCTTTGCAGCAGGAAGAAAGGGTATTGCCCATGTCGAGGAGCAAGTCCCTCGGGGGACGGGAGCAGAGGATAGAGGGTAATGCCGCTCAAGGGTGGATCTGCGCGATGAGCAGTGATGGATATGGTGAAAGTGTTCAACTCATGAGATGGAGGACGTGCGGCAGGGCGACCGATGTACAGAGGGCGAGAGATACGTGATGAAAAGATGTTGGGGGATCCTAACTCTTGATGCGTGTCTGTGACTGCGAAGGTTGCTGGTTTGATGAAGCTCGATGAGCTGTTGATGGTAGGTTTTGGTGAATGGGGAGAAGGAGAGGAGGAGAGTTGTTGTTGTTGTTGTTGCTGATCGAGTCGATGCCGTAGACGTGAAGGTGAGAGTTGTGAGGAAGCCGCGGAGCAGCCGCAACTCAGATGATGTTATCCAAGACGCAGGTACTACTGAAGGTGCCGAAGTTGTCCTTGACAATCAACGTGAGTTGCCTCAATGGGAATGCATGCTTCTGACGGAGAGAAGAGATGGAAATCAAAAGGCTGCAGGCAATACTCGAACGGTGAATGACCGCGAGGAGGTTGCGGGATGGTTTCTTAGTCTGGAGATGGAGCTGCCGACACGTGTGGACGTAGACTGGGCGACTGGGTGACTGGTGGGCGGGACCGAGGAGTCGTGTTTGGTCTTTGGCTTTCCTCGAAGCCCGGAAGGGCCGAGGGCTAGGCTGTTAGGCTTACTCCGTAGAGCCTTGAGTGTTGGAAGTACTGTGCACTGCCTAGCTTAAGCCGTCTAGGCATTAGCTCAGTTGTCCGTTGGAGTCAACAAAGCGTCCAAGGCACACCGTTGGCGGCGTCCGGCGCCGCCCACTCCCAAGTGTTTTTAGGCAGTCCCTAGGTGCCTCAAAGCCAAGTTAGCACCCACGACGGAGTACTCCGTACATGCCAAAAGGACCACAGCCATTATTGTTTGGTGGCCAACACTTTGGATCGAAACTCTCGCCTCCGGGAGAGGCGGGGTCACCTGACTGTCTCGAAGGCGAGTTTTGGGTGGACGCGGAGTGTCTGGCCACAGTCAGTCTTTCACATGCCATGGAGGAAAACTACGCGTATGACGTTTAACCCACCTTCAGTATACTGTAGTACCATAAGTAGGTACTCCGTGCTACACAAAAAATTTACTAGAAATTGTACTCCATACCTTTCGCATTGGATCACATGATTTCGTGATAAGAAGTATACATAGATTCAACAGAATATTATCATGTATTAGGTTTTCATATAAATACTTCAATAAAATCGCTATATATAGGTATCTCTCGAGCCTCTACAGGCGAGTGTCGTGATTTCCATTTCTCCACGCAATGCCGAATGATGTGAATTCAAGTTCGCTGATTATTGTTGGAAGTGCTGATCGCAGTATAGAAAAAAGATTCGTGTCTGACCATGTCATCGTCAAAGACTAGTGTCGATGAGAAGCGTAGATCTAGTGGTGCACGAAGAGGGGTCCCTTTCGGATGATGGGGCCATAGAAGGTGTCAGGCTCCTGGATTTGGTCGGCTGGCAAGGGCTTGAGTTGCTCGAGAGCCTTCTTGAAGAACTTCTTGGTCTTGCTCTCAGTGGGGGTGAAGTGAGAGTCTGCGGACGCGGAGGATGCGCGCCGGGATGATTGCGCTGACTTTTCGGCGTCAATCTGAGCCCTCTTGAGGTTGTAGTATCCTGAGTAGATCATGTTGATGGTTGAGGGGTGTTGGGTTTGTTTGGTTGATTGATTGAATGGTAGAGTTATCTGATTGGTAGTAGTATGCAATGATTTGCTTTTGCTTGTATGGTAGTACTGATGCTGGAATGGGGAACTCATGATACAGAGGACAGCATCAAGGGGGTATATATACTGTTTACCTTGTACGAAAATTTCTCAATCAATGGACTCAAAACATGTCAATATGACACCATTCCAGGATCTCAAAGACATCGACGTAAGAAAACCACGCCTTGTTGCATGATTGCTTTGAAAACATTCAAGTCACAGGGGGGTTGATGGGAGATGTTTGAGGCCAGAGTTTAGGCGCAGGAGCCAATCAATTGAGGCTGTGCTCACGCCCTGCCACGACATTCCGTGTATGCTTAACGTTAGGGGATTCTTGTGTGTCAGCGATGGCAACACTCCGAGTAGTCCTTCTGTTAGCGGTTGTCGTGTGTCATAGCCAACCACGTTGCGAAAATTTTGCTTGGAAAATTCTGCTTAACTAAGCCTCCAAAGGCAATTATGGAGTAGAGCCACTCAGGAGGCGTGGAGCAGTTGGAGCCAGTGCTTAAACCTAGAGTAACCGTGAGCAAACTAGATTTATCCATTGTTCGAGGGGAATGTGGGAAAATAGAAATTGGAGAGGGATGGGATGGACCCGGCGTCTATGGAATGATGTCAGTCATCTTCAGCCGCCAACAACCGCCATCTTTTCGCTTGTCAGCAGACACGACAGATGGATGTGATTGGAAGTTAATCCTTGTACTGTCGCGCCCTCCGTCACGAGGCATTTTTTTCTTGAAATAGCCAAAATAATATGTCCAGCCCAAATAGGCACATCACGTGTTTCACGTGCCCGGGTCAATGATCAGCCAGACATTACGGAGTACTCCGTAGAGTGAGTGCACGTGCCTAGTTGCCATCTATTATTCTAGAACCTCGCATCTTGAAACCTGGTCTTTGCGTACAATGTGACTCTCTACCTAAGTATAGAAGTCGAAAGTCCTACCTATTGTTGTCCAAGCGGCTGATCAGCCTCAAGGCTTCGCGGTAGCCAAAGTGCCTTGGATTATCAATACAATATCCCAATGACTCACGGACTCCCTAAAACCTATGCCTATTCATAGCTTCACCTTGCACCTTGATGTCTGGGGCAGATGAGGTGTCATTTCACTTGATGTTTCTGGATGCCATGGTCCGTGACATTGGACTAGATGACACTATCATCATGGTCGCTGTTTCTGGTGGTTTCTTCGATAGGAAACAAACCAACGACTTACGCGACAAGAGTGCGACTTGTCTTCCGGCAATCCGCCATGAGACAGAAGTCGAACCGTAGAGGACATTGCTGATGTGGAAATGGAACCGGAGAGGAAATTGCTGATGTGGAAATGCATCGCCGCAGCCTCAGCTGCTCCCCCCTTGTAATTGCCTGATGAAGTTGACACATATTTGCACAAATGAAGAATTAATGCCTCTTACCAAGGCAGTTGTTCAGTAAAGACGGGTTTTGCCGGCGTCCCCCCTGACCCATGTGAAAATACAACTTGTTCGTAGAATACCCACCCAGCAAACCTTGACGATATTTGTGGAGTAATACAAGAATGTGAAATCTGGGGAGATCAATACCTTCGCTTTTGCCTCGGGTCGTCGTACCCATCGTTGTCGTATTGTCGCTTGCGAGAACCGTAGTCCTCATTTCTTCGACTGCCACCACCGCCGTAGCGATCTCGATCTCTGTCGCGGTCGCGGTCGCGGTCTCGATCTCCACCTCGGTCACGATCCCTATCTCGATCGCGGTCTCGGTCTCGGTCTCGGTCTCGGTCACGGTCACGGTCGCGATCGCGCTCCTCATAGCCACGGTCTCGTCCACCCAAGGGGTCCCGATTGCTCCCTGTTCCTCCACGTTGGTCTCGACCTCCTCCGTAACCATTTCGTCGATCGTCGTAGCTACCGCCGCCTCCGTAGCCGCCACTCCGGCCACCGGGACCACTAGGAGCATTGGGCGGCGGAGGTCCACTCTGATAGCCACCTCGTCCACCGAAACCACCACCGCCTTGATAGCCAATGCCACCACGTCCACCACCGAAGCCTCCTCTGTCGCCTCGGAAACCGCCTCGGAAGCCACCTCCGCGACCGCCAAAGCCGCCACGGAAGTTTCCACCGCCTTGGAACCCTTGGCCAAACATTGGTTTGGGAGGAATTCTAGTGTATCCGCGACCACCAAGTCCTCCACCAAATCTGCGAGGTCGCCATCCAGGTACCATGCGACCGCGTTCGACGTCCACTACCACTCGGCGATCTTTGATGCGAAGACCTTCTGTTTCTTTGTAGGCAGCTATAATGAGTGACACGCGTCAGGGTTAGTCTTCTGTTCATCTTACCATTGAATGTGGGGAAGTGAGAGGGAGGGGAAAACAATCAACGGGAATTTGTGCACGGAAAATAATTACCTCTCATGTCTTTTTCTCGCTCATAGACAACAAAAGCGTAACCTCTATGAGGTTTCTTGGGTTTGGGGTTTGTTTCATCTTTGACGATTCGGATTCTCTCGATTGGGCCAAATCTGCCAAACTCACGCTCCAAGTCACTTTCCTTGACTTCGTAGCTTAGACGGCCAACAAAAAGAGTTTTGGCTGCGTCGCCTTTGATCTTGGGATCTTCACTGGGCTTGTACTCAGGGAAATCCGCTTTCTGGAAATCAAGCTGTCGCTGTTTCTGTTCAAGTCGCTTACGATCGCGTGCTTGCAACCACGATTCGGAAGGATGGTATTCATCTGTTGCTTTGTATTCTTCCAACTGTGGTAGAAATGCGGCCAAGCCTGACAGTTCTGAGACCTTTGTTGCCCGCTCTTCAGGGCCGTTGTCTTGTGGAGGGATATATCGTAGGGGTGGTCGCGGTTGGAAAAGGGCGAGCAATTGGGGAGGGAGTTTGTCCGTCATCTTTGCGTCAATCCTAAGACTGAGATGGAAAAAGGATTGACTGCGCTCATCGACGCGTCAACTGTAGTCGACCGCGTAGAAAGTGGAAGGGAGTGTGTGAAACAGGATGATGAAGTGGCAGCTTGAATGTCTCAAGCGAAAGAATCCCTCGAATCAGAAGATGAAGGCAGCTATATCTTGGCGTAAAGTCACGTGACCTTGAGTGTGTGATTCACCATCTTTCACTTAACGCGACAAGACTCTTTCTTCACACCACAGGTGTTCTGATCTTCTACAAAGATACCTTCATTTACTGATGCAGGCAAATTATCAAATTACTTTATCAATCCAGTAACACCACCACTTTCTTCGCGCTAACCCCTGCATTGAGTATATCAACTGCGTTCTGCAGGCTTTCCAGTCCTTTCCCAGCGACCAAGGGCGTTGGAGCAGGAACAAACGTCCCATTCTCGAGCGCCTTAGGTAAGAAATCTTCGAAAATTGCCCTGCTCACGTGGTTTTTGAGGATAGACAGAGCATACACCTGCTTCATGTTCACACCAGCTGGGGGCTCGGGGAATCCAGGTGTGACCGTGGCCACGAACTTGTTGACCACGGATGAATCAGCCAGTTGAGCTACAATATCGACGCAGGGTTTCCAAGCAGCCCCACCCACGGCATCGAAAACACCAACAAAGGTCTTGCCTTTCAGGGCGGCGACGATATCCGCAACCACAGAGCCGTCGTTGTAGTCAAAAACGTTGATTGCGCCGGTGCCGAGCTTGGTGACAATGTCGAAATTATGACGAGACGCAGTGGTGATGACTTCGTATCCGGCGGCCTTAGCCAATTGGATTGCACTGCTCCCGACACTGGAGGCGCCGCCCCATATCAAGACGACCTGTCCAGTGTTGTCCCGTTTCGCAAGCGAGGGCAGCTGCAAGCCCAAGAAATCCGGGTGGAAGAGCCCAGAAGAGGCTGTAGCAACAGCCAATGGAAGCACAACGGCGCGATCATAGCTGACTGCGTCGGGAATCTCGCTCGTCATGTCGGTCCGCAAGATAGTGTAGGCTTGGAATGCCTTCTCCGTGTCGAGTTTCGAATCAAATCCTGCAGTGTTGCCCAGCACACGGTCGCCTGGCTTGAACCGAGTTACTTGCGGCCCTACGGAGACGACTTCTCCAGCAACATCCTCTCCTAAGACGGTAGGGTACTTTAGAGGGTAAAAAGCCTTTGATTGAAGCTTCCCATCGATAGGATTGACGGCGATGGCTCGATTTCTGATTAAGATCTGATTTGCCTCTGGAACCCCAACAGGGGCTGTCTTGATTTCAAATGGACGAGCGTAGGCTGCTGTGAGCCAAGCGGCGGTATTTTCTACCATTTTGCGCTGTCGTAGTAAGAGTTTTGCCAGGTTGAATAGATCAAGTATGTGACTTGAAGCAACAGAAGGCCGGGAATGTGTTGAGAGTGGTGCAATTTGCTTCTGAAGCTTTTGAAGGGTGAATCATGCTGCCTTTTATAAGCCCCTGGCGACGAGCCTAGTCGAACTGAGTTCCACATAGTTGATACCATGTGGAAGCGTCACTTAAGTCCGTCCATGCTTTGTACTCCCTCATGGGCTTCGTGGGCTGGGAGTATGGAGGGCGCAACGCTAGCCCAAAATAGTTAGATCAAGTGGCTCGAATAGATCCCAGTTCCGAGAACCTTGATGCCGTAAGCAGGTGACAATCGAGCACAGATTTGCTTTTACGGATATAAGTTCGCCTATAGCTCGGTCTAAGGGGAATAGCCCAACCCCGAAGCCCGAAATGCAGTGGTGTGGGCGAGGTTGGATGAATAATGCTGCCAATGCACTCAGTGAGTGAGTTCAGGAAGTGCATATCCATGTCGTCACGAATGCATCCCTTTCATCTACCCCAGGAAGCCTGACCACACAATTACGATTGCACTCATCAAAGAGTCGTGGTCAATTTCTCGCGCCTGTCAAGATTAACATTAGCTTATTCATGATAAATAGCTCTAGTCGTCATTTACCTCTGCTAGCACGCTGGCATGTCCAATACCCATGCAAGATCCAATCCATGAAAGACAGTCTCGCATATATTGTTTGGTTGGCTCAGGAAGGAATGGCAAGTTGGAAGCGATGTGTAGAGGGTGTGTGAGAAGTAACCCACCGATTGCTCGGCCGGGATGCTTTATCTGTTCGCTGGTAGACAGATCTTTGATAAAATCCGGTAAGCTTTCCACCAGGTGGAAGGGAATTGAAGATATCATGTCATCAGCAAGACTTCTCGCGGTTTCTGATAACCTATCAACGTCGGCAGACATTTCGCAGGCCTGCCAGACTCTGTGCATAAGCGCAATGAGCAAAAGGCGAGCCGTCCGAAAGACGTTCCATACGTGAGCGACGTAGAGATCAAAATAGGTGTCCACGTTCCCAGCCCAGTATCCAACCTCGGTTTTGTCCTGTTTTTGACTTCTGGGGACGCTCGAAATTGTCGTAGAGCGAAACTCAGGACGTCGAGAGGTTTGCCATCGTGCCAACCTCTGATTCATCGCATTGCACTGGTCTTTTATCAGCAGGTAGTCCTGCAAGGTCGAACAGCTATTGCTTCTTTCCCACAAGTCGTTCAAAGAGAGAAGCAAGTCATCCAGGCTTTCGTCAGGTCTGGTTGCTGAAGGAACAGAAAATAGGGCGGCTATTTTTTGAGGTTTCTCAATCGTAGTGGGTTGTTTAGATGATGTCTGGCCAACAGTGGCATTCCGTGTGGTCTTCAAGCCCTTCTGTCTAACTGTTCGCAGCAAGTACAAAGGTGAGTTGCCCATATCGGTGAGTGCGGCTAGTCCTTTAGCATGGACATCATGTTTACCAGGCTCAACATCATTGGCGATGATAATCTGTGAAGCGTTAGATCTGACTGGATGTCCAGCGGATTTTGAGACCGCCATCCTCCCATCCTTACCTGATAGAGCCCCAACAGCATAGCCAATCTCATTGTTTCATTGTTATGAGCCTGGTGTGAATCCTGGATCGTCTTTGCCAGTGAGCCAAGAAGGTCTTGATGATATGTTTCGGCCCTTTGTACGAAGTACGGTCTATTCATTTGCTTGCCCAGAGAGGCACAAGATATTGCCTGGCATGCCTTGACAACATCCGAGGATAGACCAAGAGAGACAGCCAGATCTTCAAGGCCCGATAGATAGCCTAGTGATAGAGAATGATGTCCTGGAATGATACAATATTCGTAGAAGAATGCTTGTAACGAATAGAGGTTACTCTGGGCTAGAGACACTTCTAGGGGAAAGCCGTCACTAGGGACCGGGGAGCCCGGTATAGGGACACGCTTGGGAAGGCTGCATTTTCGTGCAATCGAGGGTTTTGGCCATGTGTCAGAATCACCGAGCGCCTCGTGTTGTCTGAAGATTGATTCCGGGTTGGACTCGTAGCCACCACAAATGCGGTTGCCTTTGGTGCATCTCAGACAGTACTAAGAGACTCATCAGCCGTGCTCCAGGTCGACAGGGGAAGGTCTGTAGAGGATCTGCAGGAGAGTAGTATCAACTCAACCCCATGTCTACCACCGCCATACGGATCCAACGTACCGGGCGAGTTTCGTCACACTATTCATCAATCAGCCACCAGAATCGAAGGATACCGAGCATTCAAGCGGGAGAGTTTCACCTTTTTCCTGCGCCGTTTACATGAGACACAACCCCGTGAGGGGCCTTGGTAAACCATCTGAGGCGATTATGTCCATCCGGTGGAATCAGAAAGTGACTCGCTATATCAAGGATGACGACGATGATGTAGGAAGCCAGGAAATCCTCGCTTATGATCCACCGTAACCACGTGACTCAATACATTACTGCCGAACATCAATGCCAGACATGCAGCTCAGACGAGAGTGAGAACCAAGCGTGGTGCGTTCATCATTCTCGTTCGACTTGAGAGATCGAACATCAGTCTCCAGCTATCAACAGAAATGATCGACAATGCTCTATCTACAAGATGGGACTTGGCTGGTATAATTCATCAAATAAACATATGCCTATAAACAGCTGCCTGGCCGGTACAAAGCTTCAACCCCAACGGACGATCACCTCGCTTCCCCAGGTTTTCCCTTTGCGGCAGACGTATTCGGATCCCAGTCGTGGAACTAGATGACGTTGTTACTATTCTCAGATATTCCCACCTAATACTCTACCTGCCGAAAACGCCTTGTTATGTGCCTTGCAGCATTATACCCAATGTGTCGACGCTATCGGAATGCTTGGGCACGATTTAGAGGAAGCATAGTGGACTCAACTCTCCAGTCAACTTGTGTGTTTGTTCTGGCGAGTCGATGATCACCGTTTCCATTCTTACTCTATAATATTTGGGATAATTGGGTCGGTGAGAATTTTTCTGGACAAGTCCAAACATAGATACTCATCAGTCCGAGTACGACGATGGCACGAGGCGAATGATCCATCTGATCACCATGAACCAAGACTCAAGGCATCAACGAATGTGAGAAAAATATTGTGATCAAATCTGCCTTGACCATCTCTATAAGTGAGCCCTCTTCCCTGATCAGACATGGGTTGTCAACAACTATCTCGCAATATTCCCTATACCTGCCTCACCCTCGTCATGTTCAACCTGCTAGGAGTATTTGCCGTGGCTCTCGCGCTTCCTGAAATCATTCTCGGCGCTCCACAACCTTACTGCAAACCCATCCCTGGTTCTTCAGACTGGCCGGCGCCATCTGAATGGCAAAAGCTCAATGACACACTGCAAGGACGTCTCGTCGCCCCCGTGCCTCCTGGTGAGGTGTGTCAAACTTCAAGCGCAAGCTTCTCGAACGAGACTTGCGGATATGTGCTTTCTCAATGGACCAACTCAACTTGGCATGCCTCCAATGGATTCACCTCGGGGTATAACGACGTGACATGTCTGCCTGATTCAAGAGCACCTTGCTCTGCTGATGGATATCCCGCTTACTTTGTCAATGCGACTGAAGCGGCCCATGTTCAGGCGGGTGTTGAATTTGCCCACCGCACTGGGATCAGGCTCATCGTCAAGGGCACAGGCCACGACTACCAAGGAAGGCGAGTCGAAGAAAAGCTGGAAGTTAGGACACGGATGGCTAACTGTGTCACAGATCGGCTGCTCGCGATGCCATCTCGATATACACGCACAACATGAAGGGCGTCCAAGTCAACCAAGAAGATGAACGTGCAACCAAGTATGGTGGTGTTGCTTCGATCAAGATCGCTGCGGGCTCGGTGATGAAGGACATCTATGGTGTGGCCGCTATGAACAACCTCACTGTTGTTGGTGGTGCCGATGCCAACGTCGGCATTGGAGGTTGGCTCACTGGTGGTGGCCATTCGCCCATCAGTAGCAAGTATGGCCTTGGAGTCGACCAGGTTCTAGAAATCGAGGCTGTGATTGCAAATGGGACCCTAGTGACAGTCAACGAACACCACAATCCAGACTTGTTCTGGGCATTGAGAGGAGTATGCTTTACCAACTCGGGTTCCCTGTATCCGTGCCTCGACTAACTCATGTGTCCAGGGCGGCGGCTCGACTTTTGCAGTCATCACATCTGTGACGATGCTGGCGTTCCCCTCACTTCCCGTCATCACGTACGAGTTCGCGTACAACACAACCGTGAACAGCAACACGTATTGGGATCTGGTGACATATTTCCATACACAACTTCCAAACCTCTCTGATCATGGCGTCATGGGATATTATTGGGCAACACCAGACGCCAGTGCAGCAATAGGCGAAACCGACCCTGCCATTCAAGCCAAGGTCTTTGGCGCATGGTTTCTTCCTGGAGACACCTTTGAAGATGCCCATGCAACACTAGAGGAATTTGAGAAGAATCTGAAGAGCAAGTCTCAAGACTGGGAAGACGAAGTCCGAATTTCTAGCCTTGCCGCTCCTCCATTGGATATCAGCACTCTCCTAAGCCTGTTTTCTGGAGGTACTGTAGGATCGGAGGTTCGTCTAGGGTCGTGGCTTCTGGGACGTGAGGCTCTGACCAACGATACCGAAACACTGAAAACGGCTCTGCAAAAGACCAACACGATTCCCCAGGACATTTTACTCGGGCATGTGGTGGCTGGCAATGGTGTTAAGAATGCCACGATTGTTGGAGGAAGCAACTCGGTCCTACCTGCGTGGAGAAATGCCATCACACATGTTGGTAAGTTACGACGCAACCGTCAAATATGAACAATACCATCTAATCCTTGTGTCGCAGTTCTTCCGAGAAGCTGGGCACCTCTCAATGTGACCCAGAAAGAAGAGATGACGACCTATCTTCGCGACGTGGAGGTCGAGGCTCTCCGCCAACTGGATCCTGAATCCGGGGCGTACATGAATGAAGCAGATCCAACTGAGCCAAACTGGCAGAAGGCCTTTTGGGGTAACAATTACGAAAGATTGCTGGAGGTGAAGAATGAATGGGATCCTGATGGCGTCTTCTGGTGCAAGCCATGCGTTGGGCACGAGCAATGGACTGTTCAAAGCAATTATGGCATCGAGGGGGCGATTGGTCAGACACCAGGACGGATTTGTCGCAATGATGACTCAAGAAGAAGAGTCTGAATCGGACCAAGGGCTTAATATTGGTGCCATATCATGTATCACGATGGACATGGCGCGATGAAGTTGTATACTCTATGACAAATGTTCAGTACAATCATTCTTAGCACAACTTACTGCTTAGCTAGGCTCACGCCATATTGACTCTGTCGACAGAATAGTCTCCCTCAGGTTTATTGCTTTGAGGAGAAGAAATGACGAGCAAACATTAGATGTGGTGGCCAGCCTCGCCAGAATATCCATCCTTTCAAATGACCAAGTATTTCCCCCAAATCTGCTGCGTCATTCACTCCACCATGGTCATCATGCTCATTTATCCTAAATCAGGACTAGCTCTCTGCAGCCTCGTCGAAACTGCGACAATTCGAGCTTCGGCTCCATGATCGATCTACTTGAATTATTTCCCGCGCACTCTTTCAATCCAGCGACGTCTTACCACCACCACCACCACCCACGACATCACTGTCAATCACCACTCTGCCCGATCAGGAGGGGGGGCTTTAGTTGAAGAAAACCGCAAGCCGGATTCAATCCATCCAATACGCCCGCCATGCCGGCGGTTGGGCTAAAAACCGTTACTACGGCACGAGTGAGTCTCAAGAACCCGTTCCAATCGGACATTGAATTCCCAATCTATGCAACATCGACCACTAACCACCCACCTCCTTCCACTTTATAGAACGGCGTCGGCGCATTCATATTACAATGCAAACGCCTTGACCTACACTACTGCGACTGGGCCGGGTCATCCAAAGGAATGAATTCATTCCTCACTTCTCCTCTCCTCTCAAAACTCAGCACCACATACCCACAGACCGAAATCCGTGTTAGTCCTCGACCGGGCCGTCACCCGGTATTGCGCGCCACATATATCAACGGGCGTGAAAAAGCAGTCTGTGTGCGAAATCAGACGAAGCAGGAGATTTGGGATAAAGTACAGTTTTTGCTGGCCAATAGTGGAAAGAAGAATGTCAAGGTTGGGTCGAAGAAGGTGATTAGTACGAATGAAAATGTTAGAGGGATTTGGAGTCCTATGCATGGTGGTATTAAGGCGATTTGAGCTGGGTGTTTGGAAGGAAACTGAGATGGGGGTTGATGGTGGTGTGTATGGAGTCGGGACTGAGATTCGAGATCCGAGAATTGAGACCTAGGACTGGCAGGGTTGCTGGTTGTTGGGTCTTGAGGCATGATCGAAGTTAGGCTGTGGCTGACGCCACGCTGGAGAGCCACTATTGTTGGATCGCGATCAGTGATATCAAGAAGAGGAGGTGTATGACACACTCTCTGGCTCATACCATACGCCATTGTACTTCTGCCTAAGGCACATGCATATGCCAAAGGGTCCCGGGAAATGTCCACTCGAGACATCTTGCTGGACAACCTGAAGATACAGCTCAACGGACAATGAGGAGGATGAGCTACCATGGAAGACGAACCGTGGTTAATCATTGTACAAAGAACATCACAGGCATTTACTTCCAAAGAAGAATCAGCATGTATTTTACGACATCAAGAGCCCGGTCTTCGATCAGGAATGTAAGAAAAGCTTAGACGTGAAGTGTGCATAGTCATGGTCATGGTCATGGTCATGATCATGATGATATTATCGTGACTTCATACCGTCTACTACGGTGTTGAATGCCCGAGACCAAATCTAGCCCCGAAGCACAATTCCTCTGAACTAACAGACATCAAGAGAATGTCATTATAGTGGATGGCAATACCAATATGCCCAATACCACCAGTCTGATACAATCATAGGTATATGGCGAACATGGACTGTTTATTCGTCACCCTGGCACTGCATCCTTCCACCATGCAGACTTTGAAAGGGGTGGATTTTCCCGAAACGACTCCCTTGTCCCGTTTGCCTGCCTTGGTCATGTGTCGATTCGTGGCACATTCTCCACAATAGACCTGCCTAAGTCAGTATGCTTTCTCGGAAGCTCAACGATGGAAAGAGTAGGAGTTGCTTACATGACCACAGCCTTTGATGACCCATACCTGTTGCTTCATTGAACCATCGCCAACCGCCAACTCGTCACCGCACATGGGACACAAGACGACAGACTCTTCATCCAAAGTTCGAACAAAGCCTTCCTTGGCCGCAGGTGGCGCTTTGTATGGTTCTTGGTTAGCTTGGGGTGTTTCTGAACGACCTTCGTACATTTCGAGACCCCCAAGATCAAATGCTGCGTGCTCGTAATTCATTTGAATAGCAAAATTACCAGAAGGCTGGTTTCGGACCTGCTGTTGACCCCTCTGTTGTGACTGTTGGCGAAGAGGGTCTCGAATGACATTGCTGACTCGTGCAGCAAAATCGGTAACTTCTTGCCGCAGGAAGTCTGGAAGAAGACCAAAGGCAGCCATGGCGGGTAGAGGCTGGGCTTGGCCGGAAGTCGCACGTTGGCGGACTGAAGATCTGTTGATGCGTCGTCGGTCTGCGTCTGGAATCTGTCTCTCAGAGACAATTTCGATATCTGGACTGGATGGTGGGTGAAAAGGAGTTGGCGTACGGATGTGAACGGGATTGAAATCATATTCCATCGCATCTTGAACGTGGAAATCATTGTCGTCATCCTCGGCATCAGATAATAATATAACTTCTTGGTTTGGCAGCGGCACGCCTCTCAGGTTGAGTCCCTGATTTTGGAATCCCGAGGCTGGCCATTCAGACTGACTCTCATGTCGCTGTCTTTCGGACGCTGCGCGGACAAACTCGTCGACAATAGAGTCATAGTCGTGTCTTGTCCGTGGAGGCCGCGGTGGCGGCGAGCTGCGATCTGACACAGTCAAGGCATCGTCTTCACTGTCGAGGGTGAGGTCAATGGTCACATCGTTTCGCTGCGGCGGTTGCGGCGAAGATCGTATTGTGGTTACCGACATAGTTGGTCGACGGTAGTCGAAACCGTCTCCAGGATATCTTGCTAAAGCAGGCGGAGGGGACGGAGAGATGGAAAAATGGCTCGATTGGAGATGTGGATAGGAAGAGGAAGGGGAGGACGGCCCAGGGCTGATTCGCCGGCGCTTTGAAGGGATATGAGGAGTGATAGATCGGCTTTCAGACCTCGTAATTTCGTCGTGAGGTCTCTACAAGATGAGATCAGAAAATGACGGCGAGAAGTGGATGAAGAGAGAGGGTACCTTTCGACTTGAGGAAGTGGCGGCGTTAAGGAAATTGCTTAATGAAGCAGTTGGGGGTTGCGGCATCGTCACTGGCCGGCCGACGGTTCGTAAACAGATGTTAAGGCACTTGTGGATTTCATAGAAATATGCGATAGGTGGTAAGACATGAAAGTTATGAGTGGTGAAACACCGAGTCGAGGAGGAATGAAGAACACAGTCGGAGTGTTGAGTAATGTGGGCTGGTGGAGGAGGTTCGGTTCACACTCGAGCCCACCAAACGTGATTTGTGATGGGATGTAGTCGACCCTAGGAGGTAAAAGAGATTCTCCTATGGCACTGGCCTGCTGCTGAAGGTGTCGACTGGGCAGAAAGATGGGCTGCCAGCGGTTTTAAGGCAAAAGCCGATTGATTGACATGTCGTTGGGTTGGCGGTTGTGGTTGTGGTGTCGTTGTCGTTAGGGCGGCGAAACCCAGGCGAAGAGGTCAAACTTTCCTAATTGGTCCTTAGTGCGTGCATCTTTGCGTCTCTTCGGGTGAATCTCTTCGCCTCTCAAGTCATCAGCCGCCACCGTCATCACTCATCACAGTCCGTGTGTAAACGAAGGAGAAAGAGATACTGATGCACATCTACCTCACACAGATTCATGTACCATATCTCTCACGGTCTCTTTTTACTGTCATGACAATGCCAATGGCTTTACCAATCTGCATGTGTCTTCTTCACATCCCATTCAGTACAGAACACAACCGACCTGCATATGGTCCTACCTCTAACACCACCCCCTTGTCTCATGCATGTACAGTATACAAGACTTTTTCAGTTCACAGATCCCGATCCCGTCCTTGCAATCTTGGGCTCTTTCAACCCTTTCTATTGTACAGGATCTTTTGTTAGGTAATTGCATCCTATGTCCCAGCTTCACCCGCTCCACGTGACCACCTTTCCGCTATCGTCCACAGCGATCAGACTCTGAGCTTGCTTGCCCCATGCCACTCGTGTTGAGGGTACGGCACTGCTGAGGATTCCTGACCATTCCTTGGCTGCCTTGGAATAGGCTTCCACCGTGATACCTCCTGCACCGGCAGCGGCCAAGAATTGGCCAGTGTAATCCCAACTAATCGAGTTGATGGCGCTACCTGTTTCCAGGGTCTTGATCTCTGCCGACTTCCTCAGATCCCAGATGGATATTGATGAGGACCCTTGTGCGACACCGGCAAGCCATGTTCCGTTCTCAGAAAACACGACTGCTTTGACGGGGCCACCCAAGTTGAAGGTGGCAGCCTGCGCACCGGATTTGACCTCAAAGATCTTTATTTGACCGTCATTTCCACCTGCTGCGAGTAAATGGCCGTCTGGGTGGAATTGAGCCGAGGTGAGACCTATGCCAAGTTAGCGATTGTTCGAACGTTCCGAAGGAACACCATACCTGAGTCACTTTGGATTTGAGTGAGGACTTTGTTCGACTCCAGATCGTAGAGAATGTATGTCTTGTCTTCGCCAACCGATGCGAGAATGCTGCCGCTCGGATGGGTCGCAACAGCATTGACACTGCCCGCGTGCACGGCAAACGAAGCAACCTGTTGATTATCCTCAAACACCACAACCGCTCCTGATGACGTAGCGAGCACAGCTTTCTTCCCGGCCCATGTCCCCGCTGTTGCCGTACCTGAACCAGTCGATAAAGACAGCAGAGGCTTGTTCTGAGACAGAGAATAAATGCTAGCAGATCCGTCACTGCCACTAACCAACGCAGCGTCCCCTGATTCGTGTACAGCGAAGATTTTGCCGCCGGGATATAGTGGCTCCGAGCTCGATTTTGGAGCATACGAGGAGATAGCTTCGGGGGTTGCCCAGTCTTCAGGGACTGGTCGTTTCCGTCGAGTCTTCATCAAACTTTGTTGGGTATTGTCAATGGTTTGCTGAATCGCCTCTGGGAGAGGTGCGCTGTCCACCTGCATGGCATCCCCATTGGTGCTCGCGCGTCCAACATCGATCCTTGCCAGGGCCTGTCTTGCGTCGTCGCGTTCTCTGAGCAGTCGTGCAATGACACGTTGTGCAGCATCATTTTGGTAGAGAGCTGTGCTGAGTTCTTGTCGCGTCTGGTTGAGGTTTTGCTGTAAGGTGTATGTTTGGAGAGCTAGAGAGTCCCATTCTTCTTGAAAGACGCTGAGTAAAGCAGGTATCGAGGTTAATGTCGGGGGTCGAGGGCGGACGGTTGCGGGAGATTTGAGGTTGACAAGATCTTCGATGGAGAGGGCCTCGCCAGTGGTGGGTTCGGTTCCATTTTCGGTGACGTATGCTTCGATGAGGCGTTTTTCGTATACATTTCCTGACAATAATCAGCTAACAACTCCCTAGAGCGATCTTTCTAGAGGAAGACTCACCACTTTTGCGCGACGCTACGGGCTCTTTGGGAGGTTCTCCCGAAACTATGGACTGGTCAGTAGCCCGTCATTGGGGAGGAAAAGATATACTCACTTGCGCACAACATGGTGTCAACGCGTGCTGCCAAAACAAGATACAAGGATTGATGTTGATCTTTGACCAGCGCTTTTGAGATTTTTGAGCCGGCTTGTAGTCGACGGGCCAAAACTGTTGCTACTGAATCTGCCTACAGGTTGTGCATGGACCAATCATCGAGTTCAATTGCTGAAGATCTTGGCGCCAATCGGTTAACTTGCCAGGTTGGTCCTGCTTACCTTCAGCATCGCTCTGATTGTGAAGATTCATTCAAGATTCATTAAATCATCAATTCGAGTCCAACGAAACCTGCGATTGATGAACAAGTAGTGGGAATTCTTGATTTCATGCTGGCTGACAGACCTCATCGTCACAACGGCGCCATACTATCTTGGGCCAGAGATCATTACAATTCATATACAGTTTCTCTTCTCCATTTTAATGTTCCAGTTGTATAGTTTTCCCCTCTCTTCCTACGCCTACTCAACACATACGCAGAGAATGTGACAACCAGATTTAATGGATGAGAAATTGAGTCTATTTCATCCCTGGCTGAAATTTATTGACCAGCCGGGCAAAGTGGAATCTGTATCATCTAATCATGCTCGCCAATTCCCAAAACCATGAACGCCATGCTCGAATGACCCATCGTTCCAGCACCCAGATGTATCTGATGGTCATCATATGTCCCTACTTGTCCAGGACGTTTTGCAGATACTCTTTCGGAGATTTGCCTTTCATATCGTTCCTAATATCCTTAGCTTTGTCGGCCATGGAATTCAGGAAAATCATACCATCATCCCTCAAATTACCGCTTCCACTTCTGCGGCCGTCCATACTGTGTGCATCAGACCTGGACATGACCTCTTCTGGCTCAACGAATCCCGAGCTGCGCTGTCGATAGTGGGGTTGGTAGTGAGGAGGGTTATCGTTTGGTGGATGTTCGAGGTTTCCTCATTGAGAGGTTGAGGGGTAGTAGTAGCCGTTGTTCAGGCGCATGGATTTGCTGGCATCACGCTCTTGTTGCTCGGGAGATCGAAGGTCTCTGAACTGGAGAGGAGGGGATTGGAGTTGCTGGATTGGGGTGGAAGGATGATCGTACTGAGAGTCGTAATTGTCCATCTGTCTCGACAGTTTTTCTTTCTCGTTGTACTGGTCTGGTTGCTGGTAGCGCTGCTGCTGCTGATATTGAGGTGGGTATTGATCATCGTGGTAGTCTTGACGTTTGTTGCATCGGCACTGATTTCCTTCTCGCTCGGCTCGTGAATTGGAGATCTTCTTAACAGCCCAGACACCAGCACCGCCGATGATGGCAAGTTTAATCAGACCCATTGTTTGTTATGTTTTGTTGGATGTGCTTAAGGAGAAAGGGTTGATAGGATATGACTTTGTACTAGAGGGTGGAATTGATGAAATGTCTGATGTCAATATAGCTGGTATCCAAAGCATCCAACAGCTGTTATATAGAGATAGATATAGACAATCAAGCTCGGCTCTCCATCTTGCCGTTACAACCGACACCGATCCGACATGGCAATAGACCGCGCTGAATGGAGAACTATCTCGTGGCTGTCCATAAACTAGCCACAATACACGAGTCCAAATCCACTACAGCCTCGGAGATGACACGAGCGAGAAAATGGCTCGCCTCGTGATGGCCTGAGGACTACTACGCATGAATGGTGGTCGCCTTTGTATAGACTCTAGGCAACTCAATAAAACAGTTTGCTGCGCTTTGGTCTTGTGGGGAATTGGGCTGAGTTGTCGTTGGCTCGTCCAGGGTTTGGGGGCTGTAGATGACGATCGCGGGGCAGTGGATTGGTGGTCACTGGTCAGTGCTTGCAAGGAGCAGCACGTGAATCCCCAAGGCAGCAGCCATTCTCTGATTCATTTGTCGGTGCCTGGATTGTCAGTCGGGGGCCTCATTGAATTGTCGGCGCCGAGTGTTTGGGATGGGCACCGATGTACAAGAGTACGTTATTCACAATCGTTGAGCGCAGCAGGCGACTGAGTTTGGATTAGTTGATGCTCTAGGCGTGCCAAAGACGCGTTCTGGGCATTGATATACCCAAGCAGCCCTATGTCTGGGGGTTTCTTGGGGCCGAGGGGGCTATCAGTCCAGTCGTCTATTCACGAATACCGAAACCCCGACGTCTACAACGACCTGAGTTACTCACAAACCTATGGAGTCGTTTGTTCGCAAGATGAGCCTTTTTCAGACATCATTTTGGTTGCGAGGGACAGACGTATGTAACTCAGGGGCGCCTATTTTCTTCGTCAGCTGGTCCTTCTCGGGGGCATAGAGCCGTGTCCGGACAGGCAGAGATAGGGTTTGCAGCGCACGGAGACTACTTACAGACGAGGAAACTCAATTTTCTTTATTGTTAATCTAGAGATTTTATGACGAGGTATTTTGGGAAATGCTACTTCGAGCCTCTTGTTCTGACTTTGACTGTGAGAGACAGCGCAGGCCCCTTTCGGTGAGGTATATCCAATTCTGGCAGATTGTACAGAGGAACTTCTTCTCTGCAGCAAAGGCTATCATCGCCTCAGCTCCGGGTCCTCCACCCAGGGCAAACCGGCCTCTGCACGCATCCCATGTTTCTGTCCGGGACCCTTTCGCCCTCTGTTTGATCTGTTGTATCTTTTGTTCCACGGCGGAATGTGTCCACAGAGTGCCCAGAGGTAGCCAACGAGGTCGATCGTGTGTCAGATACTGGTCATTACCAGCCTCTCTAATTGCCTCCAGAGCCTGAAATTCCCCTGTCAGCTAGTTTTGACTCAAGATCGTCAAAATCCACCACCACATATCTCTTACCGACATAAGCTCGGCTTGTGTTGGCGTTGAATGAGACAGGTAGGTTTGTGCTGCCATTCCATCCACAGACTATAGCTGCTGTGGATATATAGCATTCACTGGTGGTCTGTCGACGATCCTCTCAGCGCTGACATGCGTGGAAATGTCGCAAGAAGGTGTAAGGATTCGTCACTGTGTAGCCCTCATCAATGTTCCAGCGCTTAACAGCATCATGATGAGAACAACCCCCACGTCACTGACCTCTTGCTGATAGAGAAGAGGCATGTCGAATGCCAAGCGTGGCAACCACTTTGCAGGCATCCATTTAGCTGGACTTTGTCTTTCCTTTGAGAACCTTCCGACGTTGCGACATCATGTGAGTATAGAGAATGTAAGATCCAGGAATGTAGATGATAAGCACAATCTTGAGCAACGAGTCGACATTCTTGCCCTGTTTCTCGGCAGGGGCTAGTGCCAAATACATCAACAAACACTCGCTCGAGATGCCCATTGGGTAGAGGACGAAGAAGGTGTTATAGCGCAGCCAAGTCAACCACGAAGGAATTTGGTCGCTGATGACAGTCTTCCAGACGAAGAATCCATATCTGATTACCTCCGTGACACCCCAAGCAAGTAAGATGCCGCAAAATGCAAGTGGCCCGGTCGTCGACCCAGCCACAGGCTTGCCCAAGGGAGTCGTCGTGGCCACAATTTGAGGAAACAGCTGGAGAACAATCCAGACCACAAGGATACGGGATGAGACTTGCATGGCCGTGGTGATGGGGCTTGCTCGTACAAGACCTAGAGCGGCGTGGACAATCTCAAGGAGAGCTATCGTTTGAGTCCATTTCAGGAAAGTGAAGAGAGCATCGAAGATGCTATGCAGCTTGCCATGTGATGCAAGCACCGGAATGAGAACAAGTGCACGCAAGATGACAATGGACCATAGCACGAAACACACGCCATTGTATGCGATGAGGTAGCGCTGAGTGGGTGAGGATGAGGTCCTGGGCCCCCCTGGCTGATTCTTCGTGGTCGCCATGAGATCTCGAGATGGTGAGATATTTGGGGGAAGACGAGACTCCGATGGCGACAAATGAATGGAGACTGAGATCCAAGTTTCAGATCTGATATTAATATCGCGGTGACCGAGAGGGAACAAGAAGACGAAGCAAAATAATGTTGAGATATCTTTCTAGAAACTCAGAAAGGAAGGGTGGTGATTGTTCTGTAGAAGGACTAGTGCATCATCATCTCAGTCTTGGCATAATTTGGGGTAAACTCTAAATATTTTTTTTGAACCTGCGTCTCGTCGTTTCACCAGAAAGCCCAGCGCAGTTTTCTGCGTTTTCTTGTCAGTGTCGGTCAACAAGCAACACCTTGAACGACTAAGGGAAGATACTTCGTCTCTCATATAATCCTCACCATGCCTCCATCAAAGCGTAATCGCGTGGTCCCCACATCCAAAACCCACAAAAACCGCAAGGAACTCGTCCGCCGACTCGCCGCCAATGTCCAACAAGCCGCCGAACAATATTCCTACATCTGGGTATTTGACGTGGAAAACTCGAGAAACAATTTCATCAAGGAGGTACGAACCGAGTTCGATGATTCCCGCATTATGATGGGCAAGACCAAGGTCATGATGGTTGGACTGGGACACAATCCTGAGACGGAAGTCGTTCCCGGTGTCAGTGCCCTAGGTCCTTATGTCAAGGGTGAGGTTGGACTGCTCTTCACCGATAGAGAGCCGCAAGAGATCCAGGATTATTTCTCCAATTATCTGAACGTGGACTTTGCTCGAAGTGGCACAACGGCGGCAATGGAGGTTAGAATTCCACCGGGTGAGATTCACACTCAGTATGGTGTGGACGGTGGGGAAGATGATCCGCTTCCGATCTCGATCGAACCGACTTTGAGAAGACTGGGTATTCCTACACGATTGTTGAAGGGAAAGGTGGTACTGGAAGAGCGACCGGAAGAGGCGATGGATGACGATGAGGGGTATCTGGTGTGCAGAGAGGGCGATAAGTTGGATTCACGCCAGACTTCGATCCTCAAAATCCTCGGTGTGCGCATGTCTGAATTCAAGATCGAACTCAAAGCAGTCTACGACAAAAGTACCGAATCTGTTCGTGAAATCGGAACGATGGATGTTGATGGACAAGATGTTTGAACGTGGTTTATCGACGAGGAAACCACTTATGCGATTTTCAAAATGTGTTCTTGCACGGTCAGAGGCATGGACAGAGAATGAGCGAGCTGCACAACGAACGAAATTCATGCTACGACTGTCAATAGTCAAAGGGCTCTCGAGCCAGACATCAGTGTGGGAACAAGAGACACAAAGGCTCGCTGTCAGGCGTCGAAGCGATTGCCCTGATAAGCAACAACCTAGTCTGCCAGCTACATGACAATCACAGGTACGGACGCCTATGACATGTGCGGAACATCCGTTGGACAAAATTGAGCAGCGCTTGTATCTTCTCAATTCCGTCACGACGTCACACGAAACAGTACCGAAGAATAGCACCAACCAGGAAACCTGTGAAAGGCGTGGCAATGCGGGTGTTTTGCCACGATTTGGACCCTGAGCAGGCCGAGATGACTAGCTGATCGGCAATTGCACAGTTGGTGATAGTTGTTTCTCATGTGTGAACGACAGCCTGGTTGCTGATCAGGTTTGATCATTCAAGAGCAGCACTGTATAATGAGGCGAAAAGCAACTTTTGGACCCCTAAGTCAGACGGTCCAGTGCCAACGAACGGGCGGCAATATGAATCACGGCGGTGAGCGGCATGATTCGATATAAATCTTGTCACCAATGGTGCTGGGGGATAGATAGAGGGCTTGTTTTCTGAGTGCCAAACAAATCTGGCAATGCAATCAAGAGTCATGACCCTCCAGAAGGTTCTCAACGCTGGAGATAAAACATTCCTGGAGGATGGACTTTGTCGTGTGTATTGATTCAATGATGTAGACCTCGGTCATGAGATGATCCACCTCTTTCTCGGCACGTCTTCGTCTATGTCTTGCACTATGGAAACACTGCCGACGCCAATCGCTTTGCGAGATGTATCGAGGGGTGTAATACATCTTGTTTGTCGAAGACAGGATCTGAGTCCGGCAAGTTTCCTTCCATCTCGTGTCGAATCCTCCCTGAAAACTTTCTCGCTTCCTGTCCTGAGGTGCAACTAGAAAAGAGTAAAATGCGGTTGACAGAGCCGAGATAGCATTATAGCCACCGAACTGGGGATAGCCAGCATCCATTGGGTACAGGGATGTCCTCGTAAGTCCCTAACATCACGAGCTGCTGCCAATTTCACGTTGTACTAGGCAGTCACAATAGTCTCCAATGTCTCCCTCCGTTAGTTTCCTTATGCACCTTGCTACCTTGTAGTTTCAGTTCGTTGGACTCCAACAAGAAAGCCCACATCTGCAAGCCGCCGCGGACTTCGTAATCCCCATATGCTGGCACAAATGAGTTTCATAAAAAAAATTACTGCTCCGTAGTACTAATCAACGGTTCGAGGTGTTAGAGTTCGAAACATTGACATATGGCCCTGACATGATAGTCAAGGAAGATCGTCGCCTTTTTCTCGCCAGAAGATTCTTCATTGGTAGCCGAGTTGGAAAAAGAGAATCTAGAGCGACGGGGATCCTAGACTCTCGACTACTCCGTATTCCATGCCGACTTGAAAGGGACGAAGACACTCCAGAGTTGTCAAAGCACTGCCATATGTAGTGCCACTGTCTCGGCAGAGGACGGGCCGACCTGCAGGCGGGCGGGAACCCTTGGCCTGCGCCCTAATTCGAGTCGTTATGCGTCCGTAGCGTCCTGATTAGTATGTCAAACGCACCGACTAATGATGACTAGGAGGAAGCATTTTTAGCTGCGTCTGAAGCGAGGAGCAGAGTGTTCATAGGGGTCTCTGAATTCATGTACGAGTATGCGTGAAACGAGTAACATCGGGCTTGGTATGCAGTGCAGTGTATGCGTATATGGACTCACGAAACATGCGGGGCGCCTGATCTGATGTGGTGTGGGGAGAGGGATCTCTTCTGGTTCCCTAAACAGGTAGAATTCCAGCTCGTGGACCCATGCTCTCGATCGACGTGTTTGACATGTTTTTCAAACCTTCGTTCGGCTGCTAGATCCCTCCGTTGAGAGCATCGCGAGCCCCGATCCTGGAGTTGGGGAAAGGAGACATTGCCACACCTACGCCTAGTGACTTTAGTTGCAAATCGCAGTGTCGTGCCTACTCACCACTTTCTAGACCAAATGAATAGTGTGTCGTCTATTTTATCCGGAGGATCTTCGATACTTCTCGAGGCGCTCGATTCGAGGGGCTTCTGGGCGCGGCTCGCTTGAATTAAATTGAGAGGATCTCCATGAGAAACTTTGGCGCCACAGCAGGCACGCATAGTGATGACGGGGTTTATTAGAGCGTGGACAGTGTGTGCATTGGGTCAAGTTCCAAGCCGGATAACCAAGCTCGTAATTTGTGTCGTTAAGCTGACCTGGCATGGTGCCTTTACGAGGTGGTCGAGTTAGTGTTGAATTTTGCCTCTGTTCAACCATTAGGCTGTAGTTGTGGCGGCCACATACATACCTGACTTGGGAGCTTTGGTGGCCAATTGCTCCTTAGTGACGCCGGAATGGTCAGGCTAGCAAATATCACTATTGATCGGAGTACCAATCTCGCCCTCTACAAGGGTAGCTAGGGTATGGAGGTCACGCGGAGTTAGGCATACATACGTTGCCGTCTCTGCCAATTTTGCCGTGTCAGGAATAACCGCTGCGCTAAGGCCGAGTCGATGATTGACTGGGGTGCTTTAGTTTTGGTGAAGAGCCTTGCTTTCTCGCAAAGCTCAACGAGCTTTTCCGTCACCTCTGTTTTTTCAAAATAAGGGACCTCGGTCCAGGTTTTGTTAAAGTTAGCCCATACTGAGTCTTTATTTGACTCGCAGAATTCTTGGTGGGCATTCCGGGCAAAGGCCTAACGAGATAATTAATAAGTGAGGGTGTAAGCGATCCGCGAACCTACCGTTAGATTTTTCAATTCACCCTCATTCAAGCCCAACTTCGCCCGGATCTCTGAATTTGAATCTCTGACCTTGATGGGGGTGGCCATTGTTGATCTGTCTCTCCGCCCGTGTGTCACTGAGATGCTGAGGAGGGTGTGTGGCGGGCATGTGCTCTGCGGTTGTGGTCGTCAACTTGCCACCTTGCTTATGTAGAACGCTGCAACCATCACATGTTTCAAAATGTGACGATCGTGAGGACACTGGTGTGATCCCGTAACTGCCACTCAATTGTGTGTCTCGGGGACATATTTTCCGGAGGGCAGTCAGGATGCAGAAACTCGCGTCAATTACATAAAGCCCACCCTTGACCGCCATTTGGCGGCAAGACGTATTGGGGGGGGACCGAGAACGGCAAGGGTAAAGAGAAAAGGATGCAGCAAAACCCCGTTCCACGTCATCCTGGGGAGACAGGCCTTTGACACAAATGAGAATTTCAGAGCGAAGTCTGAAGTGGCCCCACTGGGTGAAAGGCAGAATGTGAAAATTGAGTTTTCGAGCGGCGCGAGTTTGAACGAGATGGTGCGATGCAGGGAGTGGGCAGCCATGCGCCACTGGGAGGGAGCAGCCGCCAAGTGACCAGAGGAAAGGCTCTCAAGGGTCCATCCAACAAGAGTCAGGGAGGAGCCGTGCATGAGAGAAGGAAGGTTAGGATTGACTTTCTGAACCCATGGCGTGTGGAGCAAGGGATGTTCCGTTCTGCTCCGCCAGAAAGGTTCATGCTCATGGGGTAGCTCGGGTTTTGAACCAACGGGTCAGAGGATGGCCCTTGTACAGACACTACTCCGTAATTGTGAACTGTGGACCCGGGCCCTCAAGTTTTGAAGTCTTTCTTACGACGGCGACTTGGCGTGGTGCTGCATGCTGGAACTGTAGCCCTGCCGCTACTCTGTGCTATCGTCTGTCAGCTTTCGGGCGGAGCTAGGGCCTTCGCTTGTGCTGCGGCGTTGATCTTCGGGAGAATCTCCATGGATGATGCCGCATCAATCGTGACGAAGCAGTCGTAGAAGCTTAAGTGTGTGTGGGCAACAGGGCCTAAAGGACGAGAATCAAGGATTGTCACAGCAAGATGCTGTATATCTCATCGACGCGAGTGAGTGAAGATGGTAAGTCTCTGATGTATGACAGACGGCAACACTACCAATCAGTGTCTTGGTGAGGATTTAACACCCTCGGATTGTCGTCGATGTGATGATAGTGTACGAGGATGTCAGGTGGTGGTGACTGGCGTAAGTGTGCGCACCCTGAGCATTGTGGGTACCAACACGCGAGCACAGCCCCTGCACCCTCATGGATGATGTGCCATGGATCCCTGAAACTCGACGCACCAAGACTTGCGTTCGATGATCACGATTGCACCCGATTTGTGGACTGCTTGAGCCAGTGAGTAACCGGCGTTGGGTAGCTAGTTTAGTCCAAGATCATGGAGACTTGTGTTTTCAGGCTCGTGCATGGTTTGGCTGCTTGCGTGCCACGGGATCTGGCCGAGAAACTCAGGTGATGTGCATACTGGGGCTAGGCGCTTGACAAAGCACCTCCAAAGAGCATTGGCGTACGATACTGCCGTGATCTGCAGGCAAGCCGGAAGTGCGTGTGTAAGCAATGAAGATGAGGTGCTGCCTGCTGGAGACATGAAAGGTTAGGGTCAGCGAGTTATTGAGGTTGCGGCAGTGGGGATTGATTTTTTGAACTTGCCTGGATGGCTATCTGGATGAGTCAGGGTGCAGTTCTTGACTAGGTATTGAGCTGCAAGTCTTCGATGCAATCTTGGTGTCATTGTTGGATGAGACAGTTTAGACGAGCGAAATTGCCACAAAATTTACTCTAACGGGCAAGCTCAGAATGTGTGGAGCAAGTAACACGGCCAACATTCCACAGGTGAGAGTGTGTCTTGATGAGAGGGCCCGTGGAGGGTCGCTGGGCCCAGGTCTTAGGGAGAGAAACGCCTGAAGAGCAGTGGGAACGGGGAAAGGGTGATCACGGCTACCCTCTTCCTTCATGCCTAAAAGCCTGCAGGTAGGCAATGATCGAACCTAGCACTTGTAGGCTGTTGATCACCAAGCGCTACAGAATGGATGTGTGCTACTGATCGGAGGTCACTCCAGGAGGCCACAACGAGAGACAGGCGTGACAGGCTCCATTATTATTTGTGGAACAGTCACCTGGCACAGTTTCTGTGTGTCTCCAGCTCTACCTAGGTACCTACGTAGCTATCGAACTGACTACCGAGTCAGGTCTAGCAGGCATGAAGCGCCTTTAGACACCAGAAACATAGGCACGGAGGCTAACACAGGCGCCCAGTGGGTGCCAGGCACGCCAGGTAACTTCAGCACCGCCATCCGGGCTGGGCGTGGACATGTCATTTGGGTGCAGGGTACCACCCACGGCAGGTCTGGAGCTACGAGTCACAGGCTCACAACAGCCGGACCGCCATCAAACGCGACTTGGTTTACGAGCGCCTTGTCAAATGGTCAGGCCTTCAAAGCTCTTGGCCCACTCGGCCCTAGCCAAAAGCCTAGATTCCTTCCCAATTGAATCCGGGCGTGAGCCTGCCAGCGTTACAGTATCCGTAGGTAATCAGCAGTGGGCCAAAGGGTCAGTGGTTGTGGTCGTGGGCGTCCACACCGTCCCACATGATGCACAAACAGCATTTGTGACGACAGTGGCAATTTCCGTGATGTCTAGGTACCAGTGCCTAAAACAGTTCGGTACGTACATGATTTTAGTGAGTCTCTCTATCTACGCATGAGTATCAACCCACCATCGGGCGATATACTGCATGCGTTGCAAGCCATGCAGGGGAAACTCACTATGTGGATTCTTCCCTGAAAAAGGACATGATCGCGCCCAGATAGATTGTATGTGTAGAACACCACCAAACAGACAAGTTCAACGAGAACACACCTGCTCGCTTAGGGATCGCTGATGCGGACACCGAGCCCTTGGCCTTTCATCTTGCGACCTGGTCACTCCGTGCGTGCACGTATGTAAGTAGTTTTCACGATGAGCAAGCAGAGATACAAGTCAACATTCTTGGTTCCTCTGATCGGCTTCCACACTTTCTCGCATCATCTTGGCTCGAGGATTTGACAGGCCAGGTGGAGTCTCGGATCGGAGACACTGACCATTCAATTATGCTGTTAGGAACGTTGAAAAAATGCTTGACGCTTTTGTACAATAATGATGGCAATGTACATAGGCCTCGGTTCGTAGGATGGTCCGACCACCAGTTCCTGGAATGGGGATTCGCATTTTGCAGACGCCAACTTGGATTCTACTACTGCGGTTCAGATCAGACAAGTTCGGTTAACGAGGGCGAGATACAAGAGCATGGTTGCATTTAGCGCATCTTAATTGAATGATTGGAACTGACCAAAAGAGGCAGTTGAAATCGCACGTTGGAGGATCTACCAATTTAGAGGCTAGAGCGACTCGTAATGCTGGAACGGTGTCAGCCGCAGGCCAGGTGGCCGGGTGCCAGGTGCCAGGTGCCAGGACGTTGATTTCACCTTTCCAACTGCGTGACCAGGGTTCAAAGGATTCAAACGCTTACCAACCGTGCCAACCACCACAACCCATGTTGAAGATGCCAGTCACAGACTCGCAGGACGGAAGTAAGGAACCGCGGATCAAGTTGTGCGCTTTGATCGGGATCGTCTGAATGGCCACCAGGGGGGGGGGTTGCCAAACATCGGACTGCTGCCTACAAGCTGAAGTTGGAAGGCCGTATTCATGGTAATAAGATCACCGGTTTGGTTGGCGTCATTTGTTTCGGCAGGTCAGACCCTTAGTACTTGTTCATAACTCAAGAAGTTAGGAAAGATGCCGCTAAAATTTGGAAATGTGCCCGACACCATGAGAAAGAGTGCACCGCCGATAAACTGTGGGTTTCGATACAACGTACGGAGTATTCAGTGCGCATGTAGTGCCGGGGGAATATTGTCACGCGGGCATGGAACCTCAGCCTCTGGATGCCTCATCTGCCGTGTGGGTGTGGCGTGCATCTCGAACGTCGACCAACATGCCTCATCGTTCCTCGCAAAGGTATGAAAGGGTTTGCCTCTGGTCGTTTGTTTCCCTGACGGGCCCTTCCCAAATCCACAGGTGCATACATAGATGGTAACAGAATTGTCGGGACATTCGCTCTTGCCCCCAAGCCTTGATAGTCGCAGCCCACCCAATACGGAAACGGCGAGACCATGAATCATGATGCTGTCTCCTCTTGATGGTGGCCCGGTGCTTCTGGAACAGGGGTGTCCCAAGTCGGTTAAGGTGATAAGGCGGACTGAAATCTTGAATGCACTACTTCAACTGGGAGAAGACAGTCGTCCTCCTGATCGTAGTTAGTCTGATCGAGATCCAAGGGTGTCTTTGGTTGGTTTGGCATTGTGACGCCTCAGCGACAGCTGGAGGGCCGTCTCGGGATGGTGCATTGGTGGCCCTCGGCCTTTAGCTTTTGACCAAGCGCTACTGTTGTAAGTTGACTTTGGGATGCAGTAGCACCAACTAGTCGCCAGAAATTACAGAATCAGCGAGTCCAGCGGAGGCACTTGCAGAAAGTGTCCATAGCCTATAGACGTCGATTGGGCGTTGTGACTTTGGAGCCTGTAGGGGCCAACAGCATACCTGTCTTGCTTTTTTTGGAGCCTCCTCCTCAATTTTTAGATGGGCCGCCACTGGGGCACGCTTGCCTGCCACCTCGAGTCAGCGGTACCTGGCTCCCATGCAAAGGCTGGCTGGCAATCTGTACAGACCATTGTTTTAGGCCTTCGATGCCAATCCCTGAGCCACCCGCCCAGGTGTTGAATTGCCCGTACCAAGTACGGTAGTTGTACGCACTCTCTGCGTCTCTGCGTCACTGTACGCGGTGCTTGCCTGCTCTAGGCAGAATTTACTAGAACGTCCCTCGGCAACCAACCACGAGGTAGTCGGATCGACTACTCAAGTGGTAGCAGTAGCACGATATCTTTGAGACAGGATTCAATTGTCCGTCTGACCCTCCGATCATGTTTGAGACATCAACTGGAGTCCGCCAGGCATGCAAATAAGGACTGGACCTTGTACATGGTTTTCCTCAAAGTGAAAGTAACACGTAGGCGTAGGAGAGAGAAACTAGTGAGATTGTGCGTGTGTAGGTTTGCAATTTTAGTCTGGCAGGCACGGGCAGTCTGCCGATCATCAATCGTTACATAGAATACGGAGGTGGATGGAGCACGAAGTGGAATATGCATGCGTACCTACGGAGTAGGTAGGCACAACGGTACCAGTGAGTCAACGACCCAGTTGGCCACGCTAAGAATAATCATCAAGGGGCCCGAGGGCTCAAAGTTGACGGCCTGTGGTGTGGAGAGTGGTGATGTGGACCGAGGGAGGAGGAACATACGCATACGGAGTACACACACGGCTCCTTGAGTTTATTAGCCAGAGTCTCACAGCATCAGATGCAGGTGTGCAGCGTGCAGTGAGCGTGGCCACCGTGGCAGCTGTGTCAGGCTTCCGCCCTTGTTAGGCGGCCTTGGTGACTAAAGACAAAAGAAGAGGGTAGGAAGAATGCGCCTCAGTCCAAAGTTAACCGTGTGGCTGTGGGCTTCGGGCTTCCACGCCATGATTTGATCCCAGGCATTTCTCCTTGGTTTGTTGGTTTGTACAGGCTTTCTTCCTAACTAACTTCCTGGCGACCACGGTGTACGGAGTAGGGATCAAGCTTCTTCCCCCCACATGGCCCATGTCGTCCATCGTCTCGAGTCTCTTCGGTACGAATGTGGCAACACTCCATCACGCCCAGGTCTTCTCTAGCGTTGGACTGACTGGAAGATTGTTTCTTATTAAGCTCCTCACCCTATCCGTCACCATGCACCAGTCCACGATCTCCAGTCTTCGGTTCTGGATGGATGACGGTGGATTGCACTTCGCATGGTAGGTACGTAGTCGTTTATTGTGTCTATCCTTTGACGCCAAGCAAGGACGTGTTTTGGCACAAGTTGGATCATGGCACATTATTGTCTCGGCACGCACGGCCACTCAAACAATCAATGACAAAGATATGTTTCTCGAGGCGAACTGAGCCGTAGCGACTTCTGCTCAAGTCAAATCCGATCAGACCTAATAGACCCCAAACTCGCGTTGTAAAATTGCGACGACCTTTCTCAAGGCCTTGCCTGGCCTGTAAAGTGTGAAACTCGGGTCAAGGAACATGCTTTTAAAAGGCTACCTCACAGCAGTGACGGAGAGATGGCGCGTGTCCCGTTAAACATTTCTGACCCCTGTTCGCCGGTGGGACCATTCCAAAGAACATCCGGTCGAATATGCACAGCGTCATGCCGGGCTAAAAGCTTCCCGTCGTTCGTCTGTTTGGCGCCGTCTCCTGCCTAGGCCCAGGACTGCAGGCGGCCCTTGCACCAGTTATCGTCTGAGAAATGGGCATCTCCGGCTCACCAGTCCGAAGGGGATACGGGGGTGATCCGCACCTTCACAAACGCTATGGGCAATGCGTACCACCTACCCTAGTCGCAGAGGCGCTTCGGCTACAGAACGGTAGGTGCAGGCCATGGGTCATGGGCTTTGGTGGGCACTGCAGGCTGGCTGTCGTGCCTGTCTGCCTGCATGGCTTGGGATTGCCCATGGGCCTAATGGGCCCCGTCGGTCGTAGCCCCTCAGGTCCTGAACGGCGCTGACTTGGAGCAGTCTGGAATCTGGAGAGCCACATTTACCTGATTTACGCATACCCAGAGTTATTATCGGAAAAGTGCCCCCAGGGCCGAGGGGCCACAGCGCACACTGGGCCACTCACCCACTCCTCTCTTGGCCTGGGATTGACGCCGTCACTCACATCCTGGACCTGGCGCCTGGCGCCCAGCACCTCGAATTTTCGGAACGTGTCGAGCTAAACTCAAGTTTCGCTCCACTTGGTCTGTTCGGTCAGCAGTGTCGCAGTGTTGCTTTGCAGATGGAGTTTTTCCTGATTGACTTTGTGCATCTTCAGACGTTCTTGAGACTTTTGGGATGGCTGATTGTCGCCTCCGGCCCTTGATCCGCTTCGATCCACGCCATGCCATCTCCAGTCTTTCCCATCACTCTGGCTTCACTTTGCGACTTGCCTCTCGCCCCCCTCCCTACGCCCCGCATTGCATGACTGGCAATCTTGATTCTTGAACCCGGACCCTCCTCCGATGCTCCTTGTCGATACCAGGGTCGGTGGAACCGTATACGCATACGCAGTCGTCCGTACGCATACGCATCCGCATACACTGGACGTTCTGAGTTCCATCGGCCATCCATCCATGGCCCGTTCCAACTGTCCCGTCACATTCATGCCAGTAAATTACTGCTAGTCTGGCTTCAACTTCTGGTCCTCTGCCCACTTGCTCGGCCACCAGTGCCACAACCATACTCGATCCGGCCTGTATTGGACTCTTTTACTCAACTCCATTCTTTTTCTTGACCCCCGGCCATTCTAACCTCATTACGAGACCGACGACCTGTCCACCTGTCCCGCAGCTTCCCGCCCTTGCCGCTTGTTTTGACGCTTCTCGCCTATTCACCTTGCAACCTCTATTCCTGAACTTTGTCTGTCAGATGGATCGTGCCAATGATCATCGCTGCTTTGGCCCTCGTTGTGACGCTCTTGATGTTTTGCTCCATGCCACGCCATTCCATGCAATGGGTCGATTGACCACCATCTAGGCAAGACATACACAAGTCCCATCCCAGCCCTAGTCAAACACACTTTGGTAGTCTCTTCACTAATCCTGCCCTTTGCCGCACTGATATGCCTGTCTAATTTCGTCTTGTTTCCCCTTACTCGAGGCAGCTGCCCTAGCTGTGATCTAGGCACGTTGTCCTTGCGGCTCGCATTCGTCTGATAGATATGAGTTTGACCTTTCCACCTTGATTGAGCCTTCTCCTTCAATCATCATCACGACAATTTGGTTCACCATGGAATTCCCCCAGGAGTGGACGCCTCCCTCGAGCACCGTCTCCAACCACTCCAGCACCTTCGCCAACTCGAACTCTTACTTCACCCGGCCTCACAAGATTGTCAAACCCAGCAGTCGGAATGGGAGCCCACGTGCATTGGCGCGGAGAAAGACCACGACCTCGTCCACCATCTCATCCAGGACGAGATCCGTGGTCGATCAACTTCGCTCCAATGCTCAACAACAGTCATGCACTCAACAAAATTCGACTCGTTCACGACCAGTCAGCTGGCATCCTCATTCCATCGACCTTGCAAATACCCCTTCACCATTTCTTCTGGACCAGCCCTATCCAACTTGTCCACAGTTTGTCACCAGCCAAGTCCATGGCCTCATCACTCCCGTCACATTTCCTGTCGTCAATGAACCTCAAATACACGAGCTCATTACCCCCTTGGACGAATATCCTGGCCAGGAGTCAGCCTATCCCTACCAAAGCCAGATGTACGACTCTTCGGCATGGTTTTCTCGCCCTGAAGTCAAGCCCGACCACTTAGATATTCCCATGTATCAACAAACCAATCTCATGGATTCATCATGGCAGTTCCCTCAACCAATGCCCTCTACAGTGCCAACTGCTCCCTCGTCTCCAGAGTATCCACCTGCGATCTCCCTGGACAAGATGACCCTAGGCTCGGACGGTCCTGACTCCAAGTCGCAAGGCGAGGAGTTGGTGGGCATGGGTTTATACGATTCGCCTGCCGATGTACATTCGACTTCCTTATTTGGAGGATTCAGTGCCACCCAGAGGAAGAGTCTCAAGCTGGAAGAATCATTCGAGCCGGAGGTGCGAGAGGAAGGAGATGAGGTGGACGCGGAAAGTGAGGAAGAGGAGGAGGACGAAGCCGACGACGACGATTCATTTCAAATACCCGCTAAGACACCCTACTACTCCCAGTCCATCGCCAGTCACTTTTCTTTGCAGTCTGAACCAACCCAAGACTCGATTGCCTCACGATATCTGGCATCATTGGGCCAAATCAACAGCCCTTATTATCCCTCCAACCAAGATCATGGCTGGATATGAATTTACGACATTACAACGAGGCACCACAGGCTCTACGACTCGAATCGCGAGCCGAGCTGTGATGCACAAAAGATATGACTGATTTTTTGATGATACCCTCATGTACAACGTAGGTGATAGAAGGGCAACATGGAGCAAGCCACGCAAGTCGCGAGGCTCTCTAGCCATTTCAGAGTTACATGTATAAAAAGACTTTTGACTACTGAGTCTCTGCAAGACGATTCTCGTGTATATCACGTGCGATTTTGGTAACTTTTGGTGACCTTCATCGCTGCCAAATTACATTTAGGACTTGAGAGTTTCGTAGACGCCACAGGACTATAGAGTCAAAGGCTGTCCTGGCGTGAGCATATTTACAAACAAGTACGTACACATAGTGCTGCCAGTATGTCGTACTACTTCGTAGGCTCATGGCCGTGGTTGCCCGATCACCAAGTCACATTGATGTTTGATTGGGCAGTAACTCTGAACCCCATTCCACTGCCACGAGAAATCAAGACAACCCACTCATTTGACAAGCGACATGACCCAGACTCCCAGAGCCCAGAGGCCATTTCTCCCCACATTTAATGACCAGGCACGCCAGAACCAGGAATATGTGCTTTATGCACGAATGATTGGTTGGCAGCTCGACTTCCTACGCATAAGCATCCAGTACCCCGTGTGCCCGTACCACCATCCCAAGTCACTCTGGAATTCAGTATCCGCAGACAGCAGCCCAGTGGCCAGAGTACCGACTCACAAGTCAAACTAGCGAGTCGCACGAACCAGTTCAACGTACTCCGTAAGTATAGGACCGAGTGTGACATTCTGTGGTCTGTAACCCGTGCTCCCTCTCTATGGAGATTTAGAAATGAGAAAGATTCTGACAGGAAAGATCCGTAGGCCATTGTCAATTGTGCTCCAGTCACAAACTTTTCTCACCACTGTGCCAGATCCCCTGTTCAACCCCAGTCAATTCCTCCATAGGTGCAGTGCAAGCGCGGCGCAACTTGGGCGATCCTCCAGGCCGCTCGTTGCCAAGTCACAGTTCAGAAGTGATTACCAGGGTCAATTCCTGAAGAGACTTGACTGGGTCACAACCGTCTCGGATGCAGCTGCATGCCGACTGAACCCGCGAACGCGAACGCGAAAATCGAGAGCTCGCTTGCGCAAATACTACGCATACTATAGCTCTAGGAGTACTACTAAACGGTCACTTTCCAAGTGGAGGCAAAAGACATGATTATTGCCCTCAATCGGCAGACTCAGACAAGAAGACGTAACCCAAGGCCGCAAAAGCCACGGCGTGGCCAAGTTAGCTGAGTGGCTAGGTCCCCCTGTGCCGTGCCTTCGGCTCTCGCCCGCCGCCAGCCAACTTGGTGGCATGCCCTAGGTCACACAAGTCTTCTCCAATTCTAAAGATCACATCACCTGACGATCTAGGTCTCCGATTCTCGATCTCTACTCAACTGTGACGGGAGGGGCCTCATCAAAAGTAAAGTACCAGGAATCACCACAAGGCGTTCATTCAGGCACGTCAAAGAGAGCACGAGACGGCACAGAATGGCGGTTCATTCGCAGCCGTGGCGGCACGATTCTGAGCTGGCCATGGTTCGAGACTGGTTCTATCCTGACCACGCAAAACACGATGCGTTCTCCGCCCCACCTGAGGACATGCGCCAGAGAGCTGTGGATCGAGTAAATTTGTGGCTGTTCAAGGCTGGCCGCTTACCAGCTGCGGTGGTTTCGACTGCAAGCCTGACAGAAGCATTGATCCATGACAATGGAGTGGCCCACCAGGAAGATAGGCACGGTTGTGGTGATGGTCCTGGAAGAAGAAACGTGTCTGAGCCAGCCTTGCAAAGCATCTATGCCATGGCATTCGCCAGGTTTGTCAATGGATTTGTGGATCGTGACGTTGCTCGTTCTCAGGCCGCTGCGCTTGCATTGGATGATTCAAGGGGTCCTGGTGCAACCACTGTTACGACATCGTCTCTTGCTGGACAGTCCGCGTCTTCGACAGGCAGGGGCGAGAGCTCCATGTATGCCCACGCCGTGACGATTGGCATGCCCGAGGTGTTCGTGGACCTACGACATCAAGTCACCCATGGCGACTTGCCTGGATTGTACTACTTGCGGAAGATGGCCTTGCAGGCCCTGCAGTGGTTGTACCAAAGATGGTGGGTGAAACACGCTCAAGCAAGTCCGGCAAGGGCATTGAGAGAGCAGGCCGAGCGTCATCAGCTTTGTCTGGAGATGAAAGCCAGGAGGGACGTTGATGAGAGGCAGGATGTTGAATTTTCTGTTGATGGGGTTGCAGAACGACATTCGGCAATGATGCAGTCCAATGTCCTCCCCTTGGAGGATGTCGGCTCCTTTCCGACCTCGAGTCACAAGCGCAAACGGGACGGATGAATGAGATGATGAAACACAGCGTGAGTGCCCAGGACCGTGATACCTATCTCACTAGCTGTCCGCCACCACCTGATTCTTACCATTCATACTCCAAACATCTGAATCTCAGCATCTTGATCCAACAGCGTTGAAGGTCATGATGCATGCATTACCTTTGCCGTGAGAAGAACGGTAGAACGACAAACAAATCTCTCGGCATCTTTGTTCTCGACGCCAAGAAGCGATCTCGACCAGTTCTTCCGACACATGGTCCTTTACTCGTCTTCAATAAACATGATGAGTTGCGTCGAAGCATAATTCTATACATGACGTCAAGTCGCGGCTTCCTTAGTGCGTCGTCCTAGGAGACAGTTATTGTCATGTATACATGCTTCTCTCAATAGGGTGGCTATGCCCATGTCTCGGAAATTGTTGCTGGACTTCCAAATCAACGGCAATGGAGAAAGCGAAAGATATTTCATGTCAAGTCGTTGAAGTTGCGTCAGGTAGCAACGAGCACTTCTCTGGTCCCTTTGACGAATCCATAGTCCTTGAGGTCACCAACCAGATGAGCGGATTGCTTCGGCACTCTTATCATCGCCAAATCAAAATCGAATCGCTTTCGGGGCAGACGAGAAAGTATCTAGTGGAGTTTGAGGACAAGAATGTGTTCACCATAAACAGAGTTGAGGAAGAGAGTCAATCACACGTCAGGCTAGGCACAGTGTGGGTAAGTATGACTAGGGACAGAGTGTGTCATGGATAGATATAGGTATCATTTGTGGCTATAAGAGATATCTGCAAGAGTGCTGCCCAATGGTGCCTAGAGCCTTGCAGCCTTATTCCCAGGAACAAGATATTATTCAGCCTTGTAGATAATGGACAGAGCACGTGAGCAGTGGTTCCGTGAGGTCGGACATCACTCCAAACCCCAGAAACATCACTTCACAAACACCGTTGTTCGTCATCGCATGTAGCCTGTCAGTCGCCGCCACTGATCTTGTTCGTCTCTTCCCATCTGTTTGATATCTTTTCGCATGGCTGTCAGTAACAAGATCAGTAGACCCTATGCCCGACCTCATTCACCAACGCGTTCCTCACCTCCACTGTCTGCCTTTCCTGCACCATGAACAACCTCCCGGCAAGGGCAACTCAAGGCCCATTAAATGACTTTCCTTCACCATCCGCCACTCCTCAGTTATACCCTACCCTCACCAAAGCCATATCGACACTCGCCCTTCTTATCCTGGGCTATTATGTGGTTTCGCTCCTTGACGCCTGGCCGTCAACCCTACAAAGATCTGCTTTTGAAATAGCGGCCTTCCTCCTTCCCTCACGTATTCTCTACGCCATGCAGTATACCATGGTCCGCCTCGGTCGCTTAAACCCCGAAGATGCCAAATTTAACCGACGAGACTACGGTGATTTGCACGCCAAACAGGAAGCCTTGAAGACAATTCTCGGACACCAGCCTATGCCATTTATCCTTCATCGTGTCCGCAGTCTGTCAAGTAACTCCAGCGTAACCATACAATCACCTATTGGTACAACTCCTCCTGGCCTAGGCAATTGGGACAATTCATGCTATCAGAATAGTACGCTGCAGGGCCTAGCCTCATTACCGGCGTTCCTCAACAGCCTTGAGTCAAGCCTAGACTTTTGTAATCAGTTCCCTGTCAACAGTGAGACACATCGTGCGTTGGCAGGCTTTCTCCAAGATCTTACGACGTTGTCCAGTTCTCGGACAGTTTTATGGACACCAAAGATCCTCAAATCGATGGACAGTTGGCAGCAACAGGATGCACAAGAGTATTTTTCAAGAATATTGGAAGCAATTGAGAAAGAGGCTATCAGATCGGTCAAAGCTTGTCAAACGTCGTCTCAACCTGGCCTGGAGTGCGTGCAAAGTCTCTTTGCTGGCGGCAAAATGCCCACAGCAACATCAGATGACATACAGGAGCAATCCCGGGGGCAAATTCCAAAAATGGCCCATGGTGTCGAGTCGCACAATGTCTTACGCGATATTCGCAGCCCTCTAGATGGTCTGACCGCTCAAAGCCTGCGATGTACGACCTGTGGTTTCACTGAGGGACTGTCTTTAACACAGTTTAACTGTCTTACATTGAACCTAGGTCTCAGAGGATTCGCCACTCTGGAAGACTTGATCGATGACTTCACCGAGCCCGAAGAGGTCCAAGAGGTGGAATGTGACCGATGTACAAAGAACGAGCGTGATCGAGTCACTCAAGGACGTGATAGCACAGATGCGATCAATGAGTCAAATCAGGAGCACGGGGGAAAGCTCAAGCCGGTTTTGAGGACCAAGCTGAAACAAATCACTCTCGCCCGATTGCCAAAGGATCTTGTCCTACACATCAATCGCAGCATCTTTGACGATTTTGGCAATCAACGAAAAAACAGCTCGGCTATCAAATTTCCAATCTTTCTGAGCGTGTCGAATCGATGGAGTGTACCTCTTGACAATGGCGAACGCCAGAATCAAGTCGTGTATGAGTTGAAGTGTGTCGTAACTCATTACGGGCGGCACGACAATGGGCATTACATTGCATTGGGCAAAAGAGATAAGGACTGGTATTCGTTCAATGATGAAAGGGTAACCAAGATCAGTGAAGAGGAAGTCCTTGGCTATGGCAACGGTTTCATGTTTTTCTATGAAGCAGTGACACCGGAACCGGCCATGCGCCCAATTGTTGAGCAAGAAGCAAACATGTCAGAAGCTAACATGTCGACTGAAGTGTCTCACGATGAGGCGAGAGTGATGGGCGCGAGAGGAGAGAGTTCGGAGATTGACTCTGAGACTGTGGACTCGATCGTAGTGGAAGAAAGTGCTCCTGCGACTGCTACAGATGGAGATGAGACGCAGGTTTGCCTCGCACCAGCACCTCCTCCGCCACCTGAGTCGATTACACAGGGAAAAGAGCTGGCCCTGGATGAGAGTCCGCCGTCACTGCCGGACGAACCAGAATCGAAGGGCATCCCAACAATGCGGACTGCTTCAGGTTTCCTAGACCAAGGTCAGGAGGCCATCCACCTTGTCAAAGCTCCAATTGTGCAGAGACTTTGAGCAAGGATATTAACTGTATACCAGGTGTTAATGACGATTACGAATAATGATATGATTACTGAAATAAACACTGAAATTGAATTCGACCTTGAAAACACAGTGGAACCTGCTGTCTATCAAGAGTGTTGATGAGTTGTGTCGAGGTGGAGTGTTTTCTGCATCGAATATAATAATATTGCCTTGTGGAGTTGGGCAAGAGACGGTCGGCGGTGTCACTAATAAATCTTCTCCCATTAGGCGACCCTTAGTCACAGCGTCAATAGAACAGCCACTGGGAGATGAGCGAAAGGCTGCCCTTTAGGTTCAAGGATCGGGAATAGTTCCCCACAACCTCAGTAGCCCTGATGAAAAGATAGATGAGGGGGGCCGAGAGGCCCGTGAACACTGATGCCTTGGGTCAATTTATTTGATTAGAGAGGCAGATACTCCTCCCAATCTGCAGCTAGGGCTCATCTTCAACCATGACAAGATCTCTCTTCTTACTTCCCTACAGTTGATTCTTTGATAGCACAAGTGGCTCGGTCGCGACTTCCTCACAGCGACTCGCTCTTTCTGATCGAGACAACAACCATTTTGGTAACTTGCGATGACGTCGGCAGGTGCCCCTCAGTTCAGTCGCGCCCTTTCAGAAAGCCTGCCTGAAGATGTAAGCAACGCATCTCGATCAGCAATCCACGCTGATCTCCAATCTCGCCTATCTTTGGGGACTTTGACTTATCTTTGTTCTAGTTGCACAGTGGCTCCAGCAGCGAGGATGAATACAATCGCAAAATCGAGGTCCGTTACCTATCTCACTGCCCCTCAGTCGTCCGTTGCTCGCTGTTGCTCGTTGTTCGACCTGGCCTTCCAGCCGTCACGACTACTGACATTCCACTCCACAGGTCGTTTTTGAAAACGATGGCGCCCGTCGACGGAAATCTTCCTTTGTCCTTGCCGAAACGCCAGCGACCGAAAAACCTCCCCGTCGACATGTCGACCGAACCTCGTCGCAATGCCTAGTGCATAGTATGGTCGAGAAGACCTTCCTCGGTCTGCAGCCAAAAGTCGAATCCAAACTAGAACAGATTGATGAGAATGAAACTACAAGAGTATCTTCGCGCAACGGACAAGTCGTACCCAGAGACGAGGTCAGAGCGACCCAGTCCCGGTTACTCACCAAGAAGCAGCTGAGCGACATGGCTCTCAGTGTTCGCTCAATGGCAAAGAGGTTGGGCAATCTCAAAGTCAAGCTCAAGATCCGTTCGGTATTCCTTCTCACTAAGGCCCATGACAAGACTTTGATCGGCAAGACAAGAGACGTTGCAAGATGGCTCCTCTCGAAGGATAGGTCTGTTCCATATATTGTCTATGTCGAGGACACCATGAAAGACAACAAAGTTTTCGACGCAAACAGTCTTACCGCCGAAGACCCTTCATACACTGAGAGATTGAAGTACTGGGACAATGATCTGGCCAAGAAACACCCTCACTTGTTCGATTTCGTGGTCACCTTGGGGGGAGATGGGACCGTGTTGTATGCGAGTTGGTTGTTTCAGAGAGTCGTCCCGCCCGTCTTGTCATTTGCTCTCGGCTCCCTAGGGTTCTTGACCAAGTTTGACTTCAACGACTACCAAAACACCCTGACACAGGCATTTAGGGATGGTGTCACCATTAGCCTGAGGCTACGTTTTGAAGGGACAGTTATGCGATCTCACAAGAGAGATGATGATGAAGAGAAAGACTTGGTGGAAGAGTTGATCGGAGAAGAGGCCGATGACCGAAAGACTCACAAGCCGGATCGGAATTTTGAGATTCTTAATGACATCGTAGTCGACCGCGGCCCAAATCCAACCATGTCTACCATTGAACTATTTGGCGACGAAGAGCACTTGACCACTGTTCAAGCAGACGGAATATGTGTGGCCACACCAACTGGCTCCACCGCTTACAACCTCGCAGCTGGTGGCTCGTTATGTCACCCTGAAAATCCTGTCATCTTGGTCACTGCGATCTGTGCTCACACCCTCTCTTTCCGACCGATTATCCTTCCAGACACCATTGTTCTCAGGTTGGGCGTTCCGTACGATGCAAGAGCTAACTCCTGGGCCAGTTTTGACGGACGGGAAAGGTAAGAGACTAAAGCCCACGCAAAAACCTGACAAAGCTAATTGCATTTTTAGAATCGAGCTATTCCCTGGCGACTATGTGACGATTTCTGCGTCCAGATATCCCTTTGCCAATGTAATGCCGCCAGGCCGCCGTAGTGAGGACTGGGTCAACAGTATCTCGAGAACTCTCCAGTGGAACTCGAGACAACGACAGAAGGCTTTCCAGGAATGGGATGAAGGCGCTAAAGACAAAAAGATTGCAAGGAGAGATCAGCAAAAACGAGAACAAGTGGCCAAGGAGGCGAAAGAGACCAAACAGGACTACTTTGGCGCTGAGGCACAAGATGAGGCAGGTGTGTGGCAAGACAATAACAGCGGTAGTTGATCGCTACTTGAGAAAGCCTTGAGAAGCGAGCTGCTTTTTGCTATCTCCCGAATCATGAAAATGAATAGAATATATATGTAAGGAAGAACGAGGCTGAAGAAATGCTTCCACCAAAAGGGGCTCGCTTGACCTTCCCTGGTCTTCTTGTACATGCGACAACCACTGAACTTCCAACGTCTCCCAGACTCGATCGATTACCCACCGATGCAACCATCAACTATTGCCCCAGCGCGCACGACATCTTGAGAAGCAACAATGATAGTCTGCAGGTAACCGACATCATCGACCGTCTACACAATGGCGGCTCTTCCACCCAACCTCCTCTCCGGCTCCTCTCATCCATCCTCCCACACCTCTTCCCCCTCCCGCCATCTCTCCCAATACTCGACTTCAAGCAACCCTCTCGTCAGCGGTACACCCACACTGAACACCTCGTCCTCCACACTGCGCTACCCATCCACGCGCAAAACCATCTACGACCGTAACCTCAACCGCTCCCGCAATGCCGAACTCTCCCGCGCCAGCTTCGCCTACTTGTTTATGGAAATGGTGTCATACGCCCACAAACGAGTCAAGGGCATCCAGGATTTTGAGAAGAGATTAAGCGAACAAGGTTATCCATTAGGTCTCAAACTACTCGACCTCCTCCTATACCGCTCCACTCCAGCCGGCAGCTCGAGTTCCAGCTCTTCCACGAGCACTTCTTCATCCTCATCCTCTTCCAGTAATGCCACCCGGCCACTACGCTTACTCCCGCTCCTCACCCTACTCACCACTAAGCTCTACCCGCTCTTGTTCTCCCGTCCAGCCGATTCTCTCGAACAATCTACCTCCAATCCAGGAGAATATATGATTATCGATAACACTCCCTTAACGAACCATTATATCTCTGTGCCCAAGGAAATGAATCAGTTGAGTGTCGCGGCCTATATCGCCGGTATTATTGAGGGAGTGTGTGATGGCGCGGGCTTTCAGTGCAAGGCTTCCGCTCATAATACGGCGACTGATGTCTGGCCAAATCGAACGGTGTTTTTGATCAAATTCGAGGATCATGTTCTGGAGAGGGAGAAGGAGTTGGAGAGACAGGGTGTGAAGTGATCAACCAGAACTTCCGGAAACCACATATCACACAGATGAGGAAATGCTGCTGTCCCAACGATTGCTGTGGCCAACAGTGCAACCTCTTGCGCCGGCCGTCTTCTTGTCGTCTCAGTTTAATTGAATGGTATTCAAGCGCCACGATCAAGCGACTTATGGCTCCAGACAGCCCAGGTCATTCGTAGGCATGGAACCATCAACGCAGATCGATTTTTGCTCTCGTCAAGAGACTATCATCGCACGGACCCCGATGTTGACAAGCCTGGACACATCATTCAATCCGGTGTCAATGCAAGCACAGAGAGTTAAGACCAGACTCAAAGTCTGAACATTACAACCGCCGCTCAATCGAACCAAGTCGATCCAACACCAGATCAGTCATCCATGCAGCAGAATCGTCACTGGAATAACACACGGCACGAGTCAACGTGGACCAGCATGATCAAGCCTCGATCTCGCTTTACGTTAGAGGATGTCTAGAATTGATCTGCCGATTGAGGTCATGCATGAGCGAGCTCTTCAAGAGTTACAATCATCCATATGAGCTTATCTGTCTGGTGCTCGCTAGACAGTTCCAGAGCCAAGGCTCGAGGAGCAGAAATGGCGTACGATACTTGGTATCTCTTCCTTGTGAAGACTGGATGGGTAGGAGAGCACGCCGACCAAGATATTATAGCTGTTAGTGCAACGGAGACGCATTAGGTGTATCCATCATGTCAAACAGCCTAACATCGAGACAGATAGTACTATACTGTACATTCATACACTAACTCTACACCGAGATATATTTTCATGGAGACACAGGCCGTCGCCGATCTCTGTCTCTATCTTGATCTCGGTCTCGATAATCATCATCAACATGTCGTCGTCGTTTCCTCGACTCTGGCGATTGTGAACGTGAAGGTCGACGTCGACGAGGTGAATGAGATCGCTCGCGAGAGCGAGACCGTGCTCCACCTCGATCCCGATTCTTCCTCCCACCACCCCCACCAATCGAACTTGCATTCGCACCAGTCGGACCAGATGGGTTAGATCTTCCTCCACTTGGACCGCCTCGATCACGGTCAGGTAAGAATCTCTCGTCTAAACCTCTCGTGTCGATATCACCCTGACCACGACCGCCGCCGCCGACGCCGCCTCCTCGATAATCTGAACTCCCTCTCCATTTCTTAACATCATCGCCAAACCTTCCCGTATCTTGACCTTTTAGATCCGTATACCTCGTTCGACCTTTCTTTCCCAACTTGGTCATATCCCTCAATTGCATATACTCCGGCAGGAGAGACTTGTCCGAAACCTGATCTTCGAATTTCGCTCCCATGATATCACGCCGTTTCAAAATCTCCGCTGCCTCGTCGCCTTGGAAAAACGCTCCTTTGTGGTGATATCGAGCCATATACTGTGCTTCTGTCGCCGAGCGGTTGGCTTCTTTTTCTTGTTTTTGGTTATTGATGAACTCGGCGTCTTCACGTTCTCGTTCCTCAGCGGTCAAGTTTCGGCGACGTTCGATTTCTTCGATTTCTTTTTCTCGTGCGATCATGGCTTCGCGGTCGCGTTTGAGACGTTGCAGTTCGCGTAGTTTCCAGGCGGCGTATTCGGCGGCCGGGTCGAGGTTGTCGGTGTCGTCGACTAAGGAGTCGGGGTCGAGATCGTCATCGTCGTCCCATGCTTTTTTGCCGAGGAGGCGGGCCGCAGCGTCCCGTTCGAGTTTGTCCTTGATTAATAGTTCCGCTTGGGCGAGGCGGCGAGCGGAGTCTTGCTGAGACGGGTCGGTGGATATGGATGGGGAGTGTGAATGTGAATGTGAATGCGAGGGAGGCGCGGGTGTGTTTGAGTCGTTGGCTGTAGGTTGATCGGTCTTGTGAGCTGGGGGAGCGAGGCGGTCGGATTTCTTGATGAATGTCGGGCGTTGGAATTTTCGCTGGGGGGCTTCGTCTTCGGAACTAGATGACTCCTCAGATGATTCTTCGCTTTCGTCCTCGGACTCTTCTTCAGACTCGGAGCCTTGGTCTAAATCTTCTGCATCTAAGTCTGGTGGTTTGGACCTCTGTGTCACTGCGGTCGATTTCTGGTTGGGGAGCGTTGGTGTTGATTGCGAAGATTGTTTCATGCGTGACTCTGACCCCGTCGCTACGGCTGGCTGTGTAACATCGTCCTCTGGGTCTGTGACAAATCCTTCCTCGTCGTCGTCGTCATCGTCGTCGTCGTCGTCACTTTCAACTGGCTGTCTTGTCTGGCTTTGTGTAGGTCGAGATGGAGGTTGTCGCGGCGCCAGTCTCTTTTGTGGTTGGCTGACTTGCTCCTGTTCAGACTCTTCCGACTCTTCATCTGAGGATTCCTGCTCTGCTACGGCTTTGCCGGGACGATATCTACCCACTGGTTTCGCGGGGTTCGCGGTCATGCGCTTCGACGGGTTCGGCATGGGAGGCGGCATGTTGATGGTGTTAGGAGGGGCGACTCTTGCAATTTCGGGCTTTGAGGAGATCTATCGCAGGAGATCTATCGAAGGGAGGTTATAATAGGGAGGGTAGAGCCATTGGGGCGGTTGTTGTGCATGAAGCTGTGTTGTGGTCGGGTGGTGGGTTGTATGATGAAAGTATCAGAAGAATCATATGTCGGCACTTCCTCGGTAGAAATCAGAGTCGAATAAATTTCCCAGGCCACTTGGGATCGTGATTTGTATTGCCCATACTATTACTTGTGCAATCTATTCGAGCGCGCTGTGTTGACCAAGATCTATACTAGCTTCTGAATTGATATGAGGACGGTGTTGCTCCCTTATGTCTACCTGAAGGACCAAATCCAGCAGCTCATCATAAAAGGCGTTGAAATTGAGTCTGCGCACGTGACTCGAAGTTTCACGTCTGCCTCTCCGTTCAAGACTATGACAACAGCAACAAATAAACGAGTAAGAGAGCGTCATTTCACTATGGTAGAGACCCGACTGCAATGAGATATCATGCACTATTATCAAAAGCTGAGCATTAATCATTGCAAACTCAAAGCGGGATCAAAGGCTTGGAGCGGTGAACAAGATCAGGCATATCGGCAACAAAAGTTCCCGTATTCCTCCCAACAATTCAGTTCCCCTGTTATCAACATCATGTAATCACCTTCTGCGCAGATGTCTTGAGATCCACCTCTATCAATCACTGTAGTCAAGCCTCTGTTCTTTCCTTGCGTACAACATGGCTACCGAAGTCGCAAATAATGGCGACATCGCCCATGATGTCCATGATCCTGAGAAGACTGCGGCCGAACTCGCTGATGGCATCGATCAGGTCAAACTCGATGACAAGGTTTCCTCTGGCGTCGACGATTCTCCCCCTCCCACCGAAAAGATCCCTCCTGCATCCTCATCATCACCGCCTCCTCCAGTTCTCCCTAAATCATCGGCGGATGGCTTGGTCAAGACACCTCTTGCCGCCCCTCTAGAGACATCTAAGCCCGTGCCCAGACCACCGTTGACATCGGAACAAGAGACCAAGTATGCGACTCTCCTCGACAAAGTATCTGCATGGACAGAGATACCCGAAACATCAGCACGGGGGGCTCCAACTAGCCCCTTGACGGATTCAGAGCGCATGTTTTTGACGCGAGATGCACTTCTACGGTACCTCCGTGCAACCACCTGGGATGTCGCTCAGGCTGAGACGCGACTGAGAAACACACTGATCTGGCGACGTGAATATGGGCTAGAGAAACATACAAAGGACTATATTTCGATTGAGAACGAGACAGGCAAACAGGTTATCCTTGGGTGGGACAACCACGGAAGAACCTGTCAATATCTACGACCCTCAAAACAAAACACTGAACGCAGTGATCGGCAAATTCAGCACCTGGTGTTTATGCTTGAGCGAGCCATTGATCTGATGCCCCCAGGTCAGGAGACTTTGGCCCTTCTCATCAATTTCGCCGAAACCAAATCGGGCCAGGGAGCGACAATTGGACAGGGAAGGCAGACATTGAACATTCTGCAGAATCACTATCCAGAACGACTGGGCCGTGCATTGGTGACCAACGTCCCTTTCTATATTTGGGGCTTCTTCAAGCTCATTACGCCATTCATTGATCCCTTGACTCGAGAGAAGATCAAATTCAACGAGGACATGGGGATTCATGTGCCTCGAGAACAATTATTGAAGGAAAGTGGAGGGCACGTCGAATTCGAGTATGAGCACACGATATATTGGCCTGCATTGAATGAACTGTGCGAATCAAACAGGGCCGCTGCTTATGAGCGATGGGTCAAGGGGGGCAAGAGGATTGGCGAGTTCGAAGGATACCTCAAAGGCGGCGAGGGAGAAGTCAGTCTGAGTGAGACTGAGAAGAATGTGTCAATTGAGGGTTGATGCTGAGATGGGACGATACCACGTCTGATAGATTGTACGCATGGATATGCAGCGTGTAGCATAAGGATATCGAATACAGGATTTCTATTACTGGGACAAAGGATTAAATGAGCCATGTCACGTGTGTGTCACTCGAGAGCCACGTGTTAGGCGTTAGGGGGTTTCCCGTTATCACATGTCAGACAAGGAGGGTCGCACGTGCCGGGGAGACAACCGCAGGAGCCAGCCTGAGGCACTTGGGGGGGTCGAGTTAGAGCCTGCGAAGCCTGGAAACGTGAGACCCAAGCACCCATGGCATGCCCCTCGTCCACTGGAAAGCGGCCCTGGGCGCCTGGCTGTCCCTCCATGACAGGCCAAGATGCGTGACAGGGCAGGCATCCTTATCAATGGCCGCCAGTTCAACGAGTGCTGTGGTTCCTCGAAACTTCCCAACATGTTGAGTCTGACGCTGGCACGGCTGGTCATGGTGCAAACACACGACAAGCACCAGGCAACATTCCCCTGTTGTTATCGTTGACACATTTCATTCGCAAATCTGTCCTAACACATCCTGCACAAGCACAAATCGAGCCCTGGTGACCGCCAACCATTGACAACATCCAGTCACCACACCCTGTATTGCTTGCAGCCCCTAAGTCTTCCTGCAGAGATCTAGTCAGTGTCGTGCATCCGACTTCTCCTGCTAAGGACTCAATTATCTTGTCTCTGTCTTCGTCATCGTTTTCGCTCCAAGATCCAGTTTTTTATCCAGTTTTTTATAGGCCTTGAAGTCCGCCAGGAACAAAGCTCCACCACCCACGCCTCACTAATTGGGTACAGAAGCCTTCCCCGCAAGGTCATCGCCCAGCCCGAATTCAACCCGCAATCCCATTCTTTTTAGGGGCCGAGGGGCTTGTTTCGGGGTGCTAAGTCCCTAAGCCTCACGACCCAGTGACGGCGCTAAATTCCCTCGGGCGATCACTTTCAATTTTGTCCTCAGGGCCTCCCCGTGCTCCCCGAACTGCCACGGATTGCCCACTGTGCCGCCTGCCACGGCCACTGCAACTGCCATTGCCACTTCCGTGACTGCGATCGCACCTGCCTTCCCTCCACTCCAACTACATCATTCCCTCATCCCACCATCAACCTCATTTGCCTCGTCACACAATCCTCCTCAACTGTCGCACGCTCTCTTCGCACAAAGAGGCTCGTCGCCCAGGAAGTCAAAGATTCCCTGGAGCCAGAAGAATGCATCTAGAGTCACCACGATGGCAGATAGCGCAGAGGTGACCCGGCCCCAGACCACCTCATATCCTACTTCTCATCCCACCCACGCTACCACACCTGATCCCACCCTCGATTCAACCCCGCCAAAACAAAATGGCCTCCATTCTCCTCCAACCCATCACCACCCAGCCGCTGGGGCATCCCACTCCCAACATAGTCACGAGGCCAACTTCATCCGTCCTTCAGATTTGTTGCGCCCAAAGAACCTGGCCCGGCACCCTCCCAGACCAGACCGCCCCATCGATAGAGACGAGAGGGCAGGCTTGGTAGGTCCAAATCATGGTCGTTCCTACATTCGCTCATCAATATGCAGAAAGCCATAAGAGATTTCCTTCGTGTGCGCACTTGCTATGATGTTCTTCCACTGAGTTTCAGATTGATCGAACTCGATGTTGGATTGACGGTCAAAGAGAGTTTGAATATTCTTGTCCAGTGTGGTAGGTGCCCTGTGATGTGGCCGATTATACATATATCCATTGCATACTGACTGCAAATAAAGGAATTGTTTCGGCGCCGTTATGGGATTCGAGCACTTCCACCTATGCTGGCCTCCTCACCGTCAACGATTACCTCAATGTGGTTAGGTACTACAATCTTCATGCCGACAAGTTGAAAGATATAGACAGTCTACAGCTCAGTGACCTCAGAGGTCAGTCGCGTGACTCTTTCCTATCTTCATGCACTAACTTGATTATAGTCATCGAAAGAGTTCTTAATGTGAAACCTCCAGAGACGCTGTCTGTGTCTCCAGAATGCATCCTTTACGAGGCACTCCGCAAACAATTGTCCTCTCGCGCCCGAAGAATCCCCTTGATTTCGTATGATAGCGATACACAACGATCGATGATCACCAGTGTTATCACACAATATCGCATTCTCAAGTTCATCTCCATGAACGTCAAGGAAACAGAAATGTTGAGAAAGTCTCTCGATACCATCAAACTCGGCACGTACGGTAATATCGTGCGTTGTAGCATGGATACAACGGTTCTCGATGTGGTTGACGAAATGGTCACCAAGAATATATCAAGTGTCCCGGTTGTTACCACCGAAGGTATTCACTCACCTCACACATGTCAAACGACCTTACACTGACATTTTCAGGCATCTTGTTGAACGTTTTCGAAGCGGTAGATGTGATCAACCTTCTCAAAACTGGCGATTATGGTAATCTCACTTGGACTGTGGGCAAGGCCCTGGCCGAGAGATCACCAAATCATCCTGGAATCTATTGTTGCTCACTAGAGGATGGATTGGATACATTATTTGAAACTATCCGAAAATCTCGAGTGCACAGATTAATGATCGTCGACGAGAACAACTACCTAAAAGGCGTCCTGTCACTGAGTGACATTTTGCACTATCTCCTGGTCGAGGGTCAGGAAGAAGGAAACCATGCGCAATAGAGAGTCATTAAGAGGAAGGCAATTGCATAGCCTGGCGTTTCGGGGTTCGGTGCCATGACAAGAATCAGCTGGGTGGTTATCTGCTGTGCATCTTGCAACTGGTCCTGCCTTGGGAGGCTCTCTAATGCAGTATGTAGCCAAACAGGGAGCAAAGGACGCTCGAGAGCAAGGTTCAATAATAGAAATGTTTTCCGAGTCAAGGCCGCTGTGATTCGCTATTGAACTTAAATGTGATGATGTTTTCAGATTACGAATAAGTCAGCATCCAATCTCCTTCCAACCGTACCTAGCTACCGTGCCAATTCATGACTCGGATTCTGACCAGCCATGGGCGTTGGATAAGTCATACTTGTGAGGTCATGGCGGATTATTCTTCCGAGGGGCTGCACGTTCGGCTGACCTACCATTTCCGGCTCGCGTAATTAGTTCGACGCGCTTCGCGGGTCTCTGGCACTTTACGCGTCTTCCACCAGTCCTGCGATTAAGCAGCCATGGTAATGGTCAACATCGCATTTGTCCCGTCACATTGAACACCAACAAACCAGCCACACTCCTATAACAATGACGGCAATCAAAGAGAACCTCAATTCTGTCTTCGACCCGGCAGGTCGAGGTCTCGAAGCAGACATCCTCGAAGTCCTCCAATCCATCCTGCGCCTACACTCAATTACCCCCGATGAATTGTTCATAAAATGGGAAGTCTACTCTTTGAAAATGGGCGAGGAGACAAAACTCGATCTCTCCACTGCAAGACTCTTCGCCAAAGATGTCCAGGATAATGTCGAACGAGGAGCCCAAGAAAGACATCAAAAACAAAATGGCCGTGTCGGAGGGGGTGGCTCTGAAAGGAGGACCACTGCCCATGCTACACCACGTTCTATGGGAGCGGGTGATGTCTTTGGCATGTATGTACAGAAGGGTCCCGAAAAGATTCTAGAACGATAATTGACAACACAATAGGCTTGACGAACTCACCCCTAACACCCTTTCTCGACGAAATGGAAGTGTCAAGAGAAAAGCCGATTTCGAGTCACCCATGCCCAGGAAGATTAATCGTCCAGATACCGGGAAGACCCCGAGCAAAGTCATTAATGGTGACGGTCCAACGTATGTGCTCGGCTTGTTGGAATTCCTGACTCATTACTGACTTTCACATAACAGAGGTGTTCCCTTCTCGGAACGACCGAACGCGGGACAGATCATTGAAACACTCAACGACCATCTCACAGCAGCGGACGCTCCAATCGCTCCATTCTCAGAAGCTCGCATTCGTCTGATGGCCAACACAGATTGGAAGAAATTTGCCTACAAACCAATGTCGATGAGACTTTCCGACTCCTCAGAAGTCTTGGATGAGCGGATCGAGGAATTCATGGCCTTGGTCCAACAACATCACAGGTTAGACGACACGACATTCGGTAATGCTGCGGCTCAAAGCACGAGCGAGATCATCGCTGTTGGAAGAATAGCCTCAGACACTTCCGAGGGAAAGTTGAATGCTGCTTCATTGGTGTTGGAGATGTCGAGAAAATGGGGTGCTGGTTTGAGAGTCCCTCTCAAGGTGGATGAACTCGCGTCATATCAGTTCTTCCCGGGCCAGATTGTCGCAATGAAAGGCACAAATGCATCAGGCCTGTATTTCACAGTCAAGGAAGTTTTGTCTGTCCCTCGACTGGCCATGCCATCATCCACCGTTCAGACCATCGATACTATCAACGACAAACTTGAAGTGTCGGACTCCTCATCCTCCCTACCTCTCAACATCATGATCGCCTCAGGTCCGTATACTGCCGAAGACAACCTCGATTTCGAACCGTTTCAGACCATTTGCGACAAGGCTGCCGAAACCATGGCAGATGCACTGATTCTTAGTGGCCCATTCATTGACATTGAACACCCTATGATCGCATCTGGCGATTTTGAGCCACCCACGATCAAAGGCTCGAATCAAGACATCGAGGCCACCATGACCGCACTGTTCAAACTTTGGATCTCCGCGCCTTTACAGCGCCTCTGTTCTGCCGTCCCCTCAATTACGATCGTCCTTGTCCCGTCGGTGCGCGACGCCATTAGCAAACACGTCAGCTGGCCACAAGAACGACTCGTGCGAGGACCGCTTTCCCTCCCCAAACAAGTCAGCATGCTTCCTAACCCAAGCTTTGTATCCCTCAATGAGCTGGTCATTGGCATTTCATCACAAGACATCCTCTACGAACTGAGCCGTGAGCAGTTGTCACACGGTGCAACGACCGACCTGTTGACGCGGTTGCCGGGATATCTTATCGATCAGAGACACTTCTTCCCTCTATACCCACCCATGGCCCGTGACAAGCTGACCAGCAATGGTATCGTCAAGGCCACGGGTGCCTGTCTGGATCTCGGATATCTCAAGCTGGGGTCTTGGTTGAACGTACGGCCAGATATTTTGGTGTTGCCTAGTATGTTGACACCCAGTGTCAAGGTATGTTTGCCCTTCTTTCTTTCATGCCATTCCTTCGGACATGTATTAACATATCTTTTAGGTTGTTGATTCCGTTATGGTCATCAATCCTGGTCAACTGTCCAAAAGAAAAGCTGCCGGCACGTATTCGCAGATTTCGTTGCATCCGCGCATCATCAAGGACGAAGAGAAGTCGGCTGCTTCAGTAACGCATAATGCCTTTGACAGGGCAAGAGTAGATGTCGTCAGAGTTTGATGCTTAAAAGGCCATGAATGTTGAGTTGAGGACGTTGAATGACCATTGTACCTGGCAAATTGGACGTGAGGATGGTTTCTGTAGGATGTCCTCGGACTGAGCTCCGTAATGCTTCGATTTGCATAGCCTGGTATGATCCATGTCTGACGATTGAGGGGGAATAATCCCTTGGCTCTGCCTTGTAAAGCTGTCGTCGACGATGTATGAGCCTACCATGTAAACGAGGACGGTGACTGGTGTGCATGGCGCAATCTCGATTCGACAGGTTACCGCATATCCCGTTTTCCACAAGTGGCGATAGAGATGAGCGAAACAAGTCATCGTAACAACAACAAACCAGTCCTACTCCCTTCTCTCCTAACACCAGAACTTGACGGTCCTCCTATAGCCCTACCCATCCCCGCTCCAAACACTCTTCCATTACCCATAGCTCTTCCACCTGCAGCTCCAGTTCCACCTCCGCCATTTTCATTTCCCGCAGGACCATCAACCAAAGCCTCAATACCCAGATCTCTCCACGCCGGCTCCCTCACGACACCAGCATCACTTGCCTCGCCAGGACCTCCAGTACCCACATGACCTCCTCCACTACCACTACCCGCTCCAGCGCCGCTACCTTGATTCAGAGCACGATTGATTCCAAACGCCGCATGCATATCCGGCACCACATCGTCCTCATCTTCAGGGTTTAGTGGTTGAAGATGGGGCGGGAGGTTGATCTCCTCAAAGGGCAGGTAGTGGCCAGGGATCGTCGTGGTAGCACCCGCGGCTGGGTTGGTGCTGAGATTGGCATTGCCATGGTCCTGTGGGTTGTGTGCGCCTGCAGTCGTGCCGGTTGTGGCGCCGCCAGCGTTTGTGGTTGTGGAGGATGGTGGGCGGCAGAATTCTTCGAATAGATCTGCGTGTCGTGATGCTTGGAAGTGGATGTAGTTGGCGGATGAGTCGCGGGACATTGTGAGAAGAGAGAGAGAGAAGGAGTAGGTTGATGTGATGGTCGGAGAGTTCACCAAACCACGTGTGTTCTCGTGGATTGATGATGCTGGAGTCGCGGTGATCGTTGATCGTGGAGCCACCCCTCCAAAGTTGGTCCGTGTATATGGTCCAGGGAATCACAAAAGGGTCAATCAATGACAGTGACTATGTACCATCCGTGTTAAATGGGCCCATGGCAAGGTTGTGGTGAGATGGATGGTGTGTAAACAAAGAATTACATCGTAGAGACAGACGTGGACGAAGGGGATTGTTTGTGATATCCAAATATTCAGCCTCGCTCAGCCTTGCCTGTTTGATTTTCCCCTCTGACGTAAACAAACTCATCAAACTGAACCGCGTTCCAGATAAATGTGCCACATGCACTCTCACGGTGCATTCTATCTACTCAGATAACCTATTGCAGCTGGGGCTCTTGTGCCCTCTTTCCATACCCTCGTTTGGGTTTTACGATCCTTGGGCTTCCACACCTTAGCCCATGTATCGTAACCCGCAGCCATGTCACCATCTGCGCTCGAGTGGCTAATTCAGCACGAGCCGTCATTTCGCAAGTAAGTTATGCCTCACTCTCAAATTGCCCGTCTAACACTTCGTGATCCAGAACACGCCTCCCTTCACTCTACTCTGATCTCGGCGTTCAGAAAAATTCCAACCCGGAAGGATTCTCCGCCAATGTCACAGCATGGACATCTGCCTTGACTCGTCTGGCCCTGGCTGGCCAACTTCCCCCAGAACAATCTCACTTTGTTATCCAGACCTCCGACGACCTCCTTTCCGCCCTCTCTAGTCCGATATATGGCCAACCTAGCGGATTAGGCTATGTCATCGACGAGGCGGTTCGACATGGCAAGATGATTGAACAGAAGGACTTTATGGCGAGTGAGAAAAGTATTTACCATCGATCATGGATTCCTAGCCCTTGGGCCATTATGAAATGGGGGTTAAGACAGGCTGGAATTGTCGGGTCTGGTAGTTATGAGGCCTCGTCGGGCAGATTACGATCTGGTGACCTCGTTGTCGTACCGGCCTTGGAGGAATTGGCTAGACATGTTTCGGCCATGATCAAAGAGCGAGGCTTGCACAGCCTTACCGATCGAATAACCAGTCGAGAATCCTTTGTTAGGGATCTCAACTCTACCCTTGAAAAGAACACACCTATCCGATTATCAGAACAAGACCTAAAACTCGTCCTACGATATCTGTCCCGCGACAAGAATCTCCTCACTTACGACTCCCATACCATCAAATTCCACCTTCCGACCACATCAAGTCCTGACCCCATCACTCATGAAGACAGATCTATAGCGACATTGAAAGATCTTATTACCAGCCTGACAAATCAAACCACTTCTCTCGACTCTCGCATCGCCACTCTCCAATCAACAGCCCAAAACGCCGTGAAACAAGGCAATAAAACCTCGGCATTATCAGCGCTCCGCTCTAAGAAATTAGCCGAGTCAACCCTTGAAGGCCGTCTATCAACCCTCCATCAACTCGAGCAAGTCTACACCCGGATCGAAGATGCAGTCGATCAAGTACAGATCATCTCGGTGATGGAATCGTCAGCCGGGGTATTGAAATCTCTGAACAAAAAGATTGGCGGGGTCGAGAGGGTCGACGACGTCCTCGAAAGTCTCAGAACAGAGATGGAAAAGGTCGACGAGGTATCTGGCGTGATTTCCGAACCCCTGGATGGTGGCAAGGCTGCAATCGGCGAAGAGGAAGTCGACGAGGAATTCGAAGAGATGGAAAGAGAAGAAAAGGCCAAGCGCGAAGAAATTGCCGCCGAAGCGACAAGGAAGCGATTGGCGGAGTTGGAAGATTTGGAGAGAGAACGGAAGAAGCAACAGCAGCAGCAGCAAAAACAACCACCAGAAAAATACCAGGTCGACGCACAAGATCATACTCAAACTCAAAGTCAAATCGAAGATGCAGCCCTCGAAGAGGAATTGTCAAGAAGCGCCGACAAATTAAAAACGCTTGACCTGAACATGGATCTGGATTCGAAGATGAGGTCTCGTTCGGTAGAGGGGATGGAGCAGGGTCAGGAGAATGACCCAAGACAGACTTCTGGGGAACGGATCCCTGAAACGGCGTCTTGAGATGATTTCATTTACTCCGTATGAGGAAATTATGTTATGTTGCGACAGCCATCCAACGAGATTCGGTTGATGACATGACACAAACATCTATACACAAGTCACAACACATGGGTCGGTTAACCTCGACTGATGAAGGTCCCATCCAGCTCCCTCTTTATTTATTACTCGGGATATCATGACACGAGGGAGGACTCTCGCAGGCCCAGGGGTGGTCGTTATTTCATCCATCTAACCAACCCACCACACCCGTCTCCTAGAACTAGCTACCTAGCTACCTAGCTACCTATCTAGGTGACAGACCCATCTATCGTGCGACTATTAGCGATCAACACGAAATGAAACGGGAAAGGGGAAGGCGGAAGGAGAAGGGCAGGGGAAAAGGAGGGAGAGCGGGTTTCTCTTTCCGCCTTTCATCACATCACAACCAGTGAGTATTGCACGGTATCATGCAGGCGGGATCAATCAAAGATAGAGACACAGCACGATGTAAACCATTTGTTCGGTTCGGTTCGGTTCGATTCATAATGTCATATGTACCTAGGTATTTATCCAACGACAGACCACCAGATTCCATTCTCATTCCACCAAGTTTCTCAACCCACTACAAATGGATGGGTGAGTCTCCAGCTCGTCTTTGTCTGTATGTATGTATATCATGCTAAACCAGTTGACATCGACCCAAAGAGCAAAGGCGGGATGCAAGATATACCAGAAGAAAGCGACGTGACGTGACGTTGATGGGGCTTGATGTACTGCCATTAAGCACTATGCGAAACCTAGGTTATATTTAATTGATTGATCTCGTGATATCCGTCATGTCAGGTCATGTTGGTGGGTGTAGTTGTTGTGAGTGGGGGGTTGAGGAGGAAAGGTTGATGATGATGATGATGGCGGTACTTGGTTTGAGACGGTGGGTTTACTAGGTGAGGTGGTCAGGTCGATTGACTGGTGTGTGGGAAGGGGTTGGTGAGGTTGATGTGGTTGATGAGGTGGGATGGATATGTGTGATGACTGTGGTAACGTGGCTGGGTTGGATGGGGGTAGCTGTGTTGGTTCTGCATGAAAGGCGGAAGAAGATTGCAAGGGGTCGCTGGATTCCGGTGCCGGTTTAGAAGGACGTGAGTCCTCGAATTCAGCATTGTTCTGAACCTGTGCGGTTTGAAGTTTCTCCTGATCCTGATCCTGGTCATTCATATCCCTTTTCTCATCACCTACATCATCATCATCGCCGTCCCCTGCAGAGTTTGATGCTGCTGCTGTTGTCGTTGTTTGGGCGCTTTTGGTCATCTTCGCCCTCGCCTGCCGAATCAACTCGTCAAAATTATCCTTTTGAGTCTTGACATGTCGGTCTCGATCAAAATCTTTACTCATAAACCCGCTGGGCGGAGCTCTTTCAATCTGTCGTCCAAGAGTATCTTCCCACACGCGAAGATCCTGTAGTAATTGCCTTTTTGATAGGGGATTGCTACTGTCGCAATTGGCGTTCCATAAATTCACCCATTCGGTGTGTCTTCTGCGCATTAGGTCTTTTGAACCGTGCGCGGGTATTCCAAGGTCCTTGAGTTTTTTGCGTAATGCGTTGTCGGTGAGTAATGTGTAGTTGATGAAGGGGAGTCGGGCTTGGTGGATGACGGGTTTGGAGGAGGAGAAGGCGGTTGAAGCTGCTGGTTTGGTGATAGGGTGATTGGCTGATGTTGGTGGTGGTGGAGGGGATGTTGTTTCATCAATGGGGCTGTGACTCTCGCCGGCTATGCATTTGTCTAGGTGGGAGTTGATCTGGGTCTCCTTCATGCGTCTGCCGCAACATGGGCATGCGACTTTGCCATCGTTTGGTTGTCGCGAGGAGGGGAGAGATGATGAGGTTGAGGGCATAGTAGATCGTAGGTTTTGTGTTTGTGGCTCTTCGTATAGACTTCCTTCATCTTCACTGTCCATAACCTCGTCCGTCGAGCGAGCACTCTGTTGACTCGCCGAAATGGCTGCTTTGCTCTGACTTCGAGTACTTCGTCTTTCGACTCCATTCCCGTTTCCATTGACCACCATCTTGGTGTCTGCTATTCTCCGTCTCTTGGATGGTCTTTCTGAATCAACCACATTTGCGGCCTCTTGCCTCGCCTGTCCCACCTGATGCGCGAGTTGAAGTAGTCCCGATCTCTCCTTTGCGAAGTTGGTCACCAATTCCTCAACCACCCAATTCCTCCGGAGTTTGATCTCCTGGTCCAGCTCTCGACACGCAGGACATTTTCCTTCCTGTGACAGATGTCTCCGGATACACAGACTGCAGAAGGTATGGGAGCAGCTGGTGATCATCGGCGTAGTAAAAAAGTCCTTGCATACTTGACAGCGCAAAGACGACTCGAGTTGCGCAAGTGGCGCGAGAGGGGTCGGGAGCCAATCTGAACTGTCGGTGACTTCATGATGATCTGGCATGTCGTGAGAGATGTGAGATCATGGATGGAGGGATAGAGGGAGGGAGGGAATGGCGAGCAGGAAAGGGTCCGTGGAGCAGTGCATGTGCTCACAAGAGCAGTACTATTGCGACTCTTGGGCTTGGATGGAGATATCCAAGGCTTCATCTGGAAAAGTCGCGTCGACAGTCGCGCCAAGAAGAGGCGAGCTGGGTTGGGTAATTAAAGTAGTGGATGGCGCCGCTTTACTAACGGTCTAGCACTACGGGCAGTGAGGCATAGCAGCGTGACTAGATTCTAGATTAATCTGTTCTGTTAGGGGGCCAGCCTTGCCCGAGAAAAAGTCAACCTCCCCTCGCAAAAATTGAGACTCTTTTATCCAGAGAAGACTTCACAACGTCACCGAGATTCAGTTTCTGATCAGACAAGGTTGAGCTCGTTCGATTAATCATTCAGCTTGGCTGTTTATACACAAGTCTCGGTAATATAGATGCCCAATCTTCATCTATGTCTTTGTTCGTTTCCATCACTCAAAATCATCATTGTCTCTAGACAAGGGGTCTGGTCGAGCCAACCGGACAGGACTCAGTGGTGTCATTTCGGGACCTGACGCACCTTTCCCATCTCCTCCCCCTCCTCCAATCAAGCTTGTTCGACGAGGTCTGCCATCAAGTTTCTCCACCGTCACCATCTGTTCCACGATCTCGTCTTCAGATTCGGCGTCGACCTGATCTTGAGGACCCCCAACGTAGGGACCGCGAGCACTGCTCATCGTCCGCCGTCTAGCCTGACCCATTTTCATCCGAACTGCCAATTGTAACTGCGCCAGATATTCTCCCAATTCTCCATACTGTTGGACTGAATCGCCAAACTTGGTCTCATTGTACAGATCTTTTGCTTCCTCTAGTCTTTCTGATGCAAATTCTGCCCGGCCTAGTTTCATCCATTCATCGGCTGTCATGATGCTCCAGAGTGCGGCTTTCCTTTTGCGCGTTCCCCAGCTAGTACTTCCCAATCCGATTTGGTCGGCAAAACAGGATGCGACGCGTTCGCTGATAAGTGCATGTCCCACGCTGCCTACGAGGCCAAGTTCTAGACCTCGAATCGCCCATTTGGCCGCCAGATCTGTTGCGGTTCGACTTCGAACCTTGAGTAGTTCCACGCCCAACAGGATAGTCCGCAGGGCCAGTGCCGGCTCTGAACATCGTGTCGAGTAGGAGTATGTGGCGGTATCTAGCATAGTATCAAAGTTTTCGATTTTGAACTTGGAGCTCGATGACCCTATCAAAGGATTGAGCAGAGTGGCAACGCAACACATTTCATTGGCTCCGGCGAGATGCTTCCACGCTTTGTCGTTGGCGTAATCGGTCCGCAGGAGCTCATATGTTGACGCAGCCAGTTTGTAATCACGGAGCATAAAGGAAAAGTCTCCTAGTTTTCGAAGAAGGCTTTCTGAAGTGTCGTAGCGATATGATCCTTGTAAGCTGTCGTAGTTACCACTGGCTCCTGATGTTGTCAGATTGGTGGCTGACGAGGCATTCCTCGCCGAGCTGCCTATACCTGTCCACCGTTTGGACAATGATATAAATCGACCAGAGATTCCACGTCTTCGAGAGGCAATCTGATCATTCCAGGTCAAGATCTTGTTTTCCATATATGGCACAATAGACTGTGCTACAATTTCACGAACAAAGGCACGAATGGCCACCGCATCCGAGGCAAAAATGAACGGCGAGGTGGGCAAATCCAGGTCTATGAGGTCGGCTGTGTCGTTTAAAACGCCAAGTTGCTCTGAAGGCGACAGCCACTCGCAAGTGGGCACTTCCTCAACGTCATCATCCGATTGCGTGCAGAAGGTGGACCTTAGTCGCAGGAGGTGACAATGCAAGCCAAAATGTCGCTTCATTTGATCAAACAGTGCGGAGGACTTTGAGAAATCATCTTCGTCTTCATCGTGAACAAGAACATAGTAGCGGAGGTATTCGGGATTGGCCCATGACGGTAATGCCTTGGATCCCTGGGCGGTTTGTTGATACAAGTTTCGAATAGTTTCGACTGGCTGGGGGGTGGATGAACTTATGGCGATAACTGAGCCAACCGGATGGCGAAAAGATTCATGTGGACTCATGGACTCAGTACTTAGGAGACGATTGAGGAAGAGTTTGTAAAAGGGAGAGATTTCCCCACGCCCGGGAACCTCGTCAGTTTCATCGAAACCTTGACCGATAAAGTACTCCATAAGTTCCTCCAATTTCTCCAGTTGGTCTGTTGCACCAGGTTTTGCAACGCCATCTCCAGCCAGGTCCCCAAGATTGGCAAAGTGGATGGCAAAATCTTCCCATGCCCGGCTTGAACCGGTGCTGTCGCGAACGACAACCTTGCCTGTGACCTTGTTTCCGTATGGCCGTATCAGGTCCGTGAAGCCTCTCTTCAGTCCCTTCTTCACAGCCAACTCATCCACCTCCTTGGAGGCATAAATTCCGATGGTAGGAGAGAAGGCGCGGACGATCAGGGACCTCGAATCGTCAGAGCCATCGGTCGCATTCGCAAGTGGACTATTGACGGAAGATCTTCCAAACTTTGCGATTGAGGATGACAGCCTGCCATTGAGAGAACTGGATCTTGATAGTGTGCCGGAAAGAGTGCTGGTGCGGGAGCCCAAGGTTGGAGGAGTTATGGTGCGGATAGGGAGACTGGAGGTGGATGTCTCAGGCGATTGGTCGGATGTGGAGGGTCTGGTCTTGCGAACATCCAGGATTGGAACGGAGGATAGGTTATGGGTGGTCTGGGGAGAATCTCCATCTTTCGGCGAGGTCATGGAAAGCGTTGATTGCGAAAGGATGTTGGAATGCTAAGCGTCGTGTCGTTTGTCGTCTGTCGTCGCATTGGACGGGGTGATGCTGGGAGTGCTTCGGGGTCGGCACGGCTCATGTTATCGAGGGATATATGATTTGGGACTGTACATGCTTTGGAGGCGGCGTTGGTAAGGAGTCGACATGCAATTACCGACAACAAACTGGTGACGAGGGCGCTGTAGAGAAATGATTGAACTCGGTGACGACGTGAGTGGAGTTCTGGATCCGCCGTACTGGATCTTGGCACAGTCAGAAGGAGTTTCTACGGTAAATCATAACATGATACGCGCACATATCAGATCGACGCACGTGCCACAAATTCCCCCTGACTATAGTCACGTGGCAAACGCCCCTTTTTCCCCACCTCCACCAACCAACAACCCATCAACCCACCAACCCGCCCTACCCACTCTCACGTCTTCTCTACTAGTCCACCTCTTGAGATTGCACCAGCCCCAAGGACGGAATGTCCATTGTCACCGCCTATGACTAACGGGCTGGACGAGGTTTGTTGGATCCGAAACGCATCCCAATCCAAACCCAAATCGCGTCACATTCCGCGATCGAGGAGTTTCCATGAAACAACTGTTTTCACGTACGGCGTACTCTACCACCAAGGCGCCCAGCCATGAGGCCGAGGGGTGCAATCCAGACCAAAAGATGTCACGGCATAACAGAGCCTATCCCCATACTTGTCAAATCCATCAACTACAACGACAGCACCACTTGACTCTTACCTCCTTAGTGCCTTCGCATTAAGACCTAAAATAGGTCCAAGATAGGTCAGTCATGTCAAACTGACACAGGCGACATATTCTCGACGGAATGTGGCTTGAGCGCCCTCCCCTGTCATTTCGCGCCTCATATGCCCGAAAGTACCCATTCACCCTTCATCTTTCTCCACGCCTCTTATGCTCCAATCGCGTAGTGTTCACCACTTGTATACTGTTTGATTCACCTTTCCCCCCCTTCCCAGTGTTTGGAAAACTCTTCAATGTTGGATAGTACAGTTATTTGATTCCCATTCTTTGAGCGCGACCAGACCTGGTTTTCTTCCTTATCTATGGCGACAACATCTCCAAAGTGGAGAATTGCTTTATTGTCAGCTGCTGCCTTCTCCACACTGGTTCTGCTTCTTGCAGCCTCCGCAAACCGTTTCACGTTATCTGAATGGGCCTACTCTTCTAATATTGACCTGACCGGTCAATTCAAGTATCAAGAACCCGTCATCGCTGGAGCACCGGTTCAGGCCACAGGTTCTGATGACCCAGTTCACAACCATGACTCAACTCCCGGCGGTGTATCCATACCCTCTGGCACCGAGGCAGGTCGGCCAGCAAAACCCCATCAAAGAATCGTCGCCATGGTCTTTGCAGGTCGAAAAGAATACGTCTCGATCCTTGACTGCTACTTACAACGCAACCTGGTTCGAAACGGCGGATGGCTAGATGAAGTCATGTGGGTGATGCGGACCAACAAGACCAGCGACATAGTCTATATCGACGAATTAACCGATCAAGTCCCCGAGTACTCGCAGCACCATGTCTTTGACGAGGAACAGGATGAGATAAAGCCGCCACGAAAGGCGTACAAGCTCTGTCACCCCAACACTCTATACATTAAAATCGACGACGACATTCTTTTCATGGAAGACCATGCCATTTCCACCATCATCCAACGCAAGATCGACAACCCCAATAACCTGATCGTCAGCGCCAATGTCATCAACCAACCCACTTTCTCCTGGGTCACTCAGGTCCATCTCAACAATGCCAAACCATATCTACCAGAATTCGGCAAACCAGACGACTTTGTCGATGATGACCGTCGGCATATGGTCGACTGGCGGGCTTCACGCTTACCTCGCTGGAAGGAGTCGGAAGATAAGGACAAGTTCGATATCAGCAGTGCCCCTCCTTTCCGAGGCCATCGCTGGCTACCTCTACCAGAAGGTGGTACCCTCGACCAAACCCCAATTGGAGGTCTCGTGGAAAACAGCACCTCACACCCCTTCAAAGGCACCTCCAACCTCTTACCATGGACCGTAGCAGCTCAACGTGAGTACTCTTCCCACTCCATCCCTCCATTTCCCACCTATCTATCAACCAATCACCCAACTAACCACCCACCCTGTCGTCTCCAACAGAACACTACTCCTTCCTCTCCCATCTCGAAGACGACCAACTATCCCTCTATAAATTCGATCAGTGGACCTATGAGAATCAAAGCCGCAACACCAATTTCTTCGCCTTTTCTGGCGACGACGTCGTGGCTCATCACGTTCACGGAGACGATGATGTTTGGTGGACGGTTAGACTCCCCGCCAAGTTAGGTCGACCTGCGGTTCTGGACGGAAGTGCTGTGGCCGTTCATTTTGGAACCGTGGAACAGACTTCCGAAATCCAGGATCGGCCTGGTCGTGGGTTGAGGGATACGGATCTCTTGAGAAGGTATCGAAGTTACGCGACGGAGTTCATTTGTGGGAAGCCGTGGGGGTCGCCTATGCGTTGAAACGAGACGGAAGTCGGGGAGAGATCTCACGATCTCAATCTCTCTCGTGTCAACGCCAGTGGATACACTGCCGTAACCACACACATCAAGCGAGAGGCTCGAGTTGCTCCGTTGAAGTACGAGGATGGTTCATTCATCCCAAGCCCTTCACGAGATATGAAAGAAAGGGTTATGGAACTCTCCACTCAGATACTCGACACAGACCTTCTGACGAGCACATACCCACAACTTACGACTGCGATACAGTCTCTAGACCAGCGAAGAGAAGGAGGTCTTGAGAACTTATCGATATCATTGAGTCGCGGACATCGGTCTGTTTCAGTGCGTTTCACGACCCAGCACAAAAGTCATCAACCATCGACTTATTGCAACAACACTCATTCATTTACATTCACAAATTCTCCAGCTCGTACACGGGTCCAAGTGTTACTCACCACTTGTTCCCCGAAGCGTCCATCTATTTGTAACGCCAAACAACCAACCCTCACATGGCGCATCTTTAGGCCTACACCAGCTGAACCCACATGACTAAGTATCGAGCGATGCCACAATACTCTTGCCTCCATCTGCTGTAACCTTTGGGCGGATCTTGACCTTGATGAAAGCATCTTCAAGAGGGCTGAATTCATCCCAGTCAATCTGGCTCCGACTCGACCCATTACTCTCTTCCCCAATTCGACTCTGACAGTCAGCCCAACTTTCATTCTCCGCCTCAGTTCCATTCCTGGTGGACTTGCCATTCACACTGGCGCTCTCTTCGTCAATCTTGTCACCTGTACCAAAACCCAAACATGCTTTGGGACAAAAGACCAAAGCTTCGCCTCTCTTCAACTTGACAATCATTTTGAGCACTTTATTTCTTGCTTCGTCCGAATCTCTGCCCAGCAAACCGAGTGCAGCGATATGATTCACCAGAATTGAATACCAAGCTGGAGATCCAAATTGGTGGACAAAGGAAACATTACAAAGGTCAAGCAATTTTGGCGATATCGTTGGCTCTTGGGTGGCAACCACCACACGAGTGCCTAGGTGGCGTTGTTGACGAATGACCTGCACAAGATCTTCGGAAAATGCTTTGGCTTGAGGGACTTCGGTCAGAAACTACATGTATTGAGGTTAGCAACGTGGTCCATGCTAAAAGGATCTTCTGGACGAGGCGCATACCTTGTGTGCTTCGTCGAGAGCTACAATCATTCCGTGCTCAGATCTCTTGTTAAGGAAAATAGACAAGAAGATGGAGAAAAGCGCGCATGCGTCTCCTTCTGTGACAAAAGGACAGCTGAGATCCACAATCAGAACTGTGCCCGGGCTGAAGTCGATCGTATCCTTTCGCATCATCGACTTCGGAGCTGTTTCTCGCAGGAAGGATTCGATCAAGGTGTAACGCAGTTCTAAAGACCCCATTTGACCAGGCGTCAACCCTGCTGCATACATCTTCGCTTTCAATCTCATGTAGTCAATGCCTGCTGTGGTGCCAGATTTGATCGCCATGTCCTTGAGAATCGTGTTCAGAATTGACATGTACAACGGAGGGTTAGCATCAGAACTGTCAAATGCCATGAGCGTTTTCATATGAGCCACATTCAACTGTTTCTCGCTGAACAGCAACGGAATGACTTCTGGTTTCGGTGCCTCTCTCGAATAACCTGGCAAATTGCTATACAATCGTTTCATGTCCTGGTAATTCGAGGGAGATACGAGAACCTGGACTTTAATGTCACTGGAGCTCAGGTATACTGCTTCGCAGACTTGCGTGGCATGGGCCGAGGTGAACTTGTCGTAATGAAAAACCACTCCAGCCATGGGGCACGGATTCCTTCCCATCGGACCGCCTCCGATAAGGGCATTCTCCAAAATGCAGGACATGGTGTAGCTTTTGCCCGCGCCCTGCTGGCCGCAAATGAAAGCCGACCATGGTTCTTGCATATTTGCATAGATCAGACTGTCGCGTGAGACAGCCATCTCCTTGAGGTGGCCATGCTGAACGATGGCGGAACAATATCCAAGAAGGCCATACGCAGGAAATACTGGGTTGGCGCGGTCGTCGGCTTCGTCGACTTTTGCTTTGACCTTACCAGAGAATAGCGGAGTCGATTTGAGTTCGGCTGTTGGCTGTGACGATTCGCAATCTGAGTCGCAATCTGGGTCTCCAAACAATGAGAGAAATTCGGCATGGGCGTGCAACTGACTTTCGGCCATCCTGGTCAAGACTTGATAGTAGTTAGAGGAGGTATGGGCAGAAGTTGCATTGAAGGTGGGAAATCCAAAGAGTTTCCTACATACCAGGTAATGCTGTAGGCTCTTCTGAGTATAAAGCTCATCACAAGTTGACTGAATTGAGGGCGTCAATTTGCGAGCAAAGCAATCAGACAAAGTGACATCCTTTGTTGAAACGCGCCCTAGTCTGGTTAGGCAGTCGTGAATGAGATCTAAAATATTGTCGCTCCGCTATTGCACAGTATCAGGTCGTTTTGTACCATACCTGAGAAAGCAGCACGTCTTTATGTGAATTTGTGTTTGTTGCACTAACAAGGAGTTTGACATTTGTTAGGGGTCCCAGACACTCGTAAATGCAGCTTGATAAGCAACCAGAGAATTGGCAGTTTCGTGCTCATGAGGTTGTCCACGGAGTTTGATACGGAAATAGTAATGCACGTCGCCATTTTGCTTGGATGGCTCGAGGCTGACCGCCATATCAGCTACTGCTTGAATCACGTATGGTTTGGACATATATCCATACGGTGAAACCTTCAGGCAGTACACACGAGCTCTCGATACTATGCTTCAAGCGGTCTCAGGCCTATAAATTCATGTTGGCAGAAGACCAGGTTTCTGCCGGCTGCATGAAATCCAGATTCCATGGCCAATCATCGAAGAAGTGGTCTGTCAACTGAGAGGGTATGGTCCTTGTTGCGTCTGGTTGGCGTGAGTCCTGACGATCTCGTTGACTAGAAGGGCTGATAGCCGAACCAGCATCATCGGAAATGACATGAAGTTGGCTCCAGAATTCATCGATTTGGGAAACCAGGGTCCGCAGTCGATGAGCGCTCACTGCTGAATGAATTCCATGATCGAGATTTTCGAGGAGCTGTGCCAGAGACAGGAGAACCACGCGCACTTGTTCATAGGCAATATCGCTGATTGGCTCCTCAAAGACGCTACCCAGTAATGCCCCAATTCCAGCAAGATGGTGAAGAAGTGGAGAGCTAATTGCTCGTAGGTAGGCAGTTGGAATACGTGTGAAGGCATCAACGACCTCACTCGCAATCTTACAACGTTCTTCTATTGTTCCTCCCCCAGAGGCAAACAACATCATTCGAAGCAGTTGAACTGTAGCTGTGATATTGGCTGCTTGAAAACCGTATCGGTCACTGCAAGATGTCAAAGAGGGAACTGGAATATTGAAGGGAAGCTCTACCTTGCAGGGTCACATGTGATCTCTGGACATTCTTTAAAGCAATGCGGGAGATCGCCGTAAAGAGTCATGATAGAGTCGCGAACAGATGACGCGGAGACAGCGTTCCGGCCACCGAACATATCACTGAGGAAGGTTCTCTTGTGTTGTCTGCGATCTCTGAAATTGGCAATGACATGCTCGAGCACTCGATAGAGATCAGTGGTGAAATTCCAACCACATAGCCAGCTACTGCTTCTCACATTACCCCATCTGCCGCCCGGACTTGGTCCGATCTCGACCGGAGATAGGGTTTGTTGGTTATAGCCCAAGTCACTGAAGAGCTCGTCGTCCAACTCGGTTGTGTATGCGACATTGACTTGCTGCTCCCGACAACGAGTAACGCCGTTCCAAATGATGGAAGAATATACTTCAAGTGTGTACATGGACCAGAACTGATAATACGTCAGTCCAGGCTCATTAGCAAGAGACGAGGGAAGGGTCTCTGACCAGTCTGCGTCGTTCTTCTGTCTCCACAATACCGATGTCCTTGGGCCAATTTGACTCATCATGCAAGCCATCCATGGCTACCAAAGTGTGGTATTTGCCGAGATATAATTGCATTTCCCGGATTTTGCCATACTGGATGGCAGAGAGGGCAAGAAGAGCAAAACACCGCAGCATTTCGAGACTCTGGCATTGGTTCGGGTCCTGGAAATCGGCGGAGGCATTAATGGCAGCGAGGTAGAAGGTCTCGGACTGTATCTCGGCGAGTTCCTGTACATCGTGGCTAGGATTGAAGACTGCCTGGTCTCGAACTCGAGCTGAAACCAGAGCACAGACAGCCATGGTAACGGCGAATAGACGTTGGTTAGATGTGTGCTCACCCCTAGAGATCTTTGAGGCTAGTTAGGACAGGAGAGACCGAGGCTATGGCTAGGGATCTCCAGACATGCAACTGACCTTGCGAAAATAGGTCGGCCTGTGGAACAGGGGGAAGATCGGGTATACAATCTCGAAATAGAGTTCAACAAGAGTCATGACAACAGCTTGACTGGCGATGTATGGAGCTCTCCAAGCGTTAGACGGCGACCTGGGGTCAACTGTGAGGTGTCAAAGCAAATCCAGAACATCCGGATAGAGCGCCAAGCAAGGACGGATTCAAGCGAACTCTTGCGAAGACGATCATCAGGGACTTGATGGCCACCAAGCTCAGACCATTTTTCTCAAAACGACTTACCATTGAGTGATTGCGGCGTTGTGGTTCTCGGGGAACTGATGGCCAAGGTGCTGGTCGCTTTGGGCTTTGCCCCTCGTCTCTTAGCCGTGCGTTGAAAGGTGCATGGTTGGCCAAAGTCGAGACAGCTTTGGCACTGGGATCCTTCGCGAGTGATGCATCGAATACTACGCCTGTGACAATAATCACAGGCACGTGTGATACGTCTTGACTTGACGGTTTGGTGGCGATCTTGGCTACTCATCTCGACGTCTCTCCGTCTGAATCTGGACATTACTATTCGCCATAGCGTAGTGGAACTCAATGAAGGTCTCGACTCAAGGTTGTAGCTTTGTCCATCGAAGGAACAATGATTAATGATTGTCTGGAAGAGAGGAGGGAAACGCTAAAAGATCACAACAAAAGATGAAGAGGATCGTCAAAATAAGGTGCACAAACTCGGGGAAAGAGCATTGGCCAAGTATCCTGGCACTTTCCGTCAACATCGTCCTGCGGCATCTTGATTGGTTGGACGTTTTGGCCCACATCTTCGTCGCCTCAGTCTCTTCTCATATGGTATCAACTATTTAAGCACTGCCATTGCTTCTATTAGATTATGTGTCAAGATACCAGAAGATTTTTAGTAGCTCCTGCGCTCAGCAGCTCTAAACCACCTTTTGCCTGCATCGAAGCAAATACCCATTTAGCGCGTATACGATACTATAGCGCACTCTTTTCTGACCCGGATTCATGAAACTGGGCGCCAGTTTTGTCCTCGACCTTGCCGTTTTCGTTGCCCTGATCCAAGACCCGGGCAGGATCCAAGTTATCCTCGCCGTCAACCTCGTCCAAAAGTCGTCTAGCGGCCACTGCCACATTCCCCCCTGCCTCAGCTAGGCGGCGATCGTATTCAGCCATGTTTTTGCTGACAAAGGGGCTGTCGCTCGTGAACAGCAAGTTGATCTCTTCCAGTGATCGACCAGCGGTTTCCGGGTAGAAGAAATGAATGATTGGCATGGTGAGGATGTTCATAAATCCAAAGAAAATGAACGACCACCATCCGATATTGTCCAGCATTATGGGGATAACAAAGGTTGTAACTCCACAACCGACCGCCCAGCCCAAAATTGTAAATGAATAGCCCTTCGCGCGGACTTCCTGTGGGAAGCATTCGGTTCCGTATAGCCAACAAGGTACAATGTTCCAAAGCGTAAAAAGAATCAAAAAGAGGAATACCCACACAGAAGCTGCCGTGCCTAGACTTTGGGATTGAGATGGATTAGAATCGACCCGGTCTTGAGAAGTCTTGATCAACGCAGCCACCAGGAACAAACACACTCCCTGGACAATAAAGGAGATCTGCAGGCACATCCTGCGACCAAAACGATCAATGACCAACGCAGCAGCAGCCGTCCCAATCACACCAAATGTGTTCAGCAACCCTGACATCCAGGATGCTTTATATGAACTGAATCCAGCCAATTCAAAGACTTGTGAAGCCCACGAAACGATGACTAGGATTCCCGTCCATTGCTGCATCTGTTGGAGTGCAAATCCAAGAATAGCTCGTCGACCGAAATGAAGCTTTCCAGAATAGCGGCCGGCGAGGGCGATATTGAGATAATTGTTTCGCTTGTGGTAGGATGCCTCGACGACAGCCTCAATGATCTCAGCTTCTTGGGCAATAGCGGGATCAGATAGATCTTTGTCACCTCGAATCTTGCACAAGACTTCGAGAGCTTCGGCCTTGCGGTGGTTGGCCATGAGCCATCGAGGAGATTCTAATGTCACGTGATTAGAACAGTCACCTGCCAGCGAGACGGGTGTTGTCAACTTACCTGGAACAAATGTGATGATGATGGCGACCATGAGCATGGGAATACACATGAATCCAAGGGGGAATCGCCATCTGAAAGCCGGCGATCGGTTTCGGATGCCAAAGTTGATCCAGTTGGCAATGGAGATGCCTAGGAAGTTGGAGACGAATACAAGCGAGAAGGTCGCACCACGGTCATGAGCCTGAGACAGTTCCGAGACCCATGACAGGATGATGTTGTTGACAAAACCAATCCCGAGTCCTGCAATGACTCTGGCCACGATGAACATGTCGGCATTGACGGAACCACACTGGAGGGCTGATCCCAGCAGGGATAGTATAGCGCCGAGGAAGGCCGCCTTCTTTCTTCCAAACTTGTCACCAAGCCATCCTCCGATGAAGGCGCCGAATATGGCACCAAAGTAGTAAGCAGCAGCGAGACCACCTTGCTTGGTGGTTTGGGTTACCACGCCGTCGGAGCCGATGTCAGACATTTCAATGAAGCCAGGCGTTCCGGAAATGCCACCATATACACCTTGGTTGTATCCTTCGTAGATTAAGGCGACAGAGCTGAGGAAGTTGAGTAGCACAAGCACGCCCTTGCCAGGGAGGGCGCGCCATGGTTGAAAGGCCATCTTGGTTTGGGGTCTGATGGAGGGAGCTGGTCAAGGAGAAAGAAGATGTCCGAGGAGTATGATGTATCTAAGTCGATTAGCAGACGGCGATGTTCCCTTCCAGAGGGTGAATGAGTCAGGATATATAGCCAACCCAGAGAAATGGGATTCCGAGATTCGGGCAAGGATGAAAAGTCTCGTTTTCTTGTCGTCCCACCGTCCGCACCCCGTACTCATATTCCCCAGAATGTCGCGTGGTTTTGGAGCCTTGCTTCTCCACCGAAACCGCCCGCAATACTCGAGGTCACAGGGAGAGTGCCCATGGAGATTGGTGAGAGTGGTGTATTGCGACTGAAAAGAAGTGGCAAACAGACAACAAGGGTGGAGCAAGGTTGAGGAGGAGGGATGGTAGAGTTGTTAAAAGGCTAAATGGTTAAATGGTCCTGTGGCCTTCACTTCACGCACTGACGCGAAAAATTATCAGCTCGCGCGTCCTGTGCCTTGTCCTCCCGTGCCTCCAGGCTTGGCTGGCAGCCTCAAGTCGTGAATTCTTTGGTCAGTCACGCGACCGTGAAAACCAGCCGGCGATAGCCTTTGAGACATTTAACAATTCAGCCGCGCCATGGTGTCCAAGAGTCTTGTGCAAGGTCACGAGCACCGTTGTCGAGCCACCATACAAGGATTGCTTGCCCAGGCCATGTGTCTTAAGACCCCACCCCTGTGGATGTTGAATATAGCGTATATGTGAAGGAAGGAAATGGCGGAGGAATTGAATGTGGCAATTGGTTAACATACATAATTATTTTGCTCCCCAGTAGACCGTTCAACATCAAGACAAACCATTTCACAGACATCTCACAAGACCAACATGGCACCTTTTCTGAGCGAAACTCCAACCAACGGAAACACCAATGGCCATACGAATGGGTATGGCAATGTCGTCAGCAATGGTCTTCGTGCGCCCGGATTGGACTTGACGGTGCTTGGATTGAACTCGGGCACATCCATGGATGGGATCGATTGCGCGTTGTGCCGATTCAGACAAGATTCGCCCGACTCACCCATGCATTTCGAACTGTTGGCTTATGATGAAGTACCACTGGAACCCAAGATCAAGAAACGAGTCATGAACATGATTTTGCACAATCAAACCACCCCCGAAGAGCTTTCAGAAGTCAATGTACTGCTGGGAGAGACATTCGCCGCGGCGGTCAAGGAGTTTTCGCAAAAGAATCAAGTTCCACTGGAAAATATCGACGCTCTAGGCTCTCACGGTCAGACAATTTGGCTGCTCAGCATGCCGGAACCAGGCCAGACCAAGTCCGCCTTGACCATGGCTGAGGGTTCATTCCTCGCCTCGAGAACTGGTATCACTTCAGTCACCGATTTCCGAGTGTCAGACCAGGCTGCTGGTCGGCAAGGCGCCCCTTTGATTGCATTTTTCGACTCGCTCGTCCTTCATCACCCTACCAAGCTCCGAGCATGCCAGAATATTGGTGGAATTGCCAACGTATGCTTCATCCCACCGGACAAAGATGGCCGGCTCAATCCAGAATTCTTCGACTTTGACACCGGTCCTGGAAATGTCTTCATCGATGCAGCAGTCAGATACTTCACCAACGGCGAGCGAGAATACGACAAAGACGGGGCCATGGGAGCAGCAGGAAAGGTCGACCAAGACCTGGTAGATGAGTTCCTCCAGACTCACCCATATTTCAGCCTGGAGCCACCCAAAACGACAGGTCGGGAGGTGTTTCGAGATACCATCGCTCATGATCTGATCAAGCGAGGCCTAGCCAAAGGTCTCTCTGAAAATGATGTGGTAGCAACCATCACTCGAGTGACCGCACAAGCAATCGTGGAGCACTACCACCGGTATATGCCCCGGGAATATGGACCTCTAGCTGAGATATTCATGTGCGGAGGCGGAGCTAAGAACCCCAACATCACTCGATATATGCAAGCAGCGTTCCCAGAGACTCGAATTGTCATGCTCGATGAAGCTGGGATCCCCGCAGACGCCAAAGAAGCCATCACCTTTGCCTGGCAAGGGATGGAGGCCGTGGTGGGAAGAAGCATTCCAGTACCAAGCAGAGTGGAGTCGCAGAGACAGTTTGTGCTTGGAAAGGTCAGTGCAGGAGAGAACTACCGGAAAGTCATGAGGCACGGTATGGAGTTTGGAGCAGGACGAGAGCATCTACCGCCTGTGACGGAGCTGGTGAATTATGTCAAGGGCAAGGTGTTTGACAATAAATGGTAGGGTAAAGGTTGAATTGGGGAAGATGATATCTAGAATACTTGGTGTTAGTGATCAATGGCCTTTGGAGTATAGTTTAATATTGAACCGCCCCCTGGCCAGACTCTGAATCGGTCAATATGTGTGTAGTCTTGAAACTCAAGGGAAGATGAAGAAATGAAGTCGATAAGTCGAAATGAGACGAATGTCAAAGGAGATGCCGCTAGCCTATTTAGGAAATATCTAAACCGCAGGTCAACTCCAACTTCATTTCCAGACAATCAACGGGGAGAGATGCATGCAACAGCCTCAGAACCACCGGCCATGGAGATACCCAGCATACTCATGTCACTCTCCTGAACGATACTCGATCCTCCCTTCTCCTCCACAATGTCAAGAACCTCAAGATAGCGCGCCTGGGTAGCGCTCAACAGCAGTAATCAACCATGATCGAATTCATGGATTACATTGTACATGCGTTCGGCACATCCACGAACTGGAACCATGACAACAGCTATTCATCATTGACAGCGACGTCAGATGGGTTGCTCAGCTTCCAAACTCCCTCGACTCTGGCCCTCCATGTCTCGTCCTTGAGCACCGGCAACTTTGCCTCATCCTACACACTATCCACTCTCGGTCAAATCGACGGCTCCCTTTCCTACCTATATTCGACCGTCCCCTTAGGTCATCTCCCCTCGCAAACCACCAGTATTCCCTTGAAGAAGCTCGTCCGAGGCTATCGAGACGTCCGATTACCAGTGAATTTGACCACTGGCCAGAACCAAGACCATCAAGACAACAATAATGTCGATTACAACGCCCGGAAACCTACACTCCTTCATGCGACGTTGGCCCTCCCACCTCCATCGACCCTGACCGCACTATACGCCCGTCGCATAAATCCCGAAACCCTTCTCTCCTTGTCAATATATAGCAAATCCGTATCCGGCCCTCTCGCGAGCTCTACACCTCCACCAGCATCCTGTCTCGCACATATCCAACACGACACAGGACGATATTCCCTCGAGGGACTAGGTTCAACAGACAGCGCACTACTAGGTGCACGAGGACTATGGAATTTCGGATTATCACCACCAGAAACCTCCGAACCCAGATTTGTACAAAAGAACCCCGTCACCGGCGGCGACACCTTCGTTGACTTTCCTTCCGGACTACCTCTCCCTCCTCAATTAGACGCCTTATCAAACTACCACAATCGCCTTGCATCAAAACCATCGCTTCTATCCGCCGGCGCGGAATTCTACTACAGTCCGTTTTCGCACGTTATAGGCCTCTCCACTGGTCTACGATTCACGACCCTCACTCCGCACATTCTTCCCTCTACAGAATCAACCACAACATCCCACTCCAACCCATCAGTCATATCCAATAAACCCCTCGCGGGAACATCATCCTCACTACTCTCCACCGCAGGACACACCCTTCTCACCCCATCCAACATCTCCCATTCTTCATTCCCATACACCATGACTCTGACCTGTACACCATTAACCGGCTCAATTTCCTCCTCGTACTCCGTGCGACCCACCCCTACACTGGCACTATCGTCCCGCTTCGACTTTAATTTCTATAGTTGGGAGTCACGATACGTGGTAGGCGGGGAACTATGGCGTCGACGGCGCAAGACTCCCTCCGGAGATACTGAGTCGAGTGAAGATCCTCTGGCGTGGGCGCGGCAAAAGACTCAAGGCTGGTTTTCGGCGGAGGAACAGGCTCTCAAGGACGAGAGGCTGGACCGCGAAGAGGAGAATGTGCTGAAGTTTCGCATGGATGATAGTTGGAATGTGCGTGCTTTGTGGACGGGGAGGGTCAAGAGTTTGTTGGTGAGTGCGGGGGTAAGTGTTGCTCCGGTGGTGAGGACGGGGCTTAGGTCTATGAATAGTGGTGGTGGGATGGATGGTGATGGAGGGGGGGTTAAGAAATGGAGTGGGACTGTGGGTGTCAGTATTGCTTACTCGACCTGATGTTGACGTTGAGCGAGATGAGTATCAAGACTATTTGAGTGGACCTTGGATGAGGATGATTTGCATTTTACATTAGCGAGGCGTCAGTATAGTTGGTTGGGAAAATGTATGAAGACTAGATCATGTCGAACTTGGTGTATCCTCGATTTGACAGCAGATCAAAGATTCCAAACTTCCAAAGATTGTCTGTCCATCACCTTGTTGGTCTATGAATGTTTCCTTGTGGACTAAGGAAATATGTATCGACGGATAAATCAATCCAAAGCTTTCCCTCTTCAGACGCAAAACGTCTAGTTCTCCTTCCTACCCCCCTCCAACTTCATGTTCATGTCGTTTCAGTTTTCTCGTAGCCGTGAGTATGCAAGAATCCATGGGCGACCTCTGCTAGCCATTAATGTACAGGTTTTGGCGATAGTCCAACCAGACGAAGCATAGATCTCTTTGACCCCGAACCCCTCATATCCAAACATGGCGTCTGATCTATCTGAGTATCCTTTCCTCCCCTGTCCCCTTCATATGCAAAATGTCCAAACCACTCCATCCTTTTTTGGGTCATATCGTCAAGTCGTCTATCCCATCTAAGCATTCTTCTTCAGTTCGTCCAAGAATTTCTGGGGCGGACTCTGTCGGTAACCTTCGGGGTTGTTCTCGGTCCAGCGCCACAGATCTCGACAGGCATCTTCGAGGGTTCGTTCGGTCTTCCATCCCAGCTCGCTGTTGGCCCTAGATGGGTTGCTGGTCAGGTCCAAGACATCGCCAGCACGACGGCCGACAACTTGGTAGGGCAGGTCTCTTCCAACGGCGGCGCTGAAGGCCTTGACCATGTCGAAAACGGTTGAGCCACGACCGGTACCAAGGTTCCAGGCACGCACGCCTGGGTGGTGGTTGCGCAGATAGTCGAGGGCCTTGAGATGGCCCTGGGCGAGATCGAGGATGTGGATGTAGTCTCGGATGGCGGTGCCGTCATGCGAAGCATAATCGTCTCCAAATACGAGGAGCTTCTCGCGCTTGCCTGTGGCGACTTGGGCGAGTAAAGGAAGTAGGTTGTATGGCACGCCGGAGGGGTCTTCACCCATGATACCGCTGGGGTGGCTGCCAGCGGGGTTGAAATAGCGCAGTAGACCGGCATTCCAGGCTTGAGCTTTAGAAGGGTCATCGGATTTGAGGGCCTTGGCCCGCTCAGCATTGATGTGATCGGTGATCATGAGCTCCGAGGTAAATTTGGTGTTGCCGTAGGGGTTGGTGGGACCCAAGGGGCATTCTTCTGGGATGGGTATCATGTTAGGGACGCGGGTGGCATCGCCGTAGACGGTGGCTGAGGAAGAGTAGACGATATTGGTGACATTGTGGCGGGCAGCACTGCGGAGGAGTGACAGGGTGCCATAGACATTGACGAGATAGTAGTCAAGAGGGATCTCGCCAGACTCGCCGACAGCCTTGAGGGCAGCAAAGTGGATGACAGAGTCGATGGCGGGGTGTTTGGCAAAAACCTCGTCAAGGGCAGCCTCGTTGGTGATGTCGAGGTTGTAGTACTCAGGTCGTCGGCCACAGATGAGCTCAATGCGATTGAGGACCTCTTGGGACGAGTTGCGCAAGTTGTCGACAATGACCACGTCGTAGCCGGCCTCGAGGAGGGCAAGGGCAGTGAAGCTGCCAATGTAGCCTGTGCCACTGTAGGAGGGAAGGATGTGTCAGTGGAGTGATAGAGAGGTGGAGACCAGTGTGTGGAGGCTTACCCAGTGATGAGGGCGGATCCAACGGCCATTGTAGGGATTTTACAATGGTGGGGGGAATGGAGAGGAGAGGTTGAGGTCAGATGAAAGGCTGGTAGCAAGAGGACAAACGAGTGTGGTGAGAGATGAAGAGAGGAAAAGGAGAAAGGGAGGGAGATTGTATAGTTATAGAATGTTGGGTAGTATGGTTGTCAATGCAAGATGACAGTTGTTGACTGCGCTGCCCAGAAGAAGCAGATGCAGATGCAGATGCAGATGGAAATGCGACTGCGACTGCGGATGGAGACGATGGAGGGGCGAGGGGGAAAGGAATGTCGGCTGAGAATTTCTCGCGTCGCAGCTTCCGCGCAGCGCACGTGTCAGTGTACTCCGTAAGTAGGTGCAGGCGCAAGTGCAGGCGCAAGTGCAGGTGCAGGTAGAGAGAGAGGCAAGGACCAACGGAGAATAATTGATGACCCTGACCCTGGTCGGTCCTTCCCATACAAAATTCCCCCCCACTTAATTTATACAAAATATTTCCTGCAGCCAGTCTTGTTGCATCACTCAATCCAGCCTTTCAATCGACCTCGACACAACCACAAATAATGATCAACCTCAATCCCTAGCCTCCAGGACTCTTAGTCCATTACTTGATCCATCCATCAGGCTGACTACTGCACACGTCACAACCCGCCATCATGTCGAACCCCGTAAAGAAACAGAAAACGTCCCAAACCCATCTCCATGACCCTCAAATCACCGACCCTCGCTTCGCAAACATCCAGTCCGATCCTCGCTACCGCCTACCAGGGAAGAAGAACAAGGTCAAAGTTGACAAGCGCTTTGCCCGTCTTCTAGAAGATGAAGATTTTACAAAAAGGGCAAAGGTCGATCGTTACGGTCGCCCTGTCAAGTCCCACGCTGAGCAGAATCGCCTGAAAAGGAAGTATGAATTTGCCGATGAGGATGAAGACAGCGGTACGGATAAAGATGATGACGACGATGACCAGGCAGACGATGATCAAGAGGTCCAAGCAGAACTCAATCGAGTGTCGGCCTCATCCACACGGGACATCCTCAGACAAGGTCTAGACTCGGACTCGTCGTCCACCTCTTCCGACTCAGACACTGACGAGGACTCGGATCTCGATGAAGACGATGACGGAAAAGATGCAGCCCTCTCCGAAACCGTAGGGCTGGGAGCAAGTCAGCAGTCCAATATTCCCATGGGCGATGTCACTTCGAGAATCGCCGTCGTCAATCTGGACTGGGACAACATCCGGGCCGCTGATCTTATGGCCGTCTTCACCTCTTTTCTCCCGCCTTCTGGTGCTAAGCTTCTCACCGTCTCCATCTACCCTAGTGAGTTCGGCAAAGAAAGGCTGGAGCGCGAAGAGATGGAAGGCCCTCCTCGAGAAATCTTCGCCGCTAATGCCAACCAATCTGATGAGCAAGATGAGGATGAGGACGACGAAGAAGACCAAGACATTAAAGAAAGTCTGATCCAACCAGACGAAGGGGCCGAGTTCGATTCGGCCGCCCTCCGAGCATATCAACTTGAACGTCTACGATACTATTACGCCATCCTGACATTCTCCTCTTCCGCCGCCGCCAAACACATCTACGATGCTGTCGATGGCACTGAATACCTCACCACCGCAAACTTTTTTGATCTCCGCTTCGTCCCCGACGACACCGACTTCTCAACCGATACCCCACGTGAATCATGTGACCGCATCCCCGACGATTACCGTCCCAATGACTTTGTCACCGACGCTCTGCAACACAGCAAAGTCAAATTGACCTGGGACGCCGAGGATGGAGGCCGAAAAGAGACCATCGCCCGAGCCTTCCGAGGAGGAAGAAAAGAAATCGATGAGAACGACCTCAAGGCCTACCTAGCTTCCGACTCATCCGATAGCGAGGACGATAATGATAATGAAGCGACCGTCAACGAGTCGGCACCCCAAAGTCAGGGCCTGTCCAAGAAAGAAGCCGAACGTCAGAAGATGCGTGCTCTGCTCGGACTCGCTCCCGAACCCATCAAACCGTCCAAAAAGGATCAATCATCTAAGGCTCCTGTAGGTGACATGCAAGTCACATTCACCTCAGGATTCTCTGCCTCAGCAGAGAGTGGCAAGAAGAGAAGTGTCTTTGAAAACTCGCCCGAACCTGACGAAACCACCATGGAGAAATACATTCGCAAAGAAAAGGAGAGGAAAGCAAAGAGAAAAGAGAAACAGAGAGTGTCCAAGACGGATGAGGACGACCAGGTGGACGACAGCGGTGCCAAGACTGCAATGAATCCTGAAGCTGATCAAGAAGATGATGAAGCTGAGGACTTGGGCTTCGACGATCCCTTCTTCACTGCCCCTGACTCGGCAAGCGCTGGTACGGCCGCCAAACAGAGCAGTTCCAAATTGCGCAAAGAAGAACGACTAAAGAAGAGGAGAGAACGTGAGGCTGAAGAAGAAATCGACAAAAAGCAACGTGCCCAATTAGAACTGCTCATGACAGACGACACCACCAGCCATGGCAAGGGCTCTAAATCCGCAGTCCGACATTTTGATATGAAGGCCATCGAAAAGGCTGAAAAGGAAGAAAAGAAGCGTGGCAAAAAGGGCCAAAAGGGTAAATCTAAAGAATCCCAGGATGGACCCGGGGATGACTTCAAGATGGACACTGCGGATCCGCGCTTTGCAAGACTCTTTGACAACCACGAATATGCCATTGACCCGACCAACCCTAGATTCAAGGGTACCAAGGCCATGAAAGAGGTCCTGGATGAGGGAAGAAAGAGGAAGGCGGATCAGAAAAAGAACAAGCAAGCTGGACCGAGGACGGATTTGCTGGATCCTGATCAAGGCAAGAAAGGACGAAGCAAGGACAGGAAGGCGAACAACCATCACGGTTCTAGCGTGAGCGATGTCAAGTCTCTGGTCGACAAGATCAAGTCCAAAAGTCGGGGCTAGTAAGTTAGACAGATAGCTTGCGTACTTTTGTCCTGGTCCAATAATGATTCCCGCGTTTACCGATGTCAGGATCAATGACAGGATCAATGATTCAAGGCACAGCACATCCCAGGTTGACCGAGGACATCTAAAAGCGGCCGGTCGGATCCAATCATCCGTCCCATACCACAGAACTCTTCGTCGTCCGGAATCAAGCCCTTCTAGGCTATCTGGACCACGAGGAACTGGAAGACTTCCCTGGTAGGTGACAACATCCTCAAATGAGGAAACCACGACCGTTTGACGGCGGGATTACTATACTCCGGACCTCTGGCAAATATCAGCAGCACCCAGCAAACACATACCGTAGTCTGTGAGTCAAAGACGTATTGATCCAGCTATATATCAACACCTACTGTACGTACAAAGGACAAATCCCCCCAAGGATTTTGTTTCAAGCATGACCATCCTGTCCCTTGTCGAAGCACCCCGGGAATGCCGTGGAAAATCACGGGGATGCCAAGATGCCAAGATCCGGGGACCACTGCCTTCCTCCACAGCAGTGGCAGTGGACACTATCGACACTCCCCGCTGCACGGTGACATCCCAGCATCTTCTCACCTTCACTCAACATATTCTCCACGATTCCAATCTTTATGTCATACTGCAGATTCTCTCAAAATACTCATACCATCTTCTACCTCTAATTGATCTTGCCGAGGTCCTGGGTCTCTTCCCCCAAGATGACGCCATCCTCCAGGCACGGCACAACTTTCCCCACTGTTCCTTACGCTATATCTTCTTCAACAACCAACATCAGGCATCCCTCTCGCCAAGAACCAATACTAATGAAATAAGTATTCTATCTACTGCTCACTACTGTCCTCCCGATTGCCGTGCCCATCTCAAGAGACCGAGGTCAACCAAAACCTTGCCGTGTCCATCTCGCCCCTTCCCTGCATCCTCTGCTATTCCAACCTTCTGACAGGTCAACTTCAACAATCTGATCGATAGTCACTGAGCTCTCTAGAGCTCTAGCAGATCCGACGCATGACCAGTACCCCAGAATACTCCGGTTGTGGAGTGCGAAGTGCCATGCGTAAGCATGAATTGCCCTCACCACAAACGGAATTGATCTATTCCCTAGACTATATTATGCATGGCATTGCCTTGCCTAGGAAATGATTTTTTCAAGAAAAAAAAGAAGAACCAAAATTCGAAGCACGAACTGACCCTGTGCATCCTCACCTTTCATATTCACCATGCGTTTGACAACCTTCACATCCACGGTCTTGGTGGCAAGTGTAGTCGAAGCCAGGAGTACCCTGTCCCCACGACAAGCCCAACCTCAACAGCAACTGATTGACGTCCACCATCATTTCGTCCCTGATTTCTATGCCGAAGGTAAGACTGCCGTCCTAGTCGATGCAATCCGTTCTCAGACATCTTCCATGGATCTTGCTCACCTGTTCCCTCTCAATCTGTAGCTGTCGATGCCGCTGGAGGTGATCCATCTGGATGGCCAGTTCCTTCTTGGAACATATCCTTTGATGACGCCTTCTCGGCCTCGCTCAACATCACAGCGAGAATCCTGTCATTGACCTCACCGGGAGCTCCCATCACTGGGGTCAACGAGACCACACGAGCTCTTGCCCGCCGCACCAACGAGTTCTGCGCCAGTCTCCAAGAGGCTCAGCCATCTCGAGTCGGATGCTTTGCTGCTCTGCCAGATCTCCTTGACACCAACGGAACACTGGCTGAGATCGCACATGCACTCGACGAGCTCAATGCCGATGGAGTCACTCTGTTTACGCGATATGGCGACGGCAACTACTACCTAGGCAATCCGCTGTTCGACCCTATCTGGGAGGAGTTGAACGCTCGAAAAGCCGTCGTTTTCATCCATCCAGCCGCACCCGTCGATCATACTCTGGTGAACCGGTTCATGCTACAACCCTTGATCGACTACCCACAAGAGACCACCCGTACTGCAATCGACCTGATCACGGTACGAAATCGACAACGCTTCCCGGATACTAAGGTGATCTTGTCGCACGCAGGCGGCAACCTGCCCTGGCAATTCACTCGGTTTGCCTACTCCCGCCGTGGCGTCGATGTATCCCTTATAGCCGACAACGTTACCTGGAATCAGGCCGTCTCCGATCTACGTTCCTTCTACTACGACCTGGCCTTGTCATCGTCTCCCGAGAAGCTCGATCTATTGCTCGACCTCATTCCGCATGACCACCTTCTATATGGTAAGTCCCGAGTATAGAGAGACAGAAGACTTTTTTGCTAGGACTCTTCCTCTCTTGTTGTTTTCTCTCCCTCTTTTAATCACAAAATTCTCTAACTCTCACCCCTCTCTTTTTTGTTAGGTTCCGATTTTCCATACGCCCCCATCGCAGGCGTCACCAACTTCTACCAAGCTCTAGACGAATACTCCTTTAACAGTTCCGAGGTTCGCGACCAGGTCTTTTTCGGCAACGCTCTGGATCTACTGCCTCGTCTGGCTAATGCCATCAATTCTACTTCTAATTAGGTGGTAGTCATGGCATGCCATTCCATGGTAGGCAGCCTACAGCTGCAACGTAGTCAGTCAGTCAGTCAGTCAGTTTGACTGAAAGATGAAAAGAAATTATAGACAGTAATAGTTTCTTCTAGTATGGAACAAAAAAATTGAGATATGATAGAAAAAACAAGACTTTGTATGTTTCTCACAACTATAAATGGATTGACAGGGCTCATGTCAGGGGGAATGGTTCGTGTTCGTGTTCGTGTTCTTTCCTATTTGCCTCGCCTTGCCTTGCTTTACCTGAAGGCTGTTATGTGGACTAAGTTAGACCGACGATAGCTGAAGACACGTTTCGTGCAAAGTTCCAAGTACATATGAGTAGCACGTGCTTGAAACGGGTCTGGCCATGCATGTTCGATGGTGGCATTTCATTTGTCTCCTGTCAGTCATTTCCTTTGTTCAACGTTCAAAGCTCAATGCTCAATAGCTGAATCTCTGATAAAATGAGATCAGGTCATGTCATGTCATGTTATGTCATGTTAGAACGCCTGATTTCCTGTCCCATTTGTAACTGTCCATCCTAATTCGCTAGCTGAGCTCGTGTGTGTATTTTGCTTACAGTGACAGGGAGATGGGGAGATAGGGTTCATGATGTAAACCAGATCTCTGTCGGGTTGAGGTCTTGTCTGGGCAGGCTGATCAATGGATCAATGCTATGATTTCAGGTTGTCTCATCGATACCCCGGCATTGCTCCTCCACCATTTCCAGCCCCTGGTCCTCCCCCTGCTCGAAAATTCGGGATTCCCCGTCCTGCTCCATCACCGTACATGTTCTCCATGTACGGTCGTCCGCCTCCAGCTGAGGGAAGTTCCGGTGGGAATCGGCCGGGGAAATTTCCTGGTCCTAAGTTGGGGAATCCAGGTGGAGGGCCACCAGCATTCATGAATCCTGGAGGTGGTCCCATTCCGGGTGGAAAGTTGGGTAGTCCAGCTGATGAAGGTGACTCAGTGGTGTATTTGCGTTGTGGAGGCGGTCGTTGTGGCTGTTGCACCATATTCGGTTGCTGGGGAATTTGTTGCGGCTGGCCATATGGTGGACCCGACATACCTCGTGGAACGTTGGATAGTCCGGGAGGCATAGATGGATGACGTAGAGGAGGAGGAGGAGGTTGCTGCTGGGCTTGTGGTTGCTGAGGAGGCCAGCTGGGATTGCTTCGAGGCATCTGTTCCAGTCCTGGAGGCCGCTGAAAACCAGGAGGGGGTGGTGGTCTTTGTGCGCCCTGCTGAGGTAGAGGAGGTATAGGAGAATTGTTGCTTTGTCCTCTCAAGAGAGCAATCAAAGGATCATCGTCGTATCCCCGGGGTGTTCCATTGGTTGGGCGTCTTTGAAGTTGTTCACGTGGGCCTGGCTCGATTGGATACATTGACATGGGTGACTCATCAAACATGGATCGTCCTGTGTCCCGTCGTTGGGCCATGATGGGATCCTGACCCGGAGCGGGAGCGCCACGTGGTCTAGAGGAGTCCTCTCGAGTGTTGGGAGGTGGAGGTGGAGGTGGCATGGGAAACATTCCGCCGCCTGGTCGGTAGTCCGATGGCTGATGCGGGGATTGAGGATGAGGCTTATGGGCCAAGCTAGCCTGTCGAAGTAAGTTCAACAGCATTTCGTCTTTGTGGATACTAGATTGCTGTCGGGTATGTGTAGGTTGTTCAGATGGTGATCTAGAGTCGTTATATCGATCATCAGAGGGTGCAGGCTGGCCGGAAGATGGATCTGGATGTTGAGATGGAGCACGGCCTCCCAGTAAAGACAAGAGATCCGAAGATGGGGCTTGTGGCTCTCCTTCAGGCCTTGCTTGGGTGTCTCTGGCGTAAAGAGGGGTCTTGGGCTTTGGTTGGTCTTGATTCTGTGGTGTCGGATTGCTACTGCGGGTTTGCAGCATTTCCAGAATGCGAGCAAATCCAGCTTGATCGGCATCTTTTGGCGACACTTGGGTGCGATGAGCAGATGAAGGCCTGTCCACTACTGGTGGAGAGGGGGCTTCGACCTGTTTATTTTGTTCCACGGGTGGACTGAATAGAGAGGCAAATCGTGTTTTGCCGGCTGATTTTGTTGTAGTGGGTTGTTTTTCAGTGGACTTTTGTTCGAACCGGGCAAAAAACTTGTCCATGGAATCGTCGGGTTCTGGGACAGCGATTTTCTGGGGCTGCTTCTCGGGTAAGTCGACCTTCGAAGTTTCAAGAGAGGTATTCTCAGGCTTGTCCGCGGAAGCTCCACCAGCCTTCATTCTCTCTTTCCATCGCTGAAAGTCTTCCTGGGTATGAGCTTGGAAAGGCTCTTCAGGGTCCGCAGCATCCATCCATTCAGGGTCAGCCTCAGGCTTGTTGGAGCGATCCCAATCCCGATCGCGAGTTCGATCCCGTCGCCAGTCGCCTGGTTTGTCATTATCTCGCCTGGTGTCTTCGAGAGCTTCGCCATTATCTTTTCTGAACCAAGACTGCGAGAGCTTTGCTCTTGAATGTGAATCTTTTTTGTACAGAGGACGTGAATCATCTTGATCATCTTCTAAATCTTGATGGTCCGTCCTCTCTCTGGCACCCCATTTAGGCCGACGGTCATATTCCCGTCGAGATTCGACTTCTGGCTCTTCGCTTTCATTTCGATTTCCGTAGCGACCATTAGTCTGGGTGTCTCTCCGCCCCTGACGCCTCGAGTCGGAGCTGTCGGAAATCTTGGTCTTCTCGGGAAAGGATGATCTGTCCTTGGTATCATCGGACGCTTCTAGAGTCTTTGCGGTAGGACGAGTGTTGGAAGATGCGAAAGACCGGCGAGGAGGGCCAAGCACCAATCGTTCAGGGTCTGAGTATCTCGGATTAGCAAGAGGTAAGAGAAGCAGGATACCCGAGGTGTATACCGGTGGTCGTTCTTCGCTGAGAGTCAATCAGGGGTCTCTTCTGAAAGGCGTCGGTGGTGCTTGACGGTTCGTCCGCCTTTCCCCTAGTGGTAGGGCGTTTAGCAGTGGCGTCTTGAGGGCTAGAGACAGGTCAACAACTGCAACAGGACAAAGCGCTCTGAGTCGTACCCCATCCATTCTTCGTTTGGCGGCAGACGAGACGGTCTGCGAACAAGAGGCGACGCTCGTAGATTTAGTAAATCCTCAACAGCGTATCTTCCAGACATGATGTGAGAGGGGATATATTGTTATGGTGGCATTGATAGAGGATCTTGTGAAGATCTCGCAAGCAAGCGCAGGTTGTTGTGTCAATGTCAGCCAATTGTGAGCCTTTTGCGCAGCAAGCACAACGACGAACGACGACTGTGATTTTGAGTACTGTGAAAGGAACAGTATAAAGGTAGAATAAAGGTCTCTTGTCCTCGAGAGGATCTGAGGCGTGAGTCTGATCTTTGATCTCTGGACAAGCCGATGGGAGGACGAGTGTGTGAGGGGAAATTGGGAAATTGGGCAATTGGGCGGCAGGGCAAACAAGTGTACCTGATGTGGTAGACTGGGGTCAATCTCACAGTGAATCAGGTCAAATTGGCTGGTGGTTGGTAGGTTAATGCAGAGTATAGCAAAAATCAGAGAAGTGACAGGTCACTAGAAGTGCAACAATTGGTTTGAGAGTTCAAGTCGGTTGCTTGAACCGAAAGGACAGGACAAGACAGGTCAGGACAGGTCAGGACAGCGCAGGCCAAAAGGTTTGCGGTTGTGGTTGCGGGTCAAGGGTGGATGTGGCGCATTAATGTGTCGTGTGGTTTGTGTGTGGCACCCGTGGCTGTGGTTCTGGGTTGTCACTTCTGTGGTTCCAAAGCTGTTACATAAGCGTTAAGCCACAAGTTGTGCCACAGTTCACTCCAGCCACTACGGCGGGCTTTTCAATTGGAAAGTGCAGAGTTCCTCGACACCTTCGAGTCTGGAGCATTTCCATCCAACAAGCCAACTTAACCATCAGCTAGACTTTTAGGACCTTACAGGCTGCTTAAATATAATACAAAGCAAATTCTCATGGCACTGTAGCCTATAAGGCCAACAAATCAGATAGATCATACGATTGATAGGTGTGACTCATACCTAACGGCTACCTTGTCAAGCTCATCAGCCGCCCATTGACGCCTAGCTGAACTAAATATGAGTGGCCTTTTCCAATACAGATTCAGAAGACTCTACCAGAAGTCTATGTGTGGATATAGGAAGTGGCTCAGAGCCTACATCTCTACCCCGCAAAACACAAAGACGTAGAACGAGATCGGATCCTGTATATCCTTCCTTGCGACAAGCGGGACTTGGGACTTCTTGGGAGCGAATGAAATACAGACCAAGAACAACTTGTAGTTAGATCGCCGCCACACGGGTCAATGACACAGCACCACAACCACAAATGCCGGGGTCAACCCTCGGCTCCTCAAGTCATTCACAGGCAATGGCACAGACGTCTCGATCTCTGAGGTCGCTTCCTCAAGATGCTTTGATGTTAGTCACTGGTGCAAATGGCTACATCGGCTCCACCGTCATCAACCTGCTTCTGGCTGAGGGATATCGAGTGCGCGGGACCGTCCGGAGCGAGAAACCATGGCTAGATCGGTTGTTTCACGACAAGTACGGATCGACGAGGTATGAGACTGTCGTGATCCCTAACCTTGCAGCACCGGGCGAGCTAGAGAAAGCACTTGAAGGGGTCTGGGGAGTGGTGCATGTGGTAGGTCATCAATGGTTGATATGTCCACAAAGGCTGCGCCGCGTTCCAGTCTCAATTGATACGAGTGTCTAGGCGTCCGATCTCACTCTCGACCCAGACAGGGAGAGGGTCATCAATGGAACTATCGCGCACACGACGGCAATACTCCAGGCGGCAAACAACGCCTCAACCGTGCAAAGCTTCGTGTTGACATCTTCATCCACAGCTTGTCTGATTCCTGTCCCCAATAAGGAAGGCATTGTCATTGATGAAGGTAGGTCGAATGATAGACATACTGAGGCATAAGATAAGCTGATGCCAGTTACGAGCCAGACACGTGGAATGAGGCTGCTATCGCAGCCGCCTGGGATCCAAACACCTCCAACGAAGATCTGCCTTACAACATCTATGCCGCTTCCAAGACTGAAGGCGAAAAGGCACTATGGAAATTCGTCAAAGAAACCAACCCTAGATTCGCGGTGAATACTGTTCTTCCAGCCGCAAATGTTAGTCAACCTTCGACCACTCCTTTGATTCTGCAACGGTCCGACGTATGGATACGTTCGAAACTGATGCCTCCTACTACTTAGTACGGAACAATCCTCGCTCCGGAGATTACCGGAAGCACCATGGGCTGGGTGCGTCAATTGTTATTTGGAAACGCTGAGGTCTTTACCAATACTCCTCCACGTGAGTCTGAATCCTTTCAACCCATCCTTGTACCCAACTTACCGACGTTATCTGTTAGAATGGTTCGTCAATGTCGAAGATTGCGCACGACTACATGTGGCGGCTCTTCTCGACAGAGAAGTCAATCATCAAAGGATCTTTGCCTTTGCTGAGACTGTAAACTGGACGCAAGCAGTCAGCATCTTGCGTGAGCTTCGTCCTGATAATACCAATATCCCAAACCCTCCTCCCAATGAAGGCAAGGACTTGTCTGTTATCATACCTCGCGACAAGGCTGAGGCTTTACTTCGGCGTTTCTGGGGTGTGGAGGGATTCAAAAATCTCAAGGAGAGTATTTCGGATGGGATAGAGGACCTTTGAACGAGATATGTCTTTTGATATTTTGCAGGAACGAGTGTCTATGAAGGAGAGGCACTGTAAGAATGATCTCCGAAGTCTGATTGGTATCTCCTTCTTCTTCACCTCTGTTTGGAAATTCTATATCACTAGCACAGCCTTCTCTCCGTGATGATAAACGTCAAACACCTAATTATCTTCAATCTACTTGATGAAAGACTATTCACTTCTTCTCCTTCCATTTCTTATCTATCCTCAAAGTCTCATACCTACACTATCCCTTTCCTCTCCACAAAACAACATCCGTCAAAGAGATACGAAGCCAGAACTTTACCATCGACTCCATCCTCCACGCTCCACCATCCACAATGTCCTCTTGGTACGTATCGCCACCCTAATTTCTACCCATGGTATCCATCCTCTTTCCTGACATACACTAATCCCCGAACAGCATTCCTTGCGCTAATTGCGGGAAGCCTCTCTGTTCCCACGGCGGTGGGCAAGTTGGACACGGTCAAGGATGGTCGACTCCAGGTACCGTTGCGATTGCAACTAACGGAGGGGCCACCACCACCGTCACAACCGTCGATGTCAAGTATACCCAGGTCACACACACTCAAGGTCAGAATCAGGTTATATACTACCAGAATGACCCTGCGAGCGGTTTTATTTGGAATGGTCGAGAGTGGGTCAAGGGCTAATGAGACCTGATTGCGCTGTGCATCAGAGACATCGAATTGGGGATTTAAGTTCTCTAGAGATCTGATCATTAAGTAGTAGCTATTAGTCCAACATAAGACCTGAAAATGGAGAAATCAGATGAAGGGACTTTGAAGACGGTTCTGGATCTGCTATACTCAATCTTTAATCTCCAAACTTACCTTTCGTGTCCTCTTCGCTCTTGTTGATACATAAGAAGAAGTCAAGCTCGTCCACGATTGGGATGGACAAAAGTCATCGTGATTGTCCTCCAGCGCAAGAGGGATAGAAACGCTGGCCTTGTCACTGTCTCGAGTGTGATAAGTGCGGTCTACATCCGTGTGACACAAGACCTAGTGTTTATACATGACAACGTAGGTACGAACGACGACCTATATTCACGGTGACAGGACCTCCTAAGCACCAAGGCGGTAGAGTCAAGGGATGTGTGAAAAGACGACACTCTCAAACTGGACTATGAATGCTATCACTCTGTGAGTCCTGCCTAACAATCAGCCAAGCGAGCAAGCAACCTAGGCTCCTTCACAGTCAGTGTGCAAACACAAGCATACCACGCATGTAGTGATACGCTTTCTGGAAGTGGAATCATCACATCTGTTGTTGGTTATGTGTAGATAGCATACCATTTCCATTTCCATTGCCGTTGCCATAAATTTATCATCCAACTCATCATTCCTCATCACTCCGCCAGTCCCATCATCACAACCAGCTCACAGCCGACAAAAGTCTCTATATCCATCCTAAACTATGCGACAAATACAGTCACGACAATCAGACGATCGATCTATAAATCCCACTTTCAACCTCCCCATTCCTGTCATCTTCTTTTCATATCCACCAACCCATCAGGCTTCTTGTTCAACCTTGTGAAAATATACCTATATTCCCCGCACAACTATCGCGTTGTCTAACTCGACCTTCTCATTCGAGAAAGGCGATGACCAACATCAACGCTGGATCCCAGACATTCTATTTCGAAGTCTTCCTCTGACGGAATTCATAATGCCTTCATCTTCCTCCCAATATCACGCAGTGAGGACGTCGATGCACGTCCATGGCGCGAGATATCGAGCGTCGTTCAATACGTCCGTCCCTGCGAGCACGAGCACGAGCACGTCATCGACCATTTCAACACTTCCACCTCTTATGGAGCGTGAGGACGCTCAGGAAAACGAAACTGAGAGATCAGATAGAAGCCAAACCAGTATTTTGAATGTTGAACTCACATCCAACCATCATCCGGCCTCGGATTCAGCAGCAAGAACAACACCACTAGTGTTGGTCCATGTCCCAGGGGGGCGTGATTGTGGCTCCTCAAAGACCAACGTCAACATCAACGTGACTGAACGTCCAAGAAACACGAATCAGGTGGAGCAGACCTCCCACAGACATCAGACTACTGCTGCTACTGCTCCAGTTGCTTCTGCTACGCTCAGCACAGATACTGAGAACAAAGCAGTCCGGAGCTCGAGCGAGATTAATGGTCATGTGCGCCAAGTAGGGAGCGATACCCATCCCCTGAGTTGGGAAAAGGATGGGATGCAGTGTACGAATGGCTTTGCGTCTAGCTTTCTGGCAGATTAGAGGTGTTTGATGGAAAGGCTTGAATGGCTTTGTCCTTGCATTGTGAAGATGGGCAACTATCTTTCTTTTGGAGAGAGTCAAAAACAAGATTTAGACAACATTGTTTACAAGAAATTGGCCAGTTCAAAAGTAATTCTGCTTTTCTTACATCGTGTTAATACTAGTATGCCAGCCTCTGCCTAGTACATGGCTTAATGTTTTTAGTCATGAATGTGTCACCATTGACGAAAGCTATGTGAAGAGCCAAATATGCCCATGCGTGATAGGCCCTACAATGCCCATCCAAGTTGCCTGCTCTGGCATGCCCTTTTGCCAAAAGTGCTTTCTGTTGTGTTGTGCGCTGAGTCGAGCACTTGAGCACCATCATCGTCCTAATTCTCCTCATATTGCAATGATACATGACCCCTTCTTCGTTCAACCAAGCATTTCTACATCAAGACCAATGGCTCTCATGAAGAGATTTACATTGCCCAAGCGAACGCTCGACATCTCTGCTGGAAGAGTCTTGCTTTGAAGAACTGTCTCCATAACCCGGTCTTTGACACCAAGCACAAGTCGTTGTTGCTGATCCGGGCTAGCTCCAATGCCGAGAGCTGCCAAAAACTGCCAAATATACATGTCGTCGCCTGAATTGACTGGTCCTGTAAATAGTGTAGGCAGCATCGACTCCAACAAATCGAACAGTCGGTTGTAGAGGTCGGTCCATTGTTGCCAGTCCTGGTCTGGAACAGAGCCACTCTCTTTGACAAGCTCAGCTCTACTGAGAAGCATAGTGAGCATGCCAAGTCCAATTTTGGTATGGGCGACCGTGTTCAGGTTGGTGTGGTCAATCAAGAGACCCAGAAGGCCAATGACAATGTTGATAGGAGCATCGCTAACATATCCCAGGAGACATGGCATGACAGCTTGAGAAAACAATTCGATATCCTCCCGGACATGTGGGGGTGGCTGTGTTTCACCTGGTGCAAGTCGCGCCTCTCTAATAACGTCGAGTTGATCGAGATGAACCACAATCATGGTCAAGATGGTCACCCTTTGTTCTTGGTCAATCTGATGGAAGATACGAGGAATGACCTTTTTGCCTTTGGCAAACGACAAGAAGGCGATGAAAGGATGAGTGACGGTCGAGCCTGGCACGATGGGATCCATAACTTTCAGATTTTGCCACAGTTGAGCATTGAGCTCAGACAGCCTTTGCCGCCAGAGGATGTGAGCTTGAACAGCATCAGCGTCACCTTCTGTGGGTGGTGGAGGCATTTGTCGTTCATTGTCTTCCAAATACATCAGGGTCATGTACACCTTTTCAATGTTTTTCAGAATGCTCGTGCGGTCGCTGCCACTGACAGCATTTCTTTTAGCGCCGTCTGGGCGTGCATCCAAATTCTCCTGTCTCTTGATGTTAAGAAGAGGCTTAGGAGTCTTGGCGTTGCTGAAAGATATTTTGCCCAAGCTGCCCTCGATGATCAATTGCTTGTTCTTGGGCTTGAGCTTGGCCGCCTCAACTGCACGCTGAACCTGTTGTTGCATTCTTTGCATATGATTCTCCCCGTTGACATTGTGTCGTCGACCGCCGGTGCGGCTGCCAGTTTGGAACAGATAAGTCTGAGCAAAATGACCCAAAGGTTGAGTGGGGTGTTGGCGAGGGGCGCCTCGGATCTGGCTGTAAACCTGATAGTAAAAGTCCTCTGCAAGGGCAGCTTCTGGGTTCGAATCGGTCGAAGTGCCGGTGGCCGTGACAAGCTGTTGCAGCTGAATACGGGTGATGAAGTTCTTGTCTTGCGGAGTCATGAGGCCATTGCCTTTTGACAAAACAAAGATCTTATGGTTGCGTTTGGCGCGTTTCGCATCTTCCTCGAGATACGCTTTTCTCTGTTCTTCAGACAGTTGCAAAAGCTGCTGAGGGTTGGTGATGACCGTAGAACCTTGAGATGGGTCTCCTGGTTGCTGGCCCGGCCTGTCAACGCTAGGTTTGGGGGAATGGCGAGCCCTGTTAGGGTTCTGGAGAATCTGAAGAGGCGGCTGCTGTGCACGTGGCTGAGTGGGCTGTGATGGAGCCCGCTGGTGACGTTGAGGACTTTGAGAAGCACGTGGTTGTGGTGGGGGAGCAGTTGGTTGATGAGGTGGGGGATAACTGGGAGCTGGAGCATGGCGTTGAAAGTGCTGCTGGGCCATTGGTGGAGGCGGTTGGTACTGTGGCGGGATCTGATGCTGAAGCGGAAATGGGAAAGGTGGAGGTTGTGAATACTGAGATTGACCTTGCATGGCGGCCTCGACTTCAGCAAGACTGAGCATTTGCGCAGGTTTCGCATGACTGGGGTATTGCTCTGGTTGATCTAGAGGTCTTGCTGTACTGATCCGTGCATCTTCATGGGGCGGTTTTGGTTGTTGCTGAGATCGCGAGGTCCAAGCACTGGATTTTGCTTGAATGTCTGGGATGTAACCAGGATCTTGATATTTTTCGTAGCCCGAGCGCTTAGGTTTCTGGACAGGCTGGCCATGCTGCAGATTGTAGCGGACATGTTCTTCATCGATGGCGGCAGAGACCTGAGCAGTGGTGCCGAAGAAGTCGAAATCTGTACCGTTTCCGCCTCGGCCACCAGCAGGCTCAGCGGCTCCGCCAAAGGTATCGTCGTTCAGATCATCGCCGGCTTCCTGGAGTTGGTCACCGAGACCGTCATAGGTATCCTCAAAGTCGAGGCTATGAGAGAGGAGATTAGCTGGGGGATCTACTTGAAGATTCAGAAAGAAGCGTACATTTCCTCGTCGCCCTCGCCATGAAAAGCCTGCAATTTGCGAGCCTTTGCAACCTCGTTGAAGGGATTTGTATGTTCGAAGATACCCTTGCCAGTCGCCGGCTGGTCTCTGGGCAAGGAGGTGTCAAAGCCAAAAAAGGACATTTCGGCGAACGGAGACGAAAGAGTCGTCGAGGATCGTAGAGGAAAGGAATGAAGGGATAAAGGAATAGGACTGGTTAAATCACAGGTGCGCGTCTGCCCCGCCTCGAATCTTCGCACTCAAACTGTCAAGGGCGGCGATAGAAATGAGCATGATCTAGCAGCAGATAAAAGACTGGAAGCAAAGCGTCCAAACACAGAGGTAGAGCCTCTGAAGTTGAGCTGAAGGAAGTCTCAACTTGAGCAGTGGTTGAGGTTCAAGATCAACTCCAAGGTGGAGGTCGATGATGAAGTCACGCTATTGGAATGGAATGAACCGAACAGCGATTTGTGTGTGTCATTTGAATTGGTATGACTGATGCACTTTGTTCCAGTCAGGACTAGTGGGACTCGAAGTCGAAATGACTGGGTGAGTGGGAAGGAGTAAACGCCAAGATCAAGAGGAACCTGGTCAGTGGTCAGAGGAACCTGGGAGTGACCTGGCCCAGAACTTCTGTCAGGTCTCTCAGACGTGCCTGCCTCAACATCTGCACACGAGGTAAAAAGTGCAACCGCGCGTCCTTTGGAATTAAACATTTATGGTTATAAGCACAGTGTTCTCAACCAGACACTCTATACACACTATAAGAGATGAAGTGCGGGCGTGCCATTGTCGTCCAACAAACAAGTCATCTTTATTGGTAAGTGCCGTAGCTTGGTCAACCACGGAGTACCTCAGATGGGAGGAAACCAAGAGTGCATGCATCAAAACAAGTCGTCAGCAGCAGCTACGGCTTCTCATTTCCAATTGAACAATCTGCATGTCAGGGGCCAAAATGACATGAATACGTACGCAGAAAAGTATACTCCAGTCATGCTGGCCGTCTTCTGTCACTGGCCCCAAGGACTGCGGCATCTCTTAGGCCGACTTGGTGCCTCAAAACGGGAGGGCTGTCGTTCAAAGCTTTTAAGCGGTGACACGTTCGAGTTTGCCCCAAAGTCTGAGTTCCCTGCTTGCGCGTCCGTCGCCTCCGCATTCGGGTTCCCAATCATCAGTGATTATCCTGCTAACCAACTCCTTTTCCCTGGCTGCTACTCGGAAACACCTGTCGTCTGGATTCAACGCTGCTTCTTGTAAACTACATATTATTATTCTTGGTGTTTCTCTTTCTATTTACATGCAATTCATGTCCAGAAGTGGACTGCAGCATTGTCCTTGTTACCCTGTGTCCGTTTTCAAGCCTGCACCTTCCTGAGACCCCTGACCACAATCTTTATCGTCCGCTTTGAGACAGCCTTATGCTACATGGCAAGCGCAACCAACCAGGCCACTTCTTGATTCATCCAACTGCAAACCTCTCTCTTGGACTTTCGTCGCCGCCGCAGCCTGACAACTTTGATTCTTGAACTCTCGATCCAGTGAAATTCTGCCACCATGGCGACAGGCTCAGGGCGATATCTTCGTTACATTCTCTTCGCCTTCTTTGTAAGTTCTCAGTGCCATTTTCCCCGGCCAACTATTGACCGCTTCAGGGCATTACAATCCTCTACTTCATCTCAACCTCGTCGTTACCTTCCTATACTCAACCTTTGACCGAAGCCGCCGGGAAACTCTCCTGGGACGACCTCAGCAAACTACATCCTCATCCACCGCCGCCACCACCGCCACCTGCTCCTCCCTCATCTGAAGAGAAACCAAAAACCGACTTTGATTCCATCGCCGACGCCTTCCACAATGACCCCTTGAGGCCCAAGGTGTCCAACTCTGACGGCAATTCCCGTCTCGACATTACCCCTGTGCCCAGCACCCAATTGTCCCCAGCGGCTCCGGGCGAACGAGTCAATGCCACCTTCGTGACCTTGGCCAGGAATACGGATCTCTGGGAGATTGCCCGCTCTATCCGGCAGGTGGAGGACAGATTCAACAGAAACTACAATTATGACTGGGTCTTTTTGAACGATAAACCGTTTGATGAGACGTTCATCAAGGTCACCACTTCTCTAGTTTCTGGGAAGACCCACTATGGCCAGATCCCTACCGAGCACTGGTCTTTCCCCTCGTGGATTGACCAGAAAAAGGCAGAGCAAGTCCGAGAGGATATGCGCAGAAGGAAGATCATATATGGCGATTCAGTCAGCTACAGACACATGTGTCGATTCGAGTCGGGCTTCTTTTTCCGACATCCCTTACTGCATCAGTTTGAATACTACTGGCGCGTCGAACCCAGTGTCGAACTATTCTGCGACATCCACTACGATCCGTTCAAGTTCATGAAGGACAACGGCAAAAAGTACAGCTTCGTTCTGAGTCTGTATGAATACGTCGAGACCATCCCCACCTTGTGGGAAAGCACAAAGAAATTCATCAAAGCCCATCCTGAGCATATCCATCCCGACAACTCTATGGCCTTTTTGAGTGACGACGGGGGTGACACATACAACAAATGCCATTTTGTGAGTCTTGTCCTTTTAATACTAACACTGACACTATTTCTAACGTTGCGGACAGTGGTCCAACTTTGAAATTGGCAACCTCGATTGGCTCCGGTCTCAACCTTACCTGGATTTCTTCGAATCACTCGACAAAGATGGCGGCTTCTTCTACGAAAGATGGGGCGATGCGCCTGTTCATTCAATTGCCGCCAGTCTTCTCCTTCCAAAGGATCAGATTCACTTTTTCAACGACATTGCGTATTATCATGTCCCATTTACCCATTGCCCTACTGGTGAGGATCTCCGACTGAAATTACGGTGTCATTGCAACCCATCGGACAATTTCGACTGGAAAGGTTATAGTTGTACATCACGATACTATGACCTGAACAAGATGAGAAAACCGGCGGGATGGGAAGGTCAAGTATGACTAGCCGAGCAGCCAAGGGAGTCATTTTTGAGCAAGGTTGGCTTGGACTGGGGTTGGGAGATTTGGAAGTACTCCTGCCTCTCGTTTGGCATCTCTTGTTCGATCCTGTTCATTTTAATGAAGATCCCAAGAACAAGGCGCAAAATTCTGGACTATGCCGAGCGACTTGCTCAGTGGCACGAAAAAGGTACCACCGGAAAGGTCGATAGACGGGATTGATTGGAAATGTTCCGTCTTCCACATCTCGTCAGGCATGGAACAAGCAAGGCACCATCTGGCTGTCTTGGCTGCGGCATCCATATATCGAGGGGCAAATACATGCCCGATGACAATGACATGACGAATGTCACTCAAACTAAGCCTTTGCAGACAGTTTGAAGTATCATGGGAGAGCTGTACAACATCAGCGTAGACATCTGGGGCGGAGGAATGGGTGGAAATGGATGCCCCAACGTGTGAGCACTAAAAGGAGTCGAAACGTGGATTACGTGTGCCAGAGGCATTTTATCTCGAAATGTTTGGTTGGGTTCGAGGAAGCGAGCATAGAACGCTCGACAGCTTAGATTTAAGCTACGACAATATTTGTACAAACAAACAGCTGCATAGTCTGCTTTCAACATCTATCTTCTCAACATGTTCCGTCCAATTTTCGGGTCCATGCGATCAATGAGTCGGAGCCTGTCGTCGAGAATCAGGTCCCCATTCATATGAGCGTGTCGGCTATTCTCTCAGTTTGATATATTGTCATTGTGGGAAAGGTAGGCGACCTTTGCGGGAGTTGGTCTTGAAGGACATTTGCCGTCTTCAGGCTTTTTTTCATTCAACCTTGGGCTTCTTAGTTCCATACTTCGATCGAGCCCTAATACGACCAGCGACACCACCCTAGAAACAAAACATATTAGTATACTGACACATTCTGGCCGATTTGATGCGGCATCGCGGTGCGAAGCACACCAACCCGCACACCGAGAGACAGAGAAAACCATGAACTTACACAATCCATCGACCCTCTCACAATATGATAACCCACACCAGGACAATCCTGCGCTCTGCCACCCCTGACCAAAACCACATTATGTTGCATGACATTATGACCTTGACCTGGAATATATGCACTGACGATCCGGCCCGACGAAAGACGGACCTTTGCCGTCTTACGCTGACCAGAATTGGGTTTCTTGGGTTTGGTGATACCGATCTTGAGACACACGCCTTTCATGGCCGGTCGGTTCCTCATGGCGGGCGATTTAAGTCGTCGAGCTTTCTTGGGTTTGCGCCCGTGCACTCTGACTTGGTTGAGTGTGGTGTGGAAGGTGGGAGAGCTGGAGAAGGAGCGTGATGATGCTGCTGATGAGAGGACTGGTGTGGTAAGAGTGCCGGTGCGTCCCAACAGACTCGAACGGACAGCTGTGAGAGGGATTTTTGATGTCGATGGTCGAGTGAGGGATCGCAGCGCGTGAAGCGCAAATCGAGAGGGGATTAGCTGCATCGTGGTGATGGTGTTTCCTGCCCTGGTGATGATCAATTCTTTTGCGGGCGGTCGGGAGATGAGGTATGACGATGACGAGACTGCGTGCGTGAGTGAGTCGAGGCCAGTCGACACGCAGTGGACAGCGGACGTTGCGAACTCAATGAATGAATGTTCTTAAAGCCATGAAAGTTTGATACGAGGAAATGCTGGTAAAGCTCCTGCCAAGATACTAAGTGAGCTAACCGCTTCGGGAAGAACTTGGAGCCGCTTACATAAAGGATGCTTAGGTAAGAATCAGTCCTCTTCCTTATGGGTGACCACTGTGCCTTCCATCCGAACACCCAACAGGTTTCTCTCTTTCGCCGGTCGGGACGTCTGGCTTTAGAGGAAGGAGGGAGACAGGCAAAAATCGAGCACGTCGTTGTTTGCGTGTTGATTAAATAAATTTCTTTGCCAAAAGTTGTCTTATGTATGCGCGGGCTATCGTGGTGGTTACTTCATACAGCAACAGGAGGGATATCTATTTCTCTCTTTCTATTTGCAGGATTGTATATTTTCTGATTCTGTCTTCTATGATCTCCCCTGTCCATATATTCTCTTCACTATCCACAACGACAGATGACACCATTTTCATCCATCATCACCCACCTGTCATCTTCCTCATCCCCCCTCAACCCTCAGTCTCCCCCTCCTCCTCTTCCCTCCATAACCTCCTCTCTCTAACCCTCAAATCCTTTGCAAACCAAATCTCATCCAACAACGTCATATCCCTCGGACTAAACCCAAACTCCCTGACCTGCGCCCTCTCCACGTAGCCCAATCTCGGATACACATGTTCTGCATCAGTCCCCATCGTAGTATCAAGCAGTAAATTCCACTTCCCTAACTTCCAAGCCACACGTTCCAATTCCGCCATCACTTGTCTAGCCACACCCTTTCGACGGTGTAATGGACTAGTGAGCAGTTTCTCAATCATCCCTCGAAACGGTCCTGTTTGGCTATATGGAAAGGAGAGGGAGACGAGGCCGGCGATTTCGAGAAGCGGACTTGTGGATGTAGCTGGGATGGTTGGCCAGGTATTTGACGACTTAGAGGCTGGTGATATCCAAGAAGAAGCGGAAGTGGGTGATAATGGTGGATAGGATTTCTCAGCGTCTGGTCCGGTAAGAAATGGCGGTGCAGGTAGATGTTGAGACTCAGAGTCAAAACCTCCGGTGCTGGTGCGACTTGATGGTTCTGCTAAATATACCACAATCTGCCGTTCACCCGCCGTGACTTCAGCGACACGTTCATTCCACCATTTAACCATTTTATCGTAGTCGAGTGGTGGCATGAATGTAGCCATGGTGTTGTCGTGGATGATACATCCGGCATGGACGGCTACAATGCCGTCGATGACGGAGGAGAGATGTGGTGTCGAAGAAGTGACCAGGTTGACGCCGGCGTGAAGGGGCATAGCTTTTATTATGACCGTACGAGTAGAGATGCGGGATGGTGGTGGTAAGAAATTTTCCTGAATTTCGTCGCCTCTTTCACCGGTCGTGAAAATAATGTAGTGAATATTTGGTTAATGGGTAACATGCGAGATATTTATCACTCGTTCCAGTGTCGCATATATGCATGGTTTTTGGGATCGTCCATTCTTATCTAATCAAGTACGGAGTCCATATACTACCTTAAAGAACCCACTCTGGCGCATTAGTGCATGAAGATTCAGGCAGCAATAGGCAGAAATCTGAGAATTGGCCTATTAAAATAAACTGTTGGTAGGTATATGTTACATCAGACTTATACTCTCAGTTACTTTCAATTGCGACCGACCACCACCATCTTCTCAAGAGTGCACGCATCGATCATACATTGCATTTGAGCCCACTAAGACAGAATGGTCAGGTGGTTTAGATCTCTTCTATCATATTAAACTTTCACTTGCCGACCAATCCGACCAATCCGACTTTGAATCGGCTTATCCCTTTACCCCTTTGTGAGTTCTGGCAATCTGACATCGGTCTTGTTCATCATCATTGTTTGTGCTATTATACAATAGGTTCAAAGGCCGGCAGGCCCGTGTTGAATGACCTCCTCGACCTTGGGCAGTGAGAATGAGGTGCCATCGTCTCTATATGCCGGTAAATTCGAATCGGAGGACCGTGAAATGAATCGACCAGTGCTGGTATTGTTCCCCGAGGTGACCAGGCTGTCCGCCGAGACTCATTTCTTCTGTCACATCCCGATTCATCAACGAAGCCGAGTTTTCTTGGGTTTAATGAGGACAATTTGTGTTAATGAGCATCTCTTGGGACTTGGCGGTGCTCTCCTATTCTTCAACGTGGGTTTTAACCGATGTGCTATCTTCACTTGCAAACTGTTGAGTAAATTGCTCGTTCTACAAAGTCTATACCAGATATGTTTCACTCTTGATAGACAGAGGAATTGAATGTATGTATTGTCCGTCTAACTGTCTACAAGAGAGAGAGAAGAGGAAGAAGAGGAGGATGGGCAGAAATGAAATCTGGCACTTTCTCTGTCCCTTCCCTGCATACGGAAATGTTTGCTTGCTGGGATCGACCAAATCACCGAGTGAGGAAGGGACGTTGTTTGGAAAGAGCGACTTTGTTACGCCCAACCTACTTGAATCTGCAGCTGACTGGAACTCAATCCTTCTCTTCTCCCAAGTTATCCCAAGTACGGCTTCTTCAATAGTTTTGGCACTTTATCTACGCCTAACTTGCTTGAATCTGCAGCTGACTGGAACTCAATCCTTCTCTTCCCCCAAGTCCAGCTCCGTTGACAGATATGGGCTTTCTTCCTCTTTTTTCCCCGGGCACGTTGCCTCGCCTTTTCCCTTAGCAATAGTCGCAGTATCGAATGACGGGGAGACCGAGTCGACGCACGGGAAATGACAATGTCCATATGAGAAGCCTGTACAAACTTTGCTACCCCGAACTTCAATACTGTCGGGCCGAATGTCGTATCTTCTCAACAGAGTAGAATTCTGTGTGCGGCGATATGCGCGGTGGCTCTCGTCCAGGTAGAATGCGCTTCCCTGGGCATACTTTTCCAAGTAGGCGTCTTGTGGAGGAAGACATCTTTGAGCCTGGTAGTCTGGACTAGCCTTTTCTGAAGCCAAGATTGAGGCCGAAGGTTGATGTTGATGATCCTCAAGGTTCTGGTTGAAGTGTATTTCAAAATGCGCCCGGAGACTATCGTAATTCATGTAGCCTCTACTTCTCCTGGAGTCCTTGACAAATATTCCACTGCAGTCCTGGTGGCCACATTGAAGTGGGCTGCCAACATGGCAATTCATTCGGTGTTCCTCCAACTGATGAGGATTGCGATAGCAACAATGTTCGCAGCCCTGTTCTGCGCATTTCCACCGGCCATCAAGATGTGTCGAGACAAAATGGACGACAAGGTAGTACTCCCAAGCGGCCGTATGCTTACACGTTGGCTATGGATAACGCTAAACGTAGATAAGCCTGCGGTCACCGTTTTCATTACCACCTTAAGAGTCGTTATAAGTACTCTTGTGTTCAGGCCACCATAGAATTTCGTAGTTAGGTGGTTAAGCGGTGTCCCGGATAGCTTCCAATTTAGGCAAGCCAAGGGCCTTAAGCAGAACGTCCGTGTCGCTAGTTCCACCGGTTTGGACAATTTTTGATAGAGCTTAATGAATTCAAAAGCCCCTTCCTCGTACATTTTAGAGGAAAATGTTAATGTATGAACCAAGTATATGGCACGGTGAGCAGCACCGTCTTAGTGGCAGCTAAATCCGCCATTGACACTATAGTCTTGTTCAAGATGTCTTCTAAGGTAGTTTAGCACCATTATTTTTCGGCAGCTAGGCTAGTAGCAAGGAACACGGGGTATAACCATGCTGAGCTTGCCGATCGATAGATGTGAAATGATCAATAAGACGACAGGGCATAATTGAGGAACAAAGAGTGGTCTAAAGTCTCGAAATGTAAGTTTTTGAAGAGACTAAGAGAGGGAAAGAAAGGAGAAAGAGGAGCGTATGTGAAGGAATGAAACAGCCCGGCACTTAGCACGTGAACGAAGACGAGCGTCACTGAGTGCGAAATAGCTGCATTTCTGAGTAAGGGGGTTTTGATACATGTATTCACACCGATGGTACTTGGTTAAACTTCTATAGCGACTAAAGGCTCTAGGGCTACCTTCCATATAATCTTTATGCCATAAAGAAACAACAGGTACATATCAAGACGCATTCAATCAATATTCTGCGTCTTCACTCAACGAGGTTCAAGCTATTCCCGTTACTTTCTTCTGTTGCTCAGGCGCGTGAACCGTCGAGAAGCACACTTTAGATACACGAAGATGCCGAAGAAATGCCGAAGGCCGAGAATCTTGTGACAATAATTTTTTAGTTCGCAATTCAGTTTCAAAAAATTGTCGCAAACTGCCTCTATGGCGCAGTGGTAACGGTAGGTTGTACTAGGAATTAATTTTGAGCTCTGGCTGATTTCCTTAGCGTCGCACTTGTACTACCGGAAGAAATATTCTTCCTCCATCCACATCAATGCGAAGATCACAAGTTCAATTCTTGTTGGAGGCATTCCAGATTCTTTTTTTTCGGTTATGTAACCTTGATCTTTTCGAAACTTATGTGCGACGTTTTTTTGCAGGTTATACAAGGCATTCGAGTGTCGCTGGACGATCGTTCTCCTTCAAGATCTGTCGCGACATGGACGCGACAGGGCGAAGTTAGAACTCTTTTATTATTGCAGGAGCTGAAGTCTCCTTGTCTCCTTCTCAGGGTTGACCATATCATAAGTCAAGAGATTACAGCATGTGACTACGTCAAATCATACATCGTGTATAGCATCTTCCAATTCTCTAGTGTGAAGTTTGGAGACCAAGAGCGCAGTTGGTATAGACAGGGAAGCCTTTCCCGACGTCAACAAGGAGGGACAATCAACCTTTTCACCTCTCAGTCTGACAGACCGCTGGGAAGGTGCGGTGCAAAGGTGTGAGTGACAGCATGAGCTGTGAAATGGCAGGAGCCAGCCAGGCTGGTCTCCTGTAACTATGTAGACATGACTTTTTCTCTCCTGGTGAGAGTTGCTTCACCTAGAGAATAGGGATTTACCATAGTGGTGAACACTTTAGTATCTGGCGTTGGATCGTGCAGCGTCAATGTCACACGTAGATTGAATACAGCATCAATAAACAAGCGAATCACCAACGATGTTTATACAGCCTTCTCCCTTGGCCTTTCTTCCATACATGTTCAATTGGGTCGTGGATAGGATAAACTGCAGCATTTGCAGATTGTCGCTTACCTGATGTGAGCTTTTACATTCTACTGGTAGGCTTTATATTGATAGGTTACCCAGCAGGGCCTTTATACAAACAATCAAGCCGTGATCAAACGTGTCACTTCTCAACAGGAGGCCATCCCAGACTTTCCTCAGGTAACACAAATCGTTAGATCTACGAGCATAATTCCAACCTTATAACTGTACATCGTCACAGGGGCCACAAAAGTACCCTGGCACGCCACCAAAGCATCAAGGCAGCTAAAAAAAACTGCTCACCATTTTCAATTTCTTTGAGATTTGTTGCAAAGAAGAATGATGGATCAACGAGGGTGGGTTGAAGAGGAGCTGCTTAGCGATGAGGACGAGGAGAATTTTCAAGCGGATATCCAGACCTCCACTGGTTCTCAGGGATGTGTAATTCGACAATCTGCGGACTTTCGAAGCAATCATACCTTTCCACCATTTTCGAGACTCCCTGATGATAACAGTATCCACGAGGGTTTCTACACCAGCCAGGACGAATTCCACTACTTTCCTAGGCGACATTGGTGCTTTTTTGGCGAAGTTGTCAGTGTGCAATTTTTTGCACGCTTGCGAATAGTTGTCCGCGATAAATCAGGAACTATGGTGCCAGTCGCATTTTATGACGACGGACGTGGCACAGAATTCCTGGGTAAGGTGCGGCCTGGCTGTACAGTGGCAATCCTATATGCAATTCAGCATGGTTTCCTGGATCTCACGACCGGAATTCGTTTGGAAGATTGCAGTAGTATCAAGGTAAACTTTCTCCTCCGTTCTTCTACTATTGAGTCTTGCTCACAACTCTTGCAATCGACCAGATCCTCCCATTACCTCTCACTGAGTTATTCCAACTGAGCGATAAAGTCCACCAGTACTACACAGAAACTGACGGAAAACGAAAGTGCCATGGCTGTGACGAGCGGAAGACTTCTCTGCTGAGATGCGCCAAATGCTCCTTTTTTTGGTACTGCAGCAAGGTAAGCCTCAGAACAATCGCGTTATATCTTCTCATGCTAGTTCTGACAAGATCATAAGGATTGCCAAATTGAAGGCTGGAACAAGAAGGGCCACAAGAAGGATTGCAAAACCTTGAGGGACACAGATTTACGATCAATGTTCCTCTTGAAATGGGACTTCTTCACCAGCTCTGTAGAATTTCCATTGCTAATTGAGAATGAGCGGATGGAATGACTTCAGGATTGTTGGGACAATCGTTGGGACAACAGAATGTACACAAGGCAAGAATGAATCTTAAACAGGAATGGCAGAAGCCAGCTGGGCTAGCTGGGCTATACGAGACCCCATCAGCTTCTATTCTCTTCGTGAGATGCATTCAGCTAGAGAATCCAGAGAATCGTCAAGAAGGATTCGAGGATGAGACACAATTTCTGATGTCAATGAATGAGTATACATCAATTTGTTCACCTTGTCCTACCAAGACAACCCCAAACCCAAACCCATCCTAACTCAATCTTCATATTTTTGATAAACCAACTTCGCCTTCTCGTACTCTTCCTCAATTACTTCACGATGTTTCTGCGACCTCACCGTAAACGAAGCAGAGAATGGTTTCGGTCCTGTAATGAACCCATCCGAATACCCCGAAGCCACGTCGAGATCCAATGGTGGACAATTAGGATCAGCCGAGATATCAAATGCCCATGCGATTTTAGCCATATTGATCATCTAAGTAGACGCGTATTCAGTCAGCCAATCATTCACTACTATGACAAGTCCATCCAGTCATTCAACCAACATACCAAAGAATTCTCAGCTAGGCGTTGTCCAGGACACACTCTGCGACCAGCTCCAAACCCATAAGTTACTCGACGTTGATCGTTATCCTTGCTGTTCTCGTCGATGGCTTTACTACCGAATTTATTGGTCATGAATCGTTCAGGGATGAATTCTTCTGGCCGGTCGTATTCGGCGGGGTCGAGGTGGATGGACCATGCATTGGCAAACAGAATGGTGCCTTTGGGTAAGAAGTATCCGTTGTACACGTCGTCTTGGATCAGCATGTGAGGTATTCCTCCTGGTGCAACGGGACGCCATCGGAGAGTCTGTTTTTGAATTAGATCAGGGGGGGTGTTGATTTTTCCCAGATGGGCTCAAACATGGTTTCTTTCTCACCTCGGTCATGATTGCTTGTAGGTAAGTAGCTTGTCCAACATCACCTGCACCAGGCGAATGTGAGACGCCGCAAATGTCGTCGAGTTCCTTTTGAACCTTCTTCAATATGTGTGGGTATTTGATCATTGCCAGGATGAACGAATGGAGAGTAGCAGACGTTGTATCAGACCCAGCTTCCATCTAAACGGTTTTCGTCGCCGGTCAGGAAAATGACAAAACCCCACGATAAACGGAAAAACTAAACAAAGAGCCTCTCTCTTACCAGAATACCTCCAGTATAGACAACCTGGTCCGGATTCAAGCCACTTTTTTCTTTATTGGCAAGGATTTTCTCCATAAAGCAAGGAATGCTATCTGGCCTACCCATCCTTGCTTTCGTCTCGTCCAGCAAATTCGAGTACAGTGTTCTCTGTTCGTGACGAATCCTCGCAGCTCTGGACTTATACGGAGCTAGGAAGGAAGGAAGATATTTCAAAAAGGGAAACGCGTCGACCGGGGGAGTCGCTCCAGGGGCGAGAATCTCAGTGAATTGTTCTTGTGCATGATACAAGGCTTGGACTTTTGGAGCGTCGTAACTCGATCCTCGTTGACCGAATACAGAAGCCAGGATCACGGCTGTGGAATATCGTCGGATCGAGGTGAAACTCTTTGCTGGATTCTGTAGGATTTCATATAAAGTCTGCACGGCCTCTGCTTCCTGTACGGGTAGGAGAGCGTCTACCGCAGTGACGCTCAGCAGTGCTTGCACCGCTTTTCGGAGGGCTCGCCAGCCTTGTCCGTAAGGTACTAGGAGGATGTGTGCATCGTTGGGGCAGATTAATTCATTACCGACATAGCTTTCTGGTCGACTGGAATAGATGGCTCCACGTTTGTCGAAGAGACTAGATTCAGGATGATTTAAAACTATGTATTTTCAATTGTACTGGTCAAACTTACTCTCTGACCGCCTGGTGCGAGTTCAAGACCACGACGTTCTGGGGCCCGAGTTTGAGGCCGATAATAGGTCCATATTCCTTGCCCCATTCGTGGAATCTAGGAGATCAAACAAATCATTCGTTGGGAGTCTGTGTGTGAGGAGACAGGAAATTGGATCAGCAAACTCACTTGAGGAATGGTTTTGTCAAGGGCAGTTGGTGTAAATTTCCCAATATGGGCACAGTCGGTGGACCAGGAGGAAAATCTCGAGGACGTCGACTTACAATGGTGTATCGCACAATCAAGTATAAGACGCAAAGAGCTGCCCCTAGGACGAGTCCTGTGGCATATTTGAATATAGTCGACATGGTCGTGTGTAGATGTGGGTCTTGGACAGTCTGATCTTGCGACAGCCTGGATTGTCTGATCAACAACTATCTGTGGAGAGTATATTTCGACGCACGCTCGTTAGTATGAGACAAGGACGTAAGTGAGTATAATAATGTCTTTGGAGTCATGGTGTGGGAGAAGAGGATATCAATGGAGTCGAAACGGGGCACATATGAAGAGGATGGTCATCAACGTCTTCGGCTTTCGAAGCCCACATGATTGTATGTCTGTCCGAGCTCTCCTCACTTTGCGCATTACAGTCCATTTATTACCTCATCAACGAATCAATAGACCTGACTCCCCCAGTCATGGGAGGTGGCCCAGGGTGAGTCCTGGGTAGTATGGATGTTCTCGTTCCGGCCCCACAATGCCATCTCCTTATTGCCCCGCAGAGATTCCTGGGGGCCCCGGACTCTTGACCAGGGATTTCGCCCGTTGCATTGGGTGCTGACGACCTTGCAATGGTAGAGTATTTTCTATGCAGGGGGTCTGGGGTGAAGAGAGAATTGCAAGCCTCATACACGTAATGTCCCATAACTGTCAAGGACAGCGTCATCCCTGGATGTAAGGAAGATCACTTGCTTCTCAGGGAAGGTTGCTGAGAGCAATTGTCCACCATTGGCGGTTCCCAAGGTGTAAACTTCCGAGGACCACACCAGCTTCTACTTACTTCATGTGGGCAACACCTGGATTGTGGCCGTCAGCACAAGCAGAGTAATGACTAGGGATGTGGTGATTCCCATGAGCCTGGATTGACCGAGATATTGGCCCGAATAAAAGGTCCGGTGGGACTGAAGTAAACCGTTTATGAGACCAACCACAAGCAACAAATAGGTCCCTCTCGCTGTGATGGACCACATGAGCGGTCAATGAACGATGCCAGTCTAAATTCAATGCTTCGATATGCCTAACTTGACATCCCAGGCTGGCACACATGGAATGGTCTCAATATCTCGTCTTGAAACATCAGGCTGTCGAATCTTTCTGCTGACTCTCTCTTTCTAGTGCTGGAGTATCCATTGCGCACCAGGTGTTAAAGAGCCAGTATTGGTGGACATCTGTGCCATGAGTTGGGATGTCAGGCTCTAGCATCTGGAATGCATCTCAATAATGGCTGCAGCGGTATTGGCAGTCAAGATTCGTTTTGCAAGATGAAATATTCCAGGTGCAATGACGATGATATGTCATACCCACCGGCAACACCGTCGAGAGAGATCAATTTTTAAGGGTTTGGCGATGAATGTCGAGTATGCAAGTTGATCCAACCTTTTTGGGATGAGGCAGGGGTTTGCAGTCGCTGACTCACGATCCAACATAACCATCGTTGGCTTGAAGTACATCCATACCAGGTTAGGTAGGTTTCTACTAATCAGACTGTTTTTATCATTGTTTTCAAGTCGTCACACATGATATCGTGTCTCTGCAGTAGTGCTCTACCAATGAGCCATGATCAAACATGGACATCGAGCTCATATCCAATATCATTGGCATCATTTCGTTCTTCGCTACCGTTTTAACCCTTCTAGGTATGCCGTCTCTTTCAGAGTATCCCCAAGTCAGTTCTGAGACCTGCCTCAGGGGTATACCGTGATCTGCTCTCAACTATGCGACATGCCGATACATCCATACCCATTTATCTAGGGAATCTCCGCCAGGAAATTCAAGCAGAGCGGATTTTCCTTCGTTACAGGCTTGAAGAAGGTGATAAGTATTCAGTGTTTCCCAAGGCTTTTCGCAAGCATCGACGCACACGACAAGAGGCCGCTGTTCTGTTGAGTAACACCATTGAGGAAATTTGGCAACAATTCAAGCATCTGGAAAGGCCCTTTTTGATCAAGGACCCTGTCCGGGCCGAACAAGTCCGAAAAGGCGACTACTGGGGTGAAAACGACGTTGCCGAAAAACCCCACTTCCGGCCTCAGAAGAGACTCAAGAATCGCATGGGCATGACGGAAGCAGGGTTGTCTCCAGACCAGGAAACATACTATCGAACGGACCTAGCACATCGCTTTATTTGGTGGCAGAGCAGGACTAGAGTGGATCAGATGTTGGAGCGTGTCCAACGCTTACAGATCCGCAGGATTGAAAGAGATGCTTTTGAGACCGACGAACTTGTCAAGATGTGCGTCAAATTGCTGCAAAGAGGCAGAAGGCGTGGGGGAAGTGGACAGAGTAGTTCATCTTCTGGCAGCGATGGTGGCCCTTCTGGAGGTCAGGGACCCAGTCGACCTCGACGACGCTTTTCTTCTCGACGTTCAAGTGCAAAGGCTCCGTCGCGCAGAGCCAGTACAGCTGGTCGTACCATGAGGGAGACCGAGGAGATCGAAATCGTCAGAACAAGGCGGGATGATCTTACCGTTGGAGAAGGCGACGCTAGCAACACCAATCGGCCAAGGCAAGCTACACCGGCGCCTAGATATGAGTATGAGGTGGTTGAGCCTAGGGTGGTCTATGTCGACACCGAGATGAACGGTGGGCCGAGTCGTAGAGACGTCGAATATCGTGGACGACAGGAGGGCAGCGTGGGCAGGGCCTACCGGACGTCACCCGAACGTCGCAGGAACAGCCACGATGATGATAGGACATTCAGACCTCGAAGAAGCTAACACTATCCGTTTGATGGGAGATAAAGAGGTGATAGCTTTGATAGGAAGGGTGTGTCATTCACGTTTCCATGCATCAAACTCTTCGTCTAGGTGCTCCTTGAGCTTTTGGAATTTATTCCCAAACGTCTTGCCACAACGCCAGCACTTGAAATCTTCTTTGAGATTGTTGTTCTGGAATCTGACATCGCGCTTTCGATCATCTGGTGACAGCGGATAGTCGTCCAAAGGGATGAAAAATTCAGTGTTGAAGCTATTGTAATGCTTGCGATGCTTTAGTCGGTCCGAATGCATGTCTCGACTGATGATGTGAATATGGAGATGATGCATGGATGGATGTGCATGAACGCCCACGCGGATGTCCTTGAGGTAGTCTCGCCCAGCCGGCAGCACGTCTGGGGGTTCCTCACTTTCCATTGCTTCGATCCGGGCTTGGTTGGCTATGGAGAACGAACCAATCAGCCTTGAAAGCTCCGAGGCTGCAAGCTTCACTGCATCGGAAACTTGAGTTCTGATCATCATGAGAAAATCGAGGTCTTCAAAGGCTTCATGCGGATGCAAGTCTCTTTTGTCGGGGTCTCTTGGGAGAAGGAGGAGATGGACAGTGGCCTTGGGAAAGGCATCGCGTATGAGGACGATATGGTCGTTGTGGGTAATGACTTGGCCAGAAGAGAAGGTTGTAGGCTGGAGGATATAGGCAAGCAGACCGCTGCGAATGTCGTTGGGATGGGATTTGGACGAGTGCTGGGAGTGGTTGGGGTCATCCCCTGAAGATGGTTTGAGCTGCTTGGGCTTAGGAGCCATGAGTGCTGAGAAAGCGTTGCGTTTTTTGCTGATCTCTGGCACGCTGGCATCCTTTGAGGGGCTAGGATTATCCATGTGGTGGGTTTATGCGATGAGCATTCTCGCTGTCTTCTGGGACCCAAATGAAGAACGGTAAAATGTCATATATTGTGATTTGTCAATTGATGGTAAAGGCAGTCACAGAGTTGGTAGGTAAGCAGGCGCGCTGGAGTGAGGGGTGTCGGTTCCTTGTGTGTAATTGCCTCCTTCCTTGCCTTGTGGCGGACTGTCCACTGTAGACGGAGACGTCACTTACTCTTGCTGCCTGTTTCGAGGCTGTCGTCGTCGTGTTTGCTCAACTTCACCCTTGTTGGTTCCGTGACGTTGGTGTAGCCAGTCAGCTTTTGCAGGAGGATTGCCAGGCCTAGCCCTGTCAGGATCAAGGTTTGGGCAACGCGGACGTGGGGAAGGAGTTTTCTCCATGCACCATGGACGCAGCACTGAGGAACACAAGCACATCAACACAATATAAAATCATAGGCCCAGAGCATATCGACATTGAAGCAGAAACAGCCATAGTCATTAGCGACTAACTTGTCCTGTCCAAGGAGACACCTCCGGCTGAGCGCACCGGACGCTGGCCGATCGCGGTTGCAGATGACTGGAGCAAGGATTTGGACTAGCAATAAATAAACACCAGACAGCTATTCCCTTATAGACTGCCGTTCCAATAAACCAACATCGCTATGTTGTGGCAGTACGCGTGGAAGAACATTGCTCTTCTCTGTGGACTTTTGGCACCCAATCGATGCAAGCCGAAACCCCCCCAGGCGCAGTCACATTGACTGGCGGCACAACTCCAAGCCTTGAAAACACCCTGGCAGCATGTGCCTTTGTTTCGTATTGCAAGCGTGCCAAACATGCCCTCGGACCAATCTCTTCTACATGACCACACACCGACTGCAGCATCCGGCATTGTCCGCTTGATTGTCCACTTCGAATTTTTGGCCGGGGGCGTGGGAGCCCATCTGAGGTCCGCCCGCGTATCCTGAGATTTCTCTGTTGTATCTTCTGATTTCTCGGACGAGGTCATAAAAAGCGTTGTCGACATTGATGCGGGACTTTGCCGACGTTTCGATAAATGTGCACCCAAAGTTCTTGGCCAACTGTTCACCTTCTTCCCGCGACACCGCTCTCTCGGATTCCAAATCGCATTTGTTGCCAACAAGGATGATGGGGAAATAATCTTTATCTTTGACCCGCAGGATTTGTTGTTGAAAGGTCATAATCTCTTCAAACGACTGTCTTGAGGTGATGGAGTAGACGAGGAGGAATCCTTCACCCGTCCGCATGTATTGTTCTCTCATGGCCGAATATTCTTCCTGGCCGGCCGTGTCCAGGACATCGAGTAGGGCGACTTCATCGTCGATCATGCATTGCTTGCGGTATGAATCTGGAGGGAGGTCAGCGCCTAGTCACCAGCGACATGGTCGAGCGAGGGGATCGCACCTTCAATTGTCGGGTCGTACTCGTCTACAAAATGACTCTGAATGAGTTGAATGGTCAGGCATGACTTGCCGACACCTCCCCCGCCGACGACCACCAATTTGTATTCGCGCAGAAACTGCAGAGGGGGTGTTAGTCCTGCCATGGTGCAGCATGGATGAAGAAAGATAGAGAACCTTTGAGGCCATGACCAGCAGGTCAGGAAATGATCAGAATTCTGCCTTTCTGAAGCGAAGGTATCTCGCTTGAGTCTCAGCGATCCAGAAGGGATTCGCGGCGCTAAGGGCTGGTTCTGGAGCAGATCGAAGATGGGGAGGTCGGGAGGCCGGAGACAGAGTGCAGTCGAGCTTGGCAGGAGGAGCCGCAATGGAGATGGGAGGGAAGCGAGGGTGATTGCGGTGGTGTGATTGATGGGATGGAGGCCGAGGAGCAAGGACAGAATGGCAGGGGGGATCCAAAGGAAGAATCGGGCGACGGCGTCAAGATGGTGGGCTTTGAGAACCCTGCGACGGTAGGGAAGGGCGACTCAAACTGAAACCACAGCTGTGCGGTTTCGACCCAAGTTGTAACAACGATGTGAGGACTAAAGGACCAGAGGACAGTGTGGGAACTGTTGATGGTAAGAGAAATGGAGACGAGTGACTAGCATATGCGTTTGTTCTCTAGTTTATTTCTTCGGGGTGGAGGGATGTGGTGCTCTGCTCGTTGTGGCTGGGAAGAGATGGATGGGGAGACTGCGAGTGCGAGCGCGAGTGCGAGCGCGAGTTCGCGCCGGCAAAAGGCAAGAATTTAGGAGGGCGACTCCCTGCCTGACTAGTGCGTAGAGGCTCCAGGCCCAAGAAACGGGTGGATAGGCAAGCAAAGACGGTCGATGCGGGCCTGAAGGGGGGTTAGCGTCTATAAGAAGCAGAGACAATCAATAATGTTGGTCATTGATAGACTGCGGTTGATTGGGATACGAGTGTTGATGTCGTTGTCAAGACTCTGTTGACGTTGCGTCTTGTCGTGAATACAAAAAGATTTATGATGGATGATACTATCAGGGACCAAATCTAACCATGTACAGATTATGTACGCGTATGCGTGGGTGCAATTCATAAGTGAATTGCATGCGCCAGATAGCTACTTCCGGGCTCTAGTGAGTATACGTAGAGTCTTTCTCTAGGTACGGCAGCCCTTTCGGCCCTGAGGGGTGCCCGAAGCTGCATTTTACTGGTGCTATGGGCCGCTGGCTCTGGGCCAAGGTCTTGCTTTTCTGGGCGCTGGACCCTGGCTGGCTGCACATACCTAAGGTAGGTAGGTACCTACCTACCTACCTACCTACCTACCTACCTACCTTAGGTATCCAGCACCAAAAGCCACCCAAGTCAGTTATCAGCCCTGAATAAGCGCCCGAAGATGCTGCAGCTCCAGGCATTAAAGAGAACCTGAACCAACCAAAAGCAAAATCGTTACCAAACAAATGCTCCAGCGCTGTATTGGGTAGTCTACACAGGCATTCGATAAAAGCGACGCCCTGACTTGTTGGTGCTTGCAGAGAACAGTACTCCGTACATTATTGTCGATATAATCGACGTCAATTGTTTTATTGACTCTAGACAGGGTGAACCGTGCACAGGAAGAAGGCATCCGGTCGCGTCCATCGTCCATGATTTGTGTTGCCCCGGCACGTGCTCCACCCCAGATTTTGAGTGCCCTTGATCTCAATGAGGGAAAACTATTGATGAGTGTGTGTTCTCCTGAGTCTCTTTGCCTCCTAGAGCATATGGCGTTGTCTTCCTCTATCGAATCGACTCCTACTAGGGCCAGGACGGTATCGCCAATGAATTCAGCAAGACGCGTGCATGTTAAAAGCCTCATCGAGACAACGCGCACAACATTCCTCCGTTTGGTGGACGCACATGGCAGCCTCTCGTAAACTTAGCTTTCTTTTGCTCCAAGCTTTGGTGCCGTTTCCCAAGTAGGTAGCCATGGCCCCTCTCGACACTTGACTCCCGAGTTCTGTGGCTCTAAATTCCAGGAGCGGCGTGAGCGGGCATTGCGGGCAGACACACACGGCGCCCCTTTTTCTAAGATTCTGACCTTGTTAGGTATAGTGATTATCGGAGTCCCAGGCGAACGGTACCCAGGCACCCAGGCCTTGAGGGTCCCGAGGGGAGACTGGGGGCTGCTACTGAGAAATCTGTCTAGGCCAAGGGGGCGTTACTGCACGCCGGGAGAGCTAATCAATTAGCGGCCAGTTTAGCCATCCAGGATTCCAAGGGTCCTTTTGGGGAAGGTGGCACGGGTGGCATTGGATCTGATTCGACTCATCGCTGCTCATCACACTCTCTTTACCCTTGTAGCGCCAACTAGCACCGCGCTTAACAATTGGCGTCGACTTTCTGGAGTATCTTGCGCTGTATTTGCTTCGACTTTCCATCCTCTCGCAACCATTCTCTGCACAATTGTAGTTCGCGAGGACATTGTTTGGCGGTGGCTTGCCGGAACTTCCGCGGGTGCTTGGGTGCGAACCCTTTTCTTCTTGTTCACATGCTTTTGCGTCTACACCGCAAGCATTACCCCTTGAGGCTGTCGCCCTCTTGAGTATTGAACTCTGGAATGCATAACGAATCGACCTCGGTCTGCTTTGGACGATTCCGAGGAGCCCCTAATAAAACCACGGAGAGCGCCGACCAACCTTATCTTAGAATGGAGACTTGATCAAGGAATTGCTTGGCCAACGAATGTGACCTTAATCGTGGACACCCACGGGTGAAAAGGAACTACGGACGACGGATCAGCCTCCATGATATGTCGATTATGCATGCGCGTGGGCCAGATTGCCCGTTCGGGGTTGATCGTCAGAGCAACAATTCTCGTTCTTGACTCTGATTACTCCTCTCTTCCTCCTGCAACCCACATCGTCGACTGATAGCCGAGATTTTGCACAAGGAAATATCAAATCTACTCCGTAAGTCTGGCGGATACCCTACGCAGGCGAGCACTGCCTGCAAAGGAGCAGAGGCAACAAACAAGCAAGGAACTCGTGACTCTCGAGAGGTGTGAAGAGACGCATGTTATTGGACCTGCTTCTACGCGTCTTTATCCTTGTGAACATCCTGTTCATCGCCTGAATCATCCTCCCCTTCAACTGACACCCGGCGACCGTGGACGCCCTGGGCCACCTCGGCCTCCAAAGAATCAATGTACTCGACGTCCTTGCCCACCAGGGTGACAATGTTCCTCGCCTTGCCCCAGCGTGGATAACTACCGACCTTGACACCCTTGGGCCCCACCTTTTCTGCGAGTTGAGTCAAATATTCGGCCACCTCACTCTCGGCCAGGGGAGTGCTGAATAGGACTCGATACATGCCCTTTCCTTCTGGATCTGCTAGTCGTGGTATTAATCGTGGTCTCATACCTTCGAGCAGGGTTTCAAATATCCTCGGCACACCCGGGAGAATATGTATATTTCTATTGACCACAGATATCGGCACCCAGAGGTCTTCCTTGACAAACAAAACTTGCTCCTCTTCGGGGATGTCAGGATCGGTAGGTAGCAAGGCCATCCGATATTTGGCTGTCAGGGCAGGAGACGGGACATCCCAGGAGAAATTCGGCTGAGATTTATGCGGCCGTGAATACTTCTTCATCTTGGCCACCGTGGGCTCATGCAGCTTAAGTTCGAGATTGAAGGCTTTGGCTATCGATTGGTAGGTGATGTCATCGTGGCTGGAGGGATATGGAATCATTAGCTTCCGTAAATGGACTGAATGGGAGAGTCAACATGGCATCCATACGTCGGACCAATCCCACCGCTAGTCACTACAAAGTCATAATTCCGTGACATGCGCTGCGCGGCTTCAATAATTTCATCCTCGTCATCGGCGATGACTTCGACTCTTTTCAGGTGGAGCCCGATCGAGAAGCAGAATTTGGCTAGATACGCCGAATTTGTGTCGACAGTCTACCAAGGTATGAATATATCAACCACGACCTAAAAAGCAACCTGGGCCGTACTTGTCCAGAACAGACGTAGTATTTGCACATCATGGCCAGGATGCCCTTTGTAGACTGACCTTGCCACCCAACACTTCATCGCCAATAATTATACAGCCCGCGGTGTGGATAGTACTCCTTTGCGTGGAGGGAACGGAAGATGATGATGATGTCATATTGAGCGCAGGTTGGGCAAGTGAAGGGGCGTTGCGATGCGCCTGGTTGAGTAAAGGACGAGACAAGTGACGCGCCAGTTGAGTGAAGCGAGAAAACATGAAGGGAGGGGAAAAGGCAGCGCAGGAGGTCGAGGAAGAGAGCGCAGAGAATGAGAATTCCACCGAGGACAAGGATGGAGGATGGAATTGAGATGATGTCGACTTTCGGAGTCGTACTTGAAGCCGATATTCCTGCAGCCAATCAACTCCAACTGGGGCCTGGGTGCCGAGGAGAGACTCGGCCACCAGGTACGAGTACAACCCCCACCACCAGTCAGCAACAGACGACGCCATCCGAAACATCAGATCTTCTACTCCGTACACTCTAGACCAGACAAATCTCTCAGCAAAGCTCGCACAAAATCAGCTCCAGATAATCCGATCTACGGAGTATTGTGACACTCCTCAACTTGTCTGGTACGACGCCCACCCGAGCCTGGAAATTCTCCGGTAGCACTTGCCGTCAATCGTCAACAATAGCGATTGACTGCCCCGCACCTGCCTCACTTGACAAGGCTGACATCTCAAATCGATCCTGCCTCATTAAATATTGGATCTTGGATCTTGGATCTTGAATCTTGACACGTCTACCACACCAACACTTGAGCAAAAGCTGCCACAGTCCAGCATCACAGCCATGGTATCTTGTCCCTCAACCATTTCATCATCCTTGTGCCCGTCATCACCCCCATTTTCAGCATGCCTTGTCTCGTTCATTTCCGCTAACAGAGTCAGTCAGACTCTCGGCTTTACACCTTCTCGCAAGAGACCAAAGACCAGTTGAGGAAATTCCGGCTAGGGACCTCTCGAGCAAAGAACCCTCAAGCAAAGATATGTGAGTGCAGTCACTTTCCTTACCTCGAGAATTGCGTCTTTCAGCATGCCGAGCTACCAGCTTCCGTCGTTGGAACCCCATGGACTCTAGGCAAACCAGACAACTCTGCCCCACTGTCTCTTTCTAATCCTCCCAATTCAAAACATTTATTGAGATCATGAACACCTTCTAGACCAAATCGACATCAAAACCCAGGAGATCAGGCCTTCGTCCGACGAAACCTATTCTGATCTGCGAGACCTGGCCGACGAATTGCCAGACTCCTCCCCTCGTTTCGTCTTACTTAGCTACCCTTTAACTCTGGTATGCATATATCCTGTCAATCCCTGTCTTCGACTCTCTTTCTATTTCTCCGCATCTCTAACTCTCTGCCCTCACAGCCTTCTGGCCGCCTCTCCGTCCCATACGTCCTAATTTACTATCTCCCCGTCAACAGCAACCCAAATTTGCGCATGAGCTATGCCGGTGCAGTGGAGCTTTTTCGCGGCACAGCCGAAGTCAATCGTGTCTTGGAGATCAGTGAGGCCGAAGAACTCGAAAGCATCGAGGACAAACTCAAGGGCGAGGACTAGATGGTAAGAGTGACATGTAATTGGGTATTTGTGAGTTTATCATGTCATGTTTTCGTTGAAACATTGCATTGAAGATCATTCACAATCATGTATTGTCTTGTTTTGGACTGTTGGTATTTCCATTGGTAACGAATGCATCTTCAAGCCCTTCCCTTGAACCGGCAATTACTGTCAGGAAGCACAAAACACTTCTTTGTAGTGTTTGCGAAGACAATCAATCTTATGAGGCGAATATAGGCAGCAGTGTCAGCTTACCACAGATCATATCACGTGGAAACAATGACGCATGTCCAAATCATATCATGGCCATGAAAACTTCCCTGCGTGGGATGAATACATGATCTACCTGCGCCCCAATCAGAACCCGCCATGAAATGCATAAAATATCCCATTTTAGCCAATTGATCAGACAACATTGACACCCGCCCACAGATGCCCTTCGTTGAGTCCTCAAGGGTATGTCGAAAGACGCAGCTCCAACGTTGGCAGGCAGTGACAAGGGAGTGCTCGCATCTCTACACGAGACTGCTCTCTCATGCCGCACCTTGTCATACTCTTCACAAAATCGACACAGGCTCATTACCGAGCTCTCAGCCAGGTTGAAGACTAAGGCGTTCTTAGCCGGGTTGGACTGCCAGCCAACTCCCACGTTTGCAACCACAAACTCCCATATCACCTAATAACATCCGTCTTGGTGAGCAGATCATGTGTAGGCAAACTGTTCCAACTCCTTCCACCAGTAAGTCGTTCTTGCAACGCACGCTGGTAGAACTCCCAGGCTCTATGTCTGACAATTCTCCATGCACTGTGCCAGTACTCTGTGCCGACGGCCCGCGACACCAGAAGAGGTTCATTGCCGGGTGCGGCGTGGTCCTCGTTGTCGATAGCGACTAAAGCGTCTTTGACCCACATCTCGGAATCCCAATCAGCTGCGTCGTTGCGCACTGGGACACGCGATAGGACATCGGCTAGACGTGATGGCTGTGATGTCTTTGCGATCAACACCCTCACGGTCAGGACCCGGGCTGGCTGTCGTCCCTGTCTGTTGGATGGTGTACCGAGCATGTCTGGCCACCCGTCGTTGTTCCCCCGCAGGCCCAAGGAGATGGAATCCTGCACAAACTGGTACCGCACGTTCATTGTCCCTGGGACTACCTCTTGTTTCGCGTGAAAGCGCTTCCCCGTTGCGCCACGGCCTAGGCTTGTTCCTGAAGGTGTCGCTGACGATGACGACTGCGACTGTGAGGTTGGGTTCTGATCCTTTCTCTCGTCTTTCGGTGCAAGAACCAGTGACCAGTGGTAACTAGAAGGGTGTTGAGTGAGTGCGCGTGCATAATTAAAATTGATATAAAGGAGGCCAGGGTAAAGCTGGGGCTGGGGTAAGGACACTGTGAGGTGAGAGATTCTCAAGGTTTTTGTATATATCAATAGGTTGTTGGGCATCAGGGTTTGTGCAAGAAGAGAACTCCAAGGATGCAACCGGCACACGATCTCAGAACATACTCTCTTTCGCCTCCCGGAACAACAAGAGCACCGTCTGTGTAGCGACGGACATTCTCGAGATAGATGTAGAGACGGTCTTTATTTTCTGCCGCCGGAGTCGATGTGGTAGGTAGAACCCACTCCATGCTGCTTGCTTGTGTTGATAGATGAAGAAGATCAAGAATTCTTGTCAGGTTGATATAGGTCGGATCTGTTTTATTCGATGAAGAAAGATCACGAATTCTTGTCAGGTTGATATTGGTCGGATGGTGGAGACAATAATGGAGGCTTTTGATATTCTCTGGTTTCCGAGAGAAATATTTATATCATCATCAGAATCATATATGACTGTGCTATACTGTACTGACTGTGCTCCAAAACGTTCAAACGCCAACAACCATGATACAATCAGTTTGCAGTCATGCAAGGGAATCAATCACAAGCACAAACTGCTCTGCTCTGCTTAGACTAACACCAAACGTTGTCACATCGAGACTCATAGCTGTGCTCTGACATGAGCCTTTCCACCACCCAGTCCAGACTCACTACCAACGAACGACGATGGGGTTGTGAATCCCTTGAAGTATCCTTCAAGTGCTTCGACTGTGCCTTGTCCCTCAACCAATCTGATGGCAACGCCAACATGGCCGTCTGGTCGGACAACAACGACTGCACCTTCGTCACCAGTGAGGCCAACCTTGGCGTGTGCGCCAAATTTGGCATCAAGAGCCTTCATTTGTCTCCGGTCATCTGCATAGATGCGACCACTGTATGCTTGGAACAGTTCTGGGAGATTGGAGATTTCAATCTCGGGTCTCTTGGCGGCGAGAGTAAGTGCGATAGAGAAGAATTTCGAGTGTGGGTTATCGCTGTCGTAATGCGTGTCGCGTGTTGAGTTTTTGCACGAGAAGCGGGAATAGAATGAATCGGGTCGCGACAAGCCGCTGGCGAGATCCGCCAGAGCCTTGTGCCCACCCTTCTTCGGCGATGCCTTTTGACCGCCAAAGATAAACAGGCGGAATGCGCCGTTGAATGGGATTTCGTTTTCGAGGTGAACCACATTGGCATCAACCACCCTAGTCACGTCTGATGGTGGAATGATGCGACCAGGTCGAAGCTTTTCAGAGTCGGTGATGACAAGAGGATGTTGGAAAGGATGCTCCAGTGAGTGATTGAAGATGTTGCTCTTATAAGCAACGCCGAAACCAGATGTGAACTCGCAGTTTGCCTTGAACATCTCAACGAAGGGGTTGTCTTTTTGTGATTCTGAGCCGGCATGTGCGTCCGACACCTCGGCTGCCGAGGGTATCCGTTGAGAAAAGAGAGCAGCATATTTGTTATCAAAGTCGAGAAGAGTCTCGGCAATGAATTTTCGCTCAACCTCGTAGGTTTCGAGGACATTGCGATTGGCAAAGCCAGACTCGACCAGGTGCAATTTCCAGGCCAAGTTGATCGCGTCGTGGAAGGCTGTGTTCATGCCTTGTCCAGCTTTGGGCGAGTGAGTATGGCACACATCTCCACCCATAAAGACACGATGGTCTAGAGTGTATTTATCGGCAATTCCCTGGCCAATGGGATAGACCGAGTACCACTCAACTCGGTCCCATGAAACATAATATGGTGCAAAGATCTTTTTGGCAGCTGCCTGAACCTCGGCAACGGTTGCTGTCTTTCGAGGGTCGAAGTCGGGGTCGGTGGAGCTGGCGATCTGAATATAAAGTCTGCACATGTTGTTTTCGCGAGGAATAACCATGATGCTGCCGTGGTCGGAATGGATCGTGCACTTCATTTTGATGTCTGGGAAATTTGTGCGAACCACGCCGTCCATAACGCCCCAAACGTGTGAGATAGGATCCTTGTGCCGGATCTGAACGCCAAGTTGCTCGCGAACGAAACTTCGTGCGCCCTCGCCGCTGAAGAGATACTTGGTACGGACAGTGTCGACAACATTGCTGTCAAGGTTCTTGAGATCGACCTCGACAGGATAGTCCGGGTTCGCATGATTGGTCTCAAATCGCGTGATCGTCCAAGGTCGTTGAACGACTGTCCCATTCTTCTGGATGTCTTCGATCAACACTCGTTCAATCAGACCTTGATGAAGCAAAGCCGTGTAAGGATATCGACCATCGAGGAAATCAGGACAGCTAGCCCATGTCCCAGTGCGGACAATCTTTCCTTCTGGCGCCGGATCCCAGAAGGCCACTTCAAATACTCGGGCAGGCTTGTGGGCCATGATTCCAGATTTCAAGCCCAGATTCTTCAAAATTTCTATCGACCGTGGCTGAATGCCATCTGCTCTGCCTGTGGCGGTGGGCACAGGCCGGTTGTCAATGTGGCGAACTTTGTAGCCCCATCGTGACAAACAAACCGAAAGCAAAAGGCCGACAGGGCCAGCGCCGATGATGACAATGTCGTACAGAGAAGAATCAGACATGGTGACAACGGCGGTAGAGTTCAGGGAGAAGCAGAAAGGTGGTGGGCCAAAAGCAATTGATCGCTAAGGTGAAAGAATGTTATACTGAATTGGATTCGGAGTCCAAAAGACGAGAACGGTCAGTTCACTACCCTAGAGGCCACTAGTGAAGGAATGAGATTGAACAGAATTAGCCAATTCCGAAAGGCAAGATGGATATATAAACTCGTCAAAGAAGTAGTCGAAGTGCCGGATAATGAACATGGCAGATGAGCAAGGAACTCCACAGCTAGCCAGGTGTACGAGCAAAGGAAGCGAGCACACCAACCGTACCTGGTCGAGTGTCCGAAAGCATTGCCGCCCTCGACCAGAGCGTTGCTTTGCCCAGAACTTGGGGAGTCTTGGATCTGTGGAGGAGTAATCCCGAACCCAAGGCGGTTTACCTTGTGGAGATATTGGAATTGCCATCATTGCCACTAGAGAAGTCATCATTGGTTGTTGTGGAAGATGGCCAGAATGTCATCGGTTCTTCCCCGCAACCCGGATGTTGATATCGGCAAGTCGCACGGAAGTCACGTGCCGATTCCGTGGCTAGTCACGTGAGTAGCTCCCAGCCGCTCGGCCAACCGAAAGCTCTCAAAAAAAGATCAACCTCAAACATCCATTCTGTGACCTTCTTGGATGATCCTATGGCGATGAAGGTGTCAGCTCGTCAGTTCCTCTTCTTCAGCCATGGAATTGTCCAGCCCGATTAGTGAGGGAGCTTCTGACCATGTTTTTGAACAGATTGATGAGCATCCAACGCCATGATGGTTGTGTGCATCCAATCTGTCCAGATCTGAGGCTAGGTGAACATGTTAACGTCGTTGATGACATGAACACAGGAAGCAGGCAAATTCACAGGGTTTGAGAGCACTCTCAAGCTTCCACAGACACATTCGAATGGTGTGAAAATGGTAATGAAGATTTCATCCTCTCCAAGGTTCTTGCTTCCTTTTCTCGTGACTTGTTTGACCTTCATGTTCGCTCCTTCCGCCTTCCACTCTGTTCCAGACTTCGGATCAGGAACAACAATCCACCGATATCGCTTGGCATCTATGAGCAGGTTCACCACAATGATTTCGATCAACGACGACAGGAGGACAGGCTGGTCTGCATCTGCTCACGTCTTGTCTTGTTGAAGTTCACTTCGCAGTCTTGTTGTTGAGGATCTGGCGTGTTCCATCTCTTCTCAAGGTTCTATTTCGTTTCGGTTCATTTCAAGGCATGCATCAACCCGCTTTGGTACCTGTCCCTCGCCTTCTCCCATCACACTTCGAGTGAGATCTGTCTCTTCCGAGTGCCTACTAGGAATGTCCTTCAGCACCCATGGCGGGTAGTTCGGGAGAGCAGACCATCTCCTCGACATCTATCATCCGTGGTCGGCCCACCAGCGAACATGACATCGTTGGTTGCTTCGATGAGGAGTCTTGCCGTTACTTCCTTCGTGAAGTCGGCAGCAAGGTTGTCCCATTCTATCCTTTCACCTTTGGCATGGAGGAAGTCTACAGCTTGATTGTCGAAGAATACGGACTTGCTGGAATTCCCGATGCCACCAGTGTCTTGCAGGATCTTCTCGAGAATGAACGTACAGCTGGTGGACTGGGTGATGACGGCGATATTTGGCGCTCATGGCGGCACAGCTGGCGGCACAGAAATGTAAGGTCTCTCCCACCTCGTCAGCGTCCTCTAATGGCGCCTAGGACGACTCTCTCAACCCTTTCATTCCCAAAATTAGCAGCTTTGTTTTGAAACCTCCCACCTCTCCCCGAACACGAATCTTCAAGTCGGAAAATTTTCTTCGTACAATTGATGAACAGTGGTACCGAGACGAAGCTTTGAACCAGATCACCGCAGCTTCTGATGGCACAGCAACCGGGCAGGGTCCTGCGGGATACTCCCAGTTCGCCAAGCTTACATGCACCCATCAGCGTCTTAGAACTGCAGTCGAGACGACCGAAGGTTCGCATTCACAAGCAACCAGAAAGCATGAATCCTCGGGTTCTACCAAAGCTTGGAGTCGATCTTCTTCCTTTCGATCGAGTCTGTTCGGCCGTCAGTCGTCGACACCGCTGCGAGCAAAAGCATCCAGCAAATCGTTTCTGAAACAGAGCTCGAGTTTTGCCGGCTCTCGTCAATCGGATCTCAACCTGAACGCATCGCCGTCTTTACCAACCGAAGAGCGTCGACCTGTGACGTTCGTGCCCACCATTCAATTCTCTTCCCCGAGATCTCCATTGGTCCCTTTGAAGGAGCGGAAGCGCCTCGATGTCATCAACAGCGACGCTTCTAACTCATTCCAAGCCGAAGAGGATGTGCAGCCTGACAGTGCGATGTCCCTGAATAACATCCAGATGGATTCATCTGTTTTGATGGCGTATGAAACGTTGACAGGAGAAGAACCGTTCTCAGCAGAACAAATGCCCTACTTGAGAGGCGGAGGTGAGGCAGATATTGCAGCTTCAGTTCAAGTGAACAAATCAATGACGCGATGCCCAACAATTCCTCTACCTGCATCTTTGTCCCTCCCTACGTCAGATATCACTACAGCCCTGCGCGGTGCTGACGATACCACCATATCAGACTATAGCCACATTGACTTCGCATCCATGGCTGGCCAGTCACCCGAAGAGACATCCAACACATCGGCTCGCAAAAATCATGCAGCGGTCATCGCATCTCCGGCCCTCTCCCCCGGGACCAAGATTCATGCTAGAAATCGAGATCTGCACGAAGAAATACCAGGCGCTAATGTGTTGCGAGCCATTAATCGAGAAGCCAGGTTGATCGACGGACAGTTTTGTAATCCCCGAATTTGGAAGCGTCTCTCCTCGCAACCATGGGAACTTCATGACCAAAGCTTGGTGCTGGAAGATGTTAAGCCCGTGTCGGTCCGCCAAAGCTGGGCCTCCTCAAAACCAAAGCGTGATTCTCGCATCAGTCTGCTCCGAGGGCTTCGTGGAGTATTCCGGAAAGAATCCCTCCCAAATCAAGAGCCTTCGGCGGTGAAGACTGAAGAAGGTGAAGATCAGCTGCAGCCAAGGAACACACCAAGTCTGCCCTTCAGCGGCAACTTCATTTCCCCAGGTCGTGTTAAGAAGCAACAAGCTAATCACGCATTGGGCCTTGACGGTGCAGCTGATGAGATGTCGTCACCGTCGATATCTCTCTCCCCAGATGTTAACAAAGCCCTTCCGCTTAGCCCAGGAGAACTTGCTCGCGCATTGTCTCAGCACAAGCCTTTGCGAAGAACCTCAACAGACTCTCAAAGTCGCCTGTCAGCTCTTTTCTCTGTAGCAGGATTGCATCGATCCAGCAGCTATCGAGGATCTGGGGATAGGTCTCATTATACACTGAGCCAACACCGTATATCAGCTCCCTTTTCGTCACCATCTAGACGACGTGGACCACGCCACGCAAGAACGAAGACAGAGCCCATCAGATCGTTCTCTGCGCAGTTCTCGTACGCAACCCAGTCTTTGTTGACATTCTATGTTCTTTGCTAACTAAACTTCAAGGCCCATATCCTACTCGACTATTGCATATTCAAATCCGTTCACCTCAGACAAGGTTGATCTGTCACCTGTTCGACCTCCTTCCCCGCTGTTCGCGAGAAGTGGCCCACAGGACGCTTTCCCCGGACCTACGGACTCTTCAGCACAAAATCCAGACATCGACCGTAGCCCTGGAGCCAATAACGCAGGTGCCATGTACGCCTGGTCACCAGCTCCAGTCGGTCAAACCCCTGACAAGCCGTCAGTGCCAGCACAAAATCCAATTGTCCGGTCACCGGTTTCAGTCGATTCAACCCCGGAAAAGCCCTCAGTGCCAGCACGAAACCCATTCGCCTGGTCACCCCCTCCAATCGGTCCAACCCCTAAGAAACCATCAGTGCCACTACAATACCCATTTGTTTGGTCACCTGCTCCAGTTGAAAAGCCGTCAATGTCAGCACATGGTCCACACGAATGTTCGTCTTCTCCAGTCGGTCCAACTCGGGAAAAGCCATCAGTGCCAGCACCAGGCCCAAACCTCGAGCAAAGCCCTGCGTTCAAGAGCCCAGATATCGCTCATAGCTATTCACCTGGTCTAGCCACGGAAAAGCCACCGGCGCCGAATACCCCTAAGCGGTCGATCAAGGCATTCTTTGGCCGCAGCAAGAGCCCGAGCAAACGCTCGGTTTCACCCACTCCCCGGATGATCCAGCCGATTCTCATGATAGCTGAGCAAGATACCACTAAGAAAGATATCCAACAAGGCACTCCTGCAAATTCCACGGTGAGTTACAAATTTCCACACTTCGAAGTTGCATCATTTTGATATGTTGTATTATCTTAGGCATCTCAAGCAAAAGGTGTTTTCCACATCCGACTCGACGAACGCAGCATTGAAGGCGCACCCAAGAACCGAGCTATTTCCCTCGACCCGCCTAGTCAGAGCGTCCTCCAGGCCGACCTCGACCTCATGCTAGTGACTTCCGCCAACGAGTACCTCCTGCGCGAAGCAACCTCCCAGCATTTGAACGCCGACGTCGTCAAACTTGAAAAGCAGAAATGGGCTGCCCGCGGACACTTACCCGTCATCGACTTCCAGTACGATAGTACCACCCAGTGCTCCATTGTTTCGACGAATATCACGTCACTCCGTTTCCATGGCATTCCCAAGGAGAATAGGCTCGCCTTTGTGAAGACTGTCATTGCCGCATGGCATAGTGTGACACAACTCCTCAGCCAGCGCGTCTACTGCCATCCGGACGTGTCTCTTCGAAATATCTTACACGATGCATCCAAAGTTTTGGACCTTTTAGGTGCTCCGGAGGAGACGATCTTGGGATTTCATGATTTGCAGATCAGAGCGTTGGCGCAGATGAACCGAGTTCGACGATTGCGAGAGGAGGAGGCATCAAGGAATGGATGAATGGGGCTTTTCTCCGATTCGTGCTAAAATTCATTGTGTGTTTTCAAAAGTCTACCTGATCCATGACGCCATATTCGTCTCAGTTTGGCGGTGATGAATGTTGTGTGTGGGATCAGAGAATGGCAAAGATGCTAAGGGCTGTAACTGTCGGATTACTGTCGAATCTATCTCCAAGGGAGAGATAGGAAGCTTGTCAAAGTCATAAAGCGTACTGTATGAGTATAGGTGCAATGTGGTCACGAAAACTCACATCGCTGATGCCGACTTTAATGTGTATGATTTCTTGTATTCTGCCAGTTCCCTTCAAAGGGGCATTGTTCTAGGGTTTGGAAGCTTACTGCACCCAGTACTATCCAAACGCAGATTTCATCCAAATATTCTGCTGTGATCATTCCCCACGTATGCCTAATGGCAGCGTCCTGTCAGCCGCATATTTCTCATGAAAATCCCCCAGCCCGAGGCTCGAGAGACGACCCGTCTTCAAACTATGATATAAGCATTAGTAAATGTGGCTTGCAAGGTACAACCAGTTGGCAACTTACATCGACGAACCCGCACAGGGTTGCAAGCCCAGTGTAACATCGCACACAATCGGCAATAAGAGGCCGACTCTCTTGGTCAATCTTCCCATTGACGCCAAGATGTTTCTTGAAGAAACCGACAACGTTCTGCCGATAGTCTGTGAGAAAGGAACGAGCCTGGTACTGGATCTGCTCGTTTTGTAGCCCACGAGATGCAAATGTCGAAAGGAGGACCCGCAGAGTTGATGAGGTGAGGGTGTAGTATGAACGAAGCGCTGACTGAGCAGTTGTTGAGATAGCCGTAACAGGCTCGTCATCCATCGAAGTTGATAGCGCAAGCCCAAGATCTGGGTCGGCGTTGAAGAGCCGAGTGTCTCGCACCGCGCCCACAAGACCGCTGTCAAGGAGAGCACCTGCGCCCTCACGACTCCGCGATATTTGCAAGAGAAGAAGGATTCGCGCTTCGAAAATTGCAAGAAGGTATGAACGATCTAAAACTGTTAGCACTATCCGGTAGGCAGGTGAGAAAGAATCAACTCACGAGCCGGGTCTGCTTCTTCGAAATCCTTGGAAATGTACTTGATAGGATCAATCAATATTTCCAGTGCGTTGGCCTTGACAATGGCATTCAGAACAAAGCTCGACTTCTCCATTCGAGCCAGTGAGGTTAGTAGCGAGAGAAGGTTGAATGCATTGATTCGACATGCGTCCACGCCATCATCGGCATCGTCACACAAAAGTTGGACAAGACGCTGGCTGGAAGACCGCACACAGTCCATAGCGTTGCGGCGCGCTTTGGCGTTGACCGTTACACCCGAGGCTTGGGAAATCAGAATCCTACTCAAATATTGAGAGCAGATACTGTAGAATGTGCTGCGTAGCTGCGTGTTGGACTCGGAGGCTGAGATGCCTTCGATGGAAGCTCTGAATAACTGAAAGAGCTTCTCAGTGACCAAATTGTCCAAGTGTGGTTGAATTCCCCCACCCGAAGTCTCCGACAGGGAAAATAGTAAAGCGTCAGCGGCTTTTGCGAGCTCCACTACGTCTCCCAGATTGTCTGTAATGTATGCATCCAATTTGGGAAGCATTATCTGCAGCATGCGCAAAACGAACTGTGTTTTGGCGGGAGGGTCCAACGGACAGGTTTCGATGATGGCGACAATTAGCTTCATATATTCGTGCAGAGCATCTGCTCGGGCCTTATGAACAATGACAGCTCGATTGCGTGCCTCCAATGTGGCAATTATTGCATCACTCTCCTCGATAATATCCAATTCAATCTCGGCTTGTCGAGTGCTCGACGTCTCAGTGCTGCGTTGCAAAAGGTCGACCTTTGATGCGTTCAACCATTCACGGCATAAGCCAAGATTGTACAGTGAAGGCGAGTCCTCTGCCGGATCGGTCAAAAATGTGTCGAAATCCACATCGCTCCAGAATTTGGTGACAATGTCGAAGGAAGCCGACAAGTCGAGATCGAGGAAGTCAAAGAAGGAAAATACATCGGCGTGATTGATGATTGAGCCATCAGTATCAGTGGTTCTTCCCTGGAGGGTTGACAACGCTTGTCGGAGTGTGGTGCTCAGTTGCTCACTTGAAGCGGCTCGCAGCTCGGTCTCGGTGTAATTGAACAGGGCGGATCGAAAGTCCAGGTACTTGGCAAGGGCTTCTGCGGAGGTTGCATACCAAAATCTGTCCTTCTGTAGAACAGAAAACCCATCCCACAATGTAGTTTGAGAGATTACAGGCATGCTCACGTATTGTGCTTGCAGAAAGTGGATTCGCCGTAACTGGCCGATCACAACAGTTTTCGACAGAGAGGCCGTCCACAAATGTCTCAGAACATTAAAGGCAGCCGTTTTCAGATGCAGGAGCCAAAATGTCAACGACATCCCATCGTCAACAGGGTATTCTTGTGCAAGGGATGTAATGGCGTTGAGGACAGCGGTCCCGTCATTGATGTTGTCAGAGATAAACAAGGCTTCGCCAATCCTGTCGAAGCCCAGGAGGAGGTGGGCAAGGTTGGGCGAGTTGGGCACAGTTTCCAAACACGCGTTGAAGAAGGCCAATATTCCATCTTTGCTGAGATAACCGAGAGATCCAAACCCATCCTCCAATTCTCGAAAAGTCACTTGAAGCCGTGCAGAAAGATTTTGCGCCACAAGTTCGAGTTCAAAAGCAGGATATGACCCAAAGGCATCCACAAGTCGCCTCGGTCGAGTATGAGTCGTTTCAATGAGTGAAGGATAACCATTTATCTTTGTTGAACTTGAAAGCTTTTGCAGGAGAGCCAGCGAACGCAGAGATAAGTCAGCATGGCTAGAGGCCGCAAATTGACACAATCCAAGGAGCACGTCCGGGTTGGATATGAATGCCTCTTCTATTGAGCCAATGCTAGCTCTAATCTGACGGTCTGTTGCTTGGCGAGACTGTAGTAGTGGTTTCACAATGTCAAAATATGTCGGCTGTAGATCCAAGACCCTGTTGACTATATCGATGGAGCGTTGAAGTCCCATGAGCAATGGAGAGTCTGGCAATGTTCCCTCAATGGTGTCGATTGGAACACGGAACAAAGATGTGATGAACTTGATGACATCTGCACTCAGAATCCATTGAACGAGCCGAGCAAACGGACTAGCTTGTGCGTAGAACGCGGGACCTTGAGTGTCTTGTGGACCATCTCTCGCTGTCGCCGAACGATCGAGAATTGCAAGATGATCCTCATTAAATCCTTCGAGCCCGACGGCTATGAAGTCCAAGCAATGGAATGATCCAATAGCCCGCTGTGTGTCGTCACTAAGCTCGGGAAGGCGGCGGGAGATGATATGACCGCAAACGAAATCGACATACGGCTCTATGCCGATGCTCCGGTAGGACGCACCGAGATCGGCGGGAAATGGTAAGCGATCAGCGCCAACGCTAGTTGAAGGCAATGGTGCTATGAGGTCGCGAAGTAGCACGACGAAGGCATCGTACTGATCGAAGGAAAGAGCTATAGAGCCCAGCGTGCCGTTGAGGAAGGCCAAAGAGGCTTTGTGAGGGGATGCCGACTGATTGCCAGATGTGCGAAACGAATCATGGCCACGAGCTCCCCAATCGTCCAATGTTCTCCACATGTCGCTTGCGACTTGCAATGTCTTGTCGGTGAGCAAGGCAGCAAGAGTAGCGAAGATGCTTGCCCTCATATAATTCGGGATGGGGCCAGAGCTCAGGATCAGGAGAGATTGCGGAAAGCTCACGCTCACGTTTTCCAAAATGTACTGTCGGGTGCCGCTTTGTAATCGACACAGATGTGCAAGTAAGCGCAGATAGCCGGACAACATGACGGGGCTTTCGAGTTCATTCATTTCTGTTGGTGCAGCCTTAGGATTATTGGGAAGCTGAGAAGAAGTTGTGCGCTCGTGGACTTTGGTCGCGTACAGTTGCAGCTCTGCAAAGATTTGCGCGTAGTTCATCGAAGGATTGCGCCGGCCGCGAGAGGCAGTCGGCAGAGACACATCAAGTAGAAACTTATGAGCCGCTTCGGCACTTTCTTGGTCCTCTGAGATGGAGCAAAGTACTTCACAAAAGGCACTGACACGTGGTACAGTTTGTCGCATGGAAGCCCATTGAAGAAAGCCGTAGAGATTGTTGTCCGGGTCTTCCCACCACTGGGCGGCGGCTTCAGGTCTTTGCTGAAAGGCGAAAGATATTAGTACCAAGAAGGCTTCTAGGTGAAGTCGACTTTCGATGCCATGTCGTGGATCGATCGGAAGGCCTTCCTGGATTGCCATCAATTGATTCAGTCTCTGGTCGTCCTCTTCTGCCTTCAACCGACGAATGGAATCGGGCATGTTTGTGATGAAAGCCTCAACAAAGCTCTCAAGCGCCTCCATCAGGTGTAGAGCGAAGTAACTCGAGGTTTGGTCACCATCGAGCGAAATGGCTGAGCCATCGCTCAGCAAGAGCGCCACCAGCTCCTGGCGGGCAGGATGCCTCCATGAGTCCGAGTCGACCGCCACGCACATCGACAACAGGCACTCCAGAGCGTCGTCTTTGAGCGCAGCTTTGACCACAAGTCCCCTCTGGTCACTGGTGGGATCGTCAGCAAGGTCCCGAAACCGCCCGCTATACTCCACAGTCCACCAAAGCACAAGAGCTGCACGGAAGGGGCGGATAGGCGAGGGATCTTTCGGCAAATCCCCTAGGGCGCGATTGAGAGATTCGGCCTCTGTTTGATTTGTGCCATCGAGTGAGCCCAAGGTGCGGAAGGCGGACGAGAAGGCAGGTAAATAGTGAATCAGGTTGAAGTCCATGCGAGGCCATTGTTTGACGATTTCATTGAGCTTGCGAAGTTCTTCCGGCGAGGCGTAGTTGCCATCGAAGAGATAGGCCAGGATGGAACCTAGTGCCTCGTGTTGCTTGAAGAGACTCTCCTTCTGGAATTCGAAAGTCGCGTAAAACTCTGGACCTCGTGGGTCTCCAAGAATTGCCCTGCTTTGAAGCGCATCCGCAATCCGAGCCTGAAATCTTTCCAAGGCATTCAAGGAATCGATACATTTTCTGGTAAAGGCATGGCCATTCCCGTGAATGCCAGACGCAATATCAAGCACCTGCGTGACAATATTGCCAAAAGCGGATTGTACGAGCTCGTCAAGTTCGTGATTCAGGGATTGCTGACAAGTGATTCGGAAGGATTGAAGGAGAAGATCTCGGCGATTATGGAAGGCGCTTACGACATCGGTGATGACGGATTGGCTTGAGGTCGAGGGGTCTGCTTGGGTTTGAATGAGGAGACGGCCTGCCTCAACCTCGTCCAAGTCAAGGGTGGTACCGATAGCGCGACTGATATGCTTGAACTCATCGTTTATGCCATACTCTTGATCATCGACGCTGATTTTGCCTAGAGCAGGTCAGCAGCTGAGTCCCGAACGCAGGGGGGTGTGAAGTCTTACCATTGTTATACTGGTCTCTATCTGCTGCTGATGGAGTAGGCCTGTCCAACAATTTTTTGAAGTCATCAACGCTTGCATTCAATTCATCCACCAATCGTTCGATATTTGCTAGACGGCCCTCGGTGAAAGCAGTGAGGTCGGCGTGAAGTGCTTGGAGACGTTCAAGGCTCTCCATGTTGACATGAGAATGTACGATGGAGTCGTCGAATACGGAGGTACGTAGCAAAGCGAGCGTAGACGGCAATGGTTTTGTGGCACACCACAATAGACCAGGCGTGGGTTGTCGAAAAGCTGGAGGTTAGTGGGTCGTGGCCGTGTTGATGGTGACCTGGCAATGTGTGAAGTTGAATGCGTTGAAGCGCGTCTCCAATGCAAAAACCATCTCCAAAAAAAGGCAGTCGCGGGTCACAACTTCTGGGCACAATTACCAACAGACACGGAAGGCGCCTCAGGCCTCAGGTGCCTGGGGAAAAGTGACTAGATCTAATACGGTTAGTGTATATATCGCCAAGCCTATTCGCAACTCAGCCTTGCGCAGTCGTCAGTGAAGTTCATTCACGACACATGTACTGTCAACATTGAGGTTCTTCCTAGTGATAGGTTGGACAAGGACCATGCAATCCATGCATATCGCCGCTATCCAATCACAAAGTCATATCGGCAACCTTTGTGTGGGACAGACACCTCATAAGTTTTGAGCTGGTCGGAGAACAATGCAGTCTCGAAGCACTGACCTGTCGAGTCTTGACCCGTCGGAGATATGGCGGAAGTTAGCATCGCTTCGGCGGCGGGTATGTCTCTGGGCATCTATCATCTATGCTATCTTCGCATCTGTCTGACCAAGTACTCCATAGCAAAACTCGAAGCCGACACACAAAGGACGCGGGTTGAAGGTCTACAAGGTACTCGTCCATCCCTCCATAGGCGGAGTACAGCCATTAACCACGTGCTTATAGATCTAAAACGCCTTCTTGGACAAGGACGCCGTGTATCAAAGTTGTAGGTCCCCTCATCAGTCCTGTTCTCTCTCAACGATCCTCACCCCTATAGTGATGATCTTCCGGATGATGGATTCCACAAAATCTTCGAGCTCCTGTACAAGATTGTCTCCCGTGACAAACCGGTCTATATCAGGACGAATTCCAAGCCAACGACACAAAGGAATGCTGCCTCCCGCTTGGAGTCTACCGCTGCTGCCCTTCGTCTCACGGTTGAGATGGGGGTTGGCAAGATCAAGTTCCGGACCGCTCTCTCAGTCCTAGATCACATCGTCGAGACTCTGCCCCTGGCTGATGGATCCATTTGTCAACCTCTTCAATCCGACTATTTCAAATGCTTCAAGGTCCTTCTCGACCACCCACCTTATTGTGAGCATATGCGACCAAAGCAATGGCAATACTATGTCGACTTCTCTATCGAGGCTCTAGGCGGACAGATCGATGACCATACCCAGACGGCTATAGACAGCAGCCACACCACAACTTTACTCTCAAGGACGGGCTTTAGCCAGTCCCTGCGGCTTGGTGACCGGACCCCACGGCTAGACGTGCGGAAGTCCCACCAAGACGAAGAGATGTTGATGGCATTGAAAAACTTGACCGCAACAACCAATGCTCCAATCATGACCCGAGCCGCCGCGATCGGGGAATGCATCAAGCGCTACATAAACGGCACTTCGAGGGCCCACGAAGCAGCTTTCGAGACGATGAACAATATCCTGACTGTCTCCTTGACGGAAGATGTGTCACTGTCATTGGACCTGGTATCTAGCCTACTGCCACTCATTCGCCGGCTGTGGACGCACAAGTCAAGTGCTTTACGCGACCAAATGCTGATCTTGCTCTGGTCGTGTCGTCACCTAATTCTGACCTCGAGCAATACATGGTCTTCCCTAGACTCTGGCAATCTATCCAATCTCCTCGAAACCATGGTCTCGGAGTACACAGCCCGAAATGATCGAGAGATACTCCATTTTGACGATTTGAAACCGATGGATCAGCCAAATGAATCTGGTCTGCCACCACGACATTTATTTCCATTGCGTGGTAGTCCACGAGCCATCTCCAACTGGTTCGGACTGTCGGTAATGGCCAATTTGTTGGCAGCAACGAGTAAAAATGTCAAGCATGATACGGGGTCTTCCTCACCTGCCGGACCGAGGAAGCGACAAAAGCTTCAGACTCCAATCGACAACATAAGACAAATGGCTGTAGATGGACAAGGCCAGTCGCAACTAGCTGCCATCCAGATCCTATATTTCTTGCTCGATCAACCCAATGCACCGGTCGCCGACATCACAGAATCCATGCAGAATTTATTGTCCGCTCATCAGCACGAGGATGGCAATGTGCAGACATGGCTCTATCTTATATTTTCTAGGTACACAGCTCCTTTTGACCCTTACCTGACAAGCTCAATTAATATCTCCTTAGGATTGCCTACACCTTTGATACCCCACGTCAGCTTTCGAAAAAGTCATGGCTGCAAATCTGGAAGTCTGCAGCCAAGGCAATAATCACCGCTTCCACAACACGAGCAGCATGCCTTTTGCTGAGTGTCATTATAGAGTTGGAGTTTCTGTCATCAGTAACAACCGGCAGCTTCCTCGAGAATACATTCTTTGGAGATAACAATGCCGGGCCGTATCATTTGACTGATACATCCCTGCTTTTGATGACTTCGAGTCTGCGCGGGGGAACTTTTGATAGTGTCAAAAGCTTTGAGTCGCTCTCATCCAAAATTATGGCCTGGTTGGCCTTGAAATGGACTCTTCGTGAGATTATCCTGCTCCCCTGCTCATCTGTTTGTGTAGTGCTAACCTTGACTAGCATCTAGCGTAGATCGATTGCACAATGCCCACATGGTATTTCACGCTCGACCTGAATACTTGTACCGACTTCTGATCACCATTTGCGGCTCGACGGATCCAATACCAAGCTGGGAGGATTGGTCTCCAGCTCAACCGCTCTGGGCGAAAATATTGTCTACCTCTCGAGATTCGGAGATACAGCGCTACTTCCACGGCTTAGAAGCCCCTAGGTACAAAGACTCAGCTCCTAGGACATCTGTTTCAGCGCCTATTGATTATCTCTCCTCTACAAGACTACACCGAAACGTAGGTGCCTTTCTTTCACGCCGCCTGAAAGAATTTCGTCAAGCTTGGGTCTTGATTCAGTCGGAAAGAACATCGAATACAAGTCCCGACGTTGTTGAAATTATGTTAGTTGGTCTAGCCACTTGGGTAGCCGTTGCGACAAGATTCAACGATGTGGGCAAAGAACTCGGTTCCTCACCTGACTGGGCCGAGGCATGGAACTCGACTGTCGGGTTCATCGCTGGTGAAACTGACGAAACCCTTGCGAGTTTGACGAATCGCATGGCCTCGATCGTATTGCGACTGCATACTTCACTCTACAATAGCAATTGCTCTCTTAAACTTCGCGAATACGGGACCGTTATTGAGTCGGCTCTTTCTCTCTCGCGTCGAGCTATTGAAAACAACCTGGCCAGCAACAAAACCGGCGCAGACCCCTTGGAAGATGATGAATTTGTGTCTCAGTCTACTCAAAATTCTCAGTCTGCAGCGCAAGCGTTGATCTTCAGGCTCGATCTCCCAATCTGCCATGATGAGGTCGGATTACTTGCCTGGCATCGTGTCAAATTAGCGACTGCCTCAGCCGGCTTGTCCTCCCAAAGGGCATTTGAACCAGCGGCAACTTCAACTGTTTGTGATGAGATAATGGACCTCGATGCAGACCAGCTCCTATCAGCCCGTGGAGCTGTTTGGGACTTGCTCAGTCTCAATCCTGGTATCACGAGATCTGAAGCAGCAAGACTTTTGCGACAACTTGCGACTTGTTTCCTCCAAGGGGAAAACTACGAAAGATGTGAACCCGCATTGTGCTTTTGCTTGCAAGTCATGATCGGACTGGCAGACTACTGGACCTCCGAGGAATCAGACGACGACCTCTCAGAGGTTTCCTTCGATATTTACGACTGGTTTCTGCGTGTCCTTGATAAGTCAATCACCTCACCGGCGGTGATGCCACATCTCTCCAATCTATTCGACACATTACTTCGCGTAAATCCTTCTTACGGCGCAGGCGATGTCGCTTCTCCTCGAACAGGCTTACTACAGATTCTCCAAACAGGCAGTATGGTCAATAAATTTCACCTTTGGACTAAGCTCTCCCATGTATTCCAACGATTTGTACTCAAGGAGCATGAAGAAATCTTTCAAGATATTGTCGACCATCTGCCTTGCGACCCAGCAGCGATTGAGGGCATTGCAGTGCGCCTTCACATATTAGCCCGACTAGGTAGTCAGTGGCATACAGTACTAAGACACGCGACATACAAAATATACGAAACAGTGGCAAATGTCCCAACCACCACCTCCCTGGCCCAGGGCTGTGTGCAGTCCATCTGTCTTGATCTTGGACTCCACCAATCCACGAATCTCTTCAGAATCTTCGCTCCCCAGATCATCTACACATGGCTTGATGATAACCACCTTGCGAACATACCATTTGCAGCATTTGGCTACGAAAGCTTGAAAGCACTCTTGGTAGACAACTTGAGTGAATTTGTCGGCCAACTCGTTCTACGGGGGTCGAGTCGGGGGTCAGAATTTGCACAGCTAGTGGGCCAAACGTGGTCAGATCTCCTCCTTGCCGGATTTGCGACCGCCGAAGCGTATGCTTTGTCCTCCGAAACAAGTGTACCGAAGCAAGAGCGTCTTTTCGACGGCTCAGAAAAGCATTTACGGAAACAAGTTGGATCAGAGCGCTTTCTGCAACGATTGCGGGAGTGCCTCCCTGACATCATCGCCCAACTTGTGATCTCGTTGCAAGATGACCGTGCGTTTGATAAAGGTCTCGAAAAGAATTCACAAACCCTCAATGCCTCCATGTGGCAAGATATGTGCTCCTTCTCAAAGACCAATATAGAGGTCCCTCTCTCGCAGCAGCCTTCCTTCAGAGCCAGGTGCTTACCAGATGAGTTGCATTACATCTGTGCCCGACTCGAGATCGACTACAGTGAACTCTGGTCTCCAGCTCTAAGTATTTATGTCTACAGATGCTTGTTCAGCAAGGCACTGCCTGGCCTCGGCCCGCTCCACACATGTGGTGTCATCCGCAAGATCAGGACGGTAGTCAGTCTTGCGGGCCCCGTTGCACTTACAGGATATCCACTTGAAATGCTACTCCACAATCTTCGGCCATACCTGACAATATTCGAATGTGCTGACGATACTATGGGAATATATCGGTACTTGCTTCAGCATGGTCGAACCCACCTTCAGACTCGGGTCTCGTTCATTTCTGGTCTTGGTGTGTCGATATTTGCCTCACTCACTGGTTTCATCTCGTCGTCACAGGATAGTACGACCCAAGAAAGCCACTTTTTAGCCACTATGTCCACAGCTCGAGAATTTCGGGACTTTCTAGCCGAGTTCTTCGATTCTTTGAGTTTTCCAAACGTCCCAAGCCATCACTTGACGATGTATCGACGTATCCTTGATCACGCTAGGGGCCTCTCTCGAAAAGGAAGCAGTGATCGAAGCACCAGTGAGGGTAAACTCTTACTGACCCTGCTTGAGGACAGGAGTGATGCTGCCCCACTGCTCACAGACCTGCATTTTAATCTTTCTTTAGAGATTCTCTTGTCAGGCTTCTCAGCGGCGAAAGAACCCATGAACGACATAGTCGCTGACGATGGACTTGCGGCAAAAGTCTCTAGGCCATTACTGTCTGCGATCAGGAGCTTGAAACTCAATCCTTCCTTCAATCTCTGGGCGGCAGATGTCATCGGCCGTGGTTTCATAACCTCTGGGATGAACGATGAATTCGCAAAGGGAGCAAACAACTCTGGGCGCTCTGAAATTGATCATCAAATTCAAGGTGCATCAGCTTCCTACACAAACATCATTGCTTACCTCGCGGACCTGCTGTGGAAGCCTGATATGATCGCTGCTGAGCTGGTGGAAAGGACCTTGCAGTCAATCTCCACAAGCCTACGACCGGAGGACGAAGACCAAATCTTCGCGCCAGAGTTCGACCGAACATGGTTCACTGACATGAGGTTCTCCGGACTTAACGAACTCTTCCTGGGCAATATTCTTCCTCCAGAGAAGAATGTTTCAAAAGCCACGTCGGCGGAACAGCAAGACTCCGAGAATACCAACAGCTGGGCTGCTGAACTATTAGGGAGTCTAGCCTCTGAGACTTCGAAAGATCCCGTTCTGGCATTCCTACAGCCATTAATGGATAGCGTTCCTAGCGTGGCAGACCAAATCTTGCCTCAAGCCGTCCACCTGATTCTTCTCCATGCCGACTCAGGCCAGCCCGCTTCTCGGGACAAGATATCTCATGTTTTTACCACAGAGCTCCTTGACAGAAACGTCAAATCGAGAGGCCCTAGTCAACTTATACTCAAGACGCTGCTGTATCTGAGGCGCTGTCCATATCCTGGGGAAGTCAATGTGGCGAAGCGAGACACTTGGCTTGACATCAATCTGAACGAGGCTGCCATCGTCGCTACGGATTGTCATATGTACCATGAAGCCTTGCTCTTTCTAGAGCTCCACCATTCTCAGGCACAACTTCAGGCAGGACGGTCGTCACGGAAATCGTTTGTGACAGATGTCTCTCCTCCAGAAGATACTCTTTCTCTCATTTACGCGAACGTGGATGATCCCGACTTGTTCTATGGAAAGCATGAAGACACTGATCTGCAATCAGTCATAACAAAGTTGACCCATGAGGGGGCCAGTCAGAAGTCATTATCGTTTCAAAATGCTCTGCTTGAATCGCGATTGAAACTGCATCAGTCTGAAGGGCAAGCTGATGTGGCACGAAATACTGCCTTTGCGTTGAGCGCAGCCAATATGCAAGGGATTTCAGATGCAGTCAAACAGTATTATGGTGGCCCAAGTCTTTCAGGGGAGACAGACGCGCCTAGCACATCCGCCGAAGATAACAATTGGGACCATTTCCCAGCTGAACAATCCACCACAGACTCGGACAACTTTGCATCGCTGTTTGAGGGAATACAAAATTCTTCTAGCAGGAAAAGTCTGGAAAACTATCTGCAGCGCTCCCAGGCCAGTTGTGTGCACAAAATGATACACATGCCAATTGATAAGACATGGCCAGGCACGATTTTGACCGAAGTGGCTATTCTTGCAGAATCACAACAAGCAAGTCTTGCAGTAGAGGAAGGGAACTTCGACTCATTCTGGTCATCCATGATGGACAGAGATCAGCATGTGAAACATGCAGAGTAAGTCTTTGGCATTCCCTGAGGAGCATCAACTAATTTCCCTAGGTTCACGAAATTGTCTCCCCTCTTACTTGGAAGGGAGGCTACCCTCGGGGTCTTGCGTCAAGATAGTCAACTTCAACTCTCTACCGCGATGACTGTTTCTCAGGTGCTATTGCAGGAAATACGAACTATTCGTCAGTCTCTGGACCTAGCGAGCGACGACAAGGCATCCCAAGCTCAATTCAGCCTCAACAGAGCTATGATCTTGTCTGTTCTAGGCCATATGGCGGCCGAAGTTGGACTCAAGGTCGACGTAGCCATCCAGTACGACCTTGCAAGGACTTTGTGGTCGCATGATGAAACTTCAGGTGCCATCAATATCCTCCAGAGCCTCAAGGATCGAGGAGATCTCAGCGATCAGGGGATCCTGGTGACTAAAGCCGAATTATTGACAGATTTGGGCCAGAAGATAGCTGAAGCTCGACTGGAAAAGCCTGACGAAATCATAGACCATTATCTTTTACCTGCTTTCCAACAGCTTCACGGACGGAACATTGGCACGGAGGCCGGAAGAGTGTTCCACAATTTCGCGGCATTTTGCGATATGCAATTGCAGGACTCTGACAATCTTGACGACTTCACGCGAATCAGCAAGATTCGTGATCGCAAACTGCGCGAGTTGAATGATTTGGAGCGTTTACTCAAAACCAGTGAAGGAAAACTAAGAGACCAATTCAAGATGCAACTGGCAAAGACTAAAACATGGTTCAAACTCGACGATGAAGAATGGAAGAGACTGACCAAGAACCGGGAGACTCTCATTCTTCAATGCTTGGAGAATTATCTCCTGTCGATGAAAGCCTGCGACGACTACCGCAACGACACTCTACGTTTTCTCGCATTGTGGCTCAACCAGGCCGACAGCCGAACAGCAAATACATCTGTCCGCAAGTATCTTAACTCAGTACCGACATTAAAATTTGCTCCACTTGTCAACCAGCTCTCATCGAGACTACTAGACACCAAAGACGATTTCCAGCAGCTATTGATGGAACTCATGTTCCGGATCTGCTCTGATCACCCATACCACAGCCTGTACCAGGTATTTTCGACCAGCAAGAGCAAAGCACCCAAGTCAGACGACCTAGGCACATCTCGAAATGCCGCAGCCAGCAAACTGGCAGAGCTACTCAACAAGAAAAGTCCGGCAGCCTCTATCTGGGTCGCCATCCACAACAGCAACATTTGGCTACACAAAGTCGCTCAAGAGCGACTTTCAGACAAAGACGCCAAAACCAATGCCAAAATCCCACTCCGCAAACTACCCTCAGCAATCAAATTGGAACAAGTACTGACAGAATCTCATGCAAAGATCCCCCCTCCAACAATGAACATCAGCCTACGAGCCGACCGAGACTATTCCCAAATCTCGACGTTCCACAAATTCGAACCAGAAATTTCCATCGCCGGAGGTGTATCAGCTCCCAAAATCATGACCATGGTCGCCGTAGATGGATCAAAATACAAAATGCTTCTCAAGGGCGGCAACGACGACCTCCGACAAGACGCCATCATGGAACAAGTATTCCAACAAGTATCCAACCTCCTCCAAGACCACCGCGCCACTCGACAACGCAATCTCGGCATCCGCACCTACAAAGTCATCCCCTTGACTCAAAACGCCGGCATCATCGAATTCGTCAAAGACACGCTCCCACTGCATGAATACCTCCTGCCCGCACACAAGCGATATTTCCCTAAAGACCTCAAACCAAACGAATGCCGCTCCCGCATTGCCGACGCGCAAAACAAGGGCCTCACTCAACGGTTACAAGCCTATCGCACCGTCACCAACAATTTCCATCCCGTCATGCGATTCTTCTTCATGGAACATTTCCTCGACCCGGACGAATGGTTCTATAAACGCTTGAACTACAGTCGCTCCACCGCCGCAGTCAGTATTCTCGGCCACGTATTAGGTCTCGGCGATCGCCACGGCCATAATATCCTTCTGGATATGAAATCCGGCGAAGTGGTACATATCGACTTAGGCGTGGCGTTTGAAGCCGGAAGAGTCCTACCGGTTCCAGAAGTCGTTCCATTTCGATTAACCCGCGATCTCGTCGATGGAATGGGTTTGACGGGCGTGGAAGGCGTGTTTCGACGGTGTTGTAATTTCACACTTGAAGCGCTGCGACATGATCAAGAGGCGATTATGACGATTCTCGATGTTTTGAGGTATGATCCGTTGTATACGTGGTCGATTTCGCCGTTACGTTTGCAAAGAATTCAGGAACATAATGAGCAGGCTGCGGATGCGGCGGCGGCGGCGGCTTCGATGGCGGTGTCGACAATGTCGTCTGTGAAGGGGGCAGTGGGCGAGGCGGATGGAGTGGGTTTGTTGGGGACGGCGGTCAAACGTGATATCAACGAGCCGAGTGAGGCAGATCGTGCCTTGACCGTGGTGGCGAAGAAGCTGGGCAAGGCGCTCAGTGTCGAGGCGACGGTCAATGAATTGATTCGTCAGGCGACAGATGAGAGGAATCTGGCGGTCTTGTACTGTGGTTGGGCGGCGTATGCTTAGGTGGAACAAGGACAAAGAATGTTGATTCGCGTGTGGGTCAGAAGTATATGGGACGGGGTATAGGGGGAGGTGAATAGGTGGAAGGGGGGGTGGATCGTGAGGTCACTGAATTTGGGAACAAAAGGAGGAATAAAAAGATCAGGGAGTCATTCCAGTCTTGGAGATACTTGTAAATCTGCGATTGTCTGTTGATATAGATGTGTCTCCTGTGTCGACATAAAAGACCTCTTTTCTCTTAAGACTTATTTATCCGTACAATTAGGTACTATTTTCCTTGCTATGCTCACATCGTAAGTCATCCCCACTCCTCGTATACACACTTGGTTCCTTCATCAGGCTTGCGCCTGTCAACTCGAGTAAATATTTAAACATCTCATCTAAATATACAATAAAAATATTTACAGCAATCCCGCCACAACGGTTGAGGGTAGCATTCAAACCAGCCAACCATCATCGCCCCACCTGGATCCTGAAGTCTTTCGGTCTGTTAACCAAGGTTTGCCAGAAGCATGTTGAGTGCCGTTGCCAGCAAAGGCACGTTTGTAGCCGAGATCCCAACGGTCCTCAACCTCCATCAACATAGCCCGTTGGGGCTGAGCATGTGGTGGTGGAGGAACTTTTGGTTTGGGACGGCGTCCTCGAGGAGCACTGAGTTTCTTGGGGGTTACAGGTTTGTCATTCAAGGGTGTGGAAGGGGATGTGGGCGAAGACTCGGGATTCTCGGCCTCTTTGATGATGGCTCGCAATTCTTTGTCGTCTGCTGTGATTTGGGCACGAATATATGTCGTATCGTCCCCAGCGTTCAACTTGGACATGATGGTTTCACGAGGAGTATACTCGTATTTGTCCAGCTCAATGGAACCGGATCGAGGGACAATCGATTCGTCCAGAAATGCTTCTTCTCCTTTCTCTAGAAGTTGATTGATGTCAAGACTTTCGCCATGAGGGATCTTGTCGGGATGACTAGGTGTCACACAGTCCATGTCAACCTCCTTGCGCAGGACGTGGTCAATGTCCACAGCAGAAAAGAAAGCACAGGACTGGGGGAGGTCTTCGATACCCATCTGCTGACTGAACATGGCTCGTGTCCATAGATTCGAGACTTGAAGTGCAAGGGCAGCCTTGTATCGGTCTTTGTCTTTGACCAAATAGCGAATTTCATCATGGACAGTGATGGCTAGACGAGCATCGAGGTTGAAGCGTCTGATGAGATAATCCATGCTGATGATGAGAAGGTGCAGATAATCCACACCAGAGGACTGAATGGCCCAGTTGATGCGAGATGTCATGAAAGAACCTTGATTGATAAATCTTCGCATCAAGGCTTCAGTGATGCCTGCTCCCAGAACCGGCGTGCGTGGTCTTTCTTGCTCGGCAAACTCCTCGAGCTTGTTGAAAACAAAGGATTCTGTGCCTCCTCTCCAAAAGCTCCCGTTACCGAGTGCCTTTCGTCTGGTCCTGGTTCCTTTGGTTTCTTTATACAAGTTATTTGCAATAGTCGTGGTTTCTTTTTCGGACAGAGCGGGATTGAATTGCCGGAGAAGAGTGGCTGCAAACTTCAAACCTGCACCGTAGATACGTCCATAGTTAAAGACTTTGGCGTCATTCCGGGAAATTCCAAGGATCTTAGCCGTCTTGGAATGTAGATCTGTGCCTGCAGCTTTTGTACCTTCAAGGGTCATGAAGCCAATGGCATTACCACCATGAAGTTGGAACTGGGCATCACCGACTAAAGACGCTATCCACAATTCTTCACTGTCCACATCGGCGCCGACAAAGACATAACCTGGCGGTGCCTTGACCATCGCTTTGAGTTCGGAACCGACACGATTGGCTTTGGCATTTGAGGCTGTTAGCCATGTATTTTCCACTGCTCGACGCGTGATGGTACCCATGGGAATAACCTGGGGAAGGATAAAAGCCTGATCGGTGGTTCCTGCAAGGCTGGGGTCTCGATCCTCCTCTTTGACGACCATTTGTGATTTGATCCGGTCTCTAGCTGAGATCCAGTATGAACAAGAGGCGTTCATTTCAAGGGCCTCTCGAGCAAGTGTGAATTGCGAAGACAACGTGCCTAGTTCGAAGTATTGCAGATAGCCTTTTGCCAGAGGAGAGGTGCATCGGGCTGTCGGCCCGTCTTTGTGAGGTAGCTTGAAGTAGATGTGTTTATAGTCCGACTGGAGCTTTTGATTCTTTTCCTCGGCCATGTCGACTTGGACGACATTGGTGTGTTCATATTTGGTAGCCTGGGTGAGGGGAACACGAAACGTCCAGCCGTGAAGGTCAGACCAAACCAATGGATTGCCATCCCATGCCAATTTGAGAAGCAAAGGAGCGATCCTCGTGCGAACGGTCAAGGTCAAAGGGGAGGTGTTACTGGTAAAAAGATCTCGGTACCAATTCGGGGCACCCGGCTTCTTTTGGCGGGCGACGGGCTGTGGCTCCTCTCCCTTCTTCTTGGCCTTTTTGTAGCGAATCTCCTGGCCAGACCAATCAAGTTGACTTAACCAGGGATCGTTTTCATATACCTCTGGATTCGACTTCACTTCCAGGGCGGCATCAGATAGCTGCAAGAGTCTGAGCTCAACATCTTTCAGGCGCTGTTGATAAGTGTTTTCGGCATTTTCCAAATACTGATCCCAGGTCTTGTTGACAGGTAAGATGACAGAGGAAAGATGTCGCAGAGCCCCAAAACTCACGGGATGCGGACATGTTTCGAGGAAGTTGGGAAAGACCTTTTGGTAGACGCGGTGAGTGATCGCTACATCAGCAGCGCAATAGTCCAGGAGTTCCTCGATGCGCTCACAGATCCCCTCTCGGTTGAGTTCACCAAAGAAGTCACGTTGAGACTTGTCGATGGTGACACCACAGTGAAATTTGGCGACGTCGCGGAGAGAATTGATGGAGCTTCTGCCCACCCAAAGCTCCTCCTCTTCTTCACTCAACATCTTGCTCTCCAGCATGGTTTGCAGCTCTATCGAATTGTGATCCCCGGCCATTTTATCTCGAAGAGCCCTGTTCTTCTGGTGTTTCATCCAGGTCGGTCGCTGTCTTGAGCACATTCCGTTGACAGCAACATGGAGTGACATGGTGTCGATGAAGAAATTCTTGGACTGGTTGATGTCATACTCCTCCTTGACTCGGGCACGGTCATATCCAATGTTATGACCTACCACGATGCGAGGTTTTGTGGGATCGCCGAGTGGAATGAGTTGCCTGGAGTTCTCCGTCTCTGACAGGAGATATGGAGAAATCCAGGCGTACCAAGCAGTGGGACTGGCTGCTGTGGCCATGACAGCAAAAGGCGACTCCTTCCACATGGTCTCGACATCAAAAGATAGCATTTCCTCGTCGGGGGCGTCGACTTGTTCGGTGGTCATGTCAGAATTGTATTTGGTCCAGCCACTTCTGATGATCCATTTCCGTGGGCGCTGTTGAAGGTTGGCCCGTACAAAGGTTTTGCCGTAGGTGAGGTAGGGCTCAGAGGCATCCATACCCAAGCGGGTGAAGTGTTCGTCGAGAGAGGAGCCTTGCAGAGGAGGGAGGTCTAGGCTGATAGGAGGTGGGTTGTCTGTGTTCTTTCCTAGGAGATCATGCCTGCGCAGATGATCCTTGGCCAACTCCACGAGGTCAGGTCGTGGGAGAGTTGGTCCATTGGGGAAGACTTGGGCGTGAACATGGTCACTTAATTGTTGTACACCGATGTCATTATATCTTGATTTCGCGACCCGCGCGACAGTCGAATTTCGGGAGGGATCTGGAGTCAAAGGAGAAGAGGGAATATCGTTTGCGTAGTAGCGTCGAAGGATGAGGGTGGCTCGAATGGCATATGGGGTTCTCTGTCTGAACTTTTGAGAAGTTCTAATGTAGCCTCGCGCACATTGCGCAGGCGCTGGGGGCCAAAGCATGGCTGTAGTTTGCGACTTCAAGTGAGCATGATATCTGAGTGTTCGTCACACTTTGAGGGGTGTGTGAAGTGGTGAAGGACAGAAAGTCCTGACGTCGAGGTCCAGGAGGGCTGAGAAGACGTCTTGACCCTGAACCGTGCGCCGAGTCGCAAAGGTGGCAGGCGTCGTTCATCCCAAAAGGGAAAACTCTATCTTATCGACAGGTGGAGAGTCTGCACGTGACGAGGAATCGATATCACGTGATTGTCATTCCTTGCAATTGCAACGACGAGATCCAGAGTATTTGATATTTGTTCTCATTGCAGCCTCGAGAGACTTTAGTCGTGAAACTTACAGCTAGATGACACTCAATAGCTATATAGTTTGATAATAATGTCAATGCTCTGCCCTCGTAGAGTTCTGACAGGGCCAATTTTCCATCATCTGCGGATGTCGATGCCCGTAATTCCCAGTATCTCACATTGTGATCCCATAAACGCCACCGCCAGAAACGCTCCAAAAGAAAGCACTAGTGAAACATGAAGAGGAATTCAGTGAGTATTGAGATTTCCCGACACCGTGTTGTCAGGTTCATGTGCGTTCCCAAAAAGAAGAAAGGTATGCCAGGGAGGTTGGATAGTGAGGGCTCACGAAGCCCAAAAGACAGATATCTGTAACGACACCAAGGACAAAGATTCGAGCGATCGTGGATGGGATCATGCTGGCCAACATGTGTCCCGACAACATGACGGTTGTAAATTTCCACATGGAGGATAGTGGTGGTGATGGGGGGACGATAACAACATTATTCTCGCTGTATATGGAAAACGATGGAGACGGCATGCCTGGTGATGGCATCCCCGGTGAGGGCAAACCAGACGACCTAGGACCCGTGGTGCAGTACTGCGGTGACGGCAGGCCTGGCGACAACAAGGCTGGTTGCATTGATAAGCCGCTCTTCACGGCTTGGATGTGAGACCTCGGAAAAGCATTACGATCAAGGACTAAGGTAGGGTGTACCTCGTTCGCCAGGGGGCTCCGCGGTGCGTTCGGTGGCGCTGACCATGTTTCAGTCACTCCTGTCGAGAAGGATCGATTTCGGAGGGTCAGCGTTTCTTTTCGGAGTACAGATGTCATCGTCGTCTTGACTCCACATAACTCGGTTTGTAAGGACATGGTCGATCCATCGAATTCGGTCTTCATCGTCTGAATCTGACCTTGCAGGTCCCGAATCTCGTCCATTGCGTGATTGAAGCGCTTCTGCCACACAAGTTCAGGGCTCTGTGCATATGCTGGTGGGGGTGTTGGCTGACCTAGCGATGGCAGCTGAAGCCGCTTGGACACAGCCGAGTGTGGTGGACCCCCACGAGCCAATACAGGATACTGGAGATTGCTGAATGTGATATCGGTGACCATGGGGCTTCCCCAACTAGCGGTACTGCTACTGACTGGAGTGAATTCATCATCCTCGAAGCGCCATGGGATGTTATTGAAGGTAGTCTTCAATGAATTGATGAGGAGCTCGTCAGGACACATGCCGGTTGCCACAGATAGTTTGGGCGGTCGAGGGGTAGCTGGCGGGGTACTTTCCTTGACCTTGAGACGGTTCAACGCGGTCTTTATCATTGGAAGGTGGTGGGACAATGCCCACTTGCCTATTGATTCAATCCAGATCAAGAATTTGGTGAAGTGCTCGTCATTGTTGAGGTCGAACTTGCATAGAGGTGCCATGCAATACTTCTCTTCCTCGAGCCAATGAAAGTTGAGGATGGCGAAGGCGTTATCGATGGTACATGAGAAGGAGATTGGAATCTCTGGTAGCATCTCCCCCTTCCATGCCTCGTTGTACAGCATTTGAAGGGCTCGGACACACCAGGAGCCGCCGATGGCAGCTTGATTGTTGGCGGCTTCTAATTGGCTCTCACTGATGGGTCGCTCAAACACGAGAAATGGGCAGAAAAGAGGAGCCCCGGGAGAGATATAGCCAGTATTGAAATGAACGATAGTTCCGGTGGTATTCAACCAAGAAGGAATGTGCATAAGGTCGTCTCCGGTGAAAGCTGAAGCCGAGAAGCCGCAACCAAGTCCAGAACGAGGGACTGACAGTTCATACAATGGATAGGTATCATTAGTGGCGCGGACTGGCAAAGCATCTCGACTGAATGCAGGCACCATGCAGCGGGCAAGGCGAGATTCGTTGTCGATTGGTGGCAGGATGTTTGGAGGAAAGAGAGGGCTCGGACCGAACCCGCGGCCGACCTCAACTTGAGTGCGGAAGGCGGAAATCTGTTCGTTGAAGCGGATCGAGTCGACACTTTCCTTCTCGATAAGAATCAGGAGAGGTTCTGGGAGAAGGCCCTGCATCGGCGCCGTCTCCATGATGTTGATGCGATGAGGACCCAAGACGTCTCGACGAAAGGCCTTCCATGGCAGGTGACTCCCATCATAGGAGGATTGAGGAAGGTCTTCACCAGGTTGAGAGTCCTTTTGCTCGACTGGGAGAACAGACATGATGATACGCCCGAAAGAGAAACCGACCTAGATGATGCAACACGGTGCGGATGGTAGGAAGGAGACAAGGAAAAGCCTCTGGCCGGCCAAAGAGCTATAGCAATGAGAGGTCCAAAAAGTTTCAGCAATCCATCTATGTTAATCAACGCGAAACAAACAAGCGACTGGAAGTATAGGGAACACGAAGGTGATACTGTGCTGGTGAGAGAGAGAAGGAGAACAAGGAGAATCCTGGGGTCTAATAGATTTGTTCCACACTGTGAGGGCCCACCATTGCAGCGATATCAAGCGCCGAGGGCTCGACAAAGGGTCTGTGTGAGTGGTCACATATTTTTACGGCCCTTCTGCGGATTGCCTGCCGAGCATAGCGGCATCACCTAGAGAAAGCACTCCGGGGCAACGAGGATGGCGTCTGCGTCATGCTGACCCACACAGAATCGTGACCTACTGGAGCTTGTAGAAGCGCCAGGCCGAGTACTTGGGACCAAGTTGGTCCAAAAAGAACCTGGAGCCGCGCAAGCAAGGATTGATGACCATTCAGAGTCTCCCAGCCTGCTTTCTGGCTGAAGCGGTGAATGGTCTTGTGAGTACCCTAGTTGTACTCTTGGCGGAGGTGGAGAAGGCAGAAAAAGCAAGGAAAGGATTCTTTCACACTCACAGCTGCTTGGATGAGAGTGGTGATAGAGACAGAAAAGATGAGGCCACGCTGGAGGTCGCAGCTGTAGAGTGTTTCATATGTGCCAAGACATTGCCAAATGCAGCCACGCGCAGCACGTGTTCACAACTTCAATTGGAGCATATTGACGAGGACAAATGCACCATGCTGCTAAACGACCTGAAAGGAGTCCGGAGAGCCGGAGGCTGATGGGTAGATCTCTGTAAGCGATGAGCTTGGGGATGAGAGGCGTCTTCTCAAGTGGTGCGACGTGATGGTGTGGGCGGCTAGGAAGCGATGGGGATTGGATGGCTGACAAACAAAGCATCACGGCACAACGGGTCCCTTTACTACTTACTTAGCCCTTACTATTGGAGTCTGTACCTGGAGTGGGCAGTTGGTTACACACAGCTTGGCCTGGTGATCAGTGCCTGGTTACACAAAGGCTGGATCACCTTTCTTGCCCCAAGTCCAATCAGAGCCTTTGCCAGCATCGTCTCAATATAGAATTACGCACATCATCGTCGATATAGCCGCTGAGGCGCTCAAAAACAATCTCATTTGCTGTCATGTCAGATGGTCTCCTGGTCTTGCCCGTCTATGTACAATTATTGTCATGATTATCACTACTGTGTCTACTGATATTGGTTCTTGCCGTGGATACGGCAGTTTTCCCTTGAGCGGAAATAGCTCTCCGCGCCATTCGTCCTGCGCTGCTCATCCCCGACCCCATCCCGACCCCATCCCCATCTCAATCCTCATCCCCACTCACGACAAGCCCCTTGCCCAACGAGGCAGACTGTCCACGAACACATCTTTGATGATGCTGCTTTTCCTTCGACGCTGCATCGTCCCAAAATTGGCCAACTCGGTTGGGTCATATGAACGATGAGATGTGCTTGACGGTATCTTAGCCAGTCGCACTCGGTCGTCAAATTTGTCCAACAGATCTAGCACTGATGCCAACCGGCAGTTCTCAGCCCAGATCATGATGCTGCCAAGCCGGGACGCCAACGCTTCCATGTCGTCTTCGTTGTCTAGCCGGTAGGTTTTGATAACGGAGACAGCGTGCGGAAGACATCCTTCCGAATTGTGGGTGTTGAGACATGCAGTTTTGCCGTTGATGGCGAGTGAAAATGATTGGACGGCTCGACTCAGGGTCCATAGAAATCGCATGTCATGGTGAACACGATACGGCTGCTCTGCAGCGCCCGCAAAGATCATCAGTCCGTTGTTACACGTTGCTGCTGACCCTGCGCAGGCATTCCGTGCTGCAAGCATGGATTCATCCTGCACTTCGACAACGAAGAATGGCCAGTAGACCTCGGGCAGAGGCTGTGACACTTTGTGCAGATCACATGGCTCATTGCGGTTGTTGGCAATAATGCCTTGCTGAAGCTCCAGTTGATGAGAGCTGAAGGCCTGAGCGCCATATCCGATAGTGAAGGTTGGCTTTGGAGTTGGTAATTGCCTCTTCCAGCCGTCTTCCACTTCAAAGTCAGGCACATCATCAGGGATGCTGTCACGATGAAATAATGTCGACCTTCGACACCGTAAATTGGCGTTGGGCCGGAGAATGGAAGAGAGTAGGGGACAGAGTAGATCGGCTGTCTGACGACTAGTAATGCTCGAGCTTCGTCTTCGCATTTGCTGTGCGAATCTCCGAGCCTCGGGACACGACCGCCGCTGCTCTTTGCAAGGGATGCTGAGTGCAAATGCAAGTCGACTCCATCGCTCGTCATCCATCGGCTCGTCTTCCACCACAATGTGATTGGGCTCTAGAGTGGTAAATCGGTATTCGGATGATCCAAACGACTCTGGCGATGCCACCCTATCACCTTGAGAGGGGATCGTTGCTCCAGCCAATCGCGTTTCAGAGTGATTTGATTTAATCAAACCAGGCATAATGAAGTCGTATGTTGAGGGCTCAAGGAAGATATGTCATGGACGAGAGAGGCTTTGCTCGAGGTATGGAAATCTATTTTCACCATGGGAATACTTCTCTTATGTAGACCTTTATGTTTTGCTCTGATGTAAAGCTTGTTCGAAGGCGTTTACCCGTGTACACTGAACCACCACAACAATAAGGTGGAGGTTGCTTTTCTTGTCATTGCACCAGGATTTTTGTTGGACGCTCACCTCTGCCAGAATGAAGGCGACACGCTGCCTTGCACTTGAGACAGGAGTAAGGCTCAAGGACTCACCTGCTATTGGACTCTCTTTGCCACCTAGGATCAGAAGAGGAATAGGCTCACAGATAATATGCAAGTCATTCTAGTAGCCGCGCCGAGCTATTGTTGGCATAGATGGAGTCGCCTGGTCGGACTGCACCACCGATTGGTGGATTGCAGCTTCTTGGAAGCGCTCACTGTGGTCGCGGCCAACAATGACGAAAGAGGTGGTGCAGAGTAGGAAGAATATTGGAAGGCTGACTTGGACTGGAGTGAGGTCTATTTTTGGTTATCCCTTTAACAACACACCAGAAGTATGATGGATGTTGGATCCTGGAAGAGAGGACGACAAACGGCGCTTCGAGAGAAGAAGAAGCGTGAGGGATATCATACGCCACCGTATTGCTTGGCTTCTTTCGCTCTGGCGGATCTTAGAGTCACTAATCGAAATCCTCGTGATCGACCGAGAATGAAATGATTTTGTGTACTTGAGTCACCACCATTCGTTGACACTTCCGTACTAATACAACTATGGCATTTAATGCCAAAAATCTTCATTACGACAAGCAAGAGCCTGCATTTCTCCGACGGCTCAAAGGTCAATTTGGAGGAGATGACGGCAGACACAATGTGCAAATAGCGCGACCAAAGAGAGATAGACTAAAGACTGCAGATGATGACGACGATCCCTTGATTGTGGATGAACAAGGAGAGACAGTGGCAAAGGAAGAGTACGAAAGAAGATTGAAAGGAGAGGACGTTGATCCCACCGCTGAGGCCGACGGTGAAGCTTCCAAGAAGGCACCAGATTCTCAAACAGAACAGGACGCTGGTCAAGCTGAGAGGCAAAAGGTGACTGGGATTGGCGACTCCAAAGCCAAAAAGAGAAAGGTTGGCAAGGTTGTGGGAGGGGATGGGCAGGATGAGGTTTCTGGGCCGTCAAGTGTCAAGGAACAGGATGCGGGTGCAGAGAAGGGTGTTGCGTCCAGCAAGGAGGCTGAGAAGGTAAAGGGTCAGGATGCGCCTGTCACCAAGAAGAAGAAGGCGAAGAAGATCAAACTCTCGTTTGATGAGCCTGACGATTGAGGATGATTTGGCATTGGCTTTTCTATGCTTGGGAAATTCTAAAGAGTCTCGAACGACGCTATTTGCGGCAAAATCAAATGTCGACACATGGCCATGCACTGAAACATAAGGGCATTACATCTCTTGCAATCAGCTCATTTCACGCATGATACGAGCAACCTCACGGCGAGCGAATTTCTCTCTCTCGGAGGGCGACATTTCCGAACCCGCTTCACGAATGGCCACCACTCTCTCCATCAGAGCCGGAAACTGGTCGACTTGATCCTCCTGATCATCCTGCAACTCGCCTGTCTGGCCTGCTTCATCACTAGCATCGGTCATCGAGAGCTTCAACTCCATCATCTCTCGCTGCAACTCAGCATCCAGTCCAGCCATTCGACCCGCACCAGGCACTTTTGTGAGATTGAACGAATCAAGACCTGAATCCGAATCGCCATCACCGTTGGCAAAATCGATCTCTCCATCGTCATCTCCATCGCCAAGATTAGGCGAAGCGGACCAATCGACACCTTCGAGCACCTCAATCACACGCGCTATTCCTGTCCTCTCTCCATATTCATTACGGGGCGCATCCTTCTCATGGATCTTCTCAAGATCAGACTCTGCATTCCATGAGACAAAGTCCCACCCCAAAATCCCTCGGTCCGATAGACAAGCATCCTCGAGCATTTCTCGAGTCTCGTCCAATTTATCCATCCTGACGCTCGATGTCATTCCCTGTAATACCACGGTAGCAGCAATATCCCGTCCGTAGTTCTCATCCTCAACTGCTTCACGAAGAGCATGTACACTTTCGACTAGAGCGACCAACTCATCTGATGGTGATGATGACGTTGTGGTGGACGGCGATGATATAGATGCCACGGGCAGGAGAAGCACAATTCCACCAATTACAGCCCTCACTTCCGCTGCCGCGGCTGAGAGCATCTGTTCCTTCCATCCATCGAGCGTATCTAGGTCTGGATCGACCAGCTCTCCTGAACTGGACTCTGGGTCGGAAGTTGGCTTTGTCTGAGAGTTTGCTGGTAGTTCATCGCACCAGATATTAACGTCTGATCGATAATACTTGGTCGAAAGTCGTAATGGTGGATGGGATGTGTAGCCGGCGAATGTCGTTTGAATGCTGGAAGGCTTAGAGCCGGTCAATGCATGGAGAAAACTGGGGAATGGTGGTGTCGTTGATGTAGTGGTGGGTTGTGGTGCGAGGATCAGTAAGCGGAGGGATGATGGGTTGGGCTCGCCTGAATTGGCACTCATGCTGGATTTCGATGGGTTTATATCTGGTTCATTGTAAGAAGTAGAATTTCCATCGGAGTGCGTGTATACGGTTTGCGGGTTACTCTGAGGATTATTTGTGATGTGAGTGTGAACAATAGTGAAGAGATACGAGATGAGACGATATATATTCGTAGAGAACATGTGACTTAAAAGAGGCGTAATGCAGGTGGTATTGATATTAAGTCTTGGCAAGGCTTCGAGTTGGCCTGTCAGAGTTGGTCTCCTCAGTTTGAGAGCCTTGTCTCTCTACAACGCGCTGTCCCATTATGTCCTGCATACATTCATGGTTTACCATAAACTGGTCTACCATGGATCGCTCATCGACCGTGACCATGTCGGTTGTTCTCAAATGGCCTAGCTGCCCAGTAGAGCACCTCCTCAATACCATGGCAATCGTGTAGGAGAGTTTCCGCCTCTTGAGAAAAATGATTCTTCATCATTGCTAGGGTCATATCAAGCCCCAGGGTGCTCCTCTCAAATTTTGTGTATCCTCTCACAATCACACATCCCGCCTGTTGGGTGACGCCATTCAAATGGCTTCTGCAATCACCAAAAAAATTTGCTCGTAATCATCCTCTGCGTCCTGCTCTAGCCCTGTTGACTGTGGCTCTTCCTCGGGCCAAACCAACACCACGTCCTCTGATACCTCTTGATCGGAACATGGGCGCATTCCGTAACATGTCGGGGACAATGATGAATCGAACGTGGCTGCCTCGGATGTATACCTGGTCCAGATGTGATACTCGGCCGTCGCGTGCGGTCGCTGTGATGTCTTTGAGTTGGACGTTCATGTTGTCTTCGGCTGTAGGGGTTTTGTTAGATATTTGCGCATTGTAGACAAAGATTTTAGACACTGCGCGTGCGCGTCGCCTGGTATTTCCTTACCTTCTAGTAACTTTCCACGGTATACTTGCCCCGAGGTGAGTTCCAAGGTTACAACATGGCCCTGTATAGCACAACAGATTAGCGGCTGCGTCTTACACTGTGGCGGTCCTTCGAAAGACTGACCTGTGCCTCGTTGAGCAACTTGATGGGAATGCCAATCGTAGAGGTGAGTTTACCCATGGTGGGTGCGGAATGGAAAAGATGCGGGATATAGGTTCGTGAGGCAGAGACCAAGGGAAATGGATCTCGAGGGAGGAAGAATGTCGATGCGCGACAAGGGGTGACGGTGGGATGGTCGAATGGTGTTGTGCAAGATGTTTTGCGGGATTGGAGAGGACAATTCTTGATGGCAGATCGCAGCCCACGTCTAGTCTAGTGTGTGGAGGTGGATGGATGATTGAGAATGAATGAATTGGGCGGATGAGGTTTTGAGCTGCAGGTTTATCTCCGTCGCATACACCCTTAAATCCGACAGAGTCTTTTGGTAGCACCTTCCACATGTACTTCTTGTCTTCTTCCCATAGAACCAATGTAAAAAACAACAACGTCGACGACTACAATCACGACGACAACCACAATCACCTCCATCGACTCATCATTACACCTCAACTCCATGCCTAGAGATCATCCATCTCTCTCCTACGCCATCGAAGATGCCTCTCTTCTCCAACCTTCCTGCTTTACGCCTGACTCTCGCCTATGCCCTCCATGAGCCTTCCAGTTTACTTCCACATGCCACCATTCCTACACTGCTCTTCCTTCCTCTACCCGTAGGTCCCTCACTGCCTGCTTGGAACAGATCAGGCCAAAAACCCACCATCCGCGCCCTGGTTCTGGATAAGGACAATACGCTGTGTCCACCTGAAACTGCCAACCTACACCAATCCTACATCGACAAGCTCCAAAAGATTAAAGACAGTCCCGAGTTCTCCCATAACCCCAAAAGTATCCTCATCGTCTCAAACACCGCCGGCAGTAGCTCAGCTCCCGAACATGAAGCTGAGGCAAAACAACTGGAACTCGAATTAGGTTTACCCGTTCTGAGACAAACCCCTGGCCGTAAGAAACCTCTGTGCGGCCCCGATATTCTCGCTTTTTTCAAAGAGCATGGTGTCACTGACAACCCACGTGAAATCGTCGTCGTGGGAGACAGACTCGCCACTGATGTACTTGTCGCTCGTGAAATGGGCAGCTGGAGTGTTTGGTGCCGGAATGGATGGAGAAATCCAGAAATCCCCGGCCGTGACTTCAGAGGTTTTTTCAGCAAGATGGAGGGCCGTTTTGAGAGACTGATGCGCGGCGGTCTGGGGAGAACTGCTCCTCTACCAAAATGAAACTATTCCGGACGGCTATTCCGCCACACGTGCTATGACTGCTTGCTCACCTCTGGTTAGCTCTATGCTACCACGGGCCTTCGGAGGCTATCACCACTGCTCTAGCTCTAAAGACAGTAAGCCCAGCTCTCGCCCATTGAAAAACAACAACGATTGCCTGTTTCCAACATCTGGACCTCCTAGGAAGGACCTATGATGATGTCATTCAAAGTAATGTCCAGCAGGCTGTCAATCGTCAAACCCAATTTCTCTCTCCATTCCTGAGCCAAAGCCGCTGCTCGCTGCTTCTGAGCATCGCTGAACTTCCAATGCTTAACCACCTTTTGACCTCTCGAAGGCATGACGAACAATCGTCTGCGAATCAGATTTCGTGTCCATTCCTGCTTCGATGCTTCTCGGACGTTAGGCGAGGCAAATTGCTTTCCGACTTTTACCATGGTACTGATCATTCGCTCTGAATTACCAGTGTGGACGAAGAGCTCGCCAAGTCGAATATGGACCCACTCCTGCCATTTGTCTGCCTCGAAAGCATGCATGGTGTAACTATCCATCAAGTTCAACACAGCCCACTGCATGAAGGCCATGTCACTCTCGAAGAATCCTCCACAATCTGGTTGCATCGAGACAAGATATTTGGCCAAAGCAGCGATTTTTACCGCTGGCGTCCGTGTCACACCAAAATCAGACAACTTCTTGAATTCATATACTTGGTGCAGGAGGTCTTGAAGACAGGGCAGTGCGTCCTTCGTGTTTTTGCTGGTCAGCTGCCACTTGAGCAATTCAAACTTGTTCCACACAGCTGTGAGGAACATTTGATTTCTTTTCATCATAAGTGGACTCCACCACGGCTGCCGAGCCATTATGTCTTCTTCTGCTCGTCTGTCTTCCCAGGCTTGTTGAAAAGTTCGCTCTGTACGTGCATGTTCTCCAATTTTGACCTGCCACGGGCGATCAAGCGGGCTCGGGCAGGCGAAGACATAGTCTTGAACGAAACTGGCCAAAGGAATCCCACCAAGACCTTTCAGATGCTTTTGTGTTGAATTCTCCCGAAAGAACATTCGTGGGTCTGTGTACTGGGGTAGGTACAACTGTGGGAAGTAGGCTGGATTCCTCGTCTTCCGAAAGTTGTGATACATTGAAATGAGTATCGGAATTCTGCCCGCAAAGCCTCGGAGCTCAGCAACGGAAAGGATAACAACTTGTTTCTTCTCACCACAACCCCAGTCTATGGTCACGCTGGGACAGTACAAACCACGCGGAGTTGTGAAGGATGCTCGGCTCTCATCCCATTCCCAGTTTGGCATTCGAAGGACTTGACTGCATAGTCTGTCTGTATGTGCACGACACAAGCCGAGGTGTCCTGGCTCTTTGTCCTCTCCTGATATGTCGAACACTCCTCCCATGCCAATCATCGCAACGAATTCATTCTCATTTAGCAGCATGCTGGTTCCTTCGAGGTATAGCTGCTTGCATGTCGCCAGGATCTGGGTGTGAATGTCGAACTTTCCGTGTCTGCACATCAACAAGTCTGCCTGAAAGCGTGTGTCCTCGTGAAACTTTAGCTTTGCGGTGCTGACGTCAAAACCTGCAACATCGCGGTCGGACTCATGCTCCTTCCACAAGCCGGGAACGACCCAGTCATGCTGCGGATCGAAGGTCAACAGGTAGGCCAGAATTTGACGACGAAGTTCCACAGGAAGGCCCATCAAGGTAGCTTCGTTTCTTCCGTGGGGTCGACTTGCATGTCCAGCATCTGTGATCTCAGCTGCGAATTGTGAGATTGGCTCAGACATGGCTGCTGATGATGTCCTTGGCCCTGCACTCTGTCAGATCTTCTGCATCAAGAACAAGCATGGCCCGCGGGCCAGAAACTAACCATGAAATCTGTGTAGCAGTGGGCTGGAGTACACGATTGGTGATTCTGAACGTGAGATCTTCAGCGCGGAGGCTGTTGGATCAGTGTGAATGCTGTAAGATGCAGCGCGGGACCATCAGATATCTCAGATCTGATGGATCACTGAGGGGACGATGAGATACCGAGAGGGAGGTTATCGTATCTCTTATGCCTCTCAGAGTAACGCGGGTCTTGTGGGATGCGGGTCCTATGAGATACACAGCGGGTCTCTCAGATCTGACAGACCAGCGGGAAACTCTGGGATGCACCGCGGAGGCTGTAAGACCAGCGCGGCTGCTGTGAGATGCAGAGTAGAGGCTCACAAGTCAGTGCAAAACCAACCGCACAAGAATTGGGAGAGATGTTGAAGATCCAATTGTTGAAGAGTTGGGAGAAAAGGTGGAAGAAGTTCGACAAGACAAGAGTGTGGCGAGGAAAAATGTATTTATAATTTTCTGAGAATCTCACGATCACTCGCAGTCACGGTCAGGTAGAAAAGATGAAGACAGACCCAGCATGTCTCGCATGTGAAAGCATCAATGTAGCCGACAGGCAGCTAGACCTTGATCTCAACTTCAACCTCATTCTTAATGCAGTGAATCTGCACTGCTATTACAGTCAATATCACAGGTGCCTTGATATAGTACCTTGATGCTTGAACTAAGTAAGGAACTTGCAGCAAGGATCCTAGGTGACTGTTGCAGTATATATATGGTCAAGACTGGCATCGCGACAATCTAGTAGTATCCCAAGACAACCATCGAACAAGACGCCAAACCAAAGCAACGAAGCATCAAACCATAATAATCCCACTAGACCCTACAAGATTGTAGTGTAGTAGTGGCTTGCGTGTCCACCCACATCTCCATAATCAGAATAATGACAAGTAAGTAAGTATTCATCTACTTCAGACAGACATGGTGTAGATTGTGATAATCATCAAAATACACCTACAAATCTACAGATAGATCAAATACTCGGAACTTACATGTTCACCAGCGGGTGGTTTAATGACACAGGTTTACATTCATCGACTAAGTAGGTAGATACAGTACCTACTTACCTACCTGACCTAAGGTATGGACTTGCCTACCACATCTACCTACCTGATACCCAAGTGGCTTAGTCACCCAACCCAGACTTGGCAGGAGTTACAGCCTTGTCCCGGGACCATGCGGCATCAAACCAACCATGCACATATATCATCTAACAAGGGACCTAACTTAGAACTCCAGACATACTCAATGTGAAAGTTAGAGACAATAACGTCAATTCAATCCTAGGGGGTCCTTCGTGCCACCTAAATAAGCAAGAACCTAGGTAAGTTACGCCCCCCCCAACCCCCCCCCCCCAAGACACACACTAAAACGCCAAAACGCCATTGCTCGAAGATCAAGAGAATACACCTTCGCTGTCATGTTTGTTGCTGATGAGAACCTAATTATTCGTCTTCATCATTATCATCGTTGTGCTCGTGCTCGTCATTATTAGCCTCGCCGCCGCCGCCACCACCACCTCCACCTCCACCGCCAACAATAACAACAACCTCAACACCTTCATTCTAAGCCCATCGAAAGGTCCATATCAACCCCACATAAGACTTTTTCGGAATCAACCTCTCCCCCCAGAGTGTGGTGACCATGTTCTGAGAACTCTCTGCTGCTTTAAAACAGTTTGTTTTGTCGGAAACAATCTTTCCAATCCTCTCCAGTTCAACCACAAGTTCGCCTAGAGCTTGATATTTCTCACCGGTTTTGTTCTTAGCCTTGGCGTCTTTCCAGACGAGGTTGAAATTCTCTTTGATTCGACTGATGGCCCACCCGGCATATTTGAAATCATGTCGTTCGGCAAACAGGCGGAGAAGCATGATGTCAACGCGGATGCACCATTCATGAAGTGGGCAGGCACATGGTAATCGAAGCGCGAGGAGGCCATTGGAGATGGCTAGATCTCTCGCCGGGCCTGGGTCCAGACGAGTCGTGCGAGGCATAATCGGGGGTCGCGATTCATTTCGACTTGTGGTGTATTGTGAGAGATCGGTGTTTAATGGCTCAATTGATGGTCCGACCTTTTTGTTGCATCTTTTCCGGTCCAAGGCGTCGCTGGCCACGCTGACAGATGTTTCTGCTGGTCTGCTGCGGCCCGTCTCATCGGATGATTCTTGAGAGGTCTCGTCATCGCTGATGTTCTCATCCTTTTTCTGCTTTTCTCGGGCCTTTTCAATGTTTCGAGCGATCATCTGAGCTAAGGAGCCGCTTCGTAGTTCACAAAGGCGATAGGCGCTGATAGCGATCAACTTGCACACCCGGTTGATACCTTCCTGGGAATTGGCCGATACGTCCACCAGTTTGGCAGTTCTCGTGCGGATGATGCTGCAAGCCTCGTAATGCACTCGCTCAAACAAGAGTTCGGCGCTAATGAATTTGCCTTGACCAACGCAATTCTCAGCTTGAAGAAAGACTTGCTCCAGATACGCACAGATTTGATTATACGAGTAGAGACTGGGATCCTTTTCATGTCCATCTGTGTGTTTTGTCTTTTCGTCCCGGAGAGATGCAAGGCGGGCACTAATAGTCGGTAGCTTGCTGCTGGTACCCAATGACTCGGGCTGCGGGGCAGACTGATTGTGAAAGTCCAGCTTGGCAATATCCTGATGCAGCCATGGAAGGACTGCATACTTGACGAAACTATCGGTGCGGTGGATATAGCGATTGGTTTGCTCTGCAGAAATGGAGAGGTTGTACTTCATACCGCGTGCAAAGGGGCACCTGATCATGATCCAAAGAGCGTGGATGAAATCTGCCGTGTCTTTGTAGCTGCAAACATAAAAGGACGCTGAGGCTTTAGTTTTGGTGCCACTAAACAGCATGACAGGATCAAACATTGCAAGGGACCCAGGGGTACCATCCATGTCGTTCTTCCACAATCGAGAAACTTGTAAAGGGCCGTAGGCAGGAATGCCATAGTTTCTGAATTTGGCGACTAATCCTCGGATGCCTGATTGCAGGGCCACGACCTTGTTCTCGGCATAGAGCACCTCTTTCCCTTCGAGATAGAGTTGTTTGCATGTCTTCATGATCGCTGGATGGAGAGGGCAAGTATGGAGGACGGGTGGACAGCCATTGATCTCTTGGTTCCCCTTGTGCTTGAAGGGAGGTGCATCTAAGATGCGTCTCGAGTGTATCCATAACAAGTCTATAACACTTTCTGGGGGAGGGCGTCGGGTGTGAGACTTGCGGTTCCGGTCGAGTCGAAGGAGATAACGAAAGATTTTGAGCCGTATCTCAACGGGCAACCGTAAGAAAAGTGGTCGAGAATCTGCTGGATTGACAGACGATGTGAGGCTCAATCGGTCAAGACCTAGTTGGCGGTGGCCGTGGCCGTGGCCGTCGGGCTCGCTATCTTCGTCACAGTCGAGGATGAGGCGGAGGGTCAAAACCTCATGGGACTGTAAAGGCATTGTTGCTGATCATGGCAAGATGGGTATGTCAGGCTAGGGTTCGTGCGCTGGGGACGTTCGATTCTTTGAGGACTTGGATGACGGCGGACTTTGCGGGCATGATAAGGTGTGTGGGATGGGAGAGGCTGATTTGATCTAACAACACAAGAATCGCAACATTGCAGCAATGGGGAAGCGGATGGTGGATTCGCAGCACGATCTAGATTTAGATCTAGCTCTAACGCAGGGACTTGAGGGTGGAGTGGCTGGAAAGAATGACAGTAAGGCGCAGGAAATGATTCACATGGGTAAAAGGCATCGACACATGACAAGTGTTTGAAGGTAGAAGTATAAAGATTCACATGAGGGGTGATGCCTGGAGCATAGGCTGCACGGGGAGAGGAGAATCAGTGGAGGTGGAGGTGGCTTGAGTAAGTGGATGAGCAATTGGGTTGGCCAGTGAATCAATGCCAAAGACAGTGGGACAGAGTTGAGGTGGTCTTGCAATGAAGTGGTTGACGTGGTTGAAGTGGTTGAAGTGGTTGAGGTGGTGAGTCGAAAGTTACGTGTACCTAACTGCGGGCTGCTGATTAAACCACCGCAGCTAACAGTGATGCTAGCCATATTTAGGCTAGTTTATCACTACTGCGGATATCGGACATGGCAGGTTCCCCACAACATCTGACATCAGTCATTGCATGCGGACATTTGCTTCAACTAATTAATTGATTACTCGATGGTTTTCTGTGACATCAAGGGCATGACAATGCCAATTCCAATGCCAATGCTATGTGATCGCCAGTGCCGTCAATGTCATGGCTCATGAATCATGATGGACGAATAAACCCAATACTCTGTACTGACGGGGAGGTAGCTGTTTGCACCACAGTGACAGTTGCTTCGAATCATCTCATCATCCAAGATCTCTCTCAGCTAGTGTCCATGCTATCGCCAGCCGTCTTCCGCTGTTCCTTGACATGGGAAACAAAATCGTCGATAGCCATGGGCCAGGCACCATTCTCGTTCCACCATTCCAAGGATTCGCCATTCGCCTCACGGGTTTTGGCAACCAGCTCCCCCACCATGTTCCAAAGGTCCTTGTTGACTGGTCGCTTGCAATGGGATTGATAGAACTCGGTCCATAGATCCAACCATTTTGTCGAGGCCGTATTCCACTCAATTCCTCCTTTTTCTGACGAGAAAAACATGGTCCAGAAGTCGACTGCGGACTCGACCGGGACACTTCGCTGTCCGTCTGGTTTGGCAAGTTTGAACGCGTTGCGGTAGACTTGTTTGAAAAAGGCGGGATCTGCGACCAGCTTTCGGCGAATAAGTTCCACATACTGAGCCTGTCGTGATGTCGTGTCGTAGGGTTTGTCTCCCGTTGAGACGCTGCGCCAACCCGAGATGAACGTCTCTCGCTCAAAATCGCCGATGGATGGACATTGCAACAGATCACAGATGCCGAGGTGTGCGACTTCATCCAATTCTACTCCCAGATCTGTCAGATACTGCTGAGCCCCATCGATACCAATACTATCTGGGCTGTCTTCTGGGTTGTCTGGCTATCATATCAGTCTTTTGATCAATCAAGCACGCTTCGAATAATTCTCACCACGATATTGGTCGAAGAGTTTGCTCAGGTTCTGTTGGATAGGTGATACAGTCGCATTTCCGGAGCCGCTCTGATAAAATCTAGAAGAAACAGATGAATTAGCAGGTGCAAGTCAAAATGATAGACACCAACCCGTTGCCTTTTGCCGTTCGCTTTCGGGGTTTGCCTTTGGCACGATGAGTAGGAGGCCCGTCTCTCATGGCGCTGGTTTGACTTGGATTCGCAGATGGATCCTGATGGGAAGGGGCAGGGGGTTTGGTTCGGTTGATAGGGATCTTTGCCTGCTTTGCGGGTGGCGCAGGGTCCAGTGGTGTTTGGACCTCGTCGCGCTTGCGCTTCTTGTTCCCAGGCATCTTTGGTGTGCTGATTCTGTTGGAAACTCCCTGTAGAAAATTTGTCCCAGATGCAGGCCACGGTTGTAGGCAGGAAGGAGGGCAAGATCAGGGTTGATAAAAGTAGCAGGCACGACACCCGAGACATGTGGCTTGGCAATGAGTGGCCTCGAGCCTTTGCAAAACAGGGAACACAGGGAATTGTGAATCACTGATCCTTTGTTGTTGTTGTTGTTGTTGGTGGTGGTGTTGTTGAACTCTGCGACACATCCAGGGCGTATGTCATTCACAGACAACAGAGTTTCGCGGGGGTTACAAAAGATATAGTCGTGAGCAGAGCACGCAGGGCTTGCTGGCTTCCAATCTCGTACATGCGTACATGCGAAAGGCAGATAGATTGTGGGTTGGTACTGGAAGTCACGAGGATGAACTTACGAGTCTAGCGCCCTCTCCACATTCCAGTCGTGTGCTTTGAGAAACTAAGAGATTATTAGACGTGTCATCACAAGATCAACCTTCTGTGCAATCGCTTACCTTGGCTGCGATGCTCTCTTTCGCTTGGGTGAAACTTATGAATTGAGAGATTGAGATTCGCTGAGATGTGGTGTAGGAGGGCATGTTGGCTGATGCTGGCGATGGTCTTAGGGTTGAGACCCTCGAAGGGGCGTGGGACGGGTTCCGACAGGACGAGCGACCTTGTTTCGGCAGAGCGTGATGACCGTGATGCACGGTGCTTCTTGGCTCAGTCGCACGACTCTTGAACAGTAGCCAACGTCCAAGCTAGTGACTCCAAGTCTGTATCCAGCCTTTTCTCTCTTGTCAATTCTACAATCAACAATGGAGATCACGGGACATGAAGAAAGTCTGGAGGATGACAGCAAGGCAGAGGGTGACAGTGGCATGCCAAGCTAGCGATAATCGGCCGGAACAATGGTTGATCCGAAGAGATTGAAGAAACAATCGACACGTTAATCAACGTGACAACCTTTGGCCAGAGCACCGTCAAAGTCACGACTAGTTGGCAAGGGCGGTTGGATTTGTTTGCTTGGGTCAGTCCAAAGAGTGAGAGTAGCCCCTTCTAGAAGCAGTGGCTACAAGAATGGTCACATGGGTGAAATATAATCATACGAGACTGACCACACTCCGGGAGATATCATTCTAGCTCCAACTGGGTTTGGACATTTCATGTCGCCTGGTGCTGTGGCATCGTGGCTAACACATCGCACCACGCCATTCTTTCCCAAGGCAAGTAGAATTTAATTCTCTCGTGGACAATACTCAAGAGAATGATATTACGCCACACACGACATGGCAATCGTGGCTGATATTTTGACTTGGTGGGGTCACATTGTGGCTGTGGCTGTAGTGAGCAATTTGAGTTGTGCCCTTGCCGCTCTTTAGGCCTGAGGGTGGCCTGAAATCAGAGGGAAGCTCAACACAAGCCTCAGGGTTATAAAGCTTCGATCAGTACAGGGCATCTGGCAGGGAAATTATAGTCAGCTTCAATCCTAATCAGCAATATCATGTTGTCATGATGCGCTTGGCTATAGAACTTGGTGAGGAAAGAAGACTCTCAATTCAATCTCCTGACCCTCATTATAAGGGTCCCGCGGCTAAACGACTTGGATATACTAAGCCTTAAATACGAAAACACTCTATTGTCATGTACGTGTCCTTGCTAGCACGGCATATCAGTCTATCTATTAAATAGTTCTGTCAAGTTCGTTCTGTCCTTGAACTTCCCCAATAACCTCAATACAACACTTTTGACCCTACACCTTTGTCAATACGGCGGTCAGACAGCTCGCGCCCAATATCGCCAAAAAGAGATATAGTTGGCAGTAGGTATCTCTCGACGAGTTCTATTCACGCAGGTTAGACACGAGGCTTAAATGCTCAAGCATAACATACCTTGATTTTCCAATCCTTCCAAGTCGGCAAGACGCTGCGATACCAAAAATGCGCTTGGGAGTATGGATAACTCATTGCGTTCCATCTTTGACCCTGATCCTCCTTGATGTACCAGCTCTGACACCCACTATTCCACACTGTCTTCGACAGATCATCTTGCATTTTGTTCGTGTACGCAATCTCGGCATCTGCTTTGATCTCCACGGTTGCTGCCTTGCCGGTGATGACCGGCTTGAGGAACCTGAGCGCGTAGTTGATGGAGTTTTCCGAGGCCATGATTGCGGACGTGTGGCCCGTAGCGGCATTAGGTCCTAGGAGTAGGAAGAAGTTAGGAAACCCGCTCATGACCGAGCAATTGTAAGCCTCAGGACCACCGGCCTTCTCCCAGTGTTCGGTCAGGAGCTCGCCATCGCGCCCGATCACCTTTAAAGGTGAAACAAAGTCGTTGGTCCGAAATCCGTTTGCGAGGATTATGACATCAGTCTTTATGGTCTTTTCTTCAGTCCGGACACCATCAGGCACGCTCTCAATGGCTTTCTTGTTGGTCAAGACGAGATTGGACGCGTGCAGGCTTTTCAAGTAGCCGCTGTCGAAAATACGTCGTTTGCAGCCGACGTCAAAGTCGGGGATTAGAATGTCGTGGTACTTTTCGGGCGCTGTTTCACGCATGTACCGTTGCACCTGCACTCGCATTGCTGCTCTCAATCTGCCAGCCTTCTCAGTCAGAGGAAATAGCTTAAACTGGCTTTCTGCCTGGAGGAAGATGTGAAAGCGGTGGAGGCGTAGGATAAAAGGAACATGTTTGAATGCCCACTTTAACCATCTCGGGTATGGGAAATCGATCGGGGGGAAGACCCAGTGTTTGGAGCGTCCAATCTGCGTCAGAGTCTTGGTCTTTTTGACAATCGCCGGCACGATTTAAGATGCTGTACAGCCATTGCCAAAGATGACGACGTCTTTCCTCTCTAGGCTCACGTCCTTTCGCCAACGAGCAGAATGGAAGATGCCCCCCTTGAAAGTCTCTACGCCTGGTACGTCGAGATCTAATGGATACACGAGCTGTCCGCTGGCCGAGAACAGAATACTTGCTTCGTGTACAAGGATCTTATTGTGCCGGTCGTCTCGAATGGTCAGTCGCCAACGATTCTGCGCTTCAACCCACCGACACTCGGTCACTTCAACTCCGAATGTCATCTTTGAAAGGAGATCATATTTCTGTGCAACTCGTTGTAGATAAGCCTCGATTTCATCGGTGGTCGGTAGTATCCGTGACCATTCGGTGTTCTGTTCGTAAGACAGACTATAGAATGCGCTAGGGACATCACAAGCGGCACCTATACAGCGGTTCACGTTATTGTGGTCCTTGCTGCAAAAATTGTCTAAAGCAAGCACTCACCAGGATACTTGTTAATATACCATGTCCCGCCTAGCTTATCACGTCTCTCGAAGTACCTGATATCGCTCTCGTTATACCATCGCCGTAGCGTTGCACCAAGGCCAATGCCTGAGAACCCAGTACCTACGCAGGCAAATTTGGAGTATGTTACAGTATCCGCCATCGAAGATGTGTGGATCCGATGCCTGACAACACACTGATGTTGCTTCAACAAGAAGAGCTGTTACTTTCGAACGATCATTCTCAACCTATATTGGTGTCTTATTGCCACTCGGACATTCAAGCCTTGAAGCATAATCCGGATCCGGAGGAGGCGGCAATGAGGCGATGGAATGCGGATTGTCCAAGGTTTCACTCACCGGAATTCCTTTCACGGATCTTGTCCCGGACAGAACATTAGATGATTTACCCCGGATCACAACCCGCAAAACTACATAGCCCAAAAGGCGGAGACTTCATAGTTCCCTGAGTGCGGGACTTGTGGGGGAAGCTAGCACCAACTTATCACAGGCTAGATAAAGGTGTGGTCTGGGTGCACATGGACCTACTGTAGTCCCCTGGCTGCGGGCTTGTGACCTTCAATCAATTTGGACAGGAGTCTGACCATTCTCATCCACGTTCGGGGGCTGGGTCGTTACATTTAGGACCATGGTCGAAAGTCATCTCCAATGGGCTTTACTTCACATGGAGCCTTGGATGAGTTTACTTCGGGATTGCTTCCATCACCTCGTCGGGGCTCATCTCTCGTGTTAGCTCGTGACAAATAACATCTTGGCATGCACCATGGCCACGCCAACTCATCCCCTGGCAGGACCAGCTAACTGACCTCGAGAGGTTCATCTTGCATTGACTTTTGGAGATACGATATACGATGAGTTGACAAGACAAATAAGAGTTCCAACACAAGGGCAGTAGACCTCGGAGAAAGTTCCCACCGCCTGTTCATGGTTCGTTGTAACACAGATATGTACCAATGTTTAGTCCACAAGTTCATAGATCCAATGGGAAGTGTTCCAGATAACCCACACAAGGGCCGCCATATTAATGTCTCTACGAACCCGTGAAACAGACTACGAGTAAGTTGAGCTGAAGAGTGCACTACCCCAGAGCGATCGTGAGCGAACACCAGGCGACATGACGCTTTATAACTTCGTACCAATCCGACATTCCTCAGTCGTCGTTTTCATCTTCTTCACGGGCGTTCTCTTGTTGCTCCGCAATGTGTTCCTGCCGGTCGGTCGACGCAATACCAAGGCTGGAAAGCCACCCAGACTGCCACCGGGGCCATCAGGTGTCCCCTTCTTTGGCAGCTTGTTAGACATGGCCAGAAGGCGAGATAAAAATGAGCGGGAGTGGGTAAGTAGATCACGGTCGGCTGAACATCGAGGCTGACCCTTCCCTAGCTCGGAAACATGTCTCGCTACGGAGAGATGACGACCCTACACCTCGGCTCCAAGACTTGGATCCTCCTCAACAGCGATCGGGTTGTCACTGAGATCATCGCAAAACGCGGAAGCCTGACCAATGGCAGGTCACCCATGCCCGTTTCTAGTGGTATCGTCAGTCGTAATGCACGTTCCCTGCTTCTTCCGCCATCTAGCTGGACGGAGCCACGTCGAGTCATGCACCAGCTCCTCAACGGGTCGGCTCTCAAGCAGTATGGATCGTGGCAGGAGTTGGAAAGCACGCAAATGATGGCAGAATACCTCCTTCAGCCTGGACGCTGGTTCCGACACCACTACCGTTATGCAAACTCGGCCATTCACAGGATTGCACTGGGAGATCGACTAGTCAAGTCCGGGAAGGATCTTGAGGACCTCCAAGATGTGGTCACAGTATTCGTGGGCAGCATCGGCAGGAATTTCGTAGACTGGTTCCCGGAACTCGATAAGCTACCTCGGCGGCTGCAGCTTTGGCGACCATATTGGGAGAAGATCGATCAATGGAATCACGACATTTATCGTAGCTGGTGGGACCCGGTGGTACAACAGGTTCGAGATGGCACAGCGCCTCCGTCTTTCGTCAGAGATGTTTTGCTGAATCCGGAGTCCAAGTACACTGGCTCTGATCAAGACGCCATGTACGTCGCAATGCAGCTCATCGAAGCAGGAAGCGATACGACGCGGGAGGTGCTCAACACTTTTGTCATGGCATCAGTCTGTTACCCGCACACTTTCCGAAAGGCACGGGAAGAGGTTGACCGCATCTGCGACCATGATGGACACCTTCGACTACCGGTGCTGGATGATATACATCAGTTGCCGTATACCTGTGCTATTATTAAAGAGTTACTAAGATGGAGGCCGATTTTCCCCATGACTCCCGATCACTGTCTTACAGAAGACCTGGAGTTCGAGGGCTACACGTTTCCGGAGGGGGTGGGATTTGTCATCAATCAGTTCGCCATCAGTAACGAGTTTGAGGATCCGGACAGCTATCGACCAGAACGATTCCTGGACGGCCACGAGACCGACGTTTCGCATGGAATCTGGCAATTCGGTGGAGGACGACGGATCTGCGTGGGCTATCGTCTAGCTCAAAGGGGACTCTTCATCAATATCGCACGTCTGGCATTGTGCTTCGACTATTCGACGGTAAGTAATGGGTCGAGAACACAGAAGAGGATGGTAATCTTTGACCTGATAGAGAGGGAAACTCGACGACAAAGTGCTAAATCATCACCGCACCGACGAACCCTTTCCAATCAACATCAAAGTGAGAGGTGAACGCTACAGGAAATTGATCGAGAAAGAAGCCATTGCCGCCGGGGTCTTGGAACTGGCTAATACGAGGATATAAAATTGTAGTGGGAGCTATGCAGCGAATTATCATGAAGTGGTTGGTTGGGGCAGAATCGTATAGTGCAATGTTCCACTGGTAGCTCAATTAACTGCGCTATTTCAACATGCGCCTAAGCCAGTCCAACATTCTCTCCAAGGGGGGGCTCACCGCTGTTCGGCGGAAGTGAAGTGTCAAGATGTGATCATGGGGCCTCTCCCCTGCCCACCTCGAAGCGTATACTGGTGAGAGGACGACAGACTTGGGCCGAGCACCCGCCTAGCCAAAAATCAAGGCGGGGCTAGAAGACCAAAGAAATCACCGAGTCTCCTATAAGCATTATTCCCTAGACCAAGCATTTACTGTGTGACAGTTCTAATAGTTATTCGCAGCTACAGTAGCTTCTGGAAATATTTGTTTATATATCTATTCCAACAAGCACAGTCCTTTGCTGAATGAACGAATAGACTGCGTTTTGATTTGTTTATGGTTATGTACGATGGGATGTCTCAAATCTCGAACGCAATCGGCGTTCATTGCAAATCCTAAGCTATAGAGGATTTGAGCGATAGTCTCAGGGGTAGTTCATACTTCCTGATGCAAAGCCTGAGATGCAGGCAAGAGAGAAGTCTATTGAAAGGGAGACTTTGAGGAGGTGGCCTAATCATCGAAGAAGATGAGGAATCTAAGAAGGATTTCGATGAAACTACGGAGCAGAGCCAAGATGAGGCTCCGGTCTGGCGCAGGGATTCTGTCCAACCTTCTAGACGTCTACAGAAAGGACATTGTCCGACAGGCTCGCCTTGCGATCCTGACAATTCGGAAGCGAATGAGTGAGGAGGCGTGGCTAAGGTCAAACGATACGCTGCTGGCAAAAAGGTCGGGACCTTAAAAGAAGAGCGTGATATCTGACGCTCGGAAGGATGGAAGCAGTAGCAGATCTTAGCTATCTTTTTGGGCTGTCAGTACAGCTTGCCGACCAGCTCGCCAGTATAGCACGCAGTGTCATCGTGACAAATCTTCTTTTCCCGCGCTTTAACATTTTCCGCTTGTCCTCCACTTATTTCCGTGCTGGATCTTTTCCCTTTAACGACTTCTAGCACAATATCATCAATACAGAAGGGCCAGTCTTCCATGCCACTCCATTCTCCAGCCTCATCAAGTCTTGATATCTCGCCGTAGATCTCTATAACGTCGACCCCGAAAGCAAAGTCAGGCCCAAACCACTCCCGAAGATAGACAGGTAGGGAAGGATGCCGTCCTTCCGTATAGAAACCCGTCAGCTCACTGAAGATCAAGTCGCGATCGTGAATTGGTTCACCCGGTAGTAAACCTGGGAACGTGCTTTGCAAATCGGCCGTGGAGTGGGTGCTGGCAGTTTTGGGCATTCGAAAGAAGTTGACGTGAATTTCTGCATTGCTATAGCCAAGGCTAGCACCGGGCACGAATCCAAGCGGTGCCATGCTCAGCGAGATAACGTTGAATGTGAAATCCTCTTCTGCTGCAGAAGGACTCTGACTTGCGTAGAGACCTCGTAGGCTCAATCGTGGTAAGACATGGGCTCCTTGTCCAGGGCTCCGCCCCCCGATGATCGCGTTAGGCCGTGAAGTTGCACAGAATTTGTCGTGGATATCGATTAAGTGAGGCTTTGCATGAGCTGCGGCGGTTGTGTTGATGACCGTGATAGATTGGAAGTAGATGCCTTCATAGGTGAAGGAGCCGTGGGGACCAACGCCTGTGGTAGGCTCCGTTGCGAGGTCATCAAACTAGGAGAGATTATCTCAGAGCTGGTTACGCTTGCATGTAAGACTGCCATCAGGTGGAAAAGAGTTTGGACGTACGTTAAGGGTGATAGTCTTGGTTGAGTACGTGCTCTTGACAAATTCAGATTGAGAGTTTTGCGAAGCTGTAGCTATGCCTTTGATGGTCAAAAGCACCAACACTCTCAAACCAGACCTAAGTGACTTCATGATGGTTTCGACTTCTCTCAAAGTCTTGAAAACGGTTAGGTAGAGATAGTCCTTTCTAGGAGTTCTTGTTGAGGGGATCTTGCTCTGCTTGACCTGGACTGTAGGCTTGAACGTCATTGTTGCCTCTCAACTTTATTACACGGTCTTTCTTGCTTCCGTAACGATAACAGCGAAGCTCAGAGGCCTTGGCTTGGTATGGTGCATCTTCGAGTGGAGCCCGTCACAGGTTAACAAGGATGCTCCCTTGGATTGATGACTTTGCATATGCAATGTCATTTTGTAAAATCACACCCCTCAGGATCTTCGACTGTTCCAAAGTTTCTGCAAGTCTTGTTGATCTCACCTGTGTGACAGAGGCCAGACTTTCTTCAAAAACACCAGCTTGTCGAAGGACAGATACTAACGCATTTAGATGTAAGGTCATCTTGGACTATTGGGTGACATTGCAGTTGCTAGGCGCTAGAAGCACTTCGCGGCAGAAGGTGGCCCTGCAGAACGGGGAATCTGAGTTGCAGGAGATCATTGTATCGCCAAGATGACTATATGTGAGGGCCTGCCTCCTTTCTCGAGCAGCACTCGGTCATCCGTCTCAGACAACCTGCAGTCACTTAGTCGAATAATCTCGCGAAAGATTTAACATGAAGTTCACCATCAAGACCCTTCTCCTGGCACTGCCACTTCTAGCAGTTGCACTGCCTGCTGCTGAGCCTGCGGTAGAAATAACGCCGGGACCTGAGTTAGTCCCTGCGCCAGCAGCTATATTCAGGTACGTTAGGCACAAACATTACTTTCAGCCTACTAACTTTTCCCTTAAGGCGCGGGTGTCCTGCTGGACAGTGGAGCAGTCAAGCTGCATGCCAGCGAGAATGTCCATCTGGTCCGTGTCAGTGTCAGTATTATCGTGGCGTAGGGGCGCCAGGCAGTGGCTATAATCCTTATTTCTGGCAGTGCCTAACACATGGCTAAGCCAAAATACTGGTTCAGACAGCCCCATCATGAAAGATCTATTTGTGTTGAGCAGAGCTATGATTTGCTCAGATAGTGGAGAAACTAAAACCTGCATGCAACAAGTTTTTGTGCTTCAATAGCCGAAGCCTTACACCTCCTGCGAAATCTACTCTCCTTGTGCGTAGACACTATTGATGATTGAGGCTTGCAGGTGGTGACGACATTGAAGTCCCATCCCCTCACTCAGGCGATGCCGCCCTGTGCTCGCCCGAGCGGATGTTTGTCCAAGGCTTCAATATTCAGCTATGTAGCTGCATTCTAAAAGCGAGAAAACAGGCGGTCTTTTCGAATGCTGTTACATTTGGTCTGGTATAACCCCGGACAGGTGTTAGCCAACACGGGGGTTCAACTACTAATATCTTCTCAGCGCCACTCCCACTATCAACCCAGAGATATGGCATCGCCGACAAGGGCGATTGCTGAATCATGCCTCGGCGTTGATTAGGCCCGAGGAAGACGAAGGTGACGATGAATTTTATTCTCTTCTATGCTGACAGCGTGTCATCAATGAAGATGATGGAGGTCTGCTTCAATTCAATCGGCGCTCGTACTCATCAGACATACCGACCGAGAAGTTCTCAATCGTTCAGTTACATTGAGCTCAAAATACAGAGTGCTCGCAGACAGAAACAAATCGCACCAACATCTAGCGCCTATTGAAATGCCTACTCAGAACTTAAGAGCTTGAACGACATAGCATAACCTAGATGCCGAAGAGTCAGCCATATGTTACAACAAGGAGAATCCATCGACTCACAACCTCGACGTCCTTCATTAATGTCTTGCGACCACTGCTTGGTTGGAATCATTTGCACACTCGTCAGATCCTTGAATTCGTGGAGATTGAGATATAAAGGAGGCCCTGCCCAATATCTCTCGTCTTCATTCAGGCGATTCATCCTATTATGGGTGTGAGATAGGAGTTTATAGGTCCTCGTCTCAACATGACCAGGAATTCCTTCTAAGGCCGGCTTCATGTCCTCCTTGCACCAAGTAACGAACTCGGACTCTTCGTCTTCTTCTGGCGATATTGCAAATGCGTAGAGAAAAGGTACAGTTGCTCGAGTATCAAGTCAGGTGGTGTTTACATGTGAGAAGGAGAAGACTGACCTTTGCCATCCCGCTTTGTAGAAGAGGTGCTGTGAACCAGCGCATACTGACGGAACTCAACCGATTCAGTACCGCCTGGAACATCTGAGATGTCTATCTTTCCCTCGCCATTATAAAGTGAGTACAGTGTAAGATATTTAGGGTATTCTGACTCATGTTGTGTTGCTGCTAAGGACTGAAATTGAGATATCGATTGTAAATTGGCAAAGCCTGCTCTTTCCGAGTCAAGGGATATTGACGCATTCAAAGGACGAGAATGAACCAAGTACAGCAGGTTGGGATGGGTCTTTTCGTCAGCCATGTTGGATTGATCAGCGTTTTCGCGAATCTAAGTCACAGGAGAGACTTATTGATATGTATTAAGTCAATGTCTATGCTGACTATGCAGTGTCAGCTGTCGCCCCGCACAAAAGCATCTCGATGAGCCCAGGCCTACGAATTGCTCAGCGAATCACGCTGTCTAACATGGAAGTTAGTTCCCACAATAACACAGGGTTATCCCTTAGCGTTATGTATTGACAGCATTCTCGAAGTTTGCGCCAGCTGGAAGATTGAAGCGAGGACTGCGTCACGGCTCCTAAGTTCCGGATTTATATCTTATAGAAACCTACAACTCAAGACGTATATCTGCGACAGTGTTTGTGAGCATTTTACAAAATCAGTCATGAGCGATCTCGATTCCGCCCGCTGGACGATTTCGCGTGATCCTCTCCTGCTAGAAGAAGAAAACGAGCGTGTCAGGCTCATGCCAAGGAACGTGTCATTTCTGCCCGTTACACTAGTTCTCTCACTTCTGGCCAACGTTGCATTACTTCACTCTATCTCATGGAGGCCCAGAGTCGCTCGCTTTCCTCAATATTTCTGGTGTAAGGTGGTTCCCCAAGCTTGTGAACCGGCCTTTCAAGTTGACGTCTGATCAGCACCAGTACAAGACATTCTCACGTATCATCCTCGGCGTTTCACCACCTTGGTGGGAGTCGGTGATTCGATTTACCAAGCATTGCCTTCCCCGGAAAAGGATGCGGCCTGGCGAAGTCTTTACGTGATGGCAGTGCGAGTTCCACGCGAGGATGCTGAGCGACTACCCAACAAGACAGCCCAGATTGGACAGAGTGATGATTTTGCGGTGGGATTGAACGTCTTCCATGATATTCACTGCCTGCACTACCTGGTCAAGAACATGGATTTTCTGTACCATCCGCAGTATTTTGGTCTCAACGTGTCTTTCAATCCATTTGATGGTACACATGACCTCGACTACTTTCGGAAGATGGTGCCAGATGAATTTCTCAGCCGTGGGCACGCCTATCACTGCTTAGATATGCTCCGGCAAAGTATAATGTGCAACGCGGATATTGGAACATATGGATGGCAGCGTGCGCCGAGGACTAAGTATCTGGGGACTGCTGTGGAGAACGTACACATGTGCGCCGACTTTGGCGCTTTGAGAAGATGGGCAGGGGAACATGTTTTTGACGAGGGAGGCTTGGAGCCATTGAACAAGACTGCTTTTGCTGGGAGGTGTGGATACGAGGATGAGGGTTGTGGCGAGGAGTACGGCGAGTCATTATGGAGAGCAGAGAACGAGTGGCTAGATTCTTCTGCGTGGCGAGACCACCACACAGATTGACATGGAATAGCCTGCAAGTCGATGGCAACCTGGAGGAGCCTCGGCAGTACACTGCACTAGGATCTGCAACTTTAGAGTTAGGAAGAGTTGGAAGTGGTAGATTCAAGCGAAGTCCAGGCGGTTTTCTGGGCAGGGTTCGCCCATCTCCTCACAGACACCTGGATGTACGGAAGTCCACAAGGGTTCAGGCTTCAAATCTGCGGATCCTGGGACCGGCGCACTGATGATCCAATTATAGGTGAAACCAACTGAATACTTGCGTGCCGTGGAAAGACTAGAAATCACTAAAGTTCAGGCATCGACGTACCCGTAAGGCGGGGAAAGTCTTCCGCTGTATCTGTAGTGTGGAAGGTACCTTGATCTCCTGTTCGACAGGGAGCAGCACAGGCATTTCGGGGTCGAAAGTAGTCCCTTCGTACGGCACAAGTGTCGCGGCCCTGGCGTGCGAGTATGATTGTGAAATATTAAAATGGCCGTCTCACGTCCGCAAAGACTGACACAAGATCAGCTCTAGCACCACTGGGAGCTTCGGTGTCGGCCCTACAGTTTGAACATATCAAGCGGATTGGTTGCTACGTGACTATCGAGATTTAGTCTTTTTGCTTCCGAACGCCACCCGCTGCTTGTGTCGACTTGGAATCTATCCTCTTTCTTACCCTGCGCGAAATGCGCCGTCTCACGTAAAATTTGGCTCTTGTACCAAAGAGGGTTTCGACTTTCACCTTCTGGAGCCGGACCCTGAGCGTGAGAATTCTAGGAAGCTCCACGGAACCGTTCAAGACTAGTCCAGTATTGGTTTGCTTGTTGGAGGAACACAGGATATGAAAATAGCTCTGTTGCTCTAGGCTTTCTGTCAAAACTACTCCAACCCATTGTTTGGCAACTTTGAGCGTACAATACGTTATAATACGCCTTGCGTGTCTTATGTCAAGCCTGTACCTTGGCCACGCAACAGCGACGGCCAACAGCCGTGCGTGTGTTATTGGCGAGTGTCAGTTGAATGGAAACGCAACTGACTTATAGCATTCTTCCTGATACCATTAGGCAGCAACAACTTAACGAGCGTGAACATCGCACAACTCAAAACCGTTTGGCAAAAAGGAGATCTCGTATGTAAGATGGCAGGTTTCTGTTGATGCTGATTTAAGATTCCGATCAGGCCAGAGGCGTGGCTGCCAGCAGCTAACGACTCAGAAATTGTCAAACATGTCACAGGATGCATCGCTGGGACCAACGCAGAACCACGTCCTTTGCGCCGATCAAGTTGCTCCTAAAGGTCACGAGTATGAGCTCATCGATATTCCAACAGACCACTCTCACGCTCAAATTGACTGGATATACGGCATCTCTGATCTGCAAGAGGGAAGACTGGCCTTGAGCAACTCGTGCCCCTCGGAAAGCAAGGACCCTCTCTCCTTTGAATTTCATAATCCATTGCAAGGTACGAGCTTTGAATATCAGGCATTGCGTCTATCTTCACCTGCGACAAATGAAATTGTATCAGACCGACATCATATACTCAACACGGAGACCTATCCTGCTGATATCCCTTCTGAAGACAAGGCAAGATCTTTAGACGCTAACAGCCCGGGAGCTCACATGACCTTTTTCAACGTGGAAAATTCCCACAATCTCGACATTCTGAATAGTCCTTTCCACCAGACTTTCACAACCCCTGGTATTTGTCAAGAGGTATGAACGCGAGATTGACCTCTGAAAGAAGAGATAAGATGAATGCAACTAACATCTTCAAGATTTCCACATTGCCTTGCAAGAGCTGTAAAGCTCATTCCCACAGCGCTCAAGTAAGCTCCATTCCCTTGTCTCCAATATCGCCATGCAGAACAAGCCCAGCAGCATCGACTTGCCACGAGTCTCGGCGTGTTTCCGACGGAAAAACAGCACTGCACCTAGCAGCCGAACATGGTCACTCCAGTATAGTTCGTTACCTGCTTGACTGTGGAGCTGAAATAGACCAGCCAGATACGGTCGGGAAGACCGCTCTACATCATGCAACTCAGAACGGTCACAGCAGCACTGTCATGTTGCTACTAGCAAGGGGCGCAAAACCGAACTTCTTAGATCATACCGGGTGGACAGTACTGCACATGGCAGCTGAGGGGGGCCACGAACACATCTTGAGGCTGTTGATTAACGCTGGCGCGAACTACCAAACCAAGATAGGATACCACGAGTTCTAAGGGCAAGACCAAATATCCCTACGCAAGCCGTTCAAAGTAAACGTACCTCAGTAGTGGGATTTCTTCCACTCAAATGCACCGGTTCCGTTCTGACCACCGCAGTAGTTTGCCTTTTTGTCAAGTCGAATCCTTCTAGTCAGAACCGGCTCGCATATCAGCAAACAACTTTACCAAGAGTCAAGAGACACTGGCAATGGACCCAGCTCGAAGCACGTATCTACGGAGACTAGATCATGAGCTCCTGCACTTACCAGCTCCTGAAAAAGACATTTACCTGCGGTTAGGGAAATGCGACGGCGTCTTCCCATACCTTGACCTCTCTGGCCCAGGCATTATAATGGTCTGGATGGAAATCGGAAGCTTTCGCAACTATCAACAAAAACATAAAGTTACAAGATCACTTCAACTTTCCGGGTTTCGTGAGATGAGTCAATGTCTCGCTACTATACACGATCATCATGTGATAGTCGCAGACATTGATAATCGAAATTTTCTGGTGGCAAATGATAAGTCGGTCAAATTCTCTGACTTCACAGAGTCAACTCGATTCAAATTTTGCTTAACATGAGTAGACATGACTGTTCGCGGCTTCTTAAAGTTAATGTAGGAAAGAAAATCCCAAACTCAAATCGCCGTGGCAGGCGAGGTAATGTATGGACCGAGAAAAGGGTGTTAGCCGAAGACGTTTTAATAAATGGAGGGACAAGCGTTCCGAATTCGATCCAGGATTGCTAATTGGCTGGCAGAGTAGGACTCAAGAAACCCTGGGTGATGAGAAACGTGGCCGAGGGGAAGGGTGAATCTGATTATATTCGTGGATTACAGTAGATGGTAGCCAGTTTATCGTACTATGTATGGTACGGTCATTTACGTGCTCTTGAACCAACTGTAAGCCAAAACGTTTCGTAGCCGAAAGAAAAGCCCATGTTTTGATGTTTCTTTAGACAAGATCTGGTTGCCAAGTCGACATAAAGGGGCGCAATAGATTTCGAGTTCTGGCCGGGATCAATGCCGGTTGTGAGTGGTTGGAGCACTGGGCCAATACCTTGGACGTAATAGATTCCCTCAGTCTGAAATGACGATGTGCAGCTGATTACCTCATATGAGCAATGTATTCTGGGATAAGATTGAGGTACTTCCAGGATCAGAAGGAGGAGGAGAACCTGTGTGAGGCTGCTCTGATGGACCGGCAACAATCAAGTACGATATGGAGTCTTTTCCACCTTGGGCCGAGGGTCAAACAGCGAGCTCAAAGACATTAAATCTTGTTGAGCCCTTCGTATTCATGGACAAGGCGGATGCACTCGGCCTGACTGTATTGTCCGCATACTGTCTGTCAAGTATAAGGTCGGAATTCTACATCGTGCTCCCAGTACTGAAACAAGTAAGGCTCGAGGCACTGGGTTTCGAAGAGGGAATCGACAGTACCGTCGCATCTGGTTTTTCGGACTCGACATTGATCACAGGCCTGAGCAGTCTTTCGGCGCTTGGCCCTTTGACCTGTCAATCTCGACTCAACAGCACTATCGTCGTTGGTGGACATCTTAAACTGCTCCGCCACAATGTCATTTGGAAGTACTCAGACGTCGATCAATGCGTAGATAAACGCCGCACGATCCGGGCACGATAAAGTCGATGACTTGGGTGATTGTCATTGGAGTACAGGAGAAACTTGAAGTCTCTATGTGTGAGGTCTTGGGTTGGAGGAGACCATGTAGTTGCAGAGGTTCCAAGCTATGAAAGACACCGTGACGGTTCGACAATCGGTGTGTGTGACCTTGGAGCATACTGCGACCTTATTATGATCAATTAACACCCTATAAAACACTTGAAGAACATGTAGCTCACCCATATCCAGTTAGATATGAAAGAGAAGTATCGATGCCCTATCACTTTCAAACCCTATCAGTTCCACTTTCTACTCATTCACGCACACTCACTGTATAGTGTTTTGCCTTTCACGCCAGGCGGACCGGAAAACCTTCTACGTGAGAGAGAAGAGCTAGGGAATATCGAGATCTACGCTAGTATTTACGCCAGCTTATATTGGGAATAGTACATTAAGGCTCAGTACTAATCTAATATAGTCTTATCACGTGCATAGGCTGGTTTACATGGAGAATCGCTGTCGCACTTGTTGTCCTCGATCCATGATTCCGCAAGGGGCATAGTGACCATTCCCCCCTGTGGCCCTGCAGTTAGTTGACGCCTATGACGCTTCACCTCGCCTAAGCCTATGACTGGCGGGGGACATGCACAGCCCGGCCGCAGCAACACCAAGTTCATTCCAGCGTGGAGTCAAGGGTTTTTGTTTGTTGGCCACTGACACGGCCACACAATTCGTCACACGTCCGTCGAACGCTCCAACGCGTGAAGCTCAAATATCAGGCAAGGTGCATTCTTTAAAAGGCGACAGGCTCCTTCAGATTCCACCATCGAACTTTTCTGAAATTTGCCTGCCCCATCATCCCTTGCTTTTGATATCTGCAGCCACCCTTCTGAACAACCCAATAGATACCCCCAGAGACATAAAATATGGGTGTAAGTACCCCCTCCGACACCTCCAATGCCCCGCACCTGTCACACAAAAGCTGCCCATGACGGAATCCACCATGCTTAAGCCAGAACCCCTTCCAGGGATTCGACTCTTAACAGACTCCAAGAGGTTTGCTGACGCGTACCTTTGCCATAGCTTGCTTCCAAACTCGCCGCAGCGAATGCTGCCTACCCAGGAGGTCCTCCCACGAATTTCCCGCCTGGAGGCCAAAATCCTGCTGGATATGTAAGTCAAATCAACCTTGTGTAATCAAGGCCAAGATATGCCCATTTCCTACCCAATCACCCATCAATTCTATGCGGGAATATGGTAGAATCATGGACTGATGACCTGTTTAGCCCGGCTCGCAGCCACAACAACCTCAGTATCAAGCCTATCCTGGTGGTCCGCCCTCGGGTCCGCCCAAGCCAGGCGCCACGGTAAGACCCTTCCTTGCCCACTCTCAGACCATTTCTTAGCTCGACTGCGTCATCGTTCCTCCCATCTTCTCCCACCACTGGCTGCACCCATTTCCACTGTGAGGATTCTTTTCTGCGCCCAGGCTAGGCCTTGAACCCTACACATCCCTTGAGGACAATTACACGACAGCGATCGTGCTCATTACACGTCCTTCACTATAAAATGAGCAAGTTCTCGCGTTTGGCCCAAGCTGGCCAACTTGGAGGCCAACCTCCTGCACCGCAACAGAGCCCCGCGCCAATGTCACAACGTCCATATTCCCCTCAACCACCAGTTCAACAATCTCCAGCATCTTCCTACCCTCCCGTCCCTCCACGACCGAACGCCTCCCCCCAGCCCTATCAGCAGCCTTCCTGGCAGCAGCCTCAGCAGCAGCAACAACCCTACGGCCAGCAGCTTAGTCCGCCGCCTCAAGGAGGAGGATATCCATCGCCCTCATCTCAACCCGCCTACACCCCATATCAGGCACAGTACCAACCGCCGAATCCGCAAAATCAATACGGTCAACCTCAATACCAGCAGCAAGGCTATAGTGGATATGGACAAGTCCGTCATGTTTTTGCACTGTGTACACATATTGCTATGATAGCGACTAACAGGTTTCATTTTAGGGACCTCAGCAAGGTCAACCTCCTTACCCCGGAGGCCCGGGTGCACCACCACAGCAATATGGAGGTCCACAACAAGGTGGTCCACCACCCCAGCAACAATATGGTGGAGGACCTCCCGCCCCGGTTGGTAATGTAGGAGCGTACAAGCAGCTTTTGCAAGCCGCAATCCAAGAAAAGGGCCTACAAAACTTCTACCCTCCCGGACACCCTCAACTCGACCAGATTGCAAATCGGGCCTCCGCACAGGTCGCTCAACTTGCACAGGCTTGGCGCATCAATCCTGAGATTGCGTCTGACATCGTCAAGCTTGCCCTGTACGATGTGATTCTTTACATCGACGATAGCGGCAGCATGCAATTCGAGGAAAATGGGGAGCGCATCGATGATTTGAAGTTGATACTGTCGCGTGTCGCCTATGCTACCTCCCTGTTCGATGACGATGGTATCCAGGTTCGGTTCATGAACTCTCCCGAGCAAGGCAATGGCATTCGAAACGAACAGCAAGTCACAGAGATGGTGAGTCGGACTCGTTTCTCTGGATTGACACCCATGGGACGTGAGCTCCAGAACAAGATCTTGGGACCTCTGGTACTTGGGGCTGCACGTAGTGGAGCTTTGAAAAAGCCGATCCTTGTGATTACCATCACCGACGGGCAACCAACCGGCGAAAGCTCTGCAGATCTTGCCAGGATAATTCGCAATGCCTCGGACGAGTTGGCGAGAAACCCTCGATATGGAAAAGGCGCTCTGGCTTTCCAGTTTGCGCAGGTCGGCAATGATCTCAAGGCAAGAGAATTCCTGAGCAAGCTTGATGAAGAACCCAGTATTGGAGACATCATTGATTGCACATCCAGTAAGACCATCTCCTTTGGCCAACACATTTGTGGTAGACTGACCAAAATCTAGACTACGAGGTGGAAGCGGATGAAATGTCAAGAGCCAACCCTCCAGTGCACCTCTCGCCGGAACTGTGGCTGATCAAGCTGCTCCTCGGTAGTATCGATTCATCGTATGATGCCAAGGACGAGCAAGGCAGTGGTTCACGACCTCCACAAGGAGGATACGGCGGACCGCCACAGCAGGGAGGTTATGGTGGTCCTCCTCCACCTCAGGGTGGTTACGGTGGTCCCCCACAGCAAGGAGGCTATGGTCAACAGGGAGGGGGTTATCCACCGCAACAAGGAGGTTATGGTCAACAGCAAGGTGGTTATGGTAGACCTCCTCAGCAAGGCGGGCCAGGCGGCTATCCTCCCCAACAGGGTGGCTACGGCGCTCCACCTCCACCACCCAGATATTAAACCTTGGACTTTTTGCGTCCGGCGGGTGATGTTAAAGTTGATGCAGCTGTGGCTGTCTGCAAAAGTGCGAATTCTACACTTATCTTAAGAAGCAGTGACGTTTGTGGTGGGCCTGTATGGGCAGGTTGAATGCCAGAATTGCTAGTCACATTGTGTTAGGGCGGGCGATCACCATTCTCGTGGGCTTCGCATCATCGTAGCATATGGTGGACAAGTAGATTTCCAAGCATCCAGTGGTGTTTGAAATGTCATGTCTCTCCTGCAGGGTTATGAAAGGGATGTCAATCGCTTCAATGACAAGTCCGATACTTCATAGTGTCGGTCCAGAGACATATCTCCAGGAATGACCAAGTCTGTCTCTAGTACTAGTAACACAACCTTGACATGCAATGGTTTAGATTGTCCGCTCGCAGCAGGAGCTGTAAGAGCAGCACGTGAGTCACACGAAGCAACACCGATGTCTCTCTTTACCATGTCACCAACACCTTTGGGATTCCGATATCAACGGACTTGGACCATTCTGCTGTCACAATTCAACTTCATACCTGGGTAGGTAACAGTAGTCGGAGAGGGTCTGGGACACAGTCGAAGTTTGGCTACCACCTACGCCCCGAAAGTGCGGACAGTCCAAGACAAGAGCTTGGGTCTGTGTAAGTGTGTATGCATGTGTGTTTGTGCCATGTGTTGCCCTCCCCGTTGTCACCATCGTCCTCTCTCTCATTCTCTTTCTTTGCAATTGTCGAAGCAAAAGAAAGTAATCTCAAGCTAAAGCCACTACTTCGGTACGCCCGTAAATGGAACGAAGGTAGAATATGTTTGCGATGAAGATTTAAAAATAACCATGAAACCAAGCATTGCTTATCGAGAGAAGAGACCAACCTTGACAGGGAGATACATCGGGAGGTTAAGTGGTTCCGAAGACCGGCATGAAACTTTAGGGTGAAGCCATGTGGGATTACGGCCTTGTGGCACAGTTAGGTGGAAAGTAGGGATCTAACTACGGAGTACTCACCTGACTATTTACCTACCTTAGATCATCGTTGCCTGGATGAGTCAGTCAAAGCGGGATACTCATTACAAGTACCCGAGTAACTCAAATCTGGCTTGGGTTGTAGTATGCAGTATGGCATCTGCCAACAAGGGAGGGCAGAAACCAATGGGCAGGACGATCCCATAACGGGATTCCGGCTGGCACAAGAGATCGTCTCACGCCAAACTCGAGATCAAGATCTGAGTAGATCGGGATCCGTTGACAGCTTACAAAAGGACAGAGAGTCGAGTCGAGTCGAGGCGAATCATGTGCTCATGTGCATATGAATGGTAGGATATTTTAATTATTTCCTAAATAGGCATGCGTGATGTCAACACAAGTCACGGGCGAGCGAGGCGCTTTCTGTGTTCCTCCCTTATCCAAGGTCAAGTCGTTTCTGAGTCATTCACCACGCCGCAAACGCCCATATGTGAAGAGTCGTATTCCAAGGAACCGTTCCACGAGAGTGGATAGGGGATAAGGTTGCATTCTAGAGTGTCGTTGTTGGAAAGTTTGACGGGTTGAGTATGGCTAGCTATCATGTACAGTATATGCTCAGATGAAGGAAGGACAGCAAGAGGGAGAAGGGACTAGAGATTGCTTGGATCGTGAACACGAGTTGTACTCGGGACGTGCAGGTGTAGCAGACGCAGTGAGTAGATGCAGTAGCAATGCCCAGACGCTAATAAGGCAGTGAACTTACAGGTGGGAGGACAGGTGGATTGGATGCAATCTCATCTCTACTACTGGGTCTCTGGATCTCTGGATCTCATAGCCGTAAATGGATTGACAGGAAACTCAGGGCTTGAAAAGCATGGTCTGATCAGGGGATGGGGGGAAAGAAACAAATACACAGGGAGAAAGAGAGAAAGAGAAGGTTTCGTAGGGCCATGAGGCGTTGGAACGGCGGGAAGAAGAATCATGATGGTCTGGGCTTGGCTTCGTATTCGTGCCGCAGCGACGATGTGCCGTCCGGGTAACTTCAGCACCGCCGCCTACCCTGTGGTGTGATGGGCTGTGTGATGCTGAGGTTTGAGATATTCCTAGACCATTCAGACAGCTGTCTTTTCTAGAGGACCGTGACCCGGGCCGGCGAGACGCTAAGGGGGGATTGATGATGATGAAGTCATTATTATTACAGGAACCAAGGTTGGGAGTTGATGTGTACCTAAGTTTAGGGCTAATGTTGGCTACTACAGCAAGAATGATATGGTAACAAGTATGAAACAGGGAATGCGGTCTTGGACGGTAGAAGCGACCATAGGGATGCCTACCTAGGTACGTTCCTCCCTAGGTGATTATAAGGATATGAGAATGCCGTGAAATGAAATTCTCGTACTGCCGCATTGCTTGAAAGCCGTTGATTGACGTGGTCGACATGCTTTGGTAATGATAATCAAGTACCGCACTCCCTTACCTGGAGGCTTAAGTAAGGAGACCCGCATCTCGAGGTCCAAGATCCGCCTAGGATGATAGATTCATAGGCGAATACGTGGGCTAGACAGGCCACAGTTTAGCCTCCATTGGGGACAAGCGTGAGGGTCAAAGGGCTGATTGCTAGGCACTCGCTAGGCACTTGCTAGGTTGGCACGGTTGGTTAGTGGCTTCCAGAAACATCCCCCGTGACAGGTCAAAAGCTTTGCATGTTTTGGCTCGCATAACCTTTGAAGCCATGATTTCCAGAACGCGGGACAATACGAGAGTAAAGAAAGGGGTTTTAAGATGAGAATGAGACAGGAACTTCCCAGACTCGCGAGGGACTGCCCATGCGGCTCGGAATGTGCATGGAGACCGCATGTACTCCGTACTGTACATGGTTACCTTTGGTCATGGCCCAGTGTATGGAATGGCAATGCTTCTGAGATGGATATGTGGTCACCGTGGAGGAACACAATTGACCAACTTAGACGAGTAAAGTACTGGATGCCCGTGACTTGGTAGGATACTCGGTGACCGCAAACACATCAAGTCGGCATATGCAGTTGGACGGACTCCCCGACTCATAAACTACCAAACGAGTACTGGAGCCACCGAGAGACAGTAGTGATAGGCATGCTGTAGCTTCAGCAAGCCAATAACCTCAGGTGCCTCAGGTCCTTCAGGTATCTCGGACTCCTCAGTAGTGTACCCAAGCAAGAACGGTAACAAAGCGGTAGGGCAGCAAAGTGGCCAAGGCTGACTCACTCAACTGGAACAAGAGCAAGGGCGACCTTTTGGTGGCTCACCGCGAAGTCCAGAGGGCGAGTGCGCCTGGCAAGCGCCACGGGACTGGGATTACCACCTTCCTGGCACGCTCCTGCACGTCACGACAGCAGAATTCTCTCAACGATCCAATAATAACCAAGAAAAGTCAGTTGATCGCCCATGCTACCTTCCCAATTAGGCTTAGAGGACCGGGGGATGCGACTGGCGACTTTTGCTGTCCTTTTGGCTCCCACAGCTCTCCACCAACCTGGTCGGTCAAGAGTCAACATGCCAGAGGCTCTCCGTGTCCCTTTCTCATTGCTGCACTGCTGCTGTCAGTGTCAGCCTCCCCCCAAGTCCCTGTTGCCAGTCACCCAGTCCACGGTCCACCCTCTCCACCTCACCTTTTCGCTGTCCCTCTACCCCCGTCCTCCACGTGTAAACACTGCAACCATTCCACCCGCCATGCCTAAACGGGCCAGCCTATGCGTGCGGAAAGGCAAGCCAGCCCTACCACGACCAGGGTCACATCCTCGACCTGACTGAGACCCTGCGACGCTGGCCAGCAATGACGGCGCCTTGTCTCGTCGCTGACATACATGTCCATATCTTGTCTATGCATCTGAGTGACACCAGTCCAGAATGCTGCCTATCCAGAATCAATATAATTCATCTTCGCCCCCGTTCATCTCATCAAATCCTGACCATTGTCTACCATCCAAGCCACTAAACGAGAAATCGAGGAATTACAGTCCGTGCGTATTGCTGCAGCCCAGAACATTCAACCATTACGCTTTATCGAATACCGTACCAACCCCTCCCCCAAGTCCCTTACGCCAAACTTAAGATTTTCAATACATATCTCTTCACTATCCCAGCTTCCTCTCATTCACACACAGAAGCTGTGTTTCCAACAACCATGCCTTCACAGTGTAGGGCTAAGCTGGCCTTGCTCAAGGGCATCCGACCATCACTCTCCTCAGCTACCAATGTAGCTACAACCCAGGGCATCTTATCATCATCTTGTCGATCGAGTTGTATTTACTGTGACATCTGGCGTCTGGCAACCATGATTGCATCTCATGTCCCTCTGACGGCGCGCTACAATCTCACCACCTACACACCTGCCAGCAGTCCCACATCCTCGACACCATCGTCACCCATCTCACGGAGTCCTCCATTGAATTCATCATTACCCCATGCCGCCATTATCTCCGCCAGCAAGAGAATCGAGGCTCAACTCCAGCAACAGCGGTCTCAATTGAATTCCATCCTCAGTATCTGCAGCGTCTCAGGAGTCGACCAGACTGAGGGTCTCCGCATGGCTCACGATCGATGTTCCCAAGCAATCGAAGACTTGCTCGACCGAGAGGAAGACCTCGAGGAAGATCTACTTCGCGACATGGAGGAAATGCAATACGTTGCCGACTACGAATGCGGTGCGCAGTACAATTACGGCAGGCAAGAACGAAGGCCGAGCCTCGTTCCCGTGAGCTTCTGACTATCTGAAGACACTACCAGTCGTCTTTGAACAACGACGACGAAGCAAGCATTCAGAGAGCGTGGGTGAGGGTTTCAGACCTCTAGAAGAATTGCAACGATGGCTGGACCAACGGGATCAAGTGCAGCAGCCTGCCTTGAATGGTCAAGACCAGAGTATGATCTCATAACGAATAGCGATTGATACCAATGTACAATAATACAACTACCAATATTGAATCAAATGCCTCTCTTTGTCTATTTGCCTCTGGTGAAGCTCGCTCTAGACTCTATCTTTTTTGTGCGGACTGCTGGAACACCATCAAACCAAAACCCAAATGGGGATGTTAGATTCGCATAGATAGCCTATTCGGGAATGGCGAGGTTGGACCAGGCCCAATAAGTTCCCCGGCTAACGGAATTTACCACTGCGGGTAGTCAGTGACACTCTCTGTGTCAGACCCCACGATGACCCGTGCATCATGTCATCTGCACCCATTTTTCATGGGTCCACATTCTTATTCCCTGCACCAGCACCAGCAACACTGTCACCGAGACCGGAACTCCGCTGTGATCAAAGACCACCACCGTCACCACCACCACCACCACCACCTACTGTCTTGTCCGTTGTTGTCAGTTGCTAGGCTCGCATGGGTCTTCCCACAACAGTCAGTCCAAGCCAAAATATTTGACTCAATGGATCCCCAAGATCAACGGATTGATTTCATCAAGGGCAACAATAATCATGTCACTACATTTTTTATTGAATGTATTTGCTCTCAATCCTCCGAGAGGCAGGGGCCGAGGGGCCTTGGACCATGATCTTCGGGGGTTTGCCTCCACAAAGCTCGGGCCTTGGGGCGTAAGGATTCATAGGGGCCAGAGGGCCAGAGGGCCGAGTGGCCGTCTTAAAGGCAGATTGGCCTTCCGGGTCGTTCCTGGCCCCCAAACCCACCTGCAGTCACCTGCACATGTGTGTGTGACAAGTGCCTGCCAATAATACGTACCTGTGTTCTGGACAAGGTAGTCGTCAATGATCTCAAGTCAGTTGTTCCTGCCCCTCGTTCTCTTACTGCCCCTCCTGGGTTTCATGTTCAGCCGCAACTCATCATCCCATCATCCCATCATCCTTCACACCAGTGACTCTGTGACTTTCCATCCGTGTCTTCCCATCGCCCATGCGGCCACACCCGTTGATCTTCTTCATCATCACTCGCTCTTTGGCCACCTTGAGGCTGAGTTTACAGTGACCTTGTTCCTATTTTAACGTCTACACACTTAAGTCACTCATGGTCTGTGGTTACATCATTCTTCCAAACTCTTTTCTTTTCAACCACACTTTTCATCTGTCCACAAAATCTCTCATGCTCGCATCATCAACGACGCCTATATCGCCGTCTCGAAGCTTGACAATGTTCGAATCATTAGTGATGGTGGGAGGATTCGTTTGAAACAGTCCGTTCCCAAGGATGATTCCACTCGCAACGCTACTGTCTTCCTGGTGCCTTCCAGCACGGGCTTGTAACACGTGGCCAACAGCCACAATCTCAAGTCGAATCCATCTTCTAAGATTTGAGTCATGTCCCGAGTTCTCTCTACTCCTTCATCAAACTCCAAAACCATAGTAAGTTGAACATGATGCTGCACCTAAAGTCACAGTCACCCACCCAACTGTTTGGGTCAGAACTCAATAGGTATATCCACACTCAAGCTTTTCCTACAGACAATATGACAGCCAAAGCTTAACAGACAGCAGCACATCTGTCTGACAACATTGACTTCAAGGCTCCTTATCCTTGGTGTTGAATGTTCTTCATCTGCTGGTTACTCATGTAGCTAATGCTGCAGATTTCCATTCAACAATTTCTCTCTCTCCCTCCCTCCATTTCTTTTCTACTAATTCTCAATTCCGCAATCATCCTCCGTCTTTCGAGTCAAGGCGACCCACCGCCCAGACCTTGGAACCCTTCCAGGCTTACCACTAACTTACTCCAGTTCGTCAACCCAACAAAGTTGCCGGCACCTCCTCCGAATGGCCTACGCGTGATGATGGTCCCATAACAAGGGTCGCTCTTCCTCTACCCCCGAACACATTCGCTTACCCCTGGATTCAAATCCAATGGCAATACTGTGTGCATTTCCTGAGACCCACATTTGCCCAACGGCCCTGACCCTCGACCTGCACCTTTTCTCCAATTCTCGACCGCGCCGGCTATATTCTTCGCGTAGATATCTGACCCTCATGCCTATTTCTCGTCAGTATCTTCGCCGAGCTGCTAGCCTCAAACGCGTTCGCGACATTCCTCTTCTCACCCATCAGCTATGGGCTTGAAAGTGTTTCCACTTTCCGTATCCGCCTCGCTTTGCTTCGGCGAGACCACCACTTTGGAGCGAAAGAGGTGATTATTGACTCAAGCGTTGTCCATAGGAAATCACTATTGCCGTTGTTGGCGATCAAGCTCGATGCAAGACTTCGGCCCCTCCGCTTGATTCATTTATCAGCGTCAACCCCGTTATAGCCCTGTCGTTCGCTTCTTCCTCCCTCCCTCGCTTCTCCTTGCTGGACTACTGGTTCGCCGTGACTGGACCTATTTGATATGGCAACCAGATTCCTTGTCTTCATTGTAATTTTATGCTTCGTGCAAACCATCTTCGCTCAGACACTCTCACTTTCTCAATGCGCGGTAAGATATGGCCATCCTCGACTCGACCAGCTTCGTCGTGTGGGACGCATCTAATTTACTACGCTTAGATTCAATGTACCACACAGGTTACAACACAGTCATCCTCCTGTCCAGACGGTCTACAATGCTTTTGTGCCGACCAACCCCTCTTTCAACTCGGAATAGACTGCTGGAAAGAAAATTGTACAATTCGTGAAGGCCTCGGTATATTGCGCCTGGAATCCCTCATCGGCCTATACTGATACCTACAGTGGCGCGAAACATCACATCGCTCCAATGCAATATTCCTGATCGCGACAGAGGCCAGGCTGGAACCGCAATCACTTTCGCGTCCATGAGTGTTGCTCTGGTTTTTGTCGCCATGCAGATCATAGTCTTCACAACCATGAGACACTGGGGTTGGGATGACATCTTGATGGTTATCGCAACAGTATGCGCATGCTATTTGGTCATCTATACCTGTAGCTTACACTCGTCAGGTCTTGATGGTACTTAACGCAGCGGCCAATCCAGTTGGTGAGTGGGATGAGTTGTCACTATCAATATAAAGACTGAGTCTCTTGCAGCACGCACATACGGCTTCGGGAGGGACGTCTGGAGGCTCCCCTTCAACCACACCTCGACAGTCATGAAGGTACAACTTCCACGTCTCCCTCTCTCCACCTATCGCTATCCTGCTGACCCTTTCACTTTAGATTTTCTACATTGGAGGAATCATCTACGCCGTCGCCGTCGCCATGACCAAAATGGCCTTTCTCTGTTTCTATATCCGCTTGTTTCCCAGATCCACCCTTCAAAAATGGGCATATCCGATCCTCGTCATTACCTTCATCCAAGGGACCATTTTCACCTTTTTATTCATTTTCCAATGCAGTCCCATCTCTTACGCATGGACATCATGGGATGGAGAATCCGAGGGGAAGTGCCTGAATTTCGATGTCGGCGCCGTCTTGCACTCCATCTTCAACATTGTCTTGGATTTTATCATCTTCTTCTTGCCAATGAGACAGATGTTCCAACTGAACCTGTCCCAGAAGAAGAGGGTTCAAGTCCTGCTCATGTTTGCAGTCGGGTTTTTGTAAGTTCTGCTGGACTTTGGAGGCACAGTGACCCTGTGAATGTAACAAAGCAAGGATCTAGCTGACCACACCATTGTCTAGTGTGACGGTAGTTAGTATCCTCCGGCTCATCAGCCTCATCCAACTCGATGGCAGTACAAATCCGCCATGTAAGTTGACGACTAACCTCCAACCAACTCCCCCATCCCCCTCTGATCTGTCCATTCACCTACATCGTCCCAGAACTAACATCCAACCCTCGACAACAGACGACTACATCCCTCTGGGTTACTGGAGCGATTTGGAACTCAACATCGGCATCGCCTGCCTGTGTATGCCATCCGCACGCGTCATTCTCCGGCGCTACTTCCCCAGCTGCCGATTAGCCACCACAGCTCATGATACTCGATCCGATGAATACGTTCGAGCATCTCAAATCCGAAATGACATCTCCAGCTCTGGAATTTCCAAACTCCCACGCAGCGTGACACGTTCAGGCGTGGTCAAGGATTCAAGTTCCGATCAAGTCGAGCTGTTTTCTGTAAATAGGCCTGAAGGACGAGTTAGCTGAAGACAAGGCGAGGGAAGAGTGCATAGAGGGAGGTGGACTTTATATCTTATCTACGGAGAAATATGGCCCCACCTGCCACGAGAAACGAGATCATGACGACAATGACGATAAAAAAGAGGAAGAGCAACCCTCGACTAGGTACTTTACCTAAGGAACGGATCGGGCAGATACCAGGAAATGGGGTTTATTGGTCTTTCAGCGTGTGTGTGACAACACTGGAGTTGATAAGAATGGTGGATACCGCAAGGTGTGTATATATGGGTATATGGATGTATGGTTGTCTGAATATTGCAACGTTGTCTGGGAGGACCTTGTTTGTTTTGAACATTACTTATCTGTGGTCTTGGGTACGGACAACGTGGGACCGCAAGTAACCGTGTTATGTGATAGCAATATGTGCAACTGTCTATCCCATATGTATCTATGAATCTATCAAATCTGATCCAGATGCAATCAAAACTCCCATATATACGATGACAAAGACCATTTCCCGATATAAACATCATATATAGAACCCAACTGAACCCAAAAGCCATTGAATGTATGCCTCGGTCTCATAGCATCAACCTATATACTCCGCAAACCTCAACAACTCCTCATCCCCACTTAACCTCTTCATATCATCCTCCCTTAACCCCACACACACCGGCAAATCCCCTTCCCTTGTAAACGGCATTATAAACGCTCCCGCCGCAAATGGCGCTACACGCGGACGCATCGCCACCTCCGGAACACCCAATACCGAACCAAACGATGTCTCACAACATTTGACATCTGCCCACGAGGAGATGACGACGTCACGGTCGAAATTGAGGTTTGCAGCATATGCGATACGAGGTCGGTATTGAGGTCGATGGACGAGTGTGGCAATGGCACGTAAGTGGAATGGAACGTCAGGATCGCTGAGGGCGAGACGTAGTTGGGCTGATACCTCGCCGAGGGGGAGGCGCCACACGTTAGGAGAAGTGCTGAAGACCGAGGTTGCCATGTGGCCGCCATAGAGACGCGACAGGTTGAAGTGGCGACGGGAATCGACTTGACGGGCGATGGTGGTGCGGAAGTCGGTGCAGCTATCGCTGTTTGCGGTGGTGTTGCTGTTGGGCGACGTTGTGTTCTTATATCGCTCCGCCCGGACTTTACTGATTGTTTGCCAAAGCAGCGCCGTCACTGCATCATTCGTCGATATAAACGGCGCAGTCGTTTGAACACTAGCCTCGGCCTTCAACTTGACCAGAGACGCAGGACTGAAAGTAAACATGCGACAAACGGCCGGCGACGTCTGTCCTTCTTTTTCTTCTTCTGACCCATCTTTCGTCTTATTGGCCAGTTCAGTCCATGAATTTTGCGTCTTCATAATGAACCACTCCCCTTCCGGACCTGGCGTGTAATCGTCACCGAGAAGAGGAACAGCATCTCTTCTCGACTGATTGACCTCTCGTAATTGTTGTTCAGTGTATGCTTCACCTCGACACGCCTGTGCGAATAATTCAATCACGCTCCCCAAACCATTCATATCCATGGTAGTGTGGTTTGCTGCAATCGTCAGAATTAGACCTCCATTGATGAAATTCTCCTGGAAGAATAACACTCTTGCTGGTCGGTCCGGTGAGTCTTGATAGAGTAATTCGAAAAATGGAGGGATTAGATGGTATGGAACGAGCATCTTTCCGTCGAGCATTGAAAGGGGGAATTTGGCTTTTCTGAGAGTTTCCAGACTGGGGAAATTGGATTCTTTTCTTAGGTCTTTGATTGTCAGGGAAATGTGATCCTTGTTGGCTTCGTTAAGGGGATAGATCCTAACACGACCAATATCATCGCGTCCATCTTTGCTGCTCTTGTCGTTATGGATCACGTGACCTTTCAAATGTGGGAATGAATCCGACAATGTATCCAATCCTGAGCGAATGCTTCTCTCGACATCGGTCGAAGACGTTGAGTCTGGTAGGGAGAAGATCATAGAAATCACCATGTAATTCTTCACCATGGGGATGTTTCCCAGTGCGTCTTGTAAGAAACTGAAATCCATGTTTATCTGTTGTGGAATGGATGATAAATGATCAACGATGTTGCTTCCTTTCTCTCCAAGTTTCACAATCCTGTGGGACTGGGACCATGGGAATGGTACAAACCTTTTGTTTTATATCAGAGTTATGAGTCGATTCTGCGTGTTGACTCTCACCATTTCATCAGTGAAGTGGACATATTCGGAGTTGTTCCAGTTTCTTAAACCGGATTAACGTCAACTTTGAACATTCGGACGCCGTTCGGCGAGTGGATTTGATCACTTGGCATGGCTTTTGAACATTGGCGATCGATATCACGTGACAAATGAACCTTCCCTCCCATCTAAACCTCAAGTGAGGTGTTCACGTAGATGGAACAATGACTGTAGACTGGCTGAGAATTGTAGAGAACAGATAGAATCTCTTGGTGGGCGAGATCTCTGCTAGTCTCCAGCTGCGCCAATGTGGAAGGTGCGTCTGGGGCTTCACATCGCGGTATCGTCTGGCTAGAAAATCCCGCTTTTAGGAGCGATTCACACTCCACTTACTGGCCACTCAACAGCCGGGTGGTTGGCTTATAGTTGAGCTTTGTACTTAGTTCAATACCTAACCTATGATTCACTCGCGGTGTACCTATTACTCACTCGAAAACTCAATAAGAGAGAATCCGTAGTTGCTAGACTATGTCACAGCCCAGGTGTTGGACCCATTACGTGGCTGGAGCACGGCATATCACCTCGAGGATATCTCGAGGCACACACGCCTCTCTCTTTGTTTATCTCTCTTTGTACTACAATTCATCAATTCAACTGCATCTCTGTGCAACACCGTGATAGACTAGTTACTTACTGAGCCTTTAAGCCTCGAGGTGGATCATTGCCTAATCCTCTCCACTTCTCCCCTCCGGAAGAAGAGAAAGTCCAAGTGGAAAAGTGGAAACTTTAGTTACGAACTCAAGTCCGGAGGCCCCACTTCGAAACATATCAAAGACTGGTGCGACCAATCGTCAAGGTACTCATACAAAGCAAGAGAGGCCTCCGGGAGCCTTGTCGAGTTCCTTAAGCTAGGGCCGGACTCATGCAAAAGAGCGCAGAACCTAGATCGAGGGGGTCGGACTTCTGCTATATAAGCACGTCCCGTCTCCTGTTGCTCGAAAATGGCTACACACTGATCGCTGCTAGCTCGAAAGTACATCTTTTTCTGGAATTCAGACATCCTGCGTCTACCGTCGAGGACGGTACCAACAAATCCAAAGCCTCTGGACTTCCAATACTCTCGGAAAGAGTGATAACCCTTTTCGTACCAGGGACATTCAACAACTCGGCAGATACGGACACGCAATATAGAAACCTTCAGCAAGAGAGCCTAACACCATCCTCGCTTACGACGATGGCATCAGGATGGGATAGATTGCCTCAAGAAGTCCGGCTGCAAATTCTACAAACCCTGATCCAAGACGGTTGCTCACTGGCGGGCTTGGCTACCGTATCTCGAGAGTGGCAGACAGAGCTCGAGAGATACAATTTCGCACGAATCAAAGTGACGCCATCACGTCTTGCCAATCTTGATTCGATGATTCATCGCAATCGCGCTCTCGTTAACTATATCTGGTTCTGCTTAGAACTTCGGACTTATGATTGCACTAAGTGTGCGCCTAAACATCTAAGGCTCACATACGAGGAGTTGGAAGAGGCATGTTGTATCAGCGATGCAAATGGCTATCCTATGGATACGCTGTTCGAAAATCTGTTCTCGGTTCTAAGCATATGGGAACCTAACGCCAACTTGGTACTCGATATTAGTATCTACTCGCCCAGTGACTCCAAACACTGGTTTCCATATCTGACCTTTATGCCTGATAGCGGTTCAGATATGCAGAGTGGTGGTGTAGAGCAGGAGATATCAAATACAGTCTATGATGATCCTCGACACGGCTGGATTTCTGGATTTCGAGAGATCCCTCCGTCTCGCTACGCGCTCAACAAAATTTTTCATTCCATTATGGATGTGGGCCCGTTTGATAGTGATCAGTTGGAGCTCCAGTGGTGGGATCAGCTTCCATCGGTCCCGGCGGTAACCACAATACTTCTCCGGCAACAGAACCGTCGAAGATGGAAGCAGGACTCGCTTGCACATATGTTCGCACGTTTCCCTAGACTCCAGGAAGTACACTACGAGCCTTGGAGGGAATGGTGTGGCCTGCAGGAGGTCACAGATAAAAGTGAGTATTGTTGGGTGCTTGTCCAATTTGTGGTTTGCTCTCATCTATCGAGCTACCTCACTGCTGACGATCCGCGTCCGTTATCTAGGTTTCGAATACCTTTTCGAATCAATCCCCCAATTCAACAAAAACATCAAGAGAATTGTTGTCTTTGAGAACTTCAATCAACAGTATCCGCCGATTAAGCAGCTCTTCCTGCGCGGGGTCAACTTGACCAAATGTGACACATTCCGTAAACCATCACCAGGCGTAAGTCGGAGTGTTGCTCTCGCCAGCCTCAATCTTGAGCATCTCGCAGCATCTTTCATCGTAGATGCTTGCCATTTCTTTGAGATCAAACCATCTTGGAAGTGGCCAAATTTAAGCTCGATCGTGCTGACTTCAACCCTACTTACGCCTGACGAGGATCCGATCAAGATTGGCAGTATGCTTGAGGCGGCAGCGGCAGCGGCTCTAAAGATGCCCCGACTGAAAACAATGGAGATTTGGAACGGAAGACGAGGGTTGGCGGCCATGTTTAAGTACGAGGTGTTCCGCAAACGAGTGAAAGCTACAATCACGTGGAGAGGTACATGGCAATTGACCATGAAATCATCGTTAATCAAGGCTTGGGAAACCGTCACAGATCAGTATGACAGCTTCAGTCTCAATTTGGTTCGGGAACGTCTGGATCAAGTTGCTATCAATTCTCACGGGGATGCGATTCACCATCTAAGGCTATCTGGTCAGGTCATTCGGCCTATCTCATTGCAGCAGATTCAGATGGAACAGAAAGCTCTAGAGGGCGGCGTGCCCACGGTTTCTGTGAGGTTGAGGGGTGGAAGGTTGATTAATTGTCCCTCCTCGTTGTGAAAAGGTGAGGGCGTTAATATCTATCGAGCGGGAGCTGCCCTCATGGTCTCCCAGCTCTACGATAGGAAATTGGGAGCTGCGACATATGCTCTGCCATGGTTCTCTGACACAGTTAGCGTTGTTGATCATAAAATATAAGATATCGATTGGTTGTCTTCCATTGTCTACAACTAGCAACCTGGTACATATGTTCAACTGTCATGTGACATACACGTGACTGGAGACTGGCGGCAAGAACCCCTACAACGCTCGTATCCTCTTCTTTCTCCTCTTCCCCTTTCTCTTTAGCAAGCAACCCAAACCAACAACAAGTCCTACACAGCTATGGTAGCTAACCAAATCACAGTCATTGAGACTGCCTACTCTTTCATTCCTCTCTTTCTTGCTGTTTGAGCCCTCTGGGAGGTCCATATACATCAACTAGCCTAAACAGGATATGCTGTCATTTCACCCTCGTCTATCATTTAGCCTCTTCACACATGAACTCAATCACATTTGTGATAGCAGGAGCCTGTGACTCTCAAGCTTCTGTGGTTCCCAATTTGGTGTCACTGCATCTCCCAAAGACCGCACACCTTTTTGCGTTGTCAAGTCACCTGCATGCATAATAAGCGAAGTGGCGGCGCTCCAACTAGTGCAGCCTGATCCCAATACAGGTTGATTTGACAGCGGTTCTTGCTGGTGTGTGGCCGCTCATCGTTGAGCCATGTCGATTGGCTACACAGCGCATCAAATGCAGCAGGGTAATATTCCTATCTCGAGTATCAGCCCCAACTCGGTAAGAGCAATGCCACTCATCACGTGTTGGAACGCCCTCGAGAGACAAATTCTTCCACCACCTCGTCCACATTTCTCTCCATTACTCTATCTAGTGAAAGAGTCAACTCGTCACTCAATCCAGCCCAAATTCATTCAATGTCACTGCGTCATCTGTGTGGCGGCTGATTGTTTGTCTGAGCATATGCCGATAACAAAATTGTCTTCGACACACGATGGATGAGCCTGGTGAGGCTGAGGCTGAGGCTCACCCAGGCCCCAGCACGTCCCCTCAGATCAAAGACGATGGTATGGCGACCTTAGCACCCCTCAAGCACATCTTGAAGCACATCTTGATTGATGCACTTACTCTTCTTAAGCCGAAACACTCACTTTTCGAGAGTTCACGCTCAACAACAACAAATTATTGTCAGCGCCTAAACAGAAGAAGACCAAGACGGAGATTGCTTTGGGAGACCAGGGCACCATAGCCTACATCAGCGAGGATGGGGAGCTCGTGATGATGATGAAGTACCTCGAGGTCGGAACCTCTGGTATGGTCACCGCTTCGACTGCAACATCTGAGGACGAACTTTCGGAGGTACTAGCCGATCAATTGGATACTACCAGAGCCCCTATGGGACTGTGGCCAGAATATTCGGCTGAGCATCGGCCGGTCCAGTTTGTCCACGATCGCTGGCCGAGGATATCGTTTACCCTGCGTAAGTCCCACACTTCTGAAATAAGCCTCGCCATATTTTGATTAGATTGCACCAGCACCGAACTAACCCTCATCCATAGCTGATATCGTCAGCTTCACAGTTCAGTGGATCGTCCAAGATGGCTGTATCTTCCAACAGTATATTGTGGAGAGTCATGCAGAAGAGGAGCTCATAGCGGTGTGTTTCAGAGTTCATATGAACATTAATCTATTGCCGACATCCCACTTCAGGATCCCTTACGGCGCGTACAAACTTGACCCAAAGCCTCTTGAGCCGCACCCTAACCGTCTGAGTGTCCAGCGCAAAGTGGTCGCGGAACCAAATTCAGATTCCAAGCCTCCATGCCTTGGAATTGGGGAATTGGTACTGAGCTTCGCGCTATTCGAAGATGGAAAAGCGTTGAAGACTAATTTCGGACCTGATAACAGCTTCGAATACTGGTTAGAGCTCGGCAAAAATCAAAAGCGGGAGTTGATGGCAAAATATCACTTGGGAGCGAAGGAGTCAAAAATTGAGCCAGCGATAGACATCCAGACATACTTTGATGTATCTGAGTTTTTGAAGCGAGAAAGCGAGCTCTATGGGACCTGGAGACGAAACCCCAATCTTGAATGCCATTTTATTTTGAGGCGCACTTTGGAACATATCCTCTCCGTCTGCGCCGTTCCCATGGCCAGAGATGGCGAAAAATCGGAACTTATAGCGATCACAGATGGTGAGATGCTTGACCCCATGCATCTAATGAGGTAAGTTGAGGCAGCTGTCAGTGCTAGGTGATGATATGCTAATTTGTCGTAGCTCCCCTTTCAGGTTTCTCACCCGAATGTCCCAGCTATTGAGAGATGATACGGAACACGACATTGCGGATAAAAAGCTGAAAGACTATTTGCAGGCTCGCATCAAGAAAACCTGCATCGGCGCTCTCAAGTGGTGCTTTGAATACACTGATGTCGAGACCAATGATGGTGGCTGGTCTTCAGGCTACTATCTCATCACCGGAAAGAAAGCGCCTGGCGAACCTGGCCAGAGCCATCTGATTCTCGAATTCATTGAAGCCCTCCACGAACTCATTAGAGCTTTCCCCGAAGAACAAACGTTTGTCGTGGATAAACTCCAGCAAAAGCACGTCATTGGATGGCTGACGAAATTACACAAGGAACGCCATATCTCTTCGGGAATATGGTTCAACAAAGAAAAAAATCACCTTATAGATTGGTACGATCATGACTACAATGACTCAAATGAGATCAACTTCCCCTATTTCAAACTCAAAACTTTGATTTGTCTTTGGAGAAGCCTTCGATTTCTCCAGAAGGTCTGCGAGACCAGAAAATCAGAATCGACCATGACAAAAGGTGTCTCAGGTGTGCCAAAGTCAGCTGAATCAACACAGAAGAGTAACCTGCCGACTACAATCCTCGATACTGATGCAAGGTCAATCTCTAGCCAGATAGGTGATGGCACTCATTCAAAAGTAAAGGACACTGTTGTGCCAGATTTGCTTGATGAGCTCAACAAGAAAATGCACGAGCCGATGCAGAATGACCGGAGAAAGGAAATCAATAATTGTCTTCGAATCTTGGATCCAGTTGATATCCGCTCCAGAATAATTGACAGGTTCACTTTCGTCCCACAAATATCCAAATCCAAATTGGATCCCAGAGCCGACAAGGACACTATGATTGCTGTGTGTCGTTCTGCCCGGTCAGTCAGAACTCGTTTTCACTTTCACCAAGACGACTGTCGTCTTTTCGAAGCTGTTGCATGGGGTTTCTTCCATGATAAGTCCGGGGCTCTGCTTCCCGCGTGGGAGCGAACATTGAAAGCGCAAGACAAAATAGACACCGGCTGGGACTCTCCTGCACGATATGTGATTGCAATCAGTCAGATCGATTACGAACTCTCGGATATACAAAGCAATGCCGTCGCAGAGAGTGGCAAAGACTTGGTTGATGCAAGAGATGATGCTCTTTCTGGTGGAAACCAAAAAGGGCTGCCGCAACTTGCCCCAGAACAGGACCAGGGCTCGACCGGTACTTCAACAGATGCAATGCTATTGAAAGAGAAGGCGAGGCGAGAAGAGCTTCGACGAGTTCTGTTGGGGTTAGCTCTCTCTAGTGGATTGTTTGCGCACTGCCTCGACGATTCAGGGATGCCTGACAGAGAAATCTATCCCTTTCGCCCGGGGCGTCGATACGAGACAGCTTACTACCTTTTAGCGTCGGACTTCAAAGGCAGACTACCAAAAATGTAAGTGCTCATCTGCATGGGCATGCCAAGGTGTAACTGCTCTTCAAATTGGCTTCCCTAGCTTTCACTTTATTGACATTCTGTGTGCAACAGCGAGAGAATCATTATGAGCAGCTCGGACAAGGTCGAGGCCGAAACAGACGACAAACAGACAACGTCGGGAATCAAAGTAGAAATCTCCGAGGAGAAGCTGAAAGCGCGCAGGAGAATACGAAAAGCTAGAGACAGCACGACGTCCCAAATTCTGGAAGCTGGTAGAGGCCGTATTGTGAAGTGTGAGTTATGTCCGCCCCGCCAATCCAGCATTAATTCTCTTCGTTTTAACCATGCTCAATATCCCTCTGTCGTGAGTTACAGACGGAGTGCCCCTAAGCCCATAACTTTGTACAATGCGCTAACATGAATGAGACAGATGACGAGACTGACTGGCTTTACAAAGAATTGCCATGCTTCCGAGGGGAAGATAAGATGGATATACGTGACGAAAAATCGCCGCTCTCGGATGAAATGCTTCCCAGCGTTCTCAGAGCCGAGCTCAAAGCGCTCAGAAAGTCGACAGCTACCAACACTGAAGAGAACAAAACGCCTTGGGAAGGTTCCGTGAAGACGTTCGTGATCGATGTGAAGAGAAATATGAACGGCAAACCGGTTTCCAACCCAATTGATATGTGGAACCCATCCACCATGTGGAATCATTCAGGCCTAGATGATTTTCTGAGACGCGAGAGGACTCGAAGGGCCGCGAAGAAACGATTAATGTAAGTGTAGTGCACTTCGAATCCCTTGATTACTAGGTACTTTCTTACTCCTCCAATAGCATACTGCCATCGCCAACGAAGTGTTCCCTCCTCCTGGTGTATGCCCACTGTCCAATTTCTGAGCAAAGCTCAATGGCGCGTTTCCTTGACCGCCATGAGAAATTCTCCAACGTGGCGACAAAAGTGGTAAGACCGTCGCTACTTAACTGCGGTCACTGTGTACCTTTACTAAAAGAACCCAACTAGACCAGCAGGCTTGCCAATATGTGGATGACAGAGCTCCACCTCAGCTTTCTGAAACTACTCCCACTCTCAGAGAGTGACCAAGAGGACACCTCGGGGAATAAGTTTGTACAGCATCCGCTGATTCACAGGTTAAATGGTCAATCCAAAGCACATTTTCTGTACAGGGCTACGAGAAGCTTCCGAACAGTTGGCGATATGTACGACAAATCTTGGACCTGCTGGATCTTATGTGCAAACCCCGGCGAGACAGGCAGTAGTCAATCAAATCATGGGCACTTCCCGTCTCACCCAGAGGGCCCCTGGGGAGAATGGATAAATCCGGTGTTGGAAAAAACTGAGTTTCACAGCCAAAGAAAGGTGTTCGAGATCCGACTTTTTACTAAGTTTGCGAAGCAGGCCCTCGCAAACACCGATGAGGCTTTGCGTACTGTTGATGAATACATGAAGGACCAAGTAAGTGGAGACTCCCACTTGGTACAAAATCGTAGGTCGTACTTACCATGGTAATTAGGTTGTCAATTTTCCAGCAGGGATGTCTACCTCTTCTTTTGTTACCGGGAACAAAAGAAACCTCAAGATGTACTCCCAACTCATCATTGTCCTTAGAGAACTGCAACGGAATTCCGAGGCGATCAACAACACGACGAAAGATTGGGGCTTGGAATTTTCGGAAAAGCCAAGATGGACAGAGTCCGATGAAGCCAAGTACGGGTCGAAGCTGGGTCAAGAGTACGAGCGCAATCGTCGAGCTATTGAAGACCTGGCGGAGCAGAAAGAAAACATAAAGGCCAGGATCACGGAGGTGGAACTGGCACAGGAAAGGGTGAGTCGGCTTGCACTTGACGTCTCATTGTAAACATCCACTGACCTTTGTTCCTGATTTTCTGGATGTGTAGGCGATGTCAGAGTTCTCAGTGAACCTGGCCATCAGTCAAAATCGAACGGATGCGCACGTACAGCTCTTCACATACGCAACTGTGGTATTTCTTCCTCTGGGCTTCTCGTCGGTGAGTCATGCCCACTCCTCCTCAATCCCGTTCGCCCACACAAGCAAGGTCCGCAGACCATCCATTGCGACATATGCCGTCGTCGGCCATACTTCTTATCTTGAGGTCCATCGCTAACATACTTACCTACTTAATCAAGAGCTTGTTTAGCATGGGAGGCCCACCGTACGCAAATTTTCCCTGTCCATTGGAGTCTAGATATGAGAGCTAATGGGCTCAACAGGTCTAAACCCACGATTTTGGCTTTCGTGGTGACAGTGGTCGTTGTCGGTGTCGTTACTGCCATGTCATTGATGAATGCGCAAATCATTGCGTGGGTCGTCACAAGGCCTCTAAAATTTTTCATCAACAGCACACAGGGGAAAATGGAGAAGAGCAGAGGAAGTTTCTGGAAATCCAAGGTAGATGCCTTGAAACGTCGCCGGGATGGGTACCTGCAAACCCATATCCTAGAGAAGGGTGCGGAAAACGACCAGGCGAAGAACTCGCAAGTACCACGTCCCGAGGAAGAAGAGACTCGTCCTACTAAACTCTGGTATGTCGGCTTCTGGTTTTGGTACATCGGCCAGCCAATTTGGTTCATCGGCCGCCTGATTTGGTACATTGGCCTCATTGTCAGCTGGTGGCTTTCATTATTGGCCCGAAGGATTTGGCTCTGGCTCCGCAAGAGTTGGTACTACTTTGTGATCTCGTTGTCGCGTGGTCAAGACAAGAAAGGCAAGAACAACGATGACAATGGTAGTCCCTCAGCCGCCGAAGCCTCCGAGTCCACCGATTCGGCGGCATTCACTCAAAAGAATGACTTGGAGACCCAGGTCGAGACCAAAGTTCCGTCAAACAATAGTGGAGTCCCGCAGTCCACTCGTCCACAAAAAGAGAGTGACCTTGAGGCTCAAGTGCTGGTTGATTGAACCACATAAGTAGTACTAGGTAGGTAGGTACCTACCTAATTGACTATTAGCCGGATGGAACCCTTTGTCAGATGAACTTCCCTCTGCTGTTGGTCGACAACAAGAACGATACTACCTACTAGTACTTACCTAAGTACTTACCTAGTAACGTTTGAAAGGCTTGAGGCACTCTCACGATAGTAAAGGCATTCCACGCGTTTCACGATGAAGAAAGAGCATTGAAATACTTATGAATCATTCTACCTAAGTGCTATAAGTCTAGTTGTCAACATATTACTACTAGTACCTAGGTAGTAACCTACTAAATTTACTAATACTTCGTACAAGTGCTAGGTACATACCGAGTTAACCTACCAGATGGGTAAGTAAAGTAGGAATACGAATCATTCTATTCTGCATTGCTCTCTCAGCTTTCTTCGCAGACGCATGCCGCAGGTGAAGTATTTCAGCAGATTGACACGTAGTTCTGAGCTGCCATTGGCGTGTATCGACCGCGGTCTACGCTACGACGTACACTTCCTCTACAGGAGATTTTGAGAGTAAGTAGTAGGTAAGTACCTACCTTACCTACTTACTTGCTTGAATTAAGACTCTACGTTCGTCTTGCTTACGTACCTACCTACCTACTTATTAGTTAGGTACGAATCTACTCCTCTTAATAGAGGAAGGAGCAGGAGGAGGCCCGCTTCATGGATTGAAGTAGTATTCATAGACTAGTCCTAATTCAGAGATATCCGTGGCGCCTTCTCAAAATCAAGTTCTGGGTCGCTCCTTCCTAAATAGGTAATTTTCTCTATTATCGCTCCTTCCTAAAAAGTTCGGTATCCTAGCTCCCTAAAGTGCTGAACTTAGCTATTAACTTTTATAGGGAGTGTCTAGTAGTATCTTAGGGCCTGTATAGGTAAGATCAAAAGCGATTGATCGCGGAACTACTACGTCAGTAAGTACTTAGGTACTAGTACTAGGTAAATTAAGTTACTTACTATAATTCCTACTTTCAGCGTCCTCGCTTTTCTTTTATTATAGCTACCTACCTAGTATACTAGGTTGTCGTAGCTATATCGGTCATTATATACTCCTCTCGTAGCTATAGAGTAGGTAAGTTAGCTAAGTACTAGACTTTACTAAGTAGGTAAGTAGTACTTAGGTTAGTACTTACTAAGTACTACCTACTTACTACTTATGATTCGTCGCTATATCCGTTACCATTTAGGTAGGTTTAACGACCAGCGTTACCTAGTATTTGCCCGTTTTCTCCTTTTCTTTCTTATATTCTTCCTATCGTATGGTGTAAGTAAATCCTGAGGTCAACTTCTATAGCGAATAAAGCTACTTAGTAAGACGTAGGCATACTCGGCAAATCTCACTATACTTATTTAGCAGCCGTTATTTTAGTACCTAGTCTTTAAAAGTAGGTACTTAAGTAGGTACCTACTTACTAAGAGTTATAGTACTACTAAGTAGTAGGTAGTACTTTTCAGTGCTTACTAGAGTAAGTACAGTTAGGTAAAGTACTTAGGTACCTACTTGCTTATTGCTAGATACCTAGTACTTATTAAGGCTTCCCGAGATCCTTATATAACGAAGAACTTAGTCATTAAGAATCTCGAAGTCCGAGGAAATCCCAACTCACTTTATTAATATAGTACCTAAGTACTACTACTTCGTAGACTAAAGTACTTAGTACTTAGTAGGTAGTAAGCAAGTGGTACTTTAAGTACTTAGTAGTACCTAGTAGTTAAGTAATACTCTATTAGGAAAGGTTTTAATAAAGTAACTCGGTAGGTCTAGTAAGTGCTTCGTACTTAGCACTTAGTAGGTAAGTACTTACTTGGGTAGGTAATTTAGTAAGTACTTAGAGGGTATACTCTAAGGTGTAGTCCTGACGTGCCCTACTAGTGGAAGTTTTCTACGACCCAAGAATCTCAGCCGGGGTCACGATGACCCAGTTTTTGTCGGCAGTGACTTCCAACCCAGCAGCCATTTGACCCTCAACGTTCTCAGCTATCATGTCCTGGATCTGCTCTAAATAACTCTCTCTGCGATTAATCCATAGATGAATTCCTCCCTTGGAGGTGTCAACGCCATGGAAAAGCATGTATCCGTCACTGGTCGGCGTATCGCCGCCTACCAAGACTGGCATCTTCCACTGGTCGATGTATTCGAAGATGGCAGCCTGTTTGCCCGAGAACCAAGTGAGAGGAGTCCAGAGATAGGGAGTCATGACCAGGTCGAGATTGGCTTGCTCATCGTACTCGTCGTCCTCGATTTGTTTTCTTGCGGTAGTGAGCTCGCCGTCAGTCTCGTTCTTGAGCAGCATGGTCACGCCAATAACATTCTCTGGTGGTACGTTGTATCCATACTTGGGATCCGAGGCGACCATGCGAACCAGCTCCTCAGAGGCGGCAGTCATAACGTAAACGTCAATACCTCAAGACGTTGTACAGTTCGACTTGGCCAGCAAAAATTCTGGGGCGGTTAACGGTGATGTTGGTGACGACATCTTCATCGTAGTAGGTGCTTGTGATGTTGCCTTCAAAGGTCATTAGCTCATCGACATAGCCTTTCAGTTCTCCTAAAGTAAAGTTGGAGAAGACCTGGGCCACCCATGGATAACAGACTTTGTCGTCGATTTCGCAAAGGCGGTAGTAGTAGCTGAAGAGTGTTTCGGTATAATTTGCTGTGTCTTTGAACTCGATCAATTTCAAGGAAGGGTCGAGACCTTCTCGAGTGATGATTCCACGGCCCTCCAGGAACGGTAGGAGCGACTCTTCGAGATCATAACGGTAGCTGGTATTGTCCATATCAAACACAGCATAATTACCCTGGTTGGCATTTGCTGAGATCATGGCATTCAAGGCGTCTGCTGCGGCAGGTGGCCAATGAATCAATTGCGTCGGCTGTCGTGGGGTAAGAATAGGTGCGGCATTGAGGCTGGTGGCGCCCGCCAATAGAAGTAGCCAGGAGGCTTTGCTAGAGGTGAATTTCATGATGGCAAACACTGCACTGAAGCTTTACTACACCTGTGAGAAGTTGGGTAAGAAGCACGAATGACGTTTCATGGGAGCAGGACAAGCTTGGGAAAGTCACTTGACAGAGCTCCTAGGTCAACTTTATAGATACAGCAAGCAGACAGTCGGTAAGGAACTCCGGGTCAAGTCTTAACATTCGTGGCTTACTAGGTCGTACTCGTCTCTTCCTTATCGGCCACATCATAACTTACCTACTTCTGGCCATCAATGCCTCCAACGAATACGGTGTGCTCGGTCTAACAAACAAGAAATACAAGGTAGCATGGAAATCGTAGGCCGAGAAACTAGCCTTGCTTGTTATCCTGGCTAGGATGAATAGGGCAATTTGGTTCATGATCAAAGTTCGAGACGTTCTGCGGCACCTCGTCCAGAACAAATCGCTTGTTGAAGATATGGGGAAAATTGTCCTGGAGGGGACTAAGTTGGCAAAGTCAAGAGTGCCAAGAGACGAGAGACTTTAAGCTCTCACCAAGCAGACGTCAGTAGGTATCTGACGTATCTCTTCAGTTCGGCTCTGTGTCACCCTTGTCGTTGATGTCTAAGGAACGAATAGGTTGGGAGTTGGAACTTCGGTTACTTGACCGAATCCAATTAGAGACATTTTTCCAGCGAAATGGCTTCGTGTGGTGTATCTGTGAAAACTGATAAGTGGGTGGAAGTTGTTCCATGTGCTGAGTTGATTCATGATAGGATGGATATCACGTCACGTGGTGTGACTCTAGGTGCGGGGGAGAGAGCGACAGTACAGGCACTTGTTGACTGCTTTTAAAGTGAGGAAAGGTAACCCCGCAGCCCCTGTAACTGGCTGTCTAGGTACCTAGGTACTACTTAGATAAGTGGTCATGCCTAACTTGTCGTCAAGACCCCCTAACAACACGCTCTCAAAGGTTTCTTCCAGCCTACTAGGACCAGTTTAATGGGGAAATGGGAGGTCATAATGCCTATACTTACTTAGTACTTACTTAGTATCAGCACCATATTGGCCTAAATCAGGTAATGTGAAATCCCATTCTCTTAAAATCACAGGTTAGGTACCTAGGTACCTACTTGGTAATGTTCTGACAATTCATGAATCTTGCCACCCATGCTTGCATGGATTATGCCCTCGCCTCCTGTGCGTAGTACTATGCACTGCTGTACTCACACTCGCCTTTATTATTAGTCGAGCCTTCTCTCACCGCCGATGACCAACTAAGCCAATGCCACCAGTGGCACTCCCCCAGAACGACCTCTTTGCTTTGTCAACCCAACAACTATAATTCACTCTTGGTCCATCATCCGCGAACCGTCACTTTGATCTTTATCATTATCGCCACCTGTTCTGATACTATTGCTTGTCTACCGATATTAGTGATGCAAAGTCCGCGGGCGCGGGCCACGTTGATGTCCATCCCCATGTTTTGTTTCATTTAATCTGCGATGAGTCTGTCATCGACCTCTGGGAGCGGGAGTGACTCCGACTACCACGCAACAACTCCACCCACTTCATCTCGCTCTCGTCCTCGTCCTCAACCACCACCACGAAATCGTCATCCCTCCTACCAAATTCCTCGCTCCGAATTGCCACCCTCAATACCTCTTCCATCCTCTTCCAATACAGCCTCTGCTGTTCACACACCTGCTCAACCTCCTCGACTTCCCTCTCCTCGACTCTTCCGCGCTTGGTTCTCCACCTCGGACGAGAATTCTTCACGCAGACAGATTACCTTACCTCCGGCTTCCTTTGACGGCACCGGCCAGGACGTCACCCGGGCCTTTCAGTCCGCCAATAGAGCTGTGAGGACCGCTCAAGAGGCTTTCCAGTCCACCAGGCCAACGACGGACAACATTGCTCTCGATTTAACTGAGAGCAGTCCTGGAAGCCATCCCGCCCAGCCTACTTTTCAACATGCCGCACATCTTCACACCCGTTCCTCCCCCAGACACCTGAATCCGACGTCTCGTACCGATTCCAGCTATCCACTTCCTGTCCACACGACTTTAGCTGCTCATTACCACAACCTGTGGAACTATTTACCTCGTCTCCACGGCTTCGGCGTTCATGAACTTCCTTCAGCGAATTCCGATCTCAACGTCCTCCAAGATCAAGAAGCTATACACAGACAGAGAGACAATCACAGAAATTGGCAACGTACGCAGGCCAGAAACCGCGAGCGAAATCATAACCAACCAGAAACAATGTCCCCTCCCCGCCCCTCCACCTCGAACTCACAGCCTTCTCCCAAAACCTCCCGACGGCCCATGTCTCAAAATGCAAATACAATAGACCCTGCGATAGAGTCTGTTGATCTCACCGAGGTCGATGACAGTACTGCATTATCATCACTTCTCGCCAAGCAACGACAAGATGCTATCCTAGCCCAGAACGCCGGAAACGAGTCTGGCCGCACACCGTTTACTGCCTACAAATGTCCAGTCTGCATGGAAAGCCCAACAGATGCGACGACCACCGTCTGTGGCCATGTCTTCTGTCACCGCTGCATTGTCGACACCCTCAAGTGGTCGATAGAGCAGCGCCGCCATGATCTACCAGCAAATCGAAAAACAAAGGGTGTTTGCCCCGTGTGTCGAAAGCCGCTCGACATCAAAGACACAGGAACTGGCCGGCATTTGATTCCGCTTGAGATAAAGCTGATGGTTCGACTGAAAAGAAAGCGCGATGAGCACCAGGACAAAGGCAAAGGCAAAGCCAGGCTTTCCAAGGTCGAGACGCTTAGTAGCGACGATGACAACTCCGCGCCTTCCAAGAAGAGAAACAAGGAGAATATTCGAGCTGGCAAAGCACGACAGCGGGAGTCGACGGAAGAGGCATTATGGGGAGAGTTGATTGAGGAACCTCCTTCAGACTAAGGACTGTCCGATATGGAATTGGGGATAAGGGTTTTACGAGGCTTTTTGTCTGCCTGTGAAAATCTTGGACTGGCAGGCAGTCAGTCAGTGTTAGTACAGGCAAAGACCGGGAGAGAAAAGCTGTTCCAGACATGCAGATGGCATACTGCTGAATTGGCCTTTTGTTGTCTCCACATGCATCATGATACCCATGAAAATTCATAATGAAAACAATAGAGAGCATTAATTGCATATTAAAGTCCAAGACCAAGTCCATTCTACCATTGTAATCAGAGAGACATGAGTTCGCTATATCTATGTCCTCATCCTCATTAATTATTACTCCTCCCCTCCCCTCCCCTTCATACTACTTCTCCTCCCATTACTCCTCTCCAACCTCCTTCTCCTCCCCCTTCTAATCAACGACTTATTCGCCCACTTGACCACCGCTCTAACCATAACATCCCTCATGAGCAACAAAAACACCACCACACTAACCGGAATAGCAATATTCCAGAAAAAAGCATCACTATGCAATTGTACAGCTGTGAACCGTTCGAAATTCATTCCGAAATAACCCGTTAGAAAACTCAATGGTAAGAAGAAACACGTCACAATGGTTAATTGTTTCATGGATTCGTTTTGATATGCGGATACAGTGTTGAAGATCAAGTCGGAGAGGTTATCGGCGGAGCGTCGCATTTGATCATACGAGTCTTGGATTAAAAACGCGTGGTCTTCGACGTCGCCGAGGTAGGTGCTAGTTAAGGGGGAGATGCGGAGGCCGGATGAAGATGGAGGGGAAAGGGCGTGGTGTAGGGTATTGGTGGTAGAGGAGGGAGATAGGTTGGTATTCAGATTTGCAGCCAGTGATGATGACAGAGGATCGGTTCTTGGTTCATTGACAGAAGGACTGACGACTCGTGAAGACGTAGGGAATGCGTTTGTCGGATCGGATTTATGGTCTTTGAGTGCGCCGATCAATTGTGTGACGGGGGCGATGGCGTTGCGAAGAATAGCGATTTCCGATGTCAGGATATACAACGTGCTGCATTGGTGGATGTCTGGGTCGGTGAGCACGTCGAGTTCCAAGTCGCCGATGGCGTCTTGATATGCTGTTGTTACGGGCATGGCGAGATCGATGATGGCGTCGAGAATGGCTTGTACTAGAAGACTGGCGTCTTCACTTTGTCGTAGAACTGTACCGGGTGTGTGAAGTCGACGGATGATGGGGGCTTGTACGTCGTGCGCGGAGTATTCGAAGAAGGATATTACGGTTTTGTCCGCACAGAGGAAGATAGAGACTTGTTCCATAGATACGCCGATGCCTTTGGAGCCGAGGACTGCGTGGCGTTCCATCTGCGTTGGAGGAGAGGTTAGTGGTATGTTGGGAGGACGAATGAACCCGAATAGCTGAGAGGGTTGGACTCTGGACTTACATATTCAATTCGATCCTGATTAGGACCAGAATGGTATCTCTGCATGGACCGAATTTTCTTCGGAGCCCAAGGGCTATCCACCTTTTTGGAAACTCTGAAGCTATTTGAGGGCGTGAGCATGCCATTACCTTGGACGTCTTTTGCCTTATGTGAAGCTTTCCTCCTATTCCGTTTCCAAACATCATTCCAGAGTGAGACGACGGCGCCCTTACGATTCTGCTCTCGTTTTCTTCTCTGTCGTTCTGTAATAACACGGGCGCTGCGACGTCGTTTGCTCGTCAAATCGCTATTGTTGGACCCGGAATCAGATCCGTAGATTGACTCATCATCATCGTCGGCTGAGGAGTCGTGGTCTGCAAGATTGATCAACTTCTGTAAAGGGAGGACTAGGTAGGTATGGTCTTGATACCAATCCGCCTTGGTGCGGCTCTTGGTATGCATCAAGTCTTCAATAGCCAGTCTATGCAGGCCCTTGTAGTTTCCCAGCAGTCTAATGACATCCCAAGAAAGGCCGTTGACATTGATCCATCGCACTTGAGCCCAATCGCTGGGCTCCCGTTTCAAAAACTCTTCGAGATTGTCGTTGTCGAGATCCACGGTCTCGATGGAGTTATTACTGTAGTCCACCACGGTGATTTCACATCTCTGATGTAACTGTTCGTAATGCATCGAGTCACTAGCGGTGGTGTTCCCTGGTGTGTAGGGAGGTGCTGGTTCGCTGGTGTCAATACCTGGCTCTTGTCCCGGGGCCCAGCCTGTTGTATGGCCCATCTCAGTGGCTCCATATATTATGGTCTCTGCACGCGCACGCCTGCGTAGACTTTTCATGGTTGACTTGGATATACCGGTGTCGCTCCGGTGAAGGTGATTAAGGTCACCATATTGACCATCTTCGCTTCTCTTGTGGTGCATGGTATTCTCTTCGATGCGGACATGATGCGGGCCATCGGTCTGATTGGAGGAAATTTGAGCCTCGACATCGATACTGTCATCGCGGTCACGGTCACGGGCATTGGAGTTTCTGCGATGGTTTGTATGGTCCCGAGAATGTCGCCTTCTCTGTTGCTCAGAGTTGGAGTCTGAATGTCTGTTTGATACGACATGGCTGCCATGTCCGCCGAGAGCCATGATCTGTGGAGGTACGTGAGGTGTTTGACGACGTAGCCGTGGCAGCCCAGACCCACGTTGCGTGCCCAGAGGCTAATGCCCCAGATCAAGAATCGAGACCCGGTTGATTGGTTGGTCGGGAATGACCTAGGAGAACTCGAGTAGGGATCAGGCAGGGTCGCGAGAGGAAATGCAGAGAAAGGGGGGCGACGAGGAGAGAGAGGCTGTCGATTGAGATATGCATAAAGGATTTGCGATGTCTAGAGGTATATGATGCGATGTCGCCGATGCATTGTTCGAAGGTGAGTCTTTGACCTCATGTGAGATCTACGGAGTAGGGTTGTAGATATGGTTCGTTGCGAAAGATAAGGCGTCAAGGGATCTGGCAAGTCATTTTTGGGCGTTAGATTGGATTCCAGTACATGGTGTTTTCTAACCATAAACTCAGAAACATTAGGGGGAACATGGGTTTGTTCCAATCTGCATGGATCAAACAAGGGTGGAATGGTGAAGTTGACAAGAAGACGGCGAATGGAATTTGAGAATGTCTGACAAGAATTTAATGCAAGTCGCAAGTGAGCATTTGGGGGCAAGAAATGTGGAGAACTATGGAGGGGAAAGGGATATTGTACTTGTCAGACAAAGCTATTAAAATCACTGCAGCTCTCAATGTCTACACTCAACACATGCCCATCTCAATCTCTCTACTTTTGAGAATTTCCAGAACACGGCTTCCTTGCTGTCAAAGCAACGCCTAGGTCTGTCGAGGACATAGAAGACATGGATCTTCCCTGTTGTCACTTGCGTCGCAGGAACAAGTCCACCATGAAGTGAGTTGCTTGTGACGGTTCCATTTCCCAATCGAGAAATGCCGCTCCCGCTCCCGCTTTCCGCTGGATGATCGATGATCTGTCCATCGCTTTGACGTCCAAGCCAAAGAAGGGAAAGGCTGAAAGATGTCAGCATAGATAGAAACCTTGTTCCTGAAAAAAAGCCAGATATATATCAATGCCAATCCTGTGCCGGGAGGAAGGCAGTTGTCGACCAACTTGTCGCCGACATCCTCCTACATCCTCGGTCGCATGATGTCAGACACTAAAGGAATCGTCGTCTTCTCTGGTGGAAGTGCTGCCAATAGCCTGGTCGACGTATTCGAGGCGGTGCGTGAAAACAAGAAGTGTCCCTTGAGTTATATCATCCCAATTAGCGACAATGGAGGCTCGTCATCCGAACTCATCCGAGTCTTTGGTGGTCCTGGTATTGGTGATGTTAGAAGTCGGTTGGTCAGGCTGATCCCAACAAATCCTCCATCGCCAGAAAAGTCGGCCATATCTGCGTTGTTCAACCATCGTTTATCATCAACCTCGGGGGCTGATGCCGCCGCCGAATGGCAGCTCATTGTCTCCGGTTCTTCAGACTTGTGGCGCGCCATCCCCTCGGCCAAGAAGGAATTGATTAGATCATTCTTCAACCTTCTGAATCTGGAGATTCTCAAACGCGTACGGCCTTCATCAACCTTTGACTTTACTTCGGCCAGTGTCGGCAATCTGTTCCTGACTGGTGCACGACTCTTCAGCGGCAGTTTCGAGTCGGCCATTTATCTATTGAGCAGTATATGTGGCATATCAGATGGTGAAGTTCGAGTCATTCCTAGTATCAATTCCAACTTCTCCCATCACATAGCTGCCGGACTTGCCAACGGGGATGTCATTGTTGGACAGAACAATATCTCCCATCCTGCAGAAGCCACCGCCTTGGAAATGCCCACTCTTCCTTCAGAATCACTGCATGGAATCAGAACACGGGGTAGCGTCGATCACACAGCGGACATTGAAGATGCCAACATCCCAGGCACTTTGCCCAGTCTTCGCCAACGGAATATCAAGTTCACCAAAGACCAAGACGAGGACCTGCCAGCTCGTATTGACCGGGTGTGGTATATCAATCCATATGGACAAGAGATGCTGCCTCCCGCGAACCCAAGAGTTCTGTCCGCCATCAAACACTCACAGGCTGTCATATTCTCTATTGGATCTCTGTTCACTTCAATCATCCCATCGATCGTGTTGAAAGGCGTAGGGGAGGCTATTCGCACCACACCGGCACGCCATAAAATCCTTATCCTGAACGGCTCACTGGATCGCGAGGTTGGACCAAGCTCCAGTCCATTTTCAGCCTTTGATTTCGTCGAAGCCATCGCTCGGGCGGGTGAACAGTCCAGGGGAAATTCCTGGCGGCCCGTGTTACATGGTTCGCGATCGGATGAAACGATCGGCAACTCATACACTTCCCCTTCCACTAGCCGACACGGTAGCTCTCTCCATCCAAACCCACAGGTTGCCAATGAGGCCCATCGCGCGAGCCGCGACTCGATATATCGCCAATATGTCACACATGTGATTCACCTGACAGGAGATGGGACCCCACATGTTGATCGTGACCGGTTGGCGTCTGTGGGCATCGACTGCCTGAAATTATATGGTCGCAAAAGTGCCAAGGGCATTGTTTTCTATGACCATCAAGCCTTGGTAGGCGCCATCGAAGCGATTCTCGGAAAGAAAGGTGATGCCATGGTTCTGAGCAGAAGTCGACGAAATACACTTGATGGCTGATCGTTCTCATCCAGCACACGGCTTGGGTCCAGATAAGGGTTTCGCGCTAGGATTGCCGAGTGGTGATCAGTGGCTCAAAATTCGCCCTTTCGATTGCGCTGCCAGGCGATGAATGGAAGCTTCCATTCAGCACGCCGAAGACTGTCATTAAAGATGTCAAAGTCGACCTTTTGGAGTCGGTCCAGCCACAGCTGCGTGCTGACTGCCGGGCCCATGACAATGCCAAACGCCTTGTCTTTGTCCTCCTTTCTCTTCTCGGCGGGTGCGCTGTCATGGCTGTCATGCTTGCCATAGTCATGGCCTTCGTCATGCATATGTTCATATTCATGGCCCGGGTCCTTGAACTCTTGAACATTCTTGAGCATCGTCCTGGCAGTGATCAGATGGTCTGACGCCCGAGTCGCAACTGAGAAAACTGCATCCCGCAGTCCTGCTGCATTAGCTCCCTGGCGAAAGACATCTTCCTCCTTCACACCACATTGTGACATGACATCGAGTGGTAAGGTGACAACGCCTTGCTTTTCACGGGTCGCAGGCAGACCCATTCCTGCAGGATTGTTCGAATGTAGATTTGGTGGAGGTGGAAATGCTAGCAGAGGAACTCCACGAAGCACAGCTGCAATACCTGCCGCCTTGCCAATGTGTGATGCTAGATGATCCGTCGTCAAAGCTTCAAGGGGCAGAGCAGACAAAGTCAAGTAGAGCAGGGTTGAATATGTTGATTCGGCATAGGACTCAAGTTCCTCCATGTTGGTGAACCCTGGATGAGTCAACTTGCGATCCCTGGCGGAAATGATACGTTGAAACCAGGTCTTGCTCATTTTATAGCCCTGGTCGAGGTATGCCGCGAGGAGAATTGCCACGGGCTCTAACGGCGGTGTGCCCTTGAATGTCTTGTCGATGGTGTCTCTCCAGAACTGCATCCTCATAGCGCCAATCTGCGGCATGGATACAACATCTGGGATTCGCGCTAATTCGATGTTGAATGCTCGAATGGCAAAGTATGCTGGCTGCATATGCGAGGGAATGAAATGAGCCAGGGTATAAGATGGCGAGTCATATGTACTGCAACATCATTAGATCGTCTCTTGTGTCAATAGAGATAGAATGTAGATTCATACCGGACAAGACTCGTGCAATATGCTTGAGCCTTCTTGACATCCGGAGAGCTTGCTTCGAGTGATAGCCTTGAATTTGGAGACGAACTGAAAGATCTTCTTGTCCTTAGAAAGAAATCCCTCGCCTGTGTTGGAGAAATGGGACTTTTCATCTGACGCATCCGAGTCGTTGATGCCGTAGCGAGCATACATCGGTGAGGCACAGCCATGATTCTGGTCGGGTTGCCCCTAAGCCTGGTCCAGACTTCCATACAAGCTGTTCAGCTGATCAAGGTGTACTCATCTTAGAGCGCATGGCAAGAACCAAGACAAAGAGAACAATGCTGGAGATGAATGCTGGAGCACTATCATGCACGGTAGAGATCAGTTTTCTAACCAACCTCTGTCCATGTCATAATTGATGACCACATCGACATTCAATGACGATGATTGATTGAAGCTTCTGCGCATGAGGAAAATCAATTTCTCCGGTCATGTGACTGCGTTCAGTTCTCGCGCGTCTTTTGACGCGTTAATTGATTTGATTGCGGCGACTCCAGAGCCTCTTCTTCACACCATCAATTCCAGGTGCAGGCATACAATCTGCTCTCCTGCACCATGGACATCGATGATCGTCCTAAGAAGAAGCGACGCTTCTTTGTCGACGATCCGATTGTCGAAGATGATCAACATCCACAACCGCAGTCAAATCCCTCAAGGCCTACCTCCGCCACCTCGTCAGTTCCCCTCGAGAACTCCAGCCAGACAGACCCCGTCGACATTGATGGCTTCCCGGAGAGTGAAACTCCGGCTTTTGATGCCGACACCTTCTGTGCCTTTGTCGGCAAGGATGTTGAAAAAGACATTGTGGCAAAGATTCAGGCTGCGGCGAATGGCAATCTCGAACGAGCCATCAATATGTATTTGGACGGGTCATGGCAGAATGCTCCTGTCGCGATAACGACGCCTTCGAGAGGTGTCGATGGCTGGCTTGCGTCATCCAAGAAACCTCCGACGCCGCCAGTTGTTCGCCAGCAGACTGGAGACGCCATAGCTCCACCGAAGCCGTCGCTTCTACAATCAATGCCAAAAGAGCGATATGTCGGTTCCTTCGGAGTAGGAGCCTGGATGACCAAAAGTGGTACCAACCTCATCACCCATGGGGAATCGGTCCGGATCGAGAGATCTAAAATTGCACCAAAGACAAAAATTGGCAGAGGCGGCAAAGTGGTGCCGATTATCGCTCGAAACCAGAAAGCAGATGTAGTAACTCGATTCACCAATTCAAAGGGTGAAGAGCTCGGCCGCTTGCCAGAAGAGACTGCTAAGTGGGTTTCGGCTCTTCTAGACCAGCGAATGTGTCGTTTTGAAGGAACATGCGTCTATGCTCCAGATCGTGTTCGTGTCAATGACACCGTCTTTGTCCAACTTCGTGCATATCTGCTGAAATCAGCATTCGATTCCAACGCTTTCGTCAAACCCCAAGATGATAACCGGGCTACAGGCTTTTTTGAAGAAAGGGAGAGCACAGAAGAGAAGGATCTCCGCCTTCGACAGGTCGCCTTAGTCAGGCTCTTCCATGAGGTGAACCTGAACCCGACCACGACCAACGAAACAACGGCCAAGCACAAGAAAGAGGGCATATTAAAAGCCGCAGAGATGGCCGAGCAATATGATAAAGATAGAGACACCAAAGGGAGGTCAGGGATATCCACCCCAACTTCAGAAGAAGAAGACGGCCAAGAGTTGGAAGAAGACCAGCTTGACACTCTATATCAAAAGGCACAGTCCTTTGATTTTAACACACCGGAAGCTGAGCCTGCTTCCACATTTGCTTTGGATTTGCGAAAATACCAGCGACAAGCTTTGCATTGGATGCTCTCCAAGGAGCTCGAACAAAAGTCGGATAAGCAACAATCCATGCATCCGCTGTGGGAAGAATACACGTGGCCTGTCAAAGACGCTGACGACAAAGATGTGCCCATGGTTGCAGGCCAGGACAAGTTCTATGTCAATCTCTATTCTGGTGAACTCAGCCTAGATTTCCCTGTACAAGAGCAGAATTGTCTAGGAGGAATCCTCGCTGACGAGATGGGGCTGGGCAAAACCATTGAGATGTACAGTCTAATACATTCCAACCGCTCTCAGATTGATCTTGAGACTCTTGGACAGACTACAACAAGTGTCAACCAGCTTCCTCGGTTGCCACAATCATCCACACATGTCGAACCTGCTCCTTGCACCACGTTGGTTGTTGCACCGATGTCTCTATTGGCTCAATGGGAAAGTGAAGCTATCAAGTGCTCCAAGCCGGGTTCTTTGAGAACTCTGGTTTACTATGGCACGGACAAATCTGTCAATTTACAGACTCTGTGCTCGACTGCAAATGCCAGCTCTGCCCCCAATGTCATCATCACAAGTTACGGCATTGTGCTTTCAGAGTTTGGACAAGTCTCTGCAGCAGGTGGTGAACGTGGATCCCACGGCGGTCTATTCTCTGTCGACTTCCATCGAGTGATTTTGGACGAAGCTCACACCATTAAAAACAGACAGGCGAAAACATCCAAAGCTTGTTACGAGATCAAAGCCAAGCATCGTTGGGTTTTGACAGGTACTCCCATCGTCAATCGACTTGAAGATCTGTTCAGTCTCGTCCGTTTTCTCAAAGTTGAACCGTGGAGCAACTTTTCCTTCTGGAAGACATTCATCACTGTCCCTTTTGAATCCAAGGAAATTGCACGTGCATTGAATGTCGTGCAAACCGTTCTTGAGCCACTGGTGCTTAGAAGAACAAAGGATATGAAGACGCCAGAAGGTGAGGCTCTTGTACCGCTTCCAACAAAGACTGTGACCATTCAGGAAGTCGAGCTTTCACAAACTGAACGCGAGGTCTATGACTTGATCTTTACTCGCGCGAAACGGGCTTTCAACGAGTCGTTGCAGGCGGGAACGTTATTGAAGTCGTACACTACAATTTTCGCACAGATCCTCCGTCTGAGGCAGTCCTGTTGTCATCCTGTTCTCACTCGGAATCAAGACATTGTGGCTGCTGAGGAGGAAGTCGCCGCTGCTACTGCCGCTGATGCGAATGGGTTCGCTGACGACATGGACCTCCAAGACTTGATTGACCGTTTTACCAAGGACACTAACCTTGCCGAGCATGAGAGTGCCCCAGATCCCATCACGACATTCACTACCAACGCACTTCGTCAGATTCAAGATGACTCGGGAGGCGAATGTACTCTGTGTTATGAGGAGCCTATGGTCAACCCTTTAGTGACGACTTGTTGGCATACTGCATGCAAGGAATGTCTTGAAAAGTACATCTCCCGGCAGATCGACCAGGGCGAGAAGCCACTCTGTTTCCAGTGCCGAGAACAAATCAATCCTCGCGACGTGTTTGAGATTGTTAAGCACAACAGCCCGTCACAATCATTTCAGTCTGAGGAGGACCTATACTCAGCAGGTGATGCCACTCCCAAAGTCACCAAGATCTCTCTGCGAAGGACTCGGCCTTACTCACCCACCGCGTCCACGTCAGCCAAGATAGCAGCATTGCTCGCCAATTTAAGTGCTCTCCCGAGGGGAACCAAATCTGTGGTCTTCTCTCAATTCACATCGTTCCTTGATTTGATTTCGCCGCAACTGACCAAGCACGGGTTTGAACACTTGCGGTTTGACGGAACAATGCCACAAAAAGTTCGAGCTCAAGTGATTCGCGCATTCAGTGCTGAGAACTCTTCCGATCCCAAAGCTCCTCGAGTGCTACTCTTGTCTCTCCGAGCAGGCGGCGTGGGATTGAACTTGACCGCGGCAAGTCGCTGCTACATGATGGACCCTTGGTGGAGTTTCGCGGTCGAAGCACAAGCCATTGATCGTGTCCATCGTATGGGCCAGACCGACAAGGTGGAAGTGGTCCGCTTTATTACTAAAGAGAGTATTGAAGGCAGGATTCTCCGAATTCAGGAACGCAAAATGGCAGTAGCCGGCTCGCTCGGAGTTGGTCAGTCTGGTGCAGGCCAGTCAGAGGATGAGAAGAAGAAGCGACGCATCGAAGAGTTGGAGATGCTGTTAGGCTGAACAAGGCACTCTGTTGCGAGGCTGCTTGCATATACTTTGTGTTTTCTGGTTACATGTATAGCGTTGGCAGAGATCCACAGCAATTACATTGATATCCTCGTGTCGACATCTCGCTAATTGGATCGATTGGCCCACGCCTACCACGTTAGATGCTACCTTTGTCAGCGATATGGACAGTCTATGCCGTGAAAGGAGCAGCGGGCAGCTCTAGCAGCAAGCCCAGAGCAAGATCAAAAGGGACACGCTCGGAAGATATTTTGTCTAGCCTCAGCAACGTCATTCCGAACTTGTCTCAAGCTTCGATATGGCAAAGAGGGTGAGTGTACTAAAAGACTTTGTTTCCGGTGGAACGATGTATAAAACGTGTCTCACCAGTCAAGCTTGAGGTGGCGATGGCAGAACGATTCTCCAGTGTTTCCCATAATCTTTCTTCCTCTTTGTTGTTCGATCCTTGGATGGGACTTCACTTCATCACCACGCTCTCTCTCTCAGCAAGCCTCTGTGTTCCATCTATTAGACATATTGGCTGCTGTTGAACATTCATGCATGCGTATGTAAGCATTGGTCAAGCTTCATGGCGTATCATGAATCCCACCGCATTGTCATTCCCGACACGGTAGGTACACATGGATCATCAATTCGACCACGCTATGACTCTTTGGAACGTTTACCAATGACATGTCTGCCATCAGTTTCCGTTCCAGTCGACGATTGGCCCCACTATCCCATGCAGCTTTCACTAACGAGTTATAAAGAAAGATGATGAAGGATGAGCCAATTGGAGCCGGCTAATGGTTTTCCATCAACTCGATTCAGCGTGTTGCAACCAACACCAACCACTGGACTTGCCATTGCCCATGTCAGTCCAGCAATGTTCTCTCCAGTTTCAGTGGCTCTCTACGTGTAATATGACGACATAGGTGTTGGCTACTATGCAGCTATGCCCTCACCCTATTGCTATGCATAGTGTCCGCCAGCCCTGGTTCCACGGATCAACTATGCAACATTGCCCATCTCGATTCCGTTGCCGGACAAGTGAAAGAGCCTCTCCCATTGGTACATTCACTTCATTGAGGAGCTGGCTGGCTAGCATTTTGCCGGTCCAGCTTTGAAGCTTATCAGCACAATGTTTTCTTGTTTCCTCTCGTTCTCAAGCTCTTGTTCTCCTCTGCAGAATTTGGCATTGCGTGACAGAGATCCAGCTCGATAGATTCGCCCTGACTGTGAGCAATTGAATACTAGACACAATGAACGTCGACCATCCAAGCCGTGAGATTTTTAAGCACGTTCAGGTCAAGCTCTATCATACCTACATAGTGTTGCGCCGCGGCTGACCTGATTTCCTTGTAGCCAGGGGACGAATGGAAACTGGAACAGGGATTAGCACCTGCTGAACTTCCTCTCATCGATCAGACTGCCAAAGGGCAAGCCAGTCGTCCAACCAAGACCGTCGACGATGTCGACAGCAGCAGCGAAGATGATGCCGCCAAAGCCGATGACATTGCTGCCGAGGAAGACCCAGACGTGTTGTTTGCTGAAGAACGTGAAGGATGGCACGGGTAAGCATGAATCCTGTCCTAACAAGAAACTCCCATCCCACCTTTATCGTCACCACGATACCAATTCCTCCCAAACAGATACATCGAATGGGAACAATACCCCGAAAAGAAAGCCAAGGCCAACAAGATCATGTTGTCCAACGAATTTCCTCCCCCACCAGAATTCCAACTTGGACCTATTCCCGACACCAACCCGGTTCTCGAAGGCGTGCGGTGGAAAGCATGGCACAAAGCCATCGGCGGACCCTTGACCTCTGTACCAGAAGAGTCCTGGCTACGAGTCATCCAAGAAAAGCACCCTGATATGCTTCACCTGCTTCAATTCCCCTACAACGGCGAACCACCCAAGCGACTCGTGACAGCCAAACCCGTCACACCCACTCCCTTACATTTCATCCGTAACCATGGCGGAATCCCCGACATCGAAGCCGATAAATATTTCCTCCAACTCGACGGCCTGGTCAAGAATCCACGTAGCTTCACCCTCGCCGATCTTCAAGACGAGTCCAAGTTCCCACGCATGGAAAAACTCGTCACGATTCAATGTTCGGGGACACGTCGGATCGAACAGATCCAGCTCTACGCCGGCGAAGGCGACGAAATGATCAACGCACCATGGGCCGAAGGCGCCATCGGCACGGCGCGGTATGTCGGCGTATCACTCAAGAAAGTCATCAAAGCATGCGGCGGCATGACCGACGACGGCAAACACCTGGAATTCCACGGCGCGGACACCTACTTCAAACAAAACGAAGTCATGAACTACCTCGTCTCGGTGCCCTGGTCCAAAGTCAAAGCCAACGAAGTGATGCTCGCGTGGGAAATGAACGGCGAACCCCTCCCGAAAATCCACGGATTCCCTCTCCGCGTCGTCGTCATGGGCTATATCGGCGCCCGGTCGGTGAAATGGCTGTACCGCGTGCGCGCACTTGCTAAACCCACCCGCGCACCCGTGCAAAGTAAGGAATACCTCTACTTCAACCAACAGGTCGGTAAACACAATCAAAACCCGACCTTGGGGATTCAAATCCAAGAAATGCCCGTCTCCAGCGCCATCATGGCTCCCTGGAATAAACAGGTCGTCGTGCACGAAGGATCCATCGACGTCAAGGGCTGGGCTTATAGTGGTGGTGGACGCTGGCCTGAACGAGTCGAAGTCTCTGCCGACGGCGGGTTTTCCTGGTACGCGGTCCCGAATGAAAATTTATCCACGAAACATAAATTCGCCTGGCGAACGTGGGAATTCTCGGTCCCCGTGGATGTCGAGGGTTGGATTGAGTTGGTGGTGAGGTGTTGGGATAATTCGTTGAATACCCAGCCGTTGGATGTGAGGAGTGCGTGGAACTGGGGTCTACATGTCACGAGCTCGTGTCATCGCGTCAAGGTCTATTCGGTGAATAAGTCCAAGACCTTGACGGCGAAGCGGTTGAAGGATTTTGAAGATAGGGGGTTGAGTCTGGTGCCGATTACCAGACCAACGGAGTTTCCTCAGGTGTCGTGGGAGGAGTATGAGGAGTTTTGGGATACTCATGATCCAAGGGATGTGGATGATTGATTGATGGACTCGCTAATTGAGGACAATAGGTATCTCGACCCAGTTGGTGCTTTCTTTTGATCTATCTAGTCTGGTTTGGACATGGTCTGAAGTATCTCTCCCTGGCAACCCACCAACTCTTCCGGCAAAGCTTAGCTTAATCTTCTTCGTGTCAAGATTTACGTCGTATTGAGCACTTCCTATCGAACAGTTCGTTTTTGATGGATCACGATACGGAGTATGTATGGTTACATGACTTTAACTACAAGACGACCAATCCAACACGTGATGCTTGCATATCGCTACGGCCCGAAACCCTCAGATGAACCAACTTCATACAATGATCTTTTGTAGTTCGTTGTTGACCCTAGAATTCATTGCATGTTGATAAGTCGGGTGCTCATCTCCGTGTCATGCGTTTTGTGCACGCCAGATCACAGCCAGGATCAAGTGGAGTCTGGTGATCGCTGGCGTCGCTTGTATCGCTTGCATGCATGCAGATGCCTCGATTGAACCAAGCCTTCTCGCTTCATTTAATCGTATGCAGACAACATGTGATGTCAAATATGGTGCTTCAATCATCGAATTGAAATCTAAGGCTCGCGCCCACTGCTGTTCATGCCATTGTAATCTTTGAGGCTATCCTATCCATACGTGCACGCTATCACGTAGATGTAAAATACAAAAATACGCCTGTCCAAACCAGGATCTGCCACCTGTGGACGTTTTCCAGAAGCGAACCCCAAAAAACCAAAAGATATCTCCCAGCGGGCTTGCTCAGCGCCAAGATCATGCAGAATTGGGGTATCATATACATCGCTTTCGCATCCAATTCGTCGAACGTGAAGTCGTCAGACTCGTCTTTTTGCCAGAGGCTGTCGTAATGAAAACTTCCAAAGAAATCATAGGTGGGTGTTGAAGGAGCATGTGTCCATATAATCTCACTGCCGTGGAGCCGCACCGGAAGTTTGTCCTTCTTCTGTCTCTTCAACCGGGCCGGCCGATTCGTCGGCAGTGGCCTCACGGTCTCGCCAACTTGGTTGCACAACATCCGCATCCAGTTCATCATTGGTGAAACCCGTGATACGATTTCTCTCGTCCGGTCGGGTAGAAGGCCCTTCGCCAGAGCTGGTCCTACTGTTGAAAAGGGGTCTTTGTCGCATGGGTAAACCAGCGTTGCCATATGAGGGAGGTGCGTCAGCAGGGACGTGGGAAGGACCATCTGTCATGGCCTCGAGATCTTCGTATTCCAATGGCGGGCCGTGGTAATCCTCGATGACGGCGCCGCCCCAAGCGCCATCATTCTTATCCGAGCTCCCATAACCGGGAGGGCTGTCTGGAACATCCTGGTAGACGGGTGGCATCTCTTCATCCCAGCTGATGCCCATACCAGCCCTCTGAGTGACGATGAGAGCGAATTGCATTCTGAGAACGCGAGCAGCTCCGGTGGGGGTGATGAGTTGGGTGTTTTTGTTGGGGCAGAATTCCTCTGCCACGATCAATTCAAGAACCAGGTTGTGCTTGACCTCGATGCCGGAGCTGCTAGCATCGACATCACAAGTAGCACGATGGTTGGATCGAGCTGCCAACGAGGCTTCAAATTCCATGTTGATCTCGCCTCCGACAGTATCGAAGTCGGTCTTCCAGCCACCCTTGATCTCATCGTTTCCAAGAACTCGTGTTTCGGAATGTAGGATGGACTTGCCTTCACTGACTTTGTGGGCGTGCTTGGCACATGGCGTAGAGATGACCTTGCTATGCTCCTCGATTCGCCATGACAGCTTGCGAAGTCGCCATCTGGTTTGGCTCTCTGCCTTTTTCTCTACGACGCCACTCAAAGACATGGTGATTGGGAAGGTTCCAATAGGATGAACAATGGGAGGTAGCTGAACACGGCCAGTCAGGTTAGTTGGAGGGAAGATTCGGATGCTAGCCTTGTCGGGACCGGGGTGAATGGCGCGGAGGATGGAAACAGGTAGAGAATATTCAATCTTCTCGCCGTGTGAAGAGACTGCGGTAACGTAGAGAGCATAGCTAATAGTGGCTAATTGTGACTGAGTGGTCGCAGGTAGGTGACCGGGTATGAGATAGGAGTAGGGGAATTGGTTGTCTCTGTCCTTGAAAAATGTCTTTGGCTCGGAGAGAAAGGTCCAAGATTTGAGCTCGTCAACTCTCTCGATGCAATCCTTACAGTCTTTCCCAATGGGCTTTTTGGTGGTGATGTGAGTTTTGAAGGACATGTTAAACTTCTCGAGCCGGAGCTCACCCGTAGGGTCATCAATGACTAACTTCAGCCGGCCAGAGATAAGAGCACCGGAGGAGGAGGAAGCACTACCAAATAACACCACGGGAGGGGACTCGGTGATGTTCTCAAAATGGGCGACTTTGACAGGGCCTGCTTTGGGCGACGCTGCCGACTTGCGATCCTTTGACTTGTTGGAGGAACGCAGGTGTAATGACATGCGTTTGAGGTCGCGTGAGTCTCGCTCTTTTGGTTCATCGTGCTTCTTATCTTTTTTATGGTGGAGAAGATTATCCATTGAAAAAGAGGGGCGTCTCGAATTCTTGGGAGAGATCTTAGGGGAAATAATAGTAGGAGAGTCCAGGTGGGTTGCTGTAATTTTTCGCTGAAGCGCAGCCACTACCTCGTTGACTGATATGGGAGAAAGGCGAGGAGGAGCTGTTGTTCCTTGATGGACTTGAATGCGCGAAGGCATGACAGTTGAACAAGCCACGGGAAGGTGGATTCACTGTTGCCAAGGTCAAGTTTTGGGGAGGAGCGACTGTGTGGGTGGCGGCGATAACAATGACGATCTCGCGATCTGAGGCAGGCGGGTGCGGGGGGTGCGAGTTGGTACAGTGCCCAGAGATACTCTAGCCCGTACTCTGGAGTGTGTTGAAATAGTGGCTGTCAAAAACCTTGGGGCAAGATTCGAGAGGAGAGATCTCCAGGCTAATTGAGTTAACGAGACGATGGGCGCGCGTCGAGGAAGTGTAATGCGTAAGGATGACGAATGGGCAGGGTCAGCTACGAGCTGCAGCCTGCACGAGACTGGAGATGCTGGGTCGGCGGTAGCCGAGTTGTACGATGCCGTGATGCACCAAAACGGATGACTGAGCCGTTGTGACCGCCTAAGTTAGTTCTGCGCAGGCCTGTCCCTCGCCTAACAAAAGGTGGTCTGCTGTGTCTTCTGGGCCTGGAGGGGTCTCAAGTCTTTTCTTGGGCGGCACCTGAATCCGGGGGTGTTTCCGTGGAAGAAAGCCAAAGAAGCCAAAATGATGCAAGGTACAGTGGAGGCCTCTGGGCGTTGGCGTTAAAGAATAATAATCTGCAAATAAATGGCTCTTTGTCAATTTGCAGCCCACGTTGAATAAAGTAGAATGGCACTGTGGGAAAAAATCAAACAAACATGGTCAAAGAAACGAAGGCGTCAGAGATTTCTCTGCGCCATCAGCCAAAGTCTTTGTATATTTTGTTGACTCTGGCGTGATGCCTCAAACAAGCTCGGTGTGAGTAATGGAAACCTCGATCGAGCAAGGACTCCTGCACGTCCCCGTAACCTCAAGGTAGCGTTTTTGACGTGACGGCTTTCCAGATGGCCTGTGGATCACGCTGCCCGCTGCCCGCTGCCCGCTACCCGCATGTCGCACGCGGTCTTCTCGCTGACTTGTCCTGGCCCAAGTCCGGCGTAAGCGGCACACCCAGGCACCCCGACTCACTTTAGCCACTCCTCCCAGAGTCGACTGAACGATGCAATCAATAGGAATGCCATATTGTTGCCATCATCCCTGCAGCATTCTACAAGATGTTCCTATTCATGGACCATCAAAACATGAGCTACTCCAATTCCAGCAACGACGCAATGACGTTTAGCCGTCTGTAGTCATCTCTGTAATATGCGTATGACAACCACAGGCACACGCTGACAAACGGTGACCGAGTTTCAACAGTATTGAATTTTTCTCATGGACAAGCAATTGAGTAAGGTCGGTAGAGTAGTCGACCGCGAAGACGCGAGATCTCAGTGATGGGGCTAAATGACGGGCCGCGAGTCAAAACAGGGTAGGGCAACAGGTCCAAGCCCAAATCCAAGCCAGGGATGACCACCTGACTGTGAAAACTTCCATCAGCAGACCCTTTGTAAAGCATAAGACGCCCAGAAGCCCAATCAAGCCCAAACTCTGACAAGTCGTACTGGCCCACTGGCGTGCTGGCGACGAAGGCGCCCGACCGAGTTGGGTTATGGTCGTTTAATTAGGGCGAAGGGGGGAGATTGACAGGCTGGCATAGCTGGCACGCTCAGCCGCTGGGTAAGGGTGCGGGCGACCACGAGACCTCAACGCACTTGCCAACTCGATCAATTATTGCCCCTCTTAAGCCCCTCCCGGCCCTGTGTCTCCAGTTGATCAGGTCTTGCATTCTGGAGCAATTCTCCCCCCTGGCGCCCCCCGAAGGAAGACCTTCGTCTCTGGGCTGTCTGGCTGTTCCTCCTTGGGCGATCGCTTGGAGATCCTCTTTTGCTGGTTTCAGGCATTTTGCCCAATGGCACTGACCCCTAGCAGCCACTCACCATGCACCCCGCAATCAGTCCCAGGGTATATGCCATCCTTACTACAACGTGCTAACTTCGTAGACATTTCCCCTCAATTGTGTCACAGCCTGGGCATGAAAAGTTTTCTGTTTATCCGCGGGGCTAGGCATGTGTGAGGCTGACGCTCGATGCGATTATTCTGGCGTCACCTCTGCTGCTCGTTTACATCAGCCATGAAGCAAGTAAGAATAATAATGTCGGACACCGTGACTAAACCCACCTACTGTCTCAAATGACGACCAAACCAGGAGGTCTTACCGCCAGGCGGAATGCCAATGCAGCAAAAGGTGACATTATGACTCTGACTGTCGCAATCTTCCGGTTCCATCATGTGAAAATTTTCCCCACGTGTCTGAGCGTGTCTCTGTTGCTGGGCCTGAAAATATGTACAATATTCTTCCCATTACTCGATAGAAATCATGGAATGATCCACCTACGCGTTTAGCTTTCGTATGTACTTCTCGTTCGGCAACATCCATGACCACAAGGGCGTATAATTAGCCTTGTTGAATTGCCATCGTACCACTTTTGCGCCACTGCGCACTCTAGAATACTACCCATATGCGTGAGCCATCCATACTTTAACGGCAACGGACTTGTCCGGTTTTGAGGACAACGGCACTCAACAATAGGAGTAAACCATTTGCCTACAACTCCCGAACATGTTGTCAAGCACATACTCGTAGGACAAATTGGTGAGATCCGGTACCCGAGAAACAAAAGTCTCTCATTTATCGCTGTTGATTACCGACATCGGCGTATGGTGCCTGATGGCTGTAACAAACGAGGAAAGGCAAAACGCCGTGTCGGACATGCCAAGCTTCTATTGAAAAGCTTGTAGGCTCTGGCCTCGTACCGCTGACATGATTCTCCGTGCACGGAGCGGACATGTTCATTCTTCTCCGAGCCTTCTCCGATCCGGGTACTCTTTGTTCGGACCATGTAGCAACCCTTCATGCTGAGTCCTTCTCTGTTGAGACCTGGTCCTCCGGTCAAATTATGCCGTATCCATTCCACCAAGCATACAGACCAGGGCCGACTACTCCTCCCAGGGCCCCAAGCAGACCAAGTTCGAGGACTGCCCATACCCAGATCGTCCCAACGGCTGGAGCTGTTTTCATCACTGCATAGTACCCACGGTCGTTCGTTACATGAATCAGGTAACATCCAGCAACGTTAGCCATGACCAGGTAGGACAGCTGTCGGAGTGCCAAAATCCACCGTTGCACTGATCTGGAGAAGCTGTCCGAAGTGATAGGTAGTAGAAGTCCGTGAAACAAAGTCACCAACGCAAACAAGGTGGGGAACGCAACAAATAATGTCCGCAAGACAATTGGCATATATCGAAGCTCTTGAGCATACTGGTGAACGGTCAAGATCTCGAGGGTGAAATGTATCGCGGCCAGACTGATCACCAAGAGTATGGCATCTAGCCAAGGAGTTGCCGATCTGGTATCGGCCAGAGCCTCGTTTGGGATGACCTTGCCATCTTGGCCGATCTTGACTTCAACAATGTTCTCGGGATTGCTCCCAGGATTGAATTTCCTGGCGCCGGGGTTCAATTGTGCCTCCCTTTCCGCCGCAAGTTCGAGGAGTGTTTTCGTTTTCCTCGAGTCGTCCTTGACTGGTCTGCTCAACGGAATGTGGCTGGCATTCTGGATCGATGGCTCAGAGGAGCCTTTGGCTCGTCTTTGCTTCCTGTTCATTGTTGTAGTACCTCACGGTCAAATCATGACTCTTTGCGAGCGAGCACTGTAGATGACACAGTCGCGACGAGGGACTTGAGAAAACTTATTTTTTGGGATTGTAAATCGATGAGTCCCAAAGTCAAGTCTGACATTGATGACCAAGTAAGCTCTGTTCTTTGTGAGTAGAGGCCATGCAACAATCAGCATCGACGTGGCTGCTTCTCAGGGGCGGAATTTAGAGTCTCCGTTTTGCCAAGCCCGACTGGTTTATCCGCCCGAGCGCATCCACCGTCATCTCCATCAACAACGACGACGACGATGCTCAATCTTGCATCATCACCAATAATACACAATGATGTCTTTGTCGAGATCCATTACGAGTGGGTGCGCCACTGACCCTGATGAAGACAATATTAGTGGCAAGCCCATTCATCCCAGCAGAACAATATTAAGCTACCCTTCTTTGTTACTGCCCACTCTAGCACACCGGCTTCTCAAATACTGTGGGCTACTGACTCTACTCCCATGGGCAATGTCTGGTCTCGATGTTTGAAAACGGCGGCCCTTCAAGTGTAATCTCATGAGAATAGCCCTATGCACGTCGTGAACAAAGATGCTGTTGTTGGCAACCTGACGTTTCAGCCAGCACATGACATGATACTTATTCCACCTCAAGGTAGGTTGACTTTCTTCACTCCTAGCAACCCAAAATTGAATTTGGAGACGTGACATTTCAAGTCCATTCATACCGATTAAAAGCATGGTGGTGATCAAACACGCTGTACTGTTCGCGGCAGCCATCTTCACTCTTGGCCTGGCATTGCCTGCCGACAATGATTGGGGTAATAAGTCGGGGGGCGACTCTCACGGACCACCCCAGGGCACTGGAATGACAGCTGGTGGCATACCTACGGGTGCCCCAGGTGGCCCCGGAGGCAATGGCGGCAATGGCGGTTATGGCAACCCTGGCAATCCCGGCAGCCCCTCCGGTGGTGGACGGGGTGGCGGAGGACCGGGTGGGGATGATGACGATAAGAAAGGCGGTGGCCAATTCGGCGGCAAGAACCATCCTGGTGGCGGCAAGCCGGGCGGAGGTCAAGGACAGGGAGGCTGGTCCGGAGGAAACGGAAATCCACCAGATGACCAAGGCCGTAAGTCTGGAGGCGGCCAAGGGCAGGGAGGAGGACCAGGAGGGAACGGGAACTCACCTGATAGCCAAGGCACTGGGTGGGATAAGAATGGTGGCGGACAAGGCGGCGGGCAGGGTGGTGGACAAGGTGGTGGTGAAGACGATGGTGAAGGCGGTGGTGTCCATCCTCGTGACAACAATCCGGGCGGTTTTGGTGGGAAATCGGGCTTTGGCAAGGGGAAAACCGACCATGCCGGCAAGCCGCCGAATCACAAAGCTAAGCACCCTCGGGACGACCATCATGGCAACAACAAGGACTGGAAAACTGCCCCGGACGACACAGATTTTGAGCACCCTAGAGGCTGGCCCGAACATGTGAGTTCCCAGAGACCTTTTTCCAGGCTAAAAGATTCATTAACACCCACAGAGTCGACGTGACACGAACCAATATGGCGACGAGGATAAAGACAACGGTGAAAGTGACAACGATAACGGCGGCAGTAATAGAGACAACGGCGACGATGACAATGACAACGGCGATATCGAACCTTATCCTTACAAGGTTGGCGACATTGAATTTGATGATGACCACCTCCCCGACGGTGACAACGCGACTGCAACGAAGCATTTTCTACATCCTCGTGATGACTGCGATCCGAACTTTTATGGCGGAACAGGATGCCACCCTTACCTTGGAGTATTGGAATGCTCTAGGAAAAATTATGAACCGCCGTGCAAGTTCACCAAGTGGGAGGAAGGGTGGTGTATGAGCCGGTAAGTAATGCTGTGCAGTGATGCAACGGTCTTGACTAAATTGTACCCACAACAGATATTATCGTTCGCCCGATGGTATGGATTTTGGGTCCTGGAGAGCAGACAAAGGCCTGGTATGCACCATGTATGAACTCGACAAATGCAACGTGGGTACAGGAGGCCGCAAGCTCAAGGGGTCAGGTGACTGGGTCCAAGTTCCCGGATTTCGTTGGGGTGATATTCCAAGTTGGTTTGACAATAAAAGGCTTTGGCACTATGCAATGGGACTCCGGGCCCCTCTCAGCTGGTCGTGCCAGTGGGACCGATGAATGGCAAAGGGAAACAGACACGTGGACTGTGGTATATACAGGCTCTGCAGATTATTGAGTGATCAATGGGTTTTATGCTAGTGATGGAGTATTGTCATGGAATTGCTTTTGACCAACAAGCATGTGATTCTCGCTACCTTCTCAGAATCGCGATCTTGACCTCATTGGTAGAAGCAAGCTGCAAGGCTGTGACAATGACGTCGTAGGGAAATCTGACGATCATCTGCGGGACAACCCATATTCATGGTGCCGTCCCCTCCTGTACTGTGCGTCCAGGTCAGCAAAACCGGTTTTGGGGATATCCTTGTCTTCCAATAGGTTGAAACTAAATTATGTCGAGCCTGATCCGTCCAGGCCCTACACCCTCTCGTAGAACGTGAGATCCATTGCAGACAAATCAAGCTCTTTGGGGCTGTGCTTAGTTTTGAGCAACGCTGCGAGATGACATCTTTTGTTCTGATTTTTGGTCAATAAGCTCTACACTGGTTGTGCCTGCCTCAAAAAGTCTGAATGTGGCACCTGCCGCGGGGGTCATGAGGTCTGAAGGAGCACGAGGGAAGGAAGGCCAGTTGTACTTAGCTTACTCTGGAGTTTACATATACGTCGATAAAACCGCCCACAACTTTTTAGACTCTCTCATTCAAAACACAAAGAACAATCCTAGACCATTACCCTGTATCAAGCATTCTCAAATCACTTGGCTCGATCCCCTTCTCATTCCCATACCACCCAAAATGAATTCCATCAGATCCGCAGGCAACTGGATTTCCAATAAGACTAAAGGTCATGCCCACCAGGCTTCCAAGGAGACAAACAAGCAGTAAGTCACCGTCTTGTGGTAACTGGCATTCGTGTGGCAAAGCTGACTCGACCATAGAATTGCCAAAGATCCAAATGTCCCCGTCGGCACTCGCATTCGGGCCGCAGGCGACGCCGTCAAAGATTCGATTCAAGAGGGTAGCCACAAGCGTGCCGCCGATGTGAACAAGAACGCCGCCAAGCACAATTACTAGTTGATGCGCAGGCGATGGCGTCGCTGGCTCAAGCGTCAGCGGTGTAGACTTCAAGAAAGGCGATTCAGAAGACCTTGAAGTCGTTGTCGATAAGATGTTGTCGCTCTTGTGTCAGGTCAGACTCCTTTGGAAGATATCCTTGTACCATTAGTTGCTCTCGAGCTTGTTCCCTCTTATAATTAGCGACCAGCATTCCCATATGAAACGCACCAAACTTTAGGGTGTGTGTAACACGATTGAATCATAAAAAGCCTTTTATTCTTGATTCTTGATCCATATGTACACAAGCGTGTCTACCAGCATTGAAACGCCGGGCCCGACCCACAGTCATCCATCACCAGACACCCTATTTCGTCTTGATATGCTTCAATGGCTTTGGCTCGTGCAAGAAATTGTTGGCGTATGCCTTTGGCACGAACCGTCGCTCATTCGGCTCTACCACGTACCACTCGTAGCCCTGCTTCTCTGCAAAGGCAATGGCATCCTCCTTGGTATTGAAATTCACCTTGGTTCCCTGCATGAAATCCGCTGATGACTGCCAGCCCATCAACGGGTTCTCCCATCTGTGACCTTTCGCCAGAACATCCCAATCCATGCGCCAAGCATGCGATCCCCATGTACCGGACTGAGTCGCGGGCTTAGCGGGCTTGTAAATCCTGATTGAAACGTTAGTTCCCCCTCCCATATGCATATCCTGTCACCTGAGTATTCAATCCTCACCTCACTGTCCGAGCCTGCAAGTCGACTGGCGCCCCCGACAGAATTGCAGCTGGCGTTGTTTCTCCCGGTTCACTTCCATTCATCACCCTTTTTGGGATTGGCGAATATGTCGATGTGCCGTGGTCCACCATCGCCGTGTAGTCTGGCTGATGCTCTTGGTGGTATTTCCCAACACCTGTCTCTGGTTTGTACTCCGCAGCAACTAATGTTGCTTGATCTTCGGTCGATTGCATAGCTTCGGCGTCGGGGATAGCTTTAGGGTCTGGCTCGCCTAGTCGACGTTGTGGGCTTGTAGACAGGCATCGTGACGTGCGGGAGATCTGTGGAAGAGGTCTGAAAAGCCTTAAGGCGCTCTGAGATCGAACGAAGGCCATGGTTGTATCGTGGCCCCTGTTGTGGTGGTGCGCAGGGTTGGCTTTGATGGTTGAAGTTGGAGCGCAGCTCAAGATTCCCCACGGTCGGAGATATTGCCAAGAGAAGTCACGTGGTAAGTCTGATCAGCTTTATTCCTCTCCTCATCATTGGCTTCTTGCCATTTGTGACATCTCTCTGTACCCCAGATATTGTCGCTCATCTGCAAGCCGCAATAAATTCTACTCCTTCAAGGCGACTCTACTAAGAGGCTGACCATTCGAAGTGTCGCCAGATGGATGTGAGTCGCCCTCAGGGATCGCATCAACTCTCCCCAAACCTCACAGTAAGGTAATCAGTCTGCCCCATGCATCTTTTGGCGTGGAGTCTTGAACATCCAAACGTGTCCTCATCCTTGTCGCTTGAAGCTCAGATCACTGTTGTCAATTTTCGGCATGTGAGACGGAGACCGGCTTGCGATTACTCAAACTCGACATTTCCAAGTCCCAAGTGCGCCAATGTCGACAGACTACAGCCTCAACACCATGCAGAGCATAGAGCAAATCGCAAGCAAAGAAGATAGCGTTCCCATGGACTTTGCAATTCATATACTTTTAGCTCAATTCCTCGATCAGGCTATTATGCACAGCCTCTCCAGGTTCGGGAATACTGTTAAACGCGGAGTGGCCATCCACCCCACACATGCCAATGAGTCTCACGTCTTTCGACCTATATGCGACAGACTCCAAATTCCTCGCGTGTCGTTTAGACAGAAGAAGTAAGTAATCTTTGACGAGGCGTTTTCTCGACTCAGTCAAACAGATCCCAGCGCAACCGGTGTGCCAGTGCGGACTGTCGACTGGCTGGTCTTGCATGAAAAGCCGGGGTATTCCAGCCAATGATATTCTAGCTGCTCTTGTGAGCTCGATTCCTATCCAGGTCAGTCTACATGTACGGTACGCATTGGAATCTGATCGAACACCTCGAGACTCTTGTTGCCAAGATGAGATCAACAAGAGAACATCTAGTGACTGTAGGCTGACCCTCGAGATCATGTCGATTCTTGCCCAGCCTTGTTCCAGATGTTTCTTTTACTAGACTTGTGGTCGACCAAGTTCTAACATACCGTTTTGCTTATCATTCTTGTCTTGGTGTTAAAACACCAATTCTAACTTGAACATTATTTGTTGCCCAGCTCGAACGGCTTCGGGCACACGCTGTACACTTCTACCAAGTTTGGAGGTACACAATATGGCTACCGGGCTCGAGGTGGCTGCCGGAGTAGCCGCTCTATTGGATGTATCGGACAAGCTATACAAGGCTTGCAAAAAGCTCTTTCGACCCGAGCGTATATTGGAAAAGCAAGCAAACCGCCTGAAGGACACAGTATTTGGATTCTCGGACATTCTCTCGATGTTCTGCACGACTTTCCAGAAATTGGAGGATAAAAAGCTACCGCTGGTCGACGACCCAAAAGTGAAAGCGCTCCTCGCACGGCTTGAGGAAACAGCCCATGAAGCCGAAAATCAGACTTTGGAGTCTTTTAAACGAATTAATCTCTTGGGACGCCTAGATTTACCGCTCACAAAACGCCTGAAAGCGAGAATCATTTGGGTTGTACGAGATGAACAAATTGCAAAGGAATTGATTCTCACGTTGAATGCCGACAAACTCGACATCAACATGCTCAATAACATTTTGTCTACAAATCTGATGCTCGTGATGTTAGACGAACAACGTGCGAAGGGTGAAAATCCTGATCGGAATCTCATCAATGAGATGTGAGTTCAGCCACTAGTTTCCATTCAAATGCTTCTATGTTTGAGAATCAGCAGGCTAATTCAATTCTCCCAGCAAGCTCTTGACACGGCAGAACAAAAACCTCAGAGTAAAGATTCGAGAAACCCGCCAGGAGCTCAGAGAACTACGCGCCTCCCAGAGACTCGATACATCGACTGATCGGGGCGGACACGACGTATTAGACTCCTTCTCGTCCGATGTGCAAGAATTCTGCCACAGCCAAAGACGTGTACGGATTGAGGCGCGGAGGGCTGTCCGTTCAGCCGCGAAAGACTCCTCCATGAGCGGAATTACGACGTTAAATTCGAGAGACTCTGATCAGCTCCAACAGCGACGAAGCACTTCAATTAACTCCACCAACAGACTAGCCAGAGACTTCAACCATGATGATACGCCACCCAACGCTCGCCACAGTGCTGAGTCTTCTGTACGAAGTCTTGCCATGGTCCCAGCAACCAATGATATCAGTTCCCCAGTCGAGGATCTCTCGGAAGAGGAGTCTCCAGCCACAACCCCTGATCAGGAGATTGACGGCTTTGCTGGCCATACAGATGATCCAGACCGATGTCCAGGTTGTCGACTCCAAAGTTGCGCAATCTGGAAAGAGCAACTTCTGAGGAGATCACAACCATATCGTATGATAAATCATGACGGGAGTCTCCAGAATCGAGGGCCTTCTCCAGACCCGGAATGAGAGGATACTTTTGCTTAGGGCTTATGAGGCTGATTGAGCGATCGCACTAGTTGTTGCTAGATGCAATAACCTCGACGAGGCTCAGAGACATAGCGTTACTAGCACAACATGCCTCTAATTTAATACCCACCAATCTCAGAAGGGATGGGTTCTCTGAACTTGAGACATGAGGTGTTTGGTCAAGCTTGCGGCCTGTTATTAGGCCTGCAGAATGCGGGTTGACTTCCGGCGGGTAGTGACGACATGACTCCAGATCACGGTATCACCACTTCTGTACCTCGATATATATGTGTTGACTGGGTTTCGAGGACAACTCGTCCAGGAAACAGTAACAGGATACTTGATTGTTTTCATTTGCTATCGATAGCATCTCCCCAAGGTGGTGGAGGATTGTCAGAAAAGCAACAACATGGGCATCTCATACAGCACGGCCAAATGGCTAGCCCCAGCCAGTTTCTTGATCGACTTTGCGTGTCAGCAGTATGGAATGCTGTCCACGCCCAACATGAAGGATATTCATGATCAAAACCTTTCCTTCTTCAGCCCGCAGCCTTTCTTCATTGCTGGCTTCTTCTTTCCCCAGCAATTGTTCCAAGTCGGTTGGCTATATCGGCTATGGAAGCTGGACCCAAAACAACCCAAGGACCGTGCAGAACTGGACCAGATTGTCGACTTTGTGCCGTACTATTCTCTGGGAAATCTTTGCATTGCTGGTGAGTGTCTCGGACGTGTGGATGGGCCGTTTAATAACAAAGGCTAGCTTGGATGGTCGCTTGGAATGCCAACCGCCTTGACATTTCCCACGCCTTTGTCACCGTCAACACCGTCACTCAACTCTACTACATCACGCGTCGCCTCGCACCCATGAATAGACGCTCAACCTCTTCGGTGCTCACCCACATTGTGTCCAAGACGTTTGCGGGAATTGGCGTCCTGGACTTTCTTCATAACGGATCTGCGGCATTCTTCAAGGACCAGCCAGCGACCCTCCCCATCAAGTTACTTACCGGGCTGGGCTTTGGTCTGGCGAGTGCCGCCAGCGATTGGATCTTTGGTGGATGCTTGGTTTATGATCTCGTTGCACTGGCTGTGGGACAACAGGGCGACTGGAGAACCTGGTTGTCCATGTATGCAGTCGGAGCCGCTGGAATTGTGGCTGCGAAGAACATCGCCAAGTAGGTGCCGCCGTTATGAGGGATCGAAATGCCTGACTACTTGAACTCATGGCTAAGATGAGATACAGACCACCATATTATTCAGATTACCAGGCACTTGAAGGGGAGGACAACATATAAATGCATCTCAACCAAGATTGATAAATGGCATTGCAAGATATGCCGGTGTACCAACAGGATGGCGGGGTCAATGTGATGAATTGGTTGACTTGAGGTGACTCGATCTCGCTTTGAATATCTACCACCAAGCTAGGGGCCAAATTTAAGCATGGCCATATAACTGTTACATCTGAGCACCTAGAGCTCCGTCCTTGTTTGACTACTGGAATTTCCCCTCAAATCGCGCAGAGGTCACGAATCCAGCTTTTTATAATCTTTCCAGCCCTCGGCCTCCAATCTCGCTGCCTTGGCCATGTTCTCATCGTCCATCTTTTGTAGATGGTTCTCCACCCATTCTCTCACTCGAGCATCACTGGTTCCCACGATTCTCGCCGCCAGGAGTGCGGCATTGATACTGTTCCCAATACTAACCGTGGCTACTGGAATGCCCCTAGGCATCTGTACGATGCTGAGCAGACTGTCCAGACCGTCTAAACTGCTGGCCTTGACTGGCACGCCAATCACCGGCACCGACGTCACCGATGCCATCATGCCCGGTAAGTGTGCTGCACCCCCAGCCGCAGCTATGATGGCTCGAATCCCACGACCTGCAGCGGCCTTGCCGAAATTCAGCATGTGTTGCGGTGTTCGGTGGGCGGAGGTGATGGTGACTTCGTAAGGGATGCCTATCTCGTCCAGAAGAGTGAGTCCTGGTCGAAGCGTTGCGAGATCCGTGTCAGACCCCATGACTACTGCAATCACAGACTTTGGTTTTGGCGCTGGGTTGGAGATGTTCAGGCTGTTGGCCATCTTGGTGATGGCTGCAGCCGACGACGATGTTTTATCGTGGCGGTGTGCCCGGATGGAGTCGACAATATTGATCAGGGGATGGATCTTTGTCTCGACTTCAGACATGGACTGACCAAGAATAGTGATATGGCCCATCTTGCGACCGGGTCGCCCATCCCCTTTGCCATAGAGGTGGACTTTGGCTCCAGGGATGGTCAGAGCGGCATCAGCAACCAAGAGATGCGAATCGGGTTCCGGACCACCGAGAACGTTCAGCATGATTGCCGCAGGGGCGACGAGGTCGGTAGAGCCTGGTAGGATGGTCTTGGACAGTTTTGGCAGAACTGCCCGAATTTGTGCTTCATATTGAGACATGTGGCACGCCTCGATGGTGTAATGTCCTGAGTTGTGAGGACGAGGTGCAATCTCGTTGACAACGAGACTATCATCATCCAACAAGAACAATTCCACCCCGAAGACGCCAGTACCAGCAAAGGTCGAAACAGCTCGCCGAGCCAAGACTTGAGCCGCCTTGGCCAGTTTTCTTGAGACACCCCGAGGGGGCACATATACGAGTTTGCAGATGCTGTCTTCATGGATGGTCTCCACGGTGGGATAGGCGAGAGTGTTTGATTCCCATGAATCGAGTGATGCTTCCTGGTTTGTCTTGATGACCATGACTGCCAATTCTATCCGGAAATGAGCCCACTTTTCAGCATACAAGGGACGGTTGCTCAAAGCTGCCAAAGCTGCTTCGATCTCTGATACAGATTTCACAGGATAGTTGCCTCTTCCGTCGTAGGCTTCGGTCCGTGATTTGAGCATGAATGGATAGCCAAGTCGGTCGGCAATCTCCTTCAAGCCTTGTGGCTCCGAAGTGCCGACAGCGATGGACTGTGCTGTAGCGATGTCGAATTTGGCAAAGTGCTGCTTCTGTAGAAACTTATCTTGGATGGTTCTCACCGTGGCCCAGCTTGGTTGAATGCGGGACCACGACTGGGTGCCCTCGACAAAAGGCTTCTCCTCGTCAAGCTCCTGAAGGACCTTGGTGTCGACATGCTCAATCTCATATGTCAGGACATCACAGTTGCGGGCCAATTTTTGGACATCAGCGGCTTTTGCAAACGAGCCGGTGATGTGTTTGTCGGAAGCGACGAGATTGATCTGCTTGGCGGGGGCATTCTCGCTGTCCAGGACAGCCACTTGGATGTTGAGTCGATGAGCCGCCTCGACCAGCATTCGACCCAACTGCCCGCCGCCCAAGACGCCGACGACGAGATGATCCATTCTGAACACGGCTGGGAGGGCAAGTTTGGTGAGTGTGGAGGATCAAGATCAAAGATGTCGAATATGGTGGAGATTGTTCTTCTTAAACAAATGTGTTTTTGGCCGAGGCAACGAAGTGAGATATCTAGGAAACACACACGATCCACTCAAGACGCATGAATGAATCAATCATGTAATTTGGCGAGGGATTAGCGGGTCAGTTGGGTGGTACGGTGGTCATGGGATGCTGTTGATGTTTGGCATGACTTGGGTCATTGGCCAAGTAGAGGCGACAGATTCAAGCGAGAATGGTTCAATTTGAGAGACAAGTATTACAACTATCAAGTCGTGTTTACAATAATTGTCAATAGTAGAGTCGGATTTCCTTGACCGACAACCTGGGATGATGGTGGCATTTTTATAACTCTTGGCGTGTGTGGGAGATGTGCACGTGATCAACAGATCTGATCGCGCATCTCCTCCCACGCCAAGATATTGGGAAGATGAACCAATCAAATCACCCCACAGACCCTTATCACAAACCTGGAAGCCATTCCCAGTCATCACCTTAAGTCGGGCTTTGTTTTTGTCACGTTCGTCTCTCCGCTCTCCACATTCAGGTGGTAATGGTGGTTTTGGCGGTCGTTTGCTGGACGTGCATAGCGAAGATGTCCGCCCCTCGGCCCTCGTGCCCTCCGTCGCACACCTGTGACCTGCGTGTAACCTGGATGTCAGGTCAGGGTCAACCAATTCCACCCCTCGACCGACCTCCTCCTTCGTATCTGACTCCATTTTCATGCCTCACAGTGCTATGTCATCTCCACACAATCGTCGTTCTAAATCTCGGCTCGTCCCATTACCTCGCCAGTGATACGCTTAAGGACATGGCAATTCTGTAGCACCAAGTCTGACCTCAGGCTGCCAGAGCTGCCAGAGCATGCAGGTGCATCATGGGGTCCACGTCTGGGGTGTGACTGCCCACTCCGGCGCCTTATCTGGTGACTTCCCTCGGTCATCAACTTAGGTACAACTTACGAGAACTGATAAACTGCGGACCCGCACGTCGCCTCTATTGTCTGCTTGCTCCGTGCTCACTACTTTCCACTTATCCACCTGCATTACACGACACGACTCACAAAGCCTCCCACTACTACCCCTCCATCTCTACAGTTCCTTCTTTGTTTCTCATTACTTCCAGTCCTTCATTCCAGTGCTTTACTTGTACTATCCACTGGCGAGATTCCGATATATCTAGTACCTTTGCTCTGCTATACTCTTGGGCTCGACCTCTTTTGGACTGCCTGAGACGCCGAATTGGCCGACAAGCTTGGGTCACGCGCGTAACTCGCATGGAAGAGCCCTGAGCAGCAGCAGGAGCAGAGACCTCCTGGATTATTTCCGTCACCTTTCACCTTCTGTGGTCAGGCCTCTGAAGCCCATCAATTGTGACCGAGAGGGTGCTGTTGAAGCTGGGAGTGAACCGGCCCAACAGATTCACCCCATCCATACCACAAACGCGAAGCCACACGTCGAAACCCTCAAGCCAACATGTGGTTCATCCCTTTATCGTTCCTGTCGAGTCCCACCCTCCCTGCACACTGCACTCCCACATCGCCGTTCCTCACCGATGTCTCCTCCTACTTCGGCACGTGTATACCAACACCGCTCGCTGCTCTTTCCACACTGCTTGGGGTTCTCTCCATAATATCATGGCTGTTTGCGCAGATGCCTCAGATCTTTAAGAATTATCATATCAAGTCCACAGCTGGATTATCCATATTCTTCCTAGCCGAGTGGCTGTTGGGTGATTTGACCAATCTTCTGGGTGCCTTGTTCACCCGACAAGCCGGGTGGCAGATTATAATAGCCAGTTACTACGTCTTTGTCGATGTGTGTCTCGTGGTTCAGTATTTCTGGTACACTTACGCGGTCAAGTGGGTGTATGCCGAAAGCCTGCACTCTAGTGGTAGTAGTGATATGGACGATGCTGATAGCGATATGATCAACAGCTTGTCCCCGATCAACACCAATTTTGCCGAGGAGGAAACCTTGCTGCCAGAGTCAGACCACGAACCGCCCAAGTCAGCCAAACCCCGAGACGTGCAAGCTCCTCAGTTCTCTCAGATCAATTACGGCGAGAAGAATGGAACCCCAAGAACACATCCGTCAGGAGACAAGTTTGGCTCGAGCTGGATGATGTCTACTTCTCCGAGGACACTAATGTACGCCGGCACCATTGCCTCTCTCGCATCCAATGCGGCGGCTGCGCCGTTCCCAAATCCACATTTGCATTACCAGCATGGAATTCACCTTTTCCGTGTCGAGACACCCCTAGAGGTTGCCGGTACAATTTTGTCATGGTGTTCCACTTTCCTCTACCTCGGATCCCGATTGCCTCAGCTGTATAAAAATTGGCAAAGGCAATCCACCGCAGGGCTATCCCCTCTGTTGTTTGGGGCAGCTTTCTGCGGCAATCTTTTCTATTCAACGTCAATGGTGACAAACCCAAATGCGTGGGGAGATCACCGACCATACGGGCATCACGGATGGGTTGATGCCCATGGTTCACAGCGATGGGCCTGGGTCGTTCGCGCGGCACCATTTTTCCTGGGATCAGCGGGTTGTTTAAGCATGGATGCATTGATGGGAGTTCAATTTGTGATATATGGGGAACAAGAAGCAAGAGTCATCAAGGTTCGAGACAGTCGAGGATACAGCCATTGGGAAAGAGTGAATGGATGGATGAGAGGATGGATTCCTAACATGGCCGGCAAAGACAAAGTGGTTGACCTGGCCCAGAGCCAACGATTGTTGAGTGAAAGTGCGCATTTGAGCCGGCGGCATAGCAATTTCGACTATGGGACACTGGACTAGATCCCGATACATATTAGTATGACCATACGATCATAATGAGACACGACGAGGTTTTGGATGTTGAATATAGATCTCTGGTGAACAATGACTGTTGGATCACGTGATTATTGATTGTCTCTAAGGACGTTAGCGTCAGCGTCAGCGGTTCAATCAGAGCTGATGCAATTTATCCCCGAGGCGCTTCTCCGCATCATCTCGGTCCATGATGCGCAGTCAAGCCAAAGACATTCGCTGACCTGATAACTAATTACTCAAGAATAACAGCCAGTCTTTTGGAGGCATTTGTCGCACTTCTCACCTTTTTGTTATTTCAAGGTCAACCTCTTCGTCTGCTTCATGATCACTTCTCGCCTGATCCGTCCCGTCTTGTCCACGACCACTTTACTTGCGTCCTTACTTAAGCCAGTGGATACCCCGCTACTCTCCGCCGCGAGGCAGTCGACATTAGTTCCAAAGCAATTAACCAGAAAGATGCATATTCAGAGTATTCCCATGTGTAAGTCTGGTGTCGCTGTCTAATGTCGTCGACGTTGGAGGCTCTGTCACGGGGAAATGACACGTGAAAGAGCGCAGGGAAAATGTTCAAAGCAGGAAAGAGCAGCTCATACTGATCACATACCATCTCTACTGCAGGGGTTGGCTCGTCCAACAACTACGCATACCTTGTCAGCGACGACGAAACAAAAGATGCTGTAATAATCGACCCGGCAAATCCCCCAGAGTAAGTGACGAGACCAGAACTCGACCATCCTCCCATCAACTCTCACTGATACACTCTCGCTCTAGAGTTACCCCAGTCCTTTCGTCGGTAGCAAAATCCCTGAACCTCACAGCCATTGTCAACACACATCATCACTGGGATCATGCCGGAGGAAACAAGAAGATCCTCGAGTCACTCCCCTCTCCCATTCCCATCATTGGCGGAAAAGATTGTGAAGGAGTGACAAAGACTCCTGCACATAAAAGTCAATTCAAGATTGGTAAAAACATCGACGTCACAGCTCTACACACACCCTGCCACACTCAAGACAGCATCTGTTGGTTTATGGAGGACAAGACCAGCAATGAACGGGTAGTCTTCACCGGAGATACTCTGTTCATCGGTGGATGCGGCAAGTTTTTCGAGGGTACAGGCGAAGAAATGGAAAAGGCTTTGAATGTTGTTTTGGCGGCACTACCAGATGACACCAAGGTCTTCCCCGGTCATGAGTACACCAAATCGAATGTCAAATTCTTGAAGGCGGTCGCTGGCGATAGTCAGGCAGTCCAGGCGTTGGACAGTTTCGCCAACAGCAATCAGCAAACCCAAGGAAAGTTTACCATTAAACAGGAAAAGGAGCATAATGTCTTTATGCGTACCAACACCGATGAAATGAGGAAGGTCACGGGCGAGACCGAGCCGAGTAAGGTTATGGCCAAGCTGCGGGAGATGAAGAATGCGTCCTAGAAGGGTCCGGAGGGTGTGTGTGTATGTGAATACGATCTGCGAAGATCCACTTGGACGCACTCGAATGTATTTGACCTCGACCAAGGTCATTAATTCCTCATACTCAAGTTCGTCGCAAAAACCAAAGGAAATACAATTTACCGTTCTCCTCTTCCAATCCCAATCAGCACCTTTACCTCGAGTGAGAAGAACAAGTTCCCATTCCACAGCACTCATGAACCGCCACGATTGCATCAACCCATCATCTCTTCTCGCCTCACCTAAGACGATTCCCCCCTCTTAACCTTCTCAAACTGTCTCTGAAACCACGCAATCGCCTGTTTTTCCGCCTCTTCCGCCTGTTTCGTCTCCTGCGAATCCGGCTCTGCTCTACTCGCACGCACCGCAAATCCATGTTTCGCACCCGGATAAATCACCACCTCTGAATCCACACTCCCTTCTTTCCTCTTCAACACCTCCTGCACCTGTTTAACCTGTTTCATATCCATAACTGCATCATCATCACCCGTGGCAAGTGAAAAATTCAACGTCACCTTTTCGATATCCTGCGGCACGGTCACATTACTTACATGAGCACCGAAAAATGCATCTGCTAGTGCTTGACCGCTTGAAGTTCGAGACTCGGCGGCGTTTTGACTGAGCATGATGGAATAGAGTCCTCCCCAACAGAACCCCGCGACGCCGATGGGGAGGTCGAGGGATTTGTCTTCGCGGAGGGATTTGAACCAGCTGGTGATTTTGGGCCAGGCGACGGTCGGCCGATTGCGGATTAGGAATGGCCCGAGGTCGAGGGCCACGGATATCAAGTAGTAGCTAAGTAGGAGATAAGGGGTGAGTAGGTAGGGGAATTGGAAGGGGGGTTTTTGGGATCTTCTTACGGTGCCCATAACCATGATGTCTTTTTATCGAATAAAAGTGCCATATTTGTCATGGTTTTGACAGATGCTTGGGTACCTGGATAGGTCGATGGCGTTAATCAATTGTTACAATATCATCGGCGTCGTCATAATACTCATTATCATCGACATCAGGGAGAAATGAATATATAACTCCGCTTAGGTCGAGGGATATCAAGCGCCGCAACAGCAGTGGCAGTAACAGGAGATGAGACTCACCATCCAAAAAATCAGGAAGATAAACCAAATACTGGCCCAACGAAGCATAATGATCGGCCAAAATCTGATTGTTGACAAATGGAAGTCCAAAAGCATCATGAAGAATCACCACGATACCTTTAGGCGGTTTGCCATCGGGTGGTTCTGCGATGTAGGTTTGTCGGCCATGGATGGTTTCGATTCGTCCAAGCGGTGTACCTGGATTGACATGGCCGGAGAAACATTGTGGACAGGACATATTGGAGGTTGATGATTGATGATTGATGTGTGTTTTAATCGGGTAGAGTGGAAGAGAATGGGTATGTAGGTGTATCCTTACAGGGAGGAGGACGGACAGATAGATTGGCCGACGGACTCAAAGCTGAAGTCGATGTCACTCATGTTCTAGGACGAGTTGTAGAGATCGATAGATGGATATATGTTTGAGCTTGGAATAAGCTAACAAGATCCCAAATGCCCCTTCACCAACCAGCCAGCTGGCTACCTCCACCTGCATATCGTTCTGAAGGAACGGCACATAACCTTCGTTATCATGCATCTGCACAAAGTGTTGACGCGCACGCAAGGGCATGAAGGGAGGCCTCATCGGACTTGTTCGGATTTGGAATCTCTGACCAGCCAAAAGTCAATTAGTTAAGCGTCAAGGGCTGAGGAGGCGGAGGATAGAGGGGCCGAGGGGGCGTCAGGCATGATTTCATACATGGGCATGCATGTGCTTCGTTGGTTTAGCCCCCACTATGCGTACGTAGCATGGCATAGCATAGCATCGCATCGCATATTCATCTCTGGGATGGGAGGGGATGGTTGATCACTAGGATCGGTGGAATGGATGTCATAAAAGCCGACGTTGTGTCCTGTAGCTAAAGATAATTAGGTGCCCAGGTGTGCACCAGGTGTGCATCTAGGTATGTCTGTGTCCGCAGTCGTGCTAAGGACGAGTTAGGTACTCCCGATACGTGTCGGGGGCCCCTCGGGCTGCATATCACCGCACTGCTTGAACTAGGTACTGACATGAGTATAGGTTTGCTCCTGCAGCCCCTCGGCCTAATCTGGTCTGCAGCATTAGGTATGCATTCTACCTAGCTTAGCTAGTGATAAGTACATAGCTCCAACAACTACAAACATTACGAATCCTTGCCAGCTCTTTCACCGTACTGATGTATCTATCGAATCAAAAGAACAGCCAGCGAGGAATGGTGACGCACACTGTCGCCCCTAGAGTTTATTTATGCATTCTAAGTAGATCTCTCACAACCCCCGCACCCCAGGCACACTACGCTATCTTGGATTCTTAGTCACCCATTAGATATCAATCATATCAGGCTTATTTAGAAGTGCCACCGGAAGAAAGGGATGTTAAATTCCGGTACTTTCGTCGCTGTCTTTAACTCAACATGACGATACCAGGGGCTATTACTGAGGACTTTTGGTGAATCAAGTCTCACCAGGAACTACAACACAAGTGTCATCCTAACCTTAACGACGGTACCGATAGGTAGTGTTGAAAGAAATCTGAATCCTCCTTCCTTCACGCATAGCTACCTAGGTCGCAATGAAGCAGCTTCAAGTTTTGCTGGTTTGGAATCACACACACCATCTGTCATAACAAGAAGAGAAAGCCGAACCGAGATGTCACGCATCATTGATGATTACGCATATATCGCTACACGAGTCCTTGGGACCTTTGTCTAGACACCTGCTTAGTACACCCATAAAAATAGACTGGGGTAGTGGCCATGCTAAATAGCGAGGTACCAAGGCAGGGTCCTTTACTTGTACTTGGTACCTAATACTTGGTTGCATTATTGACGATGATGACCTTGATGCAGGTGACACTGACTATTCCCATAGTATTGCCCTTCTTTAGGTACCTACCTACCTACCTACATACCATTGGCAAACCACCAATCTTCCCTTCTTGGTGTTGGTGTTACTATTATTCGTATATCACTCGCTCGCTTGGTGCTTGGTATTTGGGGCATGGCATGGCATGGCATGACACGCATCCACCCTCTCGCTTTGAACGTGCGCAAAGAGGTTGGCTTGTCTAGGTTGGTTGGGTAATTAGGTGGACGAACGAGTACATTTCTTTTTCTTATGGCGAACTTCGTCGTTCGGTTAGTTAGTTGGTGGTCCGGGCGTCTTCAACTATTGCTTGGGGAAGATAGGTCCAGTGACTCTTGGGTGTTAGTACTCCAGTCTGGTGGGTGAGGACGGCGAGCCCATGCGAGCCCATATGCCTTGGCGAGATCAAGAGGATGGGTTTTCCAATCATGTGTGTACCTTTATGTGCCAATGCAATAATGAATGAATCGATGGATGGGTGGGTGGGTGTGTGGATGGATCTGGTCTGCTTCGTGACCTGTGGAACTCCGTGTTACTGTTGGAAGTGGCGTTGCATGGCTGGTTAGACTGAAATGGAATGCTTGAAGAGATATATAATATGGTACTTCTGGATCTGACGAAGGAGGGAGTTTCGTTGCAGTTTGTTAAACAGAGTCGCAAACACCATCACCATTCCTTCGAACAAATCTATATCTATATCTATACCCCCTAGCCACTGTCTCACCTCACCTGGACAGAGACAACCTTCACCTTCCTATCCAACCCAGTCTACCAATCGAGTTATCCATCCATACACCCTTACATCGCGCAACATGCTCAAAACACAAAAGTCAATAGGATCCCTCTTGGGACTCTTAATCGCAATCTCAAGCCTCATGACAACCCTAGTCAATGGAGAATGTTGTGGCCTCCCCGTAACATGTGGTCCCCCACTATCACAAGCTCGAGTTAATGGAATCCGAGTCATGTACTCAACAACCAAAGTATGTTCGAGTAAAGACATTTCCACCGAACCGTTTAGCTGCTGTGGCAACGGTCCCTGCAACATTTTCTGCTGCAACTGCGACGATGGCTGTATCAAATTTGACAGATGTCCTCGTACCTCTGCCGCTACCTCGCCGTCTCGTCGTTCGGTCGGCCCACCAGGAAAGTTTGGTCGGCGTCCCTTTCCTCCTTTGGGTAATAAATTTGTCGGTGAGGATGGCGACGACGACATGGAACTTGAAGGCGTGGAGGTCGATACTTGTCCTGCATATGCTACTTCTTCGATTGATTGCACTCGTCATAAATTCGATCTGATCGATTCCAGTATTGAGAAGGATGGGAAAATCACAATCCGGGAATTCATTGCTGGTTGGTCGTCGATCGATCCTCATTTCTCAGAGGCATTGTGGGAGGATCCAGAAACGTATATCAAAGCGGTTGAGCATTTCAGAAAGTTTGATACTGATGGAGACAATGTCTTGACTTTCAGTGAGGCTTTTGAGAACAAGGCTTGAGAATGAGTTCGCTATCTGTTAATAAGTTGCGTCAGTAACACAGGCCATGGTTTGAATGAAACATCAACAATTAGAGGGCCTCCACACAGGGGCATTTGGCAGGGAACACAGACTCGGGAACAGCAGCCATCCCAGCTTATATAGATAGAAGTCCCTCAACTTTACTTAGTTGATGCGGTTCAGATCCGGTTCAAACAGAGTCAACCCTTGAAAAGCGGTTCTAATACAGTTTAGATTCTTTCTTCACGTCGTGCCTCGTATGTCCCTTAGTAGGTACCGTACATACAGTACTAGATTACAGGTACTTGTATGTATGTAATAGGTAGTACTTGAGTACTCACCTACCCTGTTTCTGCCGAAGATGCTGCAGATTGCTTAGATTCCGAGAATTGGATTAAATGGATCCCTTGATAAATTTATTCTATGACTATAGCTAATTAAAGTTAGGGACCAGTACTTGTGTAGTACAATTCTATCGTTCGACTTCAGTCCTTTCTTGTGAATGGGTGATTCTTTCCACGTCCAACCGACGTGACATCCCATAGGTCCATTCACTACTGCCTATGCTGTCTACCTTGCTGGGGCAGCTCCTCCCAGTCAAGTACAAAGCATCATGTACCTAAACTTTCATGACCTCTGGGTTTCCTTGAGTCCAAGCCGGAGCAATCTCCAATTCCGAGACCTTCCACAAGTCGCCTTGACGGACCACTTTAGCCTTGTACTGGTTGCCAAACAGGTAATAGTCCTGAAACTCCGGACTCGGCCCTTCGCCGCCTCGAAAATGCTGCGCAAGAACACAACAGGTCAGATCCGCCGTGTCTGGCCCTGTGAGGTAGCAGCGGATGTTTGTTGCGCTGTGTGTCGTGTCAAGTGGCCTCCCGACGGCAGTCATTAGGCGATTTACGACATCGGTCTTGCCTTCAACGATTGAGTATTTCATGCCCACTTTGTTGAAGGGTCTCAGGTCCATGACAACGTTGTCTGTCACAGCAGAAGAACAGAGCTCGTCAGAACCTTCGTCCAAGGAACAGACAAATCTGACAATGGCGTCGATTGCCGCTTCGCGGTCCGTGAGACCTCCGACGTTTGGCATCTTCGTAGTAGTGGTAGTGCTCTGGTGCGGATGTGGTCGTGGTACTTGTCGAACTCGTCTGGTGAGGCCTGTGGGGCTGTTTACTAATATTATAGGTATAGTAGCAGTACCTTGAGTGATTGAAGAAAAAGTGTTTAGAGGAAAGGGTACTGTGCCTATTGAACGACCTCAAGGGCTTTGTCGAGGTTCTAGTATTCTGCGCTGTATCTCTACCTCACCTTGGCACCTAATCGGGACTCTGCTTCGATGCTCCACTCAAGATCCACTTGACTTGCCTCAACATCACCTCACGCACGGAGATCCCGGAGCAAAACCCCAGTACTCCGCATTTTCACCCACATTCAGCTACTAGACTGATGCACAGTATCCCGTTCGACTTGACAGATCCAATAAGACAACACTTTAAAAACGATTCGGCTCAAGCCCCGGACTTTGGGTCACTCGGATTTCATGGAGCTCCAAGTTGCGTGAGCCCCTTTGCTTGCTACGGGTGAATGGAAGCTTTCGAATTCAGCAGTCTAGTCCTCCTCTGAGTACACATGGTGTGTTTGTGGAAGAGGCTGAAAAGCCTGGGTTGATGACCATACCGCAAGTCTCCCAGTTTCAACTTCAGTGTAATCAACGTTGGAACCATTCATAGCCACAATGGACATTTCTTTATCCCGTGCAGCGATTTTGCTTGTAGTCGCTACTGTTGTGGTTTCCGTGGTCAGAAACCTCTTCAAGAGCAAGAAAGCGGCGGCCGCTGGTACAAAACCATTGCCTGGACCAGAAGGTACAGACTAGTATCTACCTTTTGTTGAAGCCCTGGCAAATCAAGGTTTCGCCAACTTGTCGTGTCTGAAGCTAACAGAGTCATTCCCAGGATGGCCAATCGTCGGGAACGCATTCGACATTCCCAGCTCGCACGCATGGTTCAAGTTTGCGGAATGGGGAAACAAGTATGGCCCCATCTACCAGGTCAAGGCATTTGGGACAACGCTGGTCATCATTTCGAAGGAATCAATCGCAAATGAGCTGCTCGGCCTGCGAGGCGCCATCTACTCTGACCGACCTGCTCTGATTATGCCGGCCTTGATCTCTGAAAGCGGCTTCCTCGGCGCCATGGGCTGGGGTGATTACTGGCGACGAGCGCGGCGTTTTGCTCAGTCGATGTTAAGCACCAACATTGTCCAGCAGTCTATCCCCAAGCAGACCACCGAGGCGCGTCAGATGGTGTTCGACCTAGCCAAGAATCCCTCAAAGTACGCATATTGGCTAGAGCGAGCGGGTGTCATGACCTCGATAAAACAAATCTACGGTTTGACCGAAGAAAGAGGGTCGGCCGAAGAGCGCCATGTCCACGAAATCACGTCGTTTATGGAAAATATCGAGCGTGTCGCCACGCCGGGCCAGTACCTAGTGGAGTTCATCCCATCGTTACTGTCGCTTCCAACTTGGCTAGCTCCTTTCAAGCGAGAGGCTGAGACCTTGGTCAAGCGGCATTGGAATTACCTCGAGCCTCTGATGTACCAGCAGGTCGGCAAGTTCGGTGGTGAAGTGCCTGAATCTCCTGAGAGCTTCTCGCGCCGCTTCCTCAGGTCGAAGGATGACTGGGGCTTGACGGACAAGGAGATCGTCTGGGTTCTGGCGAGCATCTACGGCGGTGCTGCTGGGACCTCATCTTCTGCCATGCAGTCCATCATTCTTAATAGCTGTTTATTCCCAGAGGTGCAGAAGAAGATGCAGCAAGAGATTGAATATGTAGTTGGCTCCGACCGCCTGCCAAACTTTGACGACTTTTCCCAAATGCCCTATGTACGGGCTGTGATCAAAGAAACTCTACGCTGGAGACCTATTCTGTCTGGAGGTAAGCAACCTGGCCTGACTTACCCTTCAACCGATGTATCTAAGGAAGAAGACAATTTTGACATTTTGTATCACATATAGGTTTCCCCCATGCCGTCACCAAAGACGACGAATATCAAGGCTACCACATCCCCAAGGGCGCTGTCATCATTCCTAACCAATGGGCCATACTACGCGACCCTGAGCAGTATCCAGATCCCGACTCTTTCCTGCCCGAGAGATGGTTGAAACCAGAATATCCCACTTATCAAGAACCATTGACTCTTCACCCAAATCTCAAGCGGTTTGCCGCATTTGGCCATGGACGCCGTATTTGTCCCGGTCTTGAGGTTTCCGAGAAAGCGTTATTTCTCCAGACAACGAGCCTGTATTGGGCTTGTCGTGTTTGTAAGGCTAAAGATGCTGCTCGGGGCGATGAGATTCCAGTGCCTTGGTATGATTACACGGGCGTCAGTATTTCAACGCCTCGTCCGTTTCGATTTGTGATTGAAGAGAAGGTCGAGGGGAGGTTGGCTATGATGGAAGAAGCAGCGAAGGATGGACATGAGACAGAGAAGGCTACAGCTTAGCTATCCCAATTCAGTCATCGTCTCCAAATAAATGACATTGTTGAACTCTTCGAGAGCCTGCCTTCTTGATCTCCAGACGCTAAGTCGTTCTGTGTCGTATCTAGAAGTGCATGTCTTCTGTTTCAGGGGAGGATGTTGTTTTGAGCTGGAAGTCTAGTTTGAGATCTCAATGTAGATGCGTTATTGATTAAGACATTACGAGGTGAACTTTTTCAAATTAATGCCTGCAACTATGACTTATAGCTTCGACATTTGGAAACTACAGACAGGTTGCCTCCCTTGCTTCCCCAAGCCTTCCCATTGTCACAAATTTCCCTCATATCCGAAGTTACCCTTCAACATGTTTGGCTGGCTGGGATTCAGCTTTGGTATGACTTGCATGCACCTTTTCCAAACCCTTGTCGCTGTAGTCTACGTCTCCACTCTCCGCTACGACGAGATTGTGGTTGTCGTGGTCGACATGTATATTGGTCGAAAGTACTGTCACCTCGTTCCCTTCACCGAACAGTAACGCAATCTCTTCCAACGGCAAGCCTTTGGTTTCGCGGATGGTGAGACATGCCCAGACAAATGCCACGGCAGTGACTGAGATGAAAACCAGATAGAATTTCCAGCCGATCGTTCGCATTGCGGTAGGTGTCACCTGCAGGAGGATCTGTCGAAGCATCAGTCCATGTTCGGGGCTCATTCTTCATCCAACTTACCAGGTCAGTGAGGCAGAGTGAAGCTACACCCAGGGACATTCCTTTGGCTCGAATGTGATTGGGGAACAATTCAGGCAGGTAGACAACAAGGGCGTTGTCGAGACAAGCTGCGAATATCCAAATGAAGAGGTATCTAGCAGTATGGGCAGGTTAGTCAACCATCCGATGGCGTCATTTGATGAGGCGCAGGGTTCTGAAGACATACAGCATGGCAACCGCCGTACCAAGGCCTGCTCGATTCGGATCGTCAGGCACAGGACTTGCGTAAAGGGCGATCATGATTGTCGCGACCACCAGGCAAAGACAGCAGCCGCCAAACCCGAGGATGATCATTGGTCTGCGACCCCATTTGTCCATGAGCCACGCTCCTAATCATGGTCGTCAGTTATTTCGTTCTTGACCGGTAGTTTTCACGGCTACTCACCAATCAGAGAGGCAAAGATACCACCAGTGATCCAACCGCAGAGGAGAATCAGAGTTTCTTCAACATCGAAGCCCAAAGCCTGGTAAATCATAGGACTGAAATTGTTGATTACAATGACTCCAGAAGCTTGCCCAAAAGCGCCAATGAGTATGACAATGATGGCTCGTCGACGGTACGAGGGTTTCATGAACAGGTCCTTCCATGAAGAAGGCATATTCTTGTCATGCTCGGCTTGCGTACGCATCTGGTAGAACTCACTCCTGGCAAAGTCGTCATTCGGCCCGGACTGGTGTAGTCTCTGGACAACCTTTTCCGCCTCTTCAGCTCGACCCTGCAACAAGAGCCATCGGGGAGACTCTGGAAAGATTGGAAGCAGAAGGAGCATCAAGGTTGGGAAAATAAGAGCAAGGCCCAGCGGCGCTCTCCATTGAGCGACTGGATTCTGAGCGTGGAAGAAAGCGAGACCCATGTATGAGGCGAGAGAATAGCCTACAAGGATCAAAACTCCATTGAGTCCTCCAAAAAAGCCACGCAGAGCTGGTGGTGCCAATTCCGACGTGTAGACGCCAGTGACGGGGACGAAGGCATTGGCTCCCATGCCGACGAAAAAGCGGAAGACGATGAACATAGGGGGGTTCTGCGCAGCACAGCAGAAGATTCCTCCAAAAAGGCTGATGCTGGCACAAAATACGACAGACATCTTACGGCCCCATCTGTCCATGACGAAGCTTGAGGAGAGAGCACCACAGACAGAGCCAGCCTATGGCCGTTAGCATCCACTGCCGCCTGGAGCTCAATGGGCTGGATGGGAGACATACATAGAATACTGCAGACATTGCTCCCTCTAGTTGTGAGGCATTTCCAGTGGGAAGAAAGGTCTCTGGGTCCACAAGGCGCATATACAGCAAGAAAGAAGGCTGTCCCATGGTGGTGCCGATGATGGACGCCGGGTAGCCGAAAGCGAGCTGGCCTAGGGAGACCAGCAAGCAGATTCGAAAGTTATACCAGGTGAATTGCCTCGAGCCACCGAAGCGTGCTTTTGGGGCGACATGATCGTCGGAGTGCATTGTGCTGGGGGTGTAAGCGGTCTTCTCGGATTGACAAGGGGATGTCGTTGCAGAGGAGAGGAGCATATGTTCTAGAGTATTATATACATATACAAAGGGGCCTCGACTCCAGGGGATAACTGCAATCGGCTCAATCCGGCCCAGAATACTCAATATACTTTTGCTAACCTGGGGCTCCCGAAGAGGTGGTTCATAGCGTGGCGCGGAGACAAGGGGTGGTCTGCATCAAGCCTAGAGCATATTCATTCATGCTTCAACCCCAGTAACCTGGAGAAAGCCTCGCTTAGTCGCATGAAATCTCTATACTTCGCTAGACTCCTGCCCCGGAGAAGGGGGAAGTATTCGCCATGGCCTGGAGCTAGAACGAGAGTGGGGCTATCCCGTTGTCTGGTGTTGAGGGTGGCCACCGATTAAGGACGAGACCACAAGTCAGTCCACTTTGCGTGTGATTTGCTTGATTGGGTCTGACCATATCATGATAGGTTTGGTCGCAGCCAATACTCGGAGATGTTAGACACAGCGGGCCGTGAGCATGGAGATGGCGGAGTCACGGAGATGTCGGGGTATTGTCTCAGGAATCTGGGCTTGGTCTACAATGACCTGTTCAAGACCAGGTACGGGGTGCGGGATGGGATACTGTGGGTTTCACCCACTGGTGATATTTGGGGGTTCCTGAAGAGTATTAGTAGGACTCTGTTCATAGCATGTGGATGAGGGTCGACATGAGAAATGGTGTACTCCGTAGGATGTTGTGGATGTTGCAGGGCTGTGGGCCTGTTCACGTGATGTGAGTCCGTGGCATTTGATAGCCTTGTCCACCTTTGTCACGTGACATTATCAGCCCGCGCCACGGGATATCTATCACGTGACATGGTACCAAAATCTTTTTTGCCAAGATTTCGTCTTCTTGTTCACGTGGAGGCACCGACGTCAGGGTTCAAGTTTCCCCATTCAGGCTCTTCCGGGGGCAAAACTCCCCGAGTCGCTGGGTGACTGGGTAACAGTAAACAATTATTAGGCGGTAAGGTGGCACTAACGGCGCCTAAGCGGGGCCCTCGAGCCTAAGTGGGTGCCTGTGAACAATTCAACTGCCTTCACTGGTTGGTTATCACTGAATGAGACTGCATCACTTTCTCCAGTACATCAGAGACTCCATAAAAAAAAGTTGAAAGCTTCACTTGTTCTTTTTCTCCAAATCGATCTCTTTTTTCTACTCAATTCTCTGCTACAACTCTGTCTTTGGACAATCCTACTGTTCATACCACTGCAATCAAACCTCTTTTTCCCCTCCATATCTCAAAATGTCGGGCCTCTTGCCTGTGGCGGTGTATGCCGCAAAAGTCCCACCGGGCGACATCATGATTCCAGCAGTCCCCGACTTTGCTGCTACTGTATGTTCAGTGTGTATCTTTTACCCTAATAGCATGACTAACACAAGTTCTCGCAGTTCCGTCTTACAATGGCAGCCATTGACCCCACCGCTGAACCAGAATTCGAAGACGCCGACGACAAGGGACCCGCCCGCGCAACTCTCAAAGTCATTCGAGTGCCTGACCACCTGTTCAATGACGACTCTGATTCCGACGACGAAGACTACTTGGACGGTCTTGAAGACGATTCGGAAGACGACGAGGATGACGAGGATGACGAAGAGGTCAACGGCGGCCCAAGCGAGCGAAAATCAAAAAAGCAGGCTCTCCTCGAGGCATTGGCCGCTGATGTAGAAGAGGATGAAAAGATGGGCGATGATGATGACGAAGATGAGGATGAGGACGATGAGGATGACGACGCAGAAGAAGATGATGGCAAGGCAGTCGAGATCCTGAAGAAACTTCTAAAAGATTCCAAGGGCAAGGGCAAGGCTCTCGATGGCGAGTCGGACTCAGACGAAGAGGACGAAGACGATGAAGCCCTTGAAATGGATGAGATTGTCATCTGTACTCTCGATCCTGAAAAGGTAATCCCGCTGTCCATATTTTGCCATATTTCCCCACGTACTAACCCTTCACTAGCACCACCAACAAACTCTCGATTTCGTCGTCGGTGAAGGAGAAAAAGTCTTCTTCAAGGTTTCAGGCACCCACACTGTCCATCTCACCGGCAACTACGTCATTCCCACCGATGATGGCCCCGAAACTTCCCTGTACGACGAAGACTATGACTCTGACGAAGACTACGACCTCTCCCCAGACGAGGATGAATTGGCTGAGCTTGAGGGTCTCTCGGACGACGAATCTGACGAACTCGACGACATGGATGACCCACGCATCCTTGAAGTTGACTCGGATGAAGAGGAAGCCCCCAAGCTGGTCAAGGGAAAGAACAAGCGCCCTGCTGCCGACAGTGATGATGAGGAGGCCACCCTTGACGACATCATTGCTAAGTCGCAGTCCAAAGCTGATGCCGCTGACGGAGAGTCCAAGAAGCTGAGCAAGGCCGAGAAGAAGAAGCTGAAGAAGTTGAAGAAGAATGACGGAGAAGCGGCCGCTGTCGAACCCTCGACAGATGCCGCCGCCTCCAAGAAAGAGGCCAACGGTACAGAGAAGAAGGTCCAGTTCGCCAAGAACCTCGAGCAAGGACCAACTCCTTCTGCCGCTCCCACCACCAAAGCCGAGAAAGCGAAATCGACACCGTCCATCACTGAAGTCCAAGGCGTGACTATCGACAATCGCAAGACTGGAACCGGGCCCGCTGCCAAGAAGGGCAACCGCGTCGAGATGCGCTACATTGGCAAACTCGACAACGGCAAGGTATTTGACAGCAACAAGTCTGGCAAGCCCTTCAGCTTCAAGCTTGGCGCCGGTGAGGTCATTAAAGGCTGGGACATTGGTGTCGCTGGCATCCAAGTCGGCGGTGAGCGACGGCTGACCATCCCTGCAAACCTCGCGTACGGAAACAAGGCTGTGGGAGATATCCCCAAGGGAAGTCGCCTGACATTCGACATCAAATGCTTGGGCATCAAATAAGGCACAGGCATCCGTTATGGAGGATGTGTAAAATGGGACAGTCGCACATTGATGGTCGTCCTCTCTGGCCTCACCTCCACATTTCGTCGGTATCCTGAATTGGATACTTATTTCATCTGTCCTCGCCTACCTCAGTCCTCATGGCATGATCAAATGCCGGCGTTGAGTGTCGATCCATATTAAAGGCCTCGGGTACCCTCATCCAGGGCATGCGATTCCCCTGTATTTACCTACTTAGCAGCGCTGTTCCGTGCATCAGCTTTCTCAGCCGTGCTTCAAAGGGCGTGGACAACATGAGAGCAGCAGTAACAGCCGCATTCTGCACAGCGTGTGTATCATTGACGAAAATAGTTTGACAGAAAGCAGAATAGAACAAAAGTGATGTTTCCTATAGGTCCTTTTTCATTTCAACTCGCTTGTCATCTTTCCTCTGCAATATCATCATCTTCCGTCCAAGGCTGACCCACGTGACTTTCGGACATCTCCATATACAGGAATCACTTCATTCAACTACCTCCCTATCGCCTTATTCAAACTCTCTCAGCTTTTCTCCAGTTCAATTGGCTTTGTCCTGTCTAGATCCATTCGACCAAATGCCACTAGCTAAGATCTCATGGAGAGGCATATCTTCTACAAGCCTGGTCTCTGCCTATGGTAGAAGAGGTCGTCTCCATACAATCTTACCAGATGATATTTTACTTGCTTAGAAGCACGCCATCCCCGGCCTTTATGGCCAACGACTGACAAGGTTTCCACCCCAAATCCATATTCCTAACACAATAGACAAGTATTAAACAAATATACATATACATCAAAGCGAACATAGACATCCCAAGGACATTGTCACATCTCGTCTCCTCAATAACAGGATCATCACCACCACTACCACCACCATCGCCATAATCATCATGCCCACTGAATCCCCACCCAATACTCTCCCTCCAGAGCATATCCCCATTCTCATCATCGGTGCCGGTCCCGTCGGATTATCCCTCGCCATCGAACTCCGTCTCTTCGACATCAAAGTCCTCGTGGTCGATCGTGAAGCAGAAATCATCAATTCCCATCCAAAAGGTCGAGCCAACGATCTTCGAACTCTCGAACACTATCGTCGTTGGGGTGTGAGCGACGAACTACACCGACTTGCCTGGAAGACACGTAATCCAAACCAGAAAGTCGTCATTACGAATTCAATCGTCGAGCCGCCTCTAGGTGCATATCCACTCCGATTGGGTCGACATGTCGATGAATCGCGTGACTATGCGGCTGAACCATCATTAAGTGTCCCGCAGGCGATTACGATGCGTGTTTTGCAGAAGAAAGCGGTGGAATTGGGTGCCATTGTCTTGAGAGGGTGGGAGGCGAAATCAATTCACCAGCAGGATGATGAGGAGAAATCCGTAACGACGAGGCTAAGGTCACCAACAGGAATTATCTTTTCCATTTCCTCCGAATATGTCGTTGGATGTGATGGTCCTGATAGTCTAGTCCGAACCACCGCTGGAATTTCACGACGTGGCATCGGCCCAACATCACGGAGTGTGAGCTACGTTGTCCGCAGTGAAGGGTACAAGATCGGCGATCTCATTAGTTCACCGGCCCACGACTCTCTCGGTTTCCTCATGGTATTGAGCTCAAAAGCCTCCACCATCGTCAGCATCCCCGACGACGAACACTGGGGATTAAGTTTCGAAATCCCCGACGATGCACCAAACCCCACTGACGAGGAAATCCAACGTCACGGCCGCGATGTTCTCGGAGTGGATACCCCCCTCTCCATAGTCAGTTCATCCTCATACCGAGTGTTCACTCGGGTTGCATTATCATATCGCAAGGATCGTCTATTCATCGCCGGCGATGCCGCTCATCTCTGTCCCCCCACTGGCGGACATAACATGAATGTTGGAATCGGCGATGCCGTGAACCTAGCGTGGAAAATCGCCGGTGTGGTTCAAGGATGGGGAGGGGAGAAATTACTTCAAAGTTACGACATCGAACGGCGGTCGGTTGGGAATTTAGTGACGGACGCGGCATTCGATAATCACTCCGCAATGGAAAAAGCGACGGAGATCTTTCGGAATCTACCATCACTGGATCCCAATGCGAGTTCGGAACAACGGTTTAATCGTGGCGATATTGCGTATCAGATCACGTATCCGCAATGGAATAGTTTTGGTGTCGTACTGGGTCAGAGGTATGAAGAATCATCATTAACGATTCGCGGTGAGTGGACGGCTCCGCCTTATAGTGGGAGTGAGTATTGGCCCCATGCGAGTCCTGGGCATCGTGCACCGCATGTATGGCTTGATGACAAAAGTCCTTTGTTGGATCATTTTGAGAAGTATTTCACTTTGTTGGATATAGAGGCTTCTGATGGACAGGTTACTCGGTTCTTGAAGGCTGCTGCTGATGTTGGGCTTCCGATCACTCATCTCAAGGTTTCCGCCGCGGTTGCGAGGAAGAGATATCCTGCTGAGATCACGATTATTCGTCCAGATCAATATATCAGTTGGCAGGGAAATGAATGTAGTAACCCTGCATCCGTCATCGATACGATTAGAGGGTTCTAGAATAGATGATGTTAGACGAAAGACTTTCAATTTACCTGCCAGTGAGCGACACATTAATTTGTTTGTGAACGATTTCTAGCAGCTAGTCTGTTTTGCTTTAAAGAGTCCCTCTATCGGTAGAACGTAGCCATTGTACATTCTTCGAGGTACTCGTTACTGCTGGCAGTGATAACGCCGCATTAAGATGAAGAACTTATGATGCAAGACCAGTCGCAATGTCGATTGCTTCACCAAATTCTTTGGCCAGCCCGTGCCCTTTGCAGCCCAAAGGCCTTGAAATTTCCATGTCCGCCTAAGACATCGTGGGTGGCGCCCCCATAAAAGCTGCGTTGTTGTAACCGTCTTCTTGTTTGATCGTACCGTTGAGAAGCGGGCATAATCTTTAAGAGAGAGGTTCCAATGTCAGTGAATGATTCTTAATGAGTGAAGAAGAGAGTGAAGGAAAAAAGGATTAAAAAAAGGTAACGACAGGCTTGTGAACACTCGTGGAGTCGCTGGCTGGATGGCTCGTAGACACGGCGTAGAGTTCGATTGTCCTCTGGATTTCGAAGCTGGGAACCCCGTTTTGATATTCCCACCATGATTTGATTTTTGAATGGGATATCTCTTCCGGGCATACACGCTTTCCGTCCATCCAATCGTAAGGGCCGCGCTTCATATCCTGCCATAGGAACAGGGACAGTAGGAAAATTCAATACGGATTTTGAATGGGGATGTCAACCGAGCGTTGAGTCGCAAAGGGCAGGATGAATGGATGATGAAAATGTCGCTGGACAACTTTCACGATGCCACCATTTATTCAAAGCTCGGAGCATCACCCATCAAGGAACCGACTTTGCGATCAAGGGGGAGATTGCAATTTTTGCATTTGACTGACTTTTTGTTGGTTTTGATATGGCCCACTTGACCACAGTTTGCACATTTGCGCATAGTCGGTTGTGTATTCTTGCCTCCAGGGGTGGCATCCGGGTCAGGTGACAATGCTGTTCCACCAGGGGATGTCGCGGGAGCGGCATTCTTGTTCTTCGTTCTTTGCTTGCGGCGGGCGGCGTTCTTTTCGAGTTGAGCAAGCGCTTCTTCGATTCTGTAACTTGGTTAGCATTCAAAGATCGCCACATGGACCATGGGAGATTGGCTTGCCGTCTGCGTTGACGGGCATCTTTCTCTGGGTCACCCGTAGGCGCAATATCCGCCAGACTAAATCTCGTCAGTTAACATGTTTGGTATAATCTGACCAAAAAACCAACCTAGTAGCTGCAGCTTCCTCCATCTCTTTAATTCTCAAGTATTGTTTAATGACAGCAGGGCTTGTTTCGAAATGTACTTCTTGTACTTCCTCACCGTCAACGATCTTGGTGCGGACAATCTTGAGCGTTTTGTTGGTTTGACCTAGGCTGTTGATGCTTCGACGACTAATCGAAGTGGCAGTCTCATCATCCCTACGTCGATACGGTGCCGGCGTGTGTGTCCCTGACATCGGGGTAGCTCGAGGGTTTGATCTCTCGTTGTAACGATCTTCCTGGTTGTCAACATCGCCATCCATGTCTAAATCTGAGGGCTCAATTTTCGAGCCCAGGCTGGCCTTTTGTTTGTCCCAAATACCACGAATCGACTCTTCGTAGGACTTTTGTTGTCGGGCGACATTGTAGCTGTGTCCGCCGAGTTCTTTCTTGAGAGCAATGGCATCTTGAGCTGAGCCACCAATTGGTCGAAATCCTCCCTTCATACTTGTCTTGATGAACGAGAAAGCTTCACCACGACCTGAAGGATCACCCTCACCAAAGAGTTTGAGCATCGCTTTGCCTTGTGTAGCTTGAATGAAATTCTTAGTGGTTCTCCAGGGTGCCAATTGTTGCTCGATGCTATCGTTGTCATTCTCCTTATCGTCATCGTCGTCATTGTCGGCAAAGCCCGAGTCCTGCAAGTACTGAGCTCCCACCTGCATAGACTCGAGAAGGCAGATTTCTTCTGGTTTGATCATATTTTGAATGGCATCCTCGTCCGGTAGAGTCTCGCCAGGCTTCATCTCCCACTCTTTGTGTTCCTTGCTGAAAACCATGAATTCCTTCATCTTCTGTCTGTTTTGCATATCAGTGGTGTCAGGAAAGTGGCGAGTGACATCTTCGACCCGGAGTCTGTGGGACTTTTTCTTGCGAGCAATACGGTAAGAAATAGCCTTGAGTCGATTCTTCGCGTTGGTGGTTACAACACGAGAATGTGTTCCCGGGATTGTGGTGGTGGGAAGTTCTTGACCGACTACATAGACGTTGTCGAGAGCACGCATGTAATACTTTTGACCCTCAATACCGTTTGACTCTCGCACAACCAAAAAGTCAGTGGACTTTGATTCTTGCTCGAAAATTGGAGCACGATACATGGAATTGTACAAGGCTGTAATGGTTTCGCCGGGGTCGATTTGTCCAAAGATGTAGAATGGAGATTTGTCCTCTGGAAGTAGCACGCTGGCTTCTCCGATCTCAGGTTTGGGACGAGATGAATCATCCTTTGTTCGTCTGCGGTAATAGTGAATGACCTTGTTGCCCATTCCTATCTGCGACATCATGAGAGGGTGTTCTTCAGAATACTCGAGGAAGAGTGGGGTAGATAAATCGGATAGAGATAGATCTTTTGTTTCTTTGTAGATCTCTTCCACCTTTTTGTTCTTCATGTGTTTCCTCTTCTTCTTGCGATCGATGCTCGAAAATGTAATGTTGTGTTTGAAATGTAGTTTTTTCCGATGATAGTTTCGCAGCTCTTGAAGTGACAATCGAACTTGATAGTAAGGATACTGGAGGCGTACTGCGGGTACTGAATGACTGACTTGTATCGAAGTCAGCTGGCCACGAACCTTGTGCTGGTGATTTTGTTTGAGCAAATCGTATTCAGCATCATTGGAAGTCTTGAATCGCTGCTGGAGGCGATCTTTGAGTGTCTTGACCAATGGTGCTTTCTCGCCTGGTCGCACTTTGACCTTGACCGCTTCTGGATCAACCTCCTCGACGAGTAACTGTGGATCATTCAGGTCAAGGACGACCTTGGTAGCAAGGCTAGCGGTTTTGCGTTCGGGGTTGTCAAAAGAGGGGATGGCTATTTCATGAATTGACACGATCTCGTGAGGGTTCATGCCAAGACGACGTTTCTTCCGAGGATGCTCGACATCGTCGAATTCGTTGAATAGATCATCATCGCTGTCGACAATGCGAGGTCGAATTTCGAAAGCTTCATCGTCCGAGGGTGAAATATGAGACAAGGTGTCAAAGTCGGTGCACATGAACTCTAGGTCGCGCAGGGTGAGACCATTTGGCAAGAGCTCATCGTCGTCGGACTCGTCCGATGACTCTTCCGCAGATTCTTTAACGACAGGGGCCTTGGTATTAACAATATTTTCCAGCGTTTCAGGCACAGTTGGGGCGATGGCTGAATTGAAAGCCGTCCTCTGATCTGGTTCAAGGTCGAGAGTAACTTTGGTAGGGCGAATCGGCCTTGGAGGCTTCAGGGGTACTTTTGCTGGCCATTTGTGTGGTCTTGGAGGGAATAGCTTGTTGAAATATGGAGCTTCATCGCGTTTGAAGTTGGGAAACTCAAGCTTCAGCCACTCATCGATGTTTTCTTGTTCGGTAGTGGGCGCATAACCTTTTCCTGATTGGGCGAATAGGGCAAGTTGAATTCGATATTGGGCATCTTCAACTTCATCCACGTCGGCGTCAAGCATGGAGATGTCTTGCGTAGCCTCGTTTTCGTTGTCTGATGCCAGATCATCGTCGTTATCTGCCGTGGGCTGGGGCGTCTCGGCTGGTTTGGCTGGAGGTGGAAAGGCCTTGCTAGGTTCATGGGTGGTCATGACAGGGGAGAGATCGCCGAAAAGGTCATCTTCATCCAAGTCATCCAGATTGCTATCCTCGATACCTGGAAGCTGGTCGGAGATGGGACCTGGTTGCGGTTGGGTGGAGACGCCCTCTTCATCAGGCAGAGACTCGTCATCGCCAAAATCCTCGAAATCGATTGCATCGTCCGCCTTTTCACCAACTTCTAGCGCTCGATCGTTCAACTCATTCAGATCGAACCCCTCTGCCGCTCCACCCTCGTTCATCAACATGCTCAGTTCATTGTCTGCATCAGCGTTGGCGGAAGCCGGCATGGCAAAACTGTCGTCGAAGGGAGTGGCCACAGCCGAGTCTTGGACCAAGTCGTCATCGTCATCGAAGAGATCATCGAGGCCGTTAGCCTGCTGATACGGATCCGATTCCATGATTGTCTAGGAGGGAGAAACTGTGGGAGTGTGTCGTGCGCGAAGTCTCAGATGGACGACCGCGGGGAAGAGGAAAGGTGGGTGCGCATGACAGGAGGATGGTGACTCTGAGATGGGATCACAAGAGTTGCGTTTGTAGAATAGCGCCGTGTGATGACAGAGATTTAGTCGCAGTCGATAGACAGACGTGGTGGCAAACAAAACAATGACAAGAGTAATAAATATGGAACAATTGAGAGATTCCAAGTGACGCGGTTGTCGACGTCGGACGTCCGCCAGCCTGAAGTCCGTAGTGGCTTTTATGCTTTCGCCTCGGCCTTGTCACGTGACAAGAACTCCTCGTGCTCCCGCCCAACTTGATTGGCTTCAAAACCACATCCAATTCAGCATCAACGTCGACCTTTTCATTACGTATTGAGTCCTATTCACAAATATGCCCGCTCATGTTGGTTTATGAACGTCAAGCCTGCCTTAGCGCGGCAGATTACCCTATCCAGATCCTGTCTATAGAGGGAAAATCTGTAGTTATACCCTTCCTACCCTCATTGACAAATCTGCCTTGATTGTTGTAGGAGGAAGGAGCACTTCTCGCTGTGGATTGATGCCAAGGGAAAGAGACAGAAGAGACACGATATAATTCAGTGTCTTAGCGAGATCATATCAATCCAACGCCTTTATTGCGCCTTCTGGCTGCTCTCTTCCCACCCACGTTTACACATGTAGCTTCCGGCCTCAAGACGCCGACGGTGGCACGTTAGTAATGCACACGCCAAGTGGCTCCATAGCGCAGAGCCGGATTGCGCCTTCCGACAATTCTCAGGTGATGGTAGCCTGTATCAAGTCTTGGCATAGCGAGATGGTGGCCATGAGTCAACTTCACCCTGCAGTCCATCATGAGTGTCGCTCCTTGCCCGCGGTATACCCTCTCGGACTCATGACTTCAATATCTTCCAATTGCCAAAGTACGCCGACAATGCCCGACTGGTCCCATATGTACAATAATGCACCACCTGAGTTTTCGTGTCCTCCTTTGCGAATTTCGAAATCTGTCTGAGGTCACTGGTCCTAGGAAGATAAAGAACCACTTCTGATGTGATCTTCTTAAACGACTGATATAAGAAACTGAAGCTATAAGGTTCCATGGATTCGAGATCAAACACTTCTGAACTTCGATACCCCGGGCCTGTGATCATCATCAGTGTTGAAGCTGTGTAATCGCAAAGGTTCTGACTTACCACCCCACGGAGGACTGGCAAAGATAACACCATACTGGCTGGCAATGGCTTTAAGAGAAGTGACAGTGGCGGCAGGATTGGTGTCCACAAGACCCAATAACTCGAAACAATCGCCATGAAACCATGTGATTTTGTCAGCCACCCCATAGATCTCTGCATTGTGTTTGGCGCAAGCGAGAGTGGCAGCGTCTTTCTCAATGGCGTAGACTCGTTTCCATTTTCCGGACAATGCGAATGCTATTGTGTTGCCTCCTGCACCACAGAATGCATCAATGATGATAGCTTTGTTTGATGGTGCAGCGTCGGCAATATGCTGAGCAATAGTGCTAGGTAATTTTAGTCAGACAAGGACGCTTAGTAGGTTCATTCGCAACATACTTCGCGACTGATTCATGAGTGACGCCGTACCAGGCGTCATCTGTCATCCAGATTCCTTCGTCATACTTTGAGAAAATTGAGTAACCCTGTTGCCAATATCTGTTCCATCAGTCAGTCCGCAGACTAGGCCGGAAGTCTCTCAACGACCTACTTCTGAAGATCCCAGGGCACTTCTTCTAGGGTTTGGTAGTGATGAACCCCTTCAGGCAGCGACTCCTCGGATGATTCTTGGGTCTGCTTCTGCTTTTTCGCTGACCACTTCGCATCTTCTGCAACCGCCCTCGACTTGCGCTTTCTCGCCATGTCGTCGCACCCACGCCTGAGTGAACAGGAGGCTGGACGTTGAGTCGAGGGTCTTGAGAACTAGTTTCATCGTCTCCTCCGCCGAAATGGGAAAAACCAAACAGCGCACTGCAACACTTGCTCCGCCGTTTTCTTATCGATAAGAAATCTCCAAAATCCCAAGCGCAGGTAGTTCATCATCACCGCCCTACGCAAGCAACGTTCACTTAAGACTTTATCGTCGACATCCTCATATATGAGCGATAGCTCAGCTGTCTACTGTTCGTGAGGCCAAGCATGGACAACTCACAGTTCCGAAGCCTCCTAAATTCCGGTCAGAAGAGCCAGGCATCTCCAGATGGATCAAACGCATCCGGGTTCAAGAAGCCTGCGCTCGGCTCTCGCGCAAGATCATCAATTCCCATGACGCCGCGGGTGCTTGCAGGTTTCAACGCAGCGAAGGACTTTTCAAGACAGGTTGCCGAGCACCAAAGGTCTGCTGACGGCCAGCCACCCGTGAAGAAGTTCAGGTCAAGCGCCGCGCCAAAGGGTACAAAATTGGGATCTGGCTATCAAGATCGTACTCTTGCACGCAAGAACGATGACGGGAGTGAAGAGAGTCAGGACGACAAAGAAAAAAGATTCAAGGCTTTAGAAGAGATGTTCAAGCTACAACAAATTGATCAAGTCACATTCGACCGTCTCAAAGCCGAGCTTGGCATCGGTGGGACGCTAGAGAGCACACACATGGTCAAAGGCCTCGACTGGAAGCTGCTCGAGAGAGCGCGCAAGGGAGAGGATCTGAATCAAGCCCCTAGCACTGAGAAAGATACCAAGTCGGAGGCGCCGGAGGTCGACATTGAAGACGAATTGGACCAGGCTCTAGCGAAAGAAATCGACGTGACAAAGCCTGCACAGAACACAGCAGATGACCATGACGACTCAGAAGCTATCACAGGGGCACAGCCTACGACACGCGACGAGATTCTGCGGCGTCTGAAGGAGAGTCGAGGCGCGAGACGCGACACACCCTCTGAACCGGCCCCGGCACTGGGAGGCAAATTTAAGAAACTCGTATCGGAGAAGAAATCTAACAAGAAGAAATTCGTCGAAAGCATTAACGGAAGGCGGAGAGAAGTTCTTGTCATCACCAACAAGGACGGGACTACCAAACGTAAAACACGGTGGTTGGACGATGAGGCGGCGAGAGGGGAAGCCAATGACGGTCGACCGCTCGGAATGGAAATACCAGCAGAAATACTCGCTCGGCAAAAGGCCATGGAAGCGGAAGAGGCAGCGGCAGAGGACGATAACGATGATATCTTCGGCGGCGTTGCAGAATACGATCCGCTCGCCGGAATCAATGATGACAGCGACGAGTCAGAAGCTCTTGTCGAGAAGTCCGAGACTACGAAACCAGAAAGCAGTACCGATACCGGCCAATCAAGGAACTATTTCGGACAAATAACCCAAAGGGACGAAGGTGCAGACGATCGAGCGAATCCAATCATGAAGGACCCAACACTGCTGGCCGCGCTCAAGCGAGCGGCAGGTCTACGCCGACAAGACGAGGCTGGAATGGATGGGGACGAAAGCGCCGAGCCTGATAATGTCGACCAGGAAGCAAAGCACAAAAAATTCCTGGCCCGACTGAAGGAACAAGACCGGGCAGACGCGGCAGATTTGGATCTCGGATTTGGCGAGTCTCGCTTCGGCGACGAAGACGAAGAAGATGGCGCGATTTGGGAAGGCGACGAAGGAGGGGAGCAGACGAAGAAGAGTGGACGAAAACGTGGGTCGAAGAAACGCAAGGGCGACAAGGATAGCGTAGCGGATGTAATGAGAGTGTTGGAAGGGCGGAACAAGGATAAGTAGTGTAGCATATTTGAATTCTAACTGGTGCAAAGATTACAGAACTGGACAAACATTTCATCCTTGCTTGGTGGTGAGGATGTGAAGGAATTTTCATTGCGACGGTACGAAAAATCGATAAGAGAAAGTGACCGAGCCGGATATGAAGACGGAGAAGCAAAGAACTGAAGCGGCGTAGACTCTATACTGCTGCTTCAATAGTGGATAAGCTAGCTGTTGTCTGGTTCTGGGCACGGCGGGTTTACCAGTAACTTGGAACTCTACTCGGGAGATGGATGTGGGAAACGGTGGGAACAAAATAACAAGAAATCAGCCTATCGACATGGGGACGAGCAATAGGTTCAAGTTGCACGGACTCTGTCGTGTTGCGAACACGTGGAATTGGTTTCGGTTTGAACCGAGAATCATAGTATTATGGATGTAAAAGAGACTCTGAAATAATGATCGGCAAAACAAACAGTGTAGATGACATCAAGTGCTGTATGAAGAACGAATCGAGATCATGTTATGCATGAAAACCGCTGGGAATAATGGATGTAGAGCCAGACTACAAATACGCCAGAACAACATCTTCGGACAATTTGACTAAACTGACGTGATCGGAGACCAACATCGAAGCACACACTTCATGTCACCCAAGCATTCCAAGGCTCTTCGCTTCCAAGAGACCAAGAGCCTAAAAGGGCCTAAAAGGGCCAAAAAGTCTTGAAGCCTTGGTGAGGAACCCTGGAAGACTGGGAATCGTCCTAGTTTCTTTAGTTATACACTCATAATTGTTGTTTAATGTGTAGCCTGGAGAACCGACAGAATCACAACTTCGCAAAATCGCGCAAATAGTCAATCGCATTTGGTCGCATTCAGTCGCACCTGCACCTCGAGTCGGACGACCAACAAGGCAATAGCGACTACTCTTTACAGTCCATCTGCCCAACGTGCCTACTTCCTTTGTACACAAGCACTTGGCGTAGATTGAAGCACAGAGATGCAGTCGCACCGTTGCCATCGCTATCACCATCGCCCTTGCCGCTGGTCGACGATAGTTACACTTGGCATCACGTGGCCCACAATGTACGGTGACACTGCCACCGCCAGAGACTCCAGAGACTCGACTGGAGCAACCAATTGCCACTCCGCGACATCCTGACAGCTCGCGCCAACACAGACCAGACCTTGTCAACACGACAGTGAGGATGTTGATCGATCAACATTACGCATACAAACAGTAAGCCATGCTGCTGCGTCAACCCCAAAGGTGAGATCGAATCAATCAGACTACTTACTCCGTACGCTCCTAACTGGTCCACGCTATGTGCAGACTCCAGAATGCCCTTCCTCTACAATTCCACATCCACAAACCGCCCATCCTCTACGGAGTAATAAGCTGTGGAGCTTCCACGAAGCCATGCCACAACAAGGTTCGGGTTCCTGGCAGTAGCGCAACCGATTATCGTCACGAGAAAACTCTGATAACACACCGCTTAGCCTCCCTCTGCTTGCGTACTCAGTACTCCGTAGGTGGAGTTTCCCACCTACGGAGGGGCGCTGCCATGCTGCCTTCAGAAACTCCCCTGCATTGCCGCCCCAAGGAACAGGTTGTTTTCAAACATGGCCGACGCTTCTGACTGGCTGCTCATGTCCCAAGCCCACAGTCATGTTACAAATACGGGGCCGAGGGGCCAGGCCTGCCATAACATCTTCCCCTTTTCGACCATCCGCCTTCGCCAATGCCAGCCTTCTGCAAGGCACAGCCGGATTCCATCACGGTTCGTCTTTGGTCTTGACCGGTCTTTTACACCAATGTCTACTAGCAGCCTCCAGTCTGGCCCCGTATTCATGTGGAAAGTTCGGGTCTTGACTGACCAAAGCCAAGGGGATCCACCTCTCTGGTCCCAGGACAACCCCGGCCACATAGCCCTCGGCTTTGAAACGTGCCAGGCCATCTCCTGTTCTGCTTGTCCACCAGCTCCATCCACTCCCTTGGATAGACAAGCTATATTTCGTTGCAAGATGCTGTTTCAATTCTCTCTCCTTCTCTCCTCTCCTGCTCAATCATTCCCTGTTGCGTCTACTTGACACGTTTTGTGCGACACATAGCACCTCCGTCCTTCTTTCTCAAACTCCTGCTAGGCTTGCCTCAGGTCTATTCTTGCAATTCTGCACCCACTAGAGCTACGCTCGTGGTCACTCATTCGCCAACCAGGTCATTCATTCATTGAATCCCTATACAAAGTCCCCTGGAGGGTTCCTCATTCTCCAACTACCGCAACATAGTTCCCTCGAACTATCCACCGCTTACCTGCATAACGAGTACTTGTACCCCTTGCAGGCAATATGGTTTCCAACATCATCCCCGTCTTGGCATTCGCCTCTATTGTGCTGGCACACCCTCACCCACACGCTGACAAGCATCGCCCATGGCGATACTATGGCTCCGGAAACAAGCCCAGTCGACCAGATGGAGTTGCTGCTCCCACTGGATTTTCCGCTCCTCCTACAAACGACTCCAGTCCGATCAACATCGCTGGAGCTCCTATCGACCCACCTTCCGGAACCAACGACGATCTTCAAACCGTCACAATCGTTCCCGTATCCGATGAGTCAGCAGAGCCCGCTAGCAGTGGCATTGAGCAAATCCTTTCACAGAGCTCTGCTGTCGATCTTGATGCCACCGGTTCATTGACGGCTGCCGCGTTCTTCGGTCGACCAACTGGAAATGGTCGTCGAAGCACTTATGCTTGGGGAGGCGACGAGGGAGTTCCCTCTGCTTCCGACCCAGCTGCCGTGCCAACCACCTTCCAGACTGCCGTCTACACCGAGCCCACCGCAGCCTATGGCAGCGATTCTCCAGCAGCAACCTCTGCATCCAGCCCAGCCGAAAGCTATACTCCCAGCACTGGAGGTAGCGGTGGCTCGACCAGTGGTAAGAAGGGTCTCTCCTATAACAACCCATCTCTCACGAACGCCTTCGCCGGAAAGGGCATCAGCTGGGCCTACAATTGGGGCTCGAGACCTGATGGTACTATCCTCTCTGGAGCCGAGTTTGTTCCCATGCTCTGGGGAAACAAGCAAGACTTTATTAGTTCTTGGGCTGGCGCTGTTTCCACCGCCATTTCCAACGGTGCCAGACATGCCCTCTCCTTCAACGAACCCGATCTCGGTGAGCAGGCCAACATGGATGCAGCGACCGCTGCCCGTCTTCATATTGAAAACATGAACCCTCTGGCAGGGCAAGTGGCCATTGGATCACCGGCCGTTACTAACGGCCCAGCTCCAATGGGTATCGCTTACCTGAACCAGTTCTTTAGCGCTTGTGCAGGAAACTGCAAGGTCGACTTCGTTGCATTCCACTGGTACGATTCCGCCAGCAGTATTTCATATTTCAAACAGCACGTTCAGGACGTCATCAATATGGCTGCCGAACATGGTATCGGCAAGGTATGGCTTACCGAGTTCGGTGCTTCTGGCTCAGATTCCGATGTCGCCAACTTCATCTCAGAGGCTGTCGCCTTCCTCGACTCTACCCCAGCGGTGGAGAGGTATGCTTACTTCATGGTGAGCGAAGGCCTCCTGGTCAACGGTGGCTCGCTCTCATCTTTGGGCGCCGCTTACGCTGCATAAACTCATGGCTATGAACATGCAGTTGATGTTGGAGTATTTTGTCCATCTTGATGCTGTGCGCATATATTGGAAAATTTACAAGATATTATATGAAAGCAATCTGATTGATGAATGAATTGGATGTCACTGGTCAGCAGTCCAGAAGCTACATTTGGAATATTTTGAATAGATTTACGTGGAAATGAAAACACGAAATATATATGTCGTTCAATGATAAAAAGAAAGTGTTTCTTGATTTCATGGCACCGGACACTTCTTTCCTACGCGTGACTACGTGACTACATCGATGCCATATCTTCCACGTTGGCGTGGAAGTTCTGAATCTTGCAATAGTGATGTCGTGCTGACGGCAGATGATTTGCCACCAGCAGACTCATCATCCTGATCCCACCAGCCTAGTCTATAACGAGGCTCTGTGCGTTCAGATTGCTCGACAGAATCTTCTCCTATGAATAGATGTTGCTGCTCGCCATTGCATAGTTGACCTCCGACCAGAAGATAAGCAACGCCGAATATTGTGCAAGGATTGTACGGAACCAGACGCCTGAGGCGAGTCAAAGTCCATGCCACCAAGCCCAGCAGCGTCATGGCTCCTAGCATGATTTGTAATGCCAATTTTGGCCCTTTGTGTTGCACTAGTCGACGTGTGCTGGCGACCTGGGTAACGAGTCCTTCAAAGGTGTCTGATGTCTCGTGGAGAATCAAGGAGCCGGCGTTCTTCTCCACTCTCATATTGCTTGAGATCGCCTGTGCCATGTAGCGGCGGTAGAATGCAGTTACTGCTGCCAGAACGGTACTCTGGTTTTCTTCGCCGATCAGTATTGACTCTGGAAGAGGCTTTCGTCCAAACAAGACGCCCTGAAAGAATCCATCTACCGGTGAGTCGGCCAGATTTGCAGATGCATATTTCGTCTGATTGAACAGTGAGAGGGACTGCTCCATGTGCCTTTGAATTCGATATGGAAATGCTGTCTCGCCGTCCGAGCTGCTTGCTAGAAGCTGGATGCTCTCCTCGTTGGGGATGGGAGGCTTTGATATCAACATGCTTTGCGACGTTAGGGTGAGGTTGGCCTCTAATTGCTGCATCTGCTGATAGCACATCATCGCCGTGACAGAAGTTCTGCTCGGATCCTCGATGTCAACGAAACCGTAGATGAATCCTAGCGTTGGACACCCAGGTGGGTTGTCATTCTGACTCTTAGGATCTGCTTCGCCAAAAGCACTTCCCAGAATCGCATCGTATGGTCCGACATGAAGGTCGAGTAATTTTGCAATGAAAGAAGAATTGCCTGCAAAGCCTACCCGATGTCGTACTTCGATGAAGCTCAGATTTCCACCTGGACCACCTAAGAGACAATTTGGAGGTAAGGAAAAATTGACTTCCACCGTCGCACTTGCAGAAAGGATTCTGGGATTGTAGGATGCAGCCACATCAAACGCACTTCCTTCGAGAGTCATGCAGTCGAGCGTCGCTCTCAAAGCTGGTGCTGTCAGTCGTATTTCTGAGGCGTCTGATGTTAGGGCATTAGTAACAGTAGCCGTAAAGGACAAATCTGGGAACGCAAGCTCCTCGTAGGTACTTCTTGGGTACGACAAATTCAGACTCTCAGTCAAGCTGGTGAAGACGGCGGCAGATCTGTCATTGACCGCGCTATCTTGCCATGCGAGATCAAATGCATCCAATCTTGTCCCAATACCAACACTGAGGCTGTCGAACTCTCGGATAGTGAATAGGCCAGATACCACAATAGTCAAGACACTGCCAATAATTGCAGCCGTCATGGACGATAATGCTGCCCACCAGCGACTCTTGACAGAGACAAACATGGCCACGAGGGGAGATTTGTCAATCAGGGAACTGCGAATACTACGATTCGATGGCACTTCCTTTTCAAACAAAGCGTTGAATGGCGCAAGCACCGAGATATTGAAATCGATAGCGTTGAACAGTGTAGCAACCAAAAGCATAACAAGTGCTGGCAAGAAGCGAACGAAAGCATTGTTCAAGGTACCAGACGAGCCTGAGAGAGCCATCAAGCCTCCTTCAAAATCTGACCGGACCTGCAAGACTTCCAGTACGGCTACCAGGATTAATGGAAACAGCATTATCAGAACCATTAACGGTGGCCGAGTGACGAGTGGATTCCACCAGGTTTCTGGAGGCCTTCGGGTGGGGGCACTTGTAGCAGCTTGCGAAGTATGGCCTGTGGAGAGGCTTGCAGATATTGACATGGTTTGGGGGCAACTAGGTTGCCCAGTGGCATTTGAGAAGAAATGATATTGACCGAGTTCATTAGAGACGTTTAGTTCCGTGAGTAGCGTAATCCGGCCAAGGATTTCTTGTAATTGTGAGCTTCTGGCTGTGATCTGAGCAACTCCATGAATGGTCGCCAGGTTGAAGTATGGATGTTGCGTTGGTCGGAGAAATAGAAGTAGGATTGTTATGAGGGCTAGTGCGATGATACCACCGACCATACCCCACAGAGCACCGCTGCTTACCAGAACTCTTTGCTGCCAAAGGATGGTCTGGCCATCTATGGTTGTCTCATCAGTCTCAAGGATGTTCTTTTCGATGATCTGTACTGAAATGTGACGATATGCAGCTTCTGCTGCGTCTTGAAAGGTCCGGTCCCCTTCAAAGAGTGCTTCGTACGCTCCACCCAGTGGAGCTGACATCACCTTGAACATAGTGTTCGGGAATTCTTCTGCGTTGTGGGAGTCAGAGAGATCGCCAAACATGTTGGCTGCATCACGCAAGGCAGCGCCGAACATTAACGCTAAGTCCTCGTCTTCGAAACCAGGGAATTTCTCCTCTTTGATTGTTAGTCCCTCGACGGATAAATTCGCTTGGTTGTGTGTTATGTGATGTGTCAGCTTTACACTGCCTCTCTGGTAGCCAGGCCGGCAAAGTAAGCTTTTCGTTCTTTTGATACCAAGTGCAAATGAGGTGATGTCAGTCGTCACACCAGTAGAATTCGTTACTGTCTGATTGTACTCGACTTCGACTAGGGTAAGGAGTTGACGATCGGGGAACGGGGATATATTAGCATCCATGGAACAATTGACTCGTTGCATCACCCCACGCAGCTGTCGTGGCGGACATATCTCCGAGCTAACGTCCAAAACAAATGTCGGTTGCTCACCAACCATCATTTCGCAACTCGGATTGACGATGATGATAGTGTCCCCACTTCGTGAGCCATTGGCTGCGTAGGGTTGTGGGTTAATCGACACTGTTGCAGGCTCGCAGTTGAACTCTGGAACGAATGCGTCAACTTCTGCCGTGATACGCGCTTCTGTCAAAGAGTCAAAGTCAGGAGTGCGAAAGCTCTGATAGACCAGATCATTTGTTAGGCCAGGCCGATTTTCAAGGCCACCAGCGAGGACGCCGTAAGCAGTGTATACCAAGGAAGCGTCACTTTTGGTAACATATTCCGTTTCGTTGTAAAGATGCCCATTAAATCTAGTAGCCAATCGCAACTGTGCTTGTCTTTCAGGTAGGACTACCGACTCTTCGACAAGCAAGCCGGTGGATACGAGAGTAACAATCTTCAAGATGACAAAGCCTAGGATGGTGAAAGTGACAGATAGGTGGCCATTTTGGAGAGATTGCCAGAAGCTGGTTAACTGAATAGGCGAGATGTAGTCCAAGAGAAGGCTATGCTTCGCGAGTGCAGCTCCCCGCTCAAGGGTGGTCCAAGGCGCCACAAGCTTATAATGATGATCTACTTGTCGCCAGATGGATACAACGAGGACGAGGACTGCAGTGGGCCCGTACGTCCAAGCGTAGTGGTTATCAACAAAAACAGGAAATCCGTGGTTCTTAGTGTTGAAGTGCCAGATCAGAATCAATGCTACTATCAGGCCGATGAACAGCCCAATGAGCAGGTATAAAACGAATTTCTTTCCCCACATTTGCTGAGATTGTTGCGGTAGCTCAAAGGTTGAGTCGATGCTCTTGAATGAGGAAGTCGGGTATTTGTCCCCGTTCTCGATGGACGGGAATTCATGAAGAGGAGCAGGATGGGAGATCGAGCGCTGCCGCACAGCGAATTCCCAGGTGCGACCGGGCTGGAAGCGAGTCTTTGCAAACATAATCAAGACATGACATTGTACCACATAGCATACATTTCGAGATGATCAAGTGTGGATGGTGCTATGGTGCTGGGCCGGCACGCAGAGTCCTATATCTTACCATAATGGACACCCAATCTTCCTAGGGTCGACCATCCGATTGGCGCTTATCCAAACGATTGCGCCACAGTTGGCCCCATGATCTCCAAGGATGTTGAAGAGCTTCGAGATGTACTCCGTATGCTCGCATCGTTTTAGCGGTCTTGGAAGAGCTTGGAAGACGCCTAGCTGAGAAACGATGCGTTCATTGCAGGGGGTTTTGACTCAAATGTACTGGTTTCCTCACAAGAACTCACATGAAGCATTTACCTGCAACTTACTCTCTCCTAAATTTGCGTCTGCACGAGAAGGCCAAGCGCTTATGTTCAGACGCTAGGGGTTCAAAGGTTTCAGGCGTGAGCGGTGGTATGGTGAGGCCAGGTTCTCAAGAAGCGAACTGGCGGCTAACAGTGAAGTCAGGGCAAAGTTCGTCTCAAGTTCAGACGCGTCAAAGAAACCAAAAAAGGAGAGTCACGTGTTTCATGTGCTTCAACTTCACGTGACTAGTCGTCTAATCTCTTCACAAAATGCGTTCTCGTCTCAACAATCTCAACAATCTCAACTTCTCAACTTCATTCTCAATCTCATCTTCACAAATGTCAGTGTTTTCCATGTTTCTGGCACAAAAAAGCCTCTCGCGCTCCCTTGCTGTCCAACCCACTCGAACCGCGCTTTGTTTATGCTTTGTGCTTGTACTCCATCGCTATCAGGTAAGTGGCTGGAACGGAAATGTTACAGTTAAGAGGTGAGTCAGGCAGACGCGACGTCCTAGTGAAGCAACACATTGGCGAACGAACGACGAACACCCTGGCAACGCAATGTGATAGTGAAGTGGAACATTCTCTACGCATAGTTGCGTATCAACAGTGCGACAAAGTGCTCGCAGTCCATCCTTTCTCAGAGACACTGTCCCTCTCCTTCTTTCTTGCGCTCCTCTGCAATTATCTTTCTTTCTACAACCCAAGCTTCAGAACTGACAAAACCGCATAATTCGCGCTAAAACTCATATCAAACACAATTCAAATCTTTGGATTCTACATAATGGACGCCAGCTTAAACACCGCCATGTCAAGCCTAGACCTCAGTGAGACTGAACTGTCTCCTCTCTCTCCTCTGCCCACCGATGTTCAGCCCAACAAACAGAATGCTGCTACCAAGGACCTGATAGCTATGCCCTGTTTGATCTGTCTGGAAGACATGGTTGCACCCATCAGCGACAAAATCGACGATGCCTTTCACGTATTTCACCAAGACGAAACCATCGCTTGCCCTGTTTGCGACCAGATTACACACATCGATTGTCTTACTAATTGGTTTGACAAACCCCTCACCGAAGACCTATGCCCACATTGTAGAAAAGAGGTATCGGACGAGTTTCTGCTCAAAATCTTCACCCTCGTCAGAGGCCAGGAGGCTGCAACAAAAATTCTACAGCGGAAGAAACAGGATCGGGAGGAAGTAGCGGAGCTCCAGTCGAGCTTCCCCGACCACTGGCGGTTCCTTGTCTTTCACACTAGACAAGGAATCAATGTATATCCTCCCACAGACCACTTCATGGACGAGGATCAAGGTTGGTCAGACCAAGGGGAAAACAGTATATACTCTGACATTCCCTCAACCTGGGGAGAGGAGCGAGATCCTCCCGACTGGGGAATTCACGAGGAGGACGACACGCCCCAATTCGAGAGAGAGCGTGGGCCCGGCTATTGGTAGCCACGATGATGAAAAGGGGGACGTATCTCGAGATGATGCTATGATGTTAGCAGACTAGCCTGAAACATTGTCCGGAGGTCTTACATCGTCAACTCTCTCATCCACAGTTTGACGTCACATCCAAGCACCAAGTTCACCATCTAGATTGGTCCTGCCTCCAGTCTCTTCTACAAGCAAATCAAAGTCTGGACCGATTATTCCACCTTCGAACATGGAACCATTAACAAGCCACAACCATCGCAGGACGCAATTCAAAACTACCTACTATGGGTCAATATAAAGTCAAGAGCTTGTGGTGGTTCCTGAATGTCCACATGATAACATACTCGGGTTAACTCCTTAAAAATGAGCAATAGGCTTATAGTATGCGCAAAGGGTATTCTGCCGTGGTGGTATGGTGGCTTCTAGACAAGATATCTGGAGAACGTGCAGTCCCCCAACCTTTCAGATTCTCCTTTTCCCCTATTCTCATTGTATGTCTTCCCATCGTGATCAAATAAGCCTACAAGCCTCCAGTTCTTGTGCTCACAACTCCAGCACCGTGCTTCACAGTAATGCAACTAACCTCACAGCCCGATTCTGTTTCCTAGCAATGATTACCCGGTCTGGATTCATGGAAGCAATCGATTCAGCTCCGGCGGCCGCTCTCTCCAGCAGTGTCTCTCCAGGTACAATCTCTTTAACCAGTCCCCATGATACAGCACCCTCAGCCGTTAGCACTCTCCCGGACAACATCAAATCCAATGCACGATGGCTTCCTAGTAGACTGAACGCACGTGGAAGAAGTCCAGATATGGCAGCGGAGCCTTTCCGAGGATCCGGTAGTTGAAATGTCGTGTTAGGCGCCGCAAAGACAACGTCTCCGTTGAGTATTGCTTCCATTCCGGCGCCTGACGGTGTTAGCAGACATATGATCTATCCCCTTTCTGATCCCACCCATCCATACCACATTAAAACTTACCATGGACATGCCCATCACACGCCACCACGATCGGTTTCTTCCCATCACGATTCAACAGACCAAAACGACTTCCAGCTGGTCGTCCTCCTTTAGCGGTATCCTCCACATGGACCTGTCCAACACTTCTTCCATATGTTTCACCGGGACCAAACGCACTGTCACCGACACCGGTGAAAACGGCACAACCAAGATTAGGCTCATTGTCATACCATCTCCACAAAAGAGCCAACTCTTTGGAATTTTCCATCGTCAACCAAGCCAATCCATCCCGCCGGTTGATCGTCACTAGTAGAACACATCTCCTTGGAAACCCAACCACACACGCTGATTGATGAGGATATGGTGAGGAAATCCAATGAGGGATGGGGTTTCGAGTCACTCGTATCGACATGACCAAGTCAAGATTTACAACAAGATTCAAAGTGAAAATGTGCAGTAAAGAACTGACATTAGTTTGAACGTAAATCTTACCGTTCACCACGGATTGCAAGAAATTTCAAAACGTCGTTGAATTAGACTGGTATGCGGCTGGGCCATCAGTGAAGTGGCGTTGACCATTCCGTATCACTGGGCTACTGAATTCGACCTGTATCTACTTACGGATGGTGGATGGCGCTGCAGATGCAGGTGTGCATGTGCATGTGCAGGGTCATATGTACGATAAATAGGTAGGTAGCTAGCTACATACCTAACTCGTATGGTATGCGTATGTCCAGTCGGGATATGTTACTGATTCTGGATCAAGACAGGGGGGAAAAGGTCAACGAAAGAGATCTCAAGCCCTTGTGCTAAGAAGCCCCTATCGGCTCCTGTAGCCCTCGGCCCTCTACGCTAGAGTGCAAATACTCGACCATATACATTTACTACAGCGCAACACTAATCCCTCTATCACGACATCTGCCAGCGTGTTTGAACCAACAGAACATCCTCTAGAAGCATATATACCGTGTTGCACCCGCGCATGCTTCTTCAGCAATAACAACACCTCAGAATCCTAAATCCCTTGGACATGTTCGGGGCATTGAATCGGTTCATTGGCCGACTTGACGCGGATCCGGGCCCTAGACAAACCGAACATGGCGCCCAGGACTCGTCCTATGGATTCCAGGTCCTTCGAAACACGAACAAGGAACTTCCTCTGGAGCCCTGGTTTGATTTTATTATTGGGATTAATGGGCATTATATAGTAAGTGCACGGGATTTGATATACTCTGTGAGTCAAAATTGACTTGTTTGTTCAGGAATCACCCGATCCAGCCTTATTTGCGACCGAGATTCGAAACTGCGCAGGTGGATATGCTTCGTTGGATTTGTGGAGCGCGAAGGTATGAGTGAATACACGATTGGAGATTTTCATGGAAGGCAGACATGGCTGATGATGTGTGCTCTAGGGTCAACGAACACATTCTTTGACGATTCCCGTTCCTGCGAATCAAGATGGACTAGGCTTGAGTCTTCAGCTGGTGCCACTCAACGTTACCCAGAATATCTGGCATGTCCTTACGATACCTTCTCCCCTTTCGCCTGCACATCAGGCCGGTCTTCTTCCGCACAGTGACTATATCCTGGGTTCTCCCAGTGGAATTCTTAGGGGGGAGAGTGCCTTGGGTGAATTAGTTGAAGATCACTTAAATCGCAGCTTAGTGCTGTGGGTTTATAATTCAGAATTTGATGTGGTGAGAGAAGTGGAATTGATTCCGAGAAGAGGTTGGGGAGGTGAAGGAGCACTAGGAGCTGTGCTGGGATTTGGTGCTCTTCATCGACTCCCTGTCGGTCTCGGTGAAGAGGTACAAGGTCCAGGAGAGAATCTTTTCGATGCCGACAACAAGGGCTTCGAAACCGACCAGGGAGCCAGTACGAATGCTTTCTCCCCCGCGCCTACACAAAGTCTACAACCACCACCAATGTTGAACCCCAACATTGCTCCTCCACCGATGATAAATCCCAATGCGACACCTGCCACAGCTCCCCCACCCAAGGGCGGTCGTAAATCCCGACATCATGGTGGTTTGTCTCCCAACAGCGGATTTGATGATATTTTTGCCGAAGGAGCAAAGAAAAGTGCCGAGCAAGACCATCCTTCGTCCAGAAAGGGATCACCTTTACCTCCACCGCCCAAGACCGGTTCAGCAGGTGTGACACCGCAGTCGGGCACCCAGGAAAAGTCGGATCCACTTGCACAAGCAGGCGAGGATCTGGGGGAGCCTGGAGAAGCCGAAGAGAGTTGAGATTTGTGACTCCAAGCATGGTCGCTAACCAAAGCACCTATTCACAACACTTGTACCAATTCCTGCACGGTGTTGCCTTTGTCACCTCACGCGGTGGTGGCTGCCGTCTCATCCTGCCACCAGGACATGAATTCCAGAATTCGATCGGTACGCTCTTCAGCAAGAAGTCTACCGGTTTCGGTCTTCATCATATCTCGCAGCTTGATTAATTTGTCTTCAAAATGGGCAATGGAATCTTGCATGTCGGGTATCTTTTTGGCACCGCTAAAGGTGAAACATCGGCCAATGCCAATGGCGCCAATGGCATCTAAACGATCAGCGTCCTGAACGATGGCGAGTTCTGGAATGAGTTGGATGGCTCGAATGACCTTTTCTGGGTCTTTGACTTCTGATGAGTATGAGACGCCATGGACGAGCTGCAGCATCAGGTCTGCGTAGTCATCTGTGAGACCGACCTTGTTTAGAATCTGCTTGGTGGGTGATGTGGTGTCGTCGGCGCTTCGATACTTCTCATCCTCGACATCATGGAGCAAAGCTCCCAAGATGACGCTTAGAGGATTCAGCGCGGGCAGACACGATCGTTTCTGTAGCTCCTCCTCCTTGTCGAGAATGGTCAGAGAATTGGCCACAACGCGTTTGATGTGATTGAAGTCATGGGACGCGTCGAATTGAGGATTAGAGAAGAAATCTTCAGTGAAGTCATAGACTTTTTTAACAATGATGATCTCTTGCTCGGAGAGACTGGGATAATCAGCTGGATGGGCGAATTTGGGTGATGGAGCCATGGTGATTGGTCGGGATGACCCCAGCGACTGCTTGCTTATTATTCACAAGCAACTTTAATGCCCCCAAAACCAGTGTACTCCGTAGTCTGAGACAAGGGATAGAGATGGTTAAGAAAAGGGCTAGGGCGATGAGAATCTCAACGCGGTCGATAAAGAACAATCATGGCATGGTGCAGTGTTTTCCCTCTGACGATCGGATTCGGTTGTAGGTGTCTGAAATGGCTGACAGGACAACAATGAAAGTGAAGTTCTTTCAAGAAGAGCCAAGACGGATTTTCAATAGACGCAGTTACGAACGTTGTGCTTTGAGCTAAATCCGACAACTTAACCCCACCTTCCCACTGACACGAGACCAGACACTTCTCACAAATTATTCCTCAGCAAACAATTGGCCAGAACAAGAAAGATCTTTCAGCCGCATACTGACGGTCGAGCAATGTGCACCTCTTCACTAGGGAAAACACCTCTGACGAGAAGTTGACTCTTCAATCCACCATTAAATACCTTCCAATATGGAATTACACCGACAGCGTTCCAGGTCAATCACGCCAAATACATATACGTAGATTTGTGAGGAGGGTAGTGTGAATCTTGAATTAATGATCCGCAGAACAGATTGTACGGCAGATTGCATAAAGCAGATCCGCTGTTTCCTCAAAGGCTAGCAGACCACCGACATTCCAGCTCCTTGTCTCATCACCCGCGTAGTCGTATAATGCACACTTCAAACTCTTGCATCCGGTTCATATCCGAGTGCTGGGTGCTGAGCATTCGATACAAGGGTACAAGATCATTGCCACGGTTGGAGCTGTGAAAGCGTGCCGGTATCCGTTTGGCGTCATGAATTTGCGAATCAAAAACGCCTTTGCCGAGGTCATTCTCCAACACAAGGCCATCTTATCCGGCTACCAAGAACCAAGACCACAGGTAAGACTTCTAATAAGACCTTATATTCATGTGGTGTCTATATCGTCAAACAAACGTTACAGGTCAATGTGGATATTGGCTCACCAGATTCTCTTTCCATCAATCCGCATTACTCAATGCGTCCATGAAGACCCCTACGTATTCAACGGAGAATGGCTAAACGCGAGCATGAGACGCTCGCTGAAGATGGGCAAGCAGGCCATACGGCGCCCAGCCTCCCTTCCGTGGTAGAGATGCACGACAGAGCAGACGAGGTCTCTATTGCATCAGGCCCTGTGTTGCATGACTCAATCCCTTTGATGGATCTGAGTCGGGGCGTGATAGGCTGGGAGTCGAAAGAAGATGTGCTCAATCCTCGGAACTGGAGAACGAAGGACCGCAGAACCCTGATGCTTCTGATGTCAATCATCGCCACCATCAGTCCTATGGCCTCGTCTCTTTGTGCTCCAGGTATCGCTGACACCATGGCCGACCTCCATGAGCCATCTCGAGTTTTGGGCTCCCTGATGATCACTATCTTCGTTCTCGGGTATGCCGTCGGTCCCCTGTTCCTTGCCCCTCTTTCCGAGATGTATGGGCGTTATCCTGTGGTTGTGATATCAACATGGTTTTTCATCGTCTGGCTACTGGGATGCAGCTTCGCTCCTAGCATGTCCAGTTTGATTGTGATGCGATTTCTGGCCGGCGTTGGTGGGTCTGGCATTATCACCATTTCCCCAGCCATCGTGGGAGACCTATACCCGGTAGAACGCCGAGCTTTTGGTTCTGCCATCATCGTTGGCAGCCAGTCCACAGGGCCCATTAGTGAGTCTTTCTCTCGTGAACACTATCGAAACTTTTCTCACGTGTGTTTATAGTTGGTCCTATTGCTGGAGGATTCATCACCCAGTACCTAGGATGGCGTTGGGTAGGTTCTTGACTCTTTCATAACGGGTTCTCAATCTCTGACCATCGAGTAGTCGTATTGGATTCTTGTTATTTGTGCCTCCACCATCACCGGTCTCACGACCGTGTTCATGAAAGAGTCCAACGCTGTCGTGCTCCTCGAAAAGAAGGTGAAGAGGCTGCGGAAAGAGCTAGGACGAAACGACCTGTATTCCCCGCTGCAACCTCAGATGTCGCCCTTGGAGCTTGTACAGAGAAGTCTCTTGAGGCCACTGAAGGTAAGTGTTTTGCTCTGGAGTCGAAGCATCCAGCAACTAAATTTGTCATAGCTGCTTGCCAAATCCCCAATTGTGCTATTGATGAGTGTGTTTGTCGCAACAGCCTATGCATTATTATGTGAGTCTGACCGTTGATGTTGGTAACGTCGCTAACTCATATGGCAGACCTCATGTTTACAACCATCCCAACCGTCTTCGAGGAGACGTATGGATGGTCAGCGCAGCTCGCAGGCTTGGCGTATCTTGGATGTAAGTATTGTGGGCGTACAGTGGTTGAACTCGCTAATCATTTCCAGTGGGAATTGGGACATTCGTGAGTGATGTTTGAAAATTGACGAGATGCCCAATGGGACTAACCTGGGATTCGCTCAGATTGCTCTAATAGTCTTGATGAAGTTCAACGACGCACAAGTGGTGAAACTCATGAGACAGAATAACATGATTTTCGAACGTGAGAGAGCAGCTGACACGTATACCGAGGCTTTGATTGCGAGACTGACCTTTGTTAGCTGAAATGAGACTTTCAACAACAACGTATTGCGGATTCTTGATGACGATATCCTTGATTTGGTACGGCTGGGTAACTGACAAGAGGTCGCACTGGTAAGTGGTTAGAAGTGGGATTTCCACACTCGAATATAGACTGACAACGGCGACAGGAGCATTGCGGTTGCTAGTCATATTCCATACGGGTTTGGTATGCTTGGGGTCTTCCTTCCCTGTCAGACATACATGGTGGATGCGTTCCCACTACATGCAGCATCTGCTGTTGCAGCGCCAACTGTCATGCGGTCATTATTTGCAGCCTTTTTTCCACTGGTGGGACCACCAATGTTCCAGAGTCTGGGCTTAGGCTGGGGAAACACCTTGCTAGGATTCATTGCATTGGCACTGACGCCCATTCCGTTGGTGTTTTATCGGTTGGGAGGCCCATTTCCTGCCACACAAGTAGTGGTCACTAACAAGTAATAGGTATGGCGGTATGATTAGGAAAAGATTCCCCGTGCAACTCTGAATTGGAGGCGAAATTGGGATGCCATATGGCCTTGCTGCCTTTGAGCCCTTTGCCTCCAGGATATGAGGCTACTGGCTCGCTAGAGAGGTACCTCACATGTACATGAAGATGGTCACGTGGTCGAGCTGGCCGTTGTAGATGTGCCCTCGCTTATATAAGCTAAACGCCAAACGGAGATCTAAGGGTATCTGGTCCGGCAATCCGATGAGGCTGTCAGAAGCAAAGGAGGAACCGGTATAACCATATCATTGTATTCAGAGCGCCAGCAAATGACACCAACAGTGAAATATCGGTGTAGAGGGCAAGACGGGTCACCGTGTCGAGGACCAATCAGAGGATGTGGGACGGGACGGAAGAGAAGTGAAGATATTGCAAGTGACCAACCACAAGACATCCCAAGGAACCGGACCATAGGCGTCAGGCTGCAAACGCCTACGATTGACTTTTGGGCGGGACAATACCCGCATGTGGGAGATTGACCAGGCGTGCCTGGCCAGAGTGAGAGACAAGGAGATACAAGTTTCGGGTGCCGATGTTCTTAGGTCAAGATGAGGTATCATGGTGAGATGTGCCGTTTACAACAAAAGCAGCCAACCACGCCACCTACGGCAAAGTTGGTGCAATCGCATGAGTTTGGTTTGTTTCGCGAGTGGCTCCGGGGGAGGCCAGTGAGGGGCACACTGGACCCCGAGGGACTCTCGGGCCCGAGGCCCTCCTATCTACCAGAATGGGATTCTTAAGGAAGGGATGAAAATGCCATGCTGGCAACAGTGGGATTTGGGCCCCTCGGCCGCCCGTGGCGCACGGAAGATGGCTCCGGGGAATGTGTCCCTATCACACACCCCGTTCCATTAAGCGAAATTTCGCCATTCCGTCACCCTGCAGGCCACCTACGACATAGCATATGCATCAGCATCAATGTTGGTCCAAGAATAACATTGCAGAAAAAATATCTGAAGTCCAGAGAAAGATACAAGAGTAGTCGAACGCTTTAGTTTATGCTTTTGTCTGGGGGTCTACTGGTAGCACTAACCAGCGCCGTCACTCCTGTGTGTGCGTGAGTGCGCAACAGGGTTTGCCGCTAAATTGGCAGGCCATGCCTTCCTTGATTTAAACCCGCCAAATTCTGTCGGATCGGTCGATCAATCTGGGTTGTGGCAAGGGCAAACTGTAACTGTGTTTGCCACTGTCGCTGCCATTGCCACCTATTTCACAGCCCGTGACCTTGTAATTACGCGTCTACAGCATATATTCACGCGCCGAGGGAAAGAGCAAAGGATATGAAGTACTTCAAAGTGCAGTTGCACGAGAACTTGTAGCCTAAGTAGAAACCTCCGCCCTTCTGCCCCTCCACCCAATGTTGGTCCGCACTTCCCCCACCAGGACGTGGAATCAATGACGGGCTCATTTGCAATCTTTGAGTCTTGTATGGCTATCGAGTTGAACGAAGGTCTGCCTGGGGGACATTGTCCCTCTTCTTAATGAACTTGTACACTTGTGCATCACCATATGCATTCAATGTATTCAACTTCTCAAGGAGCTCAAAAGAATCCAAAGTGCGTGTGAAAGAATCCCACCCCCCACCACCCAGGTAGTTTAAGTACTACTGTCGCTCCCTCGGCCTTTAGAGGTCCTTGGCCAGGCATGCCAGGTGTCAGAAAGGGTCGATCATATGGACAATGTTGGAACAAGATGCGCAGTGCATCCAACTAAAGCCCCGTAGCCCCTCGGCCCCCCCCCAAACTAGCCATTCAACTACCTTAATTCCCATGCTGCTTCTATCCTGAGAAGCGTATACATTAGAATTGCCCATCCTGTAAAGTGGAAAGATCCAAGGCGCTCAAGCCGCATGCCTAACGTACCTAAGGTACCTAGTGGTCAACTCCCGGCCCCGCCTTTACCTCGCAATCCATCTTGCATTTCATCTCCACCTCCGTCCACTCCTGCTACTCTCTTCTGTGTGCCCGTACCCAAGTTACTCCCACCACTTACTTTGTAACAATCCATCATTCTCGCTGTCGCCAACTTCTGCTCGCCCTTCTGTCGTTGGCTCTGACCTCAATCCCCTCCTGCGGCTCCTCCACAAGTATCACACAAACGGCAGTGTCTACTTCAATATCATTCTTTACCCCATCCAAGTCCAAATGTTACCTATCCTAAACAGTTCACTCTCAATTCCCACCTCGAACGCGATCCCTCGCACGACTTTCATACTCCCAGACCGAAATCACGGCCCTTGTCCTAACTAGACCCATTGATGTACATACCTCACCTCGCGAGTCCCCGTTCTCTGAGGGCTAACTCTCCAGCAGACTGTCTTCACTACTCCTCCGCATACCTTACAGCGAGCGCATGCAACCTGCAAACATCACTCATACCCACCAGGCCATCCTGTCCTCCTTTTCGGAACCATTTATTTTTGTTGCAACAGTCGCCACTCTCACTACTTAGACACTGCCCCCTGCAGTACAGACTTCGGCCCATTTTGCTCCATCGACAACAAGAACGGTGCTCTTGCGGGTGGCCATGCCCCCCCGGTAGGCAGTCCGTGTCTCTCCAACCCAAATGACACGCCCAGCTTATACACAATAATTGAGGCTGTTCGTTGCCTGAAACATCCAGCCTCCCACACGGACGAGTCGCAGACGAGGTCAACATGTCTAGGCCCTCTTCGCGTTGTGCCTCCCAAGAACCTACAGGCGTGCCTGCTCCTTCGACGCCACCACAACCCGAGTCTCAAGAGCCTGCAAGCATTGATCGTTCAACACCACAACCTCCTCAGCAGCCTCCAAGATGGATCTCCATAGCTCCTGCTCAGTCTCCGGTCAGCATCTTCACAGGAAGGCCCCGCGAGCCCCAATCTCCAATTCAACCCCCCCGACCGGGGCAATCTGATGACGGCCCTTCTCTCGCAAGTCCAGGTTCTATCAATCGTGTCTTTCCTATCCGTTCTGCCGTTTCTATCGATCCAGCCGCCACTCCTATGCCACAAAGCGAGACTTCGGCTGGCTTCCCAGGGTTCGCGTCCGCCTCCAACAGACGGTCTAGTAGAGCAAGTCTCCCAGGTCGCCTCCCTCGCTTCGACTCTGTCCGGAAGGCCGACTCTGATGTCTCTGACACCGATACCAGCGACACCATTCGCTCCATTCATACCTCTTCTGCCACAGAGGTACAGCCCCCACATCTTTTGATGCCTCGCCCACCCTACAAGGACGACGATTCTGTCAGGTCAGACGATGGCTCCAGTGTCTCTGGAGGCGTCCCTCTCTCCAACTCCAAAGACGTTCAGCTTGTAACCGCTCGCTTTAAACATGTCGTCACCGATTCAGGTCACGCTGTTATTACAGGCCGCGACGGTGAGACCCTTCAACGCTGTGAGGACGAACCCATTCACATTCCTGGCGCTGTTCAAAGTTTCGGCTTGCTCATTGCTTTACGTGATGAGGATGATAAATTGGTTGTCCGTGTCGCCAGCGAGAATTCCGCCCGCATCATTGGCTACGCTCCAGATCAGCTCTTCAAGCTCAGCAGTTTCTTGGATATATTCACCGAAGAACAGGCCGACAATCTGATGGACCACTACGACTTTATCCGAGATCAAGAGCCTCGTGATGTCGAAGCCAACGGACCTGAAGTCTTCATGGTCTCCTTGAGGCCTCCAGGGTCCCGAGTCCGGAAATTATGGTGCGCCATGCATCTGACAGAAAGCGATCCCTCCTTAATCATATGTGAATTTGAGATTGAAGACGACAAGTTGAATCCCTTGATCTCTCAACTCGACGCCATGACGCCAGAAATCCCCGAGGATACTTTGAGCAGCAATCCAACCACCGAAGAGTTCATTGACAGCACTGTCAACATCAGTAAACCTTTGCGAGTCCTTCGAAGTGCCCGCAAGAAACGAACCGAGGCCGCTGCCATGGAAGTCTTCAACATCATGTCTCAAGTTCAAGACCAGCTTTCGAACGCTCCAACCTTGTCCGTCTTCTTGAAAGTTCTCATTGGAATCGTCAAGGAGTTGACTGGTTTCCATCGAGTCATGATCTACCAATTTGATCAAGCCTGGAATGGCCGCGTTGTCGCTGAATTGGTCGATCCTCGAGCAACCACAGACTTGTACAAGGGCTTGAACTTTCCTGCCTCTGATATCCCCAAGCAAGCAAGAGACCTGTACAAGGTCAACAAGGTGCGCCTTTTGTACGACCGAGATCTCGAAACCTCTCGTTTGGTCTGTCGAACCATGGAAGACCTGGAAAAGCCACTCGATATGACACACGCAAACCTCCGGGCAATGTCGCCCATCCATCTGAAATACCTCGCAAACATGGCTGTCCGGTCATCCATGTCAATCTCCATCAACGGCTTTGGTGAACTCTGGGGCTTGATCGCCTGCCATTCGTACGGTCCTCGAGGCATGCGTGTCTCATTTCCCATTCGCAAAATGTGTCGACTAGTGGGAGACACGGCCTCCAGAAATATCGAGAGGCTATCATATGCTTCTCGCCTCCAAGCTCGAAAGCTGATAAATACCACCTCATCAACGACAAACCCTTCAGGCTACATAGTTGCTTCCTCGGAGGATCTGCTCAAGCTTTTCAGTGCCGAAGTTGGAGCACTATCTATTCGCGATGAAACCAAGATCATGGGAAATCCACGTGGCCATCTGCCCGAGATTCTAGCCATGGTAGAGTATCTCCGAATGCGAAAGATGTCGTCGGTGTTTTCATCACAAGATATTATGACCGACTTTCCCGACCTGCGATACGAACCCGGTTTGAAATACGTTGCCGGTGTTCTTTTCGTCCCCCTTTCTACAGGCGGTAATGACTTCATCGCCTTTTTCCGCTCTGGGGTTCTGCAAGAGGTCAAATGGGCTGGTAATCCCTACGACAAATTCATCAAAGAGGGAACCGAAGGCTACCTTGAACCTCGAACGAGTTTCAAAGCCTGGACGGAAACCATTGTTGGACGCTGTCGAGATTGGACCGATGATGAAATCGAGACAGCCGCCGTTCTATGTCTGGTCTATGGCAAATTCATTGATGTATGGCGACAGAAAGAAGCAGCACTGCAAACAAGTCAGTTGACTCGTTTGCTCTTGGCCAACTCTGCTCACGAAGTGCGGACTCCGTTGAATGCTATCATCAATTATCTGGAAATCGCCATGGAAGGCGCTTTGGACCACGAAACAAGAGAAAACCTAGCCAAATCACACTCAGCCTCAAAATCCCTGGTGTACGTGATCAACGATCTCCTCGATCTTACCAAGGCAGAAGGTGGCCAAACTCTGGTCAAATCGGAATCCTTCGACCTCCTCAATACCCTCAAGGAAGCCACAGACCCATTCTATGGAGACGCCAAAAGAAAGAATCTCGCTTATCATGTCAAAATTGTGCCGGATCTGCCACAACATGTTATCGGAGACCATCGAAGGGTGAGGCAAGTCGTTTCAAATCTAATAGCAAACGCCTTCCAGCACACGCTGGTAGGAAACGTGAGTGTAGGAGCCAAGATTTCGGATTCCCCCCAAATCCAGGGGAAAACCGAGATCGAGGTAGCAGTGGAAGATACCGGCAAAGGCATGCCACAAGCAAAGATCGACGCTCTATTCCGAGAGCTCGAGGAAGTTTCGTACGAGGAGGATCTTCCCCAGCAGAAAGCGGTAACCTCAGATGCTTTCTCCTCTGAGAAAGGAGATGAGCCGTCCCACCTGGGTCTAGGCCTCGCTGTGGTTGCTCGAACAATTCGCCACATGAATGGCCAGTTACGTGTGAAGACCGAGGAGGGCAAAGGCTCGACATTCACCATGTTGTTGACGTTTGACGTATCAGGTTTAGATCAAAATCAACTCACCAAGGAGCCTACCCCCCCTGGCGGAAGGAGTCAGGCAATCTCGCCGACTTCGTCAGGAGAAGTCACGCTGATTTACCGCACGACAAAAGGACGACCTGGACAGGCGCCGTCTATCGCTCGAAGAGCAAGCGCAGAAAGCTCACATAGCCTGGCCAGTCTCAAAAGTGGCAAGAGCACTACGAGCATACTCAGTGAGACCAGTCAGAAAAGCGATGCGGATAGGTTGATTGATGCAATCCAAGAACCTCTTCGATTTTCAGAAGAAGGATCCGGCGGCGTGTCTGACAGTACGACGATCAAGAAACGTACATCGGTGGGCTCGGGCTCGAACACGCCCACGTTGCCATTGAGTCGCGACATGTCTTCTCCGTCGGCCACCAAGACGCCTGTTACTTCGCCTCGCAGCCGGCAGTCGGCCTTCCAAAAGCTTCCAGGTCAGACTCCAATTAGCGACTCTGGAATGCCTCTGCGACCTGTTCGAGTCCCAGATCAGTCTCTAGAGCAAAACGAAAGTGGAATGAAGGGTCCAAGAGTGGTCTTTTCTCCCGAGCCTGACCTGATAAGTCCTTTATCGGACATGGCCGACAAGGATCGATTTATTTCAGGTGACAAATTCTCAGTACTTGTTGCCGAGGACGATCCCATCAACAGTCGAATCATGAAGAAACGACTAGAAAAATTGGGCCATGCGGCTTACATGACAGTCAACGGAGAAGAGTGCTCCTCTGCACATGGTGAAGAACCGACCAAATTTGACGCCATCTTGATGGATTTGCAAATGCCGATTGTAGATGGGTTCAGCTCGACCAAGATGATAAGATCAACGGAAAAGGTGCGGCCGTCATCATGCCTCTCGAGCCGGGCAAAGCTCAACGGACGAATTCCCATATTTGCCGTGTCAGCTTCTCTCGTGGAGGCGGATCGTCAGAAGTATATCGACACTGGGTTCGATGGGTGGATTTTGAAGCCGGTGGATTTCAAACGGGTGGATCTCTTGCTGCGGGGCATTGTAGATGAAGACTGCCGCCGATCGTGCGTGTACAAAAATGGTACCTGGGAGTCTGGGGGTTGGTTTTCTGCCAATTCAAGTGGAGATAAGATGCAGCAGCCAGACACGACCCCGAGCCAACAGAAACCGACGTTAGAAGGAGAGAAGCTTCACGAGCCAGGTACACAAGCTGCACCTGATGTCACTGCGACCCTGGAGGATCGGCAGACGAATGTGTGAAGGGTGGGCCACGAGAAATCCACCGACCAATATGTTTGGCTAGGAGGGCACCTGGCTAGGAGGGCACCTACGGGTTTGATACACGTCTCAACGCATGGATGGGTGTTGATTGCGTATAATTCGCGAGCAGGTTGGGGGTCGTTTGGATCTCGCATGGTTCGGGTTATGGACGACGGCAGTGTCGTTGGGACGAGGTAGCCCTAATATGAGTTCTGGCGACGGCCACCTATATTGACGGATTCTCTGTAACAGTACATACATGGATAATGACATTGATGTCCCCTAGAGAGTGTTGGGTTAATGTTGGATAAGTGGGGTTTTGACGGGCGTGGGAAATACTTTTTATTCATAGTGAAGGTGATGATAATGACGAGGCTGGCATGTTGAAGGAGGGAGTTAGGAGGGACGAGGGGAGTACAGTAAGTATGCTGGCATACTGTCCATATCCTCCGTAAGTAGACCCGTGACATCAGCGGCAAGATCGGGGCACTAAGTAGAGCACTAAGTAGAGCACTAAGTAGAGCACTAAGGAGGGTCGTGGGTCCTACGTCCTACTCCCTACGTCCCAGATCATAGATTCGTGAGACTGTAGACTTACCTGTGTCGTGTGAATGAACGAGTTAGCCGTCGGAGTGTAAAGTCGACCATGTCGAGTTACTAAAGGCAGTTCTATTTCGACATGCTTTCGCTGTACTGATCAGGAATAGGTAGTGGTTGTGTTCTCGTCTCGAGCAGTGTGGGTATAATAATGTTAATAATATTAATAATATCATGAGACATCTACCCTTGACCTTGACGACGTGAAGCGGCAATCTAAATTTGTGGAGCCGAGGTGATACTATCTCCACATGTCACCAGATTCATTCATGTAGCACCATGTCCAAGCATGAGTGAACAAAATACTGTATGGTATATATCATTAATTCATAATATTCGAGGGCTCATATCCATGACTCGTGACCTGGACTATTGACACACTGGGTCTCGACCTCATGACTCACTCCGACAATTACACATGTCATCTTCGCCGTGTCCGATGCGAGACTGTGAGCTGTCTCAAGGGGCTAACATCCTGCCACAAATTGAGACCATCGATATCGTTGGTATCTCCATACCACAAGAACGTGGTCATGATATCTCTGAGGCTGAACCAATCCATGATGCCCATGGCCTTGGTCATATGAGCTAGGGCTTTGAGGTACCATTGACGTTCGTTGGAGCCGATCGAAGCAATGGCGCCCATGACCATGACCCAGAGAATAAAAGAGGGCACTTGAGGGTACAATTCTCGTGACTGTGGGTGAGACAACCACAAACGAATGTCGGCAGCAAGTCGATGGAACGGTGCAGCAATAGCGGGGATTGGATAAGTCACCAGCAAGCAGAAAACCACGGTTGCCATCCAGCAAAGGCGATGGAGTGGGTTGAGCATCTCGTGGCCTGATTCGCTCGGAGCTAAAAGCATGAGACCATGCTGAACAAAACTTCTTTGCTGGGACATTTGAAGGGTTGAATATGACTCGGGACGACCGTGGACGTAGTCATCGATGGAAAGGGTGTGTTGAGTAATCCAGCGAAGGACGACAAAGAGCTTGGAACCGCTTACGTCGATATCAAAGGTTGGTAAAGACAGGAAGGCTTGACCTAGTTCTCGGAGAGGATGATCAAGTGGTGTGGTTCGCAAGGGTGGTATCAAAGTGGGGTTTATCGAGACAAATGGATGGAGAGGTTTGGTTAAGGCTTGAGTTGCCATGATGACGTCGCCGCTTAAGATTCATCAGTAAAGGTTGGATTCAAATAGAGTCGGCCGTTAGACCTACTAGGAAATTGCTTGAGCCAGTCCAGGGAACTGAATCTTGTGAATCCCCCCACGGAGGTTGATCATCTTGGCCAATCCTTGGAGATGGACATGAACAGCCTCCAATTGACCACCATAAACATTCAACATGGCCAGACCCTCTAATGGACCCTGATTAGGACCCTTGACAGCAGATACCGAGCGGAGGACACCATGGTAGGCGAGGGAGTAGACAGAGAGGATATTTTCATCGGAAAAACTGGCGGGACCATTTTCGAGAAATCTCCTATGTACTCCGCGAATGGTTTCGGTGTAACATTGGACTGATTCCGAAGTTTCTGCAGTATAACCAAGAAAGGCTTTGTTTCTGGTGAGTTGACAGAACAGGGAACCGTGGAAGAGAGCCCAATCGTTGAAGGTAGCCTTCATCCAGATCTTGGTCAAATCGCTCATGATGGCACCAGGGCGGGGAGGAAAGATGAATGTCATGAAGCCCATCACTGCGCAGGGTGAGCGATTGTCCTTGTGAAGCGAAAGGAGAGTGTGTAGATGGTCAAGAGTGTGATGAACTTACATTGATCGAGCACGGGACTCACGAATTCCTTGGGAAGGTCGGAAGGATACATTTCGAAGGGGTCGTGATGTCCTGAAATATGAGAGCTGGGTAGGTAGGGAGTGGTTTCGGAGGTGCGACGATTAGGGTCAAGCAAGAGAAGTGCATGATCGGACGAGTTGAGGAAGTCATCTTGTTGTTCTTCGTCGCTCGTGATATGAGTCAAGGAACTCAGATTTGAAAGCCATCCAGAGCTCTGAGTGTTACTTGTAGATGGACGTTTGGTCGAGGGAGATGGTAGTTTAGCTTTGACATGACCATGACCGAGTTTCCCTGGGACATCGACGTCGGAATGAGGGTGAGTAGACTTCCTGGCGCGTCGCCAATGATAGTTTGAGGCATTGGACCTCACCAAAACCTTGTTCTGAAATCGTTGGGCATCGGTCGAAGGATTCGCATCAACGAATTGAAAAACTTTGCTGGGTTTCGAATTTGTCGATGTTGTCGGTCTTGCCGTGGTTGGGGGATATGATTCATGGGAAGGCGCGAGTCCAGCAACGGCGGAGGAAGGTGCAGTTGGAGAAGAGGAAGAAGATGATGATGATGTCGCGGCAGGCACGGTAGTCGCGGTAGTCGCGGGTATGTTGGTGAGGTTGAGTTCGCTACCGTGGCCGTGTCCGCCTACTCGACCCTGAGTGCGCGAGTGATGAGAATGAGAGCGAGAGCGATTGCTGGCGGCGTCTGCTTGACTTTTCCGGTTACAAGGTTTCGTCCGTTTCGATCCTCGAATTATGTTACTGCTCTTGTCGTCCTGTTCATCACCGTCGCCTTCTGACGGGTATATTATGGCTTTCGCCGGGGACATGTCCTACAATATGTCGACATGTCACAGGATAAGAGAAATAGATTGTAGCTTCAAGAGTGTGTGGTTGTTCAAGTTTGGAAGATGAACGAGGTGAAAGCCCCCACAAGAAGCAACAGATCGCCGAGGCTGAGTGATCCAGGTCCACAGGTACAGGTCCGGGTGGCCAGGTCCAGGTTTGACGGTAAGTAATAACGGTTATTTATTGGTGGCCAACAAGAGTCATTCGGGCGATAGGTTGTAGGCATGCCTAGCATGGCTGAGGGGCCTCGGGCCCAGACGCTACCGCCGTCCCAGCAGCTTGGTGATTGATTCGCTCTGATTCTGCGGGACAAGGGTGCCGCGTCCGCTAAGACCCAGCCGTTTGTTGGGAGCGGGCTGGCCATCTTCGAAAAGCACGCACATGCCGACTGTCAACTGCCAGGACTGTCTACAGGTATGCGCAAATACGGAGTACTACCGATGGTACATAGGCTAGACACAATTCCCAGGAACTGTTGTAGCGGTATACTCAAAAAATGGCAAATGATGTAATAATGAATTAATGTCGACGCGTCATGGAATGGTCTTGGGCATGATTGTTGATGGTTAATGGCGGCTTGAGTGCCAGATCGTTTGTTGGCTTTCTCCCGGCGGTAACAAAAGTCCTCCAGGCTTGCAGATCGGGGGCCCGAGGCTACTGGGGGGGGACCATCGACCGCCAAGGACCAAAGTCTCAACCTCAAGTCAGCCAGCCTCACTTGAACCCACTTGGGGCGATAGAAAGAGAGAGGGGTTATGTCAATGTCCATACTACTACACACTATTGACCATGTAGCGTGTGCTCGTACCACGGGAACAACCTGCATTATTGCCACATTTTGACCAACGAGGCCATTCCAAGACACGGAATCTGGGGTACATGCTGTGCCATTTCAGCAACCCATGATGCCTGAAGCGTCTCATAATTACAACTACTTCCTTGGATGGCGCGGCTGGTCAAACCATCAAAGCCATCCTGTCCGGTCACTTACAGATTAGTTGTGTCTTTGATGTCTTTGATGTCTTCAATGGCCATTGGCACTAGAGGGGCCGACTCACTGCTTTACGTACTGGGAGTATTTAGTACGAGTCGACACACACACACCACCCTGGCGATATGTTCGACCTGTTCCATCAGAAGCAGGTATAGGCCTGGCCATGTGTTACTCCTGAACCACGCCACGCTCGTCAGAGAATGCGAGTTTCAAGGAGTTCGACTTTATCAACCCGTGCTTTTTGTTCCCGAGATCATCTTCTCCCACATACCCACGTGTGATGCATCCATCGCCAGACTGAACTGAACTCTGGTCTGGCTTTCTGTCTGTCAAGCTGTCCCTCAATGACCACAGCATCATCCAACCACCTGGTCACAAGGCTGTTACAGTTTGTGAAATGCTCCCTGTGCTCCTCCAATGCCCTGTTGCAAAAAAATCAAAAACGCCCCAAAGCTATGCTAAAGACGTACAATCACCATGCTATCGGTGACCCCCTGACCATATGCTATCGCACGCCAGTCATTCAAAGTCCAAGTTCAATCCAAAGATTCGTTTCGTTCTTTGTGCGCATTAGATTTCATCCTTCTCGCCACACGACAAGACACCAGTCAGTCCATTATGGGTAGGAATGATCAGCTCAGAGTCGGTGATACCTGGTATCGGGACCTTTGGAAAAAGGCTTCTGGATTCGTGCGCGGTTTATGCAAGTCGGTGCTGACGACAAAAGCTCCTCAATCCATGTCCTCGTCGTCATCAAAGTTCTCGTCGTCTTCGTCGTCCAAACTCTCCATTGCATCCTTGATGAATTGCGCCGCCTGTCCATCCGAGTTAGTACGATGCCTTCATAACAATTTCACAAAGACCAGCTTACCTTAGGATCCAGGTTCAACGCCATGGTGAAAGCTCGGACTGCATCCGCTTTCATCCGTAAGGTTTTGTAAAGTCGACCCATGAGGAACCACACATTGGGCTCATCAGGCACCACATCTCTCAGGATCAGCAATTCGGCAAGAGCCTCCCTCGGCCGACCCAAACTCATTAAGCATCTCGCCTTCTTGAATCGACTCAGCGCACTGCTTGGTGCCAATGCACAGGCCCGTGTATACATCTGGAGAGCTTGCTCAGGGTCTTTGAGTCTCTCTAGCACCATGCCGATACAGCAGATCAACACCGCATTGCCTGGGTTGATCTTGGCCGCCGTTCGGTAGTGTTTCTCTGCAATGGCAAATTTGCCCATCTTCTCATACACCTTACCCAGACCATACCACGCATTGTAGTGACGGCCGTCCACCGCGATCGCAGATCGGTAAGCGTCAAGGGCCTTTTCAAACTCCTCATTTTGAACATGTTCGTGGCCCTCTAAAGTGAAGCCGTACGCAAAGCGCGAGTCCAACTGCGTTGATCGACGGAAGCACTTGATGGCTTGCTCGTGTTCGTTCTGTCTGGAAAACGAGTTTCCGACTGCACACCAAGCCTCAGGAGACAATCGATCCACTTCTACCAGCTCATGCGCAAGATAGGCCAGCTCAATCTCCGACTTGAGGTGCCACAGCACCGTCGAGTAGATTTCCATATCTTCCAGCCGTGTCGGAGCCATCTGTCGAACTCGAATGAAGAACTTCTCCGCCTCAGCGTGTGACGCTTGCTCGTAGTATGCCTTGCCAATTTGTGTCAAAATGTATGGCGTCTCACGTTGGCCCGAGGGTAGAGAATTGTAAATTTGAATCGCCGTTTGACAGTCATACGTCGACAAGGACAGATGAGCAGACGCCATCCGACCGAATAGATCCAGAAGCGCACTGATAGCGTCGAGATCTTTGTTGATGGCCATTTCAGCGCGCACTTTCGCATTTGGCAACGGTGGCACTGGTGGAATGATGCTGCTCCCCTTTTGATCCCTAACTTCTGTTTCCCCAGTCTCCGTCGATCCAGTGCGCGTGCGGTTTCCGCTGACAACCCGGCCTACCGTCGATGTGGTTGCCACTCTTCCTCTGACAGCTGGTGCCTTTGCTTTTTTGATCTCACGCCCTTCGCGCAACCCTAGCGTATTGGCTAATGATGAAATTTTGCTGCCCGCTGTACTCGTCGCACTGGCTGGTCGAGATGTGTTGAGCAGTCTATTGCTTCTCCTCGTTCCCTCCGCCATGCTAGACGATGATTGTGTCGAGGATGCTGGTTGCCCAGAAACAGTTCTCTTAGATGGGGCAGTTGGAGCTGGAGGATCCTGCAAGACGGTTGGGTCATCTGACTTTCCCTTGACTTTTGCTCTACCCGTGGCACTCTTCCAGCGAGGAGGAGGGTCGACGTGTGCTTCCATCGTCGCCTTTGGTTTGCGTGATGGTGCTGGAGGGACATCGTGAAACTGGTTGACCGAGGTCCCTTGCAGAACGCCATCGTCAAACTCAGCGTCAATGGAAGGTGTCCTAGAGATCTCTTCATCGAGAATGCTGCTGGCGGTGTTGATACTAACTTTACTGCCATTCTGCTTCTCCCACAAGACCGAGTTGTTATGAAGAATGTTGCCGTTAGGTTTCTGAGATGAAACGAATGGGTCTGGAACCGCTGGCTGACTCGTTGACAGAGGTTTGTCGTAGACATGTGCGGAGTTGATGTCAGATTTTGAGAATTGTTGGTAGGCCAACTCGGTCATAGTCTTGATGTCGGTGGTCATTTTGTAAACATTGGGGATGCTGACTTTGGCGCCGGCGTCGCAGAGCCCAATCAGAGCATCCCACATGAAAGGATTCATCTTCAGCGCGGTAGCCCAACACTCGACGGCCTGATCCATGTTCTTATGGCCCTTGTACAATTTTGCTTTGAGTGACCAGACCGCAGGAGCGTCGGGGAGATGTTGACGACGAATCTCGTTGTGTTGAGCCCAGGTGTTGCGACCCTGCCACATGGGTTTGCTCTTCTCCAAAGCGGTGATGCCGTCGACATATCGGCCGAGCTCGAGAGAAGCTTGTGCAAAGACATAGCTACAGCCCAAGTGAGTGCCTCTGATGCCAGAAGACCGACTGGTGTCCCAGGCGGCTTTGACATACCCTGATTGAAGTTGGCAATAGGCGAGGAGGTATGAGGCTTCGGCAGAGCGAGGTTCATACGCGACAAGGCGACTGGCCAAAAACAATGCATTTTTCAACAAGTTGTTGTCGAGATGGTAGTAGATGAGTTGCCGCAGCTGAGCCGCGACGTGGGCGTTGGTCGGAGCCATTGCTGCATGAGAGCTAGTGGAAAGGACGGAGAAGAGGAGGAAAAGGGTGAGCGTGCTCTAGGAGAGGAAGAGGAGACACCGAGAGGGTGGAGGCGAAAGAAAGATTGTGGATGTTTGTGACCATGAGCTGCGTGGCGTCAGCGGTCCAAATAGCGGATGCAGAGCAAAACAAAAGAAGCCGCGATGTGCAATCTGTGGTAAGGACAGAATCAATACATTAAAATTAAGATTGGAGGTGAGAGCAGATGGGTCCAGAGTGGGAGGAGGGGACTGGTATCAATAGAAGATAAGTTGACGTCGACGACGACGAGACCAAAGACTTGCAAGCGAGAATAAGATGGCGACAACGAGGGCGGTTGCGGTTGCGGTTGCGGTTGCGACTCGTGATTTGGACGAATGGATGTTTTGATTGACCAATTCTGACTAATGAGAGCTTACTATAAGACTGCTGGGGACAATCAATAGGTGCGGACCATTGCCTTTAAGTAGGCTCTAGAGCTCCAATCAATTATGGTTAACTTTAATATTGGGCCTTGGGGACTGTTTGCGGGCGTCTTAGGGCCTAATTAGAAGACCTAGGAAGCCCCCTCGGCCACATCTGCGTCCATTATTGTGCCTAACGACACTCATAACAGCACAACCAGAACCAGAATAGTCGCTACTTACCCCACCTGCCCACCAACCCAATCTTCCAGTCAACCAGTCTTGCCTTCCTCGATTGTCAACATGACGAGGCTGGCAATTATGTCCACTCAGCAACAAGGCTGAACTGAATTCACACCACCACACACTGTCATCGCACCACAATATCCCAAGCCACCACCATCACCACCACCACCAGTAAATTGTTTCTCAAGTCTCATCATACCCCAGGCTCTTCTCTACCTCCTATTTCCTCTCTCCCTTCGACTATCATTCGCATATAACATGGCTCAGGTATTCTTCACCCCGACCCAAACAAAACCCATGTCCTACTCCCACTAACCAGTATACAGAAAGCAGCCAAATCCCTCGCAGTGCGCAATACTTCACGCCTGAAACAAACCCATTTAATTACTCTTGCCCTCCACTCCCTTTTTCTCTTCTTGAGCTTCACCCTCCGCCGATCGCTTTCCCTCAACCGCTACGTCCTTTTCTCGCTGCCCGGCCTATTCATCGAATTCTACCTCGACCGCCTTGCCCGCCCTTCCTATAAGCCCGATGGGACCTTGCGACGCGCAGGTGAAGACCTTGACGCCAAGGGTCTGACCGAGTTCATGTGGGATGTCCTGTATTGGGGATGGATCAACTTGATCTTTGTCATGGTTTTTGGAAACCGCGCTTGGTGGCTGTACTTGGTCGTCCCGAGCTACGCCGCTTATTCGGCGTATACGACGGCGACGGGGTTGAGAGGTCAGTTGAATGGCTTGGCTGGTGGCGGCGCTGAAGGTGGCACTGAGCCTCAGAGTAAGAGGCAGCAAAAGATGGAGAAGCGCGGTGGTCAAAAGGTGGCTTATCGATGAGGCAGTTCATGCACAATAACAATAAAACAAGCCAGACTTAAATACACTGACATAATGTCCAATATATATCCTATCCTTGGGATTCGATAAACTGTGCATTCAATCATCCACAGCCAATCTCTTTGTTGTCGACGCCAGACTCATTCGCCCGTCCGATCTCCGTCCAGCCACCGTGCCAATCCTGTCGTACCATACAAATCCCTCCACTCAGTGTTGCTGCCGACCACACCATCCTCTTCGACGTATTCTGCTACAAACTCGGCCGTTTCATTCGCCTTTTGCTTTATTGATTCACTCGCCTTCTCGACTCTCTCACCCACGCGCGCCAATGCCAGGTTATAATACTCAACCGACGTCTTGGCTCTCTCTTTCATCCTCTTGCCGCCAGTGCCCAACTTGCGCTGGTATCGCGACAGTAAGATGCTGAGGACATAGTACGCTTTGACCAAAAATCGTTGCACGACTTGCTTCACCGACATGGTCAGCCCGTGGGAGAAGAATGCCCGCAGAGCCTCGACTTGCAGCCCTTGGTACAGGGCCGAAGGGCCTTCGTTCTGAATGATGGCGAGCATCGTCGAAAACAGGGTAGCCCGCACCACTTCTCGTTTCTTGTCACCTTGGATTTCCGACTCCACCGCTTCTTTCTCGTCTTGGCCTTCGCGTTTGGCTCCTGCTTGAAGTCGCGCTTTGGCCAGGCTGAATGGGTATGTAATCGAGCTGGCAATGGCTTTGCTGGAAGCAGAAAGTAGAAAGGTGACGCTCGCGGGAGGATGGTCACGACGGGACCGCGGAACTGTCAATCTCTTGAGCGTTTCAAAGAGAAAAAACGTGATGCTGGGGTTGAGTGTTAGAATAAGACTGGCCGAATAACCTGACCAGAAGCCTAAGACACCTTTCTCGGTATGGATATCTCGAGCAATGTCACGAGTCGAGGGGACCTCAAAGGTATCGCCTTCTTCTTTGGCGGCGAGTAGTGCTGCTGCTTGCTTTCTTGTTACGATATTGGCGATTGGAGTGGTGGCCAACTTTGTCAGAGCGCCCGCGATGAACCCGACACCGAGTTCTTCGAGTGGAGGTAGGCCCTTTGCGCCGGCATGGCGCTGAGACAATCTGTGGTCTCGGAGAAATGAATATGAAAGGAAGAAGAGGAACGAGTCGGCCACTGTTTTGCTGGTATCTTGCCAGAGACCGGTATAAAGAGCTGCGATACCACCTTCGTTGTGGTAGATTTTCGAGACTCCATCGAGGAAGGAGTGGTATTCGTCATCGCTGGGGGTGGATTTGTCTTTCCGCAGTTGACGTTGGATCTGGAGTCTGGTGATGATCAAATCGACAGGGTAGAGCAGGGCATTGGAGATAACAGCCCCCGTAGATCCGGCAATGCCATGGCCGAGGGCTTCGAGGAGGGGAGTATTGGTTTTTGGAGGGGTGGACTGCCGTTCTTGAGCTTGGTGGTATCGCTCGAACGAATCCTGATTTGAGGACAATTAGCCCAAAACGCGCTTGGATAAGGACACGAGGCTTATAGCCACGGGGATCTGAAGGAACATACCAGCTGACTGCTGTATCCGTTGGCCATGATCAAGATTGAGTGGGAAGCAATATCTCTGTGGGGAGGATATCCTTGACGCGGGTCGTTCTGCTGTCGCTTTCTCTGGTGCTCAAGTTTTCATATCACCTCATATCATCTCATCGTGTGTCACCGTGTGTAGGGCGGGCGGTGCCATTCATCAGTAAAGGTTTCCAGGGTTGATGATCTGAACACGTTAAATGACAAAGTAAGGACGGGGACTAGGGCAAGAGTCGAGTATGAAGTCACGTTAAAATGACAGATGCGGTTGGGAGAATCGCCCTTGGGAGGTGGTGGGTGTGGATTGCGCCATGACGATCTGATTGATGTTGTTGGGGGGCGATGGTCCATTTCCCCTCCAATTATTCCGGGGGCTTCTGTATCAGGTTTAGCTCCCAGCATCCCCCACAGTCGCCTAAATTTACAGTGTTCTAGGCGTGCCTCGGCTCAATCCGGCTGGGTGCTGGATGAGGATATATGTACGATATGGGCAGGGAGAGTACACATGAGGAAACATCTCTGCCAAACGATATCAACGCTTGTACCCAAGTATCTGTTCCCAGGGACCAGTTGTAGTAATATAGACACACACGACACACACGCGCGCACACAGTACAATTCATCAATGCCTTTTGCATGGGCAGTCGATTGTTTGGGTATATATACAATATCAATGCTTCGTTTGTTTGGCGCCCCCTTCAAATCCGTCGTCCTGCCGCTTGAGTGACTTTCCCGTTGCCTCTATCATGCCCAATAAGACTGAAGCGCAAGTGGAAACGTCCCACTCTGGCTCTCTCGTCTGCTGGAAGAAGCAAATATCAAGATCCTTGTTCAAGTCCAAAAATAGCGAATTCAACTCCCTGCAGAAATCATAGGGATCTTGTCCCAAAAACGCCCCCATAGCATGACACGCTCACATTCAATACATTGCCCCTTGGCTTCCCTGTAATCACTAACGCTGTCGGGCCGACTAAGCCCTCATACTTGCTCTTCTTCTCAGTCCGAGCTCTGCCGCTTGGAGCTCACGGGCAAATTTCTCATCCGCATCCATATCACTGTCTCCTCCCGCATCACTACCAACACTATTGAGTCGTATTGCCGGATTCTCGTGTGCCATGTTGTGCCGGAGAGCACCGCCCGCGATGTGATGGGTAGTTCCCGAGGTATTGCTCGATGACCTCCGGCTTTTGACGCTGGTCGCCGCAGTCTGTCCACTGGCCTCGCTTGAGTTTCGCAGGGGGCTCGCCTTGCTCCGAACCGCAGTCTTGCTGGGCGTTTTAGCTTCTTCAGGCGTGTATCTTTCTATTGGCTTTGCTTGTCGCGACGAGTATCTCGATGGAGGCGACGTCTCCTTCATTCCTGTGTCCATCCTGATTGTTGAAGGAGTAGCCAAGTCCCCATTCGTTCTTGTCGCAACTGGAGTTCGTAGGATGTCGCTACCGTCAGCCTCGCGCTTGATCCCAATATTGTCGGAAACATTATTCGTCGTGACGTGATCGGCGTCTAACTCTTTGATTAATTGTAAGTTGGCCGCTGCCCCTGACTCAGAAAATTTGGTTCCCTCTCTGGATGCGCCGTTGTAGCATGGCGGTGAAGGCTCATCTTCGATCGCTTCGCTAGCAGCCCGTCGATGGGTCTCATTGTGCATCTCAGAATCATCGAGATCTCCCATGCTGTCGTCTTCATTACGAGACTGCACTGTTTCATCACTGAGACGACCCGGACGTTTACTGTTGGTCGACCCTCTAGGCCGCGAAGGCTCCGCCGCTTTGGCTGGGTCCAATCGGCCATGCTCATCATGAACGCATCGACGCTGATCTTTGTTAGTACAACTTGTCCTAACAATGGTGATCTTCCTTACCTTGCTTTTTCGGCATTCTTCACAGGCTTTGCTTCTGCTTTTCTTAGAGGATGTTTGCATTACACCGTTCGCAGCTTCGCCTGACATTGGTACCGTCGTATCTAAACCATGGATATGTTCAAGGTTCCGAGTCTCCGGAGATGACATGTCGCCGTTGGCGCCGTTCAAATTGCCCGAGGCGTTTGACGCTCGCTCAGCATTTGAAAAACTTCTGGGTCGTATCTCTGGTGCTGCTCTTGATGGGGTCTCACTCCCCGGCTTGTGTCGGCATTTGATCCGCCGTTGACGACATGTAGCGCAAGCGACACGTAACCCACTCCCTCTAGGGGTTGACTTGGTGCTTGACTTGGGAGGTGCAGCCGGGATTTCGACCACAGGAGAGTTTCGCGTTTGAGTGGCAGCTTGTGCGGCCTTGCGAGAAGAACTACGCTCCCCAGGCAGGCGAAACGTCTCGGCTTTCTTGACTTTCTCAACCATCTCGACTTCGAGGGCGCCGTCTGAGTACACCCACTCGGGAACCGTCTCATTGCCCTTCTTCCACGCACACCATATGGCGAACATCTTGATCAGGGTAAGAGGGTCACCATGTCCCTTCGGCACCGAAGCTTTGACAGCATCTATTTGTTTCTTGGTGATGTCCGCGACCGGAAGACCTGCGTCTATCCGAGCAGTTCGATATAAATAATCTCGAAGGGCGGGCAGCCCTGAGATTTCCGACTTTGAATAGAAGCGAGCATTATAATACTCGTCCCCTGGCTCCGCCGTGTTGATCAAGTCATCGAATTCATGCCAGACTGGATTAGCGCGGAGAAAGGTATGATCGGGATATTGGCGAAAGTCTTCCATCACATCTTCTGGTACGGGGTCCTCTTCCAGATACTTGATCAACGCATACCACATAACCTTTTGAAAGTAGGGATATCGAAACTTGGCAGCCACCTTGGTCATTTTCTCAACATTGACGACCTTGAGTTGCATTTCGTAATCAATCCGTGTGAGAAAGTTGCCCCCAATTACCAGGCTGTCCTCAGGGGTCCACACAGAATGGATCCACCCTGCAGGAATGAAGGCGGTGTCACCTTCATGGAGATCGACTCTGATGCAATGGTCGTTGCAGAGATCACCTAGCCAGGTCTCGCCTTGCGTGTCTGAATTGCACCAATCCTCGTACTTCTTCAGGTACCTGTCCTCGGGAGGAATGAAAAAGAATGTCTTGGTGCCTTTGAGGATGTGATAGTACACAGACGAACCTCCAAAGTCAATGTGGAAATCAGTATAGCTGTCGGCGACTGACATCAAGCAGTAAAACTGCACGGGTTTCTTTTTGGTTCGCGCTTCGGTGTCGGTGTCCCAGACATGATCTTCAAGATCAAGATCACGTACCACTTTGGGGCGTCGTATCAATTTGCCTAAAGCGCTATGAGACACTTCAAGACTGATGACATTCCGTATTGGCTTTTCACCTGGCTGTTCGTAATAATCTGCCCATTGCTGTAACGTAAAGTGGCCTTTGGTCTCCTGAGACTTGACATCGATCACGGGGACTGGTTCGTCCAGGCCATAGAGTTCCGCAACCCTCCGCACAGTCAGGTTTTCGGGTATCACCATGTCGAGGAGATCTTGGCCACAATTCATGACAAGTTCCGCCGACATCTCAGGGGCTCCCGAAGGGTCGTATGTGTCGCATTGCCCATTGCTATCAAGTCGTAGTTCTGGTTTCGCATTTGGATCTGGCAACATCGCACCGTCTGAATCGGGAGAAAGTTGAACTCCAAACCGAGGGTTCCAGGCAGCAGGCACGACAAATGGTCGCTTCATTCCATCAAAGTTTTCCAGTAAGTCTGCAGTGACCAGCTCAGGTCGAATGCGAGCAAAGTCATCAGGGACCAGTTTGATCTTTCCTTCTTTGAAAGGTTGGATATAAGGATGTGTTGAACTCTCCACTGCCGAAGTGACCAACCCTTGGTTCAGTCGTGCGTAGTCAATTGCGGTTCTTGCGCGCGAGGACTTGCGAACATAGGTCGTCTTGCCATGGACAGGTTCACAGTCCCTGCAACGATACTTGTCCACACTATCCACATCGGCCTTGGTTCGTAAGCCAACACAGTCTCCGTGGAACCATCTCTTGCAACCGTCGCACTCGATCCAATTCGTGGTGCCTTCGTCGTTGAGCGGATTGTCTATCTGCACCCGCCGACAAGCCGCACAAACATCTGCGACTACTTCTGTTTGAACGCGTCGCTGCTTCTTGGTTGGAAGCTGCTGCAGATCTGTATGTGAGCCCCCCTCTTGAAATCTAGAATGATGTTCAGCGAACCCTGACGGGCGGGGGACATTCTGCTTCCAATCGTCATGGTGACCGGAGAAAGAAGCTCTCCTGCTACCCGATAGATCAGAGATATCCCGGTGAGTATCCTCAGCAGTCCGCGGCCGTTTAGATCGGTGATAAGATATATTGTTGTAGCTGTCCTGGGTATCGAGTCCCGGCCTCCCCGTAGGCATGGTAGGCTGCTGGCCCCATGCTTCTAAAACACGGGATGGAGCAGTACCATCGACATGAATCGCGGTAGAAGGTAATCTGGGAGTTTCTTTCTTGAAGTTTACCTCGTATTTCAAGCCAAGGAGTAAGAATGCCTCTTCGCGGGAAATCTCATTGGGCGTGTCATCTATAGTGACATTTGGTCGCTCAGGAGGAGGCGGGATATTTTCTGACTTTATTCTTTTCGCGGGAGGACCGTTGGATGACTCAAGATAAGGTGTGTTCTGGCTCTTTGGATCCGATATTTGCGCGGGAACGCGGTGGGATTGATCAGGAGCGGGAGAAGGAGGATGTGAGTGTCGGGGGGCGGGACTCGCAATTGCCACAGTGGCTAGGTCGTCTATGGTTGAACCAGAGCGTGTGTGGCTCGTCTTCGAACGATTTTGAGGGTATCGCGATATAGATGTATCTTCTGGAGGAAGTCTGAAGGGAGAGGTTTGTGGGCGGGTGGAAATAGGATCAAGGACCTTGGCGGCAATATGAGCGGAGCCATTGGAGTCGATGTAGAGATGATCAGGCTGGACGGCAGGGCGTGAATGATCAGAGAAGACTGTGGTTCCGAGTCCCAGTCCTTTGAGCTGCTGCTGACTATCTTCGGTGAATCTGCGATCGGACTGCAGTAGAGGTTCTGATACGGGAGGGGGTTGTGATCCGGGTTCGGGGGAGATGCGTTCGATATCGTGGGGTTGAGGACGTTCCGGGGAGGAAGTTCGAAGTTTTCGAGGCTCTTCCGATGCCCTCCATCGAGTAGACGTCGGCATTGTGTGAGGGTGGGAAGGGGATAGGGGGTGGTCAAGGTGATGGAGAGTTGGCAGTTGAGGTTGCGGAGGCGGGGGAGCGGCAGGATCAGAGTTGAGGTTGCAGGTGGAAAGTTGGCGGAGAACGCGAATCGGAGCAGGGCTACATTGGTGGAAAGAACAGGATTGACCTCCGGGCGGAGGCCAGAGGCTGAATAGAATGCAATGAATGTGTTGTGGTGAATGAACTTGTTAAGAGGGAGTCGAGGTTGTTTGTTGCGGGAGATCTGAAGTTCAGAGGCACAGATGCAGTTGCGGAAGAGCAGGTGCGGTTGAGGCGCAGGCGCAGTTGCGCTGTGCAGGCACCGGATTGGCCTGTTCCGCCACAAATCCACCAGCCACATCTCTCCATCAATATTTGTCGCCATAGTAAAATGATCAACTCTGAACTCTTCCCATCCTCATCATCAATCTTTCAAAAAGTAGCTGCCGTCCTCTACTTCCAGCTATTCGCCCTCCTCCTTATCTTCCCTGTGTTGTTGCAATAGTCGACATCTCGTACTTTTCGGCTGCTCTTGCTTCGACGGCAGATCCTTCACAGACCCCCGCAGACTCTTCCACCAAAGCCTACAGTATCAGAATTCCGCCTCTTCTCGACCCAGCCCAAAGAATCCTGCATTGTCCTCTGCCTCCGGAGTCGATCGAGCCCCTCCCACCTGCCCTCTGTCTCTCCCACTAGACCTTCATACCAAGTTTCCCCGCCTAATCTCATCATGTCCCGCAACAACAAACTCGCCCCGGAAGCGAATCGAATTCTTTTCGTCAAGAACCTCGCCTATAACATCGATACACCCGCCCTTTTCGACCTGTTTGGTAAGTTCGGATCCATTAGACAGATCAGAGCCGGCACCTCAAACACTACAAAAGGAACGGCATTCGTTGTCTATGACGATGTCCTCGATGCGAAGCAGGCTTGCGACAAGCTCAATGGGTTCAATTTTATGAATCGCTACCTTGTGGTTTTATACCATCAACCTGAGAAGATGAAGGTTGAGGTCAAGGAAGATCTTACAGCAAGACAAGAAAATCTGGAGAGAATCAAAAAAGAGCATGGCATTGAGTGAAGGGTTGTATTTGTCATGAATGTCGATATTATGAAGTGGTGACGATGATGCAAACCACTTTGTATCAGTCTTGTATCTCTGAGATGCAAGACATTTTCGCCAGTCTGGGACTGCTTGTCCATCGCATTCATTCTGGGCACAAAGGTCATACCTACCCACAAGCAGTTTTCTCGAAGGTGAAGGCTCCAACACACCAGCAGGCCTGGAGGCTGTGAGACAACGCTGTGCGAATGCATGATCCACCGCCACGGTGAAGACGCCACGAGACATGGACATGGAGCTTGCTGGTCTTTCCAATACAGAGGAAGAGACGGCACACACACACACGAGAGTAAGCTTTTGCCTAGGCTCAATTGCCTGCACGTCTCAAGAGTGAGATGCTTTTGTCCGAATGCCATGCGATAAGGCAGCATGTCGGCCTTCGGCAGGGTCTCTTCGTTTACAATGTGCATAGCTGCCGTACAAAACTCTGGCGCCTCATCGTTCGCGAAATGGAACTGCCTCACAGAACTGTCCACTCTACGTTGAACAAGAGCACGAGCTCAAGTCTGTCCCAACGGTCGTACATGGTGCTCCAGATAGTAATACGAAAACGTCGGTGGGCAGGCAGTATTTCAGGGGAGATGGGAGCGGTTCGACATCAAGTCGAAGACTGCCACGAGCACGGCGAGGCATCCACTCGGGGATCTTGGGCGAATGCGACCTGTCACACCGTTTAGTCCGATCTCATACGGGGCTCTACGGGGAAATATCCCAGTACGGGGAAGCGAGGCTCTGGTGCAACAATGTTTGCACGAACGGTCATCTTGGGAAGTTCAGGACTTGGCTTTCGACCCATTACATGTTAGGCATCAATCAACCGGGGCCGAGGTCTGGTAGATTAGCAACGGACCTACATACCTACTTTTTTACAGTAGTATGAATTGCGAAGTGATTTGTGTAACTACAAGTTCTTGCAAAGGAAACTAGTAGGGTGGAGGTTGCTGCAGGCTACAACGAATTCGCAGAGTGTGCAATCATGATTTTCTAGTCGCCGAGCTCTTCAAGACCGGTTCAAACAGCGGCAAACATCCCCCCGCGCTCCCGCGAATCTTCTGACAGTTCTCACGTTTCGGTAGGAAGGGGACCGTTTGCTGGTGGCCGCCGGGGCCAATCCCCTCTGCCGCAGGATTACACCCCTGTTATGGTGGACGGGCACGACGGGTAGCCCCATGGCGCCGGGATCATCCCTTGTAATGTGGATACGATGTTTGGCTTCAAGCTACCCAGTCACCCAGTCACCCCAGTGTGCCAGTTGTTGCCAGCGTCTGGTTCAACGGCTGGCTTGCGCAGCTTGCCTCGCTTGAACCAGGCCCCCATGCAATTCCCACACCAGCTAGAAGACGATCGAATGCTGGGAAGTTTTTTCTTTCTTTCGAAACAGCCATGGCCCGGTGGAATGGGTGCTGCACTAGGGAAGAACCGTCAAGAGACGCCATCACCTTGTCTGGAGTAGTGCCAGTAACTTTTGGACGGAATTGACAGATCAGGGAGCCCGGAAGAAGTCCCGGTTCTGTTGCTATGGAACCTTCGTAACGGCGACTGGTACTGGCAGTTGTGATGGGCTTGGGAGCGTGGGAGAGTCAGAGCAGCGCAGCATCGTCTTGGGCACTCATCATCACTAGGGCTCCAGCTTCCTGGTTCAAAAGTTGCCCGGAAACAGAGTGTTGAGTGAGCAACACCTTTCAAGGGGATGATAGGAAAAAACAGACGACGAATAGATTGCTTAGACAGTCATGGCGGGTGGCCGTCTGCCTGCAAGCATGCAATCCGAAGATGTGTCTCAGCCCAGGCAGCGATTAACGAGAAGCCAACGCACAGACTAGAAATGACAGTCAAACCAGAAGCAACAGCTCGACAAGGTGCAATCGTGAATGGATGAATCAAAGAGTCAAGCACAGAGGTGACGATGCAACCGGTGCCAGTTAGACTCCCCTGCCGCCCACCCCATTCCACCCAACCCTCGTGGCGCTCCGGGGAAAGCTCTGGCGCGACAGGCCGGCCTGGGGTGAGTGGTCCGACCGGATTCGATTGAAATGTGACATCCCACGTCTCCTTGACCGCCAGAATTTTGAGAACGAACAATATTTTTCCGTTCGATTTGTTGCGAACCAAGGGTGTGGATTATCTGAGACCTAACATCCCATCCCATGTACAAAACATCTGTTCTCTTGCCTCTGCCGTCCTCTTTCATTTCTCTCTCCCACCCATCCCGCCATCCATCCACCCACACATACATACAGCTAATTTCTCCAGTAATCCTCCTGTTGTTGTCGATCTTCTCAAACAAAAAGACTCCACCACTAGTGCCAGGGTACTGGTACTGTTAAAACTCGTGCCTGCAGCCAACGTCGATCAAACCCCCTCGCTTCATCTCCGCACTTGGCCTGAGCCGGTCCGCACCGTAAGTGGCATCTGCAGCAACCAACGTCCACCCACGAGAAGAAATCTTGCTGATCCCTACTGGACAGATCTAATTGTGTTTCCTCCTTCATACACACACAGACAACACCCTCACCTATTGTGTCTGTTCAATCGATCGATCGATCGCAGCCACATCCAAAATCGCCATCATGCAACGCTCATCATACCGATCAACTGTTCTATCAAATGAAAACTTCAGCCGAGATATGCACCGAGCAGTCGAGGCCTCACCCAAACCCAAATACTCCAATCTAGACCGCCGGTTCAACTCGGAACATCAACCCCCTCCACCACCACCATCTCCAGTGGCCTGGAACCGCAACAAATCCGATCGAGTTTGAAGAGCAGATTTGCTGATCAACTTGTTGTCGTCATGGACATGGACTGATATTTGGCGTCTCTGATGAAGCGGCCTTCTCTGTTGTCATTGTTAAACTGTCGAGCAGGTTTGCATGTGGGGGCTGTTTTGAGCAGAGTGTTTGGCGTATCTGGAAATGGAACGGTTCTGACCTTTTTTGTGAGGTGTATACATGCAAGGATTGACGGGCGCTACAGTGTCGCCAGACGTATCTCATGTGGATTCAATAGCCTTGTCATCTAATCGAGTATAGACCTTTTGCAATTGCTGCAAAGCTTCTGCATCTCCTTTGACAACTTTTCGGTTCAAAGAGTCTATTTTCCGCAGCGTAGTCTCACTCATCTGTGCCTGAATGCTTGAAGCAACTCTTTCGTCGGCGTAGGTGCGAACTAAATCCTGTTCGCCGCGGCTCTGCTTGATGTCCATGAGTCTGTCCAAGAAGGCAGCCTGGTTTTTCAACTGGATGTTGACCTTAGGGTTGCTGCGATACATGGTGCCGAGGCTGCGGCCTTCTTTGACCTCGCTCGCAGAGTCTTCATCGTTCTCTTCTTGGTTAAGTCGACGTCGTTTCCTGACCGGGATGTTCTTCAGACTAGCCCGCTGACCCACAAGTTTGATGCGTGAAGTTGCTATCAAGTCGTAATCGTCAGTCGAGCGCAGTGGTTGGGCATCTGGCACAGCCTGAGGCTGACTAAAGAACATGTTGGTGCCAACCATGTCCGCCCAGGTACAACTGAAGACATGGCCTTTGTATGCCACGATGGGATTGATGGTGTTGATGTCTAAGATTTCCAACTTGGCCCCGAGACCAGTACCAACATCTTCAACGCTTGTGGCGCCTGAAGGCGAAGCCCGTGTCGCTGTCTCGTCATCGCCATCTGGATTTGCCGCGTTAGGAGAGGCTTCATCAGGTTCTGCGGATTGGGAGAGTTCTCTTTTCTTGATCGAAGAGACAGGGCCCTTTCTAGAGCGGGAGCTGTTGTTGACAGTCGGCTTTTGGCCGGAGTTTAGAGATGACAGGTCAAGGTCAACATAGAATGTCTACCAAATATGTAAGGAAAAGCCATGAGATTGGAAGGATAGTTCTTGATCAGTCCGAGAGAGCCTACCTCTGTTTCATTTGTGTCATATTCATATTCATATTCATACTCATCGTCGAGGTGATAATCATGATGCGACGGATTCATCACAATTGATCTCAGCTTACATCTGATCGGCAAAGTCATGCAATGTGTGCACAGTTGTTGCAGGCTCACGTGACAAGCTCTTATATCGGACCATCCACCAGGTCTACTTCTGATAGAGCAAGTCTGAAATAGGAATAGTAGCAATAAGCAACGTCTCACGGCACTTAGTCACTCAGTGACTAGATCGCTCAATTGAGAAATCGAGTCGCGGACGCGTCACCTCTTGGCTTTGGTAAGAAAGAACCTCGTGAAAGGTGCGCTAAGCGAGAAAATACCACTGTAAGCAACAAGTAGGTGGTAGTGAGGGATTGATGGCTGAATAAGGGCGAGATCTGTATCGTGTTGGCATGGATATGGCGATGTGTCGATGTCATTCCTAATTCATTGAGGGCAGAAGTTACACCCACTCGTGCAACTCAGGGAAATGCTTGCCGGGAAAGGACGATGTAGCCCCTATGGGTCGAGACACTCGAAATACAGATAAAAGACGGTATATATAGAATCATATAAGCTTTAGAGGATATTATAAAGACTAAGCTAGGGAGAGAGATAGTATAGAGTGAGATCCTTATAGGAGAGGGAGCTAAAAAGAGAGGGGTTCCTTCCTTAGCTCCACACTATCCCCCCTTCTAGATAAGTATATTTATCCCCTATATTAAAGCGTAGTAATCCGTTATTATCTACCCGTCTAAGTAATCTCGAAACCTTATAAACCCTTATAAGTCCTTATAAACCCTTATAAGTCCTTATAAACCCCTCCCCGTAAGTTTAGTACTATCCTATACTATAATTAGTCCTAGCCTCCCTACGCTCCTATTAAATACCCTAATACTTAAATACCGATAAAATAAATAAAAAAAAACTTCCGTACTATTTTATAGTGCCTCCCCCCTCCCGGGTAGATAATTTTTTTTCTCCTTTATTTTCGATTATCTCGTGCTGTCGAGAGCACTATCGTTATATATCTATATTAGTAAGTTATTATTTATTATACTATCGCTTAGTTCTCCTCCTAGTACCTTTAACTCGCTATATACCTACTTTATTCTCCCTATTATTTATATTTTAAGTAATTTATCGACGCTTACTCCCTTATAAGTAAAACTATATATTATAAGCCTCTATATCTATACTGTTACAAACCTAACCACATCTACGGCCTGACACGCAGCTTTATACGCAACTAATCGCTTACACACTAACACAGCGAGAAGATAATCCGATAACTTAGAATAGATACTAGGATTATAGAGATAAGGCTAGGTTACGTAATAAGGCTATAATAATATACTAATATATTAATATAGGGTATATCTAATATATTAACACATTAATCACATTTTATAGATACGTTCACTACTATATAGTTAGGCCTTATACCCATACCCTTAGCTACGGCTCGTAGTTAACTTTAGTCTTAAATATAGAGATACTATTTATATTCCTCTTGATTATTACTCGTTTTACTTATATATAGTACATTATCCCACTTATTAGTAAATACTAATAAGTATCGTGAGCCACCCGGATCAGGATCTTAATATATATATAATTCCTTTACTTTATTCTTCTCTAATATTAACTCCTCCTATAGGATATCTCCGTTATCCTCTATCTCGTCCCCTAAAGTATCTTTATTATAGTCTAGATCTACTCTATCTATATTAGCGAGGATAGATTATTAGATCTTATAGGCTTAAATAAACTCTATAATTTATTATTATAGTTCTAGACTTTCTCTCTTAGTCGTTTCTAGTATAATTAAGGCTTTATTTATTATATCTACTCTATAGTCTCGCGTTAGAGCTATATTATTATTATTAAGTTCTAATTACTTAATATATTCTTCCTAGGCTAGGATAAGCGATATATATACTTCTATCTATTTTATAACGCTAACGGCTATATATCCGAAACCCTTCTATACTTTTTCCTTAATATTATTTATCTCTTATCTTAATAACTTAATAGTATCTTATATCTTAACTTATTTCTTACCTATTTCGAGTATCGCTATATTTACTATATCTTATTCTATATCGATATATTCGCTAGTTTTCTTAAGGGAATATCCCCTATTAATAGATAATAATTAAGTTACCGCTTTCTAAGTATCTAATTCGTTTAAAGCCTTTACCCCTCTATTAATATATAAAAATCGGCTATTCTTACCTTAAGCTATATTATAGTAAGGTTTAGCCTTCTTAATAGTATATCTACGCGAGGTAATAATACTATCTAAAATAAAAAGGCCTATAATCTTATTAAAGTTAGGTAGTATATTCTATATTACTACTTTAAGTAATAAGTCTTCTAGCTAGTTATTTTAGTCTATACTATAGATATAATCTATCTATTCCTTAGTAATTTCCTTCCTAATCTCCCTTTAGTAGAGAGTACCCTAGTTATTAAAGTATTTCGGGAATATCTTATATCGCTATATTTTATTAACTAGTATATCCTAGATAGTATCTAGTAGTATCTTCTTTATTAGTACTATATTATAGTTTAGATAGGATTTCACTAGTATAGGATATTATATTCTTATATACCGCTTTTTTCCCTAATTCGTTAGGTCTATAACTATACTATAGAGATATTATTATTTTCCTATAAATCTAGCTTTTTCTAGAAGAGACTTACCTAGTTTCTCTAACTAACTAGTATATAGGGAATCTACTATCTTAAGTCTTAAGTCCTTACTACTCTTTATTACTATCTATAGTCTCTTAAGTCTCCTAATTAGTAATCTAAGATTCTAGAGCTAATATATTAGTAGCTATTTACTATCCTAGGTAAGGAGGTTAAATTCTAGCTAGTTACTCTAGTTCTATTCTTAATAGAACCTACTATATCTTATCTAGGAACTTATCTTATATAGTAGATACCGCTAGAGCTACTATAGCTTTAAACCTCTCTCTCTCTTATTAGTTAGAGTTCTCTATAGAAATTAGGATACTACTAAGTTCTACTATAGTTTTATCCTCTTCCTATATAATCTTATACTATAGACTTAGGTTAAGGTATACTCTCTCTATAGCTATAGATTATTCTATAATCTTCTTAGTCCTATTCTTAGTACCTTTTCCTATTCTTATTTTATCCTTAGCCTTACTTCCCTTCTTATCTTAAACTAGAGCTAACTTTATTAGTATAATTATAGAGGGGCTTAGGATTACTTAGTAGTTAATATTAACTTAAGTCTAGGAAGTTTTTATTAAACTTTAGAGAGGTTATAGTAAGTTAGTTAGATCTAGGGCTAATTATATTAAAGAGATTTAAGGAGTCTCCTTCGCCTCTACCTTATTATTCTACTATATAATAATTATTTAAATTACTTACTATTATATAGCTATAAGATTAGACTTAGGTAGTATAGATTTAAGTTAGTTTTTTATTATAAATTCCTATAAGTAATACTATTTAGCCTCTCTTATAGTTAGAGATATAGCTTCCGGTATCTTTATATTTCTAAAGATAGTATAGAATATATATATATATATAAGTAGATAGATTAAGAGTAGTCTTAAACTATAGTAATATAGTAATTATAAATTTATTAAAGTTAATTAAGTTACCTATTAGATTATTTAGTACCTTAGCGTTCCGTCTCTATCTTTCTATAAATATATCCTATACTATAGTTAACTTAAACTTAAAAGCTCGTTTCCTATATTTAAAGATCTCTAATAGTAGAACCTAGTAGTCTTTTAGGCTCTAGGTATTCTCTATAAGTACTATCTTATAATATTCCTAGCGCTAGATTACTAATTATTCTAGATTAATAGGTATCTTAGAAGATTCGGCCTTTAATCTTAGATTAGTTAGTAACTTTCTAGTCGGATTCGCTATACTAGTTACTATATTAGTTATTAAGGCTAGATAAGTAGACCTCTACTATCTAGCGGAATTAGATTAAAGAGAGAGATTAAGAGGGTTCTTAAGAAGAGAGATATAAAAGAAAACTAAAAACTTCTAGAGGAATCTCGCTATTAAAATAGATATTAGGGATTTTATTATAGTATAATATAGATTAATAATCTAAGACCTCTATAGTATATTATATTCCTACTAGATATATAATACCCTAAACTTAGTATATATAAGGGTTACCCGTCCTAGTATATTCCTAACTCCTCTCTAGTATATTCCTATCCTCTTATTATAATATCTTTAGGTATAAGACTAGCGATTCTCTTCCTTACTTAATTTATATAGGGCTTAGAAACTTAGAGATTCTTAAAATCCCGTAATATAATAGCTAATAGTATAAGATATCCTATCTCCCTAGGCGTTAATATTACTAGTCCCTATTAGTATTTTATAAGATCTATAAGTCTTTAAGTATCTAGAAGTTATTAATTTAGTTATAGCCCGGTTATAGTTATCCTCTACTATATAGGTTTTCGTTCCCCTAGTCCCTTTTATATTAGTAACCCTATATAGACTAAGATACTTTTATTATATATCGAGTATTACTCTCTAGTATTATATCTTAATTTCTAGAGCTACGGGCCCGCTATCTTATTCTTATCTATATTTTATATATTTAATATCTATATTTAGTTATAATTTTAATATATTTACTTTTCTATTCCTTCCTCTTCCTTACTCCTTAACGCTAACTCTAAACGCCTTTTAGTTATTCTAGTAACCTAGGATAGATAGAGATAGTTCCTTTTATAAGTTAACTACTCTATCCTTCTAGAAGCTCTAGTCTTTATCCCTATATTCTATAGAATACCTTATCTAGGGAGGAGGTTAAACTTTATCTATATTTACTATCTATAGATCTAATCCTAGTAGTACTAGATTCTAGATCTTATTATTTATTACCTTCACTCTTTAGTAAAGTTTCTTCTAATCTCTTATTTCTCGTCTTAGTAATTTCTATACTTCCTTATTATTTCGCAGTACTTTAATATCCTATTTATATAGATCTTATAATATCTTATCCTATAAGACCTATACCTTTATATTATTTAAGTAATAAACGTCTTTTTAAATATTAATATTAATTATATAAAGTATACCGGACTAGCTATTATAACTAACGGATATTAATAAATATAGACTTTCCTACTTTAGTTCTACTTTATATAAATACTACTTATCTTATTTAAGTTAATATAGAAAGACTAGGTCTCGCGCCTTTAGTTCTATCCTATTCTTAACTCTTACTCTAGATCTCTAAGTAACTATTTCCTAATACTTAAATAGTCGTTCCGTTACTTTTATATATATCTCGTTAACTAATACTAGATATATAGTATATACTACCTCTTCTAAAGTCCTATTAAGTATAGATATATTCTCTAAGATATAGGTATATATCTCGTTAGTATATTATTTATCTTTAAAGGTTTTAAGAGTATCTATAAATCTAGGGTTCTATCTAAATAGTAACTAAGCTAGGGTATATCCCTAAATATATAGAGTATAACTATTTAATTAATTAAGTACGGATAGTAACTATTAGTCCTAGTTAGCTACTAGGTAACCCCGATAGCGTAAGCTATTATAATATACTTACTCTAATATCTATAAATATTATATAATTAGTATAACTAGTCTCGTACCTCTAGTTACTAAATATACTTAGACTACTTTCTATTCTATTTATAATATACTAGTTTATTAGGTTTAGGTCGTTTTATATCTAAATTATTAATAAGGGAGATTTACTTTATAGCTTATTAGATAATCTTCATAAGGGATTTATAGAGAATATCCCGTTCCGTAACCTAACTATAGATTTTATATTCTAGGACTTAAGAGTACTATTTATTATTTATAAAATAGGACTACTCGGGACCTAAGTTAAGGACCTTAAGTATTAACTCTCTATTCTTATTATTATCTCCTCCTTCCTCGTCTTATTCTATAGTTTATTCCTCTAGACCTATATTAAGGTCCTATTATATTAGCTATATTAACTATAATCTCTCCTATAGCGGTAATTTATTTCTACTACTTAGTAGGCTATTCCGGTATAAGATCTACTAGTATAAACTCCTCTACTTTAGATAGGGGACGATATTAGTAAGCCGGGTTAATATATAATAGACTATTAGTAATAACTATCTATTTCCCCGGGATATATTTTATATTTAGCTAAAATTCACTAAACTTAACTTACTATTATACTAACCTCCTATAGGCGTTATCTCCTTTAAGTACTAAGACTAAGGCGGAGTAATCTATATAAATCTAGACTGAGAACTATAAGCTAGCGACTAACTAGCGATATTCGAGTAATACCTTAAGGAGAGCTAATACTTCTCGTTCTATAGTAGGAATGGTTCTGGCAGTATCTTTTGATACTCCCATGGCTTTAGTATTAGTGAGGCGCCACTCAGGTACAACCTGCGAATGTGACGATTGGGTCCGGTTGGGAACCTGAAGTATGAAGTCCGAAATTTGAACATCACAATCCGTGGGCGCATCGAATGCTCACTTGGAACAGGTCTGTACATTGTCTAACCATCGCGTATTGCTGGAAAATGAAATGTTTCCTATATCTTCCATTGGAACGAGAAGTGCTTCGAATGTCGCACAGCATATGGTCTGCGGACGGAACCAAAATGTGTTATTCTGTGAGGGTCATTGTCACGTGGAGCGAGCGCATCTTGTGGTCGCTAACGGAGCAGCAACTCCGCAAAACGGGCGCCGGGCTATTAGTGGCCATGGATCCCGAAAATGCCAACATCTCAAACCTCTTTGTCGCGCTTGTCGAGAGATGTTTCAATTATAGATAGTTGAGGACCATTGTTAGCTCCTTCTCTCGTTATCATCTATACCGAGCCTGCCCGCCGTGCTGGTTAAAGACATGAAGATGGACCACTTAAGGTTACATTGAATGCTCGGACAGCTGATCACAATAACGTATGATGTACCAGTCGCACTGCCAATCCAGGTAATATGAGTGTATGCCACATGTAGTTCGCCTGTGTGCTGAACAAATGGCAAGCTCTCTAAGATCGGAGAGCCAAAGCGAAGTGAGCAGACGAGCATCACTCCTTACCCTCAATATACTAATTGTCTACTAAGATTCCTTTCGAACAGCATCGGAACAAACCTTGTCTTAACTCGACGACAATAAAGTACTCCATCGATACACGGTGGCTGCTTAGATTACGCACTCACTCTACCTACTCTTTTCGGAGACCGGCTCCATAGGTACTTAGTGGGCCAGATCTCTACGACTCCGCTCAAGAAAGGTATAAAAGGTGTCTACTTGAACCGAGCCGGTCTTCAACCATTCTACTCAGACTTCCATCCTGATTTCTTTCCCTGCATCACTCTTTCAGTTATGTCTTCTTCAATTAATGACTCAATCAAGCATGACAGCCGGGAGGGCTTCCAGTGGACTGAAGGCGATGGATTGAAGCAGGGTCTTCCCAGCTCAAGTGTCATCCAGCCCGAGACAAACACCCAACCAAATAACAACGTTTACGATACAATCATCATTGGCGCTGGGTATACGGGTCTCACTGCCGCCCGAGACCTCACCACCTCTGGTCTTGATGTGCTCCTTCTGGAAGCACGCGATCGTATTGGCGGACGAACCTGGACTTCCACTATCGACGGACATCAGTACGAAATTGGTGGACAGTATGTCCATTGGGGTCAGCCAAATCTGTGGCGAGAGCTTTCTCGGTACTCCATGCAGCAAGACATTGATGCATGTTTCGATCCCGCTCGCGGACTCAACGTCTCCACAGTTTTCACTAAAGACGGGCTGATAACAATGACCAAGGCAGAAAACGTAAGTACCCGCTAAGATTCACCAAGCCAAAGTGAAGGCTGCTGATATGCATGTTCTTCTCAGGGAGCAATCTTGGATTCGGCCTTTCAGAAATTCATCAATATCGACGGTGACTTTGGTAAATCGATCATGCCGCTTCCATACAATCCGACTCTTGTGCCGGATGCTGTCCACTTGGACAAGCTCACTCTAAAAGACCGCATCGATCAAATCCAGCAAGATTTGGAGCCGCTCGAACGAACGCTTCTCGAAGGCATGCTTCTATCCCTGACTGGAGGCCAGCTTGAAACAACCGGATTTTTCGGTGTGGTGGGCCTCTGGGCGTTGTGTGCATACTCCTCGGACTGCCTTGGTAGGGCTGTTGCGGCCTTCAAGCTCCGACACGGCCAATCTGATTTTGCACAACGGTTCTTTCAGGAAGCACTTGATGCGCAGAAACTGTCGTACTTTTTCAATTGCCCCGTCGCGTCAGTAAAGGATCGTGGCAGTCAGGTTGAAGTGACTGCGAAGAATGGTCTGCACTTTCAGGCGAAGAAGGTGATCTGCACAGTTCCACTCAATGTTCTTTCCAATATTGTTTTCGATCCACCTGTCCAGGAATTGTCTGATGATGTCCTTGCTTCGATCAACAGCAATCAAAGCACCAAGCTGCACGTTATAACACCTTCGGATGCTTTGAGCTCCTGGGATGGCTTGACCTATCCTTACAATAGGCTTGTTCACGCATCTGGGGAAGGCACTACATCGTCAGGAGCTGCTCATATTGTGTGCTTCGGTGCGTCTTACAATCACATCGATCCCGAAGATAATATTGAGGAAACTCTGGCGGCTGTCAAGATGTTTCACCAAGATATTGACGTCAAGAGCATGGTGTTTCATGACTGGAGCCAGGATGAATATTCCAAAGGAGGATGGTGCTCGTATGCTGCGACCGCGTCGACAAAATATCTCGGCAAGCTACGAGCATCTCGAGGGAACGTGACACTGGCAAGTTCTGACTGGGCTTTAGGATGGCGAGGATTTATTGACGGAGCAATTGAAGAAGGCACTCGAGCCGCGTATGCAGTGAAGACTGAGTTGGCGATGGAGGCCAAAGCATAGATCATGATCAGTACAGTAGTGGTTGGTCGGATGCGTTAGATCGGATGCGAAAATAGTGGAGACTCTCACTCTACCTTTCGCATCAGGAAAAGGCTTCCGCCTCAGTGGTCAAGTTTATCTCCTCTTTAATCCGACCACGTCTTGCACACAACTCCCTTCCTCCAAGCGCAACATTTGTAGGACAGGATCACCGACTTTTTGCGCCATGGGAGTACGCGCTGGCTGCTACAACTGCAATAAGCGGCGCATCGTCTGTGACAAAACGGAGCCACATTGCGTGAAATGCACCAAGAAAGGGTTGCAGTGTCCGGGGATTACCATTAGGTACCGGTTCAATGACGGCATCGCTTCCCGAGGAAAATTGAGGGGTGTCTCTTTCCCAGTCGTTCCGAGCTCCCTCCCGAAGGTGAATGGATCTTCCAGCGCAAGCAATCGAGCGAAGACGACTACAGGAATTGGATTCGCAAGTAACGGCCATATTGTCAGGCTGGATTCTATCCATGGGAGGTGCGATTCTACAGATACTCAACGCTTTGGAGGCCACAACACAAACGATCGTCTTACACTGAGCCCTTATCAAGCATGCTTGCACCCAATCAGCGGCAAGCTCAGACATCTTTTGAATCATTGTAGGTATCATTTCCAGCCCGGTCCATTTTGACAAGGAGACGCTAAGCATCGACGATGACAAGTCTCGCAAGTCATCGCTCCAGGCATGGTAATCGTCGATACAGAACGCAACGGATATCGCACCGTGATCATTCCTCTTGCGGTCACTGATGCACTAGTTCAGACGGCCGTATCATCCACTGCTGCGTCTCATCTAGGGCGACACGACCTGAAGCTACGCAATGAAGCCGACAGTGAGCGCATCAAAGTGATTCAGATGCTTAAATCTGCCGCTTCGTTCCGCAAGTGCAGCCAAGAGGTGTTTAGTGTGTCCACTTGGGCGACACTGCTAGTCCTTCTCGTGGGCGAGATGATCACCGGACGAGATGATTACAGATACCTTGTTCGAATGATAGGCCTGATCAGGGCGAAAGGGGTGAGTGACGTTGGTCCCGAGACCCGTGCGTTCTTGGAGGCCCAGACAGATACGTAAGTCTTGACATGTTGGCGAATCCCATCACGTACCTTTTTAGCTGCGACCATCTCACTGACAATGCCGCCCACGCATCATTTCAGTCTCATGCTGCTGGCGCAGCCCTTTCTAGACACATCTGGATGCCTTTCCATGGTGTCCTCAGAAAACCATCTTTTCCAACAGACAGATATCTCACCACAATCCCTTCCAGATCCATGCGATCGCCGAACAGCCAATTCAATTCTTAAGGCTTACCAAATATGCCACCGTATTTACCTGAATCGTCGCATGTTGAGTACCTGTGGCTGTGGCAGAAAAGACACGCTCGCTCTCGAACAGCTAAGACGTCTAGTTAATCCTATACGACCTGACCTCCGCGGCGGTCACTCATTAGTGTGGGTGTACTTTATCGCCGCGGCCGAGAGCGGTTATGACGATGATGACGGAGGGGTAGCAGGAGCAGGAGAAGGGAATCGTGCCTTCTTCACAAGAAGACTCGAAGACATCTACACTGCGACAGGGGCTCGAAACATCCCCTTGGGAATTGCGATGTTGGACCAATTATCGCATGCACGACATGTGACAGGGTGGCCGGATGCACTGTCAAGAATCGCTTCTTCCTTTGTTATGTGAGGGCGTAAGCAGATTTCGAACAATGTTTAGGCAAGAGTTCCTTCATGGTTTGGTTGGATCACATTGATATTGAGTCCTTAGAGCACCAAGATTAAAACCTTGGGCAGAGACCAATAAGCGTGAGATTGTGCTCCGGTATGTTACGAAGATGAATCTTTAAAGTCTGTTCTGTTCTTTGGCTCTATTATGTAGGCATCTCGCCCTCTGGTCACTCGTCATCTTTGGATTTTATAGATGACTCCCTCTGTGCACCCCGTAGCTCATTCTTAACAGTGAATGCGGCCTCCGTCCCGGACTGGATCGCACCGTCGATAAAACTGCGCCAGCCACCATCCGCCCAGTCGGAATTAGCAAACAGAACAGGTCCATGCCTCTCCCTCAAGGTCCCGAGATATTTGGCTTCTGCGCCGGGTTGATACCACACCCTGTTGATGAACAGGGAAACATTAGCTTGAAGTTGGCAAGTTTGGTCTTCAATATGACAACGGACTGGAATGCTAAACTTACCACGCTCCTTCTGCAAACTCATCCTTTGACCAATTGTGTGAGACCTATCATGAAGACCCGAGCCGTCAGTAAGTCATCTAAGGACATTGTCTTGTTGGACGGGAGAACCTTACCAGGCGTTCGACGTCCATTTCGGCAAACGCGTTGACGGCTTTGAGTGTCTCGTCAATGTCGTCTTCCGCGTGTATGTGGTTTTCGGAGCAGCCGAAGAAGACACAGTGCGTATTCCCAGAGGGTGTGGTGCCGTCCGCAGCGCCCAAGAGGAGCCTGTTGTTCGGGTACGTAACTCCACCCCAGGATCGCATTTCGGCGTCCTTGATTTCTGCATGAAGCTTGGTGCATTGATTTACATGCTTGTGTCTTATAGCGTCCAACTTGGCTCGGCTTAGTGAAGGATGGAAGCGTACTTTGTTCAACACGTTCAAGGGGACCGTGCATATCACGCGCTTTGCACGGAATGTAAGGCCGTCCCGACTGTCCAGCGTGACCATGTCACGCGAGGAGGAGTCAACCTGGGTGACGACTGTGTTGAACGAATAAGACAGTCGTCTCGAGCTCCAGGCTTCTTGGAAAAACCGAAGCGCAAAAGCAGACTGTCCGCACTTAAGTTTTATGCCCAAGACTGTCTCCAGCAAGGTTGGGTAGTTGTAGTTGCCGGCAGCCCACCAACGAAGAAAGTCCAAGAATGACGAGTTCTCTCGAGTGCCGCCGCTGCAGACCAGGACAACAGCCGAGATGGCGTTGCGTTCGTCATCTGTCAGATCGTTCTTGATTTGCTCGAGTCGGTCTGCAACCGACATGGTCGCGTGACTATAGACAGTCTCGTTCGAATACTGGTCGAAGGGCAGAGGCATGACGCTCTTGCCAAGGTTACCGTCAACATTGGCGAACTTTTCGACCGCACGACTGAAGAGTGCAATCTGTACTTGTGTCAGGATAGAAAATGGGCTTGCAAGAGAGGATCACAGTGATCTCCTACCTCTTCCTCGTGGCTCATATTCCTGGCCCCATGCTCCGTCACAAAGCTGAAATAGTTTTTCTTATGAGTGTAGTCGGGAGAGAAGGCCAGTTCATTTTTCATTCCGTAACGGGAGATCTCACGGTAAACATGAGGTTGGAACCAGTGTACCCATGTTCCACCCATCTCGAACTGGTACCCATCAATTTCAGATGACCATGTTCGACCTCCGATTCGGTCCCGGCCTTCGAGCAGCAGAGTCTGGAAACCTGAGGCATGCTCAATCAGCACGAGGCAACTTTGCTCACATCCGAGTGAGGACGTATGAGAACAAACCGGCAGCAGTTAGATCGCGTGCAGCAGTAAGGCCGGTGTATCCCGCGCCAATTATCACAACATCATAGACCTTGTCAAAGTTCTTGACACTTTGTGGAGGGTGGATGACTCCTGCACACGGCAGGCCAGCCTTGATTCCTTCATGGCTTGTCCATTGCCAACCATCTCGTGACTTTGCCATGTTTGGGGAAACGACGAAAGTTTTACTTGCTTGTTTGCTCGAATGTCTCCTAGATTCTAAAAAGTCCTAGGTATAGAGAGACGGAAGACGATTTAGAACTTGACGGAGAACAAGGAATGGTGACTGTCTCATACTTCAGACATTCTCCGACTTTTTGTACTTCAGAAGTATTGAACTAGCAACGACACAAAGAACGGGAGGGTTACATTGATAAAGTGAGGAAGAGCATGCGGCAGTGCCCACTTCCTCACCAGGACGTGTGTTCTCAGGACTTGGAGTATTGAAGCCATTTATCTAAACGACAGCGACTCAGCGGTCTTGACAACGAAATCCTTGAGGAATCCTTCGATCACAACGGTGGGTGGGAAACTGGGAGGGGGCATCCTGTTTCGTCGAGTAAGAGAGTCTCAGATCAGCGGGGCATCAGATACTCCGTCCGAAAAGCCGCCACTCTTCAATTCGCCACCTCGTATTCTTCGCATGGTCCTAGGCAATCGAGAGAAGAAGAGCACTTTTCCCTCCTAGACCTTATCTTATCTAAACGCAGAACGATTAGCCGGACCACCACGAATGACCTCCGGCTCCGAGCAGAGAACATCCTAGTTAGCTCTGACCTCTGAGGCCACAACCATTCTTGCGTAGATTGTCCTGAAGACTCTTCAGGCGTATCGATGTCATCTACTCTGATCTGTTGATTCCCCTCTTCCTGGCCAAATAAAGGTTTCCACGGGACATATCTCGGGCGAGAGCAGAACCGCCTGCCACTTTTCTCTATGCACATCGCTTTCCTACGCTCCTCAATCCTTTTCTTACCGCAGCCTCTCGATACACACTCACTTGTGTTTGCGTCTATCTAGTCATGGATTTGGCTGGCGCCCCATTTCCCAAGCGGAATCGTTTACGCTTCTACCGCACCAAAACCGGCTGCCTCACTTGCCGACGTCGACGGAAGAAGTGTGACGAATCCATTCCTTGTAGTGCTTGCGTGAGCAGGGGATTAGAGTGTACCTGGCCGGATATGAAGCTCACACGAGACACGGCAGTAACCTCGTCAAATTTACCGTCTCCCTCTTCCTCTTCCTCTAATAGCACCAATCCACTCCGATTTCTCCGCAGTTGCGCCAATGCTGGTCAGGAGGCCCCCGTGCTCACAAACGAAGACCGAGCAATCATATCCAGAGGAAAGTGTAACTGGGGCTCAACTCCAACTGCCTGGATATCGCCCACTGTACCTAGCAAGGAGGCCAGCTGGCAACTCAGGACGCTCAGTCCAAGTCCTTTTGGACCAGAAGCGATGTCACCTACTTCGCAGTTGATTCTTCACTATTATTTACAGGAAGGCGCAGCGAAGCTCTCACCAAAGCCAAGGCCGTCCAATCCATTCATTACACAGATTCTTCCGCGTGCTACATGCGACTCAACCCTAATGAATGCCGTCTTGGCTTTAGGAGGTACTTTGTTGGAATTGAAATACGACCAATCTAATCCAATTCTTCAAACTGCCTGGGGCCACTATGCTAAAGTCCTAGGTGACCTTCGACGCACCTTCCAGGACCTATCCGCCCATCCTTGCCAACGGTATCTTCGCGTCCTCCTCGTTCTCCTGATCCTTGCCCACGCTGAGGTTGGTCCCTGCTGATGTTTGACGGAAGTGGCTAACACCGATTCCCAGGCTATATCTGGCAATCTCCAAGGCTCGACATTTTCACATTTACGCGCCAGTCACCAACTGATGCTGAGATTCACCTTGGATGGTAGAGACAAAAGAACTGCTGACGACCTAGCCATTGAAGGTTTCGTCCTCGAACTTTATGCCTACTTGGCACTCGTCGCCAATATCACTCCCTACGCTCTCGACGATGGACGGACTATACCACTTGATCCTATCCTTTTATCTCTGGGCTTCCTTCAAGACTATAAGGATTTCGGCGCCCTTCTGAGCTGTGGGTTGTCGCTATTTGAAAAAATACCAATCATCTCGGTCTTTGCACGTCAGCGATTGTCAGAAGAGGCAGCGACGGGCGAATGCTCCATAGACAGCATGCAGATGTATCACAGTCTCCTCCAAGAACTGCTGCATTGGAATTCTCCTCCACCGAGCTCAGATACGGAAAACTACGCCGTCGCGCATCGATATACCGGTGAAATTTATCGACACTCCTTGCTTATCTATCTTAAGTCTTCTATGTGTGGAGCTTCCGTCAAGGACAATCCGGAAATCCTCCTCGAGATACAAGACCACATCGACGCCGTGTGGATGCTTCTTCCCACTGTCCTGGCCTCTCCCTTTGGGTCAGTCATCTTGTGGCCGTCCATCATTGTCGGATCGTGCCTCACGAACCCTGATCAGCGAAGTGAGCTCTGCAGCTTCCTACGTGCTCCGAGATGGCATTTAAGGGTCACTGAGGCGTGCATCACCATGTTGAAATTGCTCTGGGAAGACTCGGATCGTCTGGCGTATGGGCCCTTTGGTTTGTATCTGATTATGAAGAAGCACGGCATCAATTTTTGTATGGTTTAAAATCCACTTTATCACTTTGAGGCCCGAAAGCTATGATACTGATGTACGAGAGCCGCGAGTGAAAAATCTAGACTTCAACTGTGAAGCCAACCATATAACCCTTTGCTATAAGTGCCGGGACACCTTGAAGAAGTTGAGATTGCCTGTCCGAAGTCCACTGACATCTTTCGCCCCTCAAATGCAAATGAGCTCACCTTCTTCACCCGGTTCCATCTAGAGATGCAGACCTGGTTTATATCCCCGCTATTCTAAGCAATATAGGCAATGCCGTGCAGACTCTATAGCCGTTTTTCGACAATTGCCTTTACAGCGTCGAGGTCCAGTGCTTCGATCCGCCTTCCTTTGAATCCTGTCATTGATTCGGCCATGCACATGGCATTGTAAATGGCCTCTTCGGTAGCATCAGCCGCCGCCTCAAACAGACCATCAATTGTGTTGTTGTCCGACATCTGGACAGCTTTTGTAAGAGGCCTATACGAAGAATCCGAGCCTAAAGACATTGGCCGCAGCGGCACCTTATTGGCAGTTGAGAAGGCTAGAAAGATGTCTCCCGAGGTATTGTTGCCGTAACCGCCCACCTTCGCTAGGCCGACCGTTGCACGAGTCGCGAGCCTTTGTAATTGAATCGGAATGAGAGGAGCGTCTGTGGCGATGATGATGATGATGATGATGATGCTGCCGTCCTTACGAGGCTCTTTAGCAGGCTCACTGTCGGCACCCTGAACAGAGGCCTTTCCTCCTTTCACCAGAATCTGCCCAACAGGCACTCCACCTATGCGAAGACTTTCCAAGGCGCCGTAGTTGGCTTGAACTAGGACACCCACGGTGTAGGTCACACTTCGTCCATCGAGATCGTAGCCCTCGAGAATACGGCTACTGGACCCGGTTCCGCCCTTGACGCGGTGGCAAATCATACCGGTGCCGCCGCCGGTGTTGCCCTCAGGAACGGGGTCGGCCGTTGCCATCTTGATTCCGTCCATAATATGCTCCGGAGTGACGACGAACCTCGCTGGATCGCTCAAGTAGCCGTCATATTGAGAGCGCCCGGTATCCATCTTCCCAGGTACAGCCGGGGGATAATATCTCGAATGCGGCCTCGTTCACTCTCGGTTCGCCGGGACATGTTGCAGCGAGATGACGGGACGTGGTTTGGTGAGTTTGTGCAGCATGACGAAGTTCAAGATCAATGAGCCGTTGAGTATCTATAAATACATGTCATCACATTAGTTGAGGTTGCCGGCTTACAAAAGCTCATAGGAGCTACGCTTGATTGGAATTGTGAACTCGCTACACGATACTTTTCATTGAATTTCCCCTCGGCATTAGACTAAGCAGGACGGGCTGCAAGATGGGAACTTCGGGATACTTCTTATCTTAACGCTCTCATTGAGGCTTTGGGCCCACGCTTATCTAAACGCGAGTTCCCCGCCTCCAAGCCAGCAGGCCGGGGTGGGAGCACCTTGGTATTACACTAGCGTGGATGGGGAAGCTTGAGTGAGGTGGCTGTGTTCAGAGGATGTTGTTGTCAGGAGATATCCAGCGACCAGACTAGAAACAGCTGCAAACATCATTCTCAATTGGTCTGGTAGCAGCCATCACCCAGGGTCTTCACTCTGGTCCTAGATCTATTAAGAACAGCTCGGGATATGCTAGGTCTTGGTGGGTGGACTGGTTAAATACGCACGGACACGTATACATACAGAAGCGCACCTATATATGGAGGAGCCCAAACGAGATGGCAACATCCATCCAACCTCACTATCAACTTGCATACATCCGTCCCTTAGACTACTTCGCACCTATCCAACGCTCAGTCTTGGATGATGACCATAGCAACCTCTTCCATCGACGAGAATGTGGATATCCACTCCTGGCCGCCCGGCACCATCCAGATCGAGACTCGTAAGCACCCGACCAACTCACTGATTATATGCCGTTGCTAAGTATTTTATACAGTCCGCGGCGCCAAAGATGGCGAAATCATTCTTCATCCCACGCCTAGTGCGGATCCAAACGACCCCCTGAATTGGTCAAAGTTGCGCAAATCCATCAACTTCGGCCTCACGTGTTACTACACACTGATGGTTTTCGTTCTGGTCGACATTGCGACCGTTATCTATGGCCCGTTGATGGTCGAGTTCGGATTCGGTATCGAGGTCCTTAATACTGGATTTGGGGCCAACACCGCCAGCTTGGCCGTTGGATGCGTCTTGTTCATCCCCTTTGCTCTCAAATTCGGGCGACGACCTGTGTACTTGGTCAGCTTCGCCTTGTCACTTGCCGCGGCCATCTGGCAAGCGAAGCTGCGAACTGCGGGCGACGTGTACGGCGCGAACGCCGTGTCTGGCCTCGGAGGCAGTATCGCTGAAACAATCTGTCAAATGACGATTTCGGATCTGTTCTATGTGCATCAGCGCGCGACAGCAAATGGCATCTATCTTGGGACTGTCACCACCGGGGCGTTTCTCGGACCTGTTGCTGCCGGGTATATCGCCGATTCGCAGGGATGGCGGTGGATCTGGTGGTGGACTGCTATCTTTCTAGCGGTAGGATTTGTTGCTTTTATCTTCTTGTACGAAGAGACGAAGTACATTCCTCTGATCGATGCAAATGCCCAGTCTCGCGCTTCCACTGGTACCGCTGCAGCCAACGAGTTGACCCCAGCTCCAGCACACGCAGAAGAGGAGAGAGCAGATGACAAGGACTTTGAATCAGACGTCAGGCATTGTCCCCCCGAAGCTCTCGCAGTGGTCACATCCAGAACTGTCAGAACGGCTATTCAGCCCAAGCCGTATTCCCAACGCCTCCGTCTCCTTACAATCACGCCTGGAAGATTCAAGGACTTCATTCGACACGCCTGGCAGCCATTTGTGATCCTATTCACCACCCCAGCTGTCGCGTACACAGCGTTGATATACGGATCATTGCTCGCCTGGTTTACTGTCGTGCTGTCGGTCTTTTCCATCTGTAAGAGACTCCCATTTCTCCACGCATCCGCCAATATAGAAGTTGTCTTTTTTCCTACGTCTCCTTCATTCCGGACCGACTGACCTAAAGACCAGATCTGACGTATCCGCCTTACAACTTCTCCACCTCCGCGGTCGGACTTATGAACCTGGCACCTTTCATCGGCAGTCTCCTGGGCAGCGCCTATGGTGGTCCACTGTCCGACTTTCACATCCTTCGCCTATCGCAAAAGAACAATGGTATCTACGAGCCTGAGATGCGCTTCTGGCTCGCCTTGCCTTGGATTGTGGTCACTCCATTGTCGTTGCTCATGTTCGGTCTCTGCCTCGTCCATGTGAGTTGATTGTCGCTCGCTTCATGTACACCCCGAAGGCTTGCTTATGTATCGAAAACTGAAAACACACTTCACTCGAGATTCGCAATATTGACTGATAATAACAAACTCACTTCAGGGTCTACACTGGATTTCTCTGGCCATTGCGCTGGTCATTTTCGGCACCGGCCTTAACGTCTTCAGCGACGTCGCGCTCACCTACCTGATTGATTCTTACAGGGATGTAAGTAAATTAAAACTCCATTCCTCGTTTATAAGCTTCTTCTACTTCCCTTGTTTTGGAGCATCTGTTACTGTCGTTGACAGATCTTGTCTTTGTCGAACAGATTGTCGGAGATTCTCTTGTCGCCGTAACCTTCGTACGGAATGCCCTTGCCACAGCAGTCGCGATGTCGTTGTCCGACTGGATCGAAGACACTGGTCTCTCTGCAGTATTCATCATCTGTACTGTTGTGTCAGCGGTCATTTTCCTGACTACCATTCCTATGATTATCTGGGGCAAGAATTTCCGCCTTCGAACGGCCAAGAGGTATGTGAGTATGGCGCAGAAGCAGTTCAACACCAATCGGTAATACATACATATACTTGGTTGTAATTACGGTCAAGAGAAAGTGAGAGGGTATAAGCAGTGATGCCACGCAGAGTTGACCAATTTCCAATTGAACCATCCGTTCGTCATGGCTTTATAGCATACCTAAATCTCGTACCTCGCAGAGAAGAGCAAACCCGATTGTATTTACTGCATGCTCACTCCACAGGCATACCAATGTAACCGGCTCGCCCTCAATTTTTTGCGCCCAAGTCGCTGTGACTAGCAATTATGGTGTCCCGCTGAAGTTCCATCCCTCTCCCTAACTGATCGAGACGAGGGTGGTCCAGTCAGCGTGAGCAAAGGTGGGACCGTCACCTTTCCGAGAGGGCGAGAGCCGCCAGCAGCCTACGGGGAGGATACTCCCTACCTCCTCCGGCGCTTTCGGTCGAGAATCATATAGCTAGGTTAATGGCCCTTCTCGTAATGAGATGTTTTAACCTTAATTCCGCCATCGCCGCCATAGCCTTAGGAGTAAATAGAATCGAACTATATAACAGCGCCGACGAGGGTGGTACAACACTCCTTATAGCATACCGTTTAACCTTAATATTACTCCTACTAATATTTATTATCTTAAGGTTAGTAGTAGATATATTACTATAGTATCCTATATCGCTTCCGGTTACGCTAGATAGTTATTATAGTATAGGGCGAGAGGCGCTTACTATATAAATACTTATTTAATTAGATAGTAGTTAAAGTATTAAGATCCTAATCCGGGTAGCTTACAATACTTATTAGTATTTACTAATAAATAGGATAATATATAGTATATAAGTAAAACGAGTAATAATTAAGAGGAATATAAAAGGTATCTCTATATTTAAAACTAAAGTTAACTATAAGGATAGCCCTTATAGTATAGGCCGAACCTTAAGTATATAGTAATAAAATATTCCCTTAGATCTTACTACTCTTAAAGATCTCGCGGATCTTATTAGGTCCCTTAAGATCCCTCTAGGCTAGGAGATCCGTATTACGTAATATACCTCTTTCCTAGTTCCCTAGTATCTATACTAAGTTATCGGGCTACCTTCCTATCCTATAGTATATAAGCGATTAGTGATATATAAAGGTTATATATTCGGCCGCTATACTAATATAACCTAGTTCATAATACCTAGTTTCTTTAGATTCTAGTAATAGGTAGCTATATAGCCGCTCTCACTATATATAATATATATATATAGTATATTCCTACCGGTACGGAATATTTAAGAGGCCTATTATAGTACGGGACCGCCCTACTAACCTATAAGTCCCTATAGAGATAGCCTATTTTACTCTAGATATATATTTTATATATTTAAGTTATATTACTATCGCTATATATTATCTCCTTACTAGTTATTCTAGTAGCTATTTAAATATCTACTACTATTATTCTACCTAGTAGCTAATACTATACCTCTAAGGTTTATATTCTAGAATCCTTAATTTAGGGCCTATATTAAATAGTTATTTCTAGTATCTCTTACTAGAGGATATTAAGATACTAGTTAGTTAATCTTATTAACTATTTTCTCTAGTCCTTTTAAGAATAATTATATTATAGCTATATTCTAGTCTCTAATATTAAATATATTAATTCTAGCTATAGAATAAGACTAAGTATTTTATAGTTCTTTTATATATATTTCTACTAGTACTATAGCCGCTTTAAGAGTAACTATTTTAGTTTAGTCCTCTTTAAAGATAAATATACTAGATACTATCTATTAGAGTTACTAGTCCTCTAACCTATTAATAAGGACTTTAATTAGGATTTTATCTATATCGCGACTAGTATTAGGGAGACTATATTAAATCTTATAGGCTTTCTTAATATATTTATAGACTAATAATAAATCTTATTTTATAGTAACTATATTATAATATATATTTATATTTACTTAAGTCTATAGGTAATAAAGGAAATACTCCTTTAGAGCTATAGCTAGTAGATTAAAGTTATTAATAATTTCCTTATTAAGGCTAGTAAACTATAATTAAGCTATACTATAGAGATTTATAGTAAGATTAGTAGCTATAGCTTAAGATTTCTCTATCTATCTATTTAGCCTAGTAAAGAAGGAGTCCTTTATAATCTATATATTTTAGATAGTATAATAGAATATAGTTAAGTCTATACTACTATCCTCCCCTATAAATTAGAGGACTAGGGACGATATATTATTAAAATAGATTATAGGGATAGATAGACTATTAAATATAGGAGTATTAGTAGATAGTTAAGGCTTATCTTATTCTAGATAGTTAGATACCTTAGAGTATACCTTAGAGTATATAGAACTATCTATACTCTCTAGGTTACTATCCGCCGCTAGGTCGCGGTATATACTCCTTAAATAAGCTAGGATATAAGTTCTAGTAGCTAATAGTAAGGTATAAGATAAGAGTAGTATAAGAGATTAGTTAGATTTTAGTACTTAGGGATTTAGAAGGATATTAAGTTACTATCTACTTCTAGTAAGTAGACTTAGACTCTATAGAGTACTAGAGAGCGTAGAGGACTACTCTAATACTATAGGAGCTAGTATCTATAAGTATAATATTATATTAGAGGGCTATAGCCTTATCTTACTCTAAGCTATATTCTTAGATAATAAATAGTACTATTTTCTATCTAAATTATATAATACTTAGTAGATCTAGGGAATTAAGAGATCTTATATATTAGGCGCTAATAGAAAGAAGAGAACTAGTTAGTTCGCTTAGATCTATAATAGGGATAAAAGAGAGAGAGAGGTTTAAAAAGCTAGGGGGGGAGAAATATTAAGGTTATATAGTTAATTAATATAGCCTATTCTATAACGGAAGGCGTAACTCTAATTATAAGGGTAAGTATACTAAGGCTTAGTAATTACCGGCTAATCCTTAGTTATTATAGCGGTATATATCCTTTAGGTGTATCTTACTCTAGACTAAGATTACTATATCTTTTCCTAGGTCTAATCCTAATTAAAAGATAAATACCTCTCTATACCCTATATAGATAATATATATAGTTTATATCGTACTTCTAGCTAAGAACCGCTCCGGTTTTCCTATAGGAGGAGATATTTATATACTAACTTTAGAATAACCTCCTTACCCTTCTCTCTCTAATAATTAGTATTCTATAGACTTACTATCCTAGGGAGGGGTAGATATATAAACTAGCTTTCGTCTCGTAAATAAAGGCCTTTTCTTAATTTATTAGGAGGAGATAGAGGGAGAGGTAACGGAAGATCTTACTCTACTTTTTAGGGTAGAGGGGATATAACGGCTAAGGCTTCTAGGATTCTAATTAAAATAAAGAATCTAAAATTAGATAGGGTTTACTAATTATAGCCCCTATAGATTAAGATACTCGAAATACGGATAAAAGACCGTATATATAGAATTATATAAGCTATAGAGGATATTATAAAGACTAAGCTAGGGAGAGAGATAGTGTGGAGTGAGATCGTTATAGGAGAGGGAGCTAAAAAGAGAGGGGTTCCTTCCTTAGCTCTACAACGATCTTGGCTCCCAGGCTTTCTGGGATTGGATGAGACTGGATCTTACGGTCACGGGGTCAGAGCGCCCCTCCTCACGGGTTTCGCAATCTGTGTCAAATGGCCTTTGACTCGACACCTGGCACACCTGGCACCACCTGGGATCTGGCTGAGCCGGATGTGTTTGCTTGTTGGCAATCCTTCTCCCTTGTTTGGCTCTGATGGACGGCTAATATTGACCATCCTACGTCAGAGTCATTGCTGACACCCCCGAGTCAGCCGCAACCTACATGAGTGCCCGTCTTTCCTCAACACCTCGAAAATGAATGGCATTTATGACTATTCTCTTATCTAAATCAACCTAGAATGGGTCAAAGACCTCGCCAAAGCCCTGTTCGAGTACGATTGGAAATTCCCTGTTGAGCCATCGGCTATTTTCTCAGGCTACCAGTCACCGTTCAACAGTAAGTCCATCTCAAGTCCGAGCCCCGAGCCTGACCCTGTATTACGGATGCTCGCGGATGCATCGTCAATCATCTTGCCTCCATTGAGCCACTCGACTTGATGTAGCGGAGCCTGATACCTTGTCATACCGCCCGCAACCTACGCTGGCTTCACTGTCCTCTCACAAGTCCTGCACTCTTCAGCCTTTTCTCCAATCGTGCGGATAGCCTGGTCAAAGTGTGATCCGCTCAAAAGTGTACCATTTGCAAAAGCAGATTGTGGCTTACCATATCTCTATTCCGTTTTTATCCTGTCAGATCCCTCTCCATATTGAACCTGTCGCTAATCAGGGCCATGTCCCACTCTTTCAGTGTCGGTCGTACCTCATCATGGCGGCCTTTTCCCGCTTACTCAATCGATATATATCCTTCTCGCTTTGACATGTCCTTCCCTCTCCAGTCCCTCTCAGGAAATACCTCTGTGTGTACCGAGTCCTTCCGCGATCTGCCCTCCACGAGCACCTCCGCAGACAGGTGACAAGGTGGGATCCGTCGAAGTCCGGCCGGAACCTGTCCTGTCAGTGATTGAGCACGTTAATTGTGCATATGAGCAAGACACGGCGCCTTCCCAGGAGGGAGAGGAGATGAAGGCAGTCAAGACCAAGACAACGATCGGGCTGCTGTCTACGATCATCTCGTACATGTGCTTAAACAGTCTCGCTAGAGCCACACACCCGGAAGCATTCATTTGGCAGGATGAGGATAGAGAAGAGGCGACATGGATGGCGACATCCAGATCATGGTTGGATCGCAAGTCGTGCCGATGGCTCGGCATCTGTGGTGGCCGACATATGACATTCATCGGAGAGCTAGACCGGTTTGGACATGACCCAAAACCACCACAGGAAGAGGAAAAAAATCCAGATGACACACCAGACTGGGATTGGCAAAATGCGTGGACGGAAGGCAATGACAGACCCGAAGACTGGTCCGATGACGAGCGAGTCCTGAGAGAAGTACCCGATTACGTCTTGGAATATGCTCCCTTGGTACACCTCTACTCTGGCGAGCAATTTTGGCCTTGCGACATTGCCGAACACCTGTATCATATTACTCCAGCGTTGAACTACACTCCACTCCAATCGGAGCAGACACACCCGACACTCATGAATCTGGATCGGCTCAACCACTGGCAGAATGGGCGATGGGTGTTCCTGACCAGCAATGACGATGTCGAAGAGCGCCCCGAATGGCTCGAAGGAGAGAAAAACATTCCCAACGCTCCTTCCAACCCCGATGACACCTTCGAAGACAACGATGGCTGGGTCCATCGACCTGGGAGGACATATGTCCAGGGTGTCAAAGACGCCATGAAAGATCTCAAGCAATGGTTTAGTTCCGACCTGGTTGACACCGAAGAGGACGACCAGGCTTTCAGGGCGACCCGGTTTGGCAAAACAGATAACTCTCGAGTCTTCCCAGCAGAACATCAGGAAATGAAGCGGTCCCAGTCGACCATAGAAGACGGAGGCAGGATCCGAGGGGGCCGGAGTGATGCCCCTGCCATTTTGATCACTGTCAACAAGGGACATGGCATTGTCGATGCTTTCTGGTTCTTCTTTTATAGCTTCAACCTGGGCAATGTCGTGTTGAATGTTCGATTCGGAAATCACGTGGGTGATTGGGAACATACGGCGGTACGATTCCAGCATGGTGAACCCAAGGCGGTATTCTTTAGTGAGCACAATTTTGGATCCGCCTACAGTTATGCTGCAGTGGAGAAGTTGGGGAAGAGGCCGGTCATCTACTCAGCTTACGGCACACACGCCATGTACTCAACACCGGACACTCACCCTTACATTCTCCCATGGGGAATACTTCACGACCTCACAGACCGGGGACCTCTTTGGGACCCAGCGTTGAACGCACATGCTTATACTTACGACCACAAGAACGACACACTACGTTCTTCTAACCTCACACCAGAGGCCCCCATCGGCTGGTTCGATTTTGCAGGCCATTGGGGAGACAAGTTTTACCCGCTGAGCGACAAACGACAATATCGATTTGCTGGTCAATACCACTACGTAAATGGGCCCTTGGGACCAAAGTTCAAAGATCTCGCACGGAAGAAGATCTGCCCTGGTGGAGATTCTTCTCCATGCGTGATTAAAAACTGGCTGGCTGGATCAGACAAGATTGGACGCTTGCATCTGACGAACGAAGACGGAGAGAACGCCTGGTGATTGAGCTCGATGAGACACTCGTTACCTACGTGAGGAATGCTTTCTAGCACGCTAGCTACTAGCATCATGATACCCAAGATTTGGATTGGCGCGTTTGCATACTGATTTGTGGATGGGCACGAGCCCGAGGACGAAGATATGCAGTCATGTCTCCATTCTCACTTTCCTGTATTTAGTAGACATGTTAAGTTGCAATGACTGGAATGTATGAATTCTGAATCCCATATCTGGGGACGTCAGTTCGACCAGATATGTAACAAGGATGAATGGGGTTGTGGCTGTAGGGATCCTGCAGGTGACATTGAGCGGGGCGGGGTTTTGGGGCCCTCGGGCGTGTCCAGGCGTCACTGAGAACACTAGCGGGCGTCATGTTGTCATGACTATTGAAAGCATTTGGTGTTTGCGGCATTTCAGAAGTGGCGCATCAGCCACTGCATGGCACTTGGGCCACCCGAGTACTAATGAACTGGGCTCAACGACGTCTTCCCCGCCCCAGGCTTCGGGCGGTAAGAGGCCCCTCGGCCCCTAAAACTTGATTCACACCAAGAACACCAACTGACTCGTGGATGCCTTGCACTTGACTTCGCCTCTTCACCAAAGTTTGGTTGCCTGCGCCTACAACTTCCATCCTCCACAACCACTTTCCTGCCTTCTATCACACGATTAATCAATTGTCGGTCTCAGACTCCCTTCCTCTCTCTGGATAAGAAGAAGATCACGGCATCGACGAAACCGAGGGAACAAATCTACATGGGTCCATAACCAAGGTTCTGGCCACAAACGCTCCCCCGTCGTCTTTATGCAACCACCATCCTTGGAATCGTCCACCAATCTTCATGATGCTCTCTTGTCAAGCTTGCCACTTCCTACGGTGATATCAGACATGACTTCCAATAGCACAACTCTTCTCTACAGCATTGCGACGGCTGCCGCGAATGCCATCCAGACATCCACCTCCCCCACCTCGACGGCCGCTGTCTCCAACACCAAACCCGATGAAGAGAACAACGGCGAGTGTAAACTCCTCGGCTCCTTTGCAATTTTCGTGCAAGGCGCGCTTGGAGCTCTCGCTCTGTTGACGCTCGTGTACAAGAGATGGAAAGAACGGCCTCAGCGACCACTAAAAGTGTGGGCGTTCGATGCTTCGAAACAGGTGGTCGGATCAGTCCTACTACATCTGGCTAACGTGGTCATGGCAATGTTTTCTGCTGGGCAGATTTCAGACAGCCTAGCCAAGACCGCAGCATCAGTAGCAGGGGTGAGCACAGAAGACAAGTATCAGCCAAACCCCTGTTCGTGGTACCTGCTGAACCTGGCCATTGACACAACCCTGGGGATACCGATTCTGATAGTGATTCTCAAGGTCCTGACAGTGGGCGCAAGTTATACGCCTTTAGCCAGGCCGAAAGAATCCATCGAATCTGGCAACTACAGCACACCCCCTAAGGCCACCTGGTGGATGAAGCAATGTTTGATATACTTTTTGGGGCTTATGGGAATGAAGAGTTGCGTTTTTGTCATCTTTCAATTGTGCCCCTGGTTGGGTCGGGTCGGTGATTGGGCTTTGGGCTGGACTGAAGGGAACGAAGCTGTGCAGATAGCGTTTGTCATGTTCATCTTTCCGTTGATCATGAACGGCATGCAGTACTACATTATCGATATATTCATCAAGAGGAAGGATACGAGCGAAGATGCAGGATCATCGGAAGACCACGGAGGCCAGGATCAGGATGAACAAGGGCGACTGCTGACAGAGGAACCAGAGCGTGGCACCTCAATTGACGACGATGAAGTGCGCAAAGATGGGCTTTCGACGGAAACACAAAAGATTCCAGCCCAGAAATTATCGGCTTACGCTGCCGACAACGATGTGACAGTTCCCCCGGACTCCGGAAGTTGGGAGGGCGAAAGTAGTCACAGCCACAGTCTCACAAGTCATGCGGAGGAAGAAGGAGTGGAGCACCGACCACGAGTTTGACACCGCTTGGATGCGCGACTTTTGGATCTCTCACAAGACGAATATCAGTGCTAAAAGTTTCATGAGTGCATCACTCGGGCCCTCGATGGTCCAATATTGCGTGATGAACAATGCCCGCCAGACATGTCTCTTTGTTGGGTTGGATTATCCTTTTCTGGGGCAGGAGGCCGGGTACCCATCCCCAGATAACAGAGGTATTCGTTGATCACTGCACTAGCACAAGGTCGGGCAGCCATCTTCATGTACCACGAAAACATCATGTTGCACTGTATATGTATGTTTACGTATCGCCATGTTCTTATATGAGTTTTCCCTGCACATTTTCATCAACTCGTCATCTTAATGGCTGAGGGGAAGATTCAATGACAAACATGGTTTAGGGTGTTTGGACGCCGCATTGGACTACATAGCCGGGTTTAGCCTAGCCTAAGCGGAGTGCAGGTGCGAGTCTGGCCTCTCAAAAGCCCAAGGACACTGACGTTCGATGAGGGCCAACCTGACATTGCGGTCCCCACGATGCCTGCACGTGATGGCAACCAGAGCCCCTCTTGCGCCCTGTGGTCGTTCCTGGGACGACCTAGATCCCCATAAGGATTAGGCCCTGCGTCCCTGGGTCCTACAGCCGAGAAAATTGTTCCTGGCATACGTAGCAGTATATTTGATGCCTCCGCCAGCCAGTCAGGCACTTCAGTCCAGTGGCGAGCAATTAATAGCACTCGCCATCGCAAAGTCTAGTGCCTATCGTGTCTATCGTAGTGGGGCGCTGTGTCTTGGGCCGCCTTCGACTATGCCGTTATGTGATCGCGACTTGCCTCTAATTCCAACTGCGGGGAGAGTTTTCGCAACTCGTGCCACCTTTGCCCTTGTTACTCGAATCTCATGCTACACGCAGTTACATAATTGAACTCTCTTGGATCGAGCCATGTGATGCAAGACGCGCAAATTTTATCCTCGCCGTCACGACCTAAAATGTCTCAAGTGAATATAAAGGGGAAACCCAGAGCGAAACGGCATCCGGCCCGCTGAGTCGCTAATTCTGTCATCAGCTCGAGCCTGCCACCGCCTGCTTATTAGGTAGACGCTCAGTTTTGTTTGTTTCAGCCCCAGATCAGACTCGGCTCTCTTATCGAGATAAAAGTACTCGCTGTAGAGTCACCGCTCCTCGCAACACCCTTTCTATATCTAGAGCGACACCGCTTGCTCCTTCTGTCAATTTGTACTCCCCTGTTGGATCCGGCGTATATTCTTACCCTCCAGCTGAGTCCATCGCTGCATGAGCACAACATATCTGTCCTCACTAGCAACCGCTCGTTGAACCTTTATATCCGCTATTACCCTGACCCTCATTGTGAACCCTTTTCTCCTACTTCCTCTCTTCCCCGTTCCTTTGATAGCCCGCCCAAAATGGCACCTACCACGAGTAACGGCGAGCAGCCGCTCAACCCTGCAAAACACAAACTCGTCGAGCAAGTCATCAGGACTCCGGGCAGACAACCTTCGCCCCAGCCCACAATGCTCTCCGTTCCTGGCGCTTCGCAGTCAAACCAGTCATTGCACCGCATCCTGTCAGACCACAGTTCTGGCTATGTTGCTCCCAAATTTGAGGGCAAGAAGGCTCAAATGGAAGAAGGTGAGTTAATTACTATTTCCACCAAAGAAAGCTGGCAGCAGTACTAATTCGCCGCAGTTATGGACATCATCGAAGAGAAAGGCTTCCTCCCCACCGAATTTGTGGCTTCCGAGACAGAGTGGTTCTACGACACTCTGGGAATCGATGACATGTACTTTTCCACCGAAACTCCTGAAGCAGTCGCTGCCAATATCCTCTCGCTTTACGCTGCAAAGCTCGCCGCCTTTGCTCGAGACGATAAAAAGCTGGAAATTCGGTTGGCAAAGGAGGCGGCAGACCACGCAGTCTACATTGACACAAGTGCTCCAGGAATCAGCGTCATCGACGGCCCCAGATATGAGCAGAGAATAGACGAGAAGTACATCGATGGCTCTACACCAGAGCGCAGTTATCGAGTCGAGTCCTTCAGATCAACAAATGCCCTTCCTGAAAACCCAGGTCAATCTCTGCGCTGCTACTTCATATATCAGTGCGAGTTCAACGTCACCAACCCAAAACCCGATGAGACGGATCTGAACATCATTGCAGAGAAGACATTTCTTCAGAAAGCTACCTCTAACACCAAGGCCGTCTATCAAGAGATCATTAACTATGCTGTCCAGAGAACAGGCCCCGTCATTGAGATGTTCGACATGGAAGGCACACGCGAAAAGCGCCTCGTCATTGCCTACCGACAGGGCTCCGCCATGGGAGTCTTTAGCGCCTTGTCAGATCTCTATCACTACTACGGCGTGACGAGCTCTCGAAAGTACGTTGAACAGTTCTCTAACGGTATCACCGTCATTTCGCTCTACCTCAAACCGGCCACCACCGACATTGCCCGCTTCCCTCCTATCGAAGCCGCAATTCATCAGATTATCAAGGAGGTTTCGTTGTTGTTTTGCATTCCTCACAACAAACTCCAAGGCCAATTTGCCAGCGGCAATCTCAGTCTACAGGAGAGTATTTATGCTCACTGCGTTCATATCTTTGTCCAACAATTTTTGAACCGACTGGGTTCGGAATACACCTCTCTCGTGGCTGCTCTGAAAGGGGATAGCAACACCAATGCTGAGTTGCTCTCTAAAATCAAGAAACGTCTGAGGACGGAAACCTTCACCTCCGAGTATATTCTGGAAATCATCAACAGATATCCAGAACTCATTCGATCCCTCTACCTCTCCTTTGCCAACAGCCACTACGTTCAGACTCGTGGCGAACAAGATGACTTCATCCCCACCCTGAGTTACTTACGCCTCGATATCAACAAGGTCATAGATGACAAAAGCTTGTCTGAGATCATTTCTCGCACTACCACCAACCAACACGATGAAATGGTCATGCAGTATTTCATAATTTTCAACAAGTCGGTCCTCAAGACCAATTTCTACACCCCTACCAAGGTGGCCCTCAGCTTCAGACTCAAACCAAACACAGACTTTTTGCCCGAGCATGAATACCCTCAACCTCTGTACGGCATGTTCTTGGTCATTGGGTCCGAGTTCCGGGGCTTTCATCTACGCTTCAGAGATATCGCTCGAGGCGGTATTCGTATCGTCAAGTCTCGCAACCGAGAAATGTACAATATCAACGCCCGAACTCAGTTTGACGAGAACTACAATTTGGCAAATACACAACAGAGAAAGAACAAAGACATTCCCGAAGGCGGATCCAAGGGAGTGATCCTCCTTGACTACAATCATCAAGAAAAAGCTCGTGTTGCATTCGAGAAATACATCGACAGTATCATGGATCTTCTTTTGCCGCCCACCAGTCCAGGTATCAAGGATCCGATCGTCGATTTCCATGGTCAGCCGGAGATTCTCTTCATGGGACCGGATGAGAATACTGCCAACCTGGTTAATTGGGCTACTGAACATGCCCGAGCCAGAGGCGCTCCCTGGTGGAAGTCCTTCTTCACTGGCAAGAGTCCAACGCTTGGTGGCATTCCTCATGACACGTATGGCATGACAACGCTATCGGTCCGTGAATATGTCAACGGAATCTATCGCAAGCTCAACCTCGACCCGAGCACGATTCGCAAACTCCAAACTGGTGGTCCCGACGGCGATTTGGGATCAAACGAAATCCTCCTTTCCAACGAGAAGTATGTTGCTATCGTTGACGGTGCCGGTGTCCTGGTAGACCCTGCTGGCCTCGACCGCGACGAGCTTGTTCGATTGGCCAAGAAGCGGGTGATGATCAGCGAGTATGACATCTCGAAACTCTCACCTGAAGGCTACCGTGTCCTGGTCGAGGAGTCTAACATTACCCTTCCAAGCGGGGAAAAGGTCAACAACGGCATGTCGTTCCGAAACACCTTCCATCTTCGCGATGGCTCGGATTACGATACCTTTGTTCCTTGTGGAGGTCGGCCCGAATCGATTGATCTCTCTACTGTCGGCAAGTTGATTGTCGATGGTAAATGCACCGTTCCATACATCGTCGAAGGAGCCAATCTGTTCATCACTCAAGATGCTAAGCTCCGGCTTGAGAAGGCTGGATGTGTCCTTTACAAGGACGCATCGGCCAATAAAGGCGGCGTGACGTCTTCATCGCTCGAAGTTCTCGCCAGTCTGTCATTCGATGACAAAAGCTTCATTGAGAACATGTGCAATGGCGCCGACGGTTCAGCACCAGCATTTTACAAGTCCTATGTCAAGGAGGTTCAAGAGACCATCCAACGCAATGCTCGACTCGAGTTCGAGGCCATCTGGCGCGAGCATGAGAAGACCGGTGTGCCCCGATCTCAACTCTCTGATCAACTGTCTCTGGCCATCACCAAGCTCGATGAAGAATTGCAGAATTTCTCCGAGCTTTGGGACAATGAGCCTCTGCGTCTAGCCGTCTTCAAGGAAGCACTGCCACAGACCTTGCAAGCCAAGGTTGGCTTGGACAAGATCTTGGAGCGAGTGCCTGAGAACTACCTCAAGGCCATCTTTGGCAGTTACATGGCTAGTCGGTTCGTCTACGAGTATGGTGCCACGCCCAGTCAATTTGCGTTTTTCGATTTTATGCGCAAGAGACTCGCTGGAGCCATGGTCAATGGGGGTGACAAGTAGATGACTGGGATGCTTGGACGGAATTGATGTTTCATTGATGAAAGTGAAGCTTTTGGTGGATCATGGGTTGGAGACGGAGATGGAATGACACGATATGAAACAACTCTGTCTCACGAACAACGTTGGGTTTTTCTTTCTTCCTCTCGTCAATCTTGATTTTCGCATTCTTTTTTCTCTTTCTCGTAGCTACTACAAACGAAAGACACATGGGGCAAAGGTGCCAAATTAGACAGTAGGCTGCATTCAGGTGTGCAGCCTCGAATGCAGGGCGAGGTCTATGGTTTGGTTTGGTTTGGTTCGGTTCGGACAGGCTGAGGATTCAAGATAGCAAGGATGGAGATCAGTCTAAGGAGAGATAAAATATCCATATATCCTGATCAGAGGGCTTCGGTCTACAAAACCACAGCAGAGATCTACCAGGCGTGTATTTCATGAGTTTTCAATGATGATGATAATGATGATGTTATATTCAATGACGCTAGATTGCCATACAATGTAGGACGTGAATTCTACTTAGAGAGAATCAATTCCTTCTCTGATGCATTCAAATCTTTCATGTTTCATCGGGGCTACTCAGTCAAGTTAACTCATCATACTCTCATCCGCGCTATCCTCACCGACTGGCTGTGTCTCAGTTCCAAGGGAGGCTGCAGCGGCATCTTGTTTCTTGCGCTTCTCACGTTCTTTACGCTTGACTTTCTTCTCGCGATTACGACGCGTGCGTTTCTCCCGCTCAGCCTCATCGGCAGCTTTGGCCTTTTCAACTAGATCGGCTTGTGCGGCTGAGCGACGCCGGAGGACAAGACGTCGTTTTTTGGATGGACGGGGGTTGATGCGCTGGGGGCGAGATGATGATGATGGTTGTGTTGAGGATCTCGAGGTTGTTGTCGGTGTTGGTGTTTTCGTGGGCTGAGCTAACTTAACGTGGATTACTCGCCATGGAAGGCTTGTACCAGGCCATTTCGTGGATTTGGCTCGTGTTAGAATGTCTGTTGTAGAGAGTGCCGTCTCGCTATATTGCGAAGACAGTCTTGAGAGAGTGGATGTTGGTAGAGCAGATGTAAAGTAATATGAATCTGGTCGTCGAGGTCGCAAGAATTGAGTTTTATGCAATGAGATGTTGTCAATCAAGTTCAAGTTGTCGGCCGATGGAGGTGGCGTGGCTGAAAGACGTATCGTGTCTTTGCTGGCAGCTGCGGCGACAGGAGTAGCAGCGTCGGCGGTGGACTTTGAGAGCCCTGAAGATGGATGTGCGCTGAAGAGGCGGAATTGATATGTCGTCTCCCCGTCCTCATCTTCATGTTGCGGATCCTTGGGGTCAGGGCTTTGCTCTGGAATTGTTGAGGCGAGAGGATTCTCGGTTTGATTATTTGATTTGGCGGGATCGCGTGACGAAAGAGTGGTAGGTGGTGTGATGAAGTCATATTCGAATCCATAGTCAATTTCGATGTCCGAGTGATCGTCAACGTCTTTGGAGGGTGATGTTCTTGATCCGTCATCGGAGACTTCAGAGTCCTCATGATGATTGAAATTTTCTGAGCGTTTCATCCTTTTTTTATCCCCGAGATCTAGAGTCGAATCCTTTTAATATCTGTATAATAGGTTTTCGGAGAATGAGCGACTCACCTCTTAGCATTTGGCACTGTGAACATTTTGGAGGTCTGATATAATATGGTAGATGTTGGATTTCCGTTCGTCTAGAAGCTATAGAGATACTTCGATGGAGGTGCCTTCAACATTGTTTCGCATATTTGATAGTTGAAATGAGATGTCGTCAGAAACCGGGTCTGGTGTTGGTGGAATGTCGTCGGTGGAAATCTCGAGGTCGTCGATCAAAATTCTTTGGTGGATTGCCACGTGATATCCACCACCAATTTTCAACTCAACTACTCTGTACGCAGTTTACTCCATTCGAGTTCAAAGATGCATCAATCAACATCAACCGACTCCACCACCACAAGCCACCACATCCAACGTACAAATTTGGAGGCCTAGAGGGCCGAACCGGCAGGTTGTGTGCTCGTTATGGCCCGATAGCTGGCTGGGTTTCTCGGGAGTCTCGTGGCATTGCGCCCTTAAGCCAAGCGAGTACAATGAACCAATCCCCTTTCTTGTATGTAGCAGGTGTACTTTATTCCAGCTTCATTTCACACCGGGTCCAAGGTCAACCCCCCGGCAGTCAACCATGCCACCCTTTCAACAGCGGCAGACAGATGTGGCTGTTCCCTTATCACTCTCCCTCGCTTCCGCACACTGACAGGTAAAGCCTATCTTTCTCACTCACTATGCCTTTCATGCTCATACCGCTTTGAGGCGCAGCCTCGTGTGACTCCCAAACCTGATGCTGCCTCATTGACTCCCAAGCCTGATGCCGCCTCAGTGACTCCCCCTCTTCTTCTTGCCCTTGCTATGAGTTGAAACTTCGTTGTATCTATCCTGCTCCCTTACCACATCCTGCCTTACCACTGTGTTACCTATCTCCTTCACCATGTCCGGAGTCGGCGAGATCCTCGCCATCGTCAGTTGCGTTGCAGGGCTTATTCAAGCCTACGATGCAGGCGCCCGCATCGTCAGACAGATCAAACAAAGGCGCCAGGCACATGGCGCCTTGCCTCCCTCGGACTTGCTCGAGGAGTCCATTGAGAAGGGAAGGGTGGAGATCACGAAAATGGTTGAGGAAGGCAATAAACGATTTGGACCCAGTTTCGAGGAGGGCGACAGTAAGCAGAGTCCACGTGCTCCAGCAGGCAGACATTTGAAACTGACAAGCTTCACAGCCATCGCCCAAATGGCCCTCATGAGAGTCACCATTGCCACCCAGCAAGCTCTCCTCGCCGGCTTGACGCAAGCCCGAGACGACGATGGCATCATCGACTTCGATGACTGTATAGACACCTCCGATCAAGGCCGCAATGAGGCTCTGCTCGCCCTCCATGCCCTTTTTCAACGAAAGCTTGAGGAGGACATGCAAAGGAAGAAGGTTGTAACTGAACAAGCACAACGTCCTGTAGAGTCCCCCAAGGACTCCAAGCCTCCGCCATACCAGCCTCAAGCCACTCCTTCAGATTCAAGTCGTTTACCGGCATCGACACACCCCACAGAACCTACACCTGCAGCAAACTCAAATACCAAACTCAAAAAATCAAAGACATTTTCAGAGGTAGTCTTCAGGCGCAAGTCAAGTAACGAGAGTCCACCGAAACCGACAAGCACCAAGCTGGCCTCGGAAGGGCTCACACAGCAAATTTCTCCTCAACAATCACAACAAGAGATTGTACATCTGAACCCAGTCACTCGTCGCAATACGAACAACTCCACCACATCTTATGCGACGTGGTCCAGCGGCTCAAGTGGAACCTCAGATGTGACACTTGGCCGTCCAACATCCATGGGTCGTCCCAACAGCATAGCATCTTCTGTCGGATCCCATACTCGACGAAATACTGCCATGTCTACCATATCTGGGATGACTGCTATATCTACCATTTCGTCAATGTCAAGTCTGTCCACAGCCACCCATATTGCCAAGTACGGTGGCTGCTGCAAATATGCGTACGAGCTCCGAGAAGGCAAAGTCAAGAAAGCTCTCATGCTACAGTTGCAGGGCTTCTATGGGACGGGCGGAGGTCGTTTCATATGCTACAGCAGCAAATGCGAATTCTCTGGACCGGCTTTGAAAGACAAAGGGGGTTATAAGATGTTCGATAAGGTCTTGACCGCACGATGTGGGCTGCGATATCACTGGCTATTCTTGGCCAAATCACATGTTCAGCAATTGGACCCTCGGTATGCATCTTACCGGTGTCTGCCATGTCTGTTGTCCAAGGAGGAGTCGGTGCTCTATCACGACGAAGGCGAACTCTTTGAGCATCTCGCCGAACATCAAGGGATATATGTGGGCAGCACTATACTGGAAGGTCGATTGAAGTTCACCAACAATGGCGCATTTGTGTGTGCAGATTCAGATTTTGACATCGAATATCCGGCGCCAATCCCGGTGGCGCCAGTGCAATCATCAGACAAAGAGATTGCTGTCGTTGTGTCGGCCACCGTGCCTGCGGGACGGAGTAAGCCTGAAGACAGCCGACCCCCTCCTCCACGTACAGTATATACATATGATGAACAACCCGATGACAATCCATGGTTATAAGAGAAGGACAGGATCAACTGGGGGTTTATTCATTCCTCTAGATATGATGATACTGCAAATTGAGAGCGAGAGCTATTTTCGCAGTTGCCTGAAAAGGATTTCTTCTACAAATCGCTGCCAATGATTAGGTGGTGAACAGTGAGAAAGACCACACCTTTCAGTCTATTACAAATGCTCATGTAGGACAGTCTGATCATGACCACACATGAAACAAAGGGGAAGCATGAATATATATACCCGTGGCGATGTCACCACGGCTTCCGTCCCGGCATATCCTCGGATCAACTTAATTCCGCACGAACGGGAGTGGGCCTCCACAAACTCCATCAGCGCCAGACAGACGTTCACGAGAGAGTCGGTCAATTGGACTTCTACAGAATTATTAATCCATATGTCGAGTAGCTAATGCCCTCTTACACCCGAGGAACTTATTTCTTTTGGCTGAAAGCTTGAGGTGACATCCTAATTGTGTTATCAGATACGCCATAGCGGGGCATCGATAGGCTTCGTCACTCCCCAATTAAATTTTCTCCAGTCGTCACAATCTTGAGCCTCCATCCGGAATCAAGAAATTTCCTCTACGGCTGAATCAAGTCATCAATCAAGTCCCCTGATAATCCTATCTCAGAGATCGGCTGCTCTAGAACATCATGTCGGAAGAAAATGTTCCAACCACATATCCAGGTATGTCCCACCCCTCCTGTCAAACTGATATTTAACGACATCCTCCCTCTCCCGGCCCACTTCCTGTATCTCAAGACCCTCTGTGGAATGGCCTCATCCCCCGCACTACATCCTGTCGGTCTCGATATTTGGTCAAGTCAACTCACACAACCACAGACCCAGTCCATATTGGTGTCATCGGCGGCACAGGTCTAGACCATTTACCGCACTTTACCAAAGCCGCCGTGGTCGATCTTGACACTCCGTGGGGAAAACCGTCGTCGCCGATCACGATTCTCGAGCACCCGTCGCCCACCACCGGAAAGCCGATCCCCATCGCCTTCATTGCGCGTCACGGCCTACACCACCAGTATCTACCGTCTGATATCCCTGTGCGAGCCAACATCGCAGCACTTCGCAAACTCGGCGTTCGCTCCATCATTGCCTTCTCTGCCGCGGGATCACTTGCCGAGGAGGTCAAGCCCCGTGACTTTGTCGTCCCAGACCAGGCTATCGATCGCACAAAGGGCATCAGGCCTCATACCTTCTTCGAGGATGGCTTCGTGCTCCATGTCCCTTTTGCCGATCCTTTTGATAACCGCATCGGCGATGTCGTTCGAAAGTGTGGCCACAGCCTCGAGGGAGACGGAGTGGTCTTGCACGACAACGGGACCTTGATTGTCATGGGTATGTTCATCTCCATCCTTTCTGCTAATCAACTGCTTTGCAAGGTCGAAGACTACCAGCGATGAGAGAGCAAGGCTGACGTCTCCCACCCCTTGGGGTTGGATATAGAGGGACCTCAATTCAGCACCCGAGCCGAGTCAAATTTATATCGATCCTGGGGCGGTACCATCATTAACATGTCGACCCTGCCTGAAGCCAAGTTGGCCGCAGAGGCAGAGATCGCCTATCAAGTCATCATCATGAGCACAGATTACGATGTAAGTGGCCTGTGTGTGAATTCTAACAACCTGTCGACACCATTATTCCACTCCCATCTATACCACAACCTCCCTTTCCTGGACCATTTCACTAATCATCCCATTCGCTATTACAATAGTGCTGGCACGACTCAGGCGACGTGACCGTGGAAATGGTCATGGGACATATGCGAGCCAACGCCGTCAATGCGCGACGTTTCATCGCCGCCGTGCTCGACGAACTGTCCAAGGAAGAACACTCGGAGCTGGTTCAGGCCACTCATTTGGCCGGTCAACGCAAGTTCGGCATCTCAACAAGTCCCGCTGGGCGAAGTAAGGCTGCCCTGGAGAAATTGGACTGGTTGTTTCCAGGATACTTCACGTGACCTGAATGATAGCAGAGACGAGTAACATCAAGATGGGGAAGAAAGGATGGAGTAGATGCAAGCCCTATCTAATGTTTGATGTGAAGAATGAGAATGAGAATTGGATTCGAACAAAGAAATACTGGATCTACGAACACATGGATAGATATGGTTCCAAGGAACGTTGGTGACAACCAGACAAGGCATCCGGAGGGATGGAAAGGATGTTGGAGATCTGTCGTACATCGTCTTCAACAGTCCAACCCTTCTTTTGAAATCGTTGTCATGTTTCATGCACATATGGGCAAGTTACACATGGTGTTGGCGGACGGTTCAGCACCGTCCGTCAATTTCGTATAGATAGAGAGCGATATTGTCATTTGTGTCGAATTGTCGAAATGGAATCGATTATCACATAAACCGGCCTTTCCATTGACCGACTTCTGGCATTCCATTTCGAAATCCAGCACGTCCATCGCCTCCCTTGACAGCAGTCCTTTCAAAACATATCCTGTGGACAAATGACGACATATTATAAACTTGTTACTAGGTCGCAACTCCCATGTTATCAACAAATTTTGGAAAAGGAAATTGAACAAACATGCAGAATCGAATTCTCGGTATGAATCAACATGAGAAATACCCAAATCGTAAAGAGGCATTCTTTGCCAAGGGTCAAAATAGACTTCATCAACTAGTTCTATGCCACCGATGCCCGATGATAAGTGACTTCTGAATTTCGATCTCGGTCACAGGTCTCGGATCACACGGTATCGTCAGCAGGGACGCTAGGAGATGTCGCGATGAGGTCAGCGGCTTCATCAATGCGACAACTGCTGGTCCGAGTTGCATTGATCACAGGGACAGAGCTACGCATACAACGGGAGCCAGGTTGGAACGTTGGCGAAGCCTTGCATGTCTGGGCGTCCAAAACAGTACAACGTCTGCGTTGGTCTGCAAGCGCGTTCTAAGATGACGAAAAGGCGATGATATGATGTCATGTAACGATTAATTCTTCCGGGTCAACAAGGCTGAGGAGATTTGATGACCTACTCCGTAGAGGGTAGAGAAAGGTCAATTTAAGCAAGCCCTGATCTGCGGGATCTGGGGACGATCGATGCAAGGAGAAAGGAAGATCCATGAAGGGAATGTCGATGGACGCGGCCGTGTTATTATTACTCGGCGACTGGGCCACCGCGGTCATCCTTGTTGGGATCGTAGCTTCGTCAAATTGGTTTGTGGCGAATTGGCCCGTAGCCGTGCACAAGGGAGGCGGTTGTCATGTCCGTCAAATGTCCGCGTTGACGAACTATCAGGTTCTAGGTTGTCGAAATTTGTGGACGAAGCCCACGTGAACCAAGTCTCCATCCCGTTCGGACTCATGCGTCCCTGCATCAATCGTTTTAGTTAAATAAAATTCAATTGCATGCTATTTTGGGCATCCCTTGACGTTACGGAGTAGATGAGGCGGCACGGGGCAGGAGAAGATTAGTTACCAAGCCTTTTGTGACTGATTCCAGGTTGATGGGAATTTGCCTCCAATATCTGGACGGGAACTAATATTGCTTAAGAGGAAAAACTTTCGAATTTAATCAATTAATGAAATTTTGATTACCAGCTGTAGACCCACGAGGGGCCAACGACCCAGAGACAAGAGCAGAGAGTTGGATAGAGGAGAAGACGGGAGATCACAGTCACGTGTTGACGTAGCATTTTCGTGCTGGCGCGTTGTTTACATCTGTTCTTGGCGACGCGTCTTCTCGAGACAACAGATGGAAACCACGTCTGGCAGTCACTTCCCGCCAAGGGTATTTGGAAAGAGCATCGAGATCAATGACCTCATAATCCCATCAGTTCATCAGCGATGAGTACTCCGTAGTCTGCTGACCTCTTTGTCAAAAATACCTGGTGCTAGTGGATCTTGGTACCAAGAGTGGCTTGTCCTTCGTCGTCAGCAGGCTCTGTCATTGTTTCATGCACAATCTACCGATGCTTCGACAGGGGTTAGCTTACGAGATAGCATGCCTTGTTCGGGCTGAAAAATTCATGAGCAAATTCAGACCACGGTTCCTTTGAGCGGGGTAGCTCCTATCTCCGCTGTAAAGAACTCGTCTACAGAGCCGGTCTGAATCTGCCCCGAACTTGAAGCAAGAAACAGGTTAGCCGGCACGCGTGATAATGCTGAAAAACTGCATCACCAACCTACTAGTTCGAGACGGTTGTGTCATGATGTAAGCGAGGTATGATTTGACCCACAGAATCTTGCTCAAGATCTCGATCACGTTAGACGTTAGGCGTCTGAAAACGGAGATGATGTTGGTAGAAGTCCAAACTTGGAATGATTGACATTGGTATTGGACTGCATGACGTCGAATTATCGAAAAGAAGAACGTCCAAGAATGCCAGCATTGCAAGGACAAGAACTTCAGAATAAGTTTTGCACCTCAGAGAAGAAAAGACCAAGAGTAACGTGGGGGAACAAGGGTTGCGATGGGTAATCGTTAAGCGAGAATCGAGGGCAGCTGAATGGAGCTTACTGCCGTTCAATTGTCCTACTACCCTGAAACTGCGTTCTCCATTACCCAGAGGAAATTCTGCAGGAAAAACGAACCGACTTGTGCTTCATGGAGCTGCAACTTGTCCTGGAGACTTTAGCCAGACGTGACAGCCACGACAGGGCAGGGTGGTGAAAACAACTTTTCGAGTTACATTTCTGCAACGTTGACTACGGATAGTAGGACGCATGCGAGAAGATTACGGGACGCAGCTGACCACCAATGATGTTTGCTACCAGTGCTAGTTAGCAGGGTGTCCCTGTGAACAGGAAGCCACAAGCGAAGATGTGAAGCGTCTAAATTCGGGGCTAGACTCGATCCATACTGCTAGATAGATCAAGACGATAACACTGATTGTTGAATGGCGCAATTATTGGGCGGAGCACCTGGGAAAGTCGAAACTCGCAAGCAGAATCCTCCAAACACGCGATGCCGTGTGTCTATGAGAGAAGCACGAGGGGACGAATGACTCGTGAGCTATGAACTGTCAAGGATACTCCTTGGAGCATGTGCAAGAGACACATTCTCGGGAAGATGGAATGAGGGTAATTGAAAGTTCTAGACTTTGATTGCCATGCGTGCCATGTTTAACTGCTCTGTGCCGACCTCACAGGGCAAGACATTCCTTTCATCATTCCCACCATCAGGTCAAGCTGGATCGATAAGCCCATTTCCGCACGCGCCGGATTCTTGGGTGAGCTGGCAATATGTTGTTTCCCGAGATGGTGTGCCTCGTATCTGTCGACTGACATCGAACACAACACCAACACATGAACTCAACGGTCTAACTTAGCGCGACCTTCCATGGTGCACAGTCTAATAAGGTGGCCCTAAGCCTATGGGGCAGTGAATCTGATAGGCAGGTACCAGTCGGTCATCGCACAGGGCAACCTCGACGGAGGCTCGGAAAAATCCTTGCTGTCCCTGACATCAAGACACAGCCAGCTGAAGACAGGACGTACAAAAGCAGTCTAGTTGATGGGGATGAAGCACTAATAGACGAAACAACGTTTGACGCTGGTCCGGATCGAGAACATTGTCGATAACCTCAAACCCAACCGAGAAATGGTACATCCCATCGGGTGCAGAAATAGAAGACATGGCAAAGATGAAAGACTGGAGTAGAAAGCCCTGTCACTACCTAACAATGACATGTTTGTGGTTGACACCATGGTGAAGATCCGAGGGTGCCCCAAAAACAAGGCAGGCAAGCCCACGAAACCAAGTAGCGTTTGCAAAATAAATCTCCCGCCCGCGTGTTCTGGCTCTGATGAAAGGATCGCAACAATAGTAATAATAATCATACGCGATATTAATTAAGACGGAAATACCGAGGCGCTCTGTCTGAAAGATGGAGCAACATCATTATTGTCCTTATGGGCCAGTTTGTGGCTTCGTTGGCGCTCGCGCTTCTTCAAGGAATCCGGAGTCCAGGAGATGAAAAGTCTAGCCCGGGAAATATTGGGTGTCAACGGCAGCTGGCGTGGTGGGGATGGCCGGGCGTGCCTGGGACATATTGCGCTAGGCGTACGTCAAGCTTGATTCGAAAGGAATTGTCTAAGCTGCCATGGGGCTGATCTAACTAAGAAGAGATTTCCTTTAGGCAAGCAATTGGTGGGTAGAAACAGAGGTCTGTGTGACATTCGAGGATTCACCCAGACGGCGGCGTGGAGGGGCCATATCCATAGGTACCTAGGTTAGGTACGCAAGGCCCGAGGGCCCCCTCGACCCTGTGCCCCCGCGAGCCCATCAAGCCCATGTCGTTCCAAGGTCCAACCCAAGTACAAACTGAGGGTGCTGTGCCAGTCTGCCAGCCGTGCTAGGCCCACCTCATCCACCTACTCCACAGAGCCATCAGTGCCCTCAGTAGCCTACGGCCGGGCAACCTGTCGCCCACTGGCCCAACCCGTCTGTGGGATGCTTATCCGCTTTTCTTTTTCCCGAGAAGAACGCGACCACTGGCAAGGCGTGCCAGGCTTTACGAAACGGAGGAACAGGCGTCTTGAGGGCCTCCGAAGGAAGAGCCGGCCCCCTCTGGTTGCTCCTCTATTGGTGGGCGGTTAGAAGTCCACCGTGCCTATTCACCAGCCAACCACGTCCCCACATGGCTAATCGTCGCTGTGGCCGATGACCTTCAGCAATCCAGAATCCTGATTCATCACCGCCATACCCGTAACCGCAGGCCAAGCTCAACCTGAAGCTGGCTCCAGTTTCCTGGCTTCGCTTTGGGATTTATTGACTCCAGTTTCCAGACAAGAGCCTGCTCATACCTCAGGTGCAGTGCAGTGCCTGTCGCTCCTCACTACTGTGGGCTGTTACTTAGTACCGTGGTTATTCATCGCTGGTTCCGCTCTGGACGTCACTTCTCCGACTTTGTTCAAAGGCACCTTGGTGACACTCGATGCTGCCCAGCAACAACCATCACCACCGCTTCCTCTCTTAAACCTCTCCTCCCTCTCCCTCCTCTTCTTCGAGCCATCGACTATCTGGTCGTGGCCACCTCTCGCTCTCTTCGATCCCGACGCTACATCCATCTCCATCTTGCATGCTTCACTCCAGGTCCCTGGCTAGCAGCAACGCCACCAACAGCACAACCACCGCCTCCAACATCATTCTACTCTCAGGTCAACCACCGTGCCACTCTTGTCCAGGCTTCTTTTTGAGTGGAAACATCGGCGTTGGCACCAGTTGATCCTTGCGTGACTTCCTGTCTCCTCGACCTCGAAGCCATTAACGGGCACGGACCTGTCAGAACAGAACCTTGCACTTGCAGTCGGCACTTCTCACTCTCTCAACATCCGACCGCCGACTTGCCCTCCACGCCATTGTGGAACAAGACCGTCTGGGATACACCGCAACTCATTCACTCTTAAGTTCCCGCGTCCCACGACCATCTTCTTCGGGAATCGACTTGTGGCAAGTCTGGGATACCACTTTCGTGGACAGAGGCTGCAACGGTCTATACCATGACCATGATCGAGGCTTCATCACCACTTGCTGCCATGCAGCCGCCGTCGTTCTTGGGTCATTGTGGTGGCTTCAGAGTCGATGCTCCTCCATCATATGCTGCCTTTACTGGCCAGTCCTATGGATCTAATACCTTCAACTTCAGGGACTTGTCGATGAAGAGATCCGTACCTAAGCATCCGGACTATTTCAGCATGAAACCCGTGCGAGGTTCCTCCCCAACCGCGAGTCTAGCGGCAGATCTCTCTCAAAATTTCCATATCGACCAGAGGTATGAAAGCTAGCACGTACAAAAATGCCTCCAACTGACATCTGCTAGCCCGCAGTTACCTACGCCTCGAAGAGCCCTTTTCTCCCACTCCTTGGATAATCATCGTAAGTTTGATCGCACATCAACTTTACCAGGCTTCGAGAGACTGAACTTCATTTAGGACTCGTCACAACACCCCCCATCCCCTCATCTTCGCCAGGATGTCAAGATATCATGGATATGGACCTCTCACCGCTGCCACACAAGGCCCCTTTCACCGCTGTCCAGTACCAATTACAATCACCCACTCCAGACCTCACTCCCGCAGAGGACTCTTGTTCTTCAATGTTCTCATCTGCTTCCATCTCACCTGCTGAGCCTCTGCAAATCGCCTTTCCTACCGACAAGAGAAAACTTAGTCTCCTGCGCCCGTGCCTGACTAGGGTCAAAAATCACAGCACCAGCAGCTTACCTCAGAAGTCAGACTCTGAGTCTCAGCTCCCTCCTTTCAGATTTGGAAATTACTCATCCAAACCTGCAACATCCTCTTCTCTCTCGCTCTCGGAGATTTTCGCCGACTCTCCTACACAGGAAAAGCGATCACCGCGCCTCACACTCGCTGGACTTAACATTCCACGCAGTCGAGCAAACCTTGCCTTCTCGAATTCTTCATCTCGCAACGCGTCTCCGATGGGCGGCCATTTGAGAAAGAACTCAAACCCACTCATGAGACCGCGGAAACAGTTTCGGCGGTCTTTGAGCATGTTCGAGCATCCAGAGGACGTTATGAGACAGGAGAAGGAGCGGATGAGCCCACCTCCATCATTACTACCATCTATCATGGATGTTGAGACCCCGTATGTCCCTCAGCTGCCCCATTTCCAGCCAGATGGAGAGGCCGGTGCTCTTCCCCGGATCACAAAAGAGACCATGGTGAATATCCTCGATGGCAATTATAATTCGCTGTACGAAAAGCTTGTTATTGTTGACTGTCGATTCGAGTACGAGTACGAAGGCGGCCACATCGAAGGTGCTGTAAACTTCAACGACAAGGAGCAACTGTCATCGCAACTGTTTGATGTGGAGCCAACCTCTAAAGCTCTTCTGATCTTTCACTGCGAGTACTCGGCCCACCGGGCACCTCTCATGGCAAAGTTCATACGAAACAAAGACCGCACCGTCAATGCCGACCGATACCCTGCTCTCACCTACCCAGAAGCGTATATCCTCGACGGTGGATACAGTACGTTTTTCAAAGATCACCAGGATCGATGTTACCCCCAAAATTACGTCGAGATGGACGCCAAAGAACACGTTCTGGACTGTGAACGCGGCCTGGGAAAGGTCAAACAGCGGTCCAAACTGGTTCGAGCTCAAACTTTTGCATTTGGTCAACACTCGCCGTCGATTGACTCTAGTCCTACTGCCATGGGTCGGAGTAGAATCGACAGTGACATGGATCTTGACATGGGTCTTGAGTACACTCCAGTCCCTGCCTTGCGTTCGGGCGTTGATCTTCTTCGAGGACGCAACCACCGAATGCTTTCATATTAGCGACTTTCAATTTTCTTCTTTTTCAAAGCTTTGCATTTAGCCTGGCGTCCCGGAGCGAAAATGCATTCTTCAGATTTCTTGGGGGACCCGGATTGAATCCATATTTCGGAGAGTGAGTGTAGTTTAGGGCCCAGGGCTCTTTTATGGCTTTTGGCAGCATCAAATGCTTCGCCACAGCGTTGGCGTGGCACTTGGCGATGCTCTTTCTTCGAACTTGTGCATCACAGGTTCACCTTCTAGCTCCTAGAACTTGTCCGCATTGGAGGCTCTACCCGACGTCTTGGAGTCGACGACCTCAATGCTATGACCTGGACCTGAAAATATGGTCAGAAATATGACATCTTGTCCTCCAATTACAATCTTTATCATGCCTGATACAGCAACGCGCAACCCATCTCAAGCGGGGAGTGTTTGCAACTAAGTCAAAAGTGCATCTCACGGTCGCAAATCTCACCATCAAACAAAGTACACATGCTCGACTGTCGATCTTTTCTCTGGGCAAAGGCTTCAGTTACGCTCACTACTCGGTGTTATCCACCGCAGATGTACTTCTCAGGTCTTGATGTATTGTTGCTCTGCATGGATTGGGAATTGCAGTCATTCATTATTGGACGATAAGTAGCTTCTCGTCCTTGTATGTACCAGACATAGCACTGTACATACATATGTATGCACCCCTGCATTATGCATATCCGACAGGACAAGGGCACATGGGGTACACGCAACTTGCATCACATGACCTAGGGGCAACAATAGGGCATGCAGAATCAGATAGGGCTAGTGGATTGATCCATGAAACATTCATTATGGAGACAGAAATACAGTAGCAGGCGGCCATTGTCGATATTGGACCTTCCAAGCCGTCAGTGGTGAATAGATAGTCCTACTGTATCTTCCGTTCCAAGCAAGGAATGGACACATTGTTGATAGCTCAGTGACGCCCAATCACCGATACAGGTGATGGGTGGTCCGGCCTATTACATGATACAAGACTCATCAACAGGCATCTATATATTATATTCCTTTTGGTGTAACTAGGGGATATACATTGAAGACACTGAAAGCATCACTCATAGCACGCTCTCCGCCATGTTCACTGATTCATGGCACTCGTTCTTTGCTGGAGCCATGAAAATTAATTATATCGTTGAAACCACCACAGGCCAGCTGGGATCGTCCCCGGAGGCATCGTTGAGAAGTTGATAGATGCAGTAACTCCATATGGGTTGGGCCGATCAGGTTCCATGATGGAACGCCAACACCAACGCGGTTTGTTGGAGATAAGGTGGAGGTCGCCGGCCCCCCCCCCCCCCTGAAATTGGACAGCCTCGTCATCCCATGGGTCTCTCTCGCTTCACATTTTACCCTTAAGAATTTCCGTCTCCCACATCCCACTTACAGCCTTGCACAAACCCACAAATTCTGGATTTATGATAGCTCTGCAAAAGACTTCCTTGACAGCTGGAATACGTGCAGCTTCTGAACTTTCAGCCCATGCTCTGAGTTGTTCCTCGGCACTGGTGAAGCGTGGATCCATTGAAATGGTACAATCCATGTTAGAAACAGGTTGCGGCATTTTGGAGTGACTGGAATCAAATCCATGAATGTCATTGGGATGTATAGCAACATCTTGCATGCTCATGGGGCGGGATCGCTAGGCCTGGCCTGTGATCACATGCTTAGTAGCGGAAGACTGCTCGACCAGACCTGGTGATCGGGGAGTATGTGTTTGGATCATTTGATAGGCAGGAGTGCATGGTACTGCTGCATCACCTTCGGTGCCTGTGCAAGTCTCTGGAACCTCGAGACTTGGTTGACCATCCGTGTTTGAGATTGAGGTTGAACGTGTGATATGTACCTTCTTGGAGAGAGATTGAACTTTTGGAGGGGGCCTTTGTTGTCGGTTTGGATTGTCTTTGCTGATAGCATCGCGTGCGATTATGCTAGCGGATCGAGTTACACGTCTGTTGACGACCTTGTTTGGTTGGGCTAGTAACTCTTCGACGCTAGGCACTACTATTTCTGCAGAGTCTTTCGTGTTGGCTTTACCACGCCCGGTAGCACGCGATCTCTTGGCTGGAGGCTGTTTGGCAGTTGAAATCCTGATGGCAGGCCTTTTGTTGGACTTCTGTGTATGTGAAGGTGGGAGTCGATCCTCCGACAAACCGTTTTCGACACTTGTTTGAGACACGGGTGGGTTGTCGGCGTCGTTCGATGGATCGATTTGACCTGCTTTCGACTTTGGCTTTGAGAACGGTAACTCTCTCTTCGGGGGAAGAGAAAGACCAAACTCTTCTGCGTCGAGCGGTTTTGCTGGGAGATTGACTAGAGAATCATGGTGAGACAAGCTATTGGGGCAGAAGGGCGGATAATACCATGAGATAGTTTTTCTCGTCCATCCGAGGTTTCATTGACGGCATCTGCATCAAGTGTTGTCCTAGCATTCGAGCGAAGGACTGATGTATACGCATGACTGTCGGGAATCTTGGCGTTCGTGGTTTGCAGTTTGGGTACAGGAAAGGTTTTCAAGGGTGATACCCCTGGAGTCGGTGGCTGCTGTTGATTGGGGGAAGCTGGAAGCACCGTTGAAGAGACAATCGAGGGTCGGGGGTTGTGAGCTGAGACTTCATGGTGGATCTCTCCCCTACTGCGGGACGCAACCGAATATGGAAGGCCGATGTTGGAGACTGAGTCACTTGGAAGGAGGTTCGGGATGGACTGGGGAGCGGGTGGCGGAGGCTTTGATGTTGGAAAGGCTCCAGCCTCAACAGTCGGAACATTTGCTCGGGCCAAGTTCTTCATGGCTTCGTAATAATTCTCCTTGGAAGAAAAGCGGACTTGGAAGCGATGAATCTATGATACAGTGAGCAAGGAATAGAATGAAGGAAATTTGAAGCACCTGTCCGTTGGTCAACGGGTACTTGATAGCAATGTTCGGAGGCTGAACAATGATAGTGACATTGGGCAGTTGAGCCTCCACGAGGGACTTGGGTGGGGTGTTCATGGATCGATGGGCCTCGATAGATAGCACGTCGAGGTCGAGCTCTTCCTGAAGAGAGAGTGAGACAGGTGATAATGAGTATGGAGACTTGTGCCATCGTACCATTATTTCTGGATCATTTGTCACCTTGAACTTTTTCCTCACATGTATTTGACCATCGTCGAGCGTGGACTCAGTTGACTCGAAAATGGCGAAGAGGCCAGTCTTACTGGATAGATGGATCCATGGAATAGGCATGACAGACTCGTTCGAAACAGTAGCGTACGAGAACTTTAGTAAGGGCAGACAAACCGGGGCATCTGGAAAGGAAACGGTGTTTTGCGACATGCTGTGAGCGAAAGGACAAGGAGAAGATGTGGGGTTAGATCGGTCCGCTGGATGGTCGGAAAGTTTGACAAAATCATTTGCAGGAGTCAAATGCTGATTTTAAAGCGAAAAGTGAAAGGAAGATCTTGAAATGAAAAAGCATAGAAAAAAGAATGAAGAAGTCAAACTTGAACCCTCGAGAGGGCAGCCGCAGAAAGAAATGTTAGATGTCGAAGGTTTCGAGTAGGTCGAGAACCGGGGGAATCGTGAGTAAAAGTTCACGGTGAAACAATGGTAGCACCTGAGAGCCTGAGTGGACAAATGTTCTGGTTCTGTTTGGAGCATCAAACGAAGAGGCTTTGTTGCTGTCGGTCGAGGTCAGAGTCTTTGGAACAAGGAGATGATGGGGAGCCCGCTGGGTACAGTACCTGCACCTGGATCAGCACCAGCAGCGTCTGATGGTCATGTGAGGATTTTGTTTGGGACGGTCGAGCTTTCCTGGTACAAAGATGGACATTTAGCAGGTAGGTGCCTAGCTCTGGAAAGCACGAAATTCTCAATAAGACGGAGTTCTCAGTGGCGCTTGCCTACGTGCCTACCTTGATGGAATAGTAGATGTATTCTCGGATCAGAATCTCCGACCGGACTACCGTTGAATCTCACTAGTACCTTCTTACTCTACTACGTCCGCCTTGGTTGACCAATCATAACGTCGAACTTTTGAGCCAGCTTCCAAGACATGACTTTGACTGGACTAGCGCGCATCTTACCTGCGCAATCTAAGGGCTGCGCGTGCCGCAGAAATTGTAGCCGCATTTCACCTCCACAGAGTCACGACGCTGCCTCAATCCTGCGCACCGCGACTTGTCCCCTTCACGCCTCTCGACTACAGCCACAACCACAATCACAGATCGTCTCCGGTCTTCTCACTCCCAACAATTCAATCCTACCTCCTGCTCATCCGCATAATGGTTCGCAATGAATCTCAAGTCTGACCTGTCCTTGCCTACAAGAATCTTGTGATAATCTTCCATCACCACCCTCATTATGCCACCTCCTCTCGGAACCATCCTCGAGGATGAGGACGAATTCCTCAAAGATGTCGCCGCCTTTCACGAGAAGCGCGGGTGAGTCCCCGACCTACCCTCTTGCTCAGGTCGTCCAAGTGTCGCGCTGACTCATTTGCTTTTGTCCTTCAACAGAACGTCTTTCGATCGCGAAGGTAGAGTCAGCGGTCGTCCTGTTTCCCTCCATAAACTTTACAAATTAGTCATGGATCGAGGTGGCTATGATGCTCTATCAGCCGAGCGAATGCAGTGGAGAACTTTGGTCAAGGAGTTTGGCTTCGGCAAGGCTCACGAAGCCGTGATGACCTTCCAGCTAAAATCCGTTTACTACAAAAATCTCGCGTACGTTAATGCTCGCCCTTCTTTAACCTCTGATGCTGACAATTCTTCCAGAGCCTACGAAATTGTCACTTACTGGGGCGAAGAGCCGCCTCCGCGAGAAATTCTTGAGGATATCAGCGCCAAAGGAGGCGATTTGCGAAGTCGCACTCTCCAAAACTTCCTCCCTCCCGCTTCTCGTGATGTCGGCAACGATTCTACCATGGTCGAGTCCACCGACCAGGCCGAACACACAGACGAGCCAATCACCCCAAAGCGCGAAAGACTCGACTCAGAGAAACAGGAAATTGAAAAGAATGGATCCGAAGAACCAGGCAGCGCATCCAGATATTCTACCCGTACGTTGATGCCATCACCTCAAGTTTCGTTGTCTTTCCTTACTCATATCTTCTTACAGGTCAGCTGAGGCAAGATCCAAAGCGTACTCAGATGTTCCAGCCTGATACTGCCCCGACCAGAGCACGAAATGTACGTGCCACCGACTCTCCATCCACTCCTATTGTCGCTCCTTCACAGACACTCCATATGAACGGTACCGATGACCCCAGAAATCCATCGTTCGATTGGTTTGAAAACTACAAACCCAAAGACTCCATTCCTCTTACTCTACGACCACATATCACTCCCGGCAACAATCCCACCGAGTTCGCAAATCGCAAAAACCAGGCCAGAGCTCAGGCTCATCCTGCACCTCCCCCAGATATCCACCTGCCTCTGCGCCCTTTCCTCCAACATCAAATGAGCGGTCCCAATATCTACCTAAGATGTCTTTACGGTTTGCGCTCTGGTATCGAGGAGGAGCAGAAGTTTGCTTTACACCACCTAGTCAAGGTGTCGTATGAGCGGGGCGACAAGTACAAGTTTGAAGGGTTTCCGTTCCTCGCCGAGTCTCTGTTGGAAAAGGCTTTGGAGATCACAGAACTGGTGTACGGCATCAAGTTTGAGATTTCCTACGACGAAGTGGACAACAATGCCCCGATCAATACGCTTAATGCTGCTTTTGGCACTCGCAATCTTTTGGAAAACATGCGCCTCCTTGCACCCGTCATTAACAATGACGGTGAAGTCGAGTCTGCAAAGTTCTCGGAAAAGCTGGAAAGACTCAAGGAGACGGCTCTCGTACTTCGAAATATGGTCATCTTGGAGGAAAATGCCATTTTCTTGTCCAAGTTTCCCCTTTTCAAGGACTACTTGGTTGTGGCAGTCTCCCTGCCAGACCAGCCTCGCCTGGCCGAATTTCGTCAGTCTGTTCTTGAAACCGCCGAGCAGGTGACGAGCTATTGGCCTCTTAAGGCCGAGGATCCTCTGTACTGCGCCCTGATCCCACACCTGGAATCTACAGACCGAGGAGCCCTCCTTTCAAGTTTGCGAGCCATCAACAGGATGGGAATCATGACGCCCGAGCCTCACCATATCAGAAATGTTCCATTGAGCTCAATAGAGCGGCTGTTGTCTCTGATACTCCTTGAGTCGGATAACGACTTACTCGAGGCTGCGCTGACCTTTCTTTATGAACTAACAGCAACGTACGAAAATAATGTCGAGCTCCTGTCCGGGGGCAACCATCTCCTCTCGTCCATAATCCCTCGACTCGTTCAGCTACTTTCTTTTCAGGCGGTTTCTGTAGTAGAGAAGATTTTGGCTGCACCAGTGCCAGATAAAATTCCAATTCCGGCGCAGGTGCCGACCGTACCAGCAGAGTTGTACCAGGAAATGTTGAACTACCGTGAGCCGGAGCGATCGTCCAAATGGCTACAATGCTGTTTCGAGGAGTCCCCGAGTGACGACATTACACAGATTCAGATATGGCAAGCCTATCAAAGTACGTTTTTGGGAAACACTCCATTGGCAGCGGCAGATTTCATCAAAAATGTGTCGAGCACCTTTGCCACGGCGCAGGCCCAAGTGATCAACGGACCACAGCCCCGATTCATTATCAAAGGAATCAGGCCCAGGCGAGTGTTGGTGGGATTCCAGCGTCAACTACAATACTTCAAGTGCTTGTGGGAGGTGACTCGGCCAGAATCTGCCGAGGCGGTTGGACATCACGGCGCCAAAAAGACATGCGATCAATGGAAGGTCAGCCGGGAGAATCTGTGGCACCATATTCTCACTGATCATTTGAAAATCTCGAGGACGCCGGATGGTCGTTTTGACAATTCGGGATCAGTGCCCCGGAAATGCCGCTGGACCTCGTGTAGCCGAGATGAAACTTTTACCAAGGCGAGCGACATTGGATCCCACATTCGAGTTCACATCCCCAAGAGCCCAGAGGACATGGCCGAGGTGATTCTTGAACTGGCCAACTTGGGTAAGAAGCCGGAGAGGCCGGGAACGCAACATGCCTACCAATACACTGCAATGGACGCATCGCAGCAAAATTCACCGTGTGGAATTGCCTGGCTCAGTGTCATGGTGTTGCGTAATTTGGCGCGGTTCGCCAACAAGCAAGGGAAACCATTTGAACGGGATGGGGTGCCGCTGATCAACCAGCTATTTGGCGGACACATGTACGCCCTTTTTAACGTGGTCGGGGTCAACCGCACACTGAGGGAGTGGGTTGGTGACCTAGTGTTCTTGATTGAGCAGGGAGAGCGAGAGCACAACAAGGGCCTGAAACGAGAGCGCGATTTCGATGAGGATGACTGAGAGCGGCACTAGCTCTTCCAGCTGATGGCTCTACCAAACAAATCACGAAAGGTCCTGTTTTCTGAGCCTGGACGCAAGACGTACGAGGACAGCAGGAGCGATGTTTCAACTACAACAAATGTTATTGGCCTTCCAATTCTTGATGTCCGGTTATCAAGATTTGTCCTCACAAAGCGTGCATGTTTCAAAGCTTCTTTGGCCAAGACTCGATTGTTTATGGCAAACTTTGCAGAATAAGATCTACTTCAGCAGCGGCGGCTTCAAGGATGTGGGACGCGGGATACTGTGGCTTCCAGCCAATAGAGACACCGTGCTCGGGGGTGAACGTGCATCTGTCACTGGTCAGCAAGACAGTCACTCGGGGAATGCTTCTGCAAGCCTGGGTTGACTTCGTACTTTCCACCAATCTGGACAGCAACAAACTCCTTTGGGCAGCCTAGAGCTTCTGCCATCTTCTCCAGGGCTGCGTCATCGGCCATGACGACCTGATCCGTGTTGATGACTTTTCTCTCAGTGAGTCGTCTTGCCATGGCCGAATATATATCATCCCAGGCAACGCTTCCAGGAGAAGCGAGGTAGTAGCCGTTCTTGCCATGGCCAGGATCCTGGCCAGCCAGAATACGACGCAGGATCTGGAGGTAGAGAGAGGCGTTGTCGGCGACATGACAAACGGGCCAAGTGGGGCGACCATGGTCGACACTGAAGACACGGCCGGTGGCTTTGGCGGCCTTGACAATAGCGACTGTCTGGATTGAGATGGGATTGCCAAAGCCTTGGTTCTTACCGTAGACGATGCAGGGAGCGAAGATGTACGTTCGGACGCCACACTTCTCACCTTGCTCTGTGATGGTGTTGTTGGTTGTGACGCCGCTCTGCATCACAGCGTGTGGCGCCTTTTGAGACTTCTGGATGTCATACAGGTGATTGTCAGTGTCGAGCAAAAGTCGATCAGTGGGTGCACCAGCATGACTAGAGAAGAGCTTTGCGCCCGTGGTATGCAAGAAATGCACATCACGACCACCTTGTTGATTCTTCACCTCGGCCAGGGCCTTGATGAAGTTGAGGGGTCCTTCTAGCTTGACTGCATTGATAAGATAAAACACAACAGTGATTCCATGTTTGACGATGTTCTCTCGCACCGCTTCCTCGTCGTCGGTAGCAAAGGTCAATGGGTGTGCACCATATTGTTGAACGGCTTCAGCCTGTGCGGGAGTCCGGATAAGAGCGAAGAGCTTGTCGTATGCTGGTAGATTGGCAGAAGGGAGCTTCGCTAGGAGTGTGCCACCGAGATATCCTGAAGCGCCGGTGATGAGGATTCGATGCGCCATAGCGTGGGATTGGGATTGGGATTGGGATTGGGGGTGGGGGTTGGTTGGGAGGAAGAGTGTGGGGTTGGATCTGGAAGGATCGGCTGTCAGTCCCAGCGTGGCTCGAACGACGTTCTTCGCCGCAAGTCTACGGAGTATGTCATGGAATAAATATAGAGTGTGTATGGGGTTCGCTGTGTTTGTCAGCAGAAGGTTGAATATGGGTTCAGTTCTCTATGCGTATGAACTCCGCAATGAAGGCTAAGTGGCCAAGAAAGTCGTTGTACCAAGCACTCACGCACTCCAAGGCAGTGAGTGAAATGAATGGAGTTGCTCTCCAACAACAATTGGAGTTGCACTTTGATACTAAACGCCGATGGCGATTTCCACCTCGAATGGAGTTCGCCTGCATGCCTCAAGGATGTCGCTTCTCAGCAGCGAGTTGGAGGTAACCATAAAGGTACCTGCTTGCCCGTCCTGGACCATTGCAGGGCCGTGGCACTTGCCCGGGTACTTGCAGTTGAACGCTTCACCCTTCCCTCTCGCCCTTGGCGGTTTTGGAGCTCACGCTTACCGAAATCAATCGCACCTCCCATCGTTCATCAGTGTCGTCAATATCACCTCCTACAATCTTCTCCTATTCTGCTCCTCAACATCAAGCACTATGAATGAGTTAGCTCTGGTATCCTCCGTTCACGCTTTCGTCCAAGTTCATCCCTTTTCCCTTCCCCCACTCGTCAGCTTCAACACCGTCAAACCCCAGATTTCGTCATAAACGGGGTCACATGCCGACCGTTGCCGACCCCGTGCCTGCGCTCGAAGCTAAGTCTAAGCAATGAGCCACTAAAGCTTGCTGAGAACAACCCCAGCTCTCTCCACTGCAATCCATCTCTCACCCTCCAACGTTGATCTTGACCCAAGACTCCCAAGTCTCCCCTCCTTATTCCAAGCTTTATCCATTAGCATCACGATCGACGCTGGTGGCCATGTGGCGTATTTATCCAAGCGAATCACCGTTCGACTTGTACACAACCTCGCTTCCCAGCAGGCGACATGCCGAATGTCTGGTCCACCATGACCTCACCAATCCTCGACTCCTTCCAATCATGTCATGGAAATCGTGATGAATGTGGTACGAGCCTCCATCTCTTTTGCTCATTCCCCGCCTGCTCTATTGCCGAGTCACTCAGGATCCTATGTTCTTCACTGGCGATGACTCTGACTGAGATGGTAGCAGCTTTGATCGTCACCGTGTCCCGTGGGAGCATCCCGCTTATGGGCTTTCTCCTTTTGTGGTGACAACGGGTAAATAGTTCATTCGGCTACGTTATTTGTCTCTTTAAACGGACTGCCTCCCCTTTCCACGAACGGGTCTTCAGATTCCCTGCAATTCTGATAGTCGCGACCATTTCCATTACTCTTGCCCAACCTTCGACATGTCTGAAGACGGGACCCTTCATGATCGAGATGTCATTGGCAACAAGGCCGATGCATCTCACGAAGAGCGCATGCATTGGGGTGCTTTGACTGAGGAGGAGCTTGCAATCGAAAAAAAGTTGAGGGTCAGGGTTGACTTGCTCATCATGCCTCTGGTCATCCTCATCTATTTGATGAACTACATTGATCGGTTTGTACCTTTATATAGTGATTGCCATGACACACACTAACTTCTTTAATCTAGCAACAATTATGCTGCAGCAAGACTTCAAGGTTTAGAGGAAGACTTAAATCTCCAAGGGGACCAATATCAAACAGGTTTGAGTAAGTGAATCCTCATCATCGACTTGCCATTGCATTCGCAATCACTGACCGTCTCGTCTTCAGGTATCCTGTTCGTCGGCTATGTCAGACTCGCCTAATACTTTTACGCTCATTTCACCACTGACCCGCTCTTAGGTACTCGCCCAAGTCCCCTCGAATCTCCTCTTGAATTACACCGGCCGACCGTCACTATACATTGGATTCTTCACTTGCGCATGGGGTCTTGTCAGCGCGTGCACCAGTCAAGTTACAACCTATGGTGGCATCGTCGCTTGCAGGTTCATTCTCGGCCTTGTTGGTATGTCTTACTTTCATTCTTTGCCAGTCGTTTTTTGGTCACTGACATTCATTAATAGAGGCTCCCTTCTTTTGTGGTATTCTATTCTTCCTGTCCAAATGGTACACTAAAGCCGAACTCTCCCTTCGCATGGCCATCTTCTATTCTGGCTCACTCATCTCTGGCGCATTTGGCAATCTCATCGCCGCGGGCATTCTATCTGGACTCGACGGTGCTCGTGGCATGTCTGCCTGGCAATGGCTTTACATCATCGAAGGAGTCATCACAATCTTCTTTGGCCTCCTAGTGTGCATTATCATGCCCGACTTTCCAGATACATGGCGTGCTTTGACGCCTGAAATGAAACGAGTCGCCAATCGGCGTCTGGCGATCGATGCTGCCGAAGCCGATGTCGATGAAGCTGGAGCAATGAGTCAAGTTCGAGGCATGAAACTCGCCTTTACCGACCCCAAAACATACATCCTAGCTGTAGCCTATGCCGCTGTTACTGGTGCTGCTGGGTAAGTGTTAACACGGATGTCTGCGCTTTGAACCATGTCACTGACCTTGAAGTACAGTTTCCAAAATTTCTATCCGACTCTCACAAAGTCTCTGGGCTACTCCCAAGTTGTTTCGCTACTCTTGGTGGCTCCTCCATATATCTTTGTTGTCTTCTGGTCCTTCGGGCACAGTTATCTGTCGGACCGCGTAGGCAATAGATTCTGGTTCTTTATGTACCCGATTCCAATAACGATTGTGGGGTTCGTCATTTTCATGACTACCGACTCTTTTGGCCCACGCTACTTTTCATTTTTCCTCATCAACATCATTTTCGCCATGAACGGCACCTGCTACGCCTGGATTTCAAATGCAATCCCACGACCTCCGGCCAAACGCGCTGCTGCACTCGCATTTATCAATTCAGTTGGCAATTCGTCAAGCATATGGACTCCCTTCACCTATTATTCGGGTCAGGGTGATCATTTCCCCGTGGCACTCGGCATTTGTATCGGGCTGCAGGTCTTGGCGGGAGTGATGGGTATTTTGTTGAGATTTGTGCTGACCAGGCAGAATAAGAGGTTGGCCAGATTGGAGGATGAGAACGTCCAATTGAGTGAGCGGGAGATGGCCAAATTGCAGAAAACAGCCGAGTTTGAAGGCATTGATATTGCAGCCGCCCGGAAAATGCAAAAGGGTTATCGATTCATGATATAATCGACTTACACGTCTAAATCAGTGGAAAGGGTGATGAGGACGAGGGTGAACAGCCTAAGGCTTTAAGTAGGAAAACACTGTACATAGAACAGCAAGCACAGAGCCTTGCCTCAGATTGTCACATGCTCAAGCCAAAGTTCCAAGTCATGGACCTCAGCAACCATGATCATACCTATACGGAGTAAAGGAACCAGCCAAGTCTAACGCACGCCATTGTTGGCATCGATAGCATCAATGGATCAATCTTGCTTTCTCGGAACGAACGCCGAAACACCGCATGCATTGACTCTGCGATGTCTACCGAACCCCCAACTTGACCACCACCAGTGAATGCACCACCTATACCGTCACACTTGGCTTCTGTGGAGGGTTTACCTGAGTGCCCGAGTACTAGTATATACTACCTATACCTATTAGTCTGTTCGAGTAGGTCCCTCGGCCCGTATCTGGATTCCTAAATTGTACTATTGTAACGTGGGTCATCCATTATTTCCCGGGGTTTCTCCAATCATCTCCAACATGATGACCACTCCAACCATTGTGCCACTCACTCAATCAGTGGCCATCTCCATCACCATCTCTGTCAAGTAAAGTCGGTCGTCACCTATTGAGACGGTAATGTCAAAGTAGTGTTTGAGTACCGATCCAAAAAAAAAAACCACAACGCACCATTCCTCCAACGAGCAGAGCTGCATCACTTCGATCTAAGTCTTGGTTCTGGGATGATTCACATTACTGGCACTCGGAGTTCGTGCTGTCAGGTCAGATTGTGACGTTGCGAGTCATCATTCTGAATCCGCGGCGACTGTCTCGTCGGGGAATAAGCGGTCATTCTGAAATTGAGCAGGAATCGGCCAAAGAATACTTGTACTCGGAGTGTCGCTAACCTGGGAAACCCCCGAGTTACGGACATCAGATATACATATTCGCAATCCATCATGGCGTCTACAACCACCCCCGACCACAATCACGCCAACGGCTCTACCAACACCACCACTCAATCAGAGTCAGCATCCTCTGGGATCCCAGCCGATTATGACCTAAGCAAACCCATTACATCGACCACGGGACTTCGCCAAGGTCTGGCCTCGTATGGTGATGCTCATTTCTCGCTCTTCCTCCGCAAAGTCTTCATCAAAGCACTTGGATACTCGGACTCGGCACTTGAGTCGCCCATCATAGGTATCATCAACACTTACTCGTCCTTCAACCCATGCCACTCCAATGTGCCACAACTCATTGAAGCCGTCAAGCGCGGCGTTCTCCTCTCTGGTGGCCTACCTGTCGACTTCCCTACCATCAGTATCCATGAGAGCTTCTCCAGCCCCACTAGCATGTATCTGCGCAATCTCATGAGTATGGATACCGAGGAAATGGTAAAGGCTCAGCCAGTTGATGCCGTCGTCATGATTGGAGGGTGTGACAAGACCGTGCCGGCACAGTTGATGGGTGGTATCAGTGCGAACAAGCCCTTTCTGCCTTTGATCACCGGTCCTATGATGCCTGGGTCAGTCGACGGTGTTAGAGTGGGTGCGTGTACGGATTGCCGGAGTCACTGGGCCAGGTACCGCGCAGGTGGAGCCGATGTCGAGGACATCATGGGCGTTAATGAAGAGTTGGCTCCCACTGGAGGAACTTGTGGTGTCATGGGCACGGCGTCGACCATGGCGTGTGTCACGGCGGGACTGGGCTTGATTGACTTGCGCGCTGGTGCTACCGCGGCTGCTGTTAGTTCGGCCAGGCTGCGGGTCGCCGAACAAACGGGGAGGAATGCCGTGGCCTTGTTGAAGTTGGATAAACGGACACCACAGGAGCTTCTCACCAGAGAAAGTTTTCTCAATGCCATCACTGTCTTGCAGGCCACCGGCGGAAGCACTAATGCCGTGGTTCATTTGATGGCGATCATTAATCGGCACCCCAAGGTCGCTGGCACGATTGATCTGAAGACGATAGATGACATCGGAAGGAAGACGCCACTTCTTGTCGATCTCAAGCCAAGCGGCGACAATTACATGACTGATTTTCACAATGCGGGAGGTATGCTGGCATTGCTCCACACCCTCGGGCCATTGTTGCATTTGAATGCCATGACATTCACAGGGCAAACATTGGGCGAGCTGCTCGACAACACCCCATTCAAGTCCTTTGACTATTCAAGACAGATTGTTCGTTCGCTTGAAGATCCTCTCCATCCGAGCTCGAGCCTGGTCGTGCTTTACGGCAACATCTGCCCCGATGGCGCAGTTATGAAAGCCTCCGCGTCAAAGAAGAAAAGATTGCTGCATCATCGGGGCGTTGCTTGTGTTTTCAAGGATTCGGCTGATCTGGCAAATCGAATTGACAGTCCAGACCTGGACGTCAGTGAGGACTCCATCCTGGTACTCAAAGGCATCGGTCCAGTGGGAAATCCTGGAATGCCTGAGGCTGGCCTGATTCCAATTCCTCAAAAGTTGGGACGAAAAGGCGTGCTTGACATGCTAAGAATAAGCGACGGTCGTATGAGCGGAACAGCTGGAGGGACAATTGTCCTCCATATCTCGCCTGAGTCAGCCGACATGAATTCAGTATTTGGAATTGTCCAAAGCGGTGACCGAATAGTCTGTGACGTGCAAAATCGAACCCTGTCCCTGGAGGTGGATCAGAAGGAAATCACCAGGAGGATCGAGCAACGCAACCAACGCAGCAATGAACAAACTACCGATCCATGTAATACACGCCAGGAGCCATGGATTGACAGGGCAAATCAGAGAGGCTACCGTGGTCTTTACGTGCGAGAAGTCAACCAAGCACATCTGGGTTGCGACTTCAACTTTCTCACGGCACGAGGACCGACTCAAGAATAGTGTAGCTGGGATTTCTATCTAGCGTAGGCGGCCATTGACAATTCGCTTCGACAGACGGTCAAACAGCGGATGAGGCAGGAGTCAGAATGAGGAAAGTCGTTGCGCACGAGGTCATAGTGGTTGAGTCATACCTACCAGGGCCCCTTGGTGACCAGGAGCATGCGAATCCTTGGGGGGGGGGGGGGGCGAGCTGGTTGTTTCTCGACTAGATAGTGTAGAGTGGAGCAACTTTGGAAGAGAAAACATGATTCACCTGACTTCGAATCCATACACATAGTCGAAATCCTGGAAAAACCCGTGGGTAGGACATTGGGCATCTTGGACCCACTATAGCGGTCGCAACAAAGCGTCAAGTACAGAAGCTGTAGTGTTAATTAGAAGGGGCACTCAACGTCGCTGGATCCCCGATGGGTTTTAGCTTGACAGCCAGTTTACTCGAAAGAGCAATCTCTTTGATATATTCGACTTTTTCTTCATGACTTGATGTACCAGAGGATTTGAGCTGTTTCCAGAACAGGAAGCAGTAAAATGGGCATCCAAAGTAACAGGTGCAGGGAAAACCTTGCCGTGGAAGTCAGGAGCTGCGGGCAAGGTTGGCCCCTGTCAACTCGGTGTTGCCGACTCGGCGACACAAAAAGTTGTTGTCGTCGTTGTCGACCCATCTGTAAATCCGCGTTGGCATTCAGTTTGCTTGAACAGGTAGGTCGCAAGACGGATTTGACTCTTTCTTGAAATGTTGATGAACCAGGAATCCCCAGCTTTTTCCAAATGAGGAAGTATACCACGTCAAAGTCTATCAGACAGTGATGGGTTGATGGTTTCCCCAGGACGAAAAAAGGCCTCGATTGGGGTATACTTGCATATACTCGTATACGTCTGTGTCGGGGATGTTGACCACCCATGTGGCTTGGCCAAGTGTCAGTCCTGCTTAGGAGGGTGGAGGCGAATGCAATGTTCATTTGCAGGATATCTTCGGCTGCGCCCCGGTCAATATGCTACTGTACACACCGAACGAGTGCGCATAGCGCATAGACCGCGTGGATGGGTCGGTGGATCAACCGTGGACTACTCAATCAATTCTCTTTTTGGACGGTCAATACGTGTACGATGGGGGTCGGGCTACTGCGGTGTGCAGCATGACCTCTTTTTCGAGGCTATCATGTCGTTCTTGGGCTTCTCGTGTAACCATTTGACTGTAATTCACCATTCCAAATACACGATTGTGCTCGTCACCCTGGTAGACTGATGAAGCTGTGAAGATTGGGTTGAACGAATTGAACAATAACAGGGGGCGCAGGGAACCTTGTCCTGGGTCGGAATCAAACGGTAACTTAACACATCAGGAAAGCATGTCACAAGAGGGATGGTGCAGGGTGCATGACGAGTGTGTGCTCTTCCTGTCACACACAAACTCCCGAGTGACTGTGTAGATGGCTGTGGAAACCTGAGGACCGAGACTGGCACAACCGGTTCATCGCTGCGAATTGTTCACAACCCAGCTCCAAGCTCAGGGCGTAGCGGGTACACAACTGGTCCATAGTGCGATCGGCAGGGTAGCGAGAGAACCAACGAAGAGTGGTGGGCACTCATGTGGTGACAGAGTGGTGAGTGATTGAGAGTTTGCTACCTGGCATGCCAGGCCACTTCAGGTCTCAAGACACGAGACGTTGGAGCAATTTCTTCTTTCGGAAATAGACCATTTGCTGGATCTGGGCATCTTCCATCTTCGGAGTAGAAGGGACGGCGGTATTGGCGTATTCAATGGTGCTAGAAAGGGCATCGTCGACATTCCCATTAACGCAGGTTTCTGTCGTGAATGTCTTGACGAGGGGAGATTATTGCTAGCTTCATGCTGGATGTCTAGAGGTTAGATTACAGGTTGCCAATACGGGAGAGAGGTTACTCACAGTCAAGGCTAATCGATCGGATGGGCAGGCATTTTGGTCTTGGGGACATGCAGCCAAAGACGCCAGAGGCGCTCGAGGTCGACAGGGGGACGAAAGGACTTGGTGCGCAGCTGATGGCGGCTTCCGAAATGGGAAAGTAGTGGACCTGATTGGTCGCCCGACACGAAACGACACGAAACGAAATGCAACGCGTGGAATGTCTACAGAACGGAAGGCGCCTGGAAATTGGAGTTGGAAGGCGCACGAAGACGCCAAGGGCGTTGCCCGAATGACCAACGACCGTCAAAGACCGCTGTACACATATGTGCGCATCAGAGTAGATACTCTACTTAGTGCTGCAAATACTGTACAGAGCATATGCACAGATGATGATCTCTTTCAGTCACGCGAGTCCCAAAACTGAATATGCTTTTACTCTTTTCTCTGCATACTCCGTACGTGTCAAAGTTGAACTGACTCGACTGACCTTTTCGCAATCGACCGCAACCACGCGCTATAGGGGGAAGCTGCTCATTGGTGTGGGAGGAAGCGACGACTGCGACAGAGTCCCATGCGGCAAGAGAGGAAGGCACGTTCCAGGCTGACACCAATGTATTGTGCATAGCGCCAATAACACTCGCTGTACATTGCACCTGCCTCAGCCACGCCTCTTTGTGCTCTTACCAGTTGGTGGTTTTCTTGAGCTTCTCATTCTGAATCACTTCGATCCAGTAGTCGTCTGGGTCCAGCACAAAGGCCACGTTCTTCATTCTTCCATCTGTCAATCGCTTCTTCCAATTGACCTTCTTCTCCTCGAGAAAAGCGCAGGCTTTGTCCAAATCATCCACCGAGACACAGATGTGTCCGAACCCTTGCGGCTGATCGTTGCCGTTGTGGTAGACCTTACCTTCCTCTTTCTCAGTCCCGTGGTTCCAAGTCAGTTCGAGCAGGCCTTCTTTCAAGGCCAAGGGATTCACGCCGTTGGCCAACCCACTTTCAGACGGTGTTCCATAGTCCCGGGGATATCCCAAGAAGTATAGGGTGAAGCCCGCTTCCTTTTGCTCCGAGGTGCGCAGTAGGGTCATGCCCATGACCTCTTGGTAGAACTTCACACTCTTCTCTGCATCCTTAACTCGGATCATGCTGTGGTTGGACCGGTAAGACGACGTGTCGGTGGTGGTTGCATCTTTGCTCTCATCCAGAGACTTCTGTCCGATGATTTCAACCCAGTACCCGTCAGGATCAATGGCAAAAGCAATGTGTCTCATCCGTCCATCGGTAAGTTTCTTCTGAAACTTGTATCCTGCGTCCTCAATCCGTTGACAGGCCGCTTGAATGTTGTCTACGCTGATGCAGATGTGACCAAAGCCCTTGTGAGGCTCTTTGTTCCCGTTGTTAATTGTATAAGAGTCATCAGATTCGGTGCCATAATTGTGCGTTAGCTCAATCACACCCTCCCGATCTGTCCAGTGGTTTCCTGCCGATGCCGACGAAGGGCCATCATAGGCTGGACAAGCAGTGTTGTTAGCACGTGGACGTCAAGATGGTTTTGTTAAGGTCGGTCACCTAAGAAGTAAAGGTCAAACTTGGCCTCTTTTTGCTCAATTTTGTTGATGAGGTTGTATCCCAGGAGTTTGTAGTACTCGACAGATCGCAAAGGGTCTTTGACCCGCAACATAGTGTGGTTGAATTTCCATTTCGATTGATCCGTCATTGTGGCGAACAGCGGAGGACTGACCGGTAGGCTAGTGCTGGCTTTGGATGAAAGTTGTTGTGAGAGTTGATTGAGTCTTGGTCCCGCTTTGGTGATGACGCGGGGTGGGAGCATGAAGCTGGGGGTTCGAGAACACAGCTGCGGGTGAGTATCTGTACAACGTTGCCTGATGGCCAACCACGTTGCTGCGTTTCTTGGCAAACAGCCTGAGTTGGACTGAGCGGTGAGTTGCTGTTGGTGTACGGTCAAAGCGTTGGTTGCAATCACTTGCGATCTCTGGCAATCGACGACGACAATATCACGACGCTGGCGGACTTCTTCCCCTCACTTAACTGTGTCATTACCATCAAGCTTTCTACGCGGCAAATGCTGTGACTGGTCCAAATGCCGACGACTACCCAGGCTATTCCGGTCCGGGCGGTCCGGTGGAAACCTGTGACCCTGGTAGGCGACTCCTCCAAGCCAATCACCCACGGAAAATGCCCCTAACCACGCCCACTATGCCCCACAATCCACCACCTCGGTATGTTCTCCAGGCTTTGCCAGCCCGCGTTGTGGTGCTGCCCGCACTTCTCATCCACCACTCTCCTCCGTATGCCACCATGAACCCACGTCTTCAAAAGCGGATCCGAAAGCCACAGTAATTCACAGATCTGATGCAAACTTGCCTTTGTTATTATCTCGAAGAACTGCACCTCTGGCAGTTTCCTCAGCTTGTCACGAAACAGTACTCGAGTCCTCTTTCCGTCACATCGCCATGTCCCTGTCACCCGCTATCCGGGTCGCGAGAACCGCCGCGCAGAGGTCGACCTCTCTGCTCAGCGCCATTCAATTCGGACACCCTCCCAATTGTCCCTGTCATTCCAATCCCAACTTCCATCATGGCCCTTCAGTCTTTTCAGAGGCCAGACGCCGACTGGCAACCCCCATCGACCACAGCCGAACGAAAGAGTACGCCTTTGAGATGGCTGCCAGTTCCATCCGGTTTGGACCTGGCTGTACCAAAGAGGTGGGCATGGACTTCAAAAACATGGGTGCTAAGCGGGTCATGGTGGTGACGGACGCCAATGTCTCCAAGCTCAACGCCATGAAGCAGGTCGTTGATGGTTTGACCAAAGAAGGCATCGAGTTTACCGTCTACGACAAGTGTCGTGTCGAGCCCAAGGACAGCTCGATCAAGGATGCCATTGCCTTTGCAAAGCCATACCAACCTGATGCGTTCCTTGCTGTAGGAGGTGGCTCCGTCATCGACACGGCCAAACTGATGAATCTATACACCGTTTTCCCGGAAGCCGACTTCCTCGACTTTGTCAATGCTCCGCTCGGAAAAGGCCTTCCCATCACCAAGCCCCTGAAACCCCTCGTAGCAGTTCCCACGACAGCTGGAACTGGTTCTGAGACAACCGGCACCGCCATCTTCGATCTGGTAGAGAAGCGTGCAAAGACCGGTATCGCCCACCGAAACCTGAAGCCAACCTTGGGAATATGCGATCCCCTCAACACTCGTACTATGCCTTCTGCTGTCCATGCCTCGTCCGGTCTGGATGTGTTGTGCCATTCCTTGGAATCATGGACGGCCATCCCATACAATGAGAGAACGCCACGGCCTACCAATCCCATCAATCGTCCTGCGTATCAGGGTGCCAACCCCATTTCCGACATCTTCTCCCTTCAAGCTCTGAGACAGACGGTCAAATATCTTCCCCGGGCAACCAAAGACCCCGATGATCACGAGGCCCAGAGCGAAATGTTACTTGCTGCCACGCTCGCTGGTGTTGGATTTGGAAATGCTGGCGTTCACCTCTGTCACGGTATGAGTTATCCCATCAGCGGGCAGAATCCTGGGTACAAGCATGCGGGTTACGCGGAGAACGCTCCGATCATCCCTCATGGTGTCAGTGTAGCGGTCACTTCCCCTGCAGTTTTCAGATTTACCGCTCCTAGCAACCCAGAACGGCATCTGGCAGCCGCCGAAGCCTTCGGCGTGGACATCTCAAACGTCAAGAAAGAAAGTGCAGGCGAAGTGCTCGGCGAGGCGTTGGCGGAATTTTTGATCGGGTTAGGAGACCAACCGAGAGGTTTGAAGCCGCTAGGCTTTACCAAGGAGAGCATCGATGACTTGGTGGAGGGCACCTTGCCGCAAAAACGGGTACTGATGCTGGCACCGAATTTGAGTGAAGAAGTCGGTCAAGAGAGGGAACAACTCCGTGCTCTGTTTGAAGAGTCACTGGAATACTAAATGTGATGACTGCGGATAATGGAACGGCGACTATTTGGGTATCTGGGTCACGTGATACTTGCGTCACGTGTTTGGACATTATTTGCACGTGCTCCCCAGCTTCTCCAGATTCGCCAAACGCCAAACGCCAATTCGCGGGGCTCCTGCATGTTTTGATGTCATCCAGGTGGCTGCGGGCACGCGCATTACTGGTGTACCGTCCATGATCACTCTTTCCTTGTGCGATGTCGGACTCGTTCGCCCACACTCGGCATCCCCCACACTGGCCACATCTTCCCACAAAATTGTACATACCTTGTCACGCATGTTTATTAAATTGTCCTCGGGACTTGTGCTCACAGCAACCAAATTTGGATCACGGCATTGGTCTAAAGGGAAAAAGCCTAGATCGAATCTTGTACCGACACGTTTCCTGCACACCCTGACTTTGTGCATGACATACCACATAAGAAACTCTCATTGATTTTTTATCCTTGCGTTCACTGTCTAGACTTTTGTTCTTCCTACTTGTGCCAACCCTCATTGCTCGCTATTAGATCTCTTTATTGTATCTTAGATCAACATCATGGCCTCAACAAATGGCAACGCCGCCGCCAGGCCAAAAGTCCTTTGTCCCGAGAAACTCTCCCCTGATGGGTTGGCCTTACTCCGGAAGACACTCGACGTCGATGAGAAGCAAGGTTTGTCTGCCGAACAGCTGATCGACATCATTCCCAGCTATGATGCCCTTCTCGTCCGCTCAGAAACGAAAGTCACAGCTCCATTGCTCAACGCAGCCAAGAAGCTCAAAGTAGTGGCTCGTGCCGGCGTCGGTGTTGACAATGTTGATGTCCCTGCCGCAACCAAACTTGGTATCATCGTTGTCAACAGCCCGAGCGGTAACATCCAGGCTGCAGCGGAACATACCATTGCTCTCCTAATGACCATGGCGAGAAACATTGCAGATGCCTGTGCAAGTGTCAAAGCTGGAAAATGGGAACGAAGTCGTCTGGTGGGCGTCGAGGTCAAAGGCAAGACTTTGGGCATCATTGGTCTTGGAAAAGGTATTTTGAGCCTCTCGATGCTCTTCTCATGTTAACAACGTGGTAGTCGGTTTAATCGTCGCGAGAATGGCTCGCGGCTTAGGCATGAATGTGGTAGCCTCAGATCCATATGCCTCGCAGTCAGTGGCCTCGGCTGCCAACGTCGAATTGGTCGAGTCTCTGGCTGAGCTTCTTCCTCGTGCTGATTTTCTGACCATTCATACTCCCATGCTGGCGTCTACCAAGGGGATGTTGTCCACCTCGGAACTGAACTCTATGAAGAAAGGAGCCCGCATCCTCAATGTGGCTCGAGGAGGAATTATCGATGAAGAGGCGTTGCTCGCTGCTCTGGAGTCAGGTCAGATAGCCGGTGCCGCCATCGATGTCTTCACCAGTGAGCCACCCACTAAAAATCCAGAGTCGCCCGCCAACCGATTGGTCCAGCATCCCAGATGTATTGCTACACCACATTTGGGTGCTTCCACCGTCGAGGCTCAGGAGAACGTGTCCATCGATGTCTGTGAACAAGTTCTCCAGATTCTTGCCGGTGATCTTCCCCGCAGCGCCGTCAATGCTCCCATCATCCTCCCAGCAGAATACGTCAAGCTTCAGCCATTCGTCCGCCTAGTGGAGAAAATGGGCTCCCTTTATACCCAGCACTTCACATCCCCAACGCAGCCTATTCAGCGCAATATGAACACGTTTGACTTGATCTACGAGGGAGAGATCGCTCAGATGAGTAGCACGAAACCGCTCTTTGCGGCACTCATCAAGGGCCTTGTGTCACCCATCTCCGATGCAGAAGGACTCAACATCAACATCGTGAACGCTGAGATGGTTGCCAAAGAAAGAGGATTGTTTGTGAACGAGCAGAAGTCCAGAGATCCCATGACTCAAGCTTATAGTAGCTTGGTGACCTTGATAGCCCGAGCGCCCAGCCGCTCACCCTCACTCAGTCGACACGCCTCGGAAGCATTGGTCTCGGCCGACGGTGACCGCGAAGGTCGCAAACAACACATTATCTCCGGCTACTGCAGCGACAGTAACCCCATCATCTCTCGAGTCGGACATTTCGCTACTTCCTTTGTTCCCGAGGGTTCTCTGTTAATTTGCCACAATTATGATTCGCCCGGTAAGATTGGCGTCGTGGGAAGCATTCTCGGTAGTCAAGGTGTCAATATCAACTTCATGAGCGTTGCACCCGCCACATACTCAGCAAGCTTGGTCAACAAGAAAAAAGACCCCGCAGATTCACAGAACGTTGTGCCCAAGGACACGACTGAGGCGCTCATGATCCTGGGCATAGACGGTGAGATAGGTGAAGAAGTCAAGCAAGACCTGGTCAATGCAAAGGGGGTCCTCAGTGTGAGCGACATAGTGTTGTAGCCGAGCCTGGTAACGTTGGACACAGAGTCTAAAAAGCTAGAGTAATAACCTTCATCAATTGGTCAAAGACGCATAAATACTCTAATTCTTCCAACCACCGACATGTTATCTAGGTCGCATCTCAGTTCCTTTCTCTCCCGGCCTATGTTGGTTGACAGATTGTGTGTAGCAAGCACTACAAGGCTCTGGCTGTCTTGTTAAATGAAGGCTGAGGTGGCCGTTTCGATTCCAGGCCAATGAGAGACTTGCCAAGATACCTAAAATAGTTAGCGTTAAAATCCGGAGTATGTCCAAAAAAACAGCGAGATGTTAATCGACTAACCCGAATCGGAATTCTATTTACATCAAAGTCTTGGCAATCTCCGTTGGCCTCATGGTCGTCAAAACGAAGCCTGCGTTTCAATAGTCCATGGTCTTGTTGTTGCACAGACTCCAGGTCAACCACGAGTCCCGGCACTGCCACTCTTCTATCTTTTTGGTTGTGTTTTGGAAACCAACGCCTTTTGCACTCATTCTCTCTCGCATTCGTTCAGCCGTCTCTCGTTCTCCTTCTCCTGTTGGTTCACGAATCGCATCCCCATCGCCGAGCCTCGATCTCCGATGCTTTGGGCTTGAACCACGGTGCAACGCGCACCCACCGACACACAATCACTGTCAATCATTGCAAGCAACATGGCAGCCGCACTACCTACTCGATTCCCTTGCTGGTGTCGCGCTGTATACTCCTGGGGCGGCGAGACAGACAAAGACCTGGGCTTTATCGAAGGCGACTTGATAGAATGTCTCAACGCCGGAGATGGGTCATGGTGGACAGGACGACTGCGAAGAGATAGAAGAATGATAGGGCTGTTTCCCTCAAATTTTGTGATTGTACTCGACGATAACTTCGTCCCCACCAGCCGCTCCGTCAGCCCCTTACCAGATATTCACAAGAGCAACAGCGCACGAAAGAATTCACCCGCACAAGCTCAAGAAAAGAAAGAACGAGCAAAGTCTCGCCGACCTTTTCAAGGATACAAATCAGCCAAAACACCTACAGGTGTTGGTTCTGGGGTTGTGTCGCAACCACCTCCGACGCAGGTTCAACAACAAGGACCACCCCCTCCATCACATCCTATCTATGACCCCAGAAACCCGCCCTCCACTGTTTTATGGCAGCAGAAGCCTGTATCGAGAGGACCGTCCAGATCGCCATCTCCCATTCCACACCACGAAATAGGCTCCTCACCTCCACCGCCACCACCACCCCATCGAGTACTGGGTTCTCAAAATACAAACATCATCCGGCAAGCGTCGCCACTGCCGCTTGAGATGAATGATCGGTACCAGACATTTTCCCGAACACCGTCTCCCGCTCCTCCGTCGTTAAATGGACATACACCTCCCATGATTCGAAGTGCCATGGACGATGTCATGTCGTCACTCGGCAACATGACGCTTAGTGGGCAGGAACCACAACAGGCGCCAGATCGAGGTTTTAACCCTTGGTCCCCGGAAGCTTTTGATGACTTACAACGTCCAGAACATAGGGTCATTAATCGTCCATTGACATCTCTTGGATTACAGGGCGACGGAAGCCAGTACTCCCAGGATCGAATTAGCTACAGCAGCCGACACAACAGCCCCGACCGGGTGATGGAGACTCAGCCTCAAATTGAAACCTATGTTCAACGAATGGAGAGTCGACTTCGAAAGATGCAACAAATGCGTGATGGAGGAGACAAGGACCACCAGGGCATTGCACCTCCAGAGCCACCGCCAAAAACTTCGATGTGGTCATCGAGGCCCAACTCGTCAATGGGCGCTAGAGGAATGTCGATGCGGAAAAGAAAGTCTGCCTTTGAGCTGGGAGGAAACTCTCTGGCGCGTACTTACACGAACAAAACGAATTCCACAAACTCCAGCAGCGGGGTGCAGAGTGTGGCGACCAACATATCGAACCAGTCTAGCAGGACTAGTCAGAGTATTATGAGCGGATATTCTGCTGGCGGGTTCAGTGCAACCAGTGCTGGTAGCCTTGCACGCAAGAGAATGGACCCGGGTCGCGAACGAGTGACTCGACCCATGACAAGCGCTGGGACTCGAACGGAGCAATGGCCTCAGCATGACATGCGACCGAAAACCCCAACATCGAATTATTCATACACATCAAACCTGGATTCTAGACAGGGAGCACGGTCTGCCGTGGGCTGGGAGGACGCCAGTAGAAGCGGTCAGGGCGGATTAGGAGGTTTCACCACACCAAAAGCCAAAAAGGCCGGATTTTTCAAGAAACTGATGGACAGTGCCAAAACCGGAGCTGCGAGCGCACGAAGCACCATTTCAGCAAGTCAAAGTGGAAGCAATGCCGGGTCGACAACCAAGATCACGGGGATTGCTGGAGGCACGGCATTCAACGCGCCAGTGCAAAGCTCTAATGCAAACAGAGCCTTTGGCCGAGAAGCTGCTCGAGAAATGGGTCTTGCCAGCGGCGCTGCAAGTGAATATATCCTCACTAGAAGGGATATCAATCGATCCAACACGCCTGGTCCCTCAGAGCGACAGGATCGGGCGGACCGGTGTCATATGCTCGATCAGCCGGTCATCTGCCCTATTGAAGAGCTCTATGAGAATCTTCAGGGTGATGAAGACGCTGATGGCCGACCCGTCTATGAGCCGTTCCAACTCAGCAACCCTAGTTTCAGCCAGGTGGACAAGGCGGCTAGATTCATCACCAGTCTACCTAATGGTCTGACGGCTGCCACGTTGGCAAATGGGTACCTCTGTCGACCATACCGATCTCCTGTTCAACGACTACGCGCCATCTTCATCTGGTGTGCCGAACGCATCAACTGGGAAGATGATCATGAATTCAACGATTACAATTACGACCATCGAATCGATACACGAAAAGTGATCCAGACCAAGCGAGGTAGCAGCGAAGAGATTGCAGCCCTCATTGTTGAAATGTGCACAGGGATCGGTGTTCACGCGGAGATGGTCCACGGATACCTTAAAACACCGGGAGAAGAACTTGATTTGGACGCAACATCCCGCCCAAATCATTCTTGGAATGCCATCCTTGTGGATGGGGAGTGGCGAATGCTCGATGCCAGCCTGGCTAGTCCTACCAATCCCAAGAGAACCATGTATTCGAGTGTGAGTGCCAGCATCGCGGAAGCTTGGTACTTTTTGGCACGCCCAAGCGAATTCTGTTGGACTCATGTACCCTGCGACGAGTCTCAGCAACATATGATCTCGCCAATGAGTCCTGACATTCTGCTCAGCCTCCCTGGAGCATGTCCGCCATTTTTCCGACAAGGGCTATCCATCCACGCCTACGACACAAGCATCATCCGCATGGAAGGTCTTGAAATGTGCACTTTGAGCATCAATGTACCTGCCGACGTTGAAGTCGTGGCTGAAGTCGAAGCCAGCAAATATCTCCGGGATCAGGACGGAGATGTGTATGAAGATGCCGAGAATAAGACCAAGAAGAGAGCACTGGCACAAGCCAGCTGGTATCGGACGGTGCCGAACACGGAAATCCTGCAGAAACGCTATGTCATCAAGGCAGTTCTCCCTGGGGACGAGGGACATGGAGTATTGAAAGTGTATGCAGGAAAGAAAGGCCTGATGCTAAGCTCTCGGGATGTCGTTCACCCTTTAGCATTCGCTCTGCCTCTTTACCACTCGGGAGAAAATCCGGCTTATGAATTTGCAATGCGTCACCCGACACCTCATGCGACAAGACAAGACCTTTATGTTGTGCAGCCTCAGTGCTGGAGGCTGGGGGCTGGGGAAACGTATGTCTTCTGTATTCGACAACATTCCTCATCTGTTGCCTCAACATCAGCCAGTGAGCAGAATGGGCTCGATATGCGACCCGTCAGCCCCAATCCTCTCATTCGCCCGGCCAGCTCGATGAGCATGACCAGCAGCGCAGCAGGAAGCAACCCCAGCGAGCACGGAGTCAACGGAGGGGGAGCGAAGATCAAGGACAAGCCTGCAAAGCTAGCGATTCAGAGTCCTGGAGGGAAAATCATGAGACTCAACCGCAAAGCCGAAGGTCTTGCTCAACCGAGTGCGTTGAGAGATGTGGATGGAGAAATGTTGGGAAGTGTGTGGGAAACGATCGTCAAGGTACAAGAACGAGGTGTTTGGCGCGGGCTTGTTTTGGCCGACCGCAGCGCACGGTGGTGTGTCTGGGCTGAGTGGGAATGTGTTTGATTTTGATTGAATGACAGGGTTTGCATGCTTTGCACGGCATTTATGTCGCTTTTTCGCATTCAGTTGCAAAAGTTGGAAATTGATTGTCATTTGATGATGGCAGATTCTGTGTCGGTTCACAGAAGGAGCCGGAAATCACTTATCATGGGAAATGTAAGAGTACACTCCAGGGTTTTACGACTGATTGAATAATGAACGGTGTGTTGTGGTGTGCTTCTATTAATTACATCGAAATAAGGATTGATGATTCTCGAAAGTTGAGGTGGATGTGACGTCAACCGTAAATAAAAAAAGGCAACAGCGGCTCCAAAGTTGAGAATATGGCAAGAGCGATCGCAAGTGAAATTGTAGTGTCAAATCCACCATCCAGACCTCATCTCAACGCCTCCAAGACTACTAATTCGCTGCTACCCTTGGATCTTGCTTCACACTCAAGAAGCTAGAAATTGCTGGAGATAGATTTTTATTCTCTCTTTGGCAAGTGCAACTCAGTCCCACCCGAGCTATGTTTTGATAAGCAGCCTAAGCAATTGTCTCCATCTCCATTGTCATCAATGGCTTCCACCGACTCAGTCATGCCATCGCTCTCATCATATCTATCTCTCATCCGAAAGGCAGCCTTTCAGTCACCTCGTCCATCGGCCGCCCCGACTCTAATCCTAGGAAATCCCTCGGCTGACCTTGACAGCTTCGTCTCAGCCATCCTTTTGTCCTACTTTTACAATTGCAATTCTCAAAGTCAAGATCGGCAGCGGCGGCAACAGCATTTGTCCCCAGGCTATATCCCCATACTGAACCTGCCAACGGTGGCGTCCAGCGATCTATGGCGTCTCCGGCCGGAGTTTGGAGTCGCTATTCGACTGGCACTGGGACACTCGACAGCCGAGATTGACGTATGTGAAGATCATGCCGACCAGAGTAAAGTGCCCGAGCTGGAACAGGTGGTGACCATCGCAGATGTCAAGAAGCATAGAGATTCCAATCTGATTCCGGCCAGACTTTTCTCAAATTCAGACAAAGATTCTAACGAGGGTCAACAGCAAAGACTCCTGCTAGTGGACCACAATGCCCCATCGATCCCTGGTCTGAGCGAGTCGGCGATTCGCTCTCGATTCACCGTCATGGGTGTCATCGACCATCACGTTGATGAGGATTATGTATCGAAGAAACCAGAGGACACAAATCCTCGCATCATCACGACGGGCATCGGTAGTTGCACCAGTCTAGTTGTTCAGCATCTACGCGATGAGGGCATGTGGCCTTCCCCAGACAACTTTAGCAAAGATTCCAAGTCATCCCACAAAAACAGTAGCGAGGGTGACAAAGAAGGAGCGGGTCAATTATCAACCGAGAAGCCCCTCGAGCAACTGGCGAAACTCGCACTGGCGCCCATCCTCATCGATACAGCAAATCTCCTTGCTACAGGTGACAAATGCTCCGACACGGATCGATGTGCTGTACGATTTCTCGAGTCGTTCATTCTAGCACCTGCTGCTCATTCCAACCTGTCTACAACTACGAATGATGCTCAGGGATCTCACTGGGACCGAGACTCATTCTACTCGTGTATCTCGACGACCAAAACCAATTCCCTTGACCTTTTGACCACGCAAGAGACATTTGACCGGGACTACAAGTCATGGAGTGAGGCCCAAGTCCATTCCCAAGCCCACGACAAATCGGCCCCTCAAATCGAGATCGGAATCGCATCCCTGGTGAGACCATTGTCCTGGCTGGTCACACATGGCCCCGCGCCGTCGACGGTCAAGTCGTTTGTGGCTGAGATGCGCACGTTTGCCACAGCGGAAGAGCGGCGCCTGGGCGTCTTTATGCTCTTGACACGACGCGAGGACGGTGGTAAAGAGCTCGTCCTGGCCGTGCTTGACGATGCGGGTCGTGGGCTGGTTCATGACTTTGAAACCAAGGCTGGTCCAGAGTTGCAGTTAAGGGCATGGGCCACCAAGAAGGGCGATTGGGAAGCAAGTGTCCCGCAAGAGTTGCGAGCCAACTTTGTCGACGCTGCCGTGTGGGACATGCGCGATACCTCTAAGAGCCGAAAACAGGTGGGTCCGTTGGTGAGGCAGTGTGTGAGAGAACTAAAATAGACGAGAGCAGATGGGAAGGATAAGAGGGACATGTAAGGTGGAATAGATATTGAACAATGGTATCTATACATGACATCTAGCTCATTACTGGCGAGTAAGTGAGCTCTCATGCCTTTGACGAAGTCTTTCTAGCCGTTGGTCCTCGATCCAAGTCCATGCTCCTCAATCACCATCGCGTCGCCATCAAGCGACGCCAAGGTACTGCTCGCGCCTGTGGCCTGAGCCTCAGCCAGCTTCTGCACCTGATCATCCACTTTTCCCCATGCCTTTGCATTTAGTTTGGATTCACCTCCTCCAACACTGGTAGCTTGATAACCTCGAAGCCTGGGACCGTGGCCAGTGGTCTGGGGCATCTCGGACTCATACGTTCGTTCAAAGTTGGCTTTATCCTGATCGAAAGTATCATTCGAAATACTCGTACGAACAGAAGCGAAAAACGTATCGATAACGTGAAAGTTGTGGATCTGTAATAGAGTCCAACCGACCATTTCGTTGGCTTGGAGAAGATGATGCACATAGGCGCGATGATGCCGTGTGCAAGTGTAGCAAGGACATGAAGGACTTAGAGCAGACGTGTCGGTAGCGTGAGTAGTGGACCACAGGTCGATCCCTAGAGGTTTTGGGGTGGAATCTGGGGCTCCAGGATACGTGAACGTCAATGCAATACCGCGTTCCGATGCTTGAGTGATAAAAGGAACGGTCAGGAGGTCGGTTCCATTGTGCACTCTGGCAAGCACCTCTTGTGGAGTTGATGGGTCGTAAAGACCTATCGTTGGCTTAGATTTAAGAGATGGGGCGAGGCTAGGGATCGTGGACGAAGAATAAAGAGCGAGGCCAGAGACGTGAGGCTCGAACTCGTCTTGGAGATCGGAAAAGTAGAATGAAAGCCGTTGCTCAGGCACAGCTGGTATAGACGCAAAGATCGAGCCCGCTCCTGGTTTTCCTTGCCTGCTGTCAACCCAGTCTCGTAACCACGCATGTGTTCTGTCTGCGCTCTTCTCTATCCTCTTGGAACTGGACGTATCTTTCGTAATGACATCGGTGAGACTCAGGGAAATGTCTGCCTTGAGAATGTCCAATGACTTGTTGTATTCTTGGGCTTCAAGAAAGCGGAATCCAACAGATGTAGATATAGCGATGGACGAGTTCGTGTTGTGAGCGGGCGCAGGCAGAACCGGAACTCGTCTTGGGCCTAACACCGTCAAGCACTGTTGAGGCAAGCCGATATACCGTCGGAGGATCGATGTGCCATCTTGAACGGGTGTTTTGAATATGGGAGCGGTCGCGACCGACTTCTCAATGACTATCCATCAACTGTAAGCCAATGAGTGTCAGCGGCCCAGCGGTGTGGCGCTGAAAGTTGGGAGATTACTTACAATCTTCTAAGCCAATATATACGGCAGATATGTTGGTGTGTCTTTGTAAGGTATCTGGGGAAAGATGAGGAATGACACCCCGCGAGGTAGGGACAAGATAATGCGGAGTCTGGATGGAGGGTCGGTTTTGCACGGTCAAAGAAGCCAGACGCGCACCACTCTCCAGAGCGGCGACATGCTGGACAGTGAACTTGATCATGTCATCGGGGAGCTGCGCTACAGTGGCGCTGTCCGAGGCTTCCATGATGCCATTTGTCGACCGGATCGAACAGCGATGTCGAGTCGATCAAAAAATAGATCTGCGGGAATAATCTGGTTGACATCGGCGTCAAAGAACGCCAAGACTACGGTGAATTGTGACATTGAGTACGGCGGATCAATAAGATCTTACATCTATCGTCGTTGGATTCGTTATATCGTTGAGTTCTCCCGAGCTAGCACCATGAGCCCTCATGGAGGTTTAGCAGGCTGGAACTGAGTGCGTTATAGAGGTGGTACCACATTTACTGGTCTGCAGTAACAGAGGAGAGGTCTTGACTCGATTCTGACCAGCTCAATGGCAGGAGGCGAGAGAGAGGGAGGAATGTACAAAATGTCGCCAGATTCATATATTAATGTCGAGTTGGCCTGGTCCCGGGAGTAGAGCAGTGTCGGTGAAGTCGGAAAAGATCTCAGGGAATAGTTCTTCGATCGAAGCGTTGGTTTGGTGACCAAAAAATAAGTCTCCAGGCGGCTGGTCATTGGTCATGACATTGAGATATGGATGGTGGTCCATGGTCTGGACACTCTGTACACTTTGGGGGCCGGAGATGGGGTTCTGGGGTAAGGCGTCTTCGATTCGCTTCAGAACCTCCTCTGTGTATGCTAAAACTGTCTCAGACAAATCCCATTGATCTTCTTCATGAAACGTTCGTAGGCAATCCACCAAAGTGCGGGCACTTGTCATGCATTGGGTTCGGACATTGCCGTAGCTAGTCTGCAGGGCGCACCTCAGTAAGAGGGTGACAGCAGAAGTAAAGTGGTGTGCATTAAAGGGTAGCCAAAAGCCAGCGAGGTCTGACTTGTGCAGTGATGTGATGAAACGAACAATATCTTCAGCGGCAGTCTGACAGCCCGTCAACCACGCCGACGAGGGTTCGCTTTCTCGTTGACTGATTTCATGCCAAGCAATTCGTCGAAGTAGCATTCGAACCGAGAGGTAAGAGAGTTGCAGGTTTGCCAATCCAGGAACCTGTGGTCGATTTTGAAAGTCGGTCAGACTCAGCCAAGAGGGTCTGTTTTCCACCCATCGGTTGAGTTCAATCTCGGAGCGGGAAGTCTGCTCTGCAGCAATCGTGTCGTTGCCAGAACGAACATGATAGATGAGCGGGAGGACATCTCCGACGATCTCGGTCAGACGACACAAATGGATGTATACCTCGGCGGCTCTGATATGCTTGGAAGAGTGAGGCTTGGATTTTGTGAGTAGTTCGACGGTGGGAATGGGTACATCGTAATGTCCTTTGGAGATGTAAGGTGGAGTGCCTTGAGCAAAATTGTACCATCGGTCTTGGATGACCACACCCCACCATGCCCTCCACCGAACGGCCTTCTCAAGATGGCCAATCTTCCATTCGCTAGGATCGTGGTTGAGGCCAATGGAATGAGACAAGGCGACCGCGCGGGCGACGGTGGCGAGATTGCTAACCATACATCGAGATGGGCGACCAGCGACATTTATACACAGCGAAATGATAGTGGAAAGATCGCTACGCTGAATATCGGCCGTGTTGGAGGCGATCGCGGTTGACCAGGCAAAGTCTTGATCTGGGCGGACGTGGGCGGATAAGGCAGGAGCGCTCTCCCAGTAGAAGAGCGTGTGAGCAATGATATTAGTGATCATGGTCTGGGGAGTATTCGGTCTTTCCTTTAGACTAAGGTCGACGAATTCCTCTTGGGTGATGGGAAAACAAGGGTGTATGTTGTCGTAGAAATGGGCGAGAAGCTTGTCTAGAAACGGCGAGACTTGTTCAAAGAGTTCGGCGGGGCCATTGCGTGAGCAGGAACAGTCCGCAGGACTGGGCCTCCTGGGCGGGACAGGAACATGGTAGATGGGTTTCTGAGAATTGCGACGGCCAAGGCTGGGCTGTATGGGGACATGATTGGACTGTCCATTGACCTGAGGAAGATATTGATCGAGGATCTGAGTGTCACGGGCAATGACGGGTCCGACAATGTGAGAATATTCCTCTAGGGACTTTGCGTCAGGCATGGATGACCTGTGGATAAATCCTACTTTGGGTTCCATTCCATCATCCTTTTTGGTGGTTGCAGAAGAACAAGGAGCGCCGTGCATGCGACAGAGGAGGCACGCCTGGCCGGGGACTTCGATCGTACATCGTGAACGACGACGGTGGCATCGTGCACAGGCGGGGAATTTGTGTGAGCGGTAGGGCCGGGCAGACTTCATGTCTGGGGGCCTTGGTGATTGGCTCCGACGTATCGGGGTCGCTTGATGCTGGGGAAGCAGCAGGACCACGAGGACCAGGAGAGATGAAGTCTGATGGTGAATTCGTATTGAGGGGAGTAGGAGAGAATCGAAGATATGAGATTGAGAGATTAAGTACTGTAAGTAGGTACTTTTAGTCTGGTCGATCGTAGATGCGAGATGGCACCAACCATGTACGAATATACTTAGTTCGCCGGCCGTCCCTAAAAACCCATAATCCATCAGCAGAAGCCATGGCAGAAGAGGACTTCGGTCCACCTTAACGCCTATAAGATCGGCCGGAGGGGGATCTCGCAGTGACTCAGATAACTTGGCAGATAGCCTAAAAAGCGGTGGATAGTTGGAGTAATACACGCCACGTTCAATTGCCGACCTTGTTTCTTGAGTTGCTTCATTGCAAATTATCTCTCACTGAGTATGCATCAAACAGCTATGGCTTGCAGATGAAAATTTCAACCCACAAAGATCTGGCACTTCAGAATATTTGCTGGATGCTGTAACAATGGAAGGCACCTCTTTCTCAGCCAGGGAAGGTGCAGTGCGATGAGTGCATCTTCAAGGAAGGAGCTCTCAACTGCAATTGCAATCGCAACCAAGCCTGCGACTTCAACTGCGACTTGCAATTGCGACCGCAGCCTCCTACATCTACATCTGAATCTACATCTGCCACTAGTAGACATACCTAGAATCTGGAGTTTCTGAGATCCTGTGGTTTGTCAGACTGTTGCCATCTTTCCTGTTCTCCTCTCCTGATAGTGGTCCATCTGCTCGCTGCCCTTCGCTTGGTGTGCCCAGGCTTGGACCGGCGATACAATTGCCATATCACAATCTTGCCCATCGCCTCACCTCCTAGACTCCTCATACTGGAACCCATCAGCAGTAAGTTTTCGCGATCATCGATAAGATTGTCCAATAGGCAATGAAGTTATCCGACGTCATGACCCAGAACGACAGCCCACCCCCTCTCTCCACTCCATACAAGCACCTACTTTCCCGACGGCTCCTCTATTTCCACGTATATCTATACTCCTACCTCTGCTTCCGCCTTGGGACATGCCAACGACACACCTTACGTTCTCTCTTCCTCGCCCGTGTCTCTTTCTGGGCATTTTGAGATCGTTTCGCTGCCACGCTAATCTAAGTCAAAATGGCACCCATGATTCAGGACCAGCCTGCCTGGACGGATTCGAAGCCCCAGCCGTCCAAGCCGTTAGATGACACGCCCACCATCTATCAAGGTATCAATGAGAATGACCTGCAGGATAAGGCAAACAAATGTCTTGCCAACTATGGCACAAAGTTTGAAGACGATATCATTGTCGGCAGCAAAGGCCTCTACGTTTACACCGCCAAAGGCCACCGCGTCCTTGACTGGACTTCGGGGCAGATGTCGTGTCTAATAGGTCATGGGCACCCTGAAATTGTCTCAACTATCCAATCTCATGCTAGTCAACTCGACCACCTCTTTAGTGGCATGCTCTCGCCTCCTGTCATCAATCTCGCCTCACGCCTCACCTCGGTACTTCCCCCGGGTCTTTCCAAGGCTTTCTTTCTCTCCACCGGTGGTGAGTCGAACGAGGCCGCCATCAAAATGGCCAAGGTATATACAGGAAAGTTTGAGATTGTCGGACTAGGTGCCTCCTGGCATGGCGTTACTGCACAAGCCCTAGGCGCCCAGTATCATTTTGGTCGCAAGGGACAAGGGCCGGTGATGCCTGGAATGCATATGCTCCCACCCCCGAACAGCTATCGTTCCATATTTCGCAATTCAGACGGCTCCTATGACTGGGAGACTGAACTCAACTATGGCTGGGACCTGATTGATCGAGCATCTTGCGGCTCCCTAGCAGCTTGCATCGTCGAATGCATCCAGTCTTCTGCAGGCATGCATGTCCTCCCACCAGGCTACCTTCGAGCCCTCAAGAAACACTGTGAGAAGAGAGGGATGCTTCTGATTGTGGACGAAGCCCAGACCGGGGTCGGTAGATGTGGGGACTTGTTTGCCTTCAATCACGACAACGTCGTCCCCGATATTTTGACATTGAGCAAAACTCTCGGGAATGGCTTGCCCTTAAGCGCAGTGGTGACGAGTGACGAGATTGAACGAGTCTGCACAGAACGAGATTACTGCTTCTACACGACTCACGTTAATGACCCATTACCCGCAGCCGTGGGCGACAAAGTCCTGGAAATCGTTCTGCGAGATAACCTCGTCCAACATGCGCAAACAATCGGGGACCAGCTACATGCCGGATTGAGAAAGCTGAAAGAACGCTATGCATGCGTCGGCGACGTGCGAGGGCGAGGGTTGATGGCGGGCGTGGAAATTGTGGCCGATCGAGAGAAGAAGACTGCCGACCTAGATTTGGCCAGGAGGATCTCCCACAGAATGTATGAACTGGGACTGTGGGCGAATCTGAGTAGCCACTCCAGCTTTGGTGGTGTCTTCAGGATTGCCCCACCAATCGTGGTGAACAGTGAGCAGATGGACGAAGGCCTAGCTATTATGGAACGAGCTTTCGCCGAGACTGAAGGAACCGGGAGGTTGTATTGAGTCTAGGAAGCATGACAGCATCGTGGTAATTGGGAACGAGCGTAGCATAAGAAACTATGGAGGTGAATGTTATCCCTCATCGAATAGAAGAACGTTGAATTCGACGCGTACTTTTTCATGTCAGCCAAGAGCCTCAGGGACTCGGTGGGTTGGACAAGGCTGCGCGTGGAATTTAACCTGCCCGCCTCCAACACACTATATCAAATTATTGCATTTAGACTTGTTAGACTTGTTGGTGTATTTATTCAGTCACTCATTTGCTGAGGTGGTTGACCATCTGTTTCGCAAAGACTGCGCCTCAATCACAGAGGAGAAACATGATGAGTGGATGACGTTAACAGCATAACTGACCATGACTGCTTGTTTCCTCGCATATGGCCAATGATTGTTCGACGTCTGGAGCCTGGAGCACCCGATAGCAAAGACCGAAGGGGCTCTTCGGGGCTTGGACGACAGATGAATCGAGGGGCTTTGATCTCTTCAGCCATTCAGCATCGTTGGACTCGAGCTCCCAAGCATTTGTGCCGCGTTCAAAGGTCACTAAAAAGTCGTCCGAGGGAACCCTTCAGTGCAGCCCCTCCGCCCCCCTGGTCCCCTGTTCCTTGTCCTTCGCCTCCCCCGCCATCCCATGACTGCGAGACAAGAAACAGGCAGGTCCAGAAATCCAAAGTCGCCATCGCGCCTTCCAGAACAACTGTAGACACGTAATAATAAGGGCAGGGCAAGTGGGCAACGTACGGCAGGCACCGTCGCAGGCACGGGAAGGCACACTCATCCGCATCCGACTTGGATGATAAGAATCATCACTCTCTAGTTACCATCGCTCCTTCCTCTAATCCATTCCTTATTACCTGCGGTTTCTGTACCCCATCATCTCTCCGTCTCTCCCGCCCTCTCCTCGTCCTCTCTCTTTTCTTGTTTACTCCCCGTCTCACATCTGCGACTGATGTCCGACTTCGCCGCTCCAACCGGCCCTCCGCCTCCCAAGGTGCCTGAGGGTTGGAAGGCTGTCTTCAATGACCAGTACAAAGAATGGTATTGCTTCCCTCTCGCCAAACTCTACGCTTAACCATGGCCACTACTTGTCGACTTGAATACTCACAGTTCTTTCCTTCTCTCTAGGTTCTACGTCAATCTTCACACCAAGCAATCCACCTGGGAGAAGCCAACTGAGCCAGCACCTCGGCCTGATGAAGATGGTCCCGGTGCCCCGCCACCCAGCTACTCAGCCGGTGCAAATGATACTCAACCCACCGATGCGAAGAAACCTCTCGAGTCCAACAATCCTTACAATAGTTCCGATCGTCCTGCACCAGGCGAAACCGATGAGCAGTTTGCACAACGTCTGCAGCAAGAAGAGCAACAGCGAAACCGCGGCACTTCCGACAGCTACTACCAGTCCTCCTCAACCCCTCAACCTGGTGGCATCCAAGGCGGATACCCCGGCGGCCCCTCTCCTGCTCCTATGAGTCCTCAAGCGTCCGGAAAGCGAGGTTTCCTCGGCAAGCTCTTGGGTAAGTCAAGCTCAAACCAGGGTCCGCAGTATGGCGGAGGGTACCCTCAGCAGGGGGGACCCCCGCCACAGCAACAATATGGTGGCTACCCGCCACAACAACAATATGGTGGCTATCCTCCACAACAATATGGAGGCTATCCTCCCCAAGGTTATGGCGGCTATCCTCAACAATATGGCCCGCCCATGGGAGCATATGGAGCACCATACGGAGGTGGTTACGGACGACCGCCTCCAGGACGACGTCCTGGAGGCGGCATGGGAGCTGGAGGTGCCGCTGCCCTGGGTGTGGGTGGTGGTTTGCTTGGTGGTGCTTTGTTGGCAAACGCCATCAACGACGGCCAACAAGATGCCTATCAAGACGGGTACCAGGATGGCGCAGACGACGGCGGTGGAGACTTTGATGGTGGTGGAGATTTTTAAAGACCCATTGCTTGCAAAAGTCGGTACACACGCTGCTATGAGACATGGAAACGTTTTTTTCTTCACAGCCAAACACATGACACGAGACGAGAAGTGATGGAATGAATTGAATGGTTCAGATAAGATCGTGTCTTTTGGAGCAATCAGTCAGCAAGGGCTGCCTGGCATCTGCCTGCCAGATACAAGACGAAAGATTTGCAGGAGAGGCCTCAACGGGCCAACGGAATAATGGATGGTTGGATTTCTCTTGTCTCATTATTTCCAGAACCTCTCAAGAGATGGCTATTCAGGTACATGTAGGGAGGCACTTTGATTGAATACTATCCATTGTTTCCACCTGTGCGGCACAAAAGTGCCATTTAAGTTCTCAGCCTTGTGACGTGTCTCGCTTTGAAGCGAGGGTATATTTGTATTTATTTCCATGTACGCCAAAGATTCACTAGCACAGCACTACAGCGCTGGCAGCCATGATCAGTCGCGACAAGCGGGAATACTCTTTTGATTCATTCACTCATTCCAGAATTTCCAGGTCGTTATATCATGCATTTTATCCGCGTTATCCTCCGGATATGGCACCTCTCGCGTTCTAGCTTCCTTTCATCGGCGCATGCCATGATCCAGCCCTCGTTCTCCAACTCGATCTACTTTGGTCAACATACCTTGGTCTAGTTCAACATGGCTACTTGCGCTCTGTCATGCACCCCTCAACAGATCTCGCGCCTCTTGGGCTTCGACGCCAAGAACCCCAACGAGGTACTCGACGCTGACTTTCTCAGCCAACGCCTTTTTGACGCCGTCAAACCGTCGGTAGCAGTCCTCCTTGACTTCACCTCTTCGCCGCTTGTCGATCGTTTTGACCCGGATTTTGAATATGCCGCTCACCGGCCGGTGATCCGACGTGCGAACTTCATGCCGACGATACTCGATTTGCTTGACGCGACCCGAGCCCCGGTACAAAAGACGATCGCACCACGCAGGGGCTCGCTTTTTGTCTGACGAATCGTAATTATCCGTGCCCACGTCGTACTTGTACGTCGGGGCAAACATGATGGGCAGCTCGTTGAAAGGTGCCAATCGAAAACCCGACACACGGCGGCGCGACACCATGATCTGATCACGTTCAAGCAGTTTCGTCAGCTCCCCCCGCTTGATCATTTGGATCACCGTGTCGCGTGGAATGGCATCGATGCGGTAGTTGAGGTCTCCGTTGAGGATACAAATCTCGTGGTCGAGAATCTGCGTGCCGTCTCCCCCACCGACATACAGCGAGGATCGCTCATCAGGGTCCCGTTGTGAGCTAAGTGCTTCGGCCTCGAGAATTGTGGCGACGTCGTTATTGCGATGAGAGGTATGGGTTTGACCAGCCGCAAGATGGCAGTTGACAAAGCAGATCGTGCTGTCGTCAAGGACAAATCGGGTGACAAGTGCACCTTTATTGCCGTAGTGGCCCTTGAGACCAAGCTTGACACTCGCCGCCTCCAAGTCACGAATGTTGGCACGTTCAACCTGACGGATGAAGACGCATTGGAACAGGCCAATCAGGGATGAGGTGTGCACTTCAGTGTAGTTGTAATGCGTGCTGTACCGGGATATGACTTTGGAGAGGTAGTCGCGCCATTCTCGGTACACTCGGGATTGATACTGTTCAGTCTTGACCGTATCCTTCTTCTTGCCGAACCCAAGAATCGACTTGGCTGTCACAGTACGGTCTTCGAGATCGACGACCTCTTGAAAACCAAAGACAAGGATTTCAGGTGGATCTTCGGCATGAATAGCATCCGATATGAAGTCACTCCGCAGATCATAAGGCGTCGAGGCTCCCACGTTCCACGTGACGACGGCGGCGCGGACTTCACGAAATTTGCAGTACTCAACATCCCTTTCTTGCATCTCACTTTCGATCCAATCATCTTCAAGCGCAGCATCCCATAGTCTCACAAAATTGTCATGACCAATGCTCACTACTTGGAGGCGTTGCAATGTCCACACACTGGCAGGATCTAGTAGGACATCCGTGACTGGACCGTTGTGCGCCCTCCAGTCCTTTTTGACCTTCCACGGTGATGAGGTTGTATCGTAGACGTAGATCATCCCGGTTTTGAAGGCTGCCCATAACCTGTCACCCACGAAAGACAGCGCGTTGATTTTGTAGTCACTGGCCTTGACGTTGCCTATACAGGAGAAGTCATCTCTGGAGTAGATCGTGACTCTACCGTCGATGTGGCCAAAGTATGCTTTCTGCACGCCTTCTGTCGAGAATGTCCCACACGTCACATCGCCGCTGCCGTGTTGTGACAAAGGCTTTGTGAGAGCAGCAAATGAGGATTCATTGCCTGGCTTGTACACTCTGATTTCTTTCCCTGTCGCTAGCCAGAGTTTGGCATCCACGGCCATGGAAAAGGTATGGCCCTTTTGCACCTTGTGGGAGACATGGCTATATTTAAGGTTGGGGACGCCCGTTTCGTCGGCCTTCCACACAAACAGCTTTCCATCATCGTCCAGAGTCCACACATCACGACCGCTGCGAAGTATTCGGACAATCTCTCGTTTGTTGTGAGAAGAGTTGGTGGTCATGACGGTGTGGGTGTCGATATCGACTTCCATTATGTCACCAATATTGGTACCCAGCCAGAGTCGTTGCCCCTCACTAGCCAAATCTGCGCCGGGTTTGAACAGAACTGCCGTGACCTTGACAGTCTCACCGTGGTTAATGCTCATGACTTGGGCACCGGTAGACATGTCAAAGACCCTGGTCGTGTAGCCCGCTGTACACAGGAATTTGCCGGAAACATCGACAATTCGCGAGTCTGACTTTGTGGGAATCTCCCAGGGAGAATCTTTACAATACGGCGGACGACGGTTGGTGTTTGTAGCATCCGGGTACTCTGAGCGAGTGGTGGCAGGTTCTTCAACCATCGTCTCAGCATCGTCAGAGTCATCTCTCAAGTTCCTGGGGAGCCCATCGGGATGATGGACAGTATCTCTTGAAAAGGTTTGCGCTCGGCTTGTGGTCGCTGAGGCTATCTGCTCGTGATCGTCTAAACTGCCACGCTTAGGCGGTGGCGGGAAGCGGCCATCTATGGAAGCTGTTGGCGCACGAGAGACCGGAGCTGATGAGATTGGGCGTTTTGGCCGTTCTGGCCGTTCTGGAGTGGTGGTTGGTGGTAAAGCATGCACGGAACGGTTATTATATTTTGATTCATTCGAAGGCCGAGGCGGTGGCTCCAGTGGGCGTCGAGGTGGAAGACCCGGACGATGTTCTAAATCGCTCGGAGAAGGGTCCTGAGCAGTCTTGCTTGAGAAGCCAAGAGTACGGGGGTCTCGAAGAGGCTGAGCTCTCGAGACAGAGGCAGACGGAGGAGACGGTACTCGTCGAATCTGGTCGGAAACAACCCGCGGAGTGGGTTTGACAGTCGAAAAGCCCAAATCACGCGGATCCCTTACTACCCTGTCTGAGACTGTGCTGGCCCTGGCAGGCACGGGGGCAGGTTGGGGTGGGGGTCGAGCTTCTGGGTGTGGGCTGGCGAAGCCCATAGCGCGTGGATCCTTGCGCTCGCTGGCCATAGAGGGTCTGGAGGAGAAACCCATGGTCCTGGGATCACTGCCCCTCGACGGGCTTTGCTCAGAGGGAGGAGTCGGGCTCGGTGATGGGACAGGTCTTGGTGACGAGTGAGAGGGATATGAGGGTCTCAAGACAGAAGGTGGTGCGAGATCAGGACTCATTGCCGGTGAACTCTCATCGCTGCTTGGAGGTGTGCTGAAAGGAGACACTCTTGCATCCATTGAAGGTCTGCGCGAATCTGGATCGAGGGTGGTAGGAGGGGGCATAGCAATGGTTACCGGCTTTGCAGGGATCTTGGGCTTGTCGGCGCGGTTGACAGGGGGAGGAGGCTTGATGGGCTGCTTGGTGGCAGCTTTTGCTTCCGGATCATCTTCGCGGGATTTGACAGAAGCTGCTACATCGGCCGCCACACTCGGGCGTCGAGGACTCGAGGGTCGGCTGGAGGATCGACTCGAATGTTGAGAAACTAGCTCACGGACTTTGGCAAAAGGAGTATCGTCGATTCGCTCCGGAGATCGGGAGGCACTTCGGTCGAAGAAGGTACGAGGAGGAGACCTGGGAGAATCGATCTTCACTGAAGGGGCCAACTGAGGAGATGCAGGGAGTAGCATGGACATGGGTCTTTTGTGAGTGAATCTGGGAGGAGATGCTGTTCCTTTTGTAGATGTTTTGGCTGAAGGCTGAGTGATAAGGGTGGTGCCTCCCCATGGTGAAAGGGGTCGAGGAAGGTCGAAAGAAGCCCGAACAACGGGAGAGGGGGAGGAGGCGTCGACGGGTCGCAATGCGAGGGGAGATGGTGGGATACTAGGTCCTCGTTCGTCAGAAGGTTGCTGAGAAACTTTCAAACCCTCAAAGTGAGACCTCAGGGAGGAAACGGGCTTGATAGAAGCAGCGTCCGGACGGTCGTTTGGATTCTGAGCCATGACTGAATATCGGAGGGAGAGAGCCTCATCATCTTCTCCTGAGGGTGTTTTGGAGCAATGAAGAGGAGGAATCGGAGGAGCGCTGGTAGTAGTGGTTCTCCCTGACGAGTGTGTCACAGTGGGCAACACATGATTCTTCTCTTCCTCGACAACGGAACAGTAAAAGGGTATTTTTCCGACGGCAGAATGCGTCACAGTGCGGCAGCGAAAAAGGCGTAACTCGAGGGTGTGAAAGGTCGGTCTCTAAGTAATCCGGCGTGGGAACAGGCAGAGAGTGACACGAGGTAGAGGGCCGACGGGGGAGAATTGCGAGGGTGGTAGAATAAAGCAAACAGTAGCGAAAGGTCAGGAATGTCGGACAAACGCAGTGATTGAAAGCTGAAGGGCGGCGGTGACAACAGAAGGGATAGTTGTTGGACTGAGTGAAGAATGCATGAAAGGTTGGAGGTTGTTGGTCGTTGGTTGGTGGTTGTTGTTGAGTGCGGCGCAGGCAGGGGGAGACTTGAAGGATGACGCGCGTGTGCATCGACACTTGCGAATTGCTAATGGTCCCTTCGTTCTTTCCACACCGAATTTAGCACAAAGACACCGAGAGTCACAAGTCAGACTTTTGTACTATAAAGTTGTGGGTGTGGGTTGGTGGGGACTGGGGGCTGTCGGGGGCACCACTCGCACCGAGAGATGAAGATTTCCGGGGGCCACAGGTGCTTAACTTGCCACGGCTGGTGCCTGAGAACTCGCCAAGGAGGCCTTTCATTGGCCCTTGTTCGGAGTTTTGTCTCGGTTGAGGTCAGCCTTGACAAGCCCCGAAGGCCCGTGGGCCCTCCATCTGTCTTGCGCATGACAGTTGGGGCTTATTGCTCGTAGGCACGGTGGCACGCTCTTAATAAGTGTACCTCCCACAGATTGCTGTCCGTGATCGATTATATAAGAGAATAGTGTTGTGTTATATTAGTACTGCTCAGGGGGATAATATATCTTCGAGTCAAACAGCGTGTCGTGAGAATTGCCACGAATATCTTTTCCTGGCCTTCTCATTCAGTCCTTGACCCAGGCATCTCCGTTTGAGGAGGGATACCCACGTTCTTAAATCATCACCACCAGTCCTTCAAATCTAGGTCTTCATGATGGTGGTCGCTGTTTGAACTTGACTGAAATGATATCGAGACCTGATGCAGTCCCCTATACTATAGTTCCAAACAGATGAATGATAGAAACCACGTTCTGGGATAGTCACGTGATTCAAGGTTCTTAGTCATCGACGACATTGGCAGGCGGGGTCTCGAGGGCCCGATTGCTCCTTCCTTCTGCCCTTTCCGCCGCCACCTTATCAGTCCGGATCTGATCAATTATTCAATTCATAAACTCCATTTCGACCTCGTCCTGTTCCACAACATCGACATACCTCAATAAAGTCATGCTCCAATGGCCTCGTCACGATCGAAATGTCCGTGACATCATGCACATCCCCTGACGCACCGACTCAAGTTGCCCAGGTCGTCAGTAAACGCACCAATTCTTTGGGATGGGCCAAATCTGATTGCCACACTTGCTTCTCGCTCCGTCGTCACTGCGATCGAAGGCGTCCTCGTTGCAGCGCATGTATCGACGATGGGATAGTCTGCGCGGGCTACGTTCAACAACTCGATTGGGAGCGAGGCAAATCTCGGAAGGGGAAACCTCCTCGTACGGGAACCACCAAGAAATACGATCTCACAAAATCCACCCACGCCATTGCCCAACTCCCTCAGCCTTCAGCCTTTGTCTTTGTGGATGAATCCGACAATCCTCTCAAACCAAGAAAGCGATCCCTCGACTTGTCAAAATCTCACAGAGAGCTCGGTGATGTCATTTCCGGTTTTGGCCATGTCCAGCCCCTTCGTCGCCACTCATCAGCTTCCCGCTCCTCAGCACCGTGGACCGTTGCCAGGAGTGCTTCCATTCCTGCTATTATGCGCACTGCCCTTTCCATTCCCATAAGTATCGAAACACCTCTGACAAGGTTTGAGGAGAGCTTATCGTTTTTCCACAATTGTTTCGCTGAGACCACGCTCACGTTCCCCGTTCCTATCAACCCCTGGCAGTCTGCCATTCCCCACATTCACAACAACAATCCATGTGTCCGCTTCGCTGTGCTAGCCGTTGCCCAAAGACAGCATGCTCATCTTAGCAATGCAGCCGAGAATGTATCAGTTCTTACACTCAAGGACAAGGCCCTCTCGCTGTTTGCACACACTCTGCCTGACCTTTCTTTTGAAGCCGGCATTAGTACAGCACTGCTTCTACTGGCTCTCGACTACGCCGAATCTGGCTATTCCAACTGGCCTGTCCATCTTCGTGGCGCTCACAAGATTCTCGAGCTGAACGGTGGAATTTCTCTGGCCGAGTCCCGGCCCAACTTGCGAAGTCAGGTCGCTATGCTTCTGTGGTACGATGTTATTTCAGCGCTAACGTCCCGATGCGGACCCATATTCCCCCGATCATATCTAGAAACTTTGATGTTTTACCAGTCTGAAAGCGAATGGAGCTTTCTTGCCTTGAGCGGACTTCCCGATGACCTGTTTGTCGACATGTACGACATATGCGTTGCTGCAGGGAGGCTCGACACGATCACGCAGGAAGAAGTCATCCGGTTCCAGAATAAGTTGTGGAATTTCGAAATCGTGACTCATGGCAACGAAATGTTCCACGCCATGTGTGAGGCATGGAGACTCTGCATACTCCTGTACTGTGCACGCGTCTTCCCTCAGCCGCCGCCGGTTGCTTTCAATTCGAACATGGAGCCGGCTGAAGATTCTGAGGTGGCGCCCGCAACAACGTCGGCAACATATCCCACTCCCCTGGACCCACACGATTTGGCGGTCCAGATCATCCGATATATTGCAAAACTTCCTCCACTCAGCTCTCTGCAGAAGCAATGCGTCTTGCCGGCCATGTTGGCTGGGTGCGAGATTCGTTCGAACGAGCCGGAACTGAGAAAGATCATCGTCGACTATGGCGAGCGGTGGAAGAAGAAGACGGGGATCTGGATCTGGGATTCCTCGAGCGAGTTCATGGGCGCTGTATGGGCAGTCAACGACCAGGCGACAGGCGACGACGCATGCATCATTCCCTGGACGGAGGTTGTTTTACCCAGCAGTGATTATGGGTATATGTTTGGATGATGTATGTAATAAGGCTGGTGGACTACTGGCCACGACGCAATATCACGAAACAAGACGAGAAGACGAATGCAGCACGTCACACACATGAAGACGAATTTCACATGATCTATGGTCGAGGTTTCCTTTGATGTTCGGCCGAGGCGCGAGCTTAGGATAAGACGCGGCCTGAGAGGTGGTTCCTTTCGCCGACTAAGAGAAGTTTTCCGTCTAACGTCTGTCCTAAGATAGCACCTACAAGGCTGTGTGTACCTATGGATCTACTTGTTTTTGGTGGATTTCATACTGTCAGATTAAATATAGTCAAGTTTGATAATACTGCTCAATGGAGAGGTCGATGTAGACGAAGACCAACCACTGTACCAAAACAAATTTCTTTTCCTAGGCTCGGTAACTTGTGCGATCAGGTCTTGGAATTGACATGAGCTAGGAATGTAAGTAGTATCGCATTGCATTTCGTTGATCGCATTGATTCCCATTCCATTCCATCTCATCCAGACGCATCAAATCGCATTCCAGCCCGTTGAATCACATGTCATTCTATATCCCGACAATTCCATAAAAAGACATTCCATCTCACAAGTCGTGAACGGATCTAACGTATTGGTGCGTCAACGGGATAGAACGAACCCCTGCGACAAATTTTTTCAAGGGTTTTGATTTCCCCATCCACCTCTTTTTTTTCGTTCTTCCTTGAGATTAATCTCGTCAAGCTGCCCTCATCACAACCAATTCTGACCTCTAGCCCGCCTAGCCTCCTTTTCACCCTTATAGAGCCCCTTTTTACTGGTCGGAATTCCCATGGAGACGAGCGACGCCATCATCATGAGACCGGCCTCAACGGCATCAATCACATTGACTGTGCGACGACCGTCTTCATCGCGAACAGCATCCTTTGCCGCGCGGGTCATGTCGACCATACCTGCACAGCCGAGCAGGATGGTATCGGCACCTTTAACAACGAGTGCACGCGACGAGTGCATGACACGCTTGGCGACTTCGTCCTTGGACCGGGTTTCGAGTTCCAGTACACCTAGATGGGTGGCTTCGCTGCCGACGTAGAAGTGGTTGAGGCCGTAGGATGCGACTTGGTCGTCGAGCATGATTTTGTGACGGGCAGCTGTGGCCACGATGCCGAAACGTCCGCCTAGCATTCGTGCCACGTATAGTGACGCCTCCATGATACCTACGATGGGAACATCGTACGACTCCCGCAACGCCTCGATCAGTGCGTGTTTGGTGAAACAGGCTACAATCATGCCGTCGAAGTTCTGCACTGTTTCCCCGTTGCTGGCGGCGTGCTTGGCTAGGTCTCGTAGTACTGCCTCCGTCGACATGATGCCGTCTGTAGCGCTTTCAATCGCCGTCGGCGCTGGGTACGGCGCCGTGTACCCTGTCACTTCGATTCCTGCGGGGATTACTGGTCGCAGACTGTTGAGCATGGCCTCTGTCATTGATCGAGAGCTGTTGGGGTTAATCAGTAGGATTTGATGTGGCCGTTGTCGAGGCGGGCTGGTCAGTGGAGTCGAGAATGGTGATCGCGACGTTGGTCGCGTGCTGGGTCCGCCACCAGCACCTGATGGTCCTCCACGAGATACAGGGCGTGAGTGAATGGAGGCAGCCGACGACGAGGGGCCTTGGCCAGGTTGAGCGAATCCAGAGTGTTGCGCGACTAGAGGTTGAGCGTGGGGATTCTGCTGTGGTGGAGAGTTGGGCATAGGAGGGGCAGCGCCACCTGGTTGCTGGCCTGGAGGTCCATTGCCGACGACGATGGGATAATTCTGACCTAAAGTACTACTTCTCGATCGAGACTGAGGAGGCTCTGAAAAAGGATTGCCAGGGTCGTGGATGGGTGATGATGGGCCAGCTTGAGAACTGGTGTCTCCAGATGCTCTAGCGTACTGAGAGCTGGGGAATCGACTAGAGTATTGGTTGTTGAGGGCCATGGATGGTAGAGGTGGTGACTGAGGTGGAAGAGGTCCAGGGGACCCGTTGGCGTTTCCAGGGCCCGAGGGGCGACGCATTTGATTGGCGTAATTTGACATGTCAGATCCGTCGACGATGAGGTCGGGAGAAGAGCTGAGTTGTCGAGATGCGAATGGACGCTGAGGTTGCGACTGTGGCTGTTGATGTAGCTGTTGACGGTGATGCTGCTGTTGTTGCTCAAGGTTGGGTTGAGGGGAAGTCGACGGAGAAGGACCGCCAGGTCGAAGAGACAGCGGATGGAACTGTGAATGAGAGAATGAATCGGCTGGGTCGGTCATGGTTTGACCAGGAAAATGTCCTGGAAAAAAGCAGGGAATTCCAAGTTGGACTGGAGAGTCTGAAACTGGAAAACCCCGATGCCGGCTTTGGAGCCTGAGAAGCCTCTGGGGGTTGGTGTCCAGAGCCTGGAATTGGAGCCTGGGCTGGCTGGTTGCCAGAGGAGATTGGGGGGGAGAGGAGTCAGCGGATGCAGATGCAGGCTGGGTGGAAAGTCTGGCTGTCGGAGTGCCAAACGTAAACGTAAACGCGAATTGCAAATTGCAAAATGCAAATGGATTATTACTGTTAATAATTATTGATTCCCCAGCAGCCGTCGATGGCATTGATTTTGTACGGAACTCTGAATAGATTTCGCTAAACAGGTTCTTGTCCTTGGTGGGGTGAGAGGACTTGGGCGAGTGCGAATGGGGCTCCTTGGCCTCTTATGGGGGCCGAGGGGGCTGACTTGGGCTTAGACTTGGCTTAGTTAGGTATGCACGATAGGGAGCAGTGGGTGGGTGCTGGTGGGCGAGGCGATAGGGTTAAGACAGATTGTACTTCTGGGCTGTGGGAACTGGATGCTTATAGCCTGTTGTTAGATAGCCTTTGCTTTCCGAGAGCCGACTCAAATAGTCAATGCCGTGCGATAGATCAGTCGAGTGAGGGACGGTTCTTTAAATTGCGTACTTGGTCAACTCGAGTGGTGGCTAATTGTGGATATGAAGCGAGTTCTGATTTCCTTTGATGGTGGTGGTGGTGGAGGGGCGGAGCCAGACTTGCGTTATTCTCCGGGGCACTTCGGGCGTCAAAGAGATGCTTTTAGATAGCGAAGATGCCTGGCAACCTCGAGATTAATCCGTAGCTAAGGTAGGGAATTACTACCTAGTTAGTCCTTGGTTGCGATCTCGCGTTGTCTTTCAACTCTTGTTTGACGAAAAAGTGAGAAGGAAACAAACCAACATTAGGTAAAGCAACCCTCTTGTGTCAGAGGAAAAAATATAGACCGTGTCAGATTTTCCTTCCTGATTCCTTCAAGGTCGTTGCTGACTTGGTTCCTAACTTTGTAGACATACCCCGGAGGGACAAGGGTTCATGATCCGTCGCCATTAGCAAAAGTAGTGGCGTAGGTTTGTAGATTAGGGCATAAACTGGCTGAGTATCGCCCAAATCTAGTTAAGCATTTAGGCGACTTAACCCAGCCCAGCCCCCCAAAAACCCCCTCGCCACAGTTAGGACTTTGATCACCTACCTAATACACACTTCAGCTACGGAGTGCACCTGGTCAGTCCTTGACACCAACCCCCGACGGGCATTAGGACCCCCACCATCATCAACTTTCAAAGTTCTATTTTTATCAACAGCATCTACGGAGTACGACGCGTGAGACGGATTGAGTGCCGTAGTTGGAACGTCGCATCCTGTTGCTGGCTCTAGGAGCCTCGTGTAACCACAGTACAGGATAGTCTCGGCCTTTTTTATATGCAATGTCAATTATCACAACAGTTCAGGTTCCCGAATACCAGTCTGCTGTGATATGAGACCATAGTGTTCAATCCGTCGATGCTTCTCAAATGCAAACATCTTTTCCTTGCCTCGACGACATTCTCCTAGGTCGATCTCGGCCACAATGAGCTCATCGCCTTCGGTTTGAGCCTCGACCACGATTTCGCCATCGCAGTCGACAATGCTGCTCCCTGCAATCATGGGATATATGCCATCTTCAGGTCCACATTTGGCCACATTGATGCAGAAGCACGAATTGGCGTAGCTGTTGTAAGTCACAGCCAATTTATTATGGAACAGTGCCTCTGCTTTGGCTTGTTCTGGCGTCGATGTCTTTTTCGTCGTTCCAAACAGGTCTGGCGCCCATGACGTGGTGTTGTAGCCACATAACAGCAACTCGATGCCCTGTAGTCCATATGCTCGCCAGCCTTCAGGCCATCGCCGATCATTGCAGATCAACATTCCCATGATGGGATCACCTTTTCCCTCAGTACCTGGGCTATTGGCTTGTACTTCCGAACTGCTTTTAAGAGCATCTGGAAGCAGTCCAGGAACACGGAAAGCCTCGAATCCAAAGTCTCCAGGCTTGAAGTATCGCTTCTCCAACTGCTGTGTCGCCCCTTTTGTCTTATATGGCTCAAACGTTCCAGGTAGGTGGACTTTGCGATATTTGGAAATCACTTTACCCAATGCCCCAGAGTAGTACACGGCTGTGTTGTAATGCTGATGGTCAAATCCACTGCATTCAGCATATCCCAGGTACATGTCCATTTTGTATTCTCGGGCTCGATCGAACAATCTCCGAATATTGGGTGACTTGGCTATATCTCCATCCACTTCTTGCTCAAAGTACTGCTCCAAGTCGTCACCTTCGAGTAAATGTCGTGGGAAGAAAGTGACTAGGGCCAGTTCAGGGTAAACAATCAGCTGGACCTTTTGTTTATGTGCATCATCCATGAGTCTCAGCATCCGTTCAACTGTCTCCTCTCGATGCGAGTCTAGATGAACCGGACCCAATTGTGCTCCTGCCACGATCAACTTACGTGTTGACTCGGCTGTGGTGATAGGAGACATGTTGTCGTCTTGCGTTGAAGCCATGGTCAGGTGAGTCTGGAATGAATGCTTTGGTTGGTGTGAAGCCTAAGGTCAATAAGTTATATTCGATTCATACGTCAAGACCAACAACAGCGACCATAACATAGAACTTGGAGTGATGAGTTGAAGCCAAACGTAATTATCAACCATCACGTTCCCACATGGCGGGTTCACAGTGATAAGACCATTGTCGCCGAGTATGACGCCCAGAGCACGCGGTTATCCGCTCCCCACCCGCTCTCCACTATACTGGGTAAAGTCGATAGACATTTATCATGTGTACTTACGTCCTGTTGCACTCTACCTTACGGAGTACTTTACTGTGTGTTATATAGATACTCTTACCCCGCTGTCGATTGATATTGAGACCGCGCTTGTCTCAGCCACTCGGCCAACCCAATCGAGCTTTGATCACACAGCTGATGGGGATAATAGATATCTAATTCTACCTCGACAGATCTCAAACCCGGTCCTATTCCATGCCAGCAGACCCTTGTTGACATAGGCGTGTATCGACATTGCCCCACAACATGGTGTCTCCATAATAAACCCATTCCCAGTAGATAGCTGCTTGACCACCAGCAAAAGGTCTGGCCACAGATGGAGGTAGTGTTCTAACGATCGGGGTTTGGTCCCAGCCTGCCAGTCCCAACTGATATATGAAGGTCCAAAATATAGACTGTGTTGCTGAAATGACAATGTTGCCCAGTACCTCTACTCATTTTTGTGTTGCTTAGACAGTACGATATCAACAATATGAATAGCCTGATCAGAGCAATCTATCGTGGGAGTCACATGACGATGACTCTCTTTCCATATCCCAATTTCATACGGGATTGTCCGCCTTTGTGGAACCCATGGACATCAACGATAAAATTCCTTATCGTCCTCTGGAAACCACAGGCTTTGTGGGTAGAGGAGACTTTCATGAGTCAAACAACTGGCATACTGACAATGTGACTCAGGTACCTAGAGTCAATGGGTTGTAAACCTAGACAGATATCAAATCCTCTATACCCATATCCCTTCTGTATTTCACATCTCATCCTCCCAAGCCTCCCAGTTCAAGCCCCGGCGCCAGCGCCAGTACAAGTGCCATGGCAATATCTCAATACTTCCTCTCGCCTATTCTAACAAATCCAACCTTATCTTTTTTCTTCTTCCCTGTAATCCTCCTGACTGTTCGTTTCCTATATCGTATCTCCGCCTTTCATCCGCTCTCTCATATTCCAGGCCCACTACTCGCACGGACGACTTCTCTTTGGCTGACATACCATGCCTGGATTGGCGATGAAGCCAGCACCGTTCATTCACTTCACGCCCGATATGGCCCTATAGTCCGCACCGGACCATACAGCATCGACATCCTCGACGGTGACGCATTGGCCACAATATATACCGAGAAAGGTGGCTTCACCAAAGCCGACTTCTACTCTAACTTTGACATTGATGGTCATAAGAGCATCTTCTCCGAAACCGATGTCTCTCGGCGAGCTCCCCGAGCCAAAGCAGTGGCACATCTCTTCTCCACGTCGAGTCTCCGGCAGGGCCAAGATGTGATATATAAATGTGTGGATCGATTCGTGGATCGACTTGCTCAAGGTTCTCGACCAGAAAATAAAGGCAAGCCACTGAACGTGTTGAACCTGACACGAGGCCTCGCCGTCGATGCTGTGTCGTCGTATCTCTTTGATGATGCCTACGGAGCACTCGACGAAGATTCTGTCCAGAATGAGAAACACTCCGTCCGGCATGAGGTGAAAGACTCAGTCCACTCGGACCAAGAAATGAGCGCCAGCGGAATGGTCGACTGCTTCGTCGCCGTTGGCCGGTTTTGGTACCTCCCCAGCTGGGCATTCCAACTCCTCGAACGCTTCGACGCATGGTGGAACACCGAAGACGAAGTATCACACAGCCTTACACTAGTCGACGAATTCGTCGCCCGCGTCGTCTCACAGGCCGAAGGAGCTATCCAAGCCTACGAGAACGACGTCAGCAGCCACAAACAATCCCCTCCACCAGGAACATATCCTGCACGGATGCTGCTGGCTGGATTCACACAGTCAGAGGTGCGCGCACAGTGCAAAGACCTGATCTTCGCGGGGACGGACAGTACGGGTATGAATGTCGCTTCGATTCTCTTCCACCTGGCGCGTAATCCGGAAATATACCGTTCTGTTCGGGAGGAGATCGTCCAAGCGAACCCGACGTTTGACGAATTGCAATCATTGCCGCGACTGCGCAATGTAATAAAAGAAGGGTTACGTATCTCTATGGCCAACCCGTCACGACTGCCGCGTGTGGTTCCAGCACAAGGTTGGATGTTCAAGTCGACATTCTTTCCTGCTGGGACGGTTGTGAGCTGTACGCCCTACTCATTGCATTTCAATCCAGATGTGTTTCCGGATCCATTCGAGTTCAAACCTGAACGGTGGGAGAATGCGACTGATGAGATGGTGCGTGACTCGATTCCGTTTGGTCTTGGGCTCCGGCAGTGTATCGCCCGCAATCTCGCCACGGTCGAGTTGTACTGTGCTGTTGAGAGAGTGCTGCGTGCGGATGTACTTGCTAGAGCTCGCACCGCCGATAATCACATAAACATCTTGGAGTGGTTCAATAGCAAGGTGGTTGGTGAAAGAATTGATTTGGTTTGGGAATGATCAATCGATTAATTGGTGGGAAGGACCTTGGATGGCTGCAAGGGGCGATAGATATGACTTGGAGGCTACTGATACATGCTATACACTTAAATGGCAAGGGGTTTATACGAGTTGGTCTGATTAAAGAGCCTCGAGCTTGGATCGCCTAGAAGTCATACATGAAATGTAGATCCGCATTGCTTCTAGTGAAAAGGATTGAATTGAGTATGTAGTACTAAGGCCTTTCCTCCTGTGATCGTGTATGGAGATTCAACAAGACCTACCGATTGCTCGTCTGCTTTAGAATTTGTCGGACAAGACCTTCTTCAACTTTCCACTCTGAGCCTCGTATTTTTCCACTTTGGCATGACTGGCCATGGCCTTGTCTAGACACCATTTGATCCGCGGTTTCAGCTCACTAGGCGTCCCCGGTAGATTCGCCAATGTCTGCAATTCCGACTCGTACTTGTCCACGTTCTTGTTCTCAATTCCAATCAGCTGAGTGAGAATCGCAAGGTCCAATCGTGCTTTGAGCACTTCGTCGTTTGTTAGATAATCAAACGCTGCCATGTATACTGGTTTGCCTGGCTTGATACCGTATGGCCGTCCATTCTGCGATGTGATGGAGATGAGTTCAGCTTGCTCCAGCGCCTGAAGTGTCGTCTCGCCATCTTTGAATAGATCGTTGAGCAACAACTCGTTGTACTTTAGTGTCTCATTGGTCGCCAACTCCTTTATCAGAAGCCAGGCTTGTTGAGGCGTCCACTTTCTCGTTGCCACATCCACGTCTAGGAGATACATTTTCAGAATCTCTGAAGCCGACTGCTCGATGATCTGTTTCACGGCATCTGTTTCGTTGTCAGTAAGCAAAGTCAATCAAATAGTAACAGGACACATACTCCTGGGAGTCTCCCCCGTTCTGATCCGTCTGGCCAAGAATTCCAAGTCTGTTAGACGTCCTCCAAGCACCTGAATCACTCCATCGAGTTCCTCGAGATCGTTCTGAACCTGCGATGGTGGCTTCTCTTCTGAAGACGTGCCAGGAAGCTCTGATTCAGCATTTATATGTTGCAGCACAAGCTTCTTGGCCACTTCGGGTGTGCAATCACTCAGGGTAATCTGGCGGAACATCCTATCAGGCAGAGCCTTGCTCAAGGACTTGGAAAATGACACGTCCGTGGTCAAAAAGATGACGTGGGCGATGTTTTGAGTCGTCAAAGCTGCCGCCCACTCGCCTAGTTTGTCATAGACCATATTGGCAGAGCCTTCGTTACTCTTGTGGAGGAAGTTGTCAATGACAACTACTGGTCGGAATTCGGGGTGGGCTTCTAGCCATTCGTCATCCGACATGGCGGCATCCTTTTCGTCCTTCTTCTTATAGCTCAGGGCGATGTTCTTCAACGCAGCGGCGGTGCTGCTCCAGATCTTGCCTAGTTGAGTCTCCAAGGTTTCAGAAAAGCCAGTCTTGGTTCCAATGGTACCCATGGCTGCGAGGTCAACCATGCTGCTGATGCTGTTCATCCACGAAAAGACTGGTTTGTAGCCCACCTGTGCTGCTGCAGCGGCAATGGTATTGCTGTCGCCGCGAGCTTCTTGGATTTTCTTGCAGTCGATGACCAATTTATTGGGCCGATCCTTGAGCGCTTGGTCCAGGACAAGCTCCTTTTTGCCCGCACCGCGTGGTCCCTGTACCACAATAAAGGTGTCTGCGGTTTCGATCATCCAAGTCTGCAGTTGCTGAATGGCGTCGTTGCGATCCTCCCAGATAACCCGGAGACTATCCTCATCGCCGCTCGACTTCCTAAATCGAATAATGTCGTAGCCCCGAGTCAGTTGCCTTCGGATCCATCGATACAACGGCTGCTCTTCCAAATGGAGGCCATGTGTGACGTGAAGCTTGATGAAGAACGTTCTGATGGGGTCGAAAACGGTTACGGAGGCAGCAGTGAGGAGTGCGACGACGATGGGGATGACGATTCGAGGATGGCTTGTTAGCCAATCCCATATCCAGTTGCTCTTCCTCTTTGACTCGTAACTCAACTTCAGTAAGGTGCCTGCTTTTCCACCACCGTCCTCAGCCAACACTACAAAACCGTGCATACAGTTCTTGGCCATGGTCGCATATCTGATTCGCGTGTAGTCAACGTAGGCGTATTTGGGGACAATTTTGGAGTCCGAGGGTTGTGGAACAATCTCAGAGATTTTGCCATATCGTCTGAAGAGAGAGTAGATGGTCTCTTGAGTCAAATCCGCTGCTGAAGACTCCGGGGAGGTTGGCATGAACTCGACCTTTACTCTGTTACATGGTAGGCGGTACAGATCTTCAATCCAGGGCCTACCCTTGACGAGGAAAGCTCTGACCCTCCGGAAGGGGTTGAACCAGGGGTGGATTGGTTTTTCTCGAAGGTATTGCTTCAGCGTGCTCTCGAGCTCTTTGGGGGTGATGGCTCCATCGTGTGAAAACTTGACAAAGGCGCCTCCTTCGCGCAACCGAGGAAGGACTTGGACAACCTTGAGGGGGAAGTTGTCGGGGAGGGCGCGTTTGACAATGCTGTTAGGATCGGCAAGAGCAATATTGGGATTGTTGACTTTTGAGAGAGATTGAGCTAAGAATTGGTCGGGGTTTAGGTAGGGGATGCGACTGAGCCATTGAAGCTTCAGAGGAAATACATCTGGCACTAGTCAGTGTGGCGAAATTGTGAGAACAAAGAAGGAATTATCTTACTGTCCAAGAAGAAGATGCCCTCGTTTGGCTTGGTGAGGATGTGACCTGTCTTGTCCTCACCTGCCTCGTTGGTGGCCCATCTTCTTCCAGGGAGGAAGGCAGCAGCCGCTGGTCGAGGCTTGGGCCTGGCGACGGTGTAGAATGATTGTCTTGCTATCTGGGTGCTGAATGTGGATATGTTAGAGGGTCGCAAAGCCCCTCGCCAGGCTCTCGAGGTCAACATTGTGCTATCGTAAATAAGTGTGTTGTGAGGGGCACATGCTTATGGAGCTCGGTCGCCTGAACGCATGATGGGGATCTGCTGAGGCTTTCGAAGCTGGTAGCTTGTGCTCTGGGGTGTTGATAGGTGTTGTGAAGGAGGATAGATGTTCTAGACGTCGTCAAGTTGCTATTGAGGACGTCTCATGACCAGCAACCTCATGTTGTCTGGCTCGAACCACGATCAAATTGCACTTTCTCCAAACCCGATGACGTCGCGAGACAGATGTGGCGGTGCGATGAGATGTGGCGCTTCCAAGTGGCTGACAGACAAATCGCATTTGCGCCTTCCCTTTTCTGGACTATACTCTCATAAAAAGATATCCGCAGCATCTACTCCTCTAGACACAAAGAACCATCACAATTCCTCTCGCTATATCTTACCCTTCAAGATGGGATGGCTCTGGGCCTCCAAGCCGAGCCCCGAGTCGGAACAAGCTCCCGTTAAGTCGGAGTTTTCGGAAGAAGCTGCAGCATCAAGGCCAACTGCATCGACCTCAAGTCCCGTTCAAGATCCCCCCTCGAAGAAGCCGCTGAGTCGCGATGAGCAGAGCGCATTAGAATGGGCAAATCTTTTAAAAGAATTCCAAGCGGACGAGTCACGGTCATCGGCCAAACGTGTAGAGGCTCGGACGGCGGCAGAGCCTACACTCGATGTCTCGCCCGACTCCCTCTACCCAACCACGATGACCTGCCAGTCGGCCTTCAACTACGCCATGTTCTGTAACATGTTCTCGGGTCAATTCCTCAACGTCTATCGATATGGCGAGTTTAGGTCGTGCTCAAATCACTGGGAAGACTTTTGGCTGTGCATGAGAACGAGAACGTGGGCTGATGCGGATCGTGCAAAGGCTATTCAAGACCATTACAGAAAGAAGGCTGTCAAATACAAGATGGGTCCGAGTAGCGAGGATGTATGGGAACTCCGGACTGAGCCTTTAAAAGACGCAATGCAGGGAAACCTCGAAGAGTTGGAGGCTAGAACAGCAGTCTGGAAGGCTGCCAATCCAAATGCTCCAGACCCGTTCTCAAACGAGCGCCAAATCGAATATGAGCACACCACAAAAAGTACTTGAAACAGTGGCCCCCCCCAATGCGGTCATGATTTATTGCAGAAACGATGATGCGAAGGAAACTCTTGCCTTCAGCTAACCCGTCTGCAGTCGGTGAGGATGTCCACAAGGCCACCTAGCCCCAACCAACTCACCATCGCCACGAATGAGGATGGATCTATCCCTTATGAGATGTGTAGACGTTGGGAGGAGTCGTCATCTACCCACGAGCTCCCCCTGACCTTGAGGTCCTGTGCTTTTCTGTCTTGGAAAGTGCATACTCGAAACTTTCGACCAAGCTTTCCTCTCCTCTCCTCTCCATGAGCGCTAAATCAAGCACAAAGGCAAGCAGGATCTGATGCATTTCGGCAGGCTGGCCAAAGGTGTTCCAAAGGACCATAGTCACACGATACCCTCAAGATTGAACTGGTCAACCAACTCAACCAACATTGCATCGAGACAACGTTATAGAGCTTGTTTTCCGCGCTGGGGTCTCAGGTCCAAGACATCTGAGGAATGACCTAGGGTTCCCTGATTTCAATCTTTAAGGATTAATTAGATCTGAGAAGACATCCTATGGACACGAGCTCGAATCATCGTCAATGTTCACGAGGCACAAAAGAAGTGTAATTCTAAAGGATATAGTTTATTGCCCTGCCTCGAAGTGTATTCTCTATCGAACCAATTATCCCCCCAAACCCTGTCCGAGTCTACTATGCCAATTGCCAACTGCCAACTTCCACCTGCACGTACTCACAGGTCGATATGTGCTGCTGATGTATCTACTCCATGGCGTTTCTCGCACGACGGACGTGTGGATTGGCTTGTGGAGCATCATCCTCGTCTTCCGACCTGCTCCCCTCAATTGCCTCGCTAGCGTTCTCATCGTAATCAACATCATCGTCATCTTCGTCCTCGTCACTACTTTCCCCAGTAGGGCGCATACCCATGGCGCCCATGCCAGAAGGGTCGTGTTCGGACTGAGATTCGAGTTCGGGTCGTCTTCGTTTCTCAAAGTCCTGTGCGTGAGCTGCTGCAATGACAGTGCCGACTCGGGCCAGGGCGCGCATGCCGGGAGTGCGCGGCGAAGGGTCTTGCGACATGTGGCGTTGACGTAGCGACGGCGACGAGGTAACTTGCTGCTCGAGATCGACACCGGTGGCGTGAGGCGCTTCCGCGGACGTCGACACATCCGTCGTGATACCGGATAGAAGTGTGCCCGAAGCGGATGTATCCACATCGGCCTGTGCAGTCACTTTCTTACTGCCGTATTCGGGGGAAGTGGGAATGTCGTATGGAAGCTGCATGTCTCTGGAAGCCCGAAATTTGCCCACATTATTACAATGTTCATTTTCGACCCGGAATAAGCTCCACATTCCTCGGCGTAGGACTTCGGCAAGACTGACGAAAAATGACATGATGGCTGAATGTTGAACGTCGGCTGTGAAAATGGCAAAGAAGATCCACTGCTGTCGGAGAACAACATCAGCAATCATGGCAAAGTAGTAGACCCAGACTTTCTTGTAGGCCAGCTGATCTCGTAAGAATGGATGTTTGGCCCATGGATTCCCAAGCGAGAAGTCCATGAACACGTCCCAAAAGGATGTATATATGCCGTTTATTGTTGCGAAGACGATGAAGGCTGCTCTCGTCTGCGGCGTCTTGTCGATTCGATAAATGGACAAGGTCATGTAATAGAGAATGTTGCAGCAGTATTTGGCAAAGTTGGCCAGGTGAGGGAACCAATTCTTCGAGTCGTAGTAACGGCGGAGGCACTGGAAGGAGCGCCAAACTGCTGGGAGAGCCGCAAAGAAGCCTAGCAGCCTTGAGTGGTTGGAATTACATCTGCTTGGATTAACCCAGTTGTTGGCGTAGAGGCAGAAGAAGACCTCGATCTGTCCCATGGCGTATGTCTGTGAACAGTACATGTCGCCCAGGAAGAAGTCACGGAACTCGACGGGATAAAGTCCAGCAAACAGGAGTCGCCAGTTCGAGTATCCCCACCACTTTCGCGCATGGGGATAGATGACCTTGAAGGGCAATGCCATGATTACCAGGGTGATGGCAACCAATAACACGGGCCAAAACAGAAAAAAGGTGTTTTCTGTGGTCTGTCGAAAGTTGAGGTAAATGAAGATGCCATTCAAGAAGAGAAAAAAGCAGGGTAGCTCGGCCAAGGATCTCCAGTCGAGAACATGTCGGGTATCATATTCGAACACAAAGACGTAATTGACATGTGCCTTTGACCATATTCCACAGTCGAGCACGAAGATAAGGAACAACAAGACCGCAAGGAAGTAGCCCGCATAAAGCTGCAACAGGTAACTGGTTTGGAGGGCCATGACTGGGTCTGAGCCAAAGAGGCGATCGCAGGCGTCGACAAGACCAGCAATAGCGAAACAAGAACCGGAGGCGACATAGAGCCCATTACGAAAGGTAGTGGCAGACTGATCGCCATTGGTCAATCGGGAACGGAGCTTGCGGACAGCGATTTTGTGATTTCCACGTTCAAAGTATCGAGCGTAGAGATCTTCGACAGCGATGAGGTAGTTGTCAACAACGTCGCTTTGGACGAAATAAGCCGTGTTGACCTTTTCGGCCATGTATCGGAGAGGAGGTCGAGCCTGGACGGCTTTATCGTACTTTTTGTTAATCTTTCTAAAACCCGTACGATTTAAGATGGCGTATGACTTGAGCAACTCGAGCGCGCGGTAGAATTCCTGCAAGGCAGATTTTAGTTTAGATTTGGCTGTGTGGTATGAGACGGAATTGGCGTTTTTGTGTCTGACATAGTCCTGGCCAGCATTTTCAATCCTCGCGCGCGCTCGGGGGTCTGGAGGGGAACTCTGGCCGATCATGGCGGTGGATGTTTTGCCTATGGTGTTGCCGAGGGAGAAGGTGTCACCAAGGTGCTTTCTTTTATGGTCGGGGCCTGAGCCATTGGGCTGGGCGGTAGATTTGAGAGGGGCGTTTGGGAAGGCAGATGCAGGAATGATGCCGTCGAGGAGGGCTTCATTTGGGGCATGACGAGATTGCTTGGCGCGTTGAATATCTGCAATACGTCGATCTCTCATTTCATGCAACTGGTGACGAAGGACCTGAAGTCTTTCCGAGGCTTCTTCTTCTTTCGACTTGTAAAAGGCTTCGATCTTGACCAACTCACTGTCGAGGAAGGCAAAGAACTCGCCCTGCCTGGTGTCGAGCTCTTTATAAGCGTTCAGCTGAGAATCGGTGATTGTTGGGGACTCTAATCGATGTGCCGTGAAGATTCTCCTGAGTCTTGACCGGGGAAAGGTGTGAGAGGTGGCACCAGAGGCGGAAGTACTCTTAGTCTGGCCGCGGTTTTTGAAGATTTGCTTTGCCAGGTTATCGCGCTTCTTAGGTGGAGGACGGGGCTGGTCATCATGATACGAATCTGATGTGCCAGGAAGCTGGGCACTTTCGGGCCGGCGAGGGACAATTTGAGCCGAGTCATCATTTTTGGTCTTTCGACTTTGAGCCGGACTGAGGGCGGGATCGGGCAACTCTAAAAGGTCGAACTCGCCTGGAGTTTCGTCTTGTGGAGGTGAGCCAGCGATGCTTCCATAATTCATGGGGCGACTCGGGGTGCCATGGCCATCACTTTGAGCATGTTCCAAGGGCTGTCTTTCAGGGGAGGACCGGGTACTGCGCTCGCCGTTGTCCAGACCTCCCTGTATCAGGATTGGGGGAGACTGGGCAAACAAAGTTCGACTTTCCTGTCGATCGGCGACTGGTCTGTCGCCATCTCCCGACGTGTCTTCTTGGTCTTGCTCCGGAATAGTGGCAAAGGTGTCACCGGTGACGGGTCTTCTATTGGTGGTGAAGTCGTAATGGGTGAAGGGCACTCGTTCGGATGAGTTTTCGGGGAGAAGAGGAGGTCGAGCCGGAGTGGCGGGTGTTCTGTTGACGGCTTTGAGGGCTCGAGAGACTGCCTTGATTTTCTTTTTGCCAGCCTTGTAATTGAGGTACTTGACTCTCCATTCCGGAACAGCGTCCTCTTCTAGTTCTCTGGAGGGAGTGACATGGTTAGATGGAGCGATGTAGCATGAGAGTGTAGTACTTACTTTGCGAATTTCATGGTTTGGGTCGAAATTTGGTGAAGACCGTTGGAGTTGGTAGGTACGCAGCCATGCTCATGCTATAGATGCGTGCTGGCAGAGCAGCAAAATGAGGAGAGTCAGGTATGAATATACGATGGAAATAAAAGTCAGAGCCAGCTGGAAGGAGAGCTTGCTGGGAGGTTCATGGTAAAAGATTTGTGATGCAAGGTATCGCAGAAGCGCGAAACCTGTACATGCCAGACGGTCAGAGCGAGGCGGTTGATATTCCTGTTGGGGATTGGCCAAATAAAAGTTGCGGGGACGTCATAGGCGGGAGATGCTTGACTGATTGATCGTCGCTTCCTTGTTGGTGCGAGGGAGGTCGGGGGCCGAGGGGCCTGGGGTGGTTCCTTCCCTTCTACCGTGCCACGCGTGCCTGCCAGGATAATATCTTACAATCTTGACCTATCACGCCAGCACGCTTACCTTTGTACCTTCCCACAGTACACCGACTGATCAAGCATGTCTTGCACGTTCTTTTGCTAGAAACTGCGCTTATCGTCTTTAAGATTGACTGGGCAGGACTCTGGGAGACGCTCCGCTGTAGTCTATCGACCACGTACAGGCGACAAAAGGTGACAAAGTACTTTGAAGGTCGTCGATCCATTCCATCTTATAGTATCCATCTTACCTTAGTAATGACCAAGACGAGCATATGCCCATATTCTTTAATCCAACTCAATGCGCTCCCAGCCTTCCCAAGTTCCCCATTGTCCGTCTTCGGACCTTGACCAAACCTTATGCCTCTGGTTGAACCTGAGCTTCCCCATCTGGCAAACAGCAGACGGTTGATGAGGGGGGAGCTGCTCACGGTAAACGTAAACGACGAGAGTCTAACTCAGCAGGACGGACATTTCATCTATGAACTTGTTGACTGGTTGAACATATAATTAACAACGACTGCAGTTCCTTAACAATTCCTCTCAGTCTCACCTCCCCCATCACTTACTTTCCGTACCATCATCCATTACATCCACTATCAACATCCACCCACAATGGTCTACACCCTCGTTGTCCACTTCCGGGCCAAGTCGTCCGAGCCCGAAGTCCTGACCAAAATTGAGAACAAACTCATCGAGGCTTCACGCATCTACTCTCAGGACAAAGAGACCGTCTCCTGGTTCGTCATGCAATCTGTTCACGACAAGAGGGACTTTACTATCGTGGAACGCTATGAGAAGGAAAGCAGTCAAAAATATCATTTGGAGAACCCTTATTGGAAGACTTTCGACCCATATATCATTCCTCTTCTTGAAGGTGGCAAGATGGACTTGAGACGTTACGAGGAACTCGACACAAGCAAGGACGTTGTGGTCGACTGAGGAGGATTTGGCTCCTTGACCCATAGTCTACGCACAAGGATCTAAACGATTCAATCCAATCCATTGCCTTCGAGGCATTGATTGATCGCATATCTAGCTGCTCAATCGTCATTGATATACTTGTCCAAAACGTCCGCATAGTATTTTGCTCCCACATCTCGATGACTCCTAATCTTGGTCCTCAACTGAGCCTCGCCCCAAGTATCGTAGCGACCTTTCAGGAAAGGGCTGTCGACATTTTGACCCTCGTCAGACTCGTGAGAGTTCCACTTCCGAGCATGGAAATGGTCCCAGAGCACCTTCAAGTCGGTTTTGGTCAAGTCCGGCCGCACGCCTTGGAAGAAAGGCACACTGTAGCGATCGTAGTCACCCGGAGGCAACAACACACGGTGTGTGGTCGCCTTGCAAACACCATTGGTCGCAACCTCAAATGCTTGTCCTAAGTTGACAACCAAGGTCCCAGGCACAGGGGGAGCATCCATCCAGCGACCGTCCTTGGACAGGACCTGCAAGCCTTTGATGGAAGGATCTGACGCCTGCAGCAACAAAATTATCCAACCGCTGGAGTCCTTGTGCGGGCCTACACCCTGCGAGCCAGAAACATCGCCCTCCGGCGTCGACGCTGCTGCCGTTGGCAAAGGGCGATAATGCACCAGCTTGAGGCGATCCTGAGGGCCGGTGAAGCCCGCCAGGGTACCCTGTGGCAGACCCAGAGCCTCGTTCACAACAGCGAGGAACCTGGCGGCCACGTCCTGCAAGGCTGAGATATAGCTTTCGACGAGGGATCGCAGGTGTGGCAAGTCGGGAGTCTGCAGCCACTGATTCGGGCCCTGCAGACGAGTATACAAGGGCAGTGTGCCGTTGCTATCACCATACCGATCAGGCAACTCGTTAGCTAGCTCGAATTGCTCTCGCTGGTCTGCTACCCTGGCCGTCGTCTCGGCTCCGAACGCACTGTAGCCTAGGAAATGCGGCGACTGTAACAAAGCCACCGACCTCTTGACCTCGTCTGGCTGTGCAAACAGAGTCGGTAATAATTCCACTATTGCTCGCGTCACCCCTTCGGGGATCCCGTGGCCACAGAGATACAGAAATCCAACCTCCAGCAATGCATGTCGTACCTCATCTAATAATTCTTGCAGTCTTCCCGGATCTTCTGCTTTGCTGAGGTCGATGGTCGGAATTGGCATCGCCGGTGGCTGTCTTGCTATGCCATTAATTCTGTACTTAATATCAAAATCAAGAGACTGGACGCTATGGAATTACACGACCAGTCATAATACTGAGGAAATACTATCCAATTGCTTATTGGTTTCTGGGTGTTGTTAAGCCATGTCGCCATCGCCTTCGTATCGTGAACGTGTTGCGTCATCTGAGGATGTGGTGTGATTACATAACACCAACTATTCTCCATCGCCAGCTACAAGCTGCGCATACTTTGCATGACACCTCACCAGAACACGAGTTGCCAGACACGATAGAAAAGGCAAATTTGATGAATCTTGTTCCGATGTCCTTGATACGGAGCAAATACATATGTACAATTGCCTTTTGTCAGGCTCGCTTCGTCTAGGGACGACTTCGAGAGAGCTTCAACTCTTTCGTTTTAAAACGCCAAATCTGCATCTTGCTCCTATACATGATCTCGATTGTAATGCCCAAACTTTCTTGATGCCATCCTCTTCTCATACGCTGGCACCCCCGTACTCGATCTGTGCACTCGGCTCCCCGGGCGCCATGAAATTCGTGTCAGGGTTGCCAGTCTCCTTGGCCGCCGAACAACGAGCCATGGTCGGTGAACTGAAAGTAGTGTTAGCAAAGAACCTCTCCAAACCGAAAAGGTGATCAACGTACCTTCTGGAAATCACATCTGTCATGTAAAAATTCTTGATGGGCAGTTCCAGTGGTGCTCCCGTGCTCTTAGCACCTTTGTTGCCATCTACTAGTTGAACCTTGGAAAGACTCGACAAGGCGGTGGGCTCGACTATGTCATACCTCCGGAGTGCTGGGGAAATCTCCTCCAAACGATCTCTGAGAACTTCGAGATCATCATACGGAAGTGGCACACCCAAGAATTCCGAAGCAGCACGGATGATCTTCCAATCAGTTCGTGCTGCCCCGGGCAGTGTCACGGCGGAACGTGTGAGTTGCACTCGGCCTTCTGTGTTCACATATGTGCCCGACTTCTCCGTATATGCGGCGCCGGGAAGAATGACATCGGCGAGTTGTGCTCCGGTCTCACCGTGATGTCCTTGATAAACAACAAATGCATCTTTGGGGATGTCCTTGTCGGAAATCTCATCAGCACCCAACAGCCACACAAACTTGGCCTTAGTGTCTGCCACCTTTTTGGACGGCGTCGTGAAACCGACTTCGTAAGCGCCCCCTCTTGATGCCGCTCGTTGAAGGACACTGTAGCCTTGCCACTCGGGCGTGTTGAAGACGCCTTGGTGTTTGTCAACAAATGTACCAACTGTTTCGTAAATTGCAGCCGCGTCCGCGTGTTCCGTGACGCCAGAGCCGACAATGATAATGGGTTTCTTGGCACCTGCAAGTTTCTTTCCAAATTCGCCAGCGAGAGTCTTCTTGACAGCAGCAGCATCAGTTCCCAGATGCTGGTATTGGAATGTGCTCTCGAAAGGCTCTCCAATGTATCCGATTTCCAGGTCGGACCGAAGCCATTGCTTGCGGATTCTAGCATTGAGAACGGCAGCTTCCCATCGGGTATTGCTTCCAATGATCAAGATCGCATCCGCATCTTCCACACCAACAATCTTCGAATTGAAAGAATAGTTGGCACGCAGATCAACGCCGTGGGCGACGGGGTTGCTCCCGCCTGGTTGATCTAGGGCAAGGTTTTCTGAGTTGAGCTTGTTGGCAAGGTCCTTCATGGCAACCAGGGACTCTGTCTCAATGAGATGTCCGGCAATCGCCTTGAATTCATTCTCGCCGGGGGCGAGTCGTTGATATGCGGTGCTGATTTCAGTGAGCGCCTGCTCCCACGAAGCAGGCACAAATTGACCGTCTCGTCGAATCAACGGTGTAGTTAACCTCTGTGTTTTCAGACCATCCAGGGCAAAGCGTGTTTTATCATCGATCCACTCCTCGTTGACATCGTCGTTTAATCTTGGTAGAATTCTCTTCACCTCCATACCTCTGGCATCGACTCGGATGTTGGATCCCAGACCGTTAAGCACGTCAATTGACTCAAACTTGATGAGCTCCCAGGGTCGGTAGCTAAATGCACCTGGTTTGGGGAGCAGAGCACCGACAGGGCACAGATCTGCCACATTGCCAGACAGTTCTGTGTCCAGGTTTTTCTCGAGATATGTGCCAATTTCCAGACTATTTCCTCTTCCAGTTGATCCAAGTTCGGGCGCGCCAGCGATCTCGTTGGCAAATCGGATGCACCTTGTGCAGTGGATACATCGGTTCATTGAAGTCTTAATCAGGGGGCCAATATTTTTGTCTTCAACCGCACGCTTGCCAGTGATTTCGTGAAACCGACCTCGATCGGCGCCGTATCGCATTGACTGATCCTGTAAATCGCATTGGCCACCTTGATCGCAGATAGGGCAATCTAAAGGATGATTGGCGAGTAAAAACTCCATGATACCCTCTCGGGCCTTGTGTGTGAGGGGCGAGTTGGTCTTGACGACCATACCGGGCTGGACAGGCCATGCGCAGGAGGCAACAGGTTTAGGGACTTTTTCGACTTCGACGAGACACATACGACAATTTCCGGCGATGAGGAGTTTCCTAATTGAGTCGCGGGTTAGTTGAATTCGCAGTTTCATCTGACTTGGGAACGCACTCATGGTAGCAGTATCGAGGAATTGTGACGCCAGCCTTCTCACAGGCCTGGATCAGAGCAGATCCAGCTTCTATTGAGACCTTCTTGCCGTCGATTGTGAGTTCGACCTCGGCAGGTCGTCTGGCGGATGCACCGAATGATCTTTTTGTGGCAGGGGTCAGGGTCGCCCGTGACCGTGCTGCAGCACGGAGAAGCTGAGACCTCATCTTTACGATGTGCGCAGGTCTCAGCTGATGGGGATTGAGGGATGGCGGAAGCTGAAAACGACGATGAGGAGCTTGGTTGATGCTGCGGTCTTGACGTCGTCGTGGTCTTGGTGTTTAGCTTCATTCAACTGAGTCCGGGTAATCTACAAATCCGACATTTTGATTGGTTGCGCTGGTCAATTGCTTGGCAGATATCTCTAGCTGTTTTGGGTTTCGAGCTGGCGCTGTTTTAAGCTCAGATTCAGACCTACTCGTCTTGTTCTTCACGGGATGTGACTGGCGAGTTTTGGGTATTACACTGGCTACCGGGAGCTTGGATACTCTTTCTATTAGAGCTGACTACTTTAAGGTACGGCTATCAGGAAGGAGAACGTCTGGTACGGAGTATACCACCATAACCGCGCTGACATGGGTGTGCACTGGACAAACTCAACCTTGTTGCGTGCCTATGTGATATGCTGGGATGGAGATGGATTGTTAGCTTTGGCTACATTTTGAAAAATGTACATACATCCTCAGTTATGCGCTGATAAAGTCTCACACTTCAAGAGTTTGGTATACCATCGTCCTAGATGGAATCCTATTCTAAGTCGGTCGTGTGACAACATCAACACCCGTTCGGAGCCGTGCGGCACTTGAATTACAGCCGCGTGACGGTCTTCATCACCAAGGTAAGGTGATTGAATGCAGTGAATCATTCCGATGCTATGAGGCTCCGGACCTCGAACCTAGCTGCTTGAAAGCTACTCGTTGGATGCATCTCCCGAACTTATTCCCGTGTGTTGTCGTTGTTTCTACATTAGGCAAAGGCGACGAATGCTCCGCTTTGAATCCCTTTTTGACCTCTCCGCCAGCGATTGGCTACTCTGTGAGTACCATTCAATGGCGGTCGTTGGGAACCTAGCCTCTACAAAACAGACATCGATTCTTACTCCATCGACCGCGTTGAAAAGTATTGTTTTACTATAGATCGGTTTTTTGGTTTGGTAAAGGGGACTTCGACCGTGCTACTCAACTCTACCTAGACCTCATTAATTGCATTACATTGTACCTGAAACCACCATGGGATCCATTGCAGTCGAAACACGCCAGCCGGCGCGAGCATATCCACCGGGAGTTCATGTCCCGTCTCTGACTTGGTTCAAAGACGACGATGTACAGACCATTGACTGGGAGGTCCAGACGAGCCATCTGAAATTTTTGATCCAATCCGGCCTTCACGGAGGTACGTGAAACACTATGAAGGCCATCGAAGGTATCATTTTCCTGACAGTGAATCAACAGTTGTGATCGCAGGCACCAATGGAGAAGGCAAGCATCTACGTCTTGATCAAAGAAACCTAGTTCTCGTTTGCTAATTATCTTTTCAGCTGCAACACTGAAATTGGATGAGAAGTTGGAGCTTGTCCGCCGGACAAGACAAATCGCCCAGTCAGTAGGACGACCAGATCTGCCAATTACGGTCGGATGTAACGGTGGATGCACTTTGGCGGTTGTGGAGGAGACTCAGGCGGCAAAGGCAGCTGGAGCAGATTTTGCTTTGGTGCTTGTACCGAGCTATTTCCACTTCGCCATGGATGACAACGCTATCAACGAGTTCTTCCTGGAAGTGGCCGACAAATCGCCCATTCCAATCGTCATCTACAACTTTCCTGGCGTTGTCAGCGGGCTTGACGTCAACAGTGAAATGCTGGACGTTCTAGGCGATCACCCCAACATTGTCGGCGTCAAGTTGACATGTGGTGGAATCGCCAAAGTGGCCAGGGCGAGCGCTAAGTTTGGTGTATTTGGTGATGAGAACGAGAACGGGACGTTCAGAGCTTTGGCAGGTCAGAGTGACTGGTTGGTGCCCGCGCTCGCTGCCGGAGGTGCAGGTTGTATCACCGGAGTTGCCAATCTATACCCGAAGGTAAGTGGACATTTAATTGTTGACTATACTTCCCACTAACTTCCTTCCAGGCTTGCATCGAAATGTACGATCTTTGGAATGCAGGAAAAGTTCAACAAGCCTGTCGTCTACAGAATGAGATTGCAAAGTCTGAGATCGGGTTTGGCAAAGGGGGAATCAATGGCACCAAATGGGTGGTAGGAGCTCTCCTTGGCTACCCAGAGTCATCTTCGCATTGCCGACGACCATACCCAAAGTTTTCAGATGATAAAAAGAAGGCGTGGGTTTTGGGGAAAGTCAAACTATGTGGTCAGATCGAAATCGATTTGAGTCAAAGATGACGAGTAGAAATTAATACTATTTTCATCGCTAGACAATTGCAAAACAAGAATTAAACGTCTCATGCATAACTGTGCGAATGTCTGCACGTTGTCCAGTCTGATCTTGCCGCTGCCAAACATTTTGGAGGACATCGGCGGTTATCCCGGCGTTGCTGACAGTCTTAGACATGCTGCGAACGATTGATAAGATCCAAACCCTGTCGTCAGGATTCTCCTCTTCAGAACCCCACATCAGCAGGGGCCAGAGCATGTTGACTGGAAGTGTGTCGTCTGGTCCTTGAGCGTCAACCATGGCCCTGGTGGTCTGCCTCATCACGCTCATGGCATTATGCACTTCCACCGTCCGTGGCAAATGTTTGTATGCGACTCGATGGAGATGAATGAATGAAGCATGGAAATTGGCCATGGCCATTCTAGATGTCCTGGTCAATTGTTCGGCCAGGGCTGGTGCTAGAAGAGGAGCTTCAAGCCTTCCTGTCACTGCAATGTCGAGAATTGGGTGACGATGGCGGAACAGCTTATGGTTATCCTTCTGGATTTGGGCGGCAATGGCCATCACCTCGGTTTCGTCCTCCACTGTTCCACGACTTCGATGCCATTGATCAATTTTGGTGATGCGGCCCATAAAAGATTGAGTCTTTTGGAAAAAGCGTAGTGCAGGCTGGGACAAAATGTCGGCTAATACAGCTTCGGCATCCCTCTCTGAAGGAGATAGACTGCCGCTGAAGTCATGAGCTTCATGATCCTCACCAAGGAACAGGCCTTCTCCGCCAGCAGACACGGCTCGAGCATCGAGGAGTCGAATCCAACGAACTAATGTCTTTTCTGGACGATGTCAGTTTGAGTTGCGATCAACGTTTTCATTTCCTGACATACCTGCTGGATCCCAATTGCCTTGATCGGAATCTGAAACAATCAAGTAAGCTTTACGAAGATTGGGATGTGCAAAGGTAGTTCGATTGGCTACAAGCTGAAGAAAGGTTAGTGAAGAGTGATGTTGAAATAGAGGAGACTTACGTCAATATAACTCAGAAGGAATAATGCAGCGAGAACATGTTGAACTTTAGCTCCTATGATATCAACCTTTCCATCATGTTCAAGAAGCGATTTGGATATTTCTTCTTGACTTTGAGTGTAGTATGAACTGAAATCGGACTGTAACCTGTCTGACTGACGCTGTAGCTGCAACGCAGAGAACGCCAGGATGGCGTAGTGAACCATGAGTGAATTTGATGCCATGGAGATCAAGTGATTCCTCATCAATCTCCACCGAGACTTTGTCTCAACCGGGGCCAATATGGGTGGGGCGTCAGACTGTTTGAAATGTTCGAGAAGTTGACTAACATTTGGTAGATCTGAGATGGTGAGGACTGAAACGGGCACTTCTGGCTTTCTTTGGGCGACATTTGAAGTAGTGGGGTTCAACTCCGACATTGCGCTATCCGGAGAGGTCGTCCAAGCGGTGCTTTGAAAGTCGATGGCAGGTGAAATTGGGACATCCCAGAGAAAGCTAGCATAATCAAAGAAATCTGCCGGACCTTGGTTGTTGCCTGGAAGTGAAGGCGAAGTTGGGAGCGGCACAGCCGGTTGCTGCTCTATTGTCTCTGGCACTGGCGTCGTCGATGGACTTAGCGACGATGAAGCAATGACGTCTGAGATCACATGAGAGGGTTCGGCGCTCGCTTTAGATGTTGATCCTTCTATACTCCAAGAACAATCTAACTGCAGACGCAGGCAGTGCCCACATTTTGGGTGCTGTTGATTGCAGCGGACCCTTCGTCGTCTGTCCATTTATGATCAATTTGATGATCCACTTCAGCGATTCATTTGTTGCTCACCTGCATGTTAAGCAGCCATTCTTGCTTCGGTCGCTCCTTCGAGACTTGTTTGGGTTGTTCTGATGCCAGTTCGCATACATTGTGCTGGAGGCTCTCGATGGTAAGGGTGCTATGCTGTGACAATATCTTGTCTTACAGATAGATGCGAGTCATTACATGAACCAGGAAATGAAGCGATGATATCACGTGTGACATCTAAAAAATGACATCTGGAGCACAGGATGGATACAGAGCAAGAGTAATTGTGATATTGAACAATCCTCCCGTGCTGAAAAGACTATTCCTAAATAGGCAAAAGCGATGGGCAGGCCTGCTCTCCGCCACTAAGATGCCACTCCGCCCACTCATTGCAACCCGCTGCCCCCGGCCAGCGTTTTATTTTTCACGGGGAAAACCCATGAGCACCCCAGGATCCTCCACACCCGAAATCGGCCCCTTGTTAAACTTTGCCTTTCTTCCCGACTCAAATTTTAAAGGCTCTCGTGACACGTTTCGCGTGGACACATCTAAAGAATATCGAGCCTCCTCGGACAGGTGGAAAGCCAAGACGATTAGCCCCATACAGCATCGCCGAAACCAAATTGGACCAACGCGAGGAGGTTTGGCGATAGACTGCAGTCACGGTCTTCATCTATATAGAGTGAATGGCTTTCCCCAGACAATGATTGTGGCAATCGCTTCGACAAGATCGACATCTGCATTGACATTGTTCTCGAATAATCTCTCCACACTCAACCAACATGGGTGGATTCCGCGCAGTCGAGGATAGGCCGACGCCTAAAGAGGTCTACAACTGGCGACTGTATTTCGAAGCCAGTGTCATTGGTTTTGGTGCGCTCCTGTAAGTCTATCTGCAAATGCACTTCACGCCATGTTCAAGACTGATGATGCCCTAGTTTCGGTTACGATTCGGCCTTTGTTGGGACCACAATTGCGCGACAGAGTTTCAAGACGGATTTCAATATCACCGCGGCAGAGGCCAAGAGCATTTCCAGTAACATCACCTCAGCCTTCCAGGCCGGAGCCTTCTTTGGTGCACTCTTCTGTCTCCCTCTCACCGAAAAGGTCGGCCGCAAGTGGGCTCTCCAGATCAATGTCCTCATCTTCATTGTCGGTGCCATCATCATGACCGCTGCTACTCACCAACTCTCGTATATGTGTTCGTTGTCCCACATACCTCGCTCTTACTACAATCTGCTAACATGGCCTTTGTAGATGCTGGACGTGTCCTCACTGGTCTGGGTTGTGGTGCAATTACCGCAACTGTGCCATCGTATATTGCAGAGATCTCCATCTCGTCCATCCGAGGAATCTTGACCGGTCTCTTCGAAGTAGCCTACCAAGCAGGCTCCATGATCGGTTTTTGGATCAACTATGGAATCAACCAAAACATGTCTGTCACATCTGCAACAAGTTGGCGTTTGCCAATGGCAGTTCAGCTGATCCCCGCTGTCCCACTATTTGTCTGTGGCTTCTTGCTTCATGAATCTCCCCTTTGGCTACTTCGAAAGGGGAAGATTGAACAGGCTCACAAGACTCTGGAACAACTCCGACAAATCCCTGCTGATCATGAATGTAAGCGACTGCCAGATTCTCAAGACAAAGGCATAGGCTAACGCATCACACCTAGATGTCAAGCAAGAGCTTGCAACAATGCAAGAGAGACTTGATGGCGAAGCTGAGATCTCCCGGAAGTATGGAACTGGCCTTTGGGCATACTTTAGAGGTGCTTTGGACGAGTTTTCCAAGAAAGGCATGCGCAATCGTGTAGTCTTGGTTTTCTGTTCATTTACCCTTCAAAATCTATCAGGCGCTGCCGGTACGCAACCCCGGACACCGATTTTTGAAATCTACTGACGTTCTAAAAGCCATCAACTACTACTCGCCCACTCTTTTCGGCTCTCTCGGCGTCACGGATGTTGCATTGTACACTGGTATATATGGATTAGTCAAAGGTAAGGCCCCACCACGTTCTGCAAGGAAACAGTCGCTAATCAACCTCAGCCGTTGCGTCCATCATCTACTATATTGCATTCATCGACATGGTAGGCCGACGCAGACCTACCATCATCTCCTCCCTTGCCTGCTCGCTATGCCTGTGGTTTGTTGGAGCCTATGTCAAGGTCGGACACCCTGCCAGCATCCTGGCAGCAGGCGAAGAACTCTCTACTTCCACCGCTGCGGGCGGAAAAGCTGCAATTTCCATGATCATGATCTACTCAGTCTTGTGAGTCTCTTTACCAAAATTATTATGGAGTTACGTCATACTGATTGTTATCCTAGCTGGTCATTCGGTTTGAATGGTATTCCATGGATTGTGTCAGCTGAAATCTTCCCCGGTGCTCTTCGAAATATCACTGGAACCTACGCAGCCCTTGTGCAATGGTGAGAATCACAAATTCGCGTGTATGACTTTTAGCTAATTTCAAAAGGCTGATCCAATTCGTCATGACCAAGGCATTGCCATACATGTTTGCCTCATTTGGTTACGGCACATGGTTTTTCTTTGCGTGCTGGATGTTGATCGCCAGTCTCTGGGGGTTCTTCCTCCTCCCCGAAACCAAGGGTGTCACAATCGATCAAATGGATATTCTCTTGTACGTCCTAGCCCTAAGACCATATCCGAATGCACAACTAGTACTGACTCATTGACAGTGGCTACAATCACGATGCGCCATATCGGATCCCTCGAACGCGGGTTACACGGAAAAAGGTTGAAGCTGCGCAGATCCAAGAAGCTGCCGAGAAGAATGTGGATATTCAGCATAGCGAGGTGTCCACAAAAGACATTGAAGCTCACCGATGAGGGACTCACAATCCTATGCTCCAGCAGCTCCATAGTATGGAGTAAGGTCAGGACATGCATTGTGCTAAGCAAACATGGATGGCGCATTTTGGCTTTTAGAAATGTTATCTAGTGATGCATGGTCTGGTTGTTGTTAGAAAACTTGCGCTCCACAGGTAGCTTTAGATCTAAGGAACTGAGCGGGAGGCGTCTGAATCAGATCTGGGCTGAAATTTCCAGAAGATTGGTCGGAACAAACTGTGGTCCATGTCTACTTTGTTTTCTCAAGGGACAACTTTACCTATACCAACCAACGCCAGCGCAGTCATAACGCTCACACAATCCGATTTAACTTCAACCAATGACCCAACTTGCCCCTGACCCAGCTTTTATCGAGCGAACCGCTCCCTGATCCCTCTTTTCCACGATCCGAAGATCTGGATTATGCGGAAAATTACATAACAAGTCAATCGTACAGGCACCAGTCTTCCAAGACCTTTATCGACATCCACGAGTTCTTCTTTGATGACAAACGTGACCTGACGGGCCAACCAATTCGCAGGTCCAGACTCACTGAACAGCGCGACCTTGTTTCCCATTGTCTTTTCTTGGAAATATTCGGCCCGGGGAAACATCTTGACTTCGTAATTTTGGATCCCGACATCGATGTCGGTGCCCTCCTTGAGCGAAGCTTCAATCGCCTCAGCCAGCTCCAAGCAGTCTCTCATGGCTTTGTTCACTCCTTCGCCAGCGAAAGGGGTCATCAGGCTGGCGGCATCTCCGACAAGAGTGTAGCCTTTCTTATGGTCCCATTTATGTCCGACGGGAAGTTCATATAAATTCCACGACTGAAAATCGGTCCCGACCTCAATCCATTCCTTCATTTTGGGTTCCCAGCCAGCTAAATTCTCAAGAATCTTTGCCTTTAACTGTTTCTCGTCGGAACCGTAGGCCGTCAGAATATCCTTTGCGTAATTTTCGTCCTTTATCAGCCAGAGGGCGACCTTCAGTGTTTCGTCGCCCAGCCGTTGCGCCATCAGAGATTTCCGATCAGATGATGAGAAGTAGCTCCCGCGGCCGACCATTTTCGAAATATGCGGATACTCCTCATCAGGTTTGGTGATGCGGCACTGAAATCCACACACGCCAGAGTACGACGGGCGCACACTCGTCAGGACCGGGCGGACTTTGGACCAGGCGCCATCCGCACCGACAACCAAGTCAAACGGCCCCGCCGTTGTCCCATCTCGGAATGTCAGTATTCCAGATTGTTCATTCACCGATTGCAAGACCTTTCCCCAGCGAATGATCGAAGGGTCCACACTGGCCAACAACATATCTTTCAGGACCTCACGATCGATCTCGGGTCGTGCAAATTTGTTGTCGGCCGTCTTGGGCTGCTCTTTCATGTGCATTAACTCGGTGGCGTTTTTGTCGGCGATGACGAGTTCTTCGGCGTCGTATCGTAAGTATTTGAACGCTTCATCCCACAGACCAGCCTTTCTCACAGCCGCAAGACCAGTGTCGGGATGAAGATCGAGGGTGCCGCCTTGGTACTTTCTGGATTTGGCTGAGGTGTCATGTTCGAAGATGGTGATGGCAACCTTGACATCAGCAACCCGGAGAAGACGTGCGAGAGTTAGACCAGAGGGCCCTGCGCCAATGATGGCGATGGTTGGCGTCTTCTCCATCAAGTCGGTATAGTTGAGTGGCCTAGATATCGATGCTGTTGATAATAGTGATGGTACGAGCCTGGATTGGAGTATCCAAGCGTTGTTCCGCGCTGGAAGGAATGGTTTACTGTCGCAATTGACGGAAACTTAGTGATTCAGCGAGTGTGAGTGATAGTGTAAGGGATTCGAGAAGCAGGATGCAACCGCCTAATATGCAAATAGTGCTGAGTTTCTTGGATGGTACGTTGGATACGTACAGAGCCTCAAGGTTGCATGTACTACTAGTATTGACGATTCGCGACGATTGGCGATGGGCGTTGGCTAAGCTTTATTCTTAAGGTCAAGCGATTTCGCTATGCTGATTCTGGCAGCCCGTAGCACCTGGCTCGGCCCCGAAGATGGTTGGTGTCACCTTTTCACTGGAGCCTGGGGGTAATAATGATGGCCTGAGGCCCGAAGGCCCTCGGGCCAATTAAGCCAAGCTCTGGGTTGGATGAACGCCCCGAGAGAGAAAAAGTCCTAAATTTAGGCCTCCTCTTCGCGATGTGCGCCTGATTTGGACCACTGCGCCCGCCAACTGCGGCCGTACTTGGAGCAATGGAAGGCACTTGATGGGCGTACTCGTATGCTCATCGTTTGATAATTCTTTGATCTTTCTCACTAAACCAGACAATGCTACGTACTGTCGCAAGCCTTAGTATGTCTTTTCCTCTGCTAAGTGAGAATGATCTATTCTTATATTCTCGGTAAGCCATTAATTTCGCGGAAGTAGATGCCTGGTTTGAGGGACAAACACAAGGGTACTATAATAAGTGGACTGAGCAATACAAGTGGCTACCACAGTCTAACGGCGCTTTTGGGTGCGTGTGACTTCCTAGGTACCTATCAAACACTGTATGGTACCTATGTACTTCGGGTCCGGAATTAATCAATACATGTGCCAGACAGCGCCAGCCAAAATGCCCAAGCAGTGAGCAATAGTCGTCACCACGGGTTCTCGACACAAGTCGGACCCGAGTGCCAAACAGGCCCGACGGCTAGGCACCATCTTCTCTCTCCAAAAACTTGGGGGATGCCTAGAAAGTCACGTGAACTGACTAAAGAGTGGTCGCGAATCATGAGCGTAAAAATATCATCCTGGCCCTCAATGTCCTCAAGGTACCTAACTCGATGATCTCTAGCCGTAAACCTTGCCAACATCAATTGCAGTCTCGCATGCCCTGCTGAAATCTAGAGACTGACAGTGTAAATTATAATGGCAGATTTCTTCGCACCGTTTGACCCTCAGTGGTTAATGGTATGTCTTCCAAGTCAATGTTTGACCTGCCCTCAAGATAACCCTGACATGGGCTCGAGGCTGAGCAAATCTTTGGTGGTCGGGTAGTGCTACCTGTTGAGCCTGTGGAGGATAGCCGGAAACGATTCGCGACGATGTGGTCCAGTATCGAGCCGCTTATTCCCAAACCAACAGATGCGGTGACTGTCAAAGAAATCGATGTCTCAAAAACACAGAGAGCTAGAGTGTACAGACCTACTGATGCCCCAGGAGCTCTCCCTGTCGGTTTGTACATCCATTCTGGAGGGTGGTTTTCCGGTAGCATCGAGAAAGAGGACTTCTTGTGCAGAATTATCGCTGAAAAATCTCGCATGATTTTATTCTCACCAAGCTATCGCCTCGCCCCAGAAAATCCATACCCTGCTGGTCTCGATGATGTCTGCGCTGCGTATCAATTTATGCATACCAACGCTGTCCTGTATGGAGGCGATTCAGCGAGGAAATTTGTCATGGGAGGATCGGCAGGTGGCAGCCTCGCAATCAGCGTCGCCCTTAAGTATACTACCAATGCTGAGCTGAAGCCGCTTGGAGTGGTTGCAGCTTGCATCTCGTCTTGTGATCCCGCTGTGCTGCCGGACCATTACAAAAAGAGATACACCCCGGAAAAGTATTCTGATTCACCGATGATCGGACATGGCATCATGGCTCAGGCACGCGGTAAGCAATATTTAGTGCTTTAGTCTGTGCTGCTCGTTCTAAAAGCGCTTACATGGATAGAATGGTATGGTGCTCCCGCTTCAGATCCATTGTTCTCGACCTTGTTGCACCCCGACATTGCGCACTTACCTCAAGTTTACCTGGCCGCTTGCACTAAGGATCCGACTCACCAGGACACCTTGTTCTTCTATGAAGAGTGCAAGAAACGAGGTGTCGATGTCGAGATGGACCAATGGGTGGGATGGCCACATTTCTTCTGGATCTTACCCATGTTGCCAATGTCGGCAGAGTTCATGAAGTTTTGGTGTCGAAAATTGAAAGGCATGGCCGCAAAGGCGTAGGCGGGGATTCTGGGCCGTCGATATTCTTTCTATCTCGAGCAGGTCCTAGAGAACAACGGCACCTTAGTCGGCTGGGTGAGATTATTGGTGGGTGGTCATGCAAGAATGGGTGAAAGCCTCAACTGGGAAACGAATCGCCTTCATCGCTTAGGTATACTCGCTGCAAGTAGGTCGTGTGACAACAAATCCCAATCCGATGCAGGACCTGCCCGTGTTTGCTCCACATGTACCTGAGTGGAAATGATACACCTACTAATCCATTGAGGCATTGATCTGAGGTGGTAGTTCGTCATACGAACCTCTCCCCTCTCGCTTGTACTTAACCTGTCCATTAAGAAGGGTCCCTTGGCCCCTCGGCCCCTCAGCCCACTGGAACGTACCCCTCCTAAGCCAGGACCCCACGCAAGCTTAAACAAATAGGCGTGGACAAGCCTCCAGATAAGAACTGTCAAGCTCTAGCCATGCCCGCGGAACTACCAGGAGTAAAACCTTGTTCGCAATGAAGCCTTTGGGTTATTACCCCTCCCTCTACCGGAAAGCACGGAACTGCAGGGAAGGTAAATTCTCCTCTGGATTATGCTGTTTTTCAACGCTTCGCGCGACTCGCGCGAACAAGACCCTGTCGGAAGTGTTGGAAGCTTGTCCATATCTGTTCTGCCGATGTCCCCACCTTCGCGCGAACCACTGGGTTGTAACCCACATCTTTTCGCTGTGGAATTCGAGCATGAAGGAGGGGTAGTCGATCGTGCCGTCGCCAATTCTGCTTCTGGGGAGGTGATCTGCCCTGGTTACTGAGATAAAGCTTGCTTCTAGCTCTCAGCTCCATTTATCTGTTACGAAAAGCAGCTTGTTCTCCTTCGCTTTGTCTCGTCCTTCCTGCTTCGAAGTCTTGCTAGAAACTCAACGAGCTGCGTATAAGAACTTCTCAACTGTTGAGCAATTGAAAATGCTACTCAACACGATTGCAGTGCTCGCGACCTTTGTGTCGATTGGTCTTGGGGCAGAGACAGTTCTAGGAGTCTATATCTTTTCTCGCCATGGCGACCGAACAGCCAAATCCACGCCTCCTGCCAAGTTGACAGATCTTGGATACGCAGAGGTGTTCATGTCTGGTTCCTTCTACCGTGATAGATATGTTTCACAGAATGCCACTCGGCCCATCTTTGGCCTCAGTCATGATGTTGTGTCGGCATCACAGATCACTGCCTCTGCACCAGCTGATGATGTCCTTCAGCACTCAGCCGTTGGATTCCTCCAGGTGAGTCTGGCCCTTCGAAATTTTGATATTCATGGGCATCCTTGAGGTATTTGAGGACTGACAGCATTCACATGTGATCGATAGGGTTTATACCCTCCTGTAGGCAGCACACTTGGCCAACAAACCCTCCGCAATGGAACGGTTGTCCAAAGCCCACTCGATGGATACCAAATCGTGACGCTGCAACAAGTGACCAATGGCGCCAATAGCGAGAACAGTGCCTGGCTACAAGGGTCAACCAACTGCGCCAATGCTCAAATCTCATCCAACAACTATTTCACCTCGGCCGAATACCTAGACACCTATTCTCGCACGCAAGATTTCTACCAAGCATTGTCACCAATGATCAATGGCACCTTCACCTCTGCACAAACGAGCTTCAAAAATGCGTATACAATCTATGACCTGCTGAATGTAGCATCAATTCACAATACTTCGTCAAATTTCCCCAACGCGGACCTGCTGACACCCGAGACCTTCTTCCAGACTCGGACGTTGGCAGATCAGCACGAATTTGGGCTTGCATACAACTCATCCGAACCCATTCGGGCAGTGGCCGGTTCCATCATGGCAGGCCAAGTGGTCGAGGCGCTCAACGGGACAATAACCGGCAAGGGCAAAAACAAGTTCAACATTCAATTCGGCGCGTATGGAGGCATGTTGTCGTTCTTTGGCTTGGCAAAGCTGACCGAGGTGGACGCCGCCTTCTTCGGTGTGCCTGACTATGCCTCCAGCTTATCGTGGGAGCTGGTCACCAACGCGACAGTCAGCAACACCTCGTTCCCAGCAGAGACTGACATCAGCGTCCGATTCTATTTCCACAACGGTACCACAAGCGAGGCATCCCAACCGGTAGAGTTCCCCCTGTTCGGCACAAACCAAAGCCCATTGCCCTGGGCTAATTTCACCGCGGCAATGGCCGAGTTCAGCATCTCTGGTCAGCCCCAATGGTGTCAAGCTTGTGGGAACAGCACAGGTGTATGTTCTCCTAGCGCCTTGGGAATCGCCAACTCTACGGCTGATACATCGGAGAGCGGTAATAGTGGAGGTATCTCCAAAGCCGTGGCAGGTGTGATCGGTGCAATGGTCACGTTGGGCGTTATCCTGGGCATTGAACTCGTTATTATCCTGGTTGGTGGCTATAGACTGGTCAGTAAGAAGAGGCTTGCCCGATCGGCCAGCTATGACAGCAGTCCAGGTGAGTTGGGCAGAGGAAACGTCGAGCCCAAGGCTTGATAGGGATCGAATTTGTACTCTGTTGATTTGAAAGAGAGGTTCCATTTGAAATGTTTGGAACTGGAGATTGCAGAATGAGCTCCATATCAGCGTCATCTTTCTCGAACTTTTCGAGTTGCCGCTTCTCAAACCACTTGATGGTGCAAAAGGTTAGGCTTGTGTAGCCTGTGCTAGAATACCAGCTGGCAAACTCTTCGATACACGCAGACAGTGGTGTTAAGTAAATACGATCTTGAACACTGTTGATGTCCATAGGCCCTGGAGGTCGATATATTGTCTCAGCATATTCCGTCGTCTTCCAATTCTAGGTTTTGGTGATCTAGAAGCCCGGGAGGATTCCATTCTGGGGCCCCCCTTTCGGTCACAGCTACTTGCAGCTACTCTGAAAAGGGCTCGTTTCGAGCTAAACTGATATCTACGGGAGGCATTGGACGAGTTCTGTTATATGGGATGGATAATTGGAACAGACCGGCCGTTTTTTATATGCTGCCCTCGTTTAGCCCCTCAGTCTTCGCATTGCGAGTGCATTGACTTTGGTCTAATAATTCTCCCGCCGGACTATGCTGCTTTTGGGGGTAGATGCATCAGTTTCTGATAGGGCACTTCAGACTGAGAGCTGGCCCTGTTCTGTGTTCCCTTAATGACACTTACTCAGCACCTGTTGTCCAGTCTTCAAGCCAATAGGTGAGCGCCGGAAGGGCAGACGGTTGCAGCAGTTCCACAATGATGCCGGACTTCATTTGTTATAAACGTGAGAAGAGACCAGCAAGCCGGGCAATGAGCAACTATGCTTTGTTTAGACACCAACAGAGTCCCCCAGGATGCTCTGCGAATGCTTCATATCTGTGAATAAGCCGATAAAAGACTTGACTCGCCACTTCTTTCTCTGTAGATGAAAGCTCAAGAGCGCCACACAACCCGCCACTTCAAACACTTTCATGATGGCAGAAAACATGGCAAACGGTTCTTCAGACCAAAGCGGACGCACCCAAGCCCTCGAGTCCTATGCACAGCAACACATGAAACCCGAAGGACCCCTTTCTGCGGCAGCTACGGGCCATGATACCTTACCAATGGGAGACAACTCCAAAGAACCACACACAGATGACAATCGGCAAGACCGTGGGTTACGAAGAATCATAAGAAATTTCACTCCTTCGTACATAATTCCCGTTTCCTTATTTCTCAACAAGGCAGTCTGCTAACACCTTGTGCACGAGTCGCAGATGGTTCATCATTACCATGAGCACCGGGGTGCTATCAATCATGCTCCATCAATTGCCGTACAACGGACACTGGCTTCGAGTCATCTCTGTCATTTTCTTCGTGGTCAACCTCGTCCTCTTTTTGACTTTCACGGGATTGTCAATACTACGTTACACTCTCTATCCACGCCTCTTCCTGGAAGTCCTCCAACATCCCCACCAGAGCTTGTTCCTCGCAACGTTTCCAGTTGGGCTTGCAACTCTGGTGAATATGACCGTGTTAGTATGTGCACCGGAATGGGGACATGGCCTAGCAATATTGGCGTGGGTACTTTGGTGGATAGTTGCTGTTCTGGCGTTGACAACCTGCTTCCACTTGACCTTTGTCATGTAAGCAGCCCGTGTTTCAACTCCCTTGTCGTGCTATGGCAGTGATAACCGAGGTATCTTTGCTAATTTGTCTCTAGCATGACCCATCGAAGAGGCGAGCTGGAGGAAATGACGGCTCTCTATCTGATCCCCATTGTCGCAGTAGTTATCGCCGCAACCTCTGGAGGTCTTGTGGCGAGTGCCATCCCAAACCACCAGCATCAACTTTGGACTCTGATTATAAGTTACATCTTGTGGGGAATCGGGTCACCACTATCATGGATTATACTAACAATATACTTCCTCCGAATGACGGTGCACAAACCTTTGAAGCGTGAAGTCATCGTGTCCCTTCTACTGCCTATCGGTCCCTTGAGCCTGTCAGGGTTTTCGTCAGTGTTCCCACAAGCTTTCGTTCCTCCGCTGGAAGTTGGTGCAAGTGTGGCTAACGCTGTCTTATTGCAGAATCATTGTGTTGAGTAAGGTTGCAAAAGCCCTCTTCCCTACGACTCACACCCTCCCACACCTGAGTGTGACGTCTCCGGGGGAGGTGCTTTACATTATAAGCTTCTTCGTCGGCCTCATTCTTTGGGGATTCTCAATAGTCTGGTTTATCGTCGCAGTGATGATGGTGGCCACCTTTGGTCGATTCCCTTTCAACATGGGATGGTGGGGTTTTATCTTTCCTGTTGGTATGTATTGTTGACCTTATGTCTTTGACGAAACAATGTGAACTAATTGTTTCTTCGTTTCAACGCAGGCGTATTCACACTCCTAACAATAACCATTGGGGAAGATCTTGAGTCTCGTTTCTTTAAGGTTCTCTCCTGTGTAAGTTCACATTGTTCTGGGCGAAGATCTCTGCATGGGAATGTCATAGTTGATATCAGTTCCAGGTTCTGACGGCGGCCTGTGTAGCCATGTGGCTGGTAATCGCTTCAATGACCCTGCAGCGATCGGTCAAAGGGACGATGTTTTACGCTCCGTGCTTAGGAACGGATCTATATGGGAAAAAAGCCGAGCAACACTCCATGGATGCGCACAAGGAGAAGGTATGATGGTTTAGCGTTTGGGATCCGATGCTACTGGAAGCCATTCCGACAATGTCAAGCATGAGATTTCAGAAGTACATCGTCATCATGGTTTTTGAGCAGGGCGTCGTCCACTAATCCAATGGCGTGACTCGATACAAGACATATTTGGTTGTCAAAAAGTCCTTCAGCGCCGTAACAGAAAAATTGGTAGACAGTTTCTCCCCTTCGCAGTTCCATATCTCTCCTTCCAAGCTTTCGTGTAAAGATCCAATTTGCAATTAGCCCTCCTCTTGCTCACAGTTCTGAAATCGGGGCGTCTTCTGGGCTCCATACTAGCTGTAGGAGCGAGGAGTGACGGGCTAGAATCTCAGAACACGAATTCTGATTGCCGTCGAGTGTGCCTTCCGCCCGCGTAGGAGTCTGAGGTGTAGGATATTGAAAACATGGCAAATCTGCACAGTTCTCCCCGTTTATTGTGCTGCATAGGCAGTACATTCTAAAAATCATACTGTCAGTTGGTGTTGATGGTGATATCCGGCGGTTGCCTAGAACTCACGACAGCACAACATGGAGTACGTGATGAGGTATATAGTTAAAGTTCGTCGATGGCAAAAGTTGTCGTAGCCCCTTCGAGTGTATTGTCAATGCGTGAGTGTCTCCATCCATAATCTATTAGAGTTGTTAACATCGCCAGACCGACTTCTAGAGACCACTGGCTTACCGCAGCGACAGTTAGACACGTCACACTATACAACACCGTGATCCAGTCTTGGATATCGTAGCTAGTGAATTTATGTCGAATGTGCTTCAAGGCAGCCATCTTTAATGCAAATATCTGCCCCATAGAAACATTGTTGTAGCCGTTTATCACACGGCTTGAATCGATGGTATCAGGGAATCTGGCACAGATTGACGCGCCAGCAGTAATGACAGCGAAGAAGACCATCTTGTTGGCTCTAGCGGTTCGAATAACCCAACGAGTGTGTTCTTTGCCGTGAACATATACGGGAAAGGTCACGGGTATGAACTTTTCCAAATCTGGTCCAAGGTAGTGAGTAAGTAGTATAGATGGAAGACACACATCTTGGAGCTAAGAAGGCAGTTACGGAAGATAATAGCACAACTCACAGCATTGGAAGAACAACCTGGAGATATTGGATCCTAGGAGTTTGACCTCCACAGCCGGTACCTGCCGGTCAGGCTCTAAATCTGCTCCAGATCGATGCGGCCGTTCTGTTGCTAATTGTAGATGCGCCTTCTTTTTATTCTCATTCGGTTCATCTTCTTTGTCCAGGTGCTGATAAGTCGGAAAGTGGCCTTGGTTCAAATCAGGCTTTCTGGGATACGGTTTTGGTTGGCGGCTATTGTCGTATATCGAGCCACGGTTGTTGAGATGACTTTTCTCTATCCACCGTAATTGCCTGGCATGAGATTCTAGCAGCGGACCCCGGAATGTTAACGGCATCAGTCTGATTTCCGCACTGAGACGTTTTCTTTTTCTGATCACCCTCTGAACGTGGGAGCCAACGATTCTCCTGTCTGGTCGACAAGTATTTTGGGATCCTTTGACTAGGTGATGATTGACGAAGAGTAGCATTCCATCTTGAGAGCTATCGTTGGACTTCACAAAATTGCTTCTTTGTTTCCCCTCGGTAGCTGAAGCCAGAATAGTGGACATGGACTCACCGCTTAGGGGACTTTGAACAAAGTTTTGCTTGTTGTTATGCTCGTCCTGGTATTGCTGGCGAGTCTCGAGAGCTCAGACTGTACGCGTCGTTTTAAGAAGCATCCTTTCAATTAAGATAAAGACTGTTAATCTCTCAAGGAAGATGCTCCTGTACCTGTAGGTATGAATGGCTATCAATGTAGCGTGACAAGCTATTAATGATCCACAATAAAGCTGCCCCCTGCTGGGAGAATGATGACAGCGCCTCCTCTGGTAGAGCAGCCATCTTCAACAGATCTCGACCTCAACCCACGAAACTACTCATACCCCAGCTGCCAAAAAGGCTAAGACTTCTTTCTAGTTGAGCTTGTTAATATCGCCAATCTGTTTAAAGTTTGAAGTAAGCACATACCGCTGCCAGGTTGATATCTACCAGTCAATTCACTCAAGAATCAGGATTGATCGTTGGGAGAGGGGTTGTACAGAGAAGCCACCATTCTCAATGTCATGCAGTGTGACAAAACCAGGGATGGAAGAGCTTTCCACACCGGGCTGTCGGCCGCCAAATTTCCACAAGCGGTTAGTAGTGAGCACAGCTCAATGGCACGGCTGAGTGTGTAGAGAAAGGATTACCCCTACTCACTTAGAGGTATAGATCTTTGTAAGCCGCCCAGGTTAAGCGAGTTGCATAAGTGTAGCTATGTCTTGTTCTTGATGATACAAAGTCACAAAGTGGTACTGCCGGGTTTTGGCCATCTTCGTCGAAAACCAACCACCATTTGCTTCAAAACACTCAAACTGTCCTTTGAATGTACGCCGTGAGCCAAGGTGCTCTCACGGGCTTCTAGATGCCTTGTGCATAGCTCAAAGTTGTAGCCTGCACAAGGCGGAAGTCGATCAATGTATGTAATTTTTTTCAAATGGTCCTTCGCAACCTCAGTCATCATGTTGACAGCCGCATCCATTGCACCACAGGAGCCCTCAGAACTTAGTACATTCATAGGATTTATCGTTGTACTTTTGGTTGATATCTCGAAGACTGCTTGATTAATGAGGTACAGCGTCCTGTTGCGCGTCAAACCCTTCACAAGGTCGATAACATCTGGGGAAAGCACTAACCTCAAGGCAGTAGCGTTAGCCACACAATGAGACCCAGGCCCTCGATACTCGCTCATTGTGATGGCGAGTAACTGCTGTATGTCATCATCGATATGTTTTAGCGTTGAGATCTTGATATAGTCTTCATCCTTATTCGTGAGCACGGACATGGTTTGTTCGAGAAAGTGAGCTACCTGACCCTGGCGGCCGAATGTGTCGATGTTACTGCTACGCACGACAGGCAGGATAGTTGAGGGGCATTGATTCCACCCACCGCCGTCTTCATCCAGGTTGTCGAGCAGTGAAGGAAGGAAAACATCATCTGACGGAAAAATTGTCCTTGAATACCACGATCGGGTTTCACTTTCGATAAGAATTTGTCTGTGGGCAGTGTCAATCTTTAAGCTCTCGACTAATGCAAGTTCAAACTCACCTCTCTAGAATGATCAAACCCCACCATATGTTTTGCCTTTCGAGGGATTGCAAATCCGTACACCCGGTGTCAAGCTTAGGGGTATGTTGGTCAAGACCGATGATCTGACTCATCCTGGAAGACACTCCAATAGATATGTACGCAGCTTGCAATCTTCCACAAGCATATTCATATGCCGCTATCAAGACACTTGTCTGTATCATTGTCGCCGAGATGTCAGTCGTTGCTTGGACATGCGCAAATGTCGATTTAGTAATTCGATAAAGGTCATCCAAGTCTATTGAAGAAGAACGTGATGAACACTCAAGAGGGTGAATAACGATGAGAGACATGGCCAATAAGAGAAGGGTGATTTCGGGAGATGGTGTCTCGCCTTGGGAATGTAGAAGCCTTTTGCGAAACCTTTGTGGAGTGATAATGGGTAGCCAGGTGAAAACGCCGTCGAAGAATCGATTGGCCACTTCGTCCAGCGAGAGTAAAAACCCCTTGAAGACGTCCTGGATTTGAATCCAGAGGGAATTACCCAAGTCCTTGTCGTTCCCAATTATTGGAAGAACAGAGGATAAGCAGGAGGGAGGGATTTGGTTCCTGTGACAGTCGTTGCTATCTGACGTGTTTGACTCTGTCGATCTCGTTGGATTCCATTGTCTCCATTTATCGTGGCTGTGATTATTGGACGTTCTACCTCTCTGTAAAACGCCATCCTCATATTCACAGACAAGGCTGTGAGCTCTACAGTGTTCACATTTCGGTAGCGTTTTGTCGCATCGCTTCTTACGGGCTTTGCAACTCTTACAGACCTGTCGAGCATGCTTGTCTTTTGTTTGATCCATTGGAACTCCAAGTTGATAATCGAGGAGCAATGATACAGCAAACAAGGCGTCTTGATCTGACTCAGCTTCCAGTAGACCTAGAAAGTTTCGATGATATTCGTGTTCCTATCGCAAAGGAGCAGCGTAACGTGACACCGAGGCACTGGAAATATCCCCACCCAGCGTGCGCTGTTTACAGAAATTCCAGCGACTCTTGGCGTTCTGTATGATAAGTTCATTAACGTATGTACCTGGTAGGCATGAGGTTCTCAAGAGGTCGTCGTGCGGTGAGCGAGCTCAACCCTGGTAAGCTGAGGCTGACCAGCCGAAGTTAAGCCAAATCACGTGAAAGCCGAGTAGAGCCGCAATGCCAGTTTCAAATTCGAACCCAGGCAAGAACGAAATGTGCAATCAGGGGCATCTCTGTCTTTGCTTTTACAGAAAATGAGGGATGGTAGGGAGCAGAGTCTAGGTGCTGGAACCATGTGCGCATGCGAATGCATGAACTATGACTGGAGAGGTCGCAGGGCTTTCTAGGCAGGGACGTATTTGCTCTCCCATGAGAAAGATGCGGTGCCAAGTTGGTCGAGAGGTACACGTCTCATATATTCTTCAGTCGAAATAGCCTTGACCTCTGGGTACCTCTTGTTATCGTATCCAGGGCCCATCAGCGCCCGACCGCTTATCATGAAGTATTGATACCAGCTTCGAGATCGATGAGCACGTTGAAAGACATCGAGGGTTGATAGCAGACTCACTAGAAGATATATTTGAACACGTTGGCGCCGTAAAGTTCTCTGCTCTTTATCATGGTAGCGCGAAGTTCTTCCACGGACCCCTGCCTCTGGAGATTAGGGGTGATGCCGTATATAGTTTCGAAAGCTTTTGCCATGCCCTTGATGCTGATAACATCGCCAGCAACTAAAAAAAATCAGCTTGACTCGAAAAGGTGTTTAACATGCAAGGAAAACTCACAGCGAAGCACCCCTACGGCCTGTGGATCTAGGCAGACAGCTGCAGTGTACTGCGCAGAGTTCAAATATGAGGTGCACTCCCATGCCTCCTCGCCTGTGCCCCAATAGTTCAAGGTCTGGGTTTTGTGATCCCAGATTTTGAAGAATGGAGCGAAAACGACATCTGTGAACCCACCAATAAGTATATGAACGCCTCGAATGCTCTTCTTCTCCCCTAGATACGCGTGTACGCGTTGGCAAGGCTCTTTCACAAATAATTCACCCATTTCAAGTTTGGTCCAATCGAGAGACCAGTCTGAAGCAATGTAGCGTAGAACACCTTCGTCTTCGGCAATATCGATGAGCAATTTCTGGCCCTCAATCATCAAATGATCGTCCCCGAGGTAGCAACAGACAACGACATCTAAGCCCTTGACAAAACCTCGAATCTTTTCGGTGTCAAAGGCATCGCCTTGGCGTAATTCGATGCCAGGCAACGACGAAAAATCAACCTTCGAAGGGTCCCGTGCCAACCCCCTTATATTCACGGAAGGGGCTGCCTCACGAAGGCAAAATGCTAGCAACTGGCCAACTTTGCCCGTGATCCCCGCGATTCCGATAGTTTTCACCGACATTGTCCCTTTCTGTGCAAGTCGTGGCCTGATTCTCTGGGAGGAAATTCAGATGTCTGGTCTCATCAGAGGGAGGTGGAAACGATCCTGAGTCCATATGTAGAAATGAATATTCGGAATGCTCTCTCAACGACCGTGGGTTCGGAGAGAAATAAGCCGCCTCACCGGCCAGGGGATTACATTCTTGCTTGGGAAACTGTGTTACTAATGCATTTGGTTGTTTGAACAGGCTCGGGAGATAATGATGCCGGGCTGTTGGGAAACAAGGCCTAGAGCAGAGTAGTGAGATGATCTGAGAAACTCATCCATATCCTCAGAAAGCTTTGATGGAAGTGGTTCTTTGGAAGAGTTGAGTTTTCCGGTCCCGTGATCTGGATACTCTCCTTGATAGGACAACATGGCAATCATTGATGCTAACCTTACCAATGCCACTACCATTGCTTATGCATTTTGAAGTCTAGTGGTAGGTCGAGGGCCATATTTCTTTGGAAACCCAAGTTGAGATACGTTCACGGAATTTCTGGTGGCGTCGTGGGTGTATCTATCCTGTGCCTAGGTGAGTTGAGGAGTGAGGAAAATCAGTTCTGCTTGGCAGTGTCCATTGTACGTCGTTCTACAGAAGGCTTAGGCGGTCCCCTCGGGCTTGTCGATGGCTCGCCTTGTCTTGTCGCAGCTTTATTGCCACCTAAACCGTGGCCCCCAGCCTTAGAATTCTCATTCAATCCATAGCCCCTCGGCCGCCTCGGCCCCTCAACCCTCCCCCCTCACAACCCACCAGCAACCCCTCATGAGATCTCCCTCTAATTGAAACGATTCAGAAAAATCAATTATACGTCACAATCATTACGGATGGCAATATCATCCCTGATGAGTCGCTCACCAACACCACTTCCACTGTATGGAAAGATCTGACGTCCACCGTTAGACAATGGGGAGACCGAATACAAGTTGCAATGAGTGCCAGCGTCAACGGCTTGGATGTAATGCCTTGTTGCAGCCGGGGCGAGCTTGTTACAATTGCTTCCGGAGAGGGATCGCCTGCTCCATGGCACCGAGACAAACTCCAACAAGCAACCGCAAAAGGAAACGTAAGGTCGTTGACAGACATCCTCAGCATACTGTCACCACCCCTACAACATCGGATGCACCGGTGACTGCGTTCGATGATTCACCAGAAAGTCATCACACAATACCCGAGGATTCTCCCGGCTTGAATTTGTTCACCCCTAGCTCCACGACACCTATATCTTTATCAACAAGCTCAGACTCTTTGGCAAGGCACCTCCAAGCGTCAAGACTTCACCATTTACTCTGGAATGTATTCACCACGGTCTTAGAGCCTCGAATTGGACTGTGGATTGGAGGGCGTGCGTGTCCTTTTACTGCCCCAAACCAGGTTCGTCAGTTCAAACTTTACACATGCTTCAGTGTTGTTATTGACTTTATAGCTTCCGATTCGGATATCAAAGTTGATGATCGAATTAGACAAGTCATCTTCCGCTCTGAGCTGCCGACAAAATCAGTGTCTCAGTCTGGCGACGAGCGACACAAGCGAACGCGACGTTGATTGCATCATCAATCGGGCTTTGATATACGCTGTTTACGCCTACTGTGTTCGATGGCTTGACCTCGACGAGCACCAGTCTGGACAAAGCATCGAAAATCAAGACAGGCTCGCTCGTTTGAAACAGCAACTGAGCGAAACGTTCTCGGCGCAGGCACGGAAAGAGATATATGGCGTCTTATCAAGACCCTCGTACCGCTCAATCCTGGCATTGTATCTTTTTGCAATGATCCCAAGCTCTCCTAGGAAAACAGACGATGACCTGGAAGACCATTGCATCGAAGCATGTTTGAGCCATCATAATTTTCTCAATTCGAGGAGAGCTAGAATACCCTTTGGTCATAGAGATCCGATCACGAGCCTACTGGAAAGCTCCCACTATTGCAGCAACGACCGCTACTTCACACAAGGCAGTATTCAGCAAGACCTAGATGAAGCACAACGCTTATCAATGTCTAACCTCGCGTACTGGTTTGGTGTCATCTCAGACACTACGAGGGCCCTCACAAAATGTCGGCCATCCATATTGCTCCCTCCAGGGTGCGACAGCGAGTCTAGAGTCTGGGGACCAGTGAGAGATCGTACGAGATTGTTCAAAACAAAATTCGAATCTCTTCGTGATCTTCAGACACCAATATCTGACGCCCAATTGATAGAAATCTTGCAACACGCTTTTGCATACAAAACTCTTGTCTGGGCAGCAATTACTCGTGTCCAGGACGCGCTCGTTCACCAAATGTCGGGGATATCACTAGCAGAGGCAGTTGACGCAGCACGCAAGGAAAGCAATTCGTATCAAGAGATCTTTGTCCCTCTTCTATGCCTAGGCCTGAGGGACTACATGTTTCTCAACCGTCTCACCCAGATGTATTTCAGTAAGTACTGCATCCACCTTTGAACCATGGCTTTTCTAAACTACATGTAGCCCACTTAATCATTCACTTTGAAGTTGGAAACCTCATCCTTACGGATGCACTTCCGCCGACTTTTTCTTTCATTGACCATAACTTCAGCCCTTACGATCTTCGCCTTTGTGCATGCCGGAGCATCATAAATGCTCTTATCCAAGCCCTAAGAACAGATGATCCCAAGAGCAAGAATCCGCGTGGTTTCAACATTCTCTTATTGGACCCATATCCAGATTTGATCACGAATGCCATCATTCGCACCGGCTCTGCGCTCATTGTGCTATATGAAATGCAGAAGCTGTGCGAGGACAATTTGAGCACGATGTTCTCTGTGGTAATCGTTGCTCTCGAGACCCTAGCAAAGATCTCCCATACAGCGTCAGAAGCCATCCCACTCCTCAGGCAGAAATACTCCCGCACTTCAATTGGCCAATCTAAAAGTACCATAGATCCCTCACATCATCTTAATGCCTTCTCACTAGCATCAATCGACTCTGGGCTCGTTGATGGAGACTCACTGCAACAAAATGCTGACGATACTCCCGGAGCAGCTATTGTTAATTCATACAGTGATGCCCCAGGCAGGTCGTCTTTCCCCGACGAGCTTACACCACGCGAACTAGACTCCCTTTCCCAAGACGTTGATCTTGAAGGTAGAGTTTCGCGGAATTACTTCGTGTCATGAGAGGTGTTGACTTTTTTGCAGATTTGCTCCAACGTGCCTTGGGCCGATGATTTCATGCGCTATTTCTAGTACTCTTGTATGACAAGGGTCCTAGTGCAACAATTTTCTTGTGATCTCTTCGAAAAGCGTGGGAATTGAGATTCAAGATATCGTAGAGCGATCACGTGATCGTGAAAGAAGCATGGCCTTGCCACACAGTGAGTAGCCCGAGGCCGCATTTCTAGTTAGATCTAGGTCCCCGCAACGCAAGCAACTAGAAGCCTTCTACCGATCTCGACCGTTGCATAGACTTTAGTTCTGAAATTAGATCGCCTCTACTTATGAGCTCATAGATAATAATTCCCTCACTTCAAAGAACAGAATAATCTCTAGCCCAGAAAGGACAACGTAAATAAATAACCCAAGAATCATACAACGAATTTCGTCTCATCAGCTTGAAGGATAACTACCAAGGGAGATCACCATAAAAGAATCATAATGGCTCGCCCGGCACCCTCCGATGATCCTTTCGGCAGGAAAATTGTGGCTACAACCCATGATGACACATATCAATTCATCAACCCAGAGAACGGTGAAGCATCCGACATCAAAGTACTAGTCTCTGGTGCATCCAAAGGGATCGGTCGAGAAACCGTCAAGTCTTTCGCACGAGCAGGTGCCTCTTCAATTGCCTTGCTGGCTCGGTCACCCCTCGATGACGTGGTGAATGAAGTTCTGGAGGCAGCCAGGGCCGCAGGCCGAAAGCCACCCAAAGTCCTGAAACTTCAAGCAGATCTGTCCGATCCGGCCGCTGTCAAATCTGCGATGGACCAGGTCGAAGAACAGTTCGGATCGCTTGATGTGGTCATCAACAATGCCTCCAGGCTCGAGACATGGCGCCCTCTCGCAGAGACCGATATCAACGATTGGTGGTTGACCTGGGAGGTCAATATCAAAGGCACATACATTGTGACCCGAGCTGCCTTGCCGTTGGTCTTGAAGGGTGACTTGAAAACCATTGTGACACTCACGAGTGCTGGAGCCTTCGTTTCAACGTATGTTTGTGTAATTCCATCCTCACTAACAACTTGTCCTGAGGGTTTGACAGCATGCGATACTTTGTACTGATGAAGACATGGATAGCCCCGGCGGAAGTGCTTACCAGACGACCAAGTTAGCACAGATCCGGCTCAACGATTTTTTGGTATCAGAGTATAGTCAGAAAGTACGTTACCTGTGTTCCCGATTTGAGCCCATCGCTGATGATTACTCCACTAGGGCGTGATCGCCTATGCTGTCCATCCTGGAGGCGTAAGGACCGAAACGGCCCTCAACATGCCAGAGTACATGCATGCCCGTCTGACCCAGACGCCCCAAATGTGTGCTGATACCATAGTATGGTTGACAAGATCGCGAAAGGAATGGTAAGCTTGTTTCTCACTGGCTTTCTCCAACAAGCTCCAAATGGAAATGGTAACGGCCGGCTGAGATTTTGTCATCAAATAATAGGCTTTCTGGACGCTTTGTTTTCGGCCCCTTGGATATGGAAGAGCTTCTCGCGAAGAAAGATGAGATTGTGGAGAAGGACTTGCTGAAATTGAAACTTACCGTTTAAGCGCAATGCTTAAGAGCATGATTGCAAGGCGCTTGGTGGTAGCATGCCCTTAGATGAGAGCAAAATCGGCCAAAGTACTTCGAAAATGCACGCTGTTATTGTGATGAGTTTATTAGGTCCTGATTAAAGCCACCTCTGACGCCAATGCTCCAAGACGTAGCTGTCGCCCATATTGCGTGCCTCAAACTGTGCATCTTGGTATCAGACCCCTCATGGTTGTGGGTTCGAAACCTGACCCAACAGAGGCTCTCGCCAATAACGCCAGATACCGTATATACCAATAGCTAGGAAAGTGTTGTTACCGCCTTTTGGACCTCACGAGTCAATATTGGGGACCCATGTAAACAAAGAGCATACTTGTCCCACCGTGGCTAATGCCGCCATACGTCGACAGATGCTCCATCTCCACCGGACGAACCACATTATCTCCGGAGCTATGCAGAAGTGGAATGATAGAATGCAGTCTTGGACAGATTGACACGCGAGACACTCATAAGTCTAGAGCTCGGAGACAGATGCTTCTGACAAGTTGGATCCGGAAAAACATATAACGTGATCGGCAAACTGGGGCGTTGTCTCCGCTTCGCTTCATAACTTTATGGCATACACGCACGCATACTACTTCCACAGGTCGCCCGCTCAATCATCGAGGGCAAGAGCATGAGAGCAGCTCCTACTCGGCAGTGACCAGAAGTGGAAAAAATGTCTTGATCCTTGTTTCTGTTTCCCTACAGTGATGCGGTGCTCCTCGGAACTGAGACTCGCCTGGACGACTCTCATGTTGAGGAGGTATCTTCGAGGGCAACTATCAATTTAGACGCACTGTAGCCCTTCTTTGCCGTATCAAGTGCGCTCTGTATGCCGTCCAGACCCTTTCCAACGACGACTGCGTCTGGTTTGGGAACCACTATTCCTTTCTCCAAGGCTTGAGGCAAGAAGTCCTTCCAGAACTTAGATGCAAGTCCTCCTTGTAAGAGTTGAAAGGCATGAACTAGGCCAGGAAGAAAAACCGTTAGTATAACGCTCACAGAGAAATAGCGTGAGTTATTGATAGAACTAGAGTGGCAGTAGAAAGATACGAGGTCATCTTACAATTATGGGCTTTGACCCCCTTTAGATCCACATTGTCGTCGACCGGTATGGTATTGCCAATGAACTTCCTGCTTTCAGTTTTGACGAGAACGTCGACACAGGCTTGGAGAGTGTCGGGAGTACCGATAGCATTGATGGCACCAATAAGGGGTTTCCCTTGCAAAGCTCCCACGATATCATCGACCACAGAATCGCTATTTCGGTCGAATACCTCGAGAGCTCCCAAACTCTTACAAAGGTCCCAATTCTGCTTGCTTGCAGTAGTTATCACCCGTAGCCCAGCAGCACGAGCAAGCTGGATCGCAGCGCACCCAACGCCTGAGCTACCTCCCCAAATCAGTACTGTCCGGCTCGAGCTGCCAGAGTCTTGTTTTGAAGGATCTAGTAGTTGTTCGACTGATAGTGGAAGGGCCAAGTTTTCCTCTGTGAACAAAGCGGTCGCCGCAGTGCAGAGGGCTACTGGGAGCACAACTGCTGACTTCAGGGCCATTCCATTGGGAATTCGCGTAGCGAATGAGGTTATCAATACAGTGTAATCTTGAAAGCCGGAATTCCGGGAGTTTTCCGTCACAAAAGAATGACAAAATCTGGATCAGTAAGAAGGTACGTGTAAGCATGCTGCTTTAGTATTGCCCGTCTCGAGAGGGGGCATTTGAGATTCAAATGAGGACGAACCCAATGACTCTGTCACCAACTTGGAATTCTTTCGCCAGAGGACCAACGGCGACTACCTTCCCAGCAACATCTGATCCGAGTATTGTGGGATATTTCATGTTCATGAAATCGAATTCTTGAAGCTTGAAATCGATAGGGTTGATTGCCACGTAAGAATTTCTGATGACAATCTCGTCTTCATTTGGGGTTGGAAATGGAGCGTCTCCCACAACCAAAGGCCGTGACATTGGCTGAGTGAGGAATGCCGCATGATTCGTCGACATCGTGAAGGTGCAACGAATAGAAACCAAGAACTAGACAGAAGACTTTTCCCACAACAGTGAAGACATCAGATAGAAAGATCTGAAAGAATATCGAGGCATACATAGATTGATCCCGCTACCTTTCGAACGGCCATGCACAACCAAGAGGCTTGGGCCTCGTCTTTGTGTGGACCATAATTCGGAACAGTCGGTACCGTACCGAAATTCTCCTATAGGTGAGCCATTGTAGACGAGAATAGTATCTATGATCGTTACTGTTGCTGACCAAGAGCACGATAGCTGCGGAATGAAGATGCCCCGTGTCCGAAGATTGGCCATATGAAAGGAGTATACCTGGTTGGAGGCATTCGTAAGCAGCCCATCACCATCTTTCGACTACCCAACCTGTCCGGAGTACTGCATGTGGTAACATGAATCAGCCTCCAGAGTTCATTGGGTGATAGGGGTATGAGTATGGGGTCATCACGGCAGCGAAATAACTAGAGATCCGACAAGAAGGCAATTGGGCCTTCCTTGAATCATTGCCACGAGTGACTGAGGACAATCAGCTAACAGAGGGACTTTGTGGGACCAAAAGTCCTGAGCACTCGAGACTTGATATCAGGTGATCGGAAATGAAACAGGCTTATTGAGTTGGAGATATCAGGAATGAGGTTCCTGGAATTAGCGCCTGCGCAAAAGATGACGCAACCCAACCACATTGTTTCGAAGGAGGCTGCGCCTAAGTAGAGGGACCGGGCCGCCATCGCTTGACCTGAGTTCGGTGCCTGTTTCACCGACAATAAGATGGAAGGATTGTGCCACGAACCCATGGACAACCTCACGACCGACGACTTTAAGACGACCTCCGGCGATCTCAACTTGCCCTTGGTGCAGGATTGAGGCCCAGCTCGATTGAAATCAAGATTAATTCGAGTAAAGCCAATATCAGAACATATCTTTGAACATGTTGTCTGCATGCCGCTGGCGAACCATACCCCTTCGACGGCATTCGTCATGCCATCAACCCAACCTCCTGAGCGATGTTGTGAGTGCTACACCTTTTGCATTTGGCCATGGGGAGATTCGATACAAGCCCTCTCATGCAGCTCTTGTAGCTTCGTGAACCAAAAGACATTTCATACCCAGTGTATCATGGGATGCCACTAAGACGTGCATGGCATAGTCATGACTACCAGCCTCCGTGCGTATCATTTCTCGGCTGTCTTCTGCTTTACAGTATGTATGCTAGGTATCTTGTTAGATGCTGGCAACGAGTTTGAATTCCCTATCTTCACTTATGCAGCTCGGTTACTCTGGTAGGAGAATGTCACCGTAGAGTTGAGCGCCAAGAATGCGTGTCGTGTCAGTCTCAGGATATTGTTCATCCGTAGAAGTGAAGCTATCAAAACGTCAGGCGGGCAAAGGAATATGCCCGAGGGATCCAGGTACCAAAACTCCGAAACAAAGCGGTCTTAACCGGACCTTGATTTGATCGACAAACAAGACATTATGACGAGTGCCGTGAGATGCACAATCTTTAAGAGTCATTATTCCTCATACATCTGATGGAAAATCCGATGAACCCATTTCTTTGGAGAAAGGAACAGAGTTGTGTCTTAATCAACGAGCTTGGATCGAAATCAATTCAGGTAGCCCAAAAATACTTCGAACACCTGAAAGATAAAATCACGCCATGGCAGCAGCGTCCTCTGTGACTCGCAGCGGGATGAAGAACCTAGTACGGCGATTCTACGATGATATTTGGAACAAGTTCGACACAAGCCCGGAGCTGATTGATGCGGTGATCTCACCTAAGGTGACATTCCGAGGTACACTGGAGCACAGCACCACTGACCGAGAGGGATTCAAGCGGTACGTGGGGGAAATTCAGGACTCTTTCCCAGACTTCTATCAGAGGATCGACAACATGTGGGTGGACGGTGAAACCTGTATCGCCCGGATGAATTGGTCCGGCACACATGCACGCGACTTTCGCGGATATAAAGCCACTGGTGGGAAGTTCGAGTATCCTGGGGTCGGCATCTTCAAGATTCAGAATGATCGCATAGTCGATGTCTGGGCCTGTGGTGACACACATGCCATGTTCAAGGTCATTTCTCCATCGAAATAAATTATATGGAGGAGTTTCAGAAAGCGTCATAGAATCATGGACTGTGGGAGAATCGACACCAAGAGTGATGAGGATACCTTGCCTCAGGTAGACAGTATCAAGCTCTGAAAACAGTCAATGAGGCTCAGAGATCAGCTGGTAGAGCAACGAGTAAAAGCAAGAATAGCCGAAATGAAAGAAAGTCTCTGGGAGTGGTGGTGTCATTTAATTCTTGCAAAAATTGATTATATCCTGACCTGTCAATGTCTGATCCAGCAGCCAGCAAAGCCAATCTCAACCTTTGTTGAGATTGTACCATTTGTGTCAATGACATCCATCAAATATTGAGCGCAGTGATCGGTATGGAAAGGAGCGGCGATGACACTATCAAACGCTGGAGCTTCTTCAAACAGAGTCCAATACTGTTTCTTCCACACGATTGCACAATGGTTGATGTGATCTCTCACAGAGGTATAATAGTACTTGCGCTCCGACATGTCGTCGATCGAAGTGATCTCTTGCGTCAAAAGTTCATCCGCATAAGCACCCCAACTCCGGTCGTCCTGGTACTCTTGGACGAACTCCTCGTCCCAGCATTCTGATGGCACCCAATGATTAAGGAGGACGTCATATTTGCATCCAGCTTGTCGTGCCTCCGTAGTCGAGGTTCCGCAGCTTATCAAGTGCGCGTTGGATGTGATGTTGTGTTGGTGCGAGGCTCCAGCGGTATGAAAACCCGACTTTCGGTATGAAGGTGGCGATCGAACCAGCAAAATTACCACGATCCATGCTGCCGAGGTCAGGACAAAGACCATTAAGTGGGATAAAACCCTTGTTGCCATTGGTTTATCGTCATGGTGGAACTGGGAGGTCGGTTGCTTGCATTTATCAGAAATGCCTTGATCCAAGGATTTCAGGAATGGTAGCTGTTCAGGGTCATCTGATTTGGGACTGCTGAAAGAGGACATCATGGTGGAGGTCACTGACGATTAGGATCAATTTGGAGGTATGACAAGGACAGATTCTGGATGTTCGCTTCCATGGAGCCACGGCAGCCTATATCTCACATCAAATTGGACCAAAAGCTCACTGCCTCATGCTCTCTCACACGAACGAGACATCTATGGTCTCCAGATTTAGAGCATTGTTTCGAACACTTCAAACAAAGCACTATTCTGGACAAGACACTTGTGTATAGAGCATAATAATAGAATAGCACGATGAATGACCGACGATGCAATCCGAAACGCTATGCTGTTGTATGTTAAGAAAAGCAACGAAAGGTGTTTCAAGTCCATGGATGTGGACGCTCATCCTCCAGTGAACATGGCTTGGTGCGAATTCTGACCAATCAGATGTGAAGTTAGGGCTAGGTCAAACAGGTCTGCAACTCTCCTGATGCCATGCACGGTCATGACATTGTAGCACGCGTGTGCTCTCAAGGCCGGCAACTAGTATGCCTCCATGAAGTAAGACGATTGAGTGTGGTAGGTATGGCCTCGACACAAAAGGACTTCCACAAACGTGGCGAAATAGCATCAAAAGTCCCAACCTCCAGCACACGTCATTCACAGGAATGAGCAGGCCGGACCGTGTGCGTCGAGCAACTCAAAAAACACAAGTGGCCCCTTGTCCAGTCAATGAAAGAAAAGTCTAGCTACTCCGTAAGCCCATTACCGATTTCAGATCAGGCCGATCATCCGTATTGGAAAGGCAATCGAGGCGCCTCCGTCAGGGGTCAATACCATAGCAAGTTGTACCGACCCCACCCAAATACAAAGGCCCCGATGAGTTGGATACGAGGAGAGGACAGGTGAGGGACCAGAGTGGTGGACCCATCACCAACATTGCAGGCGCCTCACATCCAAGACTTGTCAAGAAGGGTTTGGGCTGGCGACGGCCACTAGATGAACCGAGCGTTGACAGAGAGACAGCGGCGGTCATTGCACCCGCATCGCCGGGTATTCGAGGTGGTTGACACTATTGAAAAACAAGTGTCTAGGTAGCGTCAGCACGGGGCGTCCGGCGAGCTTTGAGGCCAGGACACCCTGTCGGTGACAGCATTTTGACAGCTTCCCAAGGGAGCGGTATGAAACATGGCAGTCCCTTAGACACTGCACGTGAAAACCAAAGCTATGGGAGGCGCGTGGAAGGCCAAGGCGCAAAAGATCGACCGACGTGGACAGGAACCATACCCTGGGAAAAAAACGACAGAAGTGATGAGACGTGTGCCCTGCCGGTAGCTATCTTGTAGACGTCGATATTGGATCTAGCGACCGTTTGGAATGTGCGTACATCCATGATGGGTCGGAAAAGCCTTCCGAATTCCCTCACTCCCTTCCCTAACCTTGATTCATTAGCCACTTCTGGGGGAATCTACGGAGTATGTCTTGAACTGTGTTCAGGCCCCTCGGCCCTCCGTGACGGTGTTCTGTTAGCAACGGGTGATCAGCACACTGATGACATTGTGGCCCAATAGGCGGGGCCTTCCCAACGCGACTCGTATGAACCAACCCATCACTTTTGATCCGTGTGTTTCCCAGCTGAAATTTGACAGGATGCACCGACGGCTTGGCAGAAACTGTCGAAATGACCATAAAAACCCTCTATTCCGGGAGGACGCTAATGGCTGGGACGAAACTCTGAACGCTTGGACCCATCGTACCAGTCTGTCACCATGCAAATGGACGCATTCGGACGCTCAGAGAGGTGTTGGAATGTACATTTCTCGGAAGCGTCGAGTTATCAGCAGTATAGCTCATTGCTCAATGGGATCCTGACTTCCAGTCAACCACTCGCATGGGGTCTTCCCGAGTTCATGACTAGCTGTAGGATGTTATTCTTGTTCGTCAGATGAGAGTCTGTTGAGGGCTTGGCGGTTGACCTTGATAAGCGTCATGCTGGACACAGAATGGTAGCAAGATCGACATGATCTCCGTTGACCTTGAGCCCCGGATTTCCACCCTCGGTCAATTGCAGATCCAACTGTCGTCTGCCGATCATTGTGAAGAGCTATCCCTGAGATCTACAGTCATGACAGTATCATGAGTACATATACACCTTGTGATGGATGCTATCATGTTGGAACGTGCCCCTACGTGTCTAATCCTTGTTGGTGGGAATTTACTTGTGCGAGCATAGGTCGACATCTCATTGTTGAGTGCAAGGGAAACAGGGATTACATCGGTAAACTTTGAAAAAGCTATGTCAAGTGACTGAGCACATGTCAGTCTGAATATATTGTCTCAACTACTTTGACATGAGAACAAAGCTCTGCATAATGTCGAGACTTCTTTAGCGATGCGTGGAAGATTCTTCCGGCCTTCCATCCAACGGACCCAGTCTGAACGGGGTCCCAGCCTTGTTGCATTCTTGGTTCCAATTTTTACCGACTAATCACAATCCGCAGACCCAAACCGTAAAGTCCCTAGTTCATGCACAAGAAAGATATTGTCCCTGCCACCCGAGCCTGCAAACTCTCCCTAGCCACGAGACGTCTGTTGAATACCCATGCCCAGTTTGGATGGCCTTTCATGAAACACCGTCCCAGAGTAATGGTGAAAGCCATTGTGTCCCATGTCTGTCAATCGACAAGAGAAGAAAACGCTCATAGAGCTGAATCGAAGATCCGATGATCGTTGCCGAACAGGAGTGTATGTTAGTTCTGTGGCCCAAAGGACCAGAAAATTTCAAAAGGCATGATCTGGCAGAGCATGTGTTCAGGAATCGGAGGTCGAATCGGGCTTGGACAGCACTGTTCACACCCCTCGTGGCCAGAAGTAGGATGAAACAACTTGCAGCGCCAAAAATTCGTGTTCGTGAGTATGTGGTATTGTCGTGATATTAATGTCAAACTGGCTGAAGACAAAGCGATGAGCAGAGTAGATAAGAGTGAGTGATGATCGTTCTGGGCTCATCCCAGAAGGTTATGAGGCATTCGGATGTTCTTGTTTGCCTGCGAGCCGTCTGCGCGAGGGTAACTCATCGGACCAGCGAATAATGTTGCCTCTTCACTGTCATCCTCGTCACCAGTGTCGGCTTCAATGACTTGGTTGGAAGCATCGACACCGAGCCCGAAGCCAAAGGGAGAACTCGCAGGAAAGCCTGGTTTCTGGGAATCCGGACGAGCTCGATCCTTCAAAGCTCGATTTGGATCGTAGGGAAGTGAACTTGCATGTCGCTTGGTCGGTTGATGTTCTCGGGTTTCATACAAGCCAGCCCGATGAGGCGGCCGAGCAGTTTGGAGACTGTCCAGTATTGGTGGCAATGGGGGCAATGGGGGCATTCTGCGAGGGCCAAATTCTGATGAACCACTGAATAACTCAGGACGAGCTGAAGGAGTGGAGAAACTCTTGGAATGTGGACGAGGCGCAGAGCGGTAGGGCGAGGGAACCGGAGAGAGGTCGGGGGCAAAGTGACTGGGAGAGTTGTGATATGTTGGCGGGGGAGGAGCCATGCTACACGGAGCACCAGCAGAGGTAGGACCAGGACTTGGCATCGACATGCTGACAACCGAAGGCTGCCGACTCTGGATCATGGGATGGCGTTGAAGGCTTTCCATCGAACCCCTTCGATCGATAGGATCATATTGGCTGCCCAGGCTGTTCCGACTGGCGGAGCGGGAATGCTCCAACTGTCGAATGCTGGCCTGGGGAGTACCTTGATAGGAGCTCAGAGCATCATCGGCTTCAGGGTCGGCCATTTGCTGCTTTCGAGAACGTTTCCTTTGTCTGATATCCCGTCTGATTCTCACACGACAGCCCTGCTCGGCGACGAGTTTGCTCAGAGTTGTGCTGGTGGCGAGACCTGGGAACTTTTTGGCACTGTAGACCTGGAAGGGGATCGACTTCACCTCCAGACGATTGGCCATGCTCTCGTGTCATACAGGTGGGTCATTTGCGTTACCGCTGCGGCCGGAATAAATGAAGGGCTTATCCATATCAGAATCGACTTCGTTCTTGACAGCTTCAAACAGTGAAAACTTGAGTCGGTACCAGCCCTCGTGTCTAACAGCAAGGTCTGGAAAGATGAAATATGCAGCCGGCTCCGGACGGGTGAGATAGGCAGCACTAGCGACCGCAACACCTGTCAGGACAGGAATGGTCTGAGGAGTGTGCATCTTGCCACCAGCAATAGGCCGGGCAACTTCTAGGCTGGCGTAGAGCATGAATGTAGAATCATAAGACATGGTAACATCGACGCCATTAGAGAATACTTTCAACTCGACGACAGGTGGAGGGTCGACAGGTCTTCTGTCTGCCGAGGCTGTTCAAGAGCGTTAGAAGTAGGAGACGCGGGATAACATGAGGTAGACTTACACCTTGGGCCAGAGCCACAGGCTCTCGCCTTCTCGGGTTGTTGAACAACCTCGAGAGTATAGGTGAGTTCCCTCCGATCTATAGTCCATCGCTTGTGCGAGGATCGCGTTTCATTTTGAGGCTGAGTCATATTGTAGTATATACCACCTATAGCATAGGTTCGAATTGGAAGGCCGTCCAGACAGGCTTGAGTGAAGCCGGGAATGTAGAATCCTGGGACTTTTGGCTGTAGTGGAAGAGGGCGCGGAGTCAAGGAGTCCCCAAACTTTTCCTTGAAATTTGGGAGCTTGTCTTTGTCCTTTTGCTTGGGCTTAGCAAAGTCAGGATCTGGGGCCCGGAAGGGCGGTAGCTCGATTTTTGCTTCACTGTCGGTCTCCATAGTTAGTAACCGTACGTATATTTGACAGTAGAGTGTATATCTGAAGAATTGCAAAAATTTGGGGTGATGGGCAGCAGAACCCAATGTAATATAGCCAGAAAACGAGTGCTTGAGTTCGAGGACGACCCCTCCTATAGCTCAGCGGACAAAACATGAGATTCAGCTCCGGAGTAGAAGTCCAGCTTATCCGTGGCGAGAGAGATGGTGGATTCTGCAGGAGCGGACATGGCCAACTCTCAGGACGTCCGATAGAATGGGCGATCTGTTGTGATTGCCGTGGTGATGGCGAACTTTGGGGCAGGAGCAACGCGTGAGAGGAGTTAACTTACCAAGAGGAAATAGTTCCGCTCGATTAATCACGCCTTGGTCGGAGTTGAGATTTTGAAGCAAACTCAATACCTCAAGATTGAGGGTTACGGACAACACCTAGGTAGATTGGTGGAAACTTGGTTGCAACGTGGGAGTTGGACGGACACGAATCCACCAGATGACCGGCGTCTGGGTCCAGAGTTGTGTCCGGTGATCTTGCTACACCTGCAAGAACCAGATACCGGGTAAATTCGAAGCGGGTGCGAACACGATAGCCCTTGCCCTGCCCCTCTGTTTTCCGTCCTCGAAGGATACTGTGACCAAATGTGGAAGTGGGCGAGCGGGATGGGGGGTGGTATTGGCAAATCGACTGCAAAGACGAAGACTACTGGAAAATGTGGAGTGTATGTTGAGGATATTTTGGACGACAACAGAGACAGACTGTTGAGGGTTGAGGGGTCAGGATTGACTTCGATCGAGATGGGATGGGAGAGGATGGGTATCTAGGACGAGGAGCGGACTCTCGTATGCAGGAAACGGGGTTCGAAATTCCTGTTGCTGGAGAGCAACTACTGAACCATCGAGGAACTCTGAAATTCGGAGAGCGTGGTGAAAAGTAAAGGAAGAATAGGATGAGGTTGGGATGCGAATAAGGATTAAGGACGAGGAATCTGGGGAGGAAGAGGGATTGAGTGGAGGAGGAAGAGAGATAGTCATTGGAATGGTGTGGTGAGGCCTAAGGCCCATCCAGCAGGAGATGGAGGCTAGACGAGAGGGTAGCGTGGTGCTGGTGCCACCCAGAGGGATCACTGGCGCAGGCGGCGTCTCTCGGTCCACATCCGCAGTTCGAGGGCAGCCCCCGGCAGCCCCAGCGAGGGAACCAGTGAGCCAGACAGGCATGGGAAGCTTGAACGCAGCCGTGGCAGCCAACCAAGAGACCCTGTCCGGCTCCGGATAAGCGGGCAAGACAGGCCAGACAGGCTGCACAGGCAAGGCAGGGCTTACAGGACAGGCAGTTCTTGGGACTGATGGAGCCCTTGACGGGGCATTGATGTGCTCTGATGGGAGCCCCGATTGACTCCAAAGGTCCACCAGCCAGGTCCACCACCAACAACCCTGGCTTGTCCATCATGGATTTGCAGCCTGTGTGAACCTTGGGTCCCAGGAGTGCGCAGGAGAGGACAGGCCACTAATCCTTTTTCCACTAAGCTTGGTCCCGAAAGTGAAAAGCCTGGACGGATTTGACGGCTTGGTGCAAGAATCGGTACTGGCCTGTGCAGTGGTGTGCAAACTAGCCTATGCGCCAAGCCAGATCCTCGCACTCAGACGACGGCCAAAAGACAGGGACATGAGGGAGCATGAGGCACATGAGGGACACGAGGAACCACACTACTCCGTACAGTACGAACGTGAGGAGCAGTGGCAGCAAGTACTTTCGTGTTAAGGTTTCAAAGCTAGCAGCCACCCAGAGTTTGCATGTCAATCATACTCCGTATGTAATCAATGAAAGACACCTGCTGTAAACATTGACTAGAATCATGTGTACCAAACAAACCTTGCCCCTGGAATCTTTGTTCCTGCGTGAACAAAGTACCTCCCTAAGGTACCAGCAAAGGTAGGTGCATCTGTCTTCAAATTTTTTTGGGATGAGAAAAGCAGGACCAGGTCTTGGGGTCACGGTCCTTGTCTCGGTACGTGGACATTATTGCGGGTGTCTCGTCCATCCAAAAGAGGCTTAAAGGTTGGATGGAGCGTTGATGTCCGCATCTTTCCGTCAAATTGCCACCTCTTCTGGACCTGGGGTCAATAATTCCACAATACGCTTATCGACAGGGACTTGTTGTTGGAGAGTGAGGAGAAAGCTCAGGGTGTGTGGGTGTCTGGCATTTCTGGGTACTCGTACTACTCCGTAGTCTCTGCTCGCTACGGCGAAGGTGATTTGGGTGGCGTGGGTGGGCTGAGCCTGGGTGAGAAGCTCAACGCCATCTCCCAGTCCTTACCCGATCTTGCCTACGCGTACGGGGTCGAGAGTGAATGCTAGGAATGGATCGTGCCATGGACCAACTCTGACAATGCTCCGCTACTTGCTCCGTAACTTGGTAACTTGTGTCCGCCATACTCGTATTGGCATATGGCTGTGTCAAATTCTCATGTCTCCAGAAGAGTAGCAGTGGTCCTGCCCTCTCAAAGCAAACCACCAAACTCAATCCCACCAGCCAGGCATTCCAAAGGCAGGTTTAGTGATCAAAAGAACGTCGTCTGAGTTTACGGACCGAAACACCGTGATTGAATGAGATGAAATAAACTCAATTGATCGAATCAAAAAGACGGATCCAGTCTGGCACCACTGACAAACACGCATGCCTGGGTATCTGATCTATCTAAGGTATCTACAGTAATGATCGAAGATTGGGTGGAAGGACTTGGACGAAGGATCTGGAAGTTTGCTGCATGGCAAGAACGTGTCTTTTGTTCGCTCCTGCTGGCAACACGCAACAAACACGAGGCCATTTCACATGGTTGGTCTTGCCATCGCCCAACAAGCAGGAACTACTCCGTACTGACATTGCCAAGGCTTACCCCACTGCAGTGACGGTGACCGATTCTGATCCAAGGCAAGTGCCTAGGGCCTAGGTGCCCGTCCTCCCTTCCCCCCTTCGCCCCCCCACTCTCCAACTCCACAACGCTCTTTTTGAATCTCCAGGCGACTGGAGATCTTACCCAGGCACCCAGGTAGTCCCCTTGTCCCAGTGTTGTGCCCCCTCGGGCCCTTGGCCCTAGTCCCCCCTCTAAAGTGCCCCGTTCTCGACGCTTACCATGACTTTTGTTCGTATCAGATATTGTCCACATGGGCTGAGATCTTGATGGATGATCTTGACCTCATTGCAGTCACAACACACCCTGTGTCCTTTTAAGAGGTTTTGACATGTCCATCCTACCGTGCATACCAAGGCTTTTTTGCTCCACCTTAAAGGTAAGCTTTTGCCACACCCCAACGTGGTTGGCAGGCGATCCACGCATGGGAGTGGAAATTACGAGTAATCCGTACGTACTGTAGGGAGTACACAACCTTGAGCCATACTCCTGCTCCGTAGCATTAGGTACGAACTGAGGTCGAGTGACCCAGTCCATCTACTCACGTGACTCGCTTTTCAAACTCGTCTGAGAAAGTATCACAGCCAACGAAATGTGAACTCCAGTCAGTCTTCCTCTTTGCTAATTGCGCACCGCACATTCGCTGGTGCTGAATTTGCTCGTCATCTGTGAAGCCTTGTTGCCCCAATACAATCACATTATTACATACCATCGTGACACAGATTTCCTCCTGAGCCTACAATAGGTTGCCACAACCTCACGCGCTGTATCCCTATAACAGTATGGGGGGTACGCTAAACAATTCCCTTTTCTAGGTGCCTCTAAGTGGCTGTAGGGGTATAGATACCCTATGGAGTTGCATTGTAGCTGACAACGATGTACCTTATCTATGTAAGTACGGCCAAAGGAACTGTGCGTCTTTTCTTACCAGCTGCTATGTACTGTATGTCTACGCATAGTCTGTTCTGTACTGATACTGTATGCTTACGCCTGTGAGTGTAGGTCACTGGGAACACTGGGGACGATTAGGACTACCTACGTACGGAGTACTCGTAACCTTGACTTTTCAACTCGGCTCTACCCATAGGCTAGATCTACGGATAAGTTAACCAGGGTGGCAGGATGGCTAACAACTAGTCACAACAGTCAAAAGTTTCTCCCATTCCCCAGGTCTGCACGCCTGGCTAATCCCTTGCTTTGAGAGTTCACCATCCCAAAGTCCGGAGCTGATTGCAGTATGGTTCCTCTCCACATTATCGAGAATGGCAATTAGAGCACCATCGATTACCATTTACAGTAGTACTCTTAGTGGTGTCTGTTTGAGCACAAAGATAGAGGTCATCGTGTTCTGAGCACAGCATGTGCCTAGCCAAACCAGCCACGACATCACAATGACTTGAGTCGGGGCCACAGTCATCTGCAGGGTCAGTAATCCTTGAACTACGGTACCTCGAGACGAAGTGCTCGACCTCTTAGGCTGTTACAACGGCGCTAGAGGCATGGTTGGCCGACAAGCCCTGCAATACTCAATGGTGGCCACAGGAGGACGTCTCAGCATCTCGTATTTTACTCCGATACCCCTTCGTAACTGCTGTCGCGTCGTGCCTGTCTACAGTAGGGAGAATCTACGTGAGTGCGCCTAATCCTCACACATCTACGGAGTAGGTACCTCTGGGCTTGAGCGAGGGTTGAGGGGCCCAGGCCGTATCAAATACCCTAGGCTTGTCCTGTTAGGCCAAACAACGGTGGTAGCAGACAAGATCGAGACCCTCCCATCACCTGGAAAGAGGTGTGCCCTAACCTGCATCTCACAGGCGCAGGGGACCCAGAGGTCCAGAAACACAGCTTTGGGACAGGCCATAACCCTGTACAATGCCTCCGATCCTCGTTGTCTTGCAGGTGCCGACACCCCGTTGTGTCAATGAACCTTGGTTCCCAATCGCAAGCCACGCCACAGCCGTGGTGTCCACTTGGTGTTGGGATCACGCATCTCCCTACTGCACGGAGTGAGAGACCAGCCTTTGGATCCATTCCGCATACAGTACGTCAACGTCTCGCTTAGAGAGTGCGCACCAACTACGCATCACTGGCGCCGGGTTTGGTGATCGCTCGCTGTGCATTCGATATGCATACGCTATGCCAACTTTCCAAGCTGATAATCCACCAAGACACCGTTTCATTTCGGCTATCGCTGGGGTGAGACGCTAAACGATCTCGGTCTCTTGTTCAACGCAGGTGCCCTGGTGGCCTTTGGGTCGCCGAGGCTCTCTCTTGCCGACTCCAAAAGCAGTCATGTTAGCTCGCTCAACTTGGGAACTCTGAAAAGATAATTCGGGGCGTATGCAGAGGACAACTTGGCTGCTCGTACACTTCCTGCGTCAATCAGATGGACTTTCGGATCTGCGCGACATGAGGGATCAATCGCCTAGAAAAATAAATTTACGCTATTGCGGCTCCCTCCATAGCAAGATCTTGTCCATTGCCTGCGGTGTGCATAGGTCGGGGCAGGCTTTGTTTTCACGATGATCTGAAGCACCCTGGCCCACCCTGCGACAATGCGTATCAGTACGACAGACACTGGCGTGACTGGGCAGTGGGCACCACCAAATGGACGCTTTCGGGCTTCGGTCGCGGATCTTCCCATCCCCCCTCGCGGGCAACATCATATCCGAACCTAAAAGCCACAAAGCAGGTGCCCGCAAGGACGAGTACAGTATCCGTATGGTAGGTACCTGGGTCTACCGATGCTGTTGCTCCTAGCTGTCCTGGCTTTAACAAAATCCAGAGAAGGAGTGTTCGAATAGCCTGTGTAGCATTCCCGTGCAAGGGCAGACCCTCCATGTACCAGGACCCCCAGGCTACTGTGTACAGGCTCAACTGTATGCATTCTATGAGTACCCATGGTTGCACATCCCACAGCCTTTGGGTTCAATAAAGACCTGCGGCAGACAATTGGGGGCAGTCTTAGCCGCTGGTACCTGAAACAAGACTCCCGCGATCAGGCAATCATGATAGGCATCCCACCAGAGTCCCCATCATGCCGAATCATGGAACCGGCAAGGCGCATTAGCGACAAAAGCCATTGTACGAGTACTGTTCAGCGTTAGAGGGCGGCCACTATTCCAGTGCCTGCATGAAACCCCCAAACTTCGAGGCCAATCATGACGATCACTCAAATCTGGGACCTGCGCCCACCCTCCCTTGTCGACCTGTGTGGCGTGCCTGGTTGACCAAATGCATCAATCAACCAAACTATTGGCATTGTGGTCATCTTGGGCAAATGATAAGATCTCTATAGGGACTACAGGTTTCTCAAGAAAAGCCACAATATATATCAGTTGCAACATGTTCAGAGGGTTTTCACGTCAATGTCATCCACGCTTTTGACAGCCGTCAAACCCTCACTCATCCGCAATCTGATTTGTCGGTGCTCACATGTCTGATTCCCATCACGCGGCCCCAAGATCCACTGCAACTTCCACAATCCAGACTTTGTGTTTGGTGAGAACCTAGGACAATTGGCTCGGAGACTTCCCGTAAATTCAAGTGATCTACCTGATGGTGGACACCAAACCAAAGTGTCACAAACTCCCTTCTGGAAGCCCAAGCACTGATGCCAACACCCACCTCATGCAGCTTTCCCAGTCTTATCCTATCAATTCCCATATTCCAGTCAAACTCTCTCATCAGATGTCTGCTTCGTCCGTAATGCCATGGTCTTTGCCTCTTCATTGGCCAGCGGAATGGTCCCCTGAGCAAACCGCTCTACGGAGTATGTCTTGGATCCATCCAGCCAGCCATCCGTCCGTCGTCACCATAACACAGAACCACACGACACCACCGCCCAGCCCAGATTATGACAGGTTCTCTGCGCTGCACAGCATTCTGCCCGTCCGGCTGACAGCAAATCCCAGCCGTGGTCAAACTCGATTCAGCTCAGTCTGTTGCCTGGTGATATCCTGCCTAAAGTTGGGTGTTGTTTCAAATCAATTTGAGGCATGGGATCAGTGTGCTAACTCTTAAAGCTGAAGATGCTGAAAACAATGGAGCTGAATCCCTCCACATATGGGCGGAAAGTGATGGGGCCATGGCATGCCTACCATATGTCGTCGCTGCTGCTAGTCCTACACACAGATGTTGGCATATTTCTACACTTCAAAGGAACAAAGTCAAAAGATCCGAATTCCAGAGACATCATTTCTCTACCACCCTCTCCCATGGAAACCAGGGCCCGTTCAAATTGGGCTGTTCTTGCCCTACTTTGTCGTCGGATCTTGTGTCAAGTCTTTGACAGCTCATTGGACGCACGGGGAATTGGGATCCGGCCTGATGATGGCTGACCCTGAAACAATCAAATTGGTGGGTCGACATCGCCAACTCTTGCGTACATCCTGTTCAAACGTGTGGTTCAGCCTCTTTTACGAACCTTTGTATCACCTATGCTTTGTTCCGAACCGAACATTCCCACTCTGGCGTGGTATTCGGGACCTAGAGGTGACGTTCTACCATCTTTGCAACCTCACGATGCTCTTTGCAGACGGCCCCCAAAGGCCTAGAACATGATGTTGCATCCGTCTGCTAACAGTGCTGCGGTAAGATGTCATGACCATTCAGTAGAGCATGCCCACAGACATGACAGGTTCAACTCTACTTTACCTTGGGATGATTTTGGACAACGACGGCTTGGTCTTCCTGGCCGCTGTACAAGCACTCTTCATCATGACAAGAAAACCTCTGTTGGTATCACCAAGTAGTAATGGCACCAGGAGAATGCTCAGAACAAAGCAAATATCAGATATAGATGCTCAGTCTCTCATGCTGTGAAATCGTTCTCTTTAATCTACAGTTCCTGACAAATGATATCCTGTGGTTATCGGCACCATATGTGGATAGAAGTTCTCCAACAAAACACAAAGAAGTCACGCCGTTCTCATTCTTCGCAACGCAATGTAAGGGCGATCATCAACACTAGAGCAGTCCATCCAAGCTTGCTGAATAATATACTTAGATATCCTGGGATATTCGATTTCTCTCAATGTATGTCTCCCCTGACAAGTTGCTTCTCTGATTGCTCAAATTATGTTCTCTGAGCCAACTCTCTGTCGTATGAGATATTGAATTAGGCTTCACCTCCTGTTCTGATATGTGTGAGACCCAGAATCAGGACAAAAGCCCAAAATACTGGAAATGGTTATGTAGTCAAATCTGCCCATTGATTCAGTATTGACTAGAACAAATGCATGCCTCCTTTCCGACACAGCCTCGTGTATTGTTGGATCCTTTGCAGCAACAAGATGAGGGAGAGACAACCCACAGCTATTGTGTCTATTGCTATCGTCCTCGGAAAGTAGATGACCCTGTCTATACAACGAAACCTTCCTGACCTGTTCTGACCCCTTCTACACACAGCCTCGCCACTTGTCTCTGGCTGGCCACTCATCCTATGGGCCCAAAATGAATAGTTATGGACGATGAGGTGTGCCATTCACACAATGGCGCGACATATCCAGCTGCTACAGTTCAATACACTCACTCTATTTGACTCCGTATTCCTGCTACGGTGCAGATATCTTTGTTTGCCCTTATCCTAGATACCGTCTCATGAAAGGAACAGCAACCCAATCTTTCTCAGATAGAAGCACTCATACACAGGTCTGTCCGGCACCGTAAAGTATGTCTGAAGAGCCAATTTGCCTCATTGAACAGGATCCTGCGCAATATCAGCGCGGCCACTGCATCTGAAGTCACCGCTGCGCACCTCATCGTCGCTGCCGAGACACTGTTCACCCTTGGCACAGGATTCCAGTAACCACCGTGAGCTAGCTGTGTGCAGAAAAGAAAATTGAAGATGATCCAAAACCTCTCACCCACATTCTCTCGTCTCTCTCGTTACGACCGACAATCTCATATCATCTCACCATCGTGTGGCTCTTTCATTATTTGTTCCGGTGCTTACATGATTCATTGCATCATGGAAGACTTACAATATCCCACTCCTTCGCTGAAGATCATCGGTTGCGGTAGCAATGAGACGGCATACTGCTCGATGCCACACCTTCAACTTCAACCGTCCACACTGCCGGCTCGAGCGTCGTGCCGAGGACCTTGATCCAATGCTTTCCGCCGAATTGGATTGGTGGTTCGATACAGACCTCCAGCACCACGGTCTGTTCGGCACTATGCAACGAGACCACGATTTCATCCATTTGGATAACTGGGCAGCATCGGAATCAACCTACCCGTTCATCGTTCTTTCAGCGCCGAGAACGATGACTGAGTACGTGGATAGGGAAGACATTTACGGTCTACGGCGCGGTGCTCCTCGGGGAGACGTTCTTTGAACACCTGGGTTAGGTAGCCTGGGGGCAGGTAGGTCCAACAAAGCTAGGTCTCCGACATCAGAGGCATAGATAGGGCGTCGGAGACATTGATCATTGCCTGTTTCCTTGATCTCTTCGAATTGCAGTGGTCTTAGCCATCGGTAGTCGCGACTGTTTATGCTCCTCTCGCCGATACTAAGTCGAAGGGGTACAGATTCACATATGATGGCAGACCACAGCATCACTGGGTTTTAGTCTGCATAGATACCAATCTTGGTCCTCTCTGCCTCTTTCCACCAATTATCCGCTGACTGTGGGACTCCTGGCAAAGATATCTCCTTCCTCAGTTCCCTCTTGTTACTCTGATTGATTCCCTCTGCTTCATTCCTCGTCTCCATCGCCTGGTCGACGTCTAATTGCTTATAGTCCGTCAAGCTCCCCATCAGCTTTGGCTGACCTAGTGGAAGCTCATGCCCTTGATCCACCTGCCAGAAGTGGTACAGTTTTCCGTACAAGCCAACGATTTCTTCCATGGCTTGGGTCTCTAATTTGTCCCAGGCGTCTCTCCCTTTTCGCCCCTGTCGATGAGTTTCAGGATATGGCAAGACTAGCATGCCAGATTTGACCTCGAACTCGTGTGAGTGCCAGAGCTTCTGCTCTTCTGGGTCAAGAGTCAGGTAGCGGGACTTGGGAATCATATATTCTACCCCAATAAGGCGTGCTGATGCGGTGCAAGAGTCGTAGATCAGGCATTGACGAAGGTCTAGTAGCATTGGGAATCTCCATGTCAGCTTCTGTCCCCGTTCTGAACTGGGTCTGTAGCCACATCTTATAACCACATCTGTCGCTGGAGCCCGTAAGACATACCTTTAGTGACGTGTGAGCAGAAATGATGGGCCGAAACCGTACGGACTTCTCCCCTCCGGGCTTCATCGGTATAGATGTGCAAGGCATGGAGATACTCACACACGCTGTGGAAAGGTTTCATTGAGGGCTCAATGGTACCTCTGACATGTGTCTCGATGCCTAGGTAGAGCAGCCACGACTTGAGCCATGCTGTAGGACTGAATTTGAGTACCGAGGAAGCGAGAGCCGAGAGTGATGGTCCAACAGTCTGGTTGTTGCTCATTTTTATGACTTCTAAGCCAGTTTAGTATGTTAAAGACAATAATCAAGAGAATAGTGAGATGTAACTAGCAATAAATCATAGGAGCAGCGTTTTCACACACCGATGTCATGATGAGGCAAGGACTGATGTCACTATTTCAAGGGGACAGGTGTGGCCAATAGGGGAGCATTGAAGCAATTACTGTGTTTTATCCCATGTCAATATGATGGAATATTGCTTTTCTCAACAATATGTATCTCTCCATATGGAGCAATAACACGCCACAAGTACCAGTCCTTGTGAATCCAACAAGGCTGACTCATGCGTTGGATCTGGACAGGAATCATCCGAGGTCGACTAAGGTAGGGGGCGAGGCTTGTCGTCCTTCGGTATAGTGTTCGACCGGGGCCCGATTTCCGTCTTTGCTGAGTCGCCCAATTATCCCTGGGGATGTATCCCTGTAGTAATGACTAAGTGCATCCTAGAAGTATCCTAAAGAGAAATGCCCTGGAGAGAGTGCCCTGGAGAGAGTGCCCTGGAGAGAGTGCCCTGGAGAGAGTGCCC